AGACATACTCCCCCGCTCATATCTTAAGGCGGGTAGTAGGGGCGGGAACAAGAGCGAGTGCGTTCGCGAGAGGGCTATGGGGGGACCCTACTTGGGAGGAATTCCGGAAAGAAAGATGGGGAGTAGGGGGGAGGGATTAAGGGGCTGGGTAGTGAAATATCAATATTAGCCTTAGCTCCAATTTAAAGCTAAGGATCAAATCATCCTCTAACTAATCCCTTAAGCGAGCCGAGATGTCCCTAGATTACAAGGGGCAGATTGAACATTTCAGGGGAAGGTGAAAAATCAATATTGGTTGTTGTAATATTGTTTAAGGGTATTTGGAAGTAGAAAGAGATATTTTTACAGAGGGATTCTTTTATTGGGGATATAAGTTATATGTTGGGATTAGGGGAAAAGAAAGCTTTTATAAGAGGAGAAAGGAAGAATACAAGAGGATTATAAAAATTAGATAGAAAAGCTAATAAATTTAAAAAATATAAGCTTAGGCAAGGTTAAAAAGGGGGGAAAGTAACTAAAAAAGGTAGTAATAAAGCCTATAGTGAGATAAACGATTATTAATTAATTAATTAATAAAGGGAAAACAGTTTAAGCAGCATAGCTTTTATAGGCAATTTGGTTGGAATTAGAAAAGAATACTAAAGTAAGAAAAGAAAAAAAAAACCTTAAAAAAGAAGATAAAAATTATAAAAAAGGAAAGATAAAAGGAATAAAAAGAAAGAGGGAAATCGAATGCTTTAGGAAAAAATAGATTCTAATTAGATACCTTGGGAAAGTAGAATCTAAGTAGGGGGTTATTAAGTGGAAAAAACATTTTTAGCAATTAGGGTAAAAGCTTTAATAGCTAGAAAAAAAGGATAAACGCTTAGAGGACATCTTGTAGGGAATAGGACCGACGAAGGAGCTTTTACTTTAAATAAAACCTAGAACCTCCCGTCCTATAGAGGGCCGATAGCTATAAAGGGGGAAAAAGTAGACTAGAACTTTTCAACTCGAAATCCGGCAGACACTGAAAAAGGACGCCATATTTAAAAGGCGGGTTATATGAACTCTTATAGGTGCGCTAGCAAAGCAAAATTCTTATTACCTACTTAAGATAGCGGAGAAAAAGCCCCGACGGATAGGAAAGCCCTAAGATAAAGAAAGGGAAAACCTGTAGCCAAAATCAAACCGAGGACTCTAGTAAAAGGAATAGAAAAAGAAGTAAATAAGGAACCAGGGGAAGAAAAGGGAGATAAGCATATCGGTCGGCTAGGCGCTTTGGAGACTATCTACAACCGGTATAATTAAAGGAACCGAACACTTAGCGGGGACTATTTAAAGTTATATAGGGGGGCATAGTCCCAATAGGTTGGAATTTGCGGGAGGAGGAGAATTAGTGACTATGAACGAGAATCGCACGGAACTAGCTGTGGAAGATCGCAAAAAAGCGCGATGGCCCACTTTGACAGAAGTCGAGCCGAATCTCATAATATAAGCTAGGTATAAGCGATAAATATACCAATAGAATCTCCTAACCCTAACACTTTTCTATTGCTTCAGTTCTTCGGAGATACTGCCTTGTAGCTCTAAAAACCCATCGAATGAAGTTAGAGGAAGAACATTAGCATTCTCCCTCAGTTCGGACGCGGAAGGCCCTAAAACGATTAACGACCCATTCTGGGAATGGACAATCCCAACCTATCTCAACCATTGACCGCGTCAATACGCAGGCGCTCAAGAAGATGATGGACGAGGCATATCCGGAGTTGCAGTCGACCCGCAGGGTATGGGTTGGCGCAATAGATGAATATCAAAGGAAGTCGACGGCCTTGAAGGAACGATTACGCAATGGACGAAACTAGAAGATCCTTCGAGAAAAGTTTGGGCTATCCATCCTCCTTTTGACCCCATCAAGGGATGAGTATGACATCCGTGATTCCGAGTAAGCCGGTTTTCTTTACTTTTGGACATCTTTTTTGTTTTTTTTTGGCTCTGTTTTAGTGTCGAGAAACTCTCCATTCTCGTTTTCGAAAACCTAATTGATGTGCTTTCCGGAGCATCGAGGAAACTTCCCTGACGCTATATATGGCAAATTTTGTCAAATAGTGACAGCGATTGAAGATCGGAGTGACCTGAGTAGGCGGTACAAATCCGAGAGCATTGCTGCAGCTTCATTGAAGGAGCCGCCAGATTCAAGCCGCTTCATTGCATACTGTGAGCTGGATATTAATGATCTTCCAAAGAATGCTGCTAGATCGAACGATGATCTCCAAGAATCTACGAGTATATCAACGGAGCAGGGATGGAAGAGAGAGATCACAGGTCGGACACGCCTATACTTGATCAATGCTCGTATTTGGCATTGCCTTCTAATACCCGTCCATCTCGTCGCGAAGATGCTCTCGTCTTTCAGCGTCAAGATATTCATCTAGAGCGTTAGGGGCTTCTCTGTCTTCCAAGCTAGCCTTTGCATCAGCAAGCTCTAATTGACCAACGCAATCTACCTTTCGATGGGCGTCGCTTTGGCTTCCTCTTAGATTTGATATTGGATTCTTCCATTGCAATGGAAAGACCTAGAATATCTATTTTCCGGTGCACAAAAGGCGGTCAGCACCTACTCTGAGGGCTGTTGGAAGCGGCTGCCCACACAAAAGATGGAAGGAACGAAGAGAGATTGGTAGAGACAAAGGGAGAAGACGAGAAAAGGAAAGGCAGGCCATCTTTATGGACTCCAAAATTTGCGGGGGACTCCCTATGGGAACCCGAGTTCAAGAAACGCAATTTGGAAAGGCTGGTCTCTATCGAGAAGAGAGCACGTTAGATAAACAATAATCAAGAGAGAGGTTAGTATATATATGTCTCTTGGACTTGTGTCCCCTCGCAGGAATACTATTTTGACTAGTCTTATTGTATGAAAACTTTTTTAGAAAATGTAGAGTGACTTAAAAGACTTCCTGGCTACTAACTTTCTTATTAGACTTGTATTGATTGTAATAGTATTTAAGTAGTAGAATAGTTGATTATTGAAGTGTTCTATGGCAATCTCTTTTTATAATCTTATTTTGAAACTTTATCAATTAGAAGAACTATATTGTTTAACCCCCAAGATTTCCAACCAAGTCAATCCATTTACAACCCTAATGCTCTCCCTACCCGCTTGCGACATCGAACAAGTAGAAGTTAACAGGGTCGCAGTTCGGAGCTTGGTCCACAGTGTGATAGAAATACATGTGGAAACCCGCTCCCGTGTTAGCATCTCCAGACGCTATATTTGCAACACAGAAACTATACGGCGTATTAGTTGCCGTGTCTCTCAGAAACACCTGCGTTCTGTTGGACCCATCATTAAGTGCGACACTATAGAATGCAGTTCCTGCACCGGCCGAACTTGTAGTCCAGTAGAGCTTTCCATCGGTTCTGCCGACAGTACCGGCGTTAGTGTAGTACCAGGCATTGTTGGTTACGGAGTAAAGTTGCCCTGAGGCTGTGACGATGAAGGTCTCGCGTAGGTTTTGCTTGTAGTAATTGTCTGTCATATGGTTCGAATCGTCAGATAGTGCGAAGGCGAGCTTTAGATTCTTGTCACCGTCAAGAGAGCAATAATTTGGGGTTCCAGAAGGCGCGTTTGCGGCGATAGTGATTACAGTCGTAGAGTAGATAGTTGTCGTTGACGCGATCGCTGTGGTAACGATTCCGTTTGTGACAGTGATAGTATTCGTCTGAGGAGACAGCGTGTTTGTAGACACGACCGTCGTGCTAGTACTTGTCGCTGTGGATAAATATGTTTGAACAGCCGTTGCAGTCTGGGTTTGAGTTGAGGGTGAGGGCTGCGTAGCTTCTTCACTGCAAGCTGAGCTGAGGACGACTGAATTGAACACGGAAAGGTCGGTAGGTACACTCAAAGGTAAAGTTGTACCTGAGGCTGCACCCACCATGTACGAGCTCGGTACTACCACCCGGCGCTCTCTGATATCTTGTGGCTGGCCTCGTCGTGCTCTTGCAGGCGCTAGTCTTGAAGTCGAGGCGATGATGGAATATTTTGTCACAATCGTCGTTGTGAGAGTTACTGTGCTCGACGGTGTGGTAGCCGTATTGGTTACGAGGGGCGTGGATGTTGCTGTCACTGACGCTGTAACAACCTTGGAAATTGTTGAGGACGTCGTCTGCGTTGCTGTCACGGTTGAGGTCGCCACAGTCAATATATATCCTAAGTATGTTGAACAAAAAGGTTGGTAATTTTGAGCAACGATGATTGAAGTTGCAGCTGCAACTTGATCAATAGACGAAGAAGAGCTTGACAAAGAGAAGCTTGATGTAGAAGAGCTTAACGAGGAAGAGCTTGACGGGGAAGGGTTTGACGGAGAAACGCTTGATACCGTTGAGGGTGTTATCGAAGACGTTAAGCTCGAAGACGTCACGCCGGAGCTTTCGGTAAACGATGAAGTCGAGACAGGGTTTGCCGAGGACGAATCAATCGGGATGCCGCTCTGAATGGTAGTCACTCCTGTTTCTAGCACCGACGAAGAAGCCGCCCCAGAGGTAGATACATCGGTTGGCTGGAGCGTCGAGCTTGAGCTCAGCAACTTATACAGTTGAAGCTTCTGAAACCCTCCACAAAGCTGACTGCTATCACCGGGACAACCAGTACTTGTCAATTGAGTCTGATCAGAAGCCAAAGATGGGATGTGATTTAAAATGTTTCCACAGAAGCAGATATTGCCTAATGGAACTCGTTAGTGAGTCCGGCCGAAGCTAGTAGGGTGTTCATACCGTTTTCTATTCCCATAAAGGTATAGCTGCTGCAGGTAGTTGCGCAATAGTCGAGGTCAGCGTTCCCATCGTCGAGAATGAATTGCTGGTCTAGAAGCTGGCCGTCTGCAGGATCATCGTAGAGGCCTTGATTGTCAAAGCCACTGATGTACTGGACAATCGTCGGTGTCGCCGTACTGGCGCTGTAAGTTGATGTTACACTTGAGCTCGATGCAACGGTGCTGATCTGTTCAGTGACGGTTGGGCTTGTCAAGTCCTGAGATGTTTCAAACAGTGTTGATGAGCTCTGGAAGCTGGTCAAAGGCTCTTGGTCTTCTTCCGAGGTTGCTGATGAGCTTGGAGGAATGAACGTGCTCGGTATTTCTGAGCTTGAAGTCTGCGAATTCCCTTCGCTTTGAGTAGGGTTGAATGTAGGCTTCGCTGTAGCCATGCTTGAGGATGTAGTCTGCAAGCTGGGTGAAGAAGGGCCCCCAACTGACTCAGGTGATGATAGTATCGGTATGCTTGTAGGACCTGCAGGTTGCACGCCAGGAGATGGTGTAGAGAATTCAAAGGGAGGAGAATTATTCGGAATGTTAGTTGACAAGGCTTGCGAAATAGTTGGTGACGCAGCGATTGCGGTTGGGCCACTCGAAATACTGATATTGTATTTGAAATCTGGGTCAGTAACCAGACCAAACCCAAAAGAGTCTCTTGGAATTTGACCAACACGAGCAACGTAAATCGGCTGAGCTTTCTCGCTCGCTTGGTCGCGAGTGTAGAAAGTGTAGTTACTTTTCGCGTCACTGCATATCAAATTGATATTGCTGAGCTGGAATCCATATCTGATAGCGCCGTGAGGAGGGTTTGAGCTGTACGACAGTTGTGGGTCTCCCTGATTGCGTTTGACTCGCTTCGAGCCCCCATCGTTCGGGATGAAGTAGACGAAGTTACCTTGCGGGTCTTTCAGTGTCGTTGCTGGGTCTATGGTCAAGAGCGTGGCTTCTTCAGTCCCTCCAAGAAGCATGAAGCCGTCCCCTGATTCACGAACTGGACGCGCGTTTAGATCATCATTGTCATTGACATATAGCCGGAAGCTTCGTGCAGAGACAGAGGGTAATGCAACGCTGGAGCTGGTCGCCGCTGACTTGGTACCATTTGTCGGTGAACTACCAGAGGGCGAAATGATTGATGAGCTAAGACCACTGCTTGCGGACTCAGTTGGTACTGGCTTGCTGGATAGACTGGTTGAGCTCGATGCTGAACCCCAGGTTGTAGATTCGATTAGTAGTGATGTTTAAGTATCATTTTTGCTAAAGTTTCGTGTCCTGGATACTGATGAAAGTGAGGTATTGTAGATAGGGTAGGGAATTGTCTGTGAGATAGCAACCACTCCCGGAACCGCGTTGCCGTTGCCATAGTCCTGTCCAGGCTCCTGCTGAGCACCCGATCCATGTGGTTGTTCTGTATTTGTGGATCCTTCATTCCCATTTTGTGATGCAGGCTTAGGCGAGCCTGGGGTATCCCTAGAACTGTCTCCTTCGTTCTCTTGTGCACCCTTTTGTCCCCCTTGCTTTTCCTGCCCGTTTTGCTTACTCGGCTCACTTTGTGATGCAGCCACTCTTGAACCTTGATCGTCCCCAAGTCCAGACAGCCCTTGTTGCTCCTGACCATATTGTCCTCCAGGTTGCGCTGCTCCTCCACCATTTCCTTGAGACCCAAGTCCTCCAGCCACCTCCGGACTTTGATCTTTACTCTGCCCCGCTACAGATCCGAGGACTCCAGGCTTTCCTGGCAAATTGCCTTGCGCATTGCCTTGCGGGGTAGCGCATGCTTCCGCCAACTTTTGGATGAATGTGGAGGTTCCTTTCACCGTGACCTCAGGCTCGTAGCCTTTTTTTGTCTGCATCATGTAGGATATAATATGCTTGTAGTAACGGTATGTATTGCCCTGATTTCCAGGCTCTTGGGTAGGTCCGCCGAGAAATTGTGGAGGCTGCGCAGACCAAGTTTGTACATCAGATGCAGAAGTTTGGGGACCGTTGACCAGCCTGGTGATAGTTTTCCAGCTGCAGAATTCCCACTGCCAGAATGGCGCAATGAAATGGGTAGTGGCTCCACCTCCCACCGTAGTTGAAGTCACTGGCTGAGAAACATTGGTAACGATGACGCCGTCATTCCCTCCACATGCATCGAAAGCCGAGTACCGGAAAGGATTGATCCACGAAGGGGCCTCAAGAAGACAATCATTCTCTGTGATGTTGGCGAATGTTCCTATAGCTGTACCATTGCGTACAGCAAAAGTTGGGGACACTGTGGTCGTCGCACCACGCCATGCTAGAAGCAGTCCGACAAGAGCCAGATGGTAGGAGACGTGGCCAAACATCATGACATGTATTGGATCTGGGATAAGTGTGCAGCAGTCAATCTGGCTACTATTTCCCTATGATCGCGCCTTCTGAATTGCCTTGGAATGGTAATTAATATTTCGCGTTTCGCGTTTCGCGTAGGAGATGATGGAATTTCAGTCACGCCAGATTTCCCCTTGCATTGGACGCGTTCGGTAAATCTTCTGTTCACGAGTGTAGAATACCTTTGAAGCCAACTGTAAACGGAATCCCCAAAACATAGTCGATATCGATGGCACGAAGCTGAACGCATCTGGATTCTACTCCAGCTTTAAAGCTTGGGGTCTCACTGTGACGAAGGCCTCCTGATAGTCGAGCTTGACGAGCGCAATCAACTTGGCCCCGCCGATCTTGTCAAATTTGCAAACACGACACTTGGGGCTAATCGTATTCCTCGGCCTCCATCCAACTACTTTGTCTTATAGACATCGATGCTCTCAGCGCCGGTGATGAAGTGGCTGCGAGGAGAAGGGAGGGGGGGCATCAGACCTCGACTTAGAGCGACAAAAGACTACAACTACCATCACACAATACGGTTTTGCACATGAGATCAAAGATTATCAGGAAAGTTGGAATATCATTGGTAATAAGCTAAACTGCCTATTACGCACCTCCATGAATACCGACCAGTAAAAAAAAATTGTGACTAAGCTGTCCGCCGGGTATGAAGACATGTTCTCCCCTATTCTGGCCCAATGGAGGCCAGGTAGGCAAGTTCTTCATCCTCAGTGATCTCCCTGACTGAGGAAACACCACTCTCAGTAGTCGCACCATCCGCTGCCGGAGGCGGCCCCTCAATTGTCAGCTGCCCAGTGCGATCTTGCGCCTGGGTATTTGCACTGGTCTCTTGACCGACGGCTGCTGGGGTATTCCCACCGCCGTCAGTGCCAGGCGCGAGCGTGATACCTGGAGGAAGAGGAACACCACGCTCTTGAAAGCGAGCGATCATGGCACCAACTCGCTCCTTCTGCTCCGCTCGTTTCTTTGCCTTGTATTCATCAAAGGCCTCCCTCTTTCTCTGCTTCTTCGACTTCTTTACCCCGGCAGATTGCACGGGTGCTGTGGAAGTCTCGCCTTTCCCCCCCTCAGTGCCCCTCTTGCCGCCTTTCCCTTTCCCCTTGCCACGAGCGTTCTGCTGGCCTCTGCTCTGTGGAGCAGGCCAGGCAGACGTGGGCGGGGCCATGACCGCAGCTTGTGGGGCTGCACCGAAGGCCATGGGGCTATTGAAGCCAGGGTAGTAGCTGACTTGAGGTGGTTGAGGGGTGGGAGCGTAGAAGTTCGCCGGCTGATATCCGAACGGAGGAGGAGCATTGTACGTCTGGAAGGTACGCATGGCGTAGTAGTTATGATTTACTACAGGTGCCTGACCAAACGAGAAAACAGGGCACGGCCGTATTGACCAGTCGTGCGGCTGATTGCAGTGACGGCATGGGAGGTAGCACGCCCTCGCAGGGTTGTGCGCCATCCCACATGGACCGTGTACTGGCCACGCGCGCGAGACATTCTGGTTGCCCCCACCTCGCTGGGGATTACCTCCCTGAGACATTTTGATATTCTAGCACGCATGAGCATGAGTAGATCGTTATGAAAAGGTGGAAGGCTTACCGTGGTGATGTTGCGACGTTGCGTGGTCGTGCAATTCACCCAGATAACTGTCTCGAGAGTGTTGGAAGAAGAAAGAAATCGAAGGAAAAACAATTTTGAGGAGAGGGAAAAGGCGGGGGAGGGGCTGGTTGCCCCGCTGTTTACGTATGTCCGTCATCAAGGGGTGGTGATGAGCGTAGAGCACTGAGGTTGACACTTTTACTCGGGACGGCATATTAGAGTGGCTTCTCGATGTGGGAGAAAGATAGAGCGTTGTTGGAGGCTGACTCCGCATCTTTTTCGAAGTCGGGAAGCTTGATATGTGAATGGTTTAGACGGCGTGACTTGAGAGCAGGGGCGCAGTGCAATGCAATATGGTCTCGATAAGTTCGGATGCGCATGAGCGAGCACTTAACGAATGATGGTGAGGCTATCCATGTAGGAGAGGCTTTTGCATTGAGACTGTAGCAACATCGACGAATGTACTGCTTGCCGGCAGGGCCATCAGAAGATTCTCTCAACTAAATTAATGCCCAATCTCTTCGTGATGAGAGGGCTATATCAAAAGCAAGAGCATGTTTTGTTGTCACTTCTATTGCCAAAGGAGCTAAGAGTAGTCCCTCCCGCAAGAGCAACCATTTTGAAGAGGTGCCTGTATCATAACAGATTTCAAGCCTGTCAGCATGAGAGTCTAGTATCTCGGTCAATCGACGTCTTTGATTCGTGCTGATCACACAGGAAGTCATCCAAAGCGGAAAGTTCGTCGTTTGATACCATCATTATGTTGCCGGCAAGCTGTTGAACTCTCTACATCCAGATCTCGCGTTAAAGAGGTGACGCGTATCACGTCTCTGTTCATTCTTGTCACTAGAGCCTATGATCTCACCGTACATTGCAATACTCTAGATACTTCTACGTGTGAGAAACCCTGAGACGATCATTCAAGAGTCAAGGAGCCGTGATAGTGTTGGTCCCTAAAGTGCTTGATCTCCATCTCGAGGCAGCGCCATCGAGGCTTGACGATGACCCGAGAACTTGGAAAGAGGCCGGTAAAGTCATGACGAGTGTTGATATGTGTTGTTCATTTTAAATCGCGCTAATCAAAACAAATGTTCCGTATCACCGCGACGACTTCTTCCACCATACATCCATCAAACAGTCTGGTTGAGATCTACTTGCCATCATCAATAGTCAAGTATAGATAATCAAGTAAGTGCTGCTGACAGTTTCATCTCTCTTCTAGTCTTCTTGGACCCATCGATAGGGGCTCTGGAAGCCAGCGCTGACGCGTCCTTTTAATTGCTAACTCTGCGTAGGACGAAATGGATGACACGGGTGATCAGCGAGGAAACGGGCAGGGAGGTGAGGCAGGCAAAGGGCAGGCTTGGCGACGATGTCGCAAGTGCACAGGCTGGCACGATCCAGCAGGACGTTGCTGGAGGCCGTGCAACGAGTGTGGACAAGTTCACAATCTCGCAAGAAACTGCCCGCAGCCGCTCACTGCACCCCCAGAACCACCTCAGCTGTACAATTACAGCCCCTTTCCACCCTCCGCGCCCTATATGCAGCCACAGGCAGCAGGGTTTGCGCAACAATACGGGATGACATACTCCCCCTACCCACCACCCTCCACCACCTCCTACACCCCCTACCCGGCACCCATGCCATCTCCATACATTCCCGGGCCCTATCAGAGCCCCTACACTCCGCTTGCACAAGCAGGTAGGGGCCCGGTAGGCAGCCGAAGCGGGAGTGGAGTCATGTCGAGCACGGGTAGGAGGGAGAGACAGGGGAACAATCGGGGAAAAGGCGCAGCCGAAGGCGGGCTAGCCCCAAGGTCAAGTGGCGTGCAGAAAGCTCCTCGTAAAGAGGGTAATACAATCAGGCGAGCGCAGAAGCCCGAGCCAAAGCGCGAGGTAGGGATTGCTCTTGGGGTTGCTCCCTTGGCAAGAGGCTCCTCCTCGCGGGCTCGTGGCCATGACGCTTCGCAGGGCGCAACGGTGGATGCTCAAGCAGTGTCGCAGGATGTTGACGCGGATGGGGACGTGAAGATGGAGGATGATGATGATGCTATGGGGGAAGAGCAAGATCTTGACTCCGATGGAGACGTGAGGATGAGGGACGCGTGACCTTAAGGGTTGCTTAGACGTTGCTATTCATTCCTCGTAGTCTTGTGCCTCCGCATCGAATATACCTCATCGTACCATGTCTGTCGGCGATGAGCACAGCTCTGCCGTTTATATTGAAAGGCTTTGTTAGACATTTAGTTCTGAATCAATGCACTTTTCACTTCTCCCCACGATTTCCTCTGGTCCATCGGCTCAGTGATTGTAGTTGCGATCATCATTGGCATGACTTTGATCATCCTTGCCTCGTCTTCTTACCGTTGCATATTTGAGATGCGCTAACTTGAGACACCACCGTGCAGCCGTCCTGTGTTCATCAAACTTGCCTTACTACTCCCATGCAGTGCTCATCGGCACCTCAACCAAAATCAAGGTGTCGTCCAGTGTCAAGACATTGCCGCCCGTCTTATTGATTGCCCATGAGAATTTCTCATCTAGAGGGTCTCGAAAAGTTACCACGATCTCTCGTAGGCTAATAGATCCGGTCGTGAAGTCGTCTTTTCCGTCAATCTCCTCAGGAAATGCTCTTCAATGCTAATGGTCGACTATAATCTCTCCCGATCTATTGATTTAGTTCAGTGACCCTCATATGACCTCTTATTCTCAAAGTACCTCTAATATTCATGCCGCTCGTAAGGTAGAGTGAGCGCATAATTTGTCCAGGATGCGAATTGGTATCCGGCATCGAGTTCAATAGAGAAAGACTTGGCGATCTTCTGGCTTCAAGCTATCCTCTGGTTACGCTAAGTAGTCAAGGCTAGCCAAGGCAGGTATTTTAAGCAAAAGAAGTAAGTACGGTACTTGAAGGTGATAGAAATTTAACCCTAGTCTATGAAATTTGTACCCGTGTCTATTGTATCATAGATGTTGGGTCACTGGTTTTCTGTGACCACACTTTTTTAAGCACTCATAGACATTCAGGCGCTTGTGAATTACGCTCGCCGAAATGTAGCTCTACAGTCTTTTCATTTAGCAGCTAATGAGTGTGAAGGTTTATCCAAAAGCAATTTTCGGCTCATTCTTTGTTACCACAATTCCAGCCTATTCATCGTGATTGTGCATCTTCCATCTTTAGAAAATAGATGTGTCCATTCCTTGAACCAATCACCAGAGAACCTTTACACATATCGTAGGTTGCTGGCGATCCTTTCCAGTTCCTGGGACACCTATATTCTGATGGAATCCAATGAACTCGCTTGCCACCATACAAGATCCATTCTTTACCCTTGTCAAGCTGAAATTGAGGAACATCCTTGAAGGACATGTCCCGTTGATTACCCAAGGCACTCCATTGTGGAACATGGTAGATTGCTTCATCAATGAACAAAGTATTGGATACATTGCTGAACAGAACTCTTGGCATGATTGAGAGGCAATCTACTTTGAAGAGCTGCTCTCCAGAGACTAGAAGCCACCCTTTTACAGAGGGTTTAAATGAAGCCATAATCACTAAACGACTATCAGGGGACAATTTTATAGTATCGACACGAGTCATGCCCGAAGAATAGCGTTGTGCTGACCAGAGACAGACCTCGTTCTTTAAATGCCAAACTTTCAGATTGATGTCAAGAGCTGCCAATATCTCATTATTCCTGGAAAATACTAACATGAAAGCTTTATAGTTATACTTCAAATCGGGATCGCCCAACCTAAAACGTCTCTGTGATGCTCCTGAGGCTCGTAGGTCTTCGATGTGAAGAAAAAACCCATATTTGCCGCGGCAAAGCGCAGCAAGTACACCCCCATTGGGAGAGAAAAGAAGTCTGATGACCTGATCATCTAAGGGTCCAAGGAATCGGGTTTCACCGGTATCAAGGGCACGAATTCCGATATTTCTCTCATCTTGCTTTAATGCAAGAGAATCTCCTATAGGTGAAAAGGTCGCGATTGCCCCTCGGAACTTTGAGATGCAAGTTCTATTCTCTATCTCCCAGATAGATGTTTCGCCCTCTGATGTAGATGTTGCCATTAGAATTTCATCCTCTGAGCAGCTCCAAGTGTCACCTGGTAAAGTCAAGCAAAGCTCACCTGTGTCTAAATTGAACAGACCGATCCTCGAGTTATAGTACTGCACAATTGCAATTTTTGCTCTCTGAAGTAGCCTCACCTCCTGAGCAGGTGACCGATCAATTTTGGAGGGTGGCTCACTGGCTTCTGCTTCTGTCAAATCCCATAATTCGATACCACCCTGTGGACCTGATACCAACAGCGAGCTACAAGGAGAAAAGAACAATTGTTCCAAACGACCGACATGTTTAATACGAAACTTAAAGCGAAGTTCAAGAGTATCTACATCCAACACATGGATGACCTCGCTTTTCGGACCTACAGCGAGCAGTTGACTATTAGGAGAAAATGCAAAACAATCGGATGTTGTTTCGAAGAGTACATATCCGGTGCTCATCTCGAGAAGATGGAAAGTCTTGCTGCTTCTGACGTCGTCACCTAGCAGAACCCCCATTTTTTTGTCGTCAGCCGAAAGTGCAATAGAGAAGATTCCCTTTTCAGGTGTGTGATATATCGTCCGGAGCTGAAAATCAGTCAAATTTCCACCATAGATTTCGCTGGTGCCACAAGCTACGAATATCATCTGACTGTCACGCGAAATACACATCGAATGGCAATAGATGCCATGGCTGAAAAAACGACCCAGCTCTTGGTTGTCGGACATGCGCCAGACTCCGATAGTATGATCCCCCGATGTTGTAGCGAGAATGTCACCTATCGGAGAGAAAATTTCCATATAAATAGATTTGTTGTGCGCTTCCCAGTAATGGTGTACGCCGCCGTCGCATAAGCTCCAAACATGGATCCATCCGCCGTCGCAGCTTAAAGCTAGCCGACTTGAGTCTGGAGAAAACTGTAAGTCAGAGTGAGGTCCGCATTTCATCTCCAGGGATTGTTGAAGCTCGCCTGTACGTGGATTCAAGAGCTTGACACAATGTTCGGTGACTTTTATAGCAAAGATAAGGCCATCTGGTGATAATGTACCACTGTTAGTACCATATATGGAATTCTCTCTTAAGTAATCGAGATGGATTCGGCTTTGGAGTCTTCCAGTCCTCACATTGCGGCATACCAATGAGTAGTCTTCGCTGTTCAGAGTATATATCGCTTGACTGTCAGGAGAGAACTGCATGACGTCTCGAGTATCTTGCTCGAATGTCTGCAGAGATCCACTCCATTGCGTAGTCTGTTTGGGATATAACCTTGGGAGTTTCGGGATTCGAGAATGACAAATTTGTTGGCTAAGATGTGTAGGGGGGCAGAAGTTGATTGCTGACGCATAAATTTGTAGGGGGCACTCTCGATAATATCTCTGAAAGCCAGCACAAATCGTCGGTAGTCATAGAGATTTTCTAAAAAAGCTGTCCTCGTCGGGATCGAGATCTAGGATTGCGTCGCAGGGTCAGAAAGGGCAATACTCAAGGGGGAGATACGACCAATGGTGAGTGACTCAGTTGAATTTTGTTTGATGGGGAGAAAGCAGGCTGTGTACCAAACACACCAAGCGACTCACCTCCAGTTCTTCTTTAAGTCTGATCAGAATTTCCACTACCTCAAAAGTCCGCCTTATCAGGGATATAGCTTCCAGCCAACATAGAAACTTGTCCCTGAGAAAAGTCTCAATTGAATCAACTCTTTTGTATGTCCTTTTGGATTCCAAAAAGTGGTCAAGCCAATACGAACATGTGTATTGCATTGCTTGGGGAAGCTTCTCCGCGATGAGAGCTGCGTCGATCTCGGAGATTTCTGTATCCAGCGATTCCAGATCGCAGATATTTTGATGCAAAGACATTGACATCAAACCCAATGATTCAGAAGCTAGCTTTTCATTAATTTCTTGCTCATCCACCCATGCGTGCCGCTCTTGACAGCGACGTTCATCAAGTAAGAAATCACGAAATGACAGATGAAGAATCTGTACCGGTGCACTGTTCGCTTCGGGCACGTCCAACACCGCATAGAGCTGTCGAAGCATAGTCTCAAATATAAGTTGTGTGCGATACAAATGGTGGCCGAACAGCGCATACAAGTCCGAGACCGGTAAGGGGCGCTTCAGGAGTACGATTCGACCCACAGTCTCGCGAAATTGGCTAGCAATACGTTCCTGTTCTTTCGACGTATACTTACCCCGAAAGACTTTTCGTATAATGGCTGAATACATTTGATCGAGTTCCTCGGTGGCGAGCTGGTTGTCGGCTACATCGCCTAAAATGTCGGCCAGGCGTTCTTCAGGATCAGCTTGCGGTGAGCCACCAATGTACCGGCAGGCGGTGGAGGCAAAAATGAAAAGGCCACCAGCTTTTCGGACTAGATGGTCGACGTCAGATTTGGGCGGCCATTGATCTCCAAGCGAAAATTCTGAGCTAGTAGAGTCAAGTTCGTGTTGGACGAAATTTCGGATGTCTTCGTCCACAGTCGAGCGCGTGATATTTTGTAGTGCCAAGTCATGGTACAATACAGACGTCAATTTCTCAAACCCCATACGAATAGGCCACTCGGGCCTGCTTGTTATGAAAATGCGGATGTGGAGTTGATGAACATCCCGAATCCTACTGAAAAGCCGGAGTAAGAGCCGAACATTGTCTTCCTCATCGCATTCGTCCAGCGCGTCAATCACGATTAGGATCTGTGGAACGGGTGATTGATTCTTCTGCAAAGTCAGTAGTGGATCAAGGAGAAGCTTATCAAATTGCTCCGCTAAGCCAACAGATTTGCCGAGGCCAGCTTCAGCCTCCAGGGCTTTGACGACAGAGTCCTGATACGGAGATGCAGTCGATACCAACTGTCGCACAAGCGTAGTGATAAGCCTTCTTGCATAAGCAAGTTCGCCAAACCCTCGCTTGAAGAAATAGCTGGCACAGATACGGCTTGGATCTTGAAGAATGGAAGCTATGGTCATTGATATGGTAGATTTCCCGGTGCCTGCTAAGCCCTTAAGCCAGAAGATGGGCTTGGAAGCCTCACTCTCTACCCAATTGGTGATCTCATTCAAGAGCTGGGTGCGAGTCCCCTTAAGACATTGCCGATGTCGTCCGCTGCTCTCATAAGAGTTAAAAACAGCGTCGCTCACGAAATCTAGCTTCTCAAGAATGCGCTGTCGCTTTTCTGCCTCCGTTCTTTCATCGAGTGTTAGCTGAAGATGAGTGCTGAATAAGAGAAGATAGTCCTCGAGACTTTCCATGATTGTGATGACTTGTTTCTTCGAGAAGGGCCATTTAAGCGCTCTGACTCCATTGCGGTCCTTGAATCTGTGTCTCTTCTTGGCCTCCAACTTTTGTTTGATAGGAGCCAGATCATCAAGACAATGCTGTATGCTATCTCCAACCCCATCGATTCGATTGTTGCTCTTCAGGCGGCAAAGGACATCATGGACGGCTGTTGCCTTGACTCGAAGGCGCTCGATCTCCTCCTGAGCGTCACGCACTTCAATGATGTAGCTGCCGCAAAGCTTGGCGATCTCTGAAGATATCTGAACGACTGCGATACCGCTAGCTACTCCTCCCAGAACTTCCATTTCTCGGCGATTTTGGTTGAAGGTATGATCAGTGCGGGGAAGACGACGACATTTGGTGGGGTCGGTTCAGCGACCAATGATTGATAGAGACTAATGCAGCTCGAATCACAACAATGTGATTGGCCGGAACAAGCAACCAATAATAAACAGATACAACATTACCTGAGATTCATTTTCTAGTGACCGATGACGAGATTCATAAAGTGATACTGCTACGAAAAGAAATATAGATATTAACATCTTCACTATACCATAAAGCTAAGATAGTTAGGAAGCCTGCTATCTTGCCCATTAACAAGAGAGCGACACGAGTATCGGGGAGAATATTTCTTTACTTTCTCTTCTCAGAACACCTGGTGACCAAAGTCAAGGAAGTAGTAGGCAAAGTTCATGAGCAAAAGATCTCACCCCACCGACTTGAAATGCCTTTATCCTTACACCCTCCAATATCCGCGTGATTGAAAGTAATAGCATTTGCCATCGATATGGAAAGAGGTAGACAGCGTGTGAACTACGTTTTCAGCTTCGTGTATTACCGACGGAGTCCGTCCCAGTGCGCCCAATAGTTTGAATGGGTCCAATTTAAGGCCCAAACTGGACTGATAGTGGCAAAACCAATAATTTAGCAATTGGTTTAAAGGACAAACTAGATCGCCAGCTGATCAACTGGTTCAACTGTTAGTTCCTCAAGATCCCAAGTTCATTTTCAAGCAAAACTTTATATCCGAGCCTTACCTCCTGGTGAGGAAATGGTATGTAATTATATATCATTTATACCAATTGGTTAAATACCTCAGCCCGAACCGCTAGTAGTTGGTCTGACCGTCGAACTAGACCGAATTTTCGGAACACCAACTGGTTAGATTTCTCAAACACCGCTGGCGGTCCACCAAACCGTTGGGTTTGCTTGTCCGGCCTGACGTCCAAGATTTCTTCTTCTCGTAGACCACTTCTTAGTTTACTGTTAATGCACAAAGACATCCTAAGTTTTAAAGGTCTAATGACGACCCAGCCCCCAGAATGACGCTCTAAACAACGAAATGCATGGTGAAGCCAACAGGAATGCAAGAGCTCCGCACCTAGATTCTTAAAACTACACTCGCCTTAATAGACTAACACTAAAAGATTATGAATTTTCAGACATTGATAGCAAAGAACGTGGAGTCCTCGTTCCCTCTAGCAGTCCCTTAAGCACATTAAGTTCCCTAAAACAATTTCGATTGTCCCTCCCTTCTATCCTTAGCTAGTTGCATATCGTCGTCACTATCTCCTATCCACAACAAGGGCCGTTGAAGTAAATGATACATTTCTTGCCATTAGTCAGTGACTTCGAGGACGCTTGGGGCATTCTAGGGATATTACGGAGATGGCTCCTGGATTTGTTCACCAGAGCGAGCATCTGGTGGAAGCCCACCCCCTTCACGCGCCTCCTCCTCTTTTTCAAGTAATTCGCCTTGACGCTTCCAAGCTGGCTCAGACATAGCACAGGTTTTGTTGGTGATGAGCGATGGAGTGACGGAGCGATTCACTAAGCTCGAGCTTAGCGCGAAAGGTCTCGTGTCAACACTCGAACCGGCGGAAATGAACAGCAAAAGTCCACTACCTGGGCTTTAGGGGCTGTTATAAGGATCCTTAGGGTTAAATGAGCCTTGAAAGCCGGCCTTCCACCCTAGGCATTGCCCCTATCTTGCGCTAAGGAAGGTAGTGTTGACACGGCCATATCCAGATTTATCGACCCTCGACATCTCACAACATTATCTCATTACATCGCGTCACAATTGAAAAGATTCGACAGCGCAATGGCCACTTATCTTTGACTTGATTGGAGAGCAGCTCCACCTCGGATGGAGCGAGTTGAATTGATCCGGCGAGTGTTCGCAGCACTCGATGCTAATGAATGGGCATTGGTGAGATCTGCTGACGCTAAAGGTTCGGTCTCATTTGGGAGAAAAGCGCATTCACCAGATTCGCCTCTCATGTACCTGCGAGCAGATCAGAAGCGGCCCCGCCATGGTAGCCCTTCAATCGGGTACTGGGCGCGAGCATGGCTGGTCGCGGAGGGAGTGGTCGATTTGATCGCGCGCGACCAGGCGGCCATGTCGCACCTCTTCCAGTATAAACAGGTACACTTTCTTTCCTGACTTCCTGGTCTTGTATGAGATTGACGTCAACGCAGCTCACCTCGGACCCACGACTGTCCGCTGCGCAAGTGAAGAAGACCTACCTAGACCTTGCTCTCACGATTGGAGTTCATCCTTGGGCACTAGGTGTCATACCTGAGAACAACGGCAAAGTCCATCTGCCAAAGCGATTGACCATCGAGTACACTGTGGTCAAGAATATCATCCGTTGGTCTCGAGGCTCTGAGCAGTCCACGTTCGAGAAGAGAACTCGTCTTGAAGACGATCAGACATTAGAAATTCCTCCGCTGATCAAAGATTTGACAGTTGTAAAGGGCAAGGGTACAAAGCCAGTGGCCGTGATTGTGGTAGAGCATCAAATCTTGAGGACCGTGATTACGGATGAGAGGTACAACAAGCACCGCGTCATTGTGGTTATGGTAAGCTCTTGAAAATCATTAAAGGTCTAAACTAAGAACTGAGTAGACGGCTGGCTACCCAAGCTTGGCGACTCGGGAGTTCCTCCATCTTCTGTCAAAGTCCCCAATGTTGAACGATGTGCCCTTCCTCTATTTCTCGGATCATGATTTTCAAGCCGCTGAGATATTCAAATGTCTGAAGTATGGGGCAGCACATTCTGCCGAGTCAAGTGAGCAGATGGTGTGCTCTCAGCTCAGCTGGGCCGGACCTTCGAGGGAAGAATTGCTGAGTTCTCCTGAAAAGTGTCGCAAGGCATTGGAGCAGCAGTACCAAAGCGATCAATTACGGGCCACCTCTGATGAGGTCAAAGGGGCTGCAGACGCTTGGGTAAAAAACAAACGTGCCTTTCTGGAAAAGAAGCTTGTCAAGACAACCCAGGGAGACCTGAATCAGTTGCGCAGCTTTCTACAGACTAGCTGGCTCCAGAACGAAGCCGGACTCCGCGCTGAGTTGGACGAGATGTCCTGGCGCAAAGGGAAGTTCAGGCTTGCGGATCTTGCTGCAATACATCAAGATTTCGTGCAAATTTTCATCAATGCAAAGATCAGCAAGGCGCTCGCGATTGAAAGCGCCGAGGAGCTCAGCCTACCTGGGCCCCTTATACCCAAGAAACGGGGTTGGGCGGCTTTGTCAGGTCAGCAAGAAGCGAGGCAAAAAGCGAGCGCTGAGGTCAGTGATGAAGAAGCGGAAGCTCTGATGCAATATGTCGTTACATAGTGTTCAATTGACTGAGTTTGCATCTGATGTCTTTGTCTTCCGTCCATCGAAATTTTCGCGGACGTCGTTGCTTGCCGTCTGACTTGGCACTGCTCTTGCTTATCTCTGATCCGCCATCTCATCTCTATCCAATCCCTTTCTCTCTCTACCTCTTTTCTCTAATTCCGGCATCTCGACACGTGGGTGACTGCTGGAGCTTATACATGCGACTATGCAGTTCCTCCGCCTCAGCAGAAAGTCATGATGTCACCACCTATTCAACCCGTCAGATTCGTCAATCTCACATACAGACTCTACGCGGTCAGCGTCTTGATATTGATCTGGCTATCCGCTGTTTGATCCATAATCTTTGAACCGAAATTCCGATGGACGAACATTCCCGTGACAACAACGGGGATCATGATATTTATATGTTGCCATTTCCCCTCCGGCTAGATCTTCAAACCCTTCGACTTCCACCACCTCCTGCCTCACCTCCTGTTAGATGTGCTCCCGTAACCGCTCCTGGCGTTGTGTCTGTTGGTGAAACATTGTGTTGTCTGCGGGACTGGGTGGGGCCCTGGCATCATCCTCCAAACCAGGCTACCGCTTGTTGACCAATGCCACCCCTTATGACGTCTGCAAGACAAGCGTGTCCCAAGAATTGTCTCGTCACGGACTCAAATATCTCGACTCTCAAATTCTTCTAATGTCATCTGCCATGGTAAACGTAGCGCTACTTTCATGGACGGAGGGACGGGAGAGACGGAGAAGAAAGTGGGGATTGGTTATCCTGTGGCTAGTATTTCGGCCCAGGTGTTTGTCAGGCTGCGTAGGAAGCCCCGAACATGAGATTTTGCTCAGCCCCCGTTTACGCCAAGACGAGGCGATGCGGTCGGGGTTTGGCGGGAATGAGGGTCGAAAGGTAGTTATGATGTTGTGCACAAGCGTTCTGGGGCTTTGGTGAGTGGTAGCATAGGAGATAGGCGGAGGATGATGGGATATCTAGGACTTATTGCAGCTGTTCGTCCTCTTGACATCAAGAAAAGTGCATTGGCTTTGAGCCGTTGACAAAGTGAATTTAAGGCAGCAGAGTGAATCAACGCTAGCGTCTATGGCAACACTACAATGAAGTGTCGTTCACTGAAGTTCATTTTCTTCGTGGATCTTTCTTAAGCTCACTATAACATACGTCTAGTACTCCTAGAAGCTTTATAAGTATCGGATCTTCAACCAGATTTGTCCCTCATTTGCACGAGCCATGGAGGCTATGGTGGCTGGGTATGGTCCTAGTGTTTTCGGAGCGCAAGACATGGCATTTGTCAGGAGCATTTCATGGCATGTATCGTGCAAGGCGGGCTTCCGACTCGATCTATGGAAGCCGCAGAATCATGAAACAATCGTCTCGGAGCTCGAAGACGGAATCTTCACCGAGCTATTCACGGAGAAATACAAGCGCGAAGGATTGATAAAGCACGCCTATTACTTTGGCGCGCTCGCATTGCGGCTCGGTGTCAAAATTGGGGACGAGGACTTGAAGACCTTCAAAGCAATCCTCAAGCGCCGTTTCCCAGGTGTGGAGGAGGTCAAGATGCAGATCAAGAAAGCCTTCGAAGCATACAAGAATGACGGAACACCGTGGGTTTTTGACGATGCGGGGCAGCTTGAAGCAGCGAAGCAACAGGCCGCTAGTAAGGATGATGGCAACGTTGATGGTAAGCTGCCCGCATTGAAATGGTGTAAAACCAAGCTAACCGCCGTGAAAAGCTATTGGTAAGACAGACGGTCACGATGAGCGCGCGGTGAGTAGCAAAAGCAAAGGGAAAACTACCGCGAAGAAGAGAAAAGCAACTGCGGACCCTGTGGAGGAGTCCTCTGGGAATAGTGCTCCTGGTAACACCGCCAACACCGATGCATTCTATTCTGATAAGCTAATGAAAGACCCTCCAGGACCTCGCAAGCGTCTCAAGGTCGATGACATGGCTGCAGCAGAAGTGTACGAGCTCTTGCATCTTTTGTACGGCCGCTTAGCAGAGATTGAAAAGGCCGAGAAGGACATGGGAGATACAGAAGTAGTGGAGGCATGAAGGAGATCGCTCATGACCGGGAGACTAGCAACCTCAATTTGTGGTATGGGTGCCCATTACTCAGTGACGAAGCAAGGCGATAAAACGGCACATGATGTACAAGGCAGTAAGGGTACAGTTAAAGAGCTGTCATGAGATCTCACTCTCACACCATTGCAAGAGAGAATTGAAGAGACAGACGTCTTACCATAAAAACATTCGCCAAGGCTCAGTCACGTGTTTTCGAGCCAGCCCGCGTGCCTGATTGCGTCATCGACATCGCGATCATTCTTGTCAACAGACCCCTTAATCTCATTCCTTCCCCCACTTAACCCTTCCTTTTCTTGCTCCAAACACCACCGTGCCAATCGTCGTCTCATCAACTCTATCACCCACTCTAAACCGCCACATCTTCCCACCCAAAATGCCCAAAGCAGCGCGCACCTCTACGGGCTCCGCCTCCGCGCGAGCAGAACCCTACTCCAAAGACACGTCCAAACGGCACAGCAGCGGCGAAGACAAGGAGAACGTCAACCCGACCTCCAAGGCCTCCAAGTCTGCCTCCAAGGCCTCCAAGTCCTCCAAAAGCGCCGGCCCCTCCACCTCCACCGACTGGCGCACCATCTCCCTCCGCGAAATCAAAGACGAAGTCCCCTGCTACGTCGACGCCAACGTTGCGAGAGCTACAAACAGCCTTCATGATACGGGCATGGATGCCTGCCACTGAGCATCTGGCTGCCTTGAGAAGGTCCCTGCAACCTGGCCGCCATTGATCACTGGCTGCTCGTGTTGACTGAGTCATCTTGAGTCTCCTAAACAGCAGACTCTAAATGTCATTTTGGGGCATCTCTGAGTGCTTTGGACAAGTGGAAGCCTGTGTGTTGCGAGGATGAATTGCCGCTGCGGCCTCCCGCGTATTCGCATGTCAAGCCGACGGGGTACACAGCTACCCAAAATTTCTGCTCTTGGCTTTTTTCAACCCCGCGTTTCTTGCCCCTCATCAGTTGCAAAAACTTACGTGCTCTAGAGTATTGCTCAGGCGGCAATTTCGAAGTCACAAAACAAGACAAGGGGCTTTGTGAGAAGAATGCTCGGAGACGATTCGCCTGACACGAGACCTTCATACTCTACAAATCTTGAACGAGACGACCAAGGGCAAAAATCTGCAGTCAATCCCGCCTGCGATCCTTCGGTAAAAGAGGAGCAGACTTGTGTCGACCACGTCCAGCAGGGGACGTCACTCATGGCGGGCTCTACCGCTGAATCGAATCCATCACTCGCAGTTGTAGAGAAGAAGTTGGCGTCCGCGACCATGGACAGTAACATCAATGAAGCCTTCTGCCACCTTCTTGATGAGATCACCGAAGCGGCTCATCAATCAATCTTCGATAGGAATCTACACAGCTGGGTAGTTCCGGAAGCTGTGACTTTTACCAACGAAACATCTAGAGACTGTTCTCAAGGCTCTGGACAGGGCAAAGGTTTCCTGGGTCATGAATTAGACGCGGCGGGGCAATTGTTTGTATGTCGCGCTGCCTAAAGTGCTGCCTTGTTCGTTGACATGATTCTTGCTAGGCCTATCAGGTTCTGTGCGACAGTCTGCCAAACTTCGAGTGGTCGAATTGGAAGAGCTCATTGAAGAGATCAGTTTGTGTGCATAAGAGGTTTAACAACATGAACGAGGATCTTGATAGCGACATTACAGACATTATCTACGATGACTCCAAGTCTAGATTTGATGGTCTCACAGAGACATTCGTCTTCCACGGTTTACTACCTTTGGAATTTGGTCATGTCCGCACGAAGCCCACATATTTCATCGATGTCCAAACAACGCTTGATGGGCAGGAGGAATCTTTCATGATGAGCGCGAGTCAAGTAGAGATGGTAAGCCGCCGAAACGATGCGCGAGAAGTGAGTGACACTATTTCTGTAGATGAACAAGATGACAATGCCTGCCGAGGCCGATAAGGCTCGGACTATCTATGTGATTGCAAGAATCTACAAGCTCGGCCAAAAGGGGATGGGAATGGAGCTAATCGTTGATCCTCAAACAGCCCTGGAGCAGGGGGAACTCCACATTGAGCCAGACAGATACAAGGTCACTCTTGGAAAACGGCGGCTTCCGGATGATGCGAAACGCTTGATACCAGAAAATGCCTTCGCGCCATCTGACTCTACCTCTAATTTTCGGAGCACCAGCCCAGAAATGATTGCAACAAGTGGGCGGGAGGTGGAAAACGACAGGATCATGGAAGCCTCACCAAGCATCTTGACGGGTCCGTCACACACTCAACAATACTCGCCACCCCGGCGCATTTCAGGCGAGGAACAAACAAGAGAGAAAGAAGAGGAGCACAATATGACAGAATCGACGGACGTTCATGCGTCCACTCTTGAAGATTCGCCGCCACTCTTGCTTCCCGGCATAGAGTCGAAAGAAAAAATGGGGGGACGGCGATCATCAGATGACCCGCTGCAACATCCTGGCATCCTCAGTACCAACATTACTAGTCCCAAACCTAACGGAAGCATTGCTGACGGTCTGATCGAAGAGACCTTGCACCTTCAAGACACGAACTCAGATAGCGGACACAGAGACCAAAACAACCGCCCTTTCAGCATATTCTCCAGCGCAAAGTCGGCCGGTGCAGGGGCCTTATCCATTCCAGGTAGCGAGATCCAGAAGTCTCCAATTGAGTGGCCTACCTCCGAGCTCCCAAAAGGCTTCCGATTTCCGGCCGATGAGTCAGTACCTAAAACCTCTGCTGAAGACACTAGCAAATCCCTCGACCTGCTGAAAGACGGAGCAAAAGATGCCGCTCTTCTGTACCAACTGTCAGATGACCCACTCATGACCTCGTCATCATCTCAATTTCCCTTCGCAAAACCACACCCCTCTCAAGCCGCTTTTGTTTCTGAAACGTCCCTGTCTAATCCGCAACCAGGGAATCCAACGTTTAACACCGCTACTCATACCCAATTTCTATCGTACTTAGAATACGACAATCATGTAGATATAATACGACAGTACCAGAGCACCGGCTTTACACCGCCAGAATCATTCTGGTCTTTTGAAGAAATAAGAATTGGGGCATACAATGGAGTAACAAAGGTTGATTGGCCTCTGTACCATGAGGACTTCCAGTGCATCGGCTTCGGACCTCCGTATGAGGGATTGTCGTTTGAGGAAGTGCGGTTGCAGCATTATCTTCAGGCGAAAGAGCCGAGGGACTATCAATCGGACGACGACAATTGGGATGCTGCGCTTTGCGAAGGTTAGGAGGTCGGTGGGTAATGGCAGTCTTTAGGCGACCTTAGGCTTCGTAGCCCCACAAGCTTCGGAAGAGGATAAGGCTGGCCTGCACAATCAGCCTATAAGGGTGACCATCTTGGAAGCAGAGATATTCCTGTGAGTTAGGGGCCTTAGCGGTAGGATGAATGATTCGCTGTCCAGTCTTCTCTAGCTCACATCCTCATATCTTGAAGTATCTGCATGTGTAATACTTGGATCTTCAAGTCCACTGCCTCTTCTTGTTGCATGGATCCTGGCCGCTGCCAGACGATGTTGGAGGCTTCTCTGGCACGAAGTCCCACTTACGACGCAAAGGCCGCGTTCACAGGACTTGTGAGCGAATTATGGCAGGCTAGTGATGAAACATCAGCCACGGCGGTAAATAAAACATGGGCTTGGGGGCCGGCACTGATGTTTCCATGGACACGAATGGCCCGGGAGGGCCCTCAACCTAGATGCAACGTACATTAGCGTCAGCCTCGTCGATCTGAGATATTTTTTCGCGGTCGTTACAACCCACGCAGCATAGGATCTAGGCCAGATATGGCACATCGTTTGATCCCTGAGCTTTTCTTAGTACGGCCTAGTCTGGATGTGGCTGGATCTGACGAAGTACTCTTTTGCCTTGCCTTGTGGCCTACCAAACCTGCGACATCATCGACTGCTGAATGCCTCTAAACTTGCTCGCGCGCCTGGACAAGGCTGTGACTATTGGGGGCAGGAGCAGCTATTGCTCCGATATTGATTTAAAGAAGCCATCTAGTCTTCATTCAAGGATTATGACCCTCTCATAGCCTCGTATTCGTCCGTTCTCGAGGCACTGTGAAGAACATTGTCATGGATTGAAAGTATAATCGGTCACCTTGAAGTCACGGCGTTATGGACCCTACGTTCAGACCATAGTCGAGACCGAAATCAAGCCCAGCTCAGCAGCAATACACCGCAGGGGACCATGGAAAACACCATTGACCCCAAAATCATTGATTACTTTAATTCTATCCAGCTATCACCAAGTCTGATCTCGCTTGATCTCGCGTATGAAACTACCTCCATAACTCTGCGGCCTCGGACTGCTACATTCGCGTCTGCCCCCAGCCCGCCACTTACGCCTGCCAAACCTGTAGGACATGGTCTTCCCGAGAAAGATCAAAGTCGTGGCGATTTTCTGGAGCTGTTGGACGACATTCTACGGGCAGTGGAAAAGGCTTATCCCACGGGTTCCTTCTCCACGTGGCTCGCTCCCTCGTTGACAGTGGCCAGCCTTCCTTGTTTCCTTACGGAATCCACGAATTTTGAACAATTGGACGCGGTTTGCAGCCCATACGGTACCCATCAGGAGGTAGCAGGACAGCTTTTTGTAAGTCAGCTCGATCGATCAAGATCGAAAGACTAATTGTCTCGGCACTCAGGCGTATAGTTATCTTTGCCGAAGAGTGCCCAACTTCAGCTGGTCCAGTTGGAAGAGCAAGATGAAAATTCCCGCTATGAGACATCCTCGATTCTCGGGCATGAGTCGGTCAATAGACCTTGCACCTTCACACATGGTATACTACGATCCTGATGGTAGCTTTTTCAACGGCAGTCCAGGACAGACTTATTTCATAGACGTACAGACGACTTCGCTGGACGTAGATGCTTTTCTGGAGTTGAGCGCAGATCAAGTAAAGAAGGTACGCCTCTCCTCCTTGCTTGCTCCTTGCGCCGAAAGAAATTGAGCATATCAGATGGAGGAGATGACTTCCATGAGCTGGAGGCCATCTACAATCATCTATGTGATCATACGCGTATTCCGATTTGGGTTAGAAGGGATGGGCTGTCAAGAGTTCATCGACCCTTTCCAACGTCAGGAGGTCGAACAGCTGTTTAATTCAGGAAAGGACGAGACTTTGAAACCTCAGACTCTCCCTCTAAACCAAGAGCTATTACTGGCGAGCGATTCAAAAGGCTCGGGCCCTGCGTCGAAGCGAGAACCATCGTCTAGCAAATTAATACCTTTAGATGATCAACGATTGGAAAATGACGACGAATCAGAAGACGAAGTCTCAATTAGACGTCACTCATGCTCTAATTGCAGAACGCAGACAGTCATTACAAATCCGACGACGAACGAAGATTTGGTATTCAGATTGCCTTCCGACCAGGGAGCGATGCAGGACACGTTTCAACAGGTCCGCGAGATGCACGCCCTTTCTGCTCCAGATATATCATCTCAGCAGGACTCTACGACAGAAACTGAGATTGAGGGTTTAGTCTCGGATTTGGAAGCGATGACAGTGAATGTTGTGCCTCCGGAGACTTCGCGAATCCAAGAGGAGCGTAAAAGTATTCAATTCAACGCAATTTGGAGCAAAGCTGAACAAGCTGTGCCATCACGATCTACCAGCAACGCATATCTGACTCCGGCTCGAAACGCGCAACATAACTCTCCAGGAACTTCACCAAGAACCTCCGGGAACACTCCATCAACCACAGCCACAACGCCCGCCACATCGAACACTACTACAACTGATCGAACGCTTTCTTCCCAATCCTCCATTCAGTCGACACAACTATTCGATTCTCGGCCAATCTACAACCGCATCTTTGAATCCATCCGCAGCAAATCAGCTCTCAGACCTTACGCATCCCCCTCATCACCATCATCACCAGAGTTTTTTTCATTTCCACCATCCCCATCCTCATCCCCATCCCGCTCACCATCACCAGTCTTTCTTTCATTCCCACCGTCTCCATCGCTATCGCCATCGCCATCGCCATCGCCATCTCCGCCCCCATCGCCATCCCCACCCCCTTCCCCATCTCCACCCCCATCGCTATCGCCATCGCCATCGCCATCCCCACCCCCTTCCCCATCACCAGCCCCACCCCTCCGCAACACAAAACCCAACCTCCCACTCTCCCTCCCACATATCCCACCTCCAACCATCCCAACAGACACGACACACAGTCCTTTCAACATCCCCTCATCGTCTCCACCCCTACACCCCCAACAACAAGAAGCCCAGCCTCAACCCAAAGACATCGAACGCGCCGTCGTGAAGATGAGAAGATACTCCCACCCCGAGCGATCACGGCCTCCGCTGTTTGGCTGTGGGGAAGAGGAGGGGTGGGAGGGAGAGGAGGGTTTTTGCGTGCAGAATCCTGAGATGCTGCGGTACCAGCGATTCGACGAGTGGGGCTGGGAGTGGGAGGGGGGGATGCTGCGATTTGCGAGGGTGGGGATGGCGGGGAGGTGGAGGACAGGAGGGAAAGGAGTCGAGGGAGGCGAGGAAGCTGGTAAGAAAAAGATTCAGCCCGTAGGTGTTGGGAGTGGGAGGGGGAGGGGGGAGGGGGAGGGGGAAGGGGGAGGTCGATGTATATGATGGATGGATGTATGATAAACGAAACGTCTGTTACGAAGTTATATGGGGAGTCAATCGGACTATTTGTGTTTTCTAGCCCGGAATTAATTGTTTTGGGTCCTGTGAAATGGAGATGTAAGTCTGATAGGGTATGCCGTTTTAGAATGTTGCCTCTTGGGGCTTCTTTTTAGTAATGGTTCTTGATCCGTGGCAGAAGCTTCGTTGTCGTGTAGAAGACGAGCAGATCTTGTATTTTGACTGATTTGTGGTCATGTTCAGGCGCCAGGGAAGAGCTGTAATATAGGAAGCTGGTGCCATGGAAGTCTCTTGACCAGGTTTTCAAAGGTTTTGGAACTAGCTTCGCCCGTTGCTCCCTTTTGTTCATGGAGAGTAATACTTTCATAATTGAAAGAGAGTTTGTATGGCTGAATAGAAGTGCCAGAAGAGGTGAAAGACTCTACTCATTAGAAACCCAAATATCGTGCCTCCACATACATCCATATCTCATGTCATGCCTGGAAATGACACTCCGGTGTTTCTCACGGACAGTGAAAGAATACTCAAGTCCGCCACGAGACTGTTATCATCACCCCACATCCAAATTGATCGTATAGTTGAAGAGAATACGTCGGTAATGGCGGATTCTCCGACTGACTCCTTCGCGTCCGCTCCTGAGTTGTCACTTGCGTCTACCGAGCTACCGACGCATGTTTCTTTCTCAAATAATAAAAAAGACATGAATTCCTCTGACTCTCAACAAAAATCGTCATTAGAACCTACTGTGGGACTTTCGAGGAAGATTTAAGGCTCGAGTCATGTTACCTATTCAATCCTTTCAAAGCTGAAAAGGGCTTTGGTAAACACGTCAATGCTTCGGCGAAGTTGATGACAGGCAGACCATGTAGCATCAAAAGGGCATCACCATCATTACATCTCGCTCATCCCACCTTCCTGCATCTCACATCCCCTCTCCAAGCACCACCAAAACCAACCACCCTCTCAAAGCTCCACGGGCCCCACCTTCCCCCCCTCCCCAAAAATCGGCTCATTGATCATCCCCAACCTCAAAGCCCAATCATCCCTCCCGGTCTCCCTAACCAACTCCTCCGCCAAATCCTTCCTTCTCTCATACCTCTTCTCCCCGACAACGCTCAACCCACACCCATGCATCTCCCACCTCCCCCCTCCCCTCCCCTCCCTCCCCACCCTCTCCTTTCTCCCCACCATCCAACCTCTCCACCCCACCACCCCCGCACTCCCCAGCACCAAAGCCCCCAAAACACCCTTCCCCCCTCCGTCCCCTCAAACCCCACCACCACAGCCAGATACACACACACCTTCGCCACGGCGTCCACACACCCCTCGCCCGGCGACAGATCCCGCATCCAACACCCGGACGTCACGGCTTTCAGCGCATCCACCTGGCCGCGCAAACGTACCCAGCGGTCTTGACTCAGCAGCACCAACAGATCCCCTTGAACACCCGGTTCGGACGCGCCGTGCCAGCCCCGCCCCTGCCCCTGGATTCGGCGACGGAAGAGGAGGGCGTTGAGAGTGCGCGCGAGGATGAGGAGGGATATCGCACCCAGCGCCATCCAATCTCCACAGCGTACCAAGACGGCGATGGCGAGGATCGTCAACGTCGGCGGGACCGCCCCCATCCCCCCCATGTCCCCCATCCCTGAAGTTTGTCGTGCATTTCTGGCTTCTGTGGGCAGGGGAGGAGGGTGTACGGCAACAGTAACAAGCCTCCCCGTGACGCCTACGCGCTGGAGGTAGGCGACGGTGGCGGCGTTTTCGACGCGGAAGACGTAGCCGGATGTCATGGCTGCGCAGGCGGGGGTTTCGTTGCCGTGCTGAGGGTTGGAGAGGGTGGGTTGGTGGGTTGCGATGCCGGGGGTGAGGGTGAGGAGGGTGAGGAGGGTAAGAATGGAGGTGGTGTGGTTGAGGGGGTGGGGAAGGGGGGGAAGGGGGTGAGGGGAACGAGGAGGAGGAGGGGCGTTGCGTGAAGGTTGAGGGGGAAGGGGAGGGGGAGGGGAGACATGATGGGTGAGGTTAGTGGTGACGGGGTTGGGGAGAGGGAAAATGGGGGGCTAGGATTTGTGTTTAGGAGGGAGAGAAGGCGGTTAAGTCGGTTTGCGGAGCGGGACCGGCGGAGAGAGGGTGCGTAGGAAGGTGGGTGTTGGGAGCTTGAGGTTTATAGATAGTGGGATGGTCGGGAAGGCGTGAATTTTGTACTTGAGCCGAGGGTAGTTGGTGTTGAGCAATGTAGAGCGATCGAGTGGATGCGTTATGAGTTGACTTGCTCGACATGGGGTCTTGATCATCATCAAGACGACGAGGTGCCTGGGCGAAGACCGGTTGAGTCAGCCAAGCCACGAGTCAGCCAATCAGAAGCCGGGCAGCTATGATAAGGGGCTCTTCTACCTCTACTCTTAGATGGGTCTCATTAAAGGTCGATTCTAAAGGGAATGTGGCACGCAAATCTTAATCTGCGAAAGCCCATGATGAGAGGTTAACAAAATCGTTGGATTATGCTGAAGTTAAGCTTCAAAAGAACTTTTTACCCAGAGGGTAGCGAACGGCACGATGAGCAAGACCAAGCTCCCAATCTAACAGCATATATCCAATCTGTACCTCCCACCCCTCTTTCTAACCCACTCCATCACACAACACCACTCCAAAGCACATCCTCCCTCCCCACACCGCCCATCCCTTCCCCTATGACCTCTCTCAAAATCATTATCAGCTCCTTCACATCCTTCGACAACCCATTATACCTCCCCCAGCCTTCCTCACTCCCCCAACGCCACCTTGTGATACCTCATCCGCACTCTCCAACAACACCTCCGCGCAGCACAAGCAGTACTGACCCGGCCGCGTCTCTGGGCCATGGTAGCGATCACTAACCTTATCGACGATGTTAGCGCACAAGTTGTAGAATTTGAACATGTTGATCCTTGCGAGAGGAAATTGACCGCTGAGCGCGGGTGTAATGAGGGTGGAGACGTGGTCGAGTGGCGAGCATGTGTCGCTACCTGGTGCCGACGAGGTGGAGCTGGGGTTGGGGCTAAGACTACCGTCGCTGCTACTGGGACGCGAGCTCTCTCGGCTGGTAGGTCGGGATGATGATGGGCTAGTCGCAGGTATACTGAGCCCTGCTATCTTCCTCTCCATATGCGAAGTTGTGGGGGAGGTCATCATCTGCGCCACAGATTTATCGCTAAGATTCCACCCGCGCTCTTTGAGCCGGAAAAGGAAACATAGCCTGCCGGTGTCAAACCGCGCGTCTTCCCTGTCTGTGAAGCCCGCCGTCGCCTTCGCAGTATGAGGTGGTATGATCAACTCGTGACAGCCCGTCTTATGCACTGATTTCTTCGAATGGAAGTGCAGCCGGCCGCCCAAGTAGCGTAGGTAGCCGACCTTGAAGTTACGCGTCGGCCGTCCACCGGGGAAGAAGAGGTCGCTGAATGTGGCGCTCATGTCCTCAAGCACTTCGATGGGTTCGAAATCGGTCATTTGACGGAGCGCATTGTACATGTGTATGACGGAGCCGACATAGCGGCGGTAGGCGAAGAGACGGAGACCGTAGTAGTGCAGGATGTGCAGCATTTCGACGATGTGGGACCCGCACACCCACGGCGACTGGAAGAATAGATCGAATTGCTTGAGTTTGAGGTAGTATGTGAAATCGAGCTTAACGTTTTCGAGGTGGTAGGCCAGGGTGCCGTGGCAGCGGCAGGGCATTGTCGGACTGTCGAGCACGGCATCGATGCTGGGGAGTGCGGCCTGGGCGAATTTCAGTGCTTGCAGGCGGCAGAGCGATGCAGGTTTTGGAGCGATCTTGAATGCGTAGGTCTTGTAGGATTCGAGAAGCATGTGCAAGCCGAGAGAGCCGTGCAGGCTTTGGGATTGTTCGTTTGTGTGCGTGAGCATGAAGCCCACTTCAGCGTAGACGGGTGTGCCGAGTCGAATCACGTTGTTAATTTGACGTTTGTCAGTCAAGCAGTGGACAATGTTCCGGAGCAGCACTTTGCGGCATTCGCAGTCGATGGCGGCTGATGTACCGCCGTTGGCGAGTGTGATGGAAAATGAGCCTTGGTTGGTGAGAATGTCCTGTTCAAAGCCATTTTTGAGGCTGTGGTATTTCAGTTTGAGTAAGTTCTGCCAGCAATCATCTAAGCCTGTAGTCAGATTGTTTGACAGTAGACTTGACTCATCCGGAGACATGGACGCGTGAAAGGCCTCGTTGGCTTGATTGCAGATCCGATGTAACTCGGCGGGATCAATTATTTGACACGACAGCGCCAATCTGTTCTCAATATCCCCGCATGCAGTATAAGCGGCACTGGACAGTACAGCGGCGGCAACCACGCTCAGTTCACCTCGAGCTGCCTCATCCCATATGCTGTGTATCTTGTTCAATAAAGTCACCAATTCCTACAGATGTCTGTCTCAGCGGCAGTCAGCAAACTTTGGGATGTTTATTCGCCATACATTGACCAATTGACAGGCCTCAAAAGCCACCCCGAGGTGATCCTCTGCAATGATAGGACTACAATTGAGATCCACTGGACGAGCAGATTCAGCGCAGGCCTCAGCAGGCTGACGAGAGTCTTCGGATTCGGGAAGGATCTCGCGATCATCTTCATCCTCATCAACGCAATCTGCGACAAGCGCACTGTACCGGCAATTGTTCAAGTCCGCAACAGACGTATGATCGCAATTTTGGTGAACGCAGGCATCCTTTGGTCGAGCACAGCATTCGCAGAGATCTGCATACATCTTTTGCAGGCTTCGGTGAGCCAAGCAAGTCAATCATATTGCGCGAAGGTTTCGCAGCCCTGAGGCTTACCTATTGGTAAAGAACTCATGATCTTCGGTTCGTGTAAATCGCTGGCTCTGGTCGATGCCACTCCGGAAGACCTTGCTCAGCCGTGATCTGGCTGCAATAGCTTGCCGGAATTGGAAACCGATGACGTCGGGCATCTCGACGGCTTTAGTTCGGATGTAATCCGCCAATTTACGGAGGTCTTTGATGGAGAGCCGCTGAGAGGCTTTGTATCTGCTGGGTCCATGGCTGACAAGCCAGGCAATGATGGCGCGGGTGTCCTGCTTGTACTGGACGTACACATCCTGCAGGCCAGAGGGGAGTCGCGCCTCGTGGTAATCTTGTACGGCCATGAATAGCATTGTGGCTTGAATCTGCACTTCTCGCTTAATCTTTTTTCTCAGGACGATGAAGAGTGAGGAGGCCCGAGTATATGTGCTAGCCTTATCGCGATTGTGTTGCTAGAGCCTCCACGCCGCAAGGGTACACAGCACGTCATTGCGGAGGTCGCACGCAAATCTGAATGTACAACCGTTAGCCCACAAAGCTTATAGGGCGTCCTTCGTCTTAAGGGTCGAAGGTCTCTGAACGCCGACCAATGGGGCACAGCTGCCAAAGTGTGGGATGGCGCTTTCTGGGAACTGCAGGTGGTATTGGACGTCAGGATTTGATGCGGCCGGTCGTGGAGCTCAACGTTGAGCCAATTTCGTTGCTTAGCCCCGCATTATTCTGTTGCAAGGGTCCAACGGTTCCGTTTCTCCGTTGGATTTGTCATGTGTATCGTGCTCTTCGACGATCTGCTCCGCTTCCCCACAATGGACCCTTTGTTGAAAACTTGCAAGGGTACCTGTGCAATCATTCAGACCTCACGCCAGCAAGTCAAGTCTTTGACCACCGAGAGCAGTCTTGTACGACCCTGTAGGTGAATGAGTGCATCTAACTCATTTTGCTCTTGCCTTTCAGCAACCCGCTGATCTTCCGACAACCCCTGCGTACGGGCACAACTGACAGTCTTAGTCATCTGAGATGCCTGGTTTTGTAAATGATCTGATGCCTGTGACTCCTGCCAAATATCTTCATGCTCTGAGATGTCTTCTCTGACAGCTTATTTAATGCACGACTACTACCGACCGCCATGGCGTCTTCCGCAGGTGTTATACACATCTTTGAACAACGAGTAGGAAGCCCATCCTAGCCCTGCATATCTGAGTTTCTCTGCATTTTACTTCTCACTCCCTTTCGACTAGGCAATGCTCTTGACATCAGCGATTCTCTTGGGAGGGTCGAGACAGCCGAGCAGAGCTCGTGCTGTGCTAGTAGGAAGGGTAAAGACTCGGCATGGTAGGTTTGGTCGACATGAGGGAAGAGGTGGAGGGAGCGTAAGGAGCCTATTGTGCATACGGTACTGGTGCTGCACTTGCGATTATCAATGGAGAAGGTGCCTTGTCAGACCTTGAAGGTCGAGAAAAGCCTTCAAGATCAATTTCAAACTTGGGGTAGCTTTAGTGGCGACGGCTGCTTACCATTCTATGCAAATAAGTATCATTGATGATGGTCAGCCCTGATGAAGAATCCAGAGCTGTAGGAGCGCAGTTGTTTAGAATCAGTCGTTAAGCGGGCCTTCGGATGCCAAGTCAGTCCTACCCTAATGAGAAATCTCAATATGTCGCATCCGAAAGAAATCTCGTACACAAAGCGCCATTTTCTACGTTGAGTGTGATTTGTGGTCTGCGATTCCTATCTCTTCTTAATATGTGCATAGATAGCTCAATACTTTGACCTTTTCACGTATCTTCTGATCATGCTTCGTTAGGATGTACCACGACGCTTGCATGAACACAATCCAGCATACAAGATGACTCCGCATGATATACATTCTAATCCACAACACATCTCCATAACCTCCTACCCCGCCTAGAGTCCATCAATACAACTCACCATGACATCAAATACTGGCCAGCCCACCCCCATTCACCGCTTACCCCCGGAGCTTCGCATGGAAATTTATCATCATGTAATTTCCAATCACTTTCAGCCCGTCATCATATATCATCCGAATCAAAACTTCCGTACGATAATGCTACAGACTCAGCCCCCGGTGAGAATTTTTCCATTGATTTGCAAGAAATCAGAGCCTGTCATCCCTCTATTGAAGCTTGACCTATTGTTCTACACGGAAGTCCTGCCTCTCATACTCTCCCGCATACCCTTCTTCTTCGCCTCACTGGAACCAATCCGTCAATTGTCACCTCATGAACGCCAAGGAATAGCTTCGTCGTGTCTCAGAATTATCAATCGAGTATCGTCGTCGACATTTTTCACGGTCGCGTGGCAGCCACAACCACTTTATGCGCTACCACGGCACTACAATCGATGTATTAGGGACATCCGGCGACAGGTATTGAAGACTTTGACACTACTTCCAAGTCTACAGAGATTGAAGGTCCACATTGATCTCGACCATAGACTTGGCATGCAGACTGGACAAGAATCCGTTCGGCAAGACATCATAGACTGCCTACGACCTCTGAATGATATCGCACAAGTTGCGGTACGCATTGAGAATGCTAGACACTGGCCATCGAACCTCCTAAACGGAGAGCTCAGGAATCGCTTCGGTAATACTCGAATGACAGCGGAGGTCCGTGGCGCGAACATGCATTGGACAGTCATGCCTTCTTAGACTACATATTGACAACGATACGAGGGTTGCAAGCGATCGCATCTATGTCAACACGCTTCCTTCTAGTCAGAACTACATATGTATGAAGCTTGGCCTGGGAATAAACGAATCGTTATTGTCAAAGCTCTGGAGTTTACTTCGGCATTGTGACAGGGACTCCTTCACAGTCGTTATCCAAATTGTCTTGTGTGATCGTCATCACAGCTCATGCGTCATTTTCAGCGTCATCATTCACTTCATCCGCTTTTCGCATCTACATTAAGATGTGGCAACGACCCCGCTACCTATTGTCACAGGGTCACAACCGGCAGCTTGCACTGACTATGCCTGGTCATCTGGCAATTTTCTAGGAGTCATCACGAATCAGACCGTGTTTGGGGATCCGAAGTGTCTTGAAAGCATTCGCTTGTGAAATGATCTGCACCCTCCGTAAATGCGGAGAAGCGCTCGCGTCGAAAAACCGCAAATAGACCTCCTTGTCGCTAGAACCATCAAATCGCGTTTCAAACCAACACTGGAGCTCAGCATGGATGCTGTGCATTGCGCTTGTCGCAATCACCCTTATTTTGAACATGAATGATCCCATAATTCGGTGAGCTTACATATCATGGGAAGATTTCCGACAGAATGACCTATCTTTTGACAAAGAGAATCCTCATGTCTTGCCTTGATAATGCGAGACAGTCGGGTTTCACCCAAATCATGGGTTACATATATACCACGCGACGATTGACTCGTATCGAAATCCATCCTCATTTCTTCCCTGTATTTGGTGAGATGACTTCTTAGCCATTGCCATAGATTTTCCCCCTTGTCCGATAAAAACTGGTTTTGAAGCAACACTATCAAGAAATAATCTCGAAATGAAGTCAAATCTTCTTATCCAGCTGCTTGCATTTGGATTCTCGGCTCTGAAATGCACGTATGCCAGCCCCTTCAGTTTTCTCAACAGTAGGGAAGCTCCCATTCCCAAGAGAGACGACACCATATTTTCGTTGGTAAGACGTCAGAACGTCTCGGCAACGATCGATTGCAACAAACCACCGACCGGGTTAGGTAGTGACTGCTGGGCTGTACTGGACCTGACACAGTATCTTGACGACTGGGTCACGTCACATACCTGCAACAACGGTGAAACATTTTCAGCCTGCTTTCTGCGTCTCACTGGATACAAGGCCACTACTCCACCGAATCCTGCGATCGCCACTGACGCTAAAGCATTTTATGTAGCGTACAATATCTACTGTAGGTCTTTTTCATTGATTGGGGAATCAACACTGACATCATGTTAGCTATCACCACCTTCTTTCAAAGATGGACTCTCGGAGTGCGTGATGCAAGCACAGCTGTCAACGCCAACATTCCCAAGATACTGGAAATTCTGGAGTATCCCGGACTGAAGTCTGCGCTAACATCTGGTTTGGCAAGCCTCGCGCAGCAGACTGAAAACAACTTGCAAGTGACGAACGACGCGCTATTGTCGAATGTAACCGACTTTGAAGCATTCGCATCACATGGAAACTTCAGCACCGCACCATCACCCGTCGCCGACATAACCAAATATCTCACTTTCGCCTTCAACACGTACATCGCATCCGATGCCCTCAACACCAACAACATCCTCGCCATCGTTGCTCGCGATACCAACCCAGTAGCCCTAGCATCGAACGGCACGCAGCTCGCCTACCCGCTCGACTGCAAAAGCTACAATGCGCAAAACGTCTGCGACGCATGGTTCTACAGCGAAAACTACCGATCAGCATTCACGCTCGACAACTTCCACAACCAAGGGGAAAACTACGGCCCCCGACTGACCGAGTTATTCAAGACCTACACAACAGGCGAGCTGCTCTTCGAAAGCGCATATGCCTGCAACAGAACGGGTGGAACTGAGTCCCCGATCGCCGGTATAAATATCACGGTCAGTGCGGCGGGTGTTAATACCGCTTGTATCACTCAACTCAGGGTGCTCTCTTGGGATAAGCATTGTCATGCTACGGTGCCAGATACTAGCGGAATAAATTGCGAGTTCAATGAACAGTTTGCACAGCAGGATTTTTGGCTGATAAAGGATGGGGAGAGGGTTGTGCCGGCTGGGTATTTGGGACCTGCTATCAACAGGAAGACGGCTTCGGCGCCTATCACGAGAGATTAGGAAGAGATTCGTGGTATACAGGGGTCATGCAGGTTTGTGCACTGGTGAATTGGGTCTCTAAGTGGTATTTGAAGGGAGATTGGCTAGACAGTGGGGCTTCCCGGCAGATTGTAGATTTCGCATATGTTGCGCTTCCTTCTTGATTGAACTTCTCCATTGGCCGTTGCACCGCCATGAGTAACTGTAAGACTTTCAGCAAGAAGACCCTAGGGGGAGTGGGGTAAAGCACATTTGCCACGGAGAATAAAGACCCCCGCAGTCCAACCCATAGAGTAAAAAAGAATTTGCAACGAGACTGCGATCGGAAAGGAACATGGGAATTCGAGCGTAAAATCACGTGTTGAGGTGCTCCCCACCTTTTTAAGTCCTTCCATACGTGACTCGCTCCATCGGAGTTGTTTAATTGCAGCGCTGCCTATTGAATTGATATACCACATCAACCGCATTGCGGTTTGTTACTCTCATCGAGAAGATCATCTTCAGATGCCCCCTCAATGCGATTTAATGATCATGCTTGCCCTTTTCGGAACCAGAGCATACAGTGTTGCCCGCATGCCCACATGCCAATACAAGCTTAAATGTCACATACCTCAGATTCTGACTAGATTGCTCTCTGGAACCGAGTATGCTCAATACATATCTTAATCCTGTTATCGCTAATGGAGATCGAGTAGATCCGATAATTTTGATCTATCGCAGATGGTAATGAGCATCATCCTTTCTCATATCTGAAGTTGGGCATACAGATTACCTGAGAAGTAATATCGGTAGAGCTAATTTTTAGAACATAAGCTGGAGCCTGCGGTGAAGAGAGCATGTAATGTGATTTGTTGATCTTTCCGCGCCCTCTTGTGATACGACTCTGATATACGTGTTAAAGACCGATGAGTCGGAAGTGAGATTCGGCCGGGCTCTCACCTTGCATCCTTCGGTGGGCCTATGACAGTAGACACGGGAACTGGAGAGTAGATTGAGTAATTTGAACATGGGGAGTATAGCTGGCTCAGATGAGTTACAGCTCCATACAACGTGGCCTGCCTTGAGCTTACGATTCTTCTTGTAATCTATCTGTCCCCCACAACTATCGCAATATACTCGACCCTCTAATCAGGATATACCCGAGAATGGGTCTATTAGTGCGGATCTGTGAATAGCATCCTAGATCTCATGGTAGGTATTTTTAGGCGCGCTTCGAGGGGAAATTTGGAACTCTCTTTGCGCACACATCAGTAGAGGTAAGCGCAAGACTGTCTTGCGAGTATCTATGCACAGACCTTCCTAAATATAAGAGTCTTGACTAGCGACAACGCTTGCGGTCTCTAGTACTTTTGAACCTTGTTGAGTATTCGTAGATTGAAGCCCTTCGATTTGTTGGAACTTTGGTGGAGTAGTCTCTCGGAAACCATAACCGACTATCCGGACCAAGAAACGCCCGACAGAGACGCGGCTTACAAAATGTGATGGCTCTTTCAACGGTAATCATCGTGGTAGTCCTGCTTGTCTCGAAGATCTACAAAGCTACCAGCAGTCCCCTTACTGAAAAACCGGCGACTTGTACGGACTTGACAACATGGGGAACACAACGTACATCTCCGAATACTCACTGCCAATTGGCACTTCAACATTACCAGTCTATAGAAAGCCAGGACTCATACTTTCAAGAGAAAACATTTGTGCTTAATGGTGGTGTTGAGAGAGATGGATCGAAATTAATCACACCAAGGAGATACATAGCTGGTATGTGTCAGACAGTCCTCTTAGCGCTTGGGAAGCTGAGAAGACTCTAGGCAGCTGCACGATCGCGATTGTCATGTTGGCACAATTTGGACCGCAGGACCTGCCGCATTTTGAACATTCAATGCCATATCCTGACAGCGATAGGGAAACCTTTAGCAATTTCGAGAAAGACATAGGACGCACATATAGTATTTGTAGCTTACAAAGTTCTCCCAAATACGGCTGGATACCAGCAGGTGAGTCCATATAAAACATGTCGTTGCTGTTCTGTGAGGCTAACGGTTCGAAGGAGAATTATGGAGCATTGGTGTGTTTCTATTCGAGACAGGGTCGACATTCGATAGCTCAATCCCACCGGGTGTTCGTTATGAATACTCAAAAGGTTGGATAGCAGGTCTCAATATTTCGACCGCAGAGGCGTTCGAGATCCTGTAGAAGTATACGAATGGTAAGGTAAACCATCGTTGTGCTTGACTGTCGTGGCACTTGTAGCTTGTTCTGGAACTCCTCGTTCGAGCCTTTTCCCCCGTCAGATTAGGAGCACTCTTCAGCGAAGGAAATATCAGAATGTGTCTCCTCAGTCTTAGCAATTAATGGGAGCGATAGTGAACAAACTAGAAAACCTGTCTCTAGATACGATCCAGATTGAATGCCAGCTTCCCTGTACAGTGTTCGTCTGGCTTATGCATTCATGAAGTTGTTGTCAATTGATACCGCAGCACCAAGACCGCACCAGTGTGCGAGCGCTTCTTGAGGTTGATAGTCTTCCATCCGAGTATCAAATTATAGGTAGCCCTTTATCTCGGTATGCTCAAATCAGCTGTGACCTCGTGATGATCATTCATGTTTGACCGGTCTCGTCGTACTAAGCGCCCGCATTGAAGCAAGTCAAGGTCACTTGTGATGTTCAAGACCTTTGCAGCCCGTGTTGAACTCTCTGGTTACTCGAAATTGCACACAAATGCCTGTAAGCAAAGATTCTTGCAGTCGTTGTGCAATATTTGGCAAAATCGGGTAATCCACCCGGATTTCAACCACGCTAAACCATGACTAAGCAGTCCCTTGGCAAGCCTGAGTGCCGGGCATTGAATGTGGAAGAAAGACATTCTTGGCGTTTGTCCCTCACGCGTTTTGGCTCCTCTGGCATCACTTACTCCAGTGTCACAGACGCGTTTGCCAATGGCCGCAGCTGCATATGCTAGCCTAGAATCGACAATAAGTTCATCCCTCCGGCCGCAGGGAGTATCGTCCTCAGCGAGCATGACCTCGCCAGCAGCTACCAAACTTCTCAACCTCAGATCACGGGCCCAGCCCCACATCCTCTCTCCCCCTTCTCCGCACGCGAAGAAGTGGACTCCTGAATGATCCGGGTCAATGAAAAGAGCGAGGAGATAAACATTACAATCCAAGTCTGCCACTGCGAGAAGTCAGAAATGGACAGCGTGTCAACGTCGTGCGAGGCTGTGGGGACACTCTCTTTGACCCTGCAGTCGTACAATGGAGGGGCAGTCTAGTGCCGAAGGTGATCGAGGCATGGTACAGAATGGCTGTATGCTCGGTCAGCTTGCCTACCCGCCGCATCTCGCCTTGATCTGAGGACGATGAGTGATGCTGCCCACGCCTTCCAAGACGCATTGTGTACTCCTCACTGTGGGACAGACTGAATGAAGCCTGAGTATCTGCAGCTCTGCCTAAGATTTGATGGTTTAGGCTGTTGCGTCCCTGGTGAAAATTCTGTTGCAAATACGGCGCGTTTAATGATTTACAAGCCACTTGGTTACAAGAATTGCACGTTGTGCAGTGGGCCATCTGAGAATGATCAGAGCGTCACGCCATGATCGCGACTCGGCAAGACCACTCGCTTTGGATGTATCGAGGAGAGAGGCACTCAAGAAATCAAGGAAGTCCTTGAAATGGCTCACCCTACACGATGTATACGATCCTTCTCTAAGGCTCATACTCCCTATGCATTCAAAATGACCCGCATGATACTTAAATCTAGATCTAAGCAGCTCTCTTCAGAATTACTGTAGAACAAGCTACTAGTTAACTCTAGTTTTCAACCACCCTTGAGCCTTGATCGAAATGGATTGGATGTTTCATCCAAGTACTCCTTAGTCGGTGAAAATAGTCGCAGGGTATTGGGGACGCGCGAGACATGGTCTATGTGCTATTTCTGTCGCATCTCAAATTTTCGCAGTCTCCATGCTTATTATGTCTACCTCACATTGAAGCAGATAGATCATGAATCCTAGACGTCGCAACCTTCACTTCTTGGGTGATAATTGCAAGCGTTTCTCTTCCTGGTTTGCCCATGTTGGCATACCCCTTGTGGCTGGTTCTCCTCTTGTCAAGCGTTAATGCAAGCCCAGTATCCCTCGAAAGACCGTCGCTGAACGTGAATATCCCGCCGTAAGTATCATTTCTGGCCCCTTACGGATGGCTTCATTGATAGATTATCCTAGTGACATCAGCAGTTATAATGATTCTTCGCTTGGGCTACCTTTCGTGCCATCTTCAAAGCCTAGGATACAGGCTAAGATGAACGGTCAACAGGACCCTCCGTGGCAGGCCGTCCCAGTCATGTACCTCTATTTCAGCGTCATAGACTCTTTCTGGCGAAAGGACCTAATTGATGTCTTCACGGAACCGACTGGTTTTTCAAACAGCGACGTTAAGGGTCTTGAGGTGTGGCTCTACCCAGATGCAGCGCAGCCGACAGCACTGAATTCATTCCTTGTGTCATGGGCGATGTTAGACGTGATGGACAAACTGTTCACCACTGGAGACAAACAAGGATGGATGATCTGGGACATACCGGCTTTCGACATTATATCTAATAACCAACGAAAAATTGGGGAGATCCATACGGAGTCAGGATTGCCAGGCAAACTTTTCAATAGCGACTTGAATAATATAAATACGTCTGATGTTTCGGACGCGCTCATTACTGTTGATGTAACATTTGACGGGGTACTGTTAGACGTCAGATCTATGCTGATGCTAATCTTTGAAGCCCTGTGGGTGTCTTGGAGACAAAAGCCGAAGCTCGAACTTCGATTCGGTACTCAGTCGAAGTACAACTATGGGCCAACAGCGACCGGCGTGCGGATGTCCCTGACTCTGAGAGTGGATATTGCTCCAACTGCTACGATGCTAGATCTCACTCAAGGATTGCGAACGCTGATACAAAACTGCTTTGTATTTGGTAGATATCAGAGTCTTCACGGCACTTTCAGCCTGAAAGATCAGACAGTGTTTGCTGACGTTGCTCTGTGGTTCGAGCCGCCAAGAACAAACAAAACCAGGGGTGCTAATCAAGACATGTTCCTCGTTCCTGGCGCTGACAAGCAAGCGTGAGCACCGCAATTCTTCAAAATTTACGACGCGTTCATGTTTCCTCGCGTACTTCGAATGAGAATGACACAATATGTTGTGCGTCAGAGGTCTCTGAGTTTAGAAGCAGAACACACGATTAATGCATATGGGACACCACGGCGAGCAGTCTTTCCAATTCAGGAATGTACCATTGAGGTATGCCTTGAGATCCCCACCGAAGCTTGCGCCAAGAACTTTGCGGTCTTCTCATTCGGTGGATCAAGGTTTGGGTGGATTGCAGTGGACTCAATGACATTGGTGGCTTGCCCAACAACGCGTACTCCAAGGGGTGTCATTTCGCCCTTCACTATGCAGCAACCACACCAAGGGTACAAGAGATGCCGCTTGCCCTTCCAGCTCCAAATTCCTCCATAGTCACAACCACAGTCCAAGTCCTATATTCCAAGACGTCCACTCACACATCGTCTCAAACAACTACTAAGATGCAGCTCCCATCCACTTGTTTCCTCACCTCCTTCACAACCGTTCTAGCCATCGCGGCATCTGTTGCAGCTCAGACATCATCCTCGTCCTCCGCTTCCTCGGCCTCGTCTCTCAGCAGTGCTCTAGCTGCCGCAACCATGGCCCCTCTCAACGACATCGCTTGCATCGGCAACTTGGTCCCTACATGCTGCAATGGCTCGACCATTGACAACGGCAACACCCAGACTGGCTGCGACCGATGTGCGTACACCCCCTGACCCAATCGATGAACCCGGAGCTGACGCATCGCTCTAGACAATACCACAAACCCCGAATGCGCGCCAAAGGCCCAGGTCTATTGCTGTGGAGAACTAGGCGTATGTTTCCTCAGTCATAGTGGTGCTGCGCTCTCTTGAGAGGGTGTAGCCACACATGTTGTGTGATACTTGTTTGCTGACTTGTTTTATCATAGCCGGTTGTGCCTTGCATGGGACCCAACTGCAACGTGGGCCAGTTCCGCTTCGATTGCTCACGTTATTATTCCGACAACTCGCGCCTGTGATTTGTATGAAAAGGAATGGTCAACGGGATTCTATGACTCGAGTTTACTACGATGGTTTGAGGGCCTTTGAATACATTGTTAGCCAGAATACTATCTGAGAATAGATTAATGTGTATAACTGATAGAATCATTCTGTTACGCATGACGTATGGTCCTGGAGAAGTTCGATATTGGCTAGTGCCAAGTCTTGTCAATGCTCGCCTCCATCATTGCCTACAAGCTGGAGGCTGAATTGTCGTTTGTCCCTTGTCTCTGGAGCTAATGCACATACGCTACCTCTTCATTTGCTACAAGCTCGCATGTCCACTCTGACGCGCTACAGGATATTCACTGGTTCGATCTCTGTCTCCTCCATCAAGCTCACTAATATTCTCGCGATATATTAATAGTAAATATTGTTCCTCCCGTGGTTGCGAATATGCGTCGTCGGTCTCCGAAGAGGGAGGTGATTGTGTTATATCAGATTGTCCATTTGGTGACATTGACACGCTCTCATGTGATGTCGCAAGAATCTTGTTCGTCGGAGCACTTCCTGGCTCATTCTTGACATCTTATCAAGCATGAAGACTCGAGCAGGATTGTTAGAAAGTAAGCAGTTTGGGGACTCCGTTAGAGCAATTTCTGTGTGATTGTTTACGTACTCAATCAAGACTATCAGGACGTCCATTTCAACGGCTAAAAAAGATACTGGCAGGGCTCAGATAGCTTTGGGCACGCCAGATCTCTTGGTCAGAAGGCGACGGATCTCAAACAGCTTCGAGCAGATAATAAAACACACAACTACTGCTCAGCAGATCAGGATTATGTGGAGCTGCGCTATGTTTTCGTTGCTGGTTCGCTAAGGGCAATGTGTTTTAGGGAGATTTGGCCTTGCTACACGGACAACGATTGCCAGTCTCATGTCAGAAGTCTTGGGGCTGTGATGATGCTTACCACTCTAAAAGCCCATGATACCAGCGGCAGCCAAGCTGGGCTCATTCGATGTTTTTGAGACCACTGAATGACAAGAAGACGTACTATTGCCGGCAATTAGGTGTGGTCATACAACTAGAGTCCCCTTCCAGATGTAAAGCGTGAGCAGATTCGCGATACAAAGCCCAGTGCAGCAACAACGCAAAGGATAATGGAGAAGGCGCTTAATTTGTCCTGACTTAGAGGGCAATCTACACTCATAATCGGATGGGGCAAACTTCAAGTTGTTTGTTCTTGTGGAGCGCTAAGCTATGCCTCATATTTCGTGGTGTGTTCGATGTGCTGACAGTGCGATGCTAGCTACAGATGGGGCGTGACTAGCCTTGGATCTATGTAGGATTCGGCAATTGACTGCAATTGACCAAGTGTCGAGTTCTGGTACATTGTCATGCAATGTGATCACTTTGACAAGCCTTATGGATACGTGGTGCATGCAAAATGGGTGTGAGCCGTGCTACGCCGTTTGCTGTATATGCCAGTAATCATTCAAATCACCGCCTCAGGAAATCATGCTAAATCAATTCTCGAGCTGTTACAGTTGCAGTCCTTGAGCAGCGATCATCCAGAAGGGACACAGGCTATGGTCAAAAGCATTCGACCGCTCAGTTGGGAACTTTTGCATGGAGGTCGAAAGATACATGTCGCCAAAACCTTGCTCGTCCTCGAATCAATCCTGAAATGACTTACACGCAGCAGAAATAATCCAGCATCCGTTGTCTTCTGCCCAGAATTCAAGACGCTACAAACCCGGCCTCCTCAGACCAAGGCACCATCCTGACATGCGCAATAACCTCTTCAGCCTCATTGCCAATAGCTCTACTTTCTCCGACACCTTTCTCGATCTTCTGGAACACCACTATCTTCGAAATCTCCACACACCCTTTCTCCCTCGCCGCGCCCTCCATCCCCTTCATGATCCAAAACGCATCATCATAAGTGGGGTCAAAGAATGGTACTTTGTCGATATGGATACTGACGCTGCCGTGATTAACGATCCCTCCTAATGCACCTGACTTCTTGAAGTTGATCTTGATAGAAGGGCCTTGATGCTGTATCAGATAATCGAAAATGTTCGCCCCGAATGCCGTGGTCTCTTCGATGGCGGATAGTGCGAGGTGTCTATGGCTGAAAGGCCATTCTGATGGGGGAAGATTGTAGTAGTGTAGGCGGTATGGTGAGTCGGGGACGGGATAGTCGATACCGGCGCTGTGCATGAGATATTAGGATATAGAATAGCAGGGAGGAAGGAGATAGCGTACTTTGGGTAGGTCAAATTTGTGTTGCCAGCAGTCAGCGTAGTGTCTAATGGAATTGCTAGCACATATGCAAATAGGGAGATCAGTATGAGAGCCGGAGTTGTAAGTAAGTGTGAAGGCATCTTCTAATCTCAAGAAAGTCAAGGGCGGAAAAGACAACTTCCTACAGGTTGATTGAGGTGAAGAAACCGCTGATGCAAAGAAATCTCAATCCAGGATCAGATGTTGCGCATTAGCATCGCCCTGTCTCTATCTTTACCGTTCTGCCGCCGAACCCACACTCAAAATGTGGAACAGCCCCATACTGTTTACGCACAGGCCGTCTCTCCACCAGACATTTGCTCCACCACAACAATGCTTGCAGACCCAAATCACAGGTCTCCACTCTGACTTGAGCCTGAGCCTACGCAAGTGATCGGCTTTCCGACCACCACCATCTAGCACCGCGACATCTTAGCTTTCTTCTCCGTAGCCACGCCTCCAGCAGCATCGCCAGACTCAGCACCCGGAATCGACTGAACGGACACGGGCTGAACGGACGGCGACCCCGACGTCCCGGTCTCTGTCGTATTCATCTCCCCACCGCCAACCTCAGGCTCAATGGTCGCGTTCCCCAGCCCAGCTGTCGAATTCCCTCCACTCCCATCAGCGACATCATTCCCATTTCCCCCCCGCCTCCGCTGCCACTCGCGGCCACAACTCCATGCCCCAGACCCCCAGCAATCGGCTCCCAGCTCGGCTCCTGGCCACGCACCCAATCACCGATCGGCATGACCTTCTCGGGCGTCAACGCGTCGTGGCACGCGTACATTCCCTGCGGATACGTCTCCCATCCCTTGGCGGGGTACGATTTCTGGTTGTTCTGCTGCTGCTCTATGGTCGTGGGGTTGATTGCGTCCCAATTATTCGGCAGCTCGGGGGTGGTGAACCAGTTCGCTGATGGGTTGGTGTCCGAGGGTGGGTTTGAGGGGGCACGGTAGGGTGGGTTTGCGAGACCCTGGGAATGGTTAGTATGGGTAGACACAGCAAATGAATATTGAAGTTGGTGAGGATGTGGTGATAGTTGGAGGAAGGGGGGGGAGGGAGGGGGGGAGAGCGAAGCCGTACATCAGCGAAGCATTTCGTAAAGTACCAGAACATAGACCGATCCCACTTCGCGGCACTCAACTCCGGATCCGTCGTCGGTGTCGTGTTCGTAAGGTGATATATTGTCTGGATCTTGACCCGCTCCACTTTGATATCCATGGGCGTCGCGCAGTGCGTCTCGTCGTTCGGGTCTGTGCTGCAGATATCGGTGACTTTGAGCACCATATCCGGACATCCATCATCTTGGTCGTGGAAGCGCAGCGACATGCACATGTCCTGTTGGCAGTACCCTGTTGATCCAAACCGCCCCCTCCCCAATCAGCTTCCACCCCAACGAAAGAAAGAATAAAACAACAAACGAAGGAGATGACCTACGTGACAAAGGCGCGTATTTCAACCAATACGGATGAATAGCAACCCTGCTTGGCGTAAACGCATTATCCGGGATCCCGCACGCGCTCTGTGTCGCATCATCGTTCACGCCCGGCGTGTACTTGTCGACGAGCGAGTCGGCCACGTTGTTCTCGTCGCGCTTCCAGAAGGAGACGTTGCCGTAGTTGAGCCGCGCGAAGCGGATGTCGATATCGCGCGCTGCGTAGACCGGGGGAGCGGGTCTTTGACTTGAGGCGGCATTCCGGGGAGTTTGTCTGTTCCGATGTTGAATGTGTTGGGGGCTTTGCCTTGGGAGGGGGGTTGGGGAAGTCGGGTGGTGTGGCGCGGGGGAGGAGGTGGGCGGTGGTGAGGGAAAGGAGGGGAAGCAGGGGGAGGAAGGTGGGGAGGTGCATGATGAGAGTTCGGGGTTATGATCAGGATGGAAACTATAAGAGGTATCTTGTGGTTGCTGTAAAAGAACGTGAACGGAAAAGACCAGCTTTCCGATTTGCAAAGGAGCGTGGTGTTGTAAAGAGCAAAGCTTGAAAGAATGAACGGATAGCCATTGAGGGCAGGCAAGAAGAGACACTATATCAGTATGTGTAGGAGATTGAACAATGCAGTCTTCGCAGAAGCGTTCAATCTCATTTCATGTAAGACTTCATCCCGCCAAAAGAACCCTAATGACGGGGAACATCTGGGCGCGTGGAGTGCGGGGAACGTTTCATTTAGACTGCGTCCTTGATCCTATTTCGAAGACTCGTCCAGGAAGTGAATGGAGGTAAAGGACGTCCCTTGTCATTCAACTGATGCTTGCTGATGCGGATGCCTAGGTTGTAATGTGTGAAGCGCAATTATCACGGACCCTAGAGCCTTGGCTTTAGAGTTGAAATAGACAAGGAATTTCTTTACTTAAGGGACAGGACGAAACACTAGAAGATCTGTGACAGCGGGCAGATACCCATGAACAAATATCGAGGAATCTCGGGGTATGTGAGACAGAACGAGGTATAAAGCCGGCCGTAGAAGCGCAGCGAATTGGAACGCTAGAAGACGTCTTGCATTTAAGATTGCATCCTTAGAGCCCCTAGCCAAACTTTTGCGTTGAATATATCGATAGACGCTGCGTTTGGTGAGCCTCACGTTCATAGAATCAGCCTAGCCAAATTTCCCTGGAAATTTGACGGTGTCTCAAATGGCGAAGGCTGTCTATTTGCAGATCATCATTTCGAATGATGGAGAATAAAAGCATGAGCCAATCATTCAAACTCGACTGACATGAGACAGAGATAGAAGCCCACCATAGCCGCCGAAGTAGGGGCTTGTTACAAGCAAAGTGTGTTTATTCACCGAGAGAAACATGCAGATGTCCTGGCCATTGCTTTGAAGGAGCTGGAGGGTCATCACAGGTTTAAACTCACTTGGAAGTGCAACTCAGGGTAAAAGCTTTCTGCAGCTCTTTCTGCAAGACCTCGGGGGTAGAGCAAGGAATAAGATGTTGCATAAAGATCCATCTCGACTGGCTAGAATCGTTGAGAAAGCAAATTAAGACAGACAATCAACGAAGTAATGGGCGCAATCTTTCCGAAAAGCTCGACCTATCCGGATTCAGAAACGATTTCAAACGAACAACGACCTGCTAACGCTGCCAGACCTTCTATACCACCCCCCTCTATATACAAACCCCTCCAAACCTATCTCAAAATCGCACGCATCGAGTCGGGCACACGTCTGCCATCACCTCATCCCCCACCCCTCAAAGCCCCATCTTCTCCAAATAATCAAAAGTAGCCTTATACCCCACATCCGCCCTGCGATGCAACGTCAACGCATGCCCATTCCCCGGCTGCGTATAAACCTCCACCTTCTTCGCCCTCGGCCACACTTCCCTCCCCATCTCAAAATCCACCCCACAATCCGCCCTACAGATCCCAAAATCGAACTCCGCAAGCACATACTGCACGGGCCCCTCAAACTGCAACGCAGGCCCCAAACTCGCCTGCGGCGCCAACAATTCCGTCGTCGTGATCGTCTGCCGGATCGAAAACGCGTAGTCGAACACTTCCTTGTCGAAGCCGCCGATGCCGCTGGTGGTGTTTGTCTTTGGAGAGAAGAAGAGGGATTGGAAACCGGTGAGCTGGCCGTTCACGAGGTAGCCTTGTGAGCGGTCGCTGAAGAGCACGGGGTCGTTGAGGGGAGCGTATTCGGCGCTGAAGGACGACACGCGCATGTCGGCTAGGTACGGGTTGGGGATGAAGCCGGTGATTATGGCCGCGGAGGAGAGAGTGCCGTATTTGGTGAGGAAGGCGGTTGTCAGGACGCTGCCGAAGCTGTGGCCGACGTGGATGAGTTTGTCGAAGGAGTTCGCTTTCAGCTGGTCGCCTGTGTGTTTTGAGAGGGCGCCGCTGAGCGCCATTTCGGTGATGCCTCGCAGGATCTCGAGTTGTAGTGGTGCTTGCACGCTAGTGGAGGCGGAGGGTTTGTCGGAGAGCCCGTTCCCGAGCCGGTCGTAGGTTAGGATGCTGTAGCCTGCGGCGAGGGCGTTGTCGACGAAGGAGTATTCGGATGGGTTGATGGCGGAGTCCCAGTAGCGTTTGTCGAAGAGGCCGCCGTGGGTTGCGATGAAGAGGTGCTGTTTCTTGATTCCGTGAGGTGGGACGCAGAGTTGCACGCTGATGTTGTATGTGCCTGACACGGTAATGTTCCGGAGAATGTGACTGCGGTTGTTGAAACTCCAGGTATCATGGTCTACGGCGTAGGCGGTTGCGTTGATGTTGTCGGCAACGGGCACAATGTCGTATTCTGCATTTTGTGCTGTGGCGGATACGGGTAGCATGAAGGTTGCGCATGGTCGATCGCGGGCTGGAGATGGGACAGGTCCTGCTTGTACGTAGGAGAAGACTGAGGTAAGACTGAGTAGTATTGTGAGAGCCATGTTGAAGTAATGAAGTTCGTCGCTGGTTGCTGATCCTGTAGACAGACAACTTGACGGCTTCTTTTATAACTTTTCATGGTCCGCCTCGACCGCTCCTTACTTCGTCCAGAATTCTTCGAGGAGCCGAATCGCACTCGTACATAGGCTGACATCGCCATCTACACAGATGATTTGAAATCCGACGTCTGCAATTGTATAAGCCTTAGCCTTGGCAGCTCGATTTCTCATCCGCGTACACCGTTACCCTTCCATCTCACTTAATATGTTGTTAGTTACTTGCCAATGAACTTGGCATATTTCGTTCTCGTTCAGCCTCAGAGGCTTAGGTCTGCAGGTAACTTTTGTGTACCTATCGCGGCCATAATCATTCGTACGCTTACTTAGGGCTGCAGAAGCGGCAGACTACTCATGCGTGTCAGACGTGGCTAATCGTCAAGACCGAAATGCCAAGTGGCGGAGTGATCAGCGTGCAAATGCTTCCAAATTCAAGATTCTTTAAGGTATTGAAAAGATCATATTGCGGCATTCAGTAATATTTCTGAAGACTGCCTACACGCACACGTACATAGAACTCAGCAAGACAATGGCGAGCGTGCAGTTGTTTAAGGATATCGAAGAAACTCCTTTTCGAACTAAACGTCCACATAGGAAAGTTAGATCTGGATGCTATACTTGCAAGGATGCTAAAGTCAAGGTATGTGGAGTAGACTGCTGGAACGTAAACGATAGGTTGATGATTGGCTCAGTGTGACGAAACCCGGCCCAGCTGCAAGAGATGTCGCCGTAAGAAGCTCGGATGTACCTATCCCAAAGCGAACGAGACTTCGCTCCTGCAGGGATTGAAAATAGTGGAGAAGCAGAGCCGCCCAGAGTCAGAGAGCCCGGATAGCTCACAGAGCCTAGTGGAATGTGAAGCCTCACAAACGTCCGACTTGCGAGATCCATGTGGTGTTCTAGATACTGAGCTCGCAAAGCACTATTTCATGCATACCGCACACACCTTCGCGACTAGTGGTGCGTGCGAGGAGCATTCCGATGTCTGGCGGGTTTTCATTCCAGCCGTAGCATTGGTCTGTCCCGTAGTACGTCAGGGGATGCTTACTCTTGCCGCAATGAGCCTGCATTATGACCCAGCAGTCCATAGCTCCGTAGACTATTTGGAGGTTGCGGAAGCGCACGGCAAGATCTTTGTGAGAGAGAGCCGGCAGAAATTACAGCATTTTGCAGAGAGTCCGAAAGCCCAAGATCAAGATACTGTTCTGGCATGCTCTAGACTTCTCTCTGTCCTCGGATTTGCGTTCTTCCGGGCTCATCGCCAGAACGGCATCACCCTTGCTGATCCTGCGGCGTGGACCTGGCTGCATTTGGTACGAGGCGTGAAGCCGAGTTATGATGCGGCGAACGAGATCGGCAAATCTATTGATGAGATCATATTGAAAGATATGGCCCCCAAGTCTTTAGATTGGCTTTCCTCTCACGATCCTGCCATACGCCAACAGTCCTATTATCATTACATCCAACAGACCTCGCAGGAGCGTTTCGACGCTTTACATAATTTACTTGATGGTCATTGGAGTCGATTTGAAGAGGACAAGATTGAGGACCTTGGAGCCGCAATCGACATGCTGGACGAAGTTACCCAGCGAGTGTACACGCCCCAAGTGCATAGCTTATTTCGCGTCCTCTGCACCTGGCCAGGTGCTGTCCCTAAAAATTTCGTTGAAATGCTCTTGGCTGGCTTTCTGCCGGCACTGGCTGTGTATGCCCACTGGCTGATGTTGGTGGTCTTGGTAGAGGATTTGTGGTGGGTCGGCGACTGGGGGCGAGCTGGTATACGTGATGTCGTCGCAATGTGCTCTGAAGCCGAGCCCGATGTGCAAAAGCTTCTGATGTGGCCGGAACGCATGTTAAGTACTATGGGTTGAGAAGGCACAATTCCCCTCTCGCACAATTTTCCTTACACATCTTAGCGTTATCCTACTACTTCATACTAGCAACAACTCTGTTATAGGAAAAGAAATGGACTTCGGAAAATAATGATTTCCGGCAACGCGAGTAATGACTGCGGTTGAAAGTCTAAGCATAGGCACAAATTGCCCTCTGCTTATCATATCTGAGTAAAATAGCGCCTCTGATATGGAGAGTGATCGCCAATGTGTTGTGGCTTTGGAAGGGCCCACACCGGGAAGGTATTGATAAAAGTGTGTCAAGTGACCTTGAAAACTGCATTATGCCTGACATAATTCTTGCGTACTCGAACGATACTCTTGAGCAGACAGTCACCTTCAACTTACAGACGAATCATGACCAGTAGCTCTGATTTCCTCAACCCATTCTCTCAAAACCTTGAGCACTTTCTGATAATTCTCGTCCACTCTGGACGAATACTTGCACGTATCCCGATGTTCTGCCTCCAAAAGAATGTTCGGGATGCCGTGCGGTGTACGAGTGCTTGCTACGGTCTGCCTATCATCTAACTCCCCAATTTCGCAGAAATACATGACCTTAAGTTTCGTATTGTATGCTTGCTCACAGTGCCGCAACCAATTCTGCAACTCTTGATCTTCGTTCAAGAAGGGCGTGCCCATGAAAGCTACACCGAAGATGCTCCTCAAGAGGTTTCTTGCGGAATTTTGCTCTTTCAGCTGTGCTAGGCTTCTCGTTAGCATTTTGTCTCCAAAGTTTCGCTTCAGGTTATACAACTCGTACCCTCGTACATATGTGTCCGCCGCGAGAATGTGCTACGACGATGATTGGGCGCGTTTGAAGGTGCTCTTCTGATCGCCGTTCGATCAAGCCCCCACCAAGAGACATTGCATCACTCTCAACACTCCCTGAATTGTATCCGTCGTACCCCCAGGATAGGATGCGGGCGTTGTTGTGGAGGTCTTCAGCCAAGAAGTCCCCAGGCCAGAAGATATCGTCCTTTTCCCATGATTTATGCCGCCCGCCAGCGAAACCATGGACGAAACAGAGACTATCCATGTAAGTATCACACTTGCTAAGGAACTTGAATCTTACTCAACAACGGCATCTGGAGAGTCAGATACTATGTCGATCTTGGCGTTCTTGGATGAAGGTTTCATAATAGCTCTAGTGACAAGTCTGGCCTCAGCTATGGTAATGACAATGCAATTGAATCAAGAAGGAAGCGAAGACTAGAGTAAAGAATATCTCATAGACCTATGAAAAGTTCTGTGAATATGTCGGTGTTGGTACAGATAATTGCGGTCAGTGCCACGTTTGCCACAGTTGTCTCGACAACATAACGGTTAAAACTATGTAAAATGGTTTTGGGTAGGAGCAGATTATCCAAGATGCTCTTAAGGCAAGCGATGAGCAGAGCCGAGAGATGTTAAACTTACAGCCAACTCACTGGACCAGTCGTCTGCGTGTCCTCAGGGCTAGCTGCAGATCAAACATGCTGGTCTCCGTGTGATGCAGGTATCCGCACGGAGACGGCGTCTTAGCAAGTTCTGCGACTCTATATCTGCCGTTCTCCGCCTGACACTTTCGTGCAAACTGTAGTTTTGGCCGGGCCTGGGAACTGAGTCTAGGATACAGAAACCTACAGAGTAACACAAGAGATCAAGGGAATCGTGAATGTGTCGGCTACATACTTATGGTGGGGTAAGCAACATACTAAGCAGTACAGGCTGCGCCCCCAATAGTGACTAGGCCTGAGGGTGAACGCGGCTTTGTAGATCTGCCTGAGATGTTTTAGACAGCCTATAAATCTGCAAGAACAAGGCTTATTATGAAGGTGTAAATGCGAATTTGTCCATTCAATCGGAAGGAAAGGCAAGTGAAAGTGGCAGAGACGAATTTCAAAGTGCGTTTGCCCGCCACAATTGCTGAGGTCAAGGCAGTGGACCACAATGGAGATGTATCAATCTCTTCCTTTGCAAAATAACCTTCTACGCCCCCCAGTCCGGCAGTGAGATGGGCACCGACAGCCGTTGAGAGAACTTGGGAGACCTCGATCCGGAAGCATCATGAGGAGCTACCCTCTCCTGATCTATTACTTAAAGGTCTCTCTTCTTGTGAAACTTTGTAGAAACGGTTTCCCAAGTACAGTGAGTAGGGGCGTGTGATATTTCATAAGTCGTCCACGTCGGCCTTAGATTTCTCCAAACGGTGTCTTTCTGAAAGAGCTCGTTTCTGTTAGACGCTTAACTCGGAACCAAGACATCTTTCAACTAGATCTGACTTTGATTTTTACTTTTGTGTCCCTCTGTAATCTCAATGGGAGTCGGCGCGCCTTCTTTACGTCGCTTTATCCGGAAAGATAGAGTGAAGTCATGACAGGAATATATCTCATGGGACCATAGACCATAACTCATAGTCAAGGACCCATATTGGTGAGCCAAAACGCCGAGCGAGCCTCAATCAAGCTTTCAAGCCCCCACAAATTTCTAGACGATATTTCAAGCCACTTGATACTGGATATTTCAGATGTACCTTCATCCCTGATGGATAGCAAGATACCATTGCCACTCCAAACTTGCACGCACCAACTTCTCCCTGGGACTTTTGATCATCAGCAACCACCTCCACCATAAACATCTCTTACCGAAACCACATATAAAACCCGCCAGAAAGCTCCATAAGATGCTTATTTCCCTCAGTCGTCGCTACATAGGCTCCCAACAATGTATCTCCTCTAGCATAGCACCCGTACAGAGTTCAGCACACTCATTCGACGATAATTACGTCCAGCCCTCCAGAATCTCATCTGACTCGATTAGAATTCATGAACCACCGCCATGCCCGACCTTTCTAGCTCAAAATATCTCAAATCAGGAACCCTTTTTAGTCGCGGTCAAATCGTACGGTCAGAAATATCAAGGTCACGAGTCCAACAAAGCTTGTTAAGAAAAAAACAACAAAACTACTACCTGCCCCCCGGCACACAAGAAACGCCATATCCCCCCTCCCCCCATTTCCGAGCGTCCATGAAACACCAAAACCAGCCGATGATATTGTAAGTAAAAGAAATGCAGTGAGTAAAACCCCACTCTCGCAAGGAAGCTTCTCACACCCCCAACCCAATCTTCTGATCAGTGTTAGCATTCAGGCGGACGAGGCGTAATCTCTGACGCGGTGAACTGCTTGCGACTCCACGGCTTAATTTCGTGGAACTTGAGGTCTTGCTACATATCGAGTGTGCGAACGAAAGAGACCAAGTAGATTACACAGCCTGCGGATGTAGTGGACAATGTCTGCCTTCATCGGGGTTCTAGATGATGTACCTATTCTATGACCTTCATATCAAGTGATTGGATCTATCTGTTTGGACGAGATGAGATATGAAGTCGTCAATGTTGTAGTCTTTACGGAGGCGAGGCTGGTCTCGGGTGGTGGCTGCTTTCAGGAGGTAGTTACCGTTAAGCCAGCCTGGTGGAGCAGCCTTGGTGTCCATATGTGTTTGTGTTGGTGTTGGAGTGGCAGGAGTACCAGAGTATAAGTCAAGGCTTGTGATGGTTTGGTAGAAAATTTCATAGGTTAGGAGGGAAATGCCGGTGGCGAAGGTGCGGGCCATGAGACATGAGTGGTATCTGAATAGCGCTTTTTGTGCAGTTGCTGGCAAATAACGGTTCTCATTGTGAAAGCTGATCAATGCCCTCATGACTGCTAATAAAATGAACTTATATATACGTAGAAGACGGGATGACTCATCGTATCAAAGGTAGATTAGTGGGAGAATCGCGGCTTTTAATTGTTGTGCTTGATTGATTGATTGATGACTGATTATGTCATACACCGATCTAACCAATCGTCATGCGGTTTAGCCCTTTCGGGATCACTGTTGTGCTTGGGAATAACAGTTCCCGCACCCTGGGAAGGATGACTTCTAGGGTGCACTCCAGGGTGTGGAGGTGCGTTGCAGCCCCGGAGAGCCCCCCGAAGCCACAGAAATTGGCGTCAGAAATCGGCGCCATTAGGGGGCCAAAAACATTCATTTCCCCGCTATCAACATCTCAGTCACCTTCAACTACTTTCAAAGCCATCAGCACAATGCCATTGCGGCAACTTTCAGCAAAACTTGACTCGCACAAGTTACACGCGCTATGCAATCTACCATCCTCCTCACTAACTCATACACACAAGCCACAGCAACGGATGAAGCTCAAAGCAAATCCCCCAAACCGGCAACCCTCCATTCCTCAAATCCTCCTCCCAACGATCATCTCCGCTGCCTGCTCCGCAAGCGCATACAGCGTCGTCTGCGGATGCCCCCCAATCGCCACAGGCAGCACGCTTGCGTCCGCAACTCTGAGCCCTTTCACCCCCACGACCCTCAACTCTGTATCGACCACCTTCCCCATCGCCGCCGTCCCCGCCGCGTGAGAGTGTGAGACACCCGTCGCCTGAATCCTTTCGTCGATAAGGTCCGAACTCGTCTCCGTCGTAAGGGGCGAGAAGTTCGGTGGCGGCACTTCGCGCTCTACGAAAGACTTCCCTGCCTTCGTCCCGAGCAGTGCCTGCCTAGTTCGTTCGACGCCGTGGATCAGGATAGCCTTATCAGCGGCGGTGGAGTAGTAATTCGGGTCGATGATGGGCGGGTCGGTAATCGCGGCAGAGGAAAGAGTGATGGTACCACGAGATGTGGGCAGCAAGAGCATGGTGGATGTGGCGATATGGTAGCCGTCCAGTGGGGCATCTACACCTGCATGCCTCGCCGCTGCTGGCGCATATACTACGATCGTCTCGATATGCTGGCGTGCGGGATGGAGCAAGGCCGAATCTGTGAGCTCGCCGGGGTCTTCGAAACGCTCTCGGATGACCCAGTCCTGGGGGAGGCCCTTCGCAAAGGCGGGATGCTTCAACGCTGGGCTGCCCAGAGCTAGCGGGTACAACAGTCTCCAGTATTGGAAGGAAGCGAAGTGGTCAAAGAGGTTGATTCCGACGTGCTCGTTCAGGCTGACTGGCGTGATGTTGTGAGTCTCCAGCTCGTCTTTGGGGCCAATGCCAGAGAGCATGAGCAATTGGGGCGTTCTGTATGCTCCTGCCGTCAATATGACGTCTTCTTTCGCGCGGATGATGGTGCCGTTTACCAACTCGACGCCAGTCGCGGTGATAACCTTGCCGGTATTGTCGTCAGACGATTGCTGCGAAAGGATGACGCGCTGCACCATCGTATTCGTGAGAATCTGCACGCCCTTCAATGGATAAGCTTGATGGCTGGGCTGACGTTGGCCATCCCGCCAGTTCTCCTCGAACTCCGAAATGCCTCCCACATTGCCGTGAATGGCATGATGATTGTCTTCGACTCCAATCTCTTTCCATGCCTCACGCACAGCGTCGCGTAGGGGATATATTCTGTCTGGATCGCTGCTAGTCACCGAGACCACATGCATAGGACCATTGATGCCATGCTGTGGGCTCAGTGACGCGTTGGAGTGACGTTCAGGCTTCCTGAGATAGGGCAACAGACCGCTATAGCTCCATCGCTTGTCTTGAACAATCTTTCCCCAAGCGTCGTAATCGCTTGCGTCTCCTCGCAGCCATCCGCCATAATTGGTTGTGCTCCCGCCGCCCAGGACTTTCCCTTGCGCATTGGTATGAATACTGTCTTTCAGGTGGGTTTGAGGAGTTGTCTTGTAGGCCCAATCGTATTCTGAGTCTCCAAGCGTCATTGCACCCATCGCTGTATGGGTACGAGTGTCATCACTGGCATTTGGCCCTGCCTCAATGAGTACTATTCTCGAGAATTGTTTGCACTGTTTTAGCCTGGACGCAATTGTACAACCGGTCAAGCCGCCACCTACGATTATGTAGTCTACATCTTGTGCTGCCATGATGACTGCAGCATGCGGTCGTAAGAAAGTGGGTTGCTGTTGCAAAAGTCGGATTCTGACCGACACTTCATTAGGGCCGACCATTCCTCATCTGGCCTTCGAGAAGCGCAGACCGAATATGGATAATTGGAATCGGCATAGCGACACGCGGGTCGGTATTACGTTCTCAGCCAAATTTACGAGAATGTCCAGAATGATCCTATTGATCGAGCTTGTGTGTATTATGGCTATTATTACATCTACCAAAATATGATAGGAATACAGGAGTCATACGTTTCCTTCATGAGGCATCAAGCATCTCCGCAAATACTACCCGAAAACGCAGCCAACGTATCAGACATGCTCAATACTTTGTTGTACAGCAATCACTCCCTCCTTCGGCGTATTCGAGCCTTCAGACTCAGACTTATGGATGCGAGTATGGACTGCCGCATTGGCAGGATGAAGCGCCTGCGTCTCATTGAAATCATACAGATCATCCTTCGAAGTCAAGCGTGCTGATGCCCGCGTTCGGCCGTAACGAGGACTCGATAGCTGATATGAAGCTGAAGAACCCTGGTTGCTGATGGCTGACTGTGTACACCGCAACCATAGGGGGCGCAATGTTGGCAAACATGCGCTGATGATAGCCAGTGAGAGCTCAATTACACTCCAGACGAAGACAGGTGTGGTGTAATCTAGCGAAGTCAGTCATAACCATTTCAGGACACGAGCGGCTTACAAGTCTCATCATTGAAATGTGCATGCAGGCTGTTTCCAACCTGTACGTAGATAACTAAGCGTGCAATCGAAGATGCAGCGGCCCTGCGATTGTCAGCTCAATTGAAACGATTCCCTCCTGGGGCAACGTACAGCGCGCCCGTCAAAAACATGAAGATCACACCCAGCTTCTGCTTCCAGGGAGTTTCAGCCTCAGGACCATTGGCACTGGCATGGCCAATATCCCAAAATCGATGACAATGTCGGTGACGCCGCCCGTGTACCACAGGGGAAGTCCATTGATACATTTTCTGTGGTAGAAGGGCTCGATCAAGGCGGAAATCGGATAGCACTGGAAGAGACTTGCAAGAAAGAAAGCCACCGTCCAGGCACCTACCACGCCAAGTAGAATTTGGGGCCAGATACGAAAGGCCTTCACATCAAATATGCGTAAGTACAGGATCAGTATCGAAGCCTTCGAGAAGCCGTATCCAACATATGTGAGCATGTTGAGCGCGAATTTGCACTAGATCAACCGAGTCAGTCTTCGCATTCGTATTTGACATTTCACTGCTGACCTTTTCGTAGAGCAGGAAGCGCGGGTCATTAAGTAGTGGCATTCCTTCTGGTGAATGACTTTGATGCTGTCCAAGCTGGCCATGTACAGCAGCTAGACACCGACATTAGAGGGATCCGTGATAATCAAGGACTCTGCTTACCAACAAGTTGCACGGTGCTGCATCCGAACATCATCGCCTCCAGAACTATCAGCACCTGGTATCTCAAAGAAGCGGGACGCATACCAAGGCGCCGAATATCATGAAATCATCCCACGCAAGCCCTCCACGGCTCATTGTCTTTGCCCATATCCTCAACACAACAAATGCAGTCGGTAGAAGCAAGAATATGACGCCAATTGTAATGACTTGACTCTGAGAAGTCATGCTAGGTCATCGAATCCTGTACCAGACTTAATCTAATGTTGTGGCTCGTGGCCTCTTATCACTCCTTGATGGAAAGAGCAATCTTTAGCTCGATGTCACTGCGTCAGCTCTAGGTTGTCAGAAGTGCAGAAGCAGAAGAAACTTTGGAAGAAGGTTGACCTGCTTATACAACCAACGTTCCTTGCCAGATGACAGCTGGAGGACACCCTCCATCGCACCGAAATTGCGGAGCAAGGTGACTCGGACAGCTGTACCCCTTGCAGAGGACGCGTAGACGACCTTTCGGACGTGGCGCCGTGGAATTTGTCAGATCTCTATTCAGAGCTGGTACAAGTTGTACCGTCCCAAAATATCCCTCAGAATTGTCGACATCACAAATTGGTCCAGGGCCCTTCAGCTGGCGAGAATACGATTTACCCGCCATCCGGTGATCAATGCACATCCCCGAGTCTTATCGTGACAATCTCCCCGCAGAAAAAGACGACTGGTCAGAGTTGCGGGGGCCTGCATGAGAGACCTCGCCGCGCTTTCTCGGCGACAATGCGCAAGCGTCATGTATCGAATGCAGGTGCCCATGCAAGGCATGCTCGGTACCACGGCTTGAGTAAGGGCTTTGACCACGACCACTGCAACGGTCAGACATCTCAGGCAAGGAAAGTGGTATACAGCACATGAATGTAGCATGCAGCTCTTCGCCAATCGCACATCTGGTTTTCGGCAGATATGCCTGCGACCCATTTCCTGCCCACTGACTAAAATGTGACATCTGCAACTAACATGAAGACCAGAGACATTGTACCTCAGCATCCCATCTCATCGCTGCAATGTACTGGTAGCTGATCTAGATGCATTGACCGCGCAACATTACGACACTTCCCCACGAAGCGGTGAAAAGCCCTACAGCTAAGCTGAACCGCACCATCCCAAAATGGTCATTCATCCAGCACCCCGAGTGACGATGACCTTACCGACCGCCCGCTGCAAGTGCGAACTACACTTTACACTTGCGCATTGCTGCACCAAGCCGTGCCGGCACATCAATACCTCAACTCAAACTACAGCACGACCTTGCCAGCTAACTATCGAACACCACACAGCCCCTCCAACTCATCATCATCACCACCACCATGACCGCGCCACTCATCCTCCAACGCATCCCCTTCTTCCGCACGCAAACCGACACCATCATGTCCTCAGCCGAAAAGAAAGACCCTCTCATCACAACGCGCCTGCTCACTCCCATCGAAGACGACATTGAGTCTCACCCTTCCAGCACCGACACCTCTCCCTCCCACCCCGGCTCCCCCTCCGATGAGCTCACCACCATCAACACCCTCACACGCCGCCTCAAGCTCGCACGGGGCGTCATCTGCGTCCTATCCTTCACCACTCTCGCCTTCCTCCTCTTATTCCTGCTGTCTTTAGCTCACAACCAGTCCGGCCTCCCCCTCCCGACCGCCGCCACCACCACCAACACAGCTTTCTCCTCCTACACACCAGGCCACCAACACCCCTCCTCTCCCGGCCTCAGCCCAGCAGACACATTCCCCTCCCTCGCTACCTCAGGCGCGCTGTCCTACACCCGCCACCCCTTCCCCGTCCACTTACACAACAACCCGTTCTCCGGCCCGCCGCGGCCGGAACTAGACGCTGCATGGCACGAGTTGTTCGAAGATATCCGCATCCGGGTGTCTGCTGAAGACCTGGCTTTCTACAACGTGTCGTCCATCCCGCTGGCCCAGACTCAGGATGATCAGGCTAGGGAAGGGGGAGGCGGGGGAGGGGGGCGATGGTTCGCAGCCGAATTAGGCGTCCACCACGAACTACACTGCCTGAAGAAAATCCGGCACTGGATCCATCGGGACTATTACGGGCTTTATCTGAAAGAAGATGGGAGGGAAGGAGGAATGGAGGAGGGGGAAATGAGGGAGATGCAGGCGCATGTGGATCATTGTGTGGAGATGATTAGGGAGGCGATTGTTTGTAGGGGGGATACGAGTTTGTCGAGTTTTGAGTGGGTGGGAAACAACCCGATAGCCGCTGGGAATGGGAGTGGGGGAAATGGTGGGGGAAAAGGGGATGGGAAGGGGGAGGAGGGAGGAGGAAGGGGAGGGGCAAGACTCACGGCTGTGGCGAAGGGGTGGCATACTTGCGTTAATTGGGACAGTTTGATGGGGTGGGTGAGGGAGCGGCATGTGAAGGTTTTTGAGGAGGGGTTTTGGAGGGTCCGATGGGGTTGTGAGAGCGGACAGGGGGGGTGAAAGGGGAGAGGGGAGGGAGGAGAAGGAGGGTAATGGTGATGGAGGAGTGGGGAGGGGAATGTATTGGCAGGGGATAATGAATAAGAGACGGAGATTTTGGTGCTGGCAACATTTTGGTACTGGAATGGGATGGGAGCGGAGGCGAGCCATGATCCTATCAATTGCTAGCATCAATTGCTGATATCGATTTCGATGTATGTATGTATGAGTGGATGCGTGTTGCAAGATAACTAGCTAGCTGGCTACTGGTCCTGAAACAATGGCTTTTGCTGCCGTTCATCTATTCATAATCATGCTTCTCTTTCACATGCCCTCCTCAGCTTTGAGCACTGCCAATATCATTGATAGTCATGCGTCTTCTTCCCTCACCTGGTCTTCCCTCCTGGTCTCCTTTCCTCCTCTCTCCCTTCCTTGCCCCCCTTCTCTCCTCAATGATGATGATGATGTCCCCCTCCCCCACCCCCTCCAAACGCCCATCCCATTTCCTATTCTCCCCTGCCCACCTCTTCACACTTTCGAAATCCCGACAAGTTCTCTCGAACTTCCAGCCTGTCACCCCGCCCAGGTCAAAATTGACGGGCTCAAGGTTCGTGTCCGCGAGACACATGAAGCTCTGACGGAGGTAGTCGAAGCAGTGGCGGAGATGGTGGTCGTCGAGGCGGCGGTTGTGGTCGGTTGCTTCTTCGATGGAGGAGGTTAGGGTGCCGGAGAGGGCGGCGTAGAAGCCTTTGCGGAGGATGTCCTGGTGTATTGTTAGTGGTGGTGAAAGAGGAGGACAAGAAGGCAGGGGAGTACCAGGCAGTGTAATTCGTGGAAAACTGCAAGTCCTGAGAGATTGGGTGCGATGGTGGGATGCTGCACGAACCCTACCATGGGCGGGAAGAGATCGTCCCACGCCTTGTTCGTCTCTGGCGAGGGAGGAGAAGAGTAGGTGATGTTGTAGATGAGCGGGTAGTGCAAGTTTCCTGCTGAGGGGAGGTAGCCGCCTTCGATGGGTGCTGGGTCTGCGGTGTTGATATTGTGGGCGCGGTCATACCTCTCTACTGCGAAGCTCATGCTGAGGCCGAGTAGGATACCGACGCAGACAAGCATGACGGAGATGAGCGAGGCGAGAGTGGGGTAGACCCATGATGATATCTTCTTTGGTACCATTATCACTTTCACCTCGCTGTCACTCTTTTCGTCGTCATGGTAGAGTGGCTCGTATTGCTCTCCCATCTTTGAGGTGAAGGGGCGTGTGAGTTGGCGGACGAAATCTTTGCTGAGCATGGCTGGCTGCTTGTCGCTCATAGCAATGTGTTGGTGGTGTATTTCTGTCTGTAGTTGCGGAACGTTGATGAGATGAGGGAGCGAGTCGGTGGGCTAGGCAGAAGTCAACAACCCAACCCAATGGAAGTGTTGTAACTAATGGAAACAGCGTTATCCTCTTTCGCGCTTAGTGTCGGTAGTGGTGGAGACAATGTCGGAAGGTACGCAAGGTTCGCCAGGGTCGGGATGTTCCTATTTCGTGATTGACGGTGAGGGACGGTGGTGTTCTAGACTGCCTATTGTCCGCTTGTATCGCCTGCGGTGACCCGATCTCATCACGTCATCATACGATCCGGTTGGCCGGCGCCCGATGGAGGAAGTCGCCGTATTTATCACATCCTGTTGACCGCCAGAAACCTGCTTTTGACATCACATGAACCATTGGCCCCGTCCATTTGCAGCTGCATCACCGACTCATCTTGTTGCGAGAGACAGTCTGAACCCTGATTCAGAGGTGGGTAGAGACGTTGGACTGCCTGCATCGGGTCGTTGCTGCTGCTGCTGTCACTGCTGACGAACGCTGCAGACACTTCATTTGCCTTAAAACCAACCTTCGAATCTCCATCCTCATCCACCACCAACGTTCTCAGCAAATCATACACCACTAGCACCACTCACTCTCTTTGCATAGCTCATCACACACTCGTTCATACTCCCCTTGTCAATCATTCAATCAACACCACAACAATGAAGGTCCAAACTTGCATCGGAGGATTCCTCCTCTTCGGAAGCTTGAGCGCTGCTCTTCCGGTCGGCAACGAGAAGTGTAAGTGAGCTTCCTGAACTCTCCACTGCAAAGCTGACGACACTCAGTGCTCCAGAAGAAAGCCGAGTCTGTCGATGGCGATGATCAAGTCGTCTACACCTGGTCCCTCCCCGAAGACAGAAAAGCCGTCACGAAACGTGCCGAAACCGATGGTGACGACAAGGTCGTCTACACCTGGTCCCTACCCGACGACAAGACCAAGCGTGCTGCCGAGACTACCGATGGCGATGACAAGGTGGTGTACACATGGTCACTGCCCGACGACAAGACGAAGCGTTCCGAGACCACCGACGGAGACGACAAAGTTGTCTACACTTGGTCCCTTCCTGATGACAAGACCAAACGCTCCGAGAAAACTGACGGTGACGATCAAGTCGTCTACACATGGTCTCTCCCAGACGACAAGACTAAGCGAGCGGAGTCGAAGGATGGTGATGACCAGGTCGTCTACACTTGGTCCTTGCCCGATGATAAGGCCGGCAAGACGAAGCGCGCCGAGACTACTGACGGAGACGATCAGGTAGTCTACACGTGGTCACTGCCAGAAGATAAGGATAAAGCTGTCAAGCGTGGTGAGACAACAGATGGTGACGATCAAGTGGTATATACCTGGTCGCTTCCGGAGGACAAGTCGACTTGAAGGCGTGGGGGTGGACTCGGGGAGGACTCTAACTGGTGATTGGCTTTTGGACTGTGGAAGTAGGGATGTAAGGGTAATTATGTGCTCGTGCTGGGGCATCACTGGAGGACGAAAAGTCTTATGTCAAACTTGCATCTTCACGTTGGAATGATAGGTGGCTGAGAAGGTCGGCTGACCGATTTGAAGCGAAAGGAAGCACCGTTACATCATTAGAATCTCTTGATAGCATTCGGCTGACATAACGACATCGCCATAGACATCAATGGCATTAATTTGGCTGTCAAAAGTGCAGATTCTCTTCGCTTGTCGGTCGTCCTTCTTGTTGCGACGCACGGGTCTCATACCCTAGGAGGCCTCCCTAAAGCCACCAAACTAGGCCCCGCACTTAGGGGCCTTTAGGGGCTTTTTGGCTTTTCGCGGGCTCCGGATGTTTGTAGATCTCGAAAACCGAAATTTTCCACGTCTGCACTCTGCACCTTCACAACTGTAGTCAATGCCGTTGTCTTATTGATGCATGCCGCTCAATAACGTTCTTCGTGACAACACATACTCACATAATCAGATCAGCTCAGCTCGGCGCGAAGGCCTGTATTTATCGCTTTTGGCTCCCCTGGTGCCCCCGATCTTCTTCGTTGGGATATGTCAGAAATCCACCGTAAAATTCATAGGCCAATGTCTCACGTTAATCAGACAATGCAGACCAGGGTAGCACCCGGATTCATTGCAGTAATGATCTTACAGGATAGAACGGCATCACTCGAATGGAAAAGCACGTACCATCAGATGAAACTTGAATCTTGCATTCCTGCATACTTAGTCGGAGTGAGCCACGTGCCTTTAAGACACTGCCCCTCGGATTTTGATAGTCACAATTCTTGGATGTAAACAGAGTTGACCTCTTCTACTCGCCTGCAAATGCGTGCCTTTCTTCGTGTGATCGCTTTGCTTTATGCGACTCCTTCAATTGCGCAATCATGGCGCAATGATACCTGGCCTGAAAACTCACGCTGGCAGCCTCATGATATCGCCGAGACTCTAGGGCGACGACTGTCACCACATGCGAACATCTCGCACAATGGCTACGACACAAACCGCTGGAGCACTTTCAAGGCGCCAAAGGCTGGCATGGTGGTAGACGTTGCGACAGAGGATGATGTTCTCTGGACGGTATGTGAGACTCTACCGTCAAGACAGTCGTCACTCACGATGATGTCCAACAGGTCCGATACTGTATCCACAACTCCATACCATTCCTGGCGCAAAACGGCGGCAATGCCTGGTCCACAACCTTCCATCTTCCTCGTCAAACCTCTGCTTTTATCGGTAGAATCTCTCCAAACGACACATATTCCGCCGTTGTCAACACCACCGCTTCCAATTCAACCAACATCCTCACAGCGCAGCTTCCCTCTTCCATCCTCATCAACCTTCGCAACCTCAACAACATCTCCTTCTCCCTCCCGCCTGTCATAACCACCTACAATACCACCTCCACCAACGCGACCGTCACAATCGGCGGGGGCGTCCTCATCTCCGATCTCGTCACAGCCGCCCACGCGCACAGCGTCCAGATCCAGACCGGAAACTGCAACTGCGTCGGCATGCTCGGCGCCCTCCTCGGCGGAGGCTACAGCCGCTTCCAAGGCCTATACGGACTAGGCGTCGACAACATCCTCTCCGTGAACATGATCACCGCAGCCGGCGAGCTCTTAACCATTGGCGCGAAAGAAGAAGAGGAAGAGGGCTCGATACAAGGCAAAAGCAAGAACGACGCAGACACAGGCACAGACGACGACACGACCGCAAAAGAAGATCTTTGGTGGGCAATCCGCGGCGCGGGCCCCAACTTCGGCATCATCACCAGCGCGACCCTCAAAGCTTACCCGATGCCTGACAAATCCAAGAGCGGCGCCTGGCTAGCCACGCTCCTCTTCGACGAATCCAAACTCGAACAACTCGTGAGCGCGATGGAAGCGCTCGACCTCGGCGCCCACATGGCTATATTCCTCTACTTCTTCGCCCCGCTCCCCGACTGCACCCCCTCTATCGTCGCCGAGCTCTTCTACGCTAACACCGACGCCCTTACCGCCCGTGCCGCTTTCCGCAGTATTTATGATGTTGGTGGGTGGAGGGAAGATGCCGCTTCTACTGGTTTCAAGGAGTATGATAAGGTGAATGAGGGGAGTGAGATGTTTTGCGCTAAGGATGGCGCGAGGAAACCGACGTATGGGGCGGGATTGGCGCATGTTTCCCCCGTTGCCATGCGCGCGATTTGGGAGGAGTATAAGGCTTTTTTGAAGGTGGGGGGAATGGGACGGAGAAAAGTGCGGTGTTGGTGGAGAAATATCCCATGGACGCCGTCTTGCGCGTGCCCGATGCAGAGACGGCCTATCCGTGGAGGAGCAGGTTGAGGTATAATGCTGCGGCTATCGCGTGGTATCAGGACCCGGCGCTCGATGCGAGGGCGGAGGCGTGGGGGAAACGGGTTAGGGAGTGGTGGAGAGGGAGTGGTGGGTTGGGGGGGCGGTGTTATGTTAATTATGCGTTTGGTGATGAGGGGGTTGCAGGGGTCTATGGGGATGATGATGGGGGTGGGTATGAAGGAGGAGGGGAGATAGGAGGGGGAGGGGAAGGGGGGGCTTGCAACGTCTGAAAGCCGTGAAGAAGGCGTGGGATGGTCAGGGGAGGTTTAGTGAGTTTTTCCCTTTGCTGTAGCTGAGTCTGTGGAGAGGAGAAGAGGGTTCGCTATGGTCTTTTCGTCCAGCTCTAGTCGTCGCTTATCCATACTTTGCAAAGAAATGTTTTTATTTATGCGTTATGCATAATGAGTGCACAAAATTATCCTCATGCACGCTTGCGGCGCTAAACCCCTTCCAGTGCCTTCACTTCTCGGGTGGTGCGGGCGGGTTGTTGCAGTGCAGTTCAGTTTAGTTTCATGAACGAATTGTTGGCTGGTGGTGTGAGTTGCCAGGCGGTGTCGCGTGGTCGAAATTGGGGAGGTAGGGCAGGTAGGGGTAGGGCAGGTAGGGGCTGGTGTGTGCTGTCTGTACACCAGTACAGTGCGAGAGAGAAGATGGGGGACATGATTTGCTGTATGAGAAAGGAGAGGGAAAGGGAAGATGGGGGTTCACGTCTACTGTTGCCTACATTGCCAGAGTTTGGTGACTATGAGTATTCACTCTTCTGGTCATGTCTTCGCCTGCGTGTTTTGATGAGGATGTGGCAACAGCAGGGGAGGAGTGTTGGGGAAGAGAGGGGGGGAGGGGGGAAGGAAAGCAGGCATTTCATCGGTTGCCTTGCAAAGATCTGGGAGACTGGGACGGGGGTCTGGTGATAGGGTGAATGGATATTACTTGTGGAGACGCTTGGTGGTAGGTAGGGGATGAGGATTCACTCTGCTGACTGACAGCCTATTCACCATTCCTGCATTCTGTCACGTGTTTTATCGCTTGGTCTTCACATTTCAATTCACTACCTCCCACTCTCAGCAGTCAGGTGCGGTGTTGATCCGCGCATAACCCCTCCAAATGAGGAAGGCGCAAACATGCCAGATCACCCAGGCAATCATGCCCGCTTCCTGCCTAGGAAACCACGTGGTGGGGCAGACTTTAAACCTGTTTCTCTTCTTTTGTTTTTGTTTTTCTTCAACACACACTTTTGGAACATTCATCTCATTCTTTTGCTACATTTTGGGACATTGCTACTGTGCATTCTACGAGGCAGCCATCAAAGTGCTATCTACAGTGTCGCAGTCAGAGGAACAATCGAGTGAGGAGAGCTTGGGGTTGTTGTCGTCATGGGGAAAGGGAAAAAGAAGGGCCATGGTGGCGCCACCGGTAATAATAAGAAGACTTCAGATGGACAAGGCGCTAGCGCTGGCAGTAGTAGTGACCAGCAAGCGATCAGCGAAGACGAGTTCTTTGGACTCGAAGTGGTGGCAACCGATAAGAACAATTAAAAGAAGGATGAAAAGAAATTCTACTCGTAAGTCGAGATTGTCTGTCATTGGAGAGCCGAGAGCTAATGGGCGCTTGCGTAGTGGGAACGCCAAAGAAAATAGTCCTACAGTCCAAGTCAAAGAGACAGAAAATGGATTAGAGGAGTCATTGAACTCTTCTAAAGGCACCAATACAAGGGAGCCTGAATTCCCTGTACGCCCTGGGTTTGGGACAAAGGGGTCGATGGTCACAGTGCTCGCAAACCTTTTCGAAATGATGTTGAAAGATACCGAAAAAGATTTGGTCCTACATCCATATAAGATCACTGTTGTCCCACCACCAAAAGGGAAAAGATTGGCCAGCCTGATCATCGAGCTCTTACTGGATCGAGCCCCATACAAAGACTTTCGAGACTGCATTGTCACAGACAAACGTCAAACCCTCATCTCGTCCAAGAAACTCCAAGATCCTAAAGAAGAAGAGAAATTTATAGTTAAGAGAGGGAAGGAAATCCAAACACAAGAACAGTGGTCCACAACTTACACCGCTAAAGTCACGGTCGAGACTGAGTTGCCACTCTCCCTTTTGATCCATTATCTCAAATCTTCCGATATTAACGAAGTATTGGTCCTGGACAAGAACTTGTACCTTCACGCTCTGAACATCTTCTTGTCTCATTATGCGAAACATGAATCGACCATGTACACAACAGGCAACAGATGTTACGCTCAGAAGTCTATCTCGGACGAAAACATGAGTAAAGGCCTTGGCGCTGGCTTGAAAGCTGTTCGTGGATTCTTCAGTAGCGTTCGGCTGGCAACGGCGCGAATCCTTGTGAATGTCAACGTTAGTCACATAGCTGTCTACAACGAAGGATCTCTTTCCCGCTTGATACAAGATTTCGGTTCCGACAGCATGTCAAATCTTAATACTTTCCTTTTTGGACTCAAAGTGAGGACTATGCACTCGGACGGAAATGACAAGATACCAAAAAAGAGTTCAATCTTGGGGCTTGCCTCAAAAGATGACGGCAATAAACTCGATAATCCGCCTCAAGTATCGAAATTTGGCGCGGGTTCGAGAGACGTAAAATTCCACAGGGGAAATTGCTATGTCAGCGTATTCGAATACTTCCACCAGCGTGAGTATTCCTCCGGCCTTCTTTACAAGATACTGATCTTTTTGGCAGAGTATCCGGGCAGACATAGGAATACTGAGGACCCGGTCGTCAATGTGGGGACTAAAGAGAAACCAACCTATCTCCCAGCCGACGTCTGTCAAGTCGAACCGGGTCAGCCTTGCAGGATGAAGCTCGACCCCACGCAAACACAAAAGATGATCGAATTCACGGTGCGTCGACCCTGGAAGAATGCAGATTACATCACTGGACCAGGTGTGAAGCAAGTCGGTCTAGAGCGGAAAGAGAATCCTGCCCTTGTAAGCATTTCTTTGACGATTGTGAAATCTCAATGCTGACTCGAGAAGAAAAACTTCAACCTCAAGGTCACAAACAAGTTGATATTAGTACAAAGTCGTACCCTTCAGCCGCCTAAACTCATATACAAAAACCAGAATCATAGCCCTCAAGATGGATCATGGAATTTGGCTGACTTCAAAATGAATTCAGCAATGCGCTTGGGAGATTGGGCTGTCTTTTTGATAACCAAAGCCGGCAAGACAGATTTCACCAAGACTGATGACTTCGTGGCTGCATACAAAAAGTTGATGGTAGAGATGCGGAAAATTGGGATGACTATCGAGAAGGCCCCCGGCCAAATCATGGCACAAGTGTCAAAAGGAATTGAGTTACCGAATGATGACCAGAGGCAGAAGGTGGACAGAAAGAATCGGGACGATCTCGCAAGTGTCCTTAGTAAGCCAGGGTTCAAATTCTTCTTTGTTTGCTTGCCAGACGAGGACAAGGCCATTTACAACCATGTCAAAAGGCTGGCCGACATCCATTTTGGTGTTCATACCGTGTGTGCTGTGGCCAAGAAGTTCTGGCCGAGTGGGCCACAGTATCAAGCGAACTTGGCGATGAAATTCAATTTTAAGCTTGGCGGAATCAATCAACTTGTTGACAACGCAAAACTTGGTTTCATATCTAAGGGCTCGACAATGGTCGTTGGCTTGGACGTAACTCATCCATCCCCAGGCTCCTGCGTGAACGCACCTAGCATTGCCGCCATCGTCGCAAGTTACGATATTTACCTGAGTCAGTTCCCTGGAAAGCTTGCAATTCAGGAAAAGAGCAAAGGGGAGATGATATCGGGCCTTCAAGATCTTATGATAAGCCGCTTGCTACTTTGGAGAAAGAAGAACAAGAACACATTGCCCGAAAATATCTTAGTCTATCGAGATGGAGTCTCGGAGGGCCAATATCAAAAGGTCCTCGACGAGGAACTTATACTCATGAGGAAGGCATTCAAAGCAGAGTATGATAAAGGAAATAAGAATACGACTAAGAACGATACTTATCCCCGAGTCACCATCGTCATCGTCGGCAAACGTCACCACCTCCGCTTTTATCCCAAGGACCTCACAGAGGCCGCCAAAAACTCCAACCTCAAACCTGGCACCGTCATCGATCGCGGCGTCACCGAAGCTCGTAATTGGGAATTCTACCTCCAGCCTCACAGTGCACTTCAGGGCACCGCGCGCACCTCGCATTACTATGTCATTTACGACCAGATCTTCCACCACCACAGGTTATCCAAGAGTGCTCAATATGAAAATCAGGCGGATATGCTCGAGGGCATCACGCACGCCATGTGCTATCTCTTCCCGAGAGCGACGAAGGCCATTAGTGTCTGTCCACCGGCGTACTTGGCAGATCTGCTGTGTGAGCGTGGGAGGGTCTATTTGGAACGGTTGTATGATCCGCAGCCTTGGGTGAATCGAACGAATGAGAGAGCTGCGGAGCAGAAGGAGATTACGGTTCATGATAGGTTGAAGGATACGTGTTTTATCTTTGAGGTGGTGGGGTGTGATACACACCACGGCATGCTTCAGCAGCTGCAGCAAGTATCCGAGACTCTGGTTATTGACAGCGGATGTCTTACTCGACATGCATCATGGAACTGCGGATGGATCGATATCTCGGGATGGGTTTCTCTTATTCTTTCTTACTCAACGGCATGCGAAACGACTTGCTCGGCCGATCGAGACATCTTCTACGACGGTTTCTCGTGTTTGCTTGCAACACAACACACACAGGCTCTCTTCGCTCATTCACTCCCCAGCATTTTCCTTATTTCTATTTTTCTTTGGCACGGATAGAAGATACACGGGTTGCAGTGCTGGCGATTCTTATGACTTACAGCAACACGCAATGGCGAATAAAAGACGGTGGCAAATGGGGGAGATTGCTTGCGATGCAATGTGGTGTTTTTCTAGGGGATCAATGGATGGAGGTGGTGGGCGATTTTCGGCCTATTTTTATGCTTTTCATTTTCATTATGCGTACGCGTATGGGCATGGGGATAGTGATTCTTAGAGGAATGGCATGGTAAAATATCGGTAGACAGGTGCATAGCAAATAAGACGTATTCGTCACCACGAGATGTTTCTGAATTGTAAATTTGTGGGTTTAAATATCATCGTATGCTTAGTATCTCTGGCTAGATGACATGAATATGCGCCATGCCGGTACCCGTCATCGTCACTATGGAGGAACACCAGGGAAGTGAAATATGGATGTAATAGATACACACGAACAGACGAAGGCGCTGATGGAGGAAGCAGGCACAGAGAACGTCAAAGACCAGGGGGTAGAATTCTGAAGTGTAAGGAGCCGTATACAGGAGGGCACATGGAAAGAGAGTGCGTGGAATGAATGGTGGGTATTAGAGTTGCGGTGGAGTCTAAAAAGGTGGGTCTCTACAGGGTAGGGATAAGGTTGAAAAATGATATGGCAGGATAAAGGTGGACCTAGGCCGGTAAGATCGAGAAGGGGGGGATAAGAGAAAGAGAGTGGCGTAAGAAAGAGCGGGAACGAAGAAGAGGAGAGTTGAAAAGAGATGAGGGGGATGGGAGGGATGGAAAGGGGGAAGGGGGAAGGGACAAGAAGGACGGGGGCGGGGGAAGGACGGGGGAGGAGAAGGAGGAGGAAGGGAAGGAGGGGGAAGGGGAAGGAGATGATGGGAGTGGAGTGAAGGTGGGGAGAGATAAGAAATAGGGAGAGATAGGAAAGTGCGGGAGAGAAAGGAAGGAAGGGGAAGAGGGAAGAGGAATAGGAGTGTAGAGTGAGTAAGGAACAGAGAGGGAGGGGAAAGAAGTATGAAGACTTGAAAATGGATGGGATGGATGTGTGGAATGACGAGAAATAGGGAGAAACAGTAGCGGAGAAAAGGACTGAAGTGCGCAGGGCTGAGCCGGCATGAAATAGTTCAAAAGGAAAGGAGGGGAAAGTTTATTAGACATGCCATGGCGAGAAGCGGGAAGGAGGAGACATATCAAATCGCGCTTGATGAGCTGGGGAAATGGGAGGGGATTTTGGAGTGTGGAAGTTGGAGGAAGTGGGAAGAGGAGGGAGGGGAGGAAGGGGAGGGGAGAGGGAGGGGAGAGACGAGGTATGACTTAGGATTTGACAGGGGGAAGGGTGATGGCCTCCTTCGTCGGAAGGGCGGCAGCGGGAGGTTAGGGAAAGCGATAGGGATGATGGGATAGGTGAAGAGAGTAGATAAGCCAGCTAAGGGGGTAAGTATAAATACGTGAGTACGGGCATGGGTGTGGAAGGTGCGCAGACTAGATGTTTTGTTACTCGTTAAGAGCGTACAGGGAATGGAATGGCCGATTCCCTTGTGGGAGTATAGGTGCTATCACGATCTTGGTATGGAAATGACTTGATATTTTCCATATAGTCAAACGACTGTACATGCTTCAATTGATAAGCAAGAGTGAGAACAATGAACGGTCTTCTAAGGGAGATGAACGAATGTATCCCCCCATCGAACAGAAGGAAGTCGGTACTTCGTCTACGCCAACACGCCAACGAAAGATGTAGGCGCCTGTTCACTGCAAATAATTTCAGCACTTCCCCTCCGAGACGCAGTGAAAGTCAGACCTTTGCCTGCACCGTCTGCCTATCCTCCATCAACAAATCATTCCCTTGCCCGTGTCTTGCGCGCTCTTCCCTCCTCTTTCTCTCACCCGTTACGCGTCCGATGAGATCGAGTGGGTCCAGGAGTACCATCCCGACGTTTCTCTTTGCACCGTCCTCGCTTGTAGCGGGAGTGACTTTTGACCCTTGGGTGACGGGCTGGGCATGTTCCTGGGTCTCCCAGAAGCGATTCTGTTTGTTGCGCCCTTGGATCAGACCGACCAGGTCGAAGGGGTCGAGGAGGGTGATGAAGAAGTTGCGCTTCTCCTGTGGGAGAAGAATGTTAGTTTGCTCAATGAGATAGGAGGTTTGAAGGCAGAGGAAAGGGTGGGGAAAGAAGGAAGGGAAGAGTGGAAAGGCGGGCCATACCTGATAGCCAGGACCTTCGAGCTCAGTGACGCCATCTTGTGCGAGGTAGACCTTGATTGAGCGAGGGAGAAAACGGCCAGGATGACAGACGTTCATCAGGGTAGTGTTGAGGAGCATAAGGGACCCTTCGAACAGCCAGAAGAACCACTCGTATCTAGGAAAGAGTGTTAGTGAATGATCTGGCGGAATATCAAATAAGGAGAATGTTGACTGGGTGTTTCGGAGAGAGTAGGAGGAATAGATTGGAAGCTTACCGAACCATTGGCGACAGCTCGGACACTTTGAGGTTCGGATCGCTGAAATCGACATTCACAATTTCCCAGTATTCGACCGTACGATAAATCGTGCGTATTAAGATAAGAGTCGAAGAGGCGTATAGCGTGTACAGAATAGTCTTGAGATTCGCAGGTAAGAGACCAGCGCGCTTGCATCGCCGATGAAAAGTAACGGCGAGAGAGACGAAAAAGGTCAGAACCACCAACTGGATCAGAAGCGCAGCCTTTAACAGCGCATGGCCTATATCGCGTTGTGATTTTGTCAGCGAGGAGTTGGATGAGTTGGCGGCGCCGTTGGCATTCAGTGCTTCGACGATGGCAGAGATGAAGCCGAAGGTGGTGATGACGCGACCGGGGTGGATGGGGGAGTGGTAGGGTACATAGTAGAGGATTCTGCCGAGAATGATGTAGTTGGCTAGTTCGTAGATGGGCCTGCAAATAGTCAATGAGGGTATTTGAATTGTGTGGGTGGGGGTGAAGAAGACAGCAAAAGACAATAGATTGGAAGGGGAAAATGGAGACAGAAGGATAGAGTGATAGATGATTATGAAGAGTGAGTCATGGTGACTTACGGAGCAGCGTAGACCAAACAGATGGAGGCGATGAAGACATCAAGATTATCATAGTGAAAAGCACCGGCTTCTCGCGTGGCATAGCCGGAGACGAAGATGAGGGCGGCCCATGGCAGGAGACCTGTGAATTTCCACGACTTGAAGTGGCTGCCGAGATGTCAGTATTACGTTCCGGGACTTGTATTAGGAGGAATGGAGGATCAAGAAATGCAGGAGACGTACATGCATTGCCACAGGTGAATTGCAAAGGATATAGCGAAAAATATTGTGAAGAAGACCGGAGCGACCTTGTTGGGTGCGTAGAACCAGATTGAGTTGTCAACTTTGGTGAGGTCAGTAACCATGCGCTAACATTCGTCAAGAAGAGGTGCCTACCATATTGGCCATTCTCCGCCATTGTGAAAGTTTCCCTAAAGGGACACCAAGAAAGTGTATAGGTTGGAAGACGATGGTTCAAGAGTAGAGTGGAAGTATTCGTTCTCGATGATGCTTCCTGTTGCTATACTATGGCTATGTGTAGATTGGATGTTGTGTGCTGTTTTATATTCATCAGTCGAAGAAAGATCGAATGCAGTTTGCCTCGCAAGCCACGCTAAGCGGTCAGCATTGCGGCTCTGATTGCAGATCATGAAATGCGAAGAGCTTCATATGTATGGATTTGTATGAGGTGACGATTTTCCGCTGCCTATAGCAGGAGATGTGGCTAGCGGTGTCAGTGGGTCAAGCCAGTGCTGCATATTCGGCACGATCCCGCATTAGGAGGCATTTCGCGGCCAATGTGGTGAACGTTTTGGCCGCGCTAAGGAGTAATCAGCCCTGCTTATGTCTTTCGCCCGGTATTCCGAGTGCATGATCGCCCAAAATAAGACTTTCATTTGAATGAGAAAGCCCTCTGGCATGATGCAGCTAAGAGAGCTAACAGAGCTTGGTGAAGATTGCGCCTGGACCAATTTAGAGTCAGGCGTTCTTGCGCGGAATTAAAGCCGGTGAGGTTGACAGACGCCAAGAGTCAGCACCCTAATTATAGTGCTTATGCACACGTGCATGCACATTTAATGAAAATGATAGAGATATGCACAGAACAGGCAAGATGAAGCGTATTGCTATCCACCGTTTCATCTCTGCCACCGATGGTCACTCACGTTACATGCAACGGTCTGCGGGGGCCATGCCTCTTCCATCTAAGCAGCCAATCGCTCATCGATATACGCGAGCCAAGAGTAAGCACTAGAGACTTCTTTCATTAAAAGCGCGTCAATAGGCTATCCCCAATATGGCAAAACACCAACACCAAATTTCCCCCTCTCCGTCCCACATCCGCACAAACCTCGGCGAGTCACTTCTGTTGATAGAAGATATGGAGATGCAAAGACAAGTCGAGAAAAAGCAGACCAGGAGCCAGAGCTGACATTGACCCCCCCCATATCTCCTGTCAGCGATCGTCAAAGCTGAGACTGAGAGCAGCACGAGCCTCTGAGCGATGAAGTTGCCGCTCAGAATCTGCCTAGCCGTGCTTGCAACATTTGTACGGTTCCATCAAGCCACAGCAGCCTTCTGGACGATAATCGACTATGTTGCCGAATCCCTCTCCATCGATGATTCTAGCTTCACGTTCACGAGCTCCATCCATTGGCGCGCCCCGGTGACATCTCCCCCAACTGCCAGCGCGACTTCTACCTCGAGCTCGTCAGATGTGAGCCATGATGCTCTCTACCTGACCAAGTATATCAATGCAGCCAGTGTCCCACCAGATCAGCTAGCGTCCGCGAGCAGCTCACAGACTGATTTCAACGCAGACCTGACTATCACCAATTTCTACCAGCAGGTCATCTATACTGCACCTGCCAATTGCCCCTCGTCATTCCAGTACACCACATCGAAGCTTATCTACGCGCCCCTGGGAGCAGAGACCAATCTCAATCCCACTTCCACAACCTCAAGTCGCTCCGGAACGGACGTCTTTGTCACTGGCTACCTGACCCCCAATGCCGTGCCATCCTCCTTGGATCTGGTAAAGACCACCGATTACGTGCAGAATGATTATATCAACTTATGCAGCAATCCATCAGAGACGGGTGTTAGTCGGGCCCGCACCAGTATTCGCACCGGCACTCGCACCGGCACCAGCTTTGCCACCAGCACCGGCTTGCGATCTGGCGGAGACGACGATTTCGACGATGACAACATAGGCTGCATTGGGTCCCTGTGCCCTTTCTGGCTGATCTACATCGTCATCATCGTGCCCATCCTCGCCCTTCTCATCCTCTTCGGATTCATCGAGTCCTACTTCTGGTTCTCGCGTCTGATGCAAGGCAGGTACGCACTCCGCGGGGTCCCCATCTTCTGGATCTGCATCTCGCTCTGGACACTGCTCTGCCTACGCACCCACCGAGCCGCGCAACCAGACGAACAATCCCGCCTGCAGAAACAATGGCGCGAGATGAGCTTCGGCCAGAAATTCTCGCTGTGGATGAAATACGGATTCCGCCATCGCGACCCGCCTGAACTCGGCACCATGACCGCCCCAGGCGTCTTCACTCCACCCGGGCAACCCCCACAGATGATGCAGCAAGGCCAACCTATGTACTACCAACCACCCCCACCTCCGCCGGGGGGAATGTACTACCCCCAGCAGCAACCCGGGCAGCCGCCCCCACAGCCCTACTACCAAAACCCCAACAATCTCCAACCAAACCAATACGGCCCCCCCGGCCCCCCGGGCAAACAACATCCATGTACTCCGCCGTCTCCCCAGGCACTCACCCTTCGTCCTCCTCCATGTACTCCCCCACCTCCCCGTACCCGGGACACTCCCCGCCACCCCCGGGGACCGCACAAACTTACTACCCCCCACCGCCCGGCGGTGAATCGCGGGAAATCCAGCACAGTCCCGTCAGTCCGACGTCCGCGGTCCATCAATCGGGGCCGACGCCAGAGCAGACGCATGCGCAGCCCGTGCAGGCGCCTACGAGTCCGGTGCACGGAGGGGGGTTTCGCCGCCTACGAGTGCGGGAGAAAAGGCTGGGGAAGGGGGTGGGGGTGGGGTATCAAGCGTATACGCCTGATGACGTGGGAGGAGGAGGAGGAGGGCATGGCGCTGTGGAGCAGGTGGTGCATGGACCGCATAAGACGGGATGATTGAAGGAAGGAAGGAAGTGGGAACGGGGTCGATGGGATGGGATGGGAAGGAAGTGAAGCGGGGGGGAGATATGTGTGTGTGTGTGTGTGTGTGTGTGTGTGTGTGTGTGTTGTGTGTATTATTGAATGAAGCTCGTCGTCACTTTCATTGTACGTAATTGCAACCCCGTCGGATTGGATAGATGGCGGCGCGTTAGGGTAGGGGCAGATAATTAATGTCATATGCCGCGCTGTGTTACGAAGAGCCGCCTCCATGTATCTTCAGTGGGACTTCGTTTGTTCAGTCGGATCTAATTACGATAGGATGTTAAAATCGCCCGAAGAAAACCTATTCATTGCGATACTTTTCCCACCCCACCACCCATTTTCCAGTGCCCAGGACGCTGATGATGTATGTATATATGCACTCGCTCAATCTATCCAAACCCAAGCCTGAAACGATGTCAATCTACCCAACCCAACCCCATCCCCAGCGTACAAGATCAACCCATCCCTTCTCAAGCAATACTTACGCGTTCTTCGCCTGCTCCGCCACATGCTCATTCGACGCATCCTGCCCCGGATTCGCATCCTCATACTCGAAATACTTCGCGAATCGATAGTATCCAGCAGCCGCGAGCGCGCCCATCACGGGGCCTAACCAGTAAATCCAGTGATAGTTCGGGAAATCGCGGTTTGCGACGCAGGGGCCGAATGAGCGGGCTGGATTCAACGAGCCCCCCGTGAAAAACACACCTGCAACGAAAATCAGCCTGACCAACACCCCCTACATCCCCCAAAAGGAGGGGGGGGAACATACCAGCCAATTCCGCCACAAAAAGTGCCAACCCGATAGCGACAGGAGCGACAAACGTAGCCTTGGTCTTTTCCGCGGCCAGGAAGAGGATAGTGAGTTCGAGCTCAGCGGTGAGGAAGGCTTCGATGAAGAGGCCCTGCGCTTTCGAGGTGCCGGGCGAAAGCACAGTCGCGACGTTCATGACGCCGGGGAACATGCATTTCACGAGCGCGGCGGCGACCATGCCGCCGAGCATTTGCGGGAGGAAGAGCAAAGCCCCGCGGACGGGGGGCAGGGTTCCTGCTACTACCATGCCGAGGGTTACCTGTGGTATGTTAGGGTTTGTTGGAAGGGGGAGGGGGAGGGGGAGGGGGGAAGGTGGCTTGAAAGCAAATAGGCGGTGTTTTTTGATTGACAAGAGTAGGGGGAAATGGGGGAACTTACGGCAGGATTGAACAACCCCCCACTAACCCTATAAAACACCCATGCCGTCGTAGCGAGCGAGAACCCGAACGCCAGACTGATAAACATCAATTGATCCAGCGCCGGCGCCGATGACGGCGTGATCTGATTCGCAATCTGCGTCGCTGCCAACGCAAAGAAAAGAAACAGCACCGTTCCCACGAACTCGCCGCTCATGGCGACGAAATGGCCCTCCATTGTTTTGGAGAGAAAGCGTCGTTTCTCTGGTTGGGAGGAATGGTGAGGTGGGTAGCCTCGCTCTGCGTCTGCTTGATGGGATTGGGATTGGGGGTGGGATTGGTGGCGACCTGCGGAGCCGCTGCGTCGGTGGCCAGAGTCATGGTGATGATGGCCTGAGGCGAGGCGGCGGGGCGTTGACATTATGGTGACAGCGTGGTGTGTGCAGATGGATGAGATGGCAAGCGTGGGGTAGGACTATGAGAGTGGTTGCTAATGAAGCTCTGATGTTAATTTGAAAATTTCTGGCGTTGGGTCTAGATCCTTTTGGTCTGACGTTTCTTGATTTGGGCGATCGTTGCGTCATGGTTTGGCGGTGGCTTTCGGCTTCAGCCTTGTCTAATGACGGGGGCTGGCGATTGGTTGGACTGGTTGTGTCTTTGCCTGTTTGGGAGCTGATAGATTATCAGTGGGATGGCAGGAGCGTGAACGTAGGCTTGATCGAGATATATCAGAGTTGATTTTGAATGAGACTTGACGCGAGAACTGCGCGTTCCCACGGCGAATTTCTGGCCAATGAAGTTGACGCTCATGCAGCCCTATGCATAGCCCTGCCGCTAAGCTGTTCATGGTAGCGCTCATTTTTGGAGCATGAACCTTGAGCTACCATTCAAGCTACCCACAACGCTCTAGACGTGAGGAGCTTCAGTCAGCAGGCGGTAGTCTTGACAACACCATCGAGCCGAAGCCAGCACTCAAATCTGGCCAGTTGACTTGGTAGAGCTCTAGCAACCTCCAAAAGCCGCTCCGCTGCCCTCTCCCTCTCCACCATGGGCAAGAGCTGGTAGCCCTTCATCAAACACCACCATCAAATATCTCCCCACAAGAGCAGATTATGTCGACCTCCACACAAGCCCCCTCAAACTCCACCCCTCCCACCTCCACCACCACAGCCCCCGCCCAAGCCGACCCCGATCCCGACCCCGCGCGCACCTCCACCGCACGCACAGCGCTCAAGACCCACCTGAACGCCCTCGGCGCCTCACACACCGCACCTCTTGAGCGGCGCGCCAAAGACATCCAATCTACCTCTACCACCCTCTCCACCCAACAAAGCCAATTGGAAAAAGAAACGAAAGAGCTGGAGAAAGAGAGGAAGGGGTTGGAGAAGGAGGCGGAACGGCATCAGAAGAAATTGAAGGAATTGGGGGATGTGCAGAATTGGGCCGAGGTGCTGGAGAGGGATTTGAGGGTTATGGAAGAGACTGTGCGGTTGGGGGAGGGGGAGGATGTGGAGGGCTGGGAGGAGGGCTGGGAGGATGTGGAGGAGGAAGGGAGAATAGAAGAGGCAGGGGGAGAGGTGGATGGGCGGAAGATAGAGGGAGGAGAAGGTGCGAAGGGGAAGGTGGAGGGGAAGCCGTGATATGCGGGTGGGAAATTTGCGAGCAGGGCTGTCTTGCATGTCGCCTGACTGAGTTGGTTGAGAGTGAAGAAGTCCTATGGACAAGAGTCTGTCGTCGTGATTAATATTGAAATTGAAATATTGGATGAGCTACACGCGATGCAATGAACGTGGCATTGGCCGGAATACAACGCATGACTGTTGATAGAGGTACAGCTCACGTCAATCAAGGCACGCAAATCTTGAGGACTACATGGAACAGACTGTCGAGTAGCATAATCGTAGTCTCAATAAGGTATCAACCATCCCGTTCCGTGACTTATGACATACACTTAAATGCCCGATCTGGGATGAGGCGTACTCGGCAAGCGAATCCCCACTCCACTGATAGGGCCAAGCATAAGCCGGAGTAAAACTCCTGAGAGATATCCCTATCCAAGCCTAGGAATCATTTTTGCACATGTCTAGTCCTACATCATCGCAGCCATCTGTATCTGTCACACGACCTCAAAAACCTCTTGCAATCCCCGCCCCACCAAGACGCACCAAGACGCCCCAAGACGCCCCAAGACGCACGATGGTCTCCAACCTGATCCCGCCGAGGCCAAGGCCGTCGATTGGCGGCAGGCAAGGTAGCAAAGTATTTTCCATGAGTAATGTAAGTCCACGATCTCGATGAGTCGTTCAGCAATTGCCACGCACAGCATTTCCTTGGCTAGGCATATCACATTCGTTTTTCATACAAAAAGAACGAACAGATCAAGCCGGTAGCTGTGCCAACCACACATCATCTGCCCGATCAGCAACTCGGTCGAGGTCATGCGCGGCTTCCTGTACCCTCGTGCATGACGAGAACGACAACGCTTTCTGAACGCAAGTACATGCAGAAAGAAATGCTTTTTCCTGCCTTGGAAGTGGCGGGTAAGAGCGGGGTGACTAAGCAAATGACTTCTCTTGGCATGGATGGTCTAGCCGATATTTTCCGCTGGTCCATTGACCTTCTCCACAACGTCAGGATCTTTGAGGGCTACAAAGCGCCACGCAATTTACCTGCTCTCCCTACCGACCAGGCGAGACCTGTTGATCTCCCCTGCACCTATCGCTCAAGCTGCCTCGGGAACCTCGTGCAGGTGAAGCAGTGACGCACTGCACTCGAACAGCTTTTCTCAATTGGTTGTCGTGTGCCTACTTGCTTTGTGGACTGCCTCTTTCGCCTTTCCTCTTGCCTCGTTGCTGCGGCCATGATCAAAAGACCGTCACATCTCTCTACACACGCCCATTCTTTACTCTTAGAAGCATCCATCCCTCCTAAACACCGTCTCCTTCATGAAAGACTACTGCGGCTCTCTCGATTCGATGACGACCAAAAGAATCATGACTAATCATATGGGGGTAAAGGTCGAGGACACTCGAATATGTGTGGTTATGGTTGGTTTGCCCGCACGGGGCAAGTCACTGATAGCACAGAAAGGTCAGTACGCCCTTAACACAAATGCGCTTTGTTCCAGCTGACATGGCTTTACGCAGTCGTTCGATACCTTGGATGGCTCTCAATACCCGCAAAGAACTTCAACGTTGGTACCTACCGCCGAGCAGACACACCTGCACCCAGCGCAGACTTCTTCGACACTTCAAACAAAGAGGGGGAGAAGATGAGACAAGCAGCAGCAAGAGCAGCGGTGGCAGACATGGTCAAATGGTTCAACGAAGGGACCGGTACGGTAGCAGTCCTTGATGCTACCAACTCCACAAAAGCGAGGCGACGTTGGGTCAAAGAGTGGTGTGATGAGCACAACATCGAAACGCTTTTCGTGGAATCAAAATGCGACAACGACGAGATCATCATGGCCAACATCCTTGAAGTGAAAACTACCTCCCCAGACTACATAGGCCAAGACCCAGAGACAGCAGCGAAAGATTTCCGCAACCGTATCCGCAACTACGAGCGCGTTTACCAAACCATCGACGAAGACGAAAAAGACCTCACCTACGTGAAACTCATCGACGTCGGCTCCCAAGTAATCATCAACAACATCCAAGATTACCTGCAGTCCCGGGTAGTCTACTACCTCATGAACCTCCACATCCGCCCCCGCAGCATCTGGCTCTCCCGCCACGGCGAATCCCAATACAACCTCGACGGCAAAATAGGCGGGGACTCGCAACTTTCCGAGCGAGGCGAACTCTACGCGTCCAGACTCCCAGAATTAGTCGCCAATTCCGTCGGCGACGACCGCCCCCTCACAATCTGGACCTCCACCCTCAAGCGCACAATCGCCACCGCGCGCCACCTCGCCTCCGCGAAAACCCACTACAACAAGCTCGAATGGAAAGCGCTCGACGAGATCGAGTCGGGCGTGTGCGACGGGCTGACCTACGCCGAGATCGCAGAGCAATACCCCGAGGACTTCCAGGCGCGCGATGATGATAAATACAACTATCGCTACAGGGGGGGTGAATCCTACCGGGACGTCGTGATTCGGTTGGAGCCTATCATCATGGAGTTAGAGAGGAGCGAGAATATCATCATCGTGACGCATCAGGCCGTACTGAGGTGCATCTATGCGTACTACATGAATGTGCCGCAGGAGCAGAGTCCGTGGATGGAAGTGCCGTTGCATACGCTGATTAAATTGACTCCGAGGGCGTATGCGACGGAGGAGACGAGGGTTCCCGCTATGATTCCGGCGGTTAGCACGTTTAGGACGAAGGGGAGTACGGCGAAGCATCAGTAGGGAGGAGGATGTGGTCTAGCACCAAAAAGACGGGTGCTGTGAGGGGGAACATCTGAGGAACGAACGGGTTGAGGGCATATGCTTGGATTGTGCGAAGAGGCATATTGGCTAGGTCTCTACAATGTGCCTCACATCTGGAGTAGACGATCTTGTTATTTAAGGCCGGAAGAGAGATGAAATTCGGTGGAAATAGAGCACGTGAGATGGAGCTGTCTCTTGAATAGGAAGACAGATATTCTCAATCCTCTCGTTCCTTGTATATGACCTTCCAATGCCTCTCTCATTGCCCATTATACCAATGCCTGCTCAGTCCAGCGAACGTGGAGGTTCGAATTTGCGGTGATGGTTGGTCGTGGATGCAAGCATGGTTAACAAAACATCGCTTGTAGTATTTCCGTACCTGCCTGTTACTCAACCGAAGCCTGGCTGAGCGGATCATCGACGGTGGTAGGCCGGTCCCGCCTCTCCTTGCGAATTTCAAGTCTACCAGGACCTAGATGCATAAGCTTCCACAGATTCGGTTGGCTCAGGGAGTGTCCTGCGATAAAGGGGGTCGAGCTCAGGTGTGTATCTTTCCATGAGCCTCTCCCATCGCTTGCGGCATGCATAAGGCGTCTTATCACGAATGTAGTCAGAAGCAATAGATTGCCAAGTGTAGCCATGGGAGCGAAGCTGTAGGAGAAGGCGGTCGCTTTCTGGATTCCATGCTTCAGGGACGACAGGAAGTTTGAAAAATTCATTCATAGACTCCGTTGTTAGAGGATTTTTATGTTCTTCTTCCCGAGGCTTGGGTATGAGGTTCGGAGGGACGGCTGCAGGGTTACTGATAGCTGAGGCTTGAAAAGGACCTTGATCTGAAGTTTCGTTGATTGGATAAGTTCCTAGAGGCTCCTCGCCACTTTCTTCTTGAGGCCTAGGTATGAGGTTCGGAGCACTATCGAGGCGTCTATCTAGGTTGTTGTCCTCGGAAAACCAAATTCCGAATCGTTTCGGGCAACCATCTTCAGTATGTCTGATCATTGGTCAACAACGTTGTCAAAAGAGATTGGCTCGATAATCACCTTCTCAGGGTATCTCTATGGGCAAAACGAATACCACAGAGATTGCAGCAGTGATTCTTCGCCTTTAGATGCACACTGTCGTAGTGCCTCTCTAGATCGCTTTTCCGCTGAAATTTCTTTGAGCACTGCTGACCGTTCACTTGTGCAGTGCACGGATGTGGATACTTGCGGTCTGGGTTGTGAGTCTCCATATGTGATTTCCAGTTATAACTCCGCTTGAAGAGCTTTCCGCAGACTCGACACTCATAGGTGGCTTTTTCAGGCGCAGTACACCGGCGGTTCTTCTTGATGGGTAATACAGTCGGAAGAACGGGAGCAGCATCGAAGCGTCCCCGTGGGTGCTCATCTATCGCAGCAACTCCTGGCATAGCTTCAGCGCCTGAAAGATTGTTTGCCCAAACAGGAATCGCAGCATTTGCGTTCGGAGACTGGCTTCCACCGCCATGCCGATCCAAATTGTGCCAGCCTAAGTCACCATTGTTTGTGAATCCTGGTAAGTCTTCGCAGCCTGGCTCTTTACAGACGAAAGTAACCTCAAGCTCTGTCTGTTTCTCTGTATATGTGTCCTCTACATCCTTCCTTGCAGATGGCAAGACTGCCTCGGTGTTTTCATAGTTTACTAGAACGTCTCCCGGCGCTACAACTTGCGGAGAGCCATAGGACGAGTCCGTCGTGCCCGCTTCATTTGTAAATTTGGAATCAGGTCTGAATGGTGATTTCTCAAAATCTGACTCCTGCTTTTGAGATTAATGTCAGAGATTTGGAAAAAGCTGCGAACAGAGATGCATGACATTACCTCTACGTTTTTAGCAGATTGCATATCCTGTTTCGTGTTTAGCCTTGTGTCGCCAACTTGGTGGTGGATAGAGGGCTACCTTAGACGATTGTTTCTTGATACTCCGCTCAATTTGTGGACTCTTTCCGGTCTTCCTAGAGCTGCACTTATCATGTGCCAAATGTCCATCAAGGGCTGTCTTGCGTGTAAACTCAGCACCACACCTAAAACAGACAGCTTTTGCCGACTTTCCAGACATCTCGCGCTGGTGGCGTAGTAAATTACTGAAAGTTGAGAACATCCGCCCATTACAATTGTGATCCCAGCATTGGGGTCTTTTTGGTGAAGATACTCCAAAAGTGGCGGCAGGAGTGACTGCTGGTTGTTTAAATGCAGGCAATGATCGATCTGTCGATGGCAGTGCTTCGTATTCTTGGCTTGCTTGTTGATTCATTAGGTACGGAAAAGAAACTTGTGTCAGCTGTTTCGTCACAGGATCTCGCTTGAATGTATAATCCGGGTGAGAACCTCGCCTTTTCCCCGCTTGATGATCTTTTGACATGGCCTTGAGGTCTTCTAATTGATCCTAGTGAGTTTTAGCGAGAAGTATCGATAATGTCAGAGTCTTCAACAGGCCATACATTTGTGAAAGGATGTTCAGCTCTGATCATATATTGCAAATGACCCTGCAAGTATTAGCATGCTGAAGAATCACGGAGACTGCATCAGACCTTGGTCTTCCAATGCGACACCTCTGCATCTTTGCCGAGCATCAACCGTACCTGTTGTTCAATCACATTCTTGTCGATATCGTCGACAGGAACAAAAAACATTTTTCTCGTCGACGTTGGTTGTACACTATTGTCAAAATGTCCAGATCTATTCTGTTGGATTGGCTTCAGACTATCTATCCTTTCCTTACTTTGGTTCCAATCAGAATGCGGAGCATTGACTGTAGAAGCATCTTTCGTCTTCGGAGCTCCAACCTGAAAGCTCCTCCGAGACTTAGGCACTGGAGTTTCATACGACTGCCAGGGGCTGGAATGACCTAGCCGAGCATCTTCTCGAAGTCCGCTCAGAAAAGTTTCATCAGTATCTTCTAAATTTTCAGATGTGGGATTCTTGGGATTCTCGCGAATAGTATTTGGATCAAGTTCTTTTGGCGACCAGGGGTTAGGGAAAAATGGGGTAGGCAACGGGCCTAACTTCCTATCTTTATACCTCTTTCCGTCTGCGACCTTTGCATACTCCTGTAGCTGTCTTCCACTCTTACCCCTTGCTGCATCGGTCTCCCTGAAGTAATGATTTTGGATCTGAGGATTGTGTTAGTTAGGATCATGAAATCTTGCGTTTGCACAAACCATTTGTTGAGTTTTCGTTCCCATTGATACAGCGATTTCTTGGAAGTCAGTCCCAAGATGCTTTACGTATTGTGGGAAGTCAGTCATTTCTTGTACAGACCCAAAGCCGCTCGTCACTCTAGGCTTTTGGATAGCGGTCCACTGCTGTCCATCAAAAGGGCTCTCGCTTGGCTGTCGTTCAGAGGGTATTGGTACAGTATCATTTTCAAGCTGAGTTCGCGAGAAATCTTTGTTCGCTTGGCCTGTGTGCTGATGTTGATCAGGCTGTGGATCGATCTTAGCCCACAAGTGTTCACAGTGTGAGAGAATAGGTTGAGTAGGATGCAGAATGCCTAAGATTCCTAGAAGGCCACCAAAAACTCCTTCCCGTTGTTCTTTTGCCATCTGAGGGCCGGAGCGCATATTGGAGATCACTTCGACTGCTTTGGACATTGCCTCAGATGTGAAGTCAATATCATATGGAATGCGCCCTTGCAGCTGCTCCAGAAATTGCCATTCGTCAGGGTAGTCTTCTGGACCGTATAACATATTGCGTGCCATAGTTTGGGCGGCTACTTCCTCCAGGCTTATTTGGCTGTCCTCATTATCATCCGAGTCCTCGTTTTCACTGCCATCATCAGCTACAGGGAGCGCCATGAGAGCGATATCCTCCATATGTCTGCCCACGTGCTTCAAGAATGATCTTTTCGTAGTGGCAGGCTTTTGTCTGCAGAGAAGGCACTCCTCTTGGTCAATCGGACGTGACCGAGGCTTTTGGGTCATCATTTGGTGTATCAAATGGGATGATTCTGCTATCTCAACCTGGTGCTTGAACTTCAGATGATTTTTGCAGCCTGACATATCTGCAAAAAGTAGGCTGCAAAGTAGGCATTGCCATTCTGTTTGAAAGCGATGCTTTGAGAATTCATGATCTGCCCATACAAGCCGAGACGTGAATTGCGACAAGTAATCTGCGCAGTCTTCGTGTGTACAGATATATGGCCGTAGGTCAGAGAAAATGTGGATCCTGGATCAAATCAGCGCACGAGACTTAATAACTAACCTTTGACTTACTTCCAATCAACCCGATTTTTTATCTTGTACTGCATCTGTCCACAGTACTTGCACGAGAATGGTACGCCGCGTTTCACCTCTTCCGGTGCAGACGGTACACGAAGGCGGTTGATATCGCCCGTCGCATTACTTGAGATGAAAGAGGAATGTGATTGTACGGAAGCGGCGTAGCGCAAGCTGCCCGTTTCTGTCGTCCCTATGCCTGAATCATTAAAAACGGATTTGGGCTTGACAGTGCTGGTGTCATTAATCTCGATCTGTGGTTGCCCTGTTTCTACCTGACGCAGTCGATTGTGTCGCTGCCAATTGGCTTCCCCAAGGCGCTCTACTAGTTGCTTAGGAGCATCCTTGAACTTCTCGCCAACAACTTGAACATAATAGTAGGCCGGACCCGAGACAGTGAACTGCTGGGCAGGAACGGCTTGCAGATTTGAGTTCTGATTTCGTTCGATGCAGCATTGGATGGTCGGGGTCAACTCAAGTAGACACTTTGTTTGAAAGCCTATATCATCTGGCAGGTCACCCGCTTCATCACTCGAGTCGTTATCGCTTTCATCAGAGCTCGCAGTTTCCGAAACCGCACGCGATCGCTTGCACCTAGAATGCTGCTTTAACTCATGTGGAAGAGTCACGACTGGATGCTTGTCGATGATTGAGCTGTCTTTGAAATCCCTTGCTGGATTCGCTTGTCAGCGGGATGGGCAAGGCAAACGCGGCAAGACGGCAGTTCAGACTGCTTGGACGTCCAGTGAGCGTCACTTACCTTGCTCGAGTAGCCTCCCAATTTCGACAAGATACTGGAGGATTTTGGTCTTGAGGTCGTCTGCTTGGTCTAGAACACGATCTACGACCTCCAGCGCAACCTCGTCACCCCAGAGCTGAAATCTGGCCAATTCATCCCGCATAGCAGTTGAAGATATTCCCAAGGACAGATCTGGGGTTGTTTGATTTGTGTTGTAACAAACGAAACGAAAGGCATCTAAATTCGACTGGTATAAAACTGAAAGCGGCGCTGAGTGCGGGGACTTGTGTGATTCAGCAGCGCCGTTGCCTTCATCCTTTCGGATTGCCTGAAGCCAGCTTTCAGTGTAAGTAAGCTTGGCTTCCGCATCCACTCGCTGAGCAGCATGTGGTTTCAATGCCAATGCCATAATGAATGAGGGATCCTCCGAGCTTCCTCGATCTCAAGATGATTGTCGCATTTGATCTCATGAAGTTCATTGTCAGACACAAGATGGAAATCCCCAACTTTGCGCCCGAGGGAACATAAGCCGAGACCGTGGGCTATTCAGCCTTATTATGCAGCCAATATGCGTGCTAAAGAGCTAGCCTTGTCGCCCAAATTCTGCCTGACAAGGTGCACTGCCCCGTTTCATCGCCACGCAACCCTGCTTGCAAGGAGAACTGGTTCCCCAACAGTAGTCACTTTGAGTCTTTATATCTGACATTTGGATTAAGACCACCGTATTGATTGTACACTCAATTGTGCTCGCCGTCCAGCGGGAGCGATGTCGGGCGTGGAGGTGGCCGGCTTGGCGATTGGTCTGCTGCCAATCATCTTTTCCGCCATCAATAACTATCAGAGCCTGGTCTCGCGGCCGTTTTCTCGCTATTCATCGTTCTCTAAAGACGTCGACAGATACTTGACGAGACTGGATAACCAAAGAGTCATCTTTCGTAAAGATTGCTTCCTCCTGCTATCGGACCTGGTCAATAGTGACGACGCTGATTTGATGCTTGCGAACCCTGAAGAATATCACCAATATTGGTCTGACGAAGGATTGGACTATCAATTGGCTGACATCCTGGGTGAGTCACGACAACAATGTATGCGAACACTTGAGCAAATAGACTCCATTCTTGCAGACATCGAGCAAGAACGAGTAAAGTTAACAAAAGCGCTGGAAAATGAAACCGAGGTGACATCTCCTTCGAACGGTTGCTCCAAAACGTTGTCACTCTGACATTTTAAATTAGGGGGATAGAGAGAACAAGATACTCGCGAAGACTTGGAGGAGGCATGTCAGAGCGAAGCTGAAGTTCTCTTTTTCGGAGACACGTCTCTCACAAAACCTGAGCGCAATGACTGATTTCATACATGACTTTAAGAACCTACGGTCATCGTTAGACAAGCCATGCAGATCCATGAAGCTCAATGATGTTTCCTCACAGGGCTCGAAATCCCGAGAGCTCCAAATGCATCAGACGATAGGTGAAGCGTCTCAAGGAGTCTATGAAGCGCTCCAAAGTGCTTGCAATAAGCACATCGAGCACTGCGCACATCTTTGCGTAGAGGTAGAGCAGGTCAGTGGAAGGAGCGTGTCTTCGCCACAATTCAAATTTAGTCTGTCATATACCAGCGTGGCGGCGCAGACTGAGCCCTTGTGGTTCGCCATCGAGACGGTAATGAATGAGATCGTGCTGGGTGCTAGGCAGACCAACGTTTCATGCGATAGTCATGAAGTCAGATCACTGAAAAGGTCCCGAGAGCCAGGACCAGAGCCTCCATCCAAGGAGAAGAAGGGCAAATGCTTGAGGTTTACCATACCACCCACAATTGACATGAGGCTACCGCAAGCCACGCCCGTTGATCAAAATTTGGCAACGCAGGATCGAATCAATGGGGACTTCTGCGACTTCCTGCGTCGACACTGTCGCTGTTCTGGCAAGCAAAGTACGAAAGTCGGCATCTTGGGGAACAAAGCAAGGTGGAAAAGCCTGGTGTATCCAATGGAGCCGAAAGCCAAGACTCAGCATCTTCAATCGATGTCGCTCCGAAACATCATCTCGCTGATATCAAGAGATAATCTCCGGCGTTTCTCGATATATGAACGTCTTCATCTCGCCAAAACCATCTCTGTTGCCTTCCTCCGACACCACACCACGGAATGGGGCCGAGCATGCTGGGAGAGCGAAAATATATGCTTTTTCGATATCAACCAGGACGGCACCGATAAGCCGATACGGCTGACATCTCCACACCTCAATGCCAGGATATGTGGACCTAATGGTACGCCGCCGGCTAGTCAAAGGACCAATGCATCAGGCTCTCGCAACACGTTACTCTTCAACCTCGGCGTACTCTTTCTGGAGATTGCGCACTCGGCAGACTGGGAGACCCTCAAAAGACGGCATTTCTCCCACGTTGAAGATCAGGGGACGTATGCAGATTTCCTCCACGCTCGAAAGCTGGCCAAGATGAGATCCTCTGGGATCCCTGGGAAATATCACGACGTGATTGAGAGGTTGATCGAATGTGACTTTGCTCAAGGTGATGATTTGAGTAAGCCAGGTCTGCAGGCTGCTTTCCACCGTGATGTCATTGGGCCGTTGGAGGATGTTGAGACGCGGTTGAAAGAGCTGAATTTGGACGAGTAAGTAGGATGCTGACGGACTGGGAATTTACGTGCGTGATTCGCGGGCTATCGAGTCTTGAATGCGAATGCACCGCATCATAGAAGCCTACCCAGACTTTGTGATATGTAAATGGGACCAATGGAGGTCAGAAGGCATCGGCGAAGTTCAAGCAGGTGTAAGATGGAAGAGAGATTTTGACGCTATCCCAAGAAGGCTAGCTAGCTTCTCAAAAAGGACTAGTGATCGGAGCGCAATATCCAGCATCCGATTGCTTTTACATTGCATGAAAGGAGGTTTGATTGAACAGTCTTATATACCCTTTCTACGTTCCTCTCGAAACACGACACCGATTCCAACCATACAGCCATTGCCCATTGTCGGACACATTCTTGAACATGAGGCTTCTCTCCCTCTTCCTCCCGATGACTTACTATCGTCTCTACCAAACCCCAAGATCCTACAACATGGCAAGTGATCTATATTCGTGGATCAAACGCTCAACCTTCTCCTCAAGGATCAAAATGTCATTAGGAGCTGATCACCCTACTGGCTGCCGGCGACAGCCACTAGAGCAGCGTACGCTCCGAAGCAGCAGGAACAAAGTCGCCATATCAGCCACCAGTCCGGGGATCTCCTTGATAGTTAGACCAGAATCGAGCCACAGCTGAACGAAACAGGAGTTCATTTTCGAAGTCATCTTTGAAGTAATTTAATACCGCAAATTCCTCCCTTGTCAGAATGTAAGTTGTAGGGTTATGGCGGATTCTGCTCCACACCCTGTCTTTCTCCTGATGCAGCAGTTTGGGGGCGGCATTCGGTGCAATATTTTGGTCTGGAGCAAGTTCTAGTGCTTTTGAGAAGGTCAAAGTATCGCCTTTCTCCTCCGCTTCAAGATATTCTTGGGGAAGGGTTTTGTTGATCTTTGCCTGGCCACTCCCGTACTTTTCAACCTCAGACTTTGTGATAGGACCTGGATCTTCCTGATCCAGATCAGACAAAGGCTCAGGACTCGTAGAGTATCTCATATGATGTATGCACTTACAGCATATGTCAGTACAAATGCTATGCGTACGGATTGAATACTGACCTTAGTTTTTGCTTTCCTGCAGTATGTGCAAGAGCGAAAGCTCGCCATACGCTTCTCAGCTGTCTGCCTTCGTTCTTCGTCCGTCACTTGCCTACGGCTTCTTCGTGGTTCTCGGTTCTCAACTTTTGGAAGCTGGCCTTGGCCTTTGATTTGACTTTCCTGGGGTGGATCAAGCACTGTGCTGTGAACATTTGACGTTTCTGGCCTGCGCTCTTCCGATGAAAACCTTGGCTCAATCACAGGTGGTGAGGGGTCGCCAACGATCCATGACCGATCTGGTGTTCTGCCCGTTAGTTTCGTCAAAGTTTCATTATCAATAACCCGTTTCCGCCAGAAATGTCGTAAGAGATTGAAATTAGGGCTAGCATGTTTGAGAGTATGACCAATTCGATGATGACCCGCAACATGTAGCATTCGTTCTCTCCATGAAACGTTACCATCTTTATAGCCGAAGGTCCATTCACAAAAGCAACATGAGTTCTCCTTCGGAGGCTCGAATCTATATTCATCTGGACCATTAGTTACGAAATGATCCAAGCTATGTTCAATCCATGCAGCCTCGTGCTCTAATTGAAATTCAAGTCTGCAACCCAGGATGTCGAAGGGGCACGGCAGGACAGGTATGAGAGGAGGTAATATGGGCGACTCTTTCCCATCTGATGGCGTTGGATCTCGGACCTTATCAGTTCCAGTAAGCTTCACCTTCATTGATGCTTCAGAGTCTGCCGATGAATTGCCTTCATCATCCATCTCAAGGCGAGGTATCGCGAGAAGCGCAACCTCTTCCATGTGTTGGCCGACATGCGCAATAAAATTCCGCTTATTTGGAGTTGAGAAGTTATGGCAAAGATGACATTGCTCTGTTTCTACCAGTCCAGGTGTAACCTGCAGCGCTTCGCATAGGCGAGTTTCGACCGAACTGCCTTCTATAGCAGCTTCATCGTGTGTATGTTCTTCCATGAAATGTTGCCTCCACGCTGCGGGATCTCTAAGTGATGTCTCACACTCAGGGCAAATCCATCTAGTCTGGTAGCGGTGTTGTGAAAACTCGTGCTTTGCCCATTCTTCACGAAATGCAAATCGAGTCAAGTATTCGGCGCAGTCATCATGAGTGCATATGTATGGCCGTAGATCAAAAAAAACGTGCCGCCTACATTGAAAAGAGTCAATCTTCTGTCATAGATGTTAATTATCCCTCCGAACACTTACTTCCATTTAACTCGACTATCAATGTTCGTTTGATTTTCGCTGCAATATGGACATGGTTCGGAACCTTCCACTACTCCATCAGGGACAGACGGAACTCGTAATTTGGTAGCAGAAGATCTTGTTTCATCCGATTTGAAGGATGAATGCGATTTGATAGACATGATCGAAGCCGGATATCGACTCTCCCCAGATCGATTCGATTCGTACCCAGAGTCACGAAATGTATAAATTGGCTTTGAGACCTCAATCTCCACCTCCGGTGTCGGATCACATGTTTCCTCAACGTCTTTAAAATCACGCAATTCCGCATGACGCTGCCAATTGGCTTCACCCAGGCGCTCGACCAATTGAGTTGAAGCTTTAGGAAACTTGTCTCGCACAAGCATAATGTAAGCCTGGGCTGGACCTGAAGTAATAAAGCCTTCAATAGGAGGAACCAGCGGAACTCCTGTTTTCAAGTGCTCGAAGCATTGCAGGATAGAAGGCGTTGCTTCGAGCAAGCTCTTAATGTGGAACGCAATGGACTCAGGTATGTGAAAGACTCCTTTCTCCAGACAAACTTCTCCGTCGCTAGTATCTGAATCGCTATCATTTGAGCAATCGTCCTTGATCTCAGCAAAGCCATCTTTTAACGAATCCAGCATGACCATTAGTTCAAGGCGCACCTCATGAATGCCGTGTGCTGGGGCATCCACAATAACACCTTGAGAAACCCGATCAGCCTTCGCATCACGGCAAGATCCATGGTTACAGTATCCTCGTCATAGGAGACTTACTAGACGAAAGTAGCGTGCCAATGTCAAACAGCCGCCGTAAGACCGTACTTTGTAGATATGGGGAAAAGTCCAAGGCTTTATCTATGGTGTCCATATTGATATCGACTGCCCAAAGATGGAAACGAGCGAGCTCATTTCGCATATGACTTTCTGGGATTCCAGGCTTGATCTTTGGCGATCTGGGATTGCAGGATACTTTCCAAAATTCGTGACAAATCTTGTAGAGACGGGCGATGGTTCCTCCTGCTCCATGGTCCAAGATTGCTTCATCACCAGAAGCCCTGCTTGCCCACTCTCGTATGGAGGACGCTTTTGCATCCATATGATCAGCTGCAGGTACAAGTATTGGCGTGAGGAAGATTCATCGGGGTCTTTTTCGTTGGCAGGTGGAATGTTGTGGTAAATAGCTGCGTGGGCTTAGCCGCCGGCGACCAGGCTGACGGGCGCTCTCTGACTCTAAATTTAGATTCCCAAGTCAATGCAAGCCTTACCTAGCGTCATTTGTCTTCCTAGCGTTATCCCGTCAGCCTCCCCAGGCTGAATTGCTCTTTCACAAAATCTCCCTCGTCCCCCCTAACGACACTCGGCAACATTGGAGCCAATTTATGTCGCGCTAGATATCGAGACTGGGGATCGAAGTCTGATCATGGAGTATGCTGGGGTGGCTATTGGGGCGATTGGTCTGCTTCCTATTGCTTTAAAAGGTTACAGGAGATTCTGCGGGCGGCCTCTCTCCAGATTCGTCAAATATTCTGAAGAGATTGAACTATATCTAATTCGACTGAATAACCAACACGCCTTTTTCTGTACAGCCCGCAAGAAAATACTGTCAGACGCCGTTGGAGACCATCAGGCTGAGTCGATGTTGTGTAATGATGAGCATCCATTGTGGTCAGATACAAAGGTGGAGCAGCGCGTTGCGAGCCACCTAGGACCCTACTGGGAGCGCTGTATCAAGTCAATATCCCAGGTTGAAGAAATAATGGACAACATAAAGGCAGACTCTAAAGCGCTTGCACGAATATTGAAGGCCGAGAAGGTATGCACATATCACGGTGCTTGAAAGTGGTAACCTCTCATGACTTACGTTCTAGAAAGAGTGTAAATGTTCAGACTCGCCAACACATGACTGGACCGAGAATTTTTACACTAGAATCAAGTTTGCCTTCTCGGAATCGCGCCTTGAGCAGCGCTATATAGTTTTGAGAGATTTGGTAGCAGATGTGAAGGCTTATTGCTTGCCTCATCCCCTGACTGAGGGATCGGTTGGAAAGGTACGAGGCTCTACCCTTGGAACTCACTTGAACAAGATCCAAGATCTTCGAAATACGGGAGAAGCGTCTCAAGGAGTATACTCTGCGCTTACGAAGGCTTGCGATAAGCATATAAAGCATCAGGCACACTTCTGCGTCGAGGTCCAAACTCCTGATGCGGCATCTTTCGAGGTAGAATTTACGTTAGCGTTCACAAGTGGAAATACTCATCATCTGCCTCAATGGATAGTCATACGCACAGCATTGAACAATTTGGTACGGCCTGGTGAAGCGGCGTTCCAATGTAGCGAGATAAATGGAAATCAGAAGCGCCGACTGGGGAACACAGGTGATGAATCGGACCCTGAAAGTCAGAGGAAGAAAAAGAAAAAGGGGAAGCAAGTGAGACTCCGATTGGGAACAGCCGCCGCTTGCTCGAACTGTACACTGCCTGTGCCAATAGGGCAAAAGACGTACGAAATCATTGCCAAAGGCAATCTCTGCGATCTAATGCGCTCATGGCATCAAAGTTCCGACGATGTATCTTCTACCACTTTCGTATTGGCCGATATCTGTGGTCAAAAAACATTCCTAAACCCCGGAAAGCCCCCTTCGCACCATCGGAGTTTGAAACCAATGTCATTACGTGAGGTCATCGCGTTGATCGCTCAGGGAGATCATCGAAGGCTCTTTACCGTAAATCAAAGACTGAAATTAGCTCGTACCATATCATTAGCATTCTTGAGATACTATCCAACGTCATGGGGCCATGCGTGTTGGGAAAGCAACAATATCAGCTTCTTCGATGTCAACGAGACAACGCCTGAACAACCAATTCAGCTTACTTCCCCACACCTTCAAACCACAATCTGTGAATCGGATGCCGTCTCTAAACCAGATCTAGGGTCTACCCCTGAACTCAGCGGCGTACGAAATTCATCACTTTTCAAACTTGCGCTCTTGTATCTTGAGATAGCGTACTCCCAGAGTTGGGAGACACTAATACGAGACAATTATAGCCGTCATAATCCACATGGCGACTACACTGAGTATGATCTAGCGATGAGGCTTGCCAAAGGTACAGATAGTGGAATGCCTGTTCGATTCCATAAGATCATCGAGCAACTGATCGCGTGCGATTTCGCCCAAGGCTTTGACCTTGTGAGCGAAGACCTGCAAGCAGCTGTTCACCGTGATGTCACAAGCCAATTGGAGGAGCTCGAAGAGAGCCTACGGAGGCTTGATTTAGACGAGTGATGAGGCCACATCATGTCACTGAACACATCACACGACCACCTTCTGGACACGTTTCGGGCACGAGAACTTCCCATCTCCTTTGGCTAGCGAGGTTCTCAACTCCTCAAGCTCACCAATCAGTCAAACCTTTATTTGAACTCTGGGCAAATGCAGAACTGTACACCAATTGCATCTGTATTCGAAATGACAACGAGCACGACCTAGGACAGTTATAAGGTCAATCGAGCTGAGGCGCGCTTCCACCTTGGCCAGTGATCAGCCAGAAGGCAAAACTTTGACAGACCGAGCTTCATCACAAATTCATATGGAACTAAATCATGATGACGTCCTAAGAAATCAGACACATATCTTTTAGATACTGTGACCAATTGACTCCAAGGCTCTCAACTCATGTGAACTATTTCCAGGATCTCCAGAACGATTCTTTATTCTGCTCTCGTAACACATCCCCCACCTTCTCCATAGCCTCCTTATGTAACAGCGTTCGAGGCTGCCGATCCACCTGCACTTGTAGCACAGTCAAGAGCCTGGTCCCGAAGCTTCTTGATGAAAGTTCTATGCCTATCCTAGACTAATTAGCCCTCGGAACATCATCGAGGACTGACTTAAAAAACTCGCACGACCTCTGACAGTCCTACCATTTAAGGCAGTCGAGATATGCGCCTCAAACATAAGTGGAGAAGGGTCTATTCCGCAGGTTCATGAATGGCAACCCATACAAGTAAGCCGGAATGTCACACAGCGATATGAACAACCTAGTATAGTGGGGTGCATGATCTCGGTGTAGCTGTAGCTCGCCTTTGAGCCAGAGCAAGACCACTCTGTTGACCGAACTAGTGTTGGCTTAGCGATGATGTAGTCTCATTGGGTGCTAGACTAGCTCGTGGCTGCCATGCATACACCGAAGTGGGGTTCACATGACGAGTGCACAAGGCTGAGCTGTCACTATCTTGCTCTATTGATAAGAGTCTAGGATATCCTCAAGTCATCCATCATCCCGCACTGTGAATGAGTAACATTTTGGGGGACTGTGAGCAAGGAAGACAAGCATTCACGACTCCATTGTACTATTTCTCCGCCTTTTGTTGTGCGGCTGAAAGTCTCCCTCTCCATCACACCGATTCATCTGGCTCTTGATCTCTGCTCAGAAATCACGAAGGGTAAAGCTGAGCTCGTAGAGCTGCACTACTAGACGCAGAACCCTGTCATTAAGAGCCAAGCAGCTCTTGGAAGTAGAGCATTATACAAAGCATCTAAAGTCTTTGCCAATGTGAAGTATCCAATTTCTATTATTAACCAAGGAGAAACTTTTGCGTATATTTGAGTCATGTCTTTAGTCTTTTGCAAATCTTCTCATGCGGATCGAGCTCTTACTCGACAGCAATCGAGTGTCTGGGGGACTCGAGATCATATCTGCCAAGACGCTTACCGTTTTAAGTTTAGCGCCCGTTTAGTTTCTTGGCAACAAAATCCTTCCATTAAGTTCCTTCTCACCCACGTTTTCGCTATTTCTCTCCCTCCCTCGCTTCCATTCAAGTTTTCTTAAACATCGAGACCTGTATCTCGCAGTCTACGCTCTAGCTTCTCTAGTACTTCGAGGACCTCCGAATGAAAGGCAGTCTGTGATGCATCATCCAGAAATTTGCCTCCATGGTAGTTTTCCCATCCCATTAGTTTCTTGATAATCCTATGATAAGGCACAGGCATGCCCGAAGATCTCAACTCTGATAGCCGCTTTGCTTGCTCGTCGGTCAAAAGGTCATTCCCTCCGCTAGTATCGTCAAGATATCGCCGCTTCAGATCTTGGACGTCAGAACAATAGGCGATTTGTAAGAAGAGGGTCCCCAGACGGTGTATGGAAATCTTCTGGGAATCTAGGAGGGAAGGCGAATCGGTTATTTCCGACTTGCAGACCTCGGCGCTAAGATGAGGTGCCGTTACACGAATGGGCTCCATGGTTTGCTGCTCAATGTTATCGAAGAAATTGATCTTACTGCTCTCCAAACAAGCTTTGGCCCATGGCGATGAGAAATAGCGAAGAAAAGCGATTGATATCATCTTTGAAAGACGTATACGCTGGTAAATGGAGAAGAGCCGTAGTGTTTCTTTCTGCAGCGAGATAAGCCTGCTCAACGAGACGACACAATGGATATCAGTATCCGAGGTTCCTTTCTCCGGGTACACAAGATCCTTCCGCTCGGTGCTGTTGTAAAGTATACCGATAGATGGAATGACTTCGGGCGTACAGTCACAAGATCGGATTAAGTATTTGCAAAAATCGCCCTGTATTGGATCCTCAGGAGTTGACACAGTAGCCGCGGATATTTCGTCATTGTGCTTTTTGGGCCCTCGAAATGGTACAAATAATCTGACCCGCTTCCGGGCTCTGCCCTCATCGCATGAAGGAATCGTCTTCTTCTCTGGTGTCAGAGTCCTTTTTTGGCTGCTACAGTCATTCTCTAAGGTATTTAGAATGGTTTTGACTGCAAATCGGTACATTTTCGAATGCTTCGACGCTCCTGAAAATGCCAGCTTGAACTGAAGATGTCTCTCAAGTGCTTCACTACTAATCAGATGTGCCTCCTCAACGCACAAAAGTGCATGATGCCAGTCGTGCTCACTACAAGCTTGTGATAGAGCAGTGTACAATCCGTGAGAAGCTTCGCCGACTTCGCGATCATGTCGAAGGTCGCGACGAGTAATTAGATCAAAAGCTGGCAATTCACAACTTTGCACAGTATGCCGACAGTCTATTAGTCTCATGAACTCGACATTGAGAGCCGTCAGAATGTCAACATTCTGCTGAAGACGTGTTCCTGCAAACGAGAATTGCACTTTTCTGGATATGGCTTTTCTCGCTTTGCGGGCAGAGTTCTTGCCCGTTCTGTGGCGCTAGCTTATAGTATTAGATGGCCGTTCGTGCATGCCTCACTTCACATACCTGGCTCTCTGCCTCGAGTGTGTCCACAAGCATCCGATGCTCGGGTAATAAGTTCTGGAGAATCTCCAGCATTCGCTTGACCGTCTCCATGCACTGATTCAGTGTTTCATCCGTAGGATTCATACCATGTGACTTCAATAAATGGTCAGAAATTGGCTGATCATTGGATTCTTTGCGCTCCATCATCTGTGTGGCATCTGAGTGGGAAACGAACTCTGAGAGTAGCCGTATACATTGTGTACGAAAAATTAGATCTTGGTTATTGACTCGCAAGACATAATGAGAAGCCTCGGTCGAGAAACAGCGGTATCGCTGGCAAGGGCGGAGGCACAACTTCCGATAATTTTCCGCGGCGGACACCAATAGTGGAAGAACGCCAATGATCAAACTGGCCTCTCCAGCTCCTGACATTTCTCGGTTTCACAGGATGATAGATCGTCCCCGGTTTATCGAAGAAGACAAACCCTTGGATTTTTTTTACGTGACTCTGAGTGTAATGATCATGGATTATATGTGAACGCCAAAAGGTGGCGCATTCACATAGCCCCCATTATTCAAACTGTCTCCGGGGCTAACTTCGAATGCCAATTTAGGGCAACCTATAAAAGTTACATCAGGAGGCTGTGCCGAGGGAGCCTTGTGCCCAACCTTAGTCGCAGCAGCTGTAGTCTCTACAAGTATATACAGGATTTGGTGACCTTTGACATAGACATGTTCAACCCTTTCAAAAAATTCTTTTCTGAAATTGACCTCTAGGCTTGTTCAAACTTTTTTCTGCCATGTCGACAACGATTGCTGACGCTTACAACCTCTGTATCAAGATATTTTATCTTGCTTGCGATTCTGACGGCGCAAACATGGAATACAGCCAAGCGGTACCCATAGAGTCTATGCGCAACGAGCTAGCTCGATTACAGCTCTGGGGCGATGATTTGGAGATTGACTCTCTCGACTTAGGTCTATATCCAGGGGACCATCTCAAAATGGATGTGTTGGAACATTTAATGGAGATTGTGCAGTTTCTCTCTCACCAAATGCCGTCGCTGCTCCGAAACGAGCAGCACATGGGGCTTGAAATGCTCTACCACTGGAAGAAACTATGTATGGATGCAAACATTCGTAAGAACGCTGGGAAGGCCGAGATATCAGACTCTGACAGTGTTGACTTCGACGATGACCTGGAGGATGCTATTGAATTGATAGGCTTTAGAACAACATGCCTGCTAGAGCTCTCACCAATCCTAGAGCAATTGATCGAAGCCAGAAAGAAGGCTGAAAGGTCAGAGATTGACAGCGAACTTCCGATAACACACGGCTATGCCTTTCATTATTCCAGAGCACTTCGCGATCGGTTCCCTGAAGCATCCCAAACGTTGCTCGATCGACTTGGGCAAGCCAATGAACAAAGACACAGAATCCTTCGAGAAAGACATGCGAAATATCAGAGTCAAAGCGAACATATCGCGTCTCTACTCTCGAAAACCGTCGCAAGCCAATCAGCTTTTCATGATTCGGGCATAGGGACGACAGAGTCCGCGAACAGTGTCTATCCTAGAAGTAATACGAGTCTCTCATCTTTCGCCTCAAGCAAAACACAAGAAACCGCCGGTCTGAGGGTACCTCCAGCGCCAAAGGAGGTGATTGGTCGAAAAGCTTTCGTTTGTCGCTATTGCTTGGAGGTGCAGCGTAAGATCACAAGTCGCAGCCTGTGGAAGTAAGATCATTCATCCAAGATACTTTCGTTACTGACCGGGATAGAAAGCATGTCTATTCAGATCTTTGCGCGTATATTTGTACATCTGAGGACTGCGCTCAGGCTAGTAGTCTCTTCACCAACAGAAGTTCATGGGCGGATCACGAAAGCTCCCATGATCCCACACGTATTTGTGTAAGATGCCAGCAGCATTACACTGATGATCATCACTGCCAGAAGAGGGTTGCCACTAGAAGATCTCTGCGCTCACAGAAAGCCACAGGTCAAGCAACAGACGACACAATCAAGAGTCCTTCTCAAGACCAGAGAATTTGTCCTCTATGTCAAGAGTGTTCCGCCCAATCACAAGAAAGTTTCATCCGCCATTTAGCACAGCATTTGGAAGAAATTGCTTTGATGGCACTTCCGCCAAGTTACGATGAAGATAGTGACTATTCATCGTGTGAGGACGATGACAACCGTAACGAAAAGCGAGAGTATACTGACAAAATCTTAAATCAAACTACTGAAGAGAGAGACACTTATGCTGGGCTCTACCTTGACACTGAACGTCAATCGCATGAACCTGACTTACCAGATACCTTCTTGAAATCTCAAAAACCCTCGGCATCCTCCACACAAAAGGCTATATTACATTGCTTAGCCCCCCGGTGCACTTATCAAACAGACCGTCTTCACGACCTTAAGCGTCACAAGCAGAGCAGCCATGATACTCCAGAAGACCTGTATAAAGCCGGGGTACTGACAGATTGTCCGTACGATGACTGCGGACACGTTGGGAAAAACGGCTTTAAACGTAAGGATCATCTGCGAGATCATACCAGACGCTGGCATATGATGGACCTACCAAAGGAGATGGGAGGAACAGGCAAGAAGGTGCCTCCACCATCGAAGAAATAAATCCATGGGAAGAAGATCCTACCGTTCGTCAACCTCAGCCGGATCGATCTTCATTAATGCAGGTTAATACGACTTTTCACGGCCACACCACATCATCCGTAATATGAATTGAAACTTAGCAAGACCTGATTAGCTCATATGAACAACTCTCTCCATCACTAATGCATACCTACGTAAACATGCACAGAACTCTGTAGCTCGAGCGTTCAAATTCCATGCCACGTTCCCAATCCCAATTCTGCGAAGGACTACCATGTGCCATGACCTGCGTCTCAGACTCAAACCTCCTGACGAAGAGTGCAGCAGAGTTTGCTTACCAACGTGCTCGCAGCAACAGATGATTGACGATGAAGTCCATTACTCGCGATCGAACACCGTGCCTCTACTTATTATTGAATGAGACACGTCCAAGTACTAGTAGCGTCATAAGTCAATGGAAGAAATCTCACTAATTCAGTCAGAAACAAATCCCCCCCTCCCCACCCCAAAAGCAAGCACGTCCAGAAAAAAACATCTTAGTAAAAGGATAATTCGGCACTTCAATACATACTTCGACATATAGACTACACATCAATGCTCAAACCTCCCTACAAAGCCCCCGTCCCCTCCTAACCATCCACCCACAAAGCGCAGGCTCCAACCACACGCCTACAAACCCCGCTAGCATAATGCCCGCTGAATCACTGACACTGACGGCGCTGAGTGCGAATTCGCGCTCTCCATCCCCATCCCCTTCCCCTTCCCCTTCCCCTCCCCCTCCCCCTCCCCCTCCCTCTTCCCCTTCCTCATCCCCACCTTCCCGACAGCCCGCCCGCCCACCCGCCCGCCTCCCCACCCCCTCCTGCACCTCAGCAAAACAATTCACATAAACCCCGCCGCCCAGCAAGCCCTCCCACAAACACACAACCATAACGACCCACACCCCTCCCCCTCCCCCTTGCCCTTCCCTGTCTGGCAGAAACCCTACCAGGCACTGAAGCAGTAAGAGGAAGAAGTTCAGACACTGGAGGAGCGAGGGGAGGTAGAGGTTGTGGAAGCGGATGAAGGGGGTGGAGGAGCGGGAGATGAAGACGGTGAGTTGGTAGAGGAAGGCGTAGGTGGGGTAGATGGCGCGGAGGGAGGTGAAGGGGTTGCTAAGGGTTGGGGTTGGGGTGTGGTGGGAGGGGTTGGTGGAAAGGGTGGGGAGGGGGAAGAGGAGGAGCGGGTATAGAGAGAGGTTGATGAGATATTCGGACGTGTAGACTAGGAGGAGGGGAGCCATGCTGGAAAAGGGAGGGTTAGCGGGTGGGGAAAGGTGGGGTTGGGGGTGTGGATATGGAGAGGAGGGTGATGGAGGGAGGGGGAAAGATGAGGAAAGGGGGGGGGGGGGAGGGTACTAAGGAATGAAAAGCGATCGCGACCGACGCAGGTTTTGAGCGAAGGTCTGGAGCCACCTCCTCTCCACCCGTACGATTGGTGACGTCCTGGTGTGTGGAGACTGCGCGAGCAGTCCGTCTTCTGCTCCATCTTCTTCGTGAGAAATCCCCAACATAGGATCTCTTTCGTGCGCGCTATTCTCATCACCACTCACATCCACGGAACTAGATCGCTGCTTTACGAGCGCTTTCTTCCTCTTCAAAGGCCCCTTCGGCAAGACGCCAAAGAAGGCGACGAGCATCACAAGAGGCAGGGCCGAGCTCACGAGCAGTGTCCGCTCGGAGCTCAGACCGAATGAGACCGTGAAGAGAGCATACATGCCCGCTCCTAGCAGCCCTGCACCGCCTGTTCCACTGCCCCATGCCGCGAGAGCGAAGGGGCCATAGAAGTGTGTGAGACCCAGGAAGCTGAGCTCGCCTGCGCCAGAGCTCAGACTTGCCAGTATAACGCCGGCCATCTTTGTGGATATGACGCTGCTGTCTGGGTGCGGGAGGGAGCTCCAAATTGTGGGTTTGGTGTTCAGGGCAGAAGAAGGGGGTTTTGTAGGGGTTGTAGGGGTGGTAGGGCCGGTGGCGAGAGCAACGAGGAGCATGCCCCATGTTGAGAGGATGACGAAGATGCAGACGCGGACGCTATAGGGGACGGATTGGATTATGTAGGGCAGGATGAGTTTTGCGATGAAGGAAGGCACGACGTCGCAGAGGAGGACGACGGATTTTGGGACGGAGGGACCGACGAGGTCGAGAGCTGCGGAGAGGATGAGGACGTAGAGGATGTTGTTGATGAGGCCTAAAGGGGATAGTCAGTTAGGTATTAAGCTTTGCCTGGGTACTCTGTCGAAAAAGAGCCGGGGACCGATGGGATGTAGCTTCAATGACGAAGACCATGAGCTTACCAAAGAGCCAGAATGCGACGAGGACTTGAGGATCTGCACCCTGGAAGATGCGTCTGATACGTGCGCGGTACATGTGGAGAGTGACTGATGGGGAGAACGGGACAGTGAACATGATTTGCTACTTAGGCATGCTGGTTCTAGTGATCATGTGCGTGGGCTGATCGCCAGCTGAGCTTCATGCACTGCGCTGCATAATTGATGAATGCAGGCGCTCGGACAGCTGAAGAATGGTGGCGTAATCATCATGCATCGCATTGCATCTTCTGGATACCATTTCTGATGGTAATATACGGATTTGGATAGATACAATGCGATGTTAAGGAGCTCGATGTCAAATTCCCTTATCGGGCCAGCTACGGCAAGCTAAGGTGCCAGTGACGTACGATAGGGGCGACAGGCGACAGGGGTCGGGCCCAAAGAGCGTTAGAGTTTGTCTCCGGGAAGGGAAATGGCCCCAATCTTAGCGCGCCAAACGTTCCGGGCCCTGCTTCAGCTTGATCCTGCTCCATCCTGCTTCCCTTCACGCTCCCACGCAGACCCATCCATCCTCTGCAGCACCGTCGATCCTTCATGCACCTGCTCTGCTGTGCTATTCAGATCTCCACCATATGATTGCCATCATGTTCTTAACTTCCATCTATCGTTGATACTGACCGGTTCATCTCCACATTCGAGTCTATTGTCTTAGACAATCTCATGCGCTCCCTTTCAGCCATGGATCCTCGACCGCACCACCCCTCCTACACGACTCGGCCACCTTCACAACCGGTGTTGCACGGTCCTGCGACTCCCTCGATGTCCTCCTTTCACCCTCCTCATACCCATCTGCGGCAAGAAGCTCCCCCACAGCAAACAGGCTTCCGGGACAACAGCTTCTTTCCAAGCAAAGACGATAGAAATGGGTTCGCGCAATCACAATTACTACAACAGCATCAAGAAGAGCGGGACAAGAATTTCAGGATCGCCGTACAAGCAGAGAAGCTCTATGGGCAGGGGGCCAAGATCTCCCAGATGCAGTGGGATGAAGCAAGATTCATTCTCGAAAGAGACGAGACAGAACAAAGGCGGAGGCAAGAAGTAGCTGAGAGGATGGCGTATAACGGCATAAATGGTGGAAGACCAGAGTGGACGAGTGCGAGTCCGTCAAGAGGTGAGTGATTGTGGTTTCTTATCGCACATTTGCATTGTGCTTCTACACTGTTCAACTGGAACATTGCGACTCGACGGCAACCACCCAGGATCAGACAATACCGTCTGTGGCCTTGCACTTGACTGTCACCAATCTGCTATTGTGCAGCCCACTAATCACATCAACTTCGTGGCTATGACGCTTTCAAACGAAAAAGCGCCGAGCAAGAGCTCAATCGATGACGACAGCGGCTGTGCGATGTTTGATCTCGGTCCACGCCTCACAGCACGACAACAACATCAAACGCGACACAGATCATCTTGCGCCCGTCTCAGATACCCCTATACACCCGTCAAAGACGTGACACGACTCTCCCATCTATTGAGACTCCGCTGCTGCAGCTTCTCCACACGATTTTGGTCCCGAGATCTCGGCGCAGCGGGAACTAGATCGAGCTAGAATCCTTGGCGTGACACTAGCAAACGAACTAACCTTAAATCTGGCGTCGCGACTCCTTAAAGCAGAAAGAAGGGAAAAATAATAATAATCTAGGAAGTGTCCGCTGACTTCACGTGTCCACAGCTTCATCATGGACTTCTTCCCTACCCCCGCCACCGCCTCCCCCAACTGCTTTCCCTCCATCGCTTCATCCGCCTACTCAGCTTGATGAACCTTCAGGACCACGGGCGCATCGATCAAGTTCGCCCAGGATGTACGGTAAGCATCCTTGTCGCGCATCACCCCGCAATTTCCCCCATCAACCAAACAGTCTGTCCATGCACAACCATACTGACAATAGCCATGTAGCACCTCAAAATCACTCTGCTACGCTGCAAAACCATACATCTGCCTTACCTCCTCCTCCACCCCTCTTCACAGGTCGATCTATCCATGGCCCCGCCTCCCCGCCTTACACTGCCCAGCAGTTACACCAACCCCGCGATCGCCCTCCTCTCTCCACCATAGTCCCGCCTACGCGAGATCTCCCGACACCTACATCCTCGGTCAAGCCAAGCAGCATGTCGATATCCTCCATGCTGGGATCAGAACCTACAAAGCCACGCGAACCGACCACTCACTCTCTCTTGAATGGTGCATCTCCCATTCATTCCTATCCACCAACAGCCCTACATAGCACAGCCACTTCACCTACAAAGCCCTCATATAGCAATATGACAAGACAACAAGTCTCTCCAGAGGGACCGAATTACATGTTGGGGGCGAAAAATCGGTTCCGCGCAGATTCTGGAGGCTACCCGCTGGGCGCAAGATCTTCCATCAGATCGGACTCTCCGCTCCAGCGACAATATCAATCAAGTGAGATGACCCAGGTGTCTCCCAGATCTGATCAGGGCGCCGTACAAGAGTGGCCGGTTAGACAAGAAAGACGCTCGGATCCAGATCGGCTGTCGGGCCGGCCTACCAGCCAACCGAGCGGACAATACGATTCAATAGAAGAGATCAACAGGAGGCATGCAGATTTGAACGCGCGACCACCCTCTTTGCACAAGCAAGAACCTCAGAAGGACTATCATAGCCATCGATCAGATCAGGGACAACGCTCCTCGTATAACTTCTTGAATCGGCAGTCCCATCCAAACAAATCAGATGGACAAGAACAACCGCGAAGAGTGAATCATGAAACACCCAATGATCGCGCTCAACCTTCAAAGTATCCCTTCTTATCAGCATCAAGTGGTCCGCAGCTCCAGGCCCGTGCCCCATCGCCACAAAACAGTTTCCATAAAGCATCAGACCAAAGACAAGCCGACGTACAAAAAGGGCCAATGGGACCTGATGCATTGCGTCGCATTCGGGATGAACGATTGGGCAACGTGCCAAGCCTGACGCAAAGGACTTTGAGCGAACCAAGACCGAATTTCATGGAGACCTTGGAAGGGAAAGAGCGCAAAGACGAACAAAGATTTCATCCGACTGTTTTGGAGATGGAAAGGTCCGAAAGTTTCGACGGTGTGATGCCTTCAGCGAAAGACGGTGAACACTCTCACCGGAAATCACTAGCGATCCTGCTTGAAAACCACCGGCGCGCGGGCCGTGTGTCGCCGCTACCACAGCCTGTTCATGGAGCTCAAAGCCGCACAAATGGACCCTCACGTGACCCTGGTATCAAGAACGAGTTCTCCAAGGTGTTCATGGGCGTTGGAAGTGGCGCTGGACTTGGTGGAAGCGGGGCCTCCACACCATTTCCGCCAAGCCCTAAACAAAACGATGATCAGCGTCTTCCTGGTGGGCATCGCGTGGATTTGGAGATGTCGAGATCGAGGAATGGATCAAGAATGGGCAAACGGCGAAAGATTAATGATGAAAGTAAAGACGCAGATGCTACAATGACAAATGGAGGTGGTGATAAGGCGAAAAGGACGCGACATCACCACCATCATGCTGCACAGTAAATCCAGTGACTCCCTAACTATTATGACTCGCTGACCAGCTTTAGTCATCATCACCATCACCATCAAGCCGGTACTCCAGTCCGTGTAATGGGCGATCCTAACGCATCACACCATCACCATCACCACCATCACGACGGCACAATCCACTACCACCCCTCCCACTCCCACAGCAAGCCCTCCTCCACAGCTCCCCAACTCAGACAAGCTCCATCTCTACCTCCCCGCCTCCCAAAAACCACAATCGACAACACGAGCCTCTTAAAAGATATCTCCCACCTCCCACGCCGCCATCTCGGCTCCGTCCTCTACGCCCCTTCAGTCGAATCCCTCACCTCCTCCCCACCCAACCTCACAAACGATTCAAAACTCCCCTTCGCAACCTCCGGCTTCTCCCTCCCCAAGACTCTGCACCTAGAAGTCCACGCAAACTGCACCCTCCACGTCCGCATCCCGGCTCTCTACCTCACCCCTCGCGAGCGGCAGGCCGTATGCGCTCGCGCCGCCCTGTGGGGCAGCGGGGTCTACACCGACGATTCGGACCCTCTTGCCTCCGCCATCCATTCCGGCAAGATCCTCGGCGCGTGGGAGCAGGACGTCGACGCCTCCCTCATCTCGCCCGCCGAAACCGAGGAGGTACCACAGGAGCCGGAAAAGAGCAAAGCAGCAATATTGACGTTGTTGATAGTGCCGCCTCTGGACAGATACACAGGCACGATCAGGTATGGGGTGAAAAGCAGAGATTGGGGCCGTGATCATCAGGGCGCGAGTTTTCTCGTAAAGGAGATTCGGTGGGTTGATGATACTAGGGCTGTGGATGAGGAGAGGGGCGTTAAGGCGAAGAGGGAACGGGTTGGGAGAGTGGTTAGGATGGCGAGTGGACGGCTGCGAGGGAGGGAGATCGCATTGAAAGGATGGGGGGTCGCGGGTGGGGGTGGGAAGGAAGTTGTCGTCGGAGGATCTGTATAAGTATTCCGTTTTCTCGCAAGGTGGCAGTTTGTCATAGATATTCGGCGCTTCCATTCGTCTCGTATTGCAGCAGTGCGTGGGGGAGGTACGCGAATTACAGATAGATGGGATGGGATGGGGTGTGGACGGGATCTTGGGGATCAAAGTTAGTCAAATAGTCCAGCGAGCGAGCGAGCGGATGCTGTAGGCTGCTAAGCAGGTCTATTATGTGTGATATTTGAGGGAAATTCAGAGATATCATCGATCCATTCCATACTTCTAGATGCAAGAAGCTACTTAAAACGGGAGAAACTATCCCAGTCGTTCGTGAGGATTCTTGTCTGTTTTTCGCGATGCGGTGCTTGTTGACCTGCCTGCTTGCCTGCCTGCGGTGAGTTTGGCTATGCTATAGAAAAGGGGGGTGGGCTTAGGCTGAGGGGAATGGGAATGGGGGATCTGAGTGTAGGTCGGTTGTAGAAGAGGAGGGGAGGGAAGGGGGAGGGAGTGGCGCAGTGACATTACAGATTGAACGGGCGCTCTTAAAGGCCTTTGTAAAGATCATGAGATTGGTAGGTCTATTGAATGGATGTTGGGGAGGGAGATAAGAAGTGCTTTTGAGACGTGAGGCTTCATTACAAGAAATTCTATGCTCATGCGCCAGTGGGGATGTTTATTTGCTCTGCTGTGTTTAATTTGCTGCCGGGTTTCCGGTACAAAGTTTTGAGGAGTCGTGTTCATTGCTTCTCATCGCCGAGAAAGAGTGTGGATTCTTCGTATCACTTGGTTGTTTGTCTACCCTTCTCGACTGCGGATATAATCCCGGTGATGCGATCGACTATTCGTCTTTTATCAGGTAAGTTCCCTGCCTCGGGTGACCAGGAAAAGTCAGCCCACAGACCTATCCAAACTCCATCTTTCTTTGACTTCATCTCATGTCATACCCATACATCATCTCTTCCTCCGATGTCTGAGCTGTCCCTCTATCACCACGTTCCTCGTCTTTACCTCCCCGGTGGAGCCATCTCCTGCTGCCCTTTCGTCCCCTCCACACCCACACCAGCCTGCTCTACCTTCTCAATCGCCCTCTCCAGTATGTCCAAGCCTGTCTTGATCTCCTCCTCCTCAATGATCAACGGCGGCAAGAATCTCAACGTATTCGTCCCCGCCGTGATGACCAGTAGCCCCAACTCCCGTGCCGCTGTCACGATAGGTGTAGGATCCCTTGACAGTTGTAGTCCTAGTATCAATCCCATTCCTCTTGTCTCTTTCACCAAGTCAGGGAACCGCTGTCGTAAGCGCTCGAAGCCATTTTGGAAGATTATAGATTTCTTGAGGACAGCGGATTGGATATCAGGGGAGGAGAGACGGCCGAGGATGTGGTGTGCGATACGGCATGCTAAGGGGTTACCACCGAATGTGGTGCCGTGGTCGCCTGTCACGATGGCTTCGGCCACGGGTTCTGAGACCAGCGTAGCGGCGACGGGGAAGCCGTTCCCTAGCGCTTTTGCTGTCGTGAGGACATCTGGCTGTATGGTCGTATCGTTGGGCGCGATAGCATTGTGCGCCCAGAGAGCACCCGTGCGGGAAAGTCCGCTTTGTATCTCATCGTAGACAAGAACGGCGCCGACCTCGTTGCAGCGCTTGCGCAGAGCGCGGAGGAAGGAGGGATCGGCGACATTGATGCCGCCCTCGCCTTGTATTGGTTCTACCAAAACGCCGCAGGTGTTGTCTGTGATGGATTTTTCGAGGAGGGAGGTGGTGCAGTTGTAAGGGAGGTAAGAGAAGCCGGGGATGAGCGGAGAGAAGGGTGCTTGGTATTTGGGATTGGGCGTGGCGGAGAGGGAGCCCATCGTCCGTCCATGGAAGGAATTGTGGAATGTGACGAATTGTGATCGTTTTGAGGGGGACGAGGGGGAGGAAGGTGGGGTGCGTTGTCGGCCGACTTTCCGGCAGAACTTCAAGGCGGCTTCATTGGCTTCGCTACCGCTGTTGGATATGAAGGCTCGAGAGACAGTCTGAAATGCGCCAGATTGTAGGGTATTTTCTATGAGGAGCTGACAGAGGGCGCCGGTCCACGGATTGTGGTAGAGGTTCGAGGAGTGGATGAGGGTTTGTGATTGTTGGTAGAGGAGCTTGGAGATTTCAGGGTCAGCATGGCCGAGCGAGTTGACGGCTATGCCGGCGGTGAAGTCGAGGTAGCGGCGGTTTTCGATGTCCCAGAGGTGGGAGCCTTCGCCTTTGGCCATCATCGGTGGTGGGCGGACGTATGTTTTTACCATGTGTTTTGTATGTTCTGCAACGATTGCCGCGGTTTGGGAGTCTGGAGGTGGGTCATGATTTGGAAGTAAGGATTCTTTCTAGAGGAAATCAGCTGTGGGCCCTCAGAGTGGGAAAGGCGCAAACTACCTGTATGTTATTATGATCTTGTCCTGATGGGGAGGAGGTTGGTACGGCCATTGCGGAAGCGTGTCGGCGGGCAATTGACGGCCATTGCCCACTACGAGCACTGACGCTACCTCCACCTAGCCAGAGCCGACGAAGTGCAACTGAGGGTATCATGTTTGTAGCCATTGGGGTCGTTGTTGAGCCTTGAGTCATGGTCAGAAATTTGATTGATTGATATCATTTTCTTATCGATAAGAAATGCTTGGCAGTGGGGATGTAATGGAACTGAAGTGGCAGAGTTGACAACGCTTCTGCATCTCTTCAAGTGGCTGATTGGATATCTCATCCATATTGACCATTGGCCCCATTTCAACCTCGCGAATAGAACCCCCCATTGAGAGCCTGCTTGCGTGGAAGATACCCTGTCAATTCCTTCGAATACCTTGCTGCCTAGAGCTGTGGTTTCCATACCGTAGATGAGGAGATTCTCCCATGCTTACTTTCATTTTTCTATCGGCTATTTTGGTGAGCTCTTAAGGCCAACATTTGACATCTATTTACGCAGGGTACTTTCTTGATTTACATTTGCTCACATCGGCTTCCTACAGTTTAATCTAAGCCTGAGTAGCACAAGCGTTTCGAATCAACCAATCCTTGACGACACCCTGGCATTATGACTTTCAACGGACACGGATCTGAGTCCTCCACAGCTCCTGAAACTTCCATTATCTACACAGCCAATACGCCCTCTGACACCGGCTCTAACGATAACCTGGATGACCACGATTTCGTCGATGCCGGCGTGTCTCAATCTATCCCGGTGCCCTGGCCAGGCTCTACCTTTATCATCCGATCCATCTCATCTGGCCATGTCATCACGCTCCTTAACGGAAAAGTAATCCTAGCCGCTCCAGGTGGCCGAGGAAGCATCCATTGGAAGTGTGAAGAGTCTGAAGGATGGCTCGGCTTCCGCAACACTACTTCTGGTAAGCTTCTAGGTCATGATGTCAATGGCAATCTACACTGCTCGGCAAATAAACTTGACGGCTGGGAATTTTTCCAAACTAGGATGAACCCGGATGGTGGTTGTATATTACTTTTGACGCATCGCTGGCACGCATTCGATACTCGTGTGAAGCTTTGGCATGTGGGATCTAAAAAGGAGGGGGGCACAGAGAAATTGGCGAAGGTTGCAGAAGGAGGGACAGGTGGAATCACTTGGGATTTCATCAAAGTGTGACGAAGGCACATAAGTACCTACTGGGGGAGCCGGCGAGATGGATGAGAAAGATTATAGTGTGCTAGTCTGGCGGCACTGACTCAACCGGGAACAATGATCAACACGAATGCATTCATTATCCTCTGTGCTCCTTCGCATCTCAGCTCCTGCCATGAAGAACGAAAGTTTCGTCGCAGACTGTGACCTATATCCATTGACAGCACGATAGTCTGAGCGGACCATATTAGTAGCTAATTCGCTCGTCTTACTCGTGAGGAGTCGGTGTAGCTTGCCTCAGAGCGTGAATTTCGAAACCTAGAATTCACTTACCCGGATGTGGGGCAATAATCTCAGCTATGACTCCTACTTCTCCCACTTATGGTCACATTTTCCTGATCACTCTCCTCACTTTTGCAACACCTCAGCTACATCACTGGCTTAGATCAAGGTAGTCCTGACAATCTTGTGAACCACGGCGCTATGGCCAACATAATCAAGTCTGAAGGCAAGTCACCAGCTCACCTGCATGAAGATAAGCATTCTGACATCGACATAGCTAATACACCATCCGAAACTCACTTCAATGGCAGCCTAGTTGACGACGACACGACCAACGCCGTAAAGTCCATCCCTCTTCTAGTTCCATGGCCTGGCTCTACCTTTCTTATCCGCTCTGTTGTCTCCGGAAATGTCATTACGCTCTTGAATGGGAAAGTCCAGTTATCCAAGCCCGGCGGACAAGGCTCTATCTATTGGCAGTGCATTGAGCATAAAGGTAGACTCAGCTTTCGCAATCCTGTTTCAGGCCAACTACTAGGCTTCAACGAAGATCACCGTGGGCTCCACCGGCTGTGTTGTAATCAAATATGGCACGGTAAAAAGGAATATTTCGAAGCTAGGGTCAAGCCGAGCGGCGACTGCATAATGCTTGTGTCGTCATCTGAAGACAACTTCTGGTATATCTCAAGCGTGCAGGAACATGATGAAGAGACGTTGACGGTAGGAGGACCGGAAGAGACTGATGCAAAGGCATGGGAGTTTTTGAAGGTCTAGCCTTCTAATGCTCGTGGCAACATTCAAGCTGTCGATAACTGTAGATAGCGGACGTGACATGGCATACGTGAAGTATGAACGGTCAGCACAGCTCGGCTTCTCTGAAGGTGGTGCCAAATGAGACGAGAGTAAACAGCATCTCTTGAAGGCAGCTCCGAAGAATCGATCATTACAGATCATGCTAAACAGCATTATAAAAGTGAAATCGAACAAACAGGTCTTGACCAAATACTTCCAAAGTGCAATGCATTCAGCGTGTGCTCTACTGAGTCTCACCTAAAGAAACAGAATGCACTCATTTCTTCTCTCCAAATCTGTACGTTTGAGTATCATACTCCCTACGAACCCCGTTCTACACATATACCACATGCTCATCACCACCAAGTAGAATCACGTTCCAAACCTCTACCCCACCAAACCTTCCCCCTCTTACTAACCCTGTCATTCAGCGCTATGAGCCAATTAACCCTCAGCGGTGGCAAGGTCTTGTCTAGGTCTGATTCTCCTAAAGCCTTGCACCCCTCAGATACTACAGTCTTCCCTTTACCGCTGGCGTTGTAGGCGGATGGCATAAAATGGAGGCGTATCATACCGGTAACGGGGGTGAATCCACCTAGTAGGAAAATACCTGCAACGGCTGTTTTTCGCCGATGTGGCATTTGAAGTTGCCATATGTTGTACATAGGTAACATAAGGATCAAGCCTGAGCAATTCGTCGTCAGGAAATTAATCAATGCGTTCTTTCATACGTGTTAGTTCAATTGCTGCAGCCGAAGGCACCTTTACCATGCGTGATCGTATCAAGGGATAATGCTTCCTATAAAGCGCCACTCGATCCGTACAATGGGGGTGAGCCGCCCAGCTGCCTTGATCGAAGTTGATGGAAATGCATTCCACTGCGAGTCGCTTCGCTTTGAGATTTGTTTAGGCCCTCCAAAAATGCCAATTGCAATGTCTGATGAAGGAGTTGTCGAATCAGGTTGTTCGTTGCGCGCCTTGCAGGATAGAATCTTACCAAGCAGCAGATCAATCGTGAGGCCAATTGCCAGTATCTGGGAATGATAAGTAGGCTATCCTCCAATTAAGGACCCTAAAGACTCACCAATGCGCCCAAAATCAGCCAGTCATCGCCTCCCAGCGATACGCGTTTGATTTTTCGAGCCTCAAAGTGGAGGAATGCAACGAAAATGAAGGAAATAATGAACGAAATGCTGACGCCGAGCAAGACTAGCCTTAGGTTGATGCTCATTGCAACAAAGGCTCAGAGAATGATTGCTTTGAGTTCTGGAGATATGGAGAAGCGATGAAGGCCTTCAAATTATCTCAAGATGTGTCCCACGTACCGCATTGCGGTTGGATCATTGAGCAAAGGGAAGAAATCGCAGAACATAAAAATGAGGCATAATAAAGCTAAGCAAATTCTCCTGAGAATACACTCTAATCATAAAGGGTAGCTACTACGGCTATTATACAACATTCAACGTATGTGCAGCGTTGGGCTCCATACAACTTGATGAGCAATGTGGGTACGCAAATTAAATGAACGTGAGTCTAAGCCTACCACGGCAACCCAGAGCTATGAGACCTTGCTGCGAGTACTTCGTGGATCGCAACTCCTATGTTCCTGGAAACAAATACTTTTACTTCGTGTGACGTGAAGATACACGAAGTACGAAGATAGATATGGAGCCTCCATTGCTGTGAAAGCACGATGAATGACGTCAGCTTGTTCAACGAAAAGGCGTGGATTGAGAAAGGTCGCAAAGCAATGAAAGCTGACAAACTGCATAAGGGGGAAGTGCTAGAAGAAGATATTGCCTGACTTGAGGACATTCAAACAACTTGAGTGGGTCTGCCACGAGCAGCCATGTTCCAGGCGTGGATAGACCACTGGAAGCACTCGGTACATGGCAAAAAGTTGTAGACTGTTGTGATCCACCAAGTCTATATCATTGTCCTGAGTGGAATATTTGTCTTGCTGCTACCGACTTGATATCGCTGAAAAGCCCTTGAGACCAGAGCATTCGATTATTCTACTTGCTGAGCCTGAAATCCTCTTCTGAATTCAGATATATAGTTGATGGCGATCTACGATAGTAGACGAAAGCCACACACAGATTTTTGCACATTGATTAGAATGACCCGCCGTTGTCGCGTTCGAAAGGTCTTGGCTCTCTTGGCATCAGACAATCTGGAAGTGCTGGTGTCTGAAAAAGCTCCCATCATTTCGCCCACAATCTTCTGAGACTTGCTACACTCAGCGTGCGAAAGGTTGATCATCAAATACCCCAATCAATCTTCATGTACCGCTCGCAAAGCTTCACTCAAACTGAAACCGATCTCCGAACACGACAACGACGCAAGGAATTTAGCCACCGGACCCGTCTGTGATTTTTGGGTTCTTCTCGAGCGTAAAGGAGATACGTAACGAAGATGGCACCAAGGAACCTCGACCTTAATAAATCAAGACCAATCAATTCGTAATATCAGCTTCGACCAACCTATACGTCACTCATGGTACATCGTCCAACAGTGCCAACGACAAGGAATCTACTCTCAGTATTTCGAGGATTCTAACACTTTGGTGATGGTTTGAGGCTTCGCAGTGATCATCAATATGATGAAACAGCGCAATAAGAGCGTATAATTTAGCCCGAAACTGAAAACTTTGCTGACTCACAACCTCGTTCGAGTATTTGCCATATGAAACACAACGTTATTTCCCTTGATTGATCAGATTCAAGGCGTTATTCTCAGATAGGACCTCTCTTCAGGTGCGGGACAGAAGAAGTGGCTGTGTCTTTCACGAGATCCGACGAAGCGAAGACTAGTGAAACCCACGTTTCACGGCTCGGCAATGGCACGTTGTTGCTCAGTCATCACGGCTGAGAACCTTCTTTCGTGCAACATTCCTTTGGGCTACCAATGAGAAGACATAAAAGATACATATCGTTGTTCGCAAGCCTTATGGTTTCGTGAGAACTTGTTTGGCGACCCTGTCGAGTCGTTGGGAGTGCCTATTGGTTCTCTTGACAGATGTCTGGAATTACGGGTGTTTCCGGAGCTCTTAGGGGTCGGTATCCCATTCTTTACTCAGCCACCCGAACACATAAAGCTCAAGCTTGCCAAAGTCATTGATTGAGCTGTCTCTCAAAATGGCCTTCCCAGTCGTCATCACTCCGGCGTTATCCGCTTCTTGAAGATGTCATTTACCAACAAGATTTTGACCCCTTTGGAATACCTTGAACAAGCCCTCGGACTGTTGCACCCGAACATCAAACGAGATCACTCCTTCTTTGCCCTATTCCTCTGGAATGCGTGAAGATGAGAAGCCTTGAGGATGTTGGCAATAACGTCCAACACACGAAGCAGACCATCTGTTTGGATAGGAAGTCTTTCTTAGCTTGCTTGATAGACGAGGCTTTTTCCCTTCAGCTATACGAGAGATATCCAAAACCTAAGCGCAGTCCACTCTCATGAAACACAGAAATTAGCAAAAAGGCCTGTAGCTGCTTTGCTTGAGCTTTGAAACCAGCGAAGAAGAGTAATGTCCAACATGCTTCCACTCCGCCTCGTTGTACAAAGCCAAACTACGGGGCAGAACCCGGACATGGGCGAAAGCTGATGTCACAAGAATTGAAAGATGGATGAGCCAAGTCGTCTTTGGCTCTTTGCGAGCATATATAAACGCTGTGGACGGTACCTCTTCACCTCCCAATCCAACATCATAGGCTTGATAATACTTATAATCTGGCTATTTACTGGATTTCCTCAAGCTAAAAAGAAAGCTTACCCATACTCTGTGCAGATTCTCTCATAGCTACCCGCCGCGACCCCCTTCTATCCAACGCTATGCAATTCAGCAATGTCCTCCTCCTGAGCTTCGTCCCGCTCCTTTCTGCCCGCCCAACAGATTCAGAAGCATCATCGAAAGCCAAGAGAGCAGGAGAGCCGGGCCAATACTCCTACCCAGCCGGCTACAACGCCGACAATTGTCCCGTCCTCCCTGGTAACAACCCCTGGGACAATTATTTTGCCAAGAACGACAATGACAAGATGAAACGCGACGCTTTCGAAGAAAGGGCTGCGAGCACCGACCTCACCTCCACCCCCAGCTCTCCCCCGCACAGACGATAACCCAGCCTGCCGCCAAATTGCTCATAACAATCAAGTCGCGGGATTCGACCCTGGCAACCACAATGTCGGCAATACAGGCCAAATACTCCTAGCAGCTGGCGCGGTATATATTCTCTCGTGGGGCTTCAGCATAGCGGTTCGCGCAATTCGATCGTTCAATAATCAAGGGGATGGACATTTCAATCAGTTCATACCGCAGCACAACACCGATGGCGGGGATGTTGGCACCTTTACGTTCACTGTCCCGCGGGGACAAGATGTGCAAGCGCATTTTGAGTTCCAGTTTGCAGATGAGGCGCAGTTTCCTGGTGATCAGCTGGCGTGGGCTTGGGGAGAATTTGCGATCTTTCAGATTCCGTATCCAGGAGGCAACTAATGTGAGTGGAGATGTAGGATAAGAGATAGCTCTCGTGAGATAAAGATTGTGGTACCTGTGCAAATAAGTTGGACGGAAAGATTGTGGTGCTTTGTTTTGGAGAGGCTTTGTCGGTCATTACTTACGGTGAACCTACACAGGTTGATAAATTAGCAATCAAGGATCAAGATGATTTCATAGATTGCATTTACCCATAAAAGCCCAAATCTTGCAGCGAATACGTCTTTGGAACCTTTCAAACCAAAATTTGATCCTATGTTTCCCGTCTTCAGCTGCTTTAGGTATAGCATGACCGGTACAGCCTCCTTCTAACAAATCAGACCTCAATTCGATCTCGCTCACGACTATACCTTTCAAAATCCACACGCACACATGGGACCCCCCGCTCAACAACCATAAATCGCCAACCTCAATCCCCAGCAGGTCCCCTCAAACTCCTCACTTCCAACCTTCCCACATCCCTCCCACGAACCCTCATCACACACGTAATCTCCCTCAACCTCCGATCTACAAACAACTCCCTCATCTTATCCAAAAAATCATCCACCACATCCCCCCTCACTTCCCCCTCCCCCGGCACAGAACTCCACCTAATCCTATCATCCCCACCCACCCCATCAAGCCGCACATCCACGACTCTCCACTCCGTCACATACGGCGCAAGCTCGCCATCTAGCTGCGACCAAGCGTCAGTGAGATAGGCACGCCAATCTCGGCTGTTGACCATGTCGTCGCCGTATTCCACGAGGATTAAGAAGGCGTCGGGGAGACTTTCGAGGTCGAAGAAGACGGGGAGGATGGTGGGCCAGATGTTATTGGGGGTTGAAGTTGTGTTGGATATGGTTACGCCTGTTGTCGTGCGTTTGAGTTGTTGGGCAGAGGGCGAGGTTGAGGGTGGGGCTGGTGCGGCTAAGTTAATGGTTGCGCTGAAGAGGATTGAGAGGGTTGTGGTGTGGAGTAACATGATTGTCGAAGGAGCGCTTCTTCATTTCAGAATATGGTTTTTGACGACTATGTCCATGCAATTTGGGAAGCTCTGTTTAGGTGTGTCTGTGGTGGGAGAGTGTGGTCGCGACACGAGCATTGGGATTGATTTTTGTTCACAAATCGTTGCGGTCGCGAAAGCGCCGGAATGTCTGAGACATATCTATTTTGAAACGAAATACTGTCGCCGTCTATGGTTTGAGCAAAAGTGATGGACTTGAAGAAGGAAGGTGACTTTAGATGTCTAGACATGTTGTTCAAGGCCCTACAAAATTATGCACTAGCAAAAGCGTATTATATATCTAGCTGTAGACGGTTCGGCGCGCATGATGAACAAGAATGTTTTTCTGACTTACATGCTTTGATGAGGCCTGCTATTTACGAGCCGCGCCTTCTCAGTCATAAACATATTGATCGTTTATTTTCTTTAGAGATGAGCGGCCTTGATAATGCTTTTTGAATGTTCTCTGAAGAAGGTTAGGCAAGCCGTAGTCTAATATAGAAAACGGGGCCATAGATTTTGATAAGGTTGAGGTAGGACATGTGCCTCCGAGAAAAGAACTATATTCAGATGTAGACGAGATGTAGTTAGACTCTTGTGGCTTGTTCGCGGGATGTTTAATTAATGATCCACAGACCTCATAGTGATAGGGAAATTGAGCTGGTCCCTTAGGACTTGTTATCCTCTCCGCAACCTGTTACAGATATCAATGCTGAACGAGATGAAATTGGTTGAGCGTACTGTCTTACCTGCGTCCTCAGGTTCCACGATTGCCTAGTTCTCCAAAAGAAGCGGACCATTTCGGACACGATGTGGACTCATTCTAAGCGGAGACAAGGCTGAGTTTAGGAAATCTGTCTTAGTCGATTGGGCGCATTACCACCCTGAGACTATCAAGATCTGCAAAACAGACTAACCTTAGATGCTCCAGCCTTGGCTCCAAGTTGTCATACATGAAGGATTAGACCACACAACCTCTCAAAGAGAGCGGGAATATTGTTCCATTAAGTCATTCCCTCCTGCATCATCACACTCTACGTTGGGGTAGCTGTAATAGCGGTACCGCAAAACTCTGCACCAAGTCCACAAGTGCCAAGTGCCAGCAACGTAGCAATAACCAACACCAGCTCCCCCACCGGCAACTTGGGAATATTCCGCTGGCCAGCAGTCAACTCCTACCTGAGCACAGACTCCATTCCTTTCGGGCGCTTTCAAATAGCTGAGTATGGAGACGTTATCGATAACAGCCAGGACTGGCACGCCTACCTCGTACACGCCTTGGACGAAATGAATCGATTGCTCGCCTCTCGCGCGAGGAGACGGGAAGTTGTTGACACTAGGATCAGTGCTGTCGGTGGAGATAACAGGATTAAGATCATGTTTGATCCCAGTTCGCCGAGACCGGCGCATTTAACGGCCGATGTGCTGTTGTTGTTTTTTAAGGAGATGGTGGATGTTTATCATGATAGGAGGATGAGGGAGGTGGAATTTGATATGCTGTTAGACAGGCAATATATGGGGATGTTGCTAGTGCAGAATATGAGAGGGCCAAATGGTCAGGTGTTGGCGCAGTAGTCGGGTTCAAGTCTTGTTAAAAGTCTCTGTTTGATCATTTGAAGAGAGAATAAGTCGATCTGTGTTGGTATGTCAAAGTGTCAATAACGTGCAGCCTGGATGAGAAAAGTCTTGCATTGAACTTGGACGCAATTGATACACCTTAGGCTGTGGTATATTTGGTGTCATCTCACGAGCGCCCTGACTGCAAGGCTTTGCTCGCAATGTTCTGAAGACGACGTAATCCGGCCGCATTCCGCAAGAATCTCTGTCAGACAGCGTTATATTGCCTCCGTCTTCCAGAATTTACTTACAATATCCGCATTTCGTGTATCAGAGCTAGTGTGTTCAAGATACTCGTCATGGCTGATATCCTAAGGCAATTTATCTTCATCCCCGCACCAACGATCACCGAGCGAAATTGCCCTGATCAGACGGGTCGAGTCTGTCTCATCGTACTCCCCTTGGCGACGTAGACTAATTGAGTGCCATAAGGTCTTCATCGTGACAGGTGGCTACGCCGGCGTAGGCTTTGAGCTCAGCAAAATGCTCTACGCTCACAATGCCACCATTTATGTTGCCGGGCGTTCTCAGTCCAAAGCCTCTGAAGCCATCTCCCGCATCAAAATTGCGCACCCGCAGAGTGTCGGCCGGATAGAAATACTGAAAATTGATCTTTCCGACCTGTCAACCATCAAGTCGGTCGTTGAAACTTTCCTGGCACATCAATCACGGCTTGATGTACTTGTGAATAACGCTGGAGTAGGTCGCGCTGTACCCAAATGAAAACGTTCACTGCCATTTTCACTTACGATACACGACATTTTCAGGTGATGTTCCCTACTGATGGCTCCAAAGATGCTCACGGCACCGAGCTTCAAATAGGCACCAACTGCCTCGGTCATTGCTTGCTGTATCGGTTGCTACAACCAATTCTCTCAAAGACAGCTGCCATTTCGCCGAAAGGAAGCGTTCGCGTCGCCTGGGCTGGTTCATCGGCAATAGATCTTTTATCACCCAAGCCTGATGGTATGGAGCTAGACGAAGAAGGCCGACCAAAGGACAAAGGGGTGCAGCTCAACTATGGGCAGAGCAAAGTCGGAAACTTATTCCTGGCACGCAATTTTGCCAAGACGACACCGGAAAATGGTGTCGTGCATGTGTGTTTCAATCCAGGCAATCTGAAAACGGAGTTGCAGAGGCATTGGCGAGGACTCGGGGCAACACTGACAGTATGGAGCACTTCCAGACTTTTGGGGAATTGGTTCGATACTTATGATGTTAGGACATGTTAATTCTGCGACCAGCCATCAATGGCGCTTATACTGAGCTCTGGACCGCCCTTTCACCAGATTTGACTGAGAAGAATAGTGGTGCTTATGTCGTACCTTGGGGCAGGATTGGTGGGTTTCGGTATGGCATCGATAAGGCTTTGAAGTCACCCGCGGAGGGTGGGACTGGTGTTGCGGACCGTTTCTTTGAGTGGTGTGAACAGCAGACGGAGCGATATGTCTGAAAATGGTCGAGAATAGGCCTGTGCTTGTCGTTAGTAGCCTGATATTTCATACACGTCTCAGCATCAGTTCAGCACCATCAGATCCAGCCCTAACCCGATCCATACATTCCAAGATCCCGCATCAAAACATTGGGTGGTGACTTTTCTGAGATACTCATGCCTAAAGTTTGGTGATGGGACGCCTTTGGAAACTGTGTCTCGACTACTGCCTTCTAATGGATTTGCACGTACGTCATGGGAAAGGACTTGCCCTCATCAGTACATTTTGGTTCTTTAGTATCGTAGTGCTCGGGGATTTTCCTCCTGATCTTGTCTTGTTCTGTCCGATTTGCCTCGATTTTCGTCGTCTTGACTTCATGCTCCCTGTTCTTCGGGCTCGGTAATTCAGAGGTGGCATTCTTCACATTCCAGACTCTGTTTGCTATTGACGTATGAGGGTTCTCAAGCTATCTTACGAAAATCAATTGCCTTCATTACTGAAATGCGATGAGGGTAGACGGCTTCGCAAAGTTCCTGCTGCTATTATACGGAAATAGACTTGTTGGGCTTCTCTTAACTCCGGGCTTCTTCCCGGAGCTAAGAGAGTTCTTGTGCCAAGACTGATATTGGAGGAGGTCCAAAACTTCACACTGCAGACCATGAGATCGGTGCAGGCTTCTTTGGTCTGGCTTGTGGGATCATATTGGCCGGCTAGAGACTGCATGCTGCTTGTTGAAGGGACAACATGCTGAGATCACGGCTGCCCAACCTTGGAACCTCTCGATTCCCATACAGTGACGTCAACATGAATCGACGCGTCACAAGAGGTCAATCGTGCCAGTGGTATCGATCCGGAATTCTTTCTAAGTATTAAGGGTTGCTATCAAACTTTGGAAGCACCGGATACCACAAAGATGGCGCACCTCATTACAGGCAACAAATTTGAGCCAAACAAAGACATCCCCGATTTGGGTGGGAAGGCACGTCTCAAGATGTTGGACGTTTTGCTGGGGCCTTTCCGCTTACATTGCTTCTAACTAGGTCTTTATTGTGACAGGCGGAACGTCTGGTATTGGACTTGGCATCTCAGCTCACCTTTTGCAACACAGTGCCGCGAAGATAATTCTCGTTTCGCAAAAGGAGGAACATGCAGCAGAGGCACAAGAGGCTCTAGAAAAATTCGGGGACATCAATAAGCTTGAATGGATACAATGTGACTTCAAAGATTTGAAGTGGACGGTACAGGTCGCCGAGAAGCTAAAGGAAGAGAAGCAAATTGATGCTGTGAGTTCACCTCACGTACAAGGCTGCCTGAACACGGCATTGATACAAGTCGACAGCTCATCTGCAATGCCGGCGAAGGAGTAGGAAAATATAACGAGACGGTTGATGGCCTAGGTAAGCCCCTCTCCCTCCGCCCCAACTCCTAATAAGTCCCATTTGGATCAATCAAAAGCTGACTCCTCGTCCTCCGATAGACTCTCATTTTCAAGTGAACGTCCTCTCCCAGTTCTACCTCTCCCTCGCGCTCTTCCCCATTCTTCAGAAAACGCCTCACTCCCGCCTGATCCACCAATCCTCCGACCTCCACCGCGCCCCTCTCTCTTCTGTCACATTCACTTCCATCTCGGAGATCAACACAGACATTGGTCCTATGAATCTCTACTCTCGCACAAAATTGGCTCAGATCCTCTTCATCCGCGCCCTAGCCAGGCGCATCACATCGAATGCCCCGGGCTTTCAGGCTTCCCTCAAGGCGGAAGGACCGTGGGTCATCGCGACACATCCTGGCGGCGTGAGCACCGATCAGCAAGACCAGGCTGTGGACGCTTATGGGACAAAGGGCAAAATTGGAGTCAAGGCTGTGAGACCATTTCTGAAAGATCCAATTGATGAGGGATGTAGGAGCGCGTTGTTTGCGGCTACGAGCGAGGATGTGGCGAAGGAGAGACTGCAGGGCGTGTATATTGTGCCAGATCGGAAGGTTACGGAGCCGAGCAAGCAGGCACAGGGTGAGGAGCTGGGGGAGAATCTGTGGAAGTTGTGTAGGGAGATTCTGAAGGAGAAGGTCGAGGTCGAGGTGCCTGAGTAGGTTCTACAGGCTATTGCTGGGAGAAAAGTCGCCAATTGACGTGCAATTCAATGCTAACACAATAGAGCCCGAGTTCGAGCGAAAACTGTTATACCACTCTATACTGAGACTTAGCCCTCATCTGCTAATCAAGCCATCCCTCGTGCGCCACGAACAAACCAGATATTGTGTATGCCGGGAGGAAAAACACTTCGGGTTTGGCGTTAGGTCATGATTCCGTTTGCAGACTTCCCAGCCCAACACCTCTCGCTTCATTCCTCTCAGTCTCCAAAATTCTCATCATTGGAATCACTCTTCTTGAACTTTTCAATCGCAATGCACGCTGCTATTGTCTGCCACGCAAGTTGGCACCAAGACAGCATGTTGGCGGGGCAAGGCAGATTTGAACCCTGCATGTTTAGCACAAGGCTGAAGCTGAAAACATCTCCTATGTCTAGCACACCTTTGCTTTCTTCAATGATTGCAAGACCCGAAAATCAGTTGCCATGGATCCTCTGTCGGTCTCAGCATCAATCGTAGGCATATTGGCAGCTGCAGCGAAAACCTCATCAGTATTAGCGAATTTCGTGCAGAATGCTAGACACGCGCCGACGACCGCACATTCTATACTTCGAGAGATCAATGGCCTACGTACAGTCCTTAACTCGTTACAAGGATACGTGCTCGGCTCGCGGACTATAGCGCAGCCTCGGGCTGCTCTAATACTTGTTGAGCAAGTCGTCGTCACGCTGGTTGAATGCGTGAGTATCTTCTCCGAGCTAGAATACCTTTTTGGAACTACCGTTGAAGTCACCGCCGTGAGTACAATAGAGCGTATGAAGCTGGCTTTTAGGAGTTCAAAAATCACAAGTCTCCAGATGAGACTCGAGAAGACCAAATCATCTTTGACTCTGATATTGACGGTTTTGCAATGGTATTTCTAATTCTATAGCTGCTCGTGCCTAGATATTGCTAAATTGTGCCTAGCGAAGTAATGTCCGAGGCTGAGACTGCTGTAGATCGACTCTTTGTTTTAGTGCAGCAGGTTCTATCCAGTAATCAGGAAATGAGTGCACGTCTTCATGCGATGGATCAGAGGATAACGAACGACGACTCAGTGACAGTAGCGGTAGAGGACGATAACGTCACTCAAAGCTTGACCAGATCCGTCACAAGCCAGTCAACACCCGAGCTGGAGGATGTACAACTCAGACAGTTCAGCTTACCCCTTGAAGAAGATCTTCGAAAGTCGAAAGTGTATAAGAAGGCGGCTTTCAACAATTCTGAACGTACACTGATGTCAGCTACCGCCTTCAGTACTGCTAAATCCATTCTGTCAGCTTACAGCCTCTCAGAGATATCTAACATATCTGTTTTCGCGCTTCCAATCTATTCCAATGAGGTCGGGAATAGTTTTCGATATATATTTGGAGTCCCTACAGCTGCTGGCACAAGCATTCTTCCTTCACTAGGAACACATGTTTCTAACGCTGGGCATCAGGTCGAAAATTCGGCAATATCAGGCCCATTGGACAAGTTGATCGCTGAAACCCCCAATTCACGTACGACTCTTTCCGACATGTCGGATGAGATGTACAAAGGGGTGAGATCTGTTTTCGGTGTTTCGCTCTCCACTTCTATTGAATATGCATCGACAGCGATTACGTTAACATACCGAGACGCGAGTGATGCTGAGATACGACATGGCCGTATCCCTATCATTGTTGCAAAACTTGGGGAATATTTAATGGATGAAGGTTAGCGTAGACTTCCTCAAAGACTCAGTGGACTGTTCACTAAAGACGCTCGAACAGGATTGAACGCTGCAGGCATCTTTAGGCATGACACATCTTCTGAAGGTCCACGCATACAGGGACTTGCCAAGAGATTCAATGCAGGCCCTGAGTTTGGGAGATTCATACCTGAGAGCTATCTAGAACCACACATTGCGGCCTCATTGTTGAGCGAGTTTCTATGGACCCTCCCAGAGCCTATTATACCCCAACACTGCTACGATTACTTTCGGAGGCCAAGTGTTTATCCATATCCAGCGACATACCTAGATTTAAAAGTTGATATTGAAGACGGTTTCATGCTTGAGAACTACCGGCAAAAGGTCCACGCTTTACCTATTGACTCGCGTCATACATTACTTTATCTGCTGAAGCTTTTTGCCCACCTCTTGTTGAAATCAATATGGAACGGGCTGAATATCGAACATCTTACGAGTTTATTTCAGCCAGTAATCCTTCGGCCCACCTCGGGCTATCCTGATGTCAGCATGGAAACACCAATAGAACGTCTTCGAAATCAAAAAGTCCTCATTTATTTGATCAAAAAACAGCATCTTTTGACGCGGCATGAATTCAAGCCAGGTTGGCAACCGGTTAAAGACCTTCGAAATAGCAATTCTTGAACCGACAGATCAATCGATACATTCACAGGGTGGTCTATTCCGACACCACTAGCTGTCACTTCGTCTAGAAAGACGTGAAACTCTCTCTGCTTCGCCCCCATACTGCAACAGGATGGCAATGTGCTGACAGGTTGCTATCAGGCCCTCAGCTCAAGTCATCATCCCTTGATCGCAAGGCCTTCTTGCCTCCGACAGATGACTGGGACCCGTCATGGGAACACAAACATGTACAGATTGTCACAAGACCAACTCAATGTGCTGATAGCTTTCATTTCATCATTCCTTCTATCACAGAAACATTATCTACAATCCAAGATTTATACACGATATGCCAACGCTGGCTCCCCAAACCACCACACCCCTTCCCCCATCTCACGCCGCCTCCCCAAACAACTCCCCATCCCACTCAACAGGACAAAGTTCCTCAAACCCCACAAACTTATGCCCCTCCCTCCTCGCCGTCCACGCACCTCCCCACGCACCTCCCTTCCCCACAAGCGGCTCCTCCACATGTTCCCTCCACGTGCCCACCTCGCCCACCACACCCCCGCCCAACTCTCTATCAACCACGCCCTTCATATGCCGCGCCCACCACGGGCGTGCCCAATCTCGCTGCCGTGCGTCTTTGTCCCCATTATGATGCACCATGACGGGCACGACGCCGAGACATAGATGTGTGTAGAGGGATTGGGAGTCCCAGCGTGCTTCGTGGCCTGTGACGGATTGCAGGACTTGCGCACTCTCTGGCCTCCTCATATCTTCGGGGAATTCCCAGCCCGTGGACCCGCCGATGCGGTATTTACAATCCCACCTGCCCCTCCCCTCCCCCCCGTCCCTCCCCTCCCCTTTCTTCCCCCTTCACCACCAATTTGTCCCTCCAAATCCTTACCATGAACAAGCCATCGCGCGTCTTTCTCACTATTAATAGTCTGGTGCGTCAGATCAGCGAAATAATCGACCCCGATCCCGAATTCCATCGGATGCCCATCGAGAAGCTCGGCGGACTCGTGCGTGAAAGGCGGGTTGAGGATGTCGTAGGGGCGTAGGGCGTCGATGTTGCCCGCGCCGCGCTTTTCTACGCGGCGCTGTCCGCCTTTTCGCCTGCCTCTTCCTCCTGCTGTGCCCTTGCCTTTGCTCATACTCTTACTGGGTTTCTCTTGCGCATGGTCAGTCGCTGCTGCCTCAACTTTCGCCACATCTTTCGCCCCACCCGCACCACCACCTGTAATCCTACTAAAAAACCCCTCCCCCTCCCCCTTCACCCTCGCCAACGTCCCCGGATTCATCACCGCCTTCGGATCGCCCCCATACCTCCTGCGAATGCCCTCGCGCTGAAACTCCTGCTCGCCCCAAATCCTTGCGAACACGGACTGATCACTCCCATGATAGCTGTCCGCGCTGCCCTGACTCCCATTATCCTCCGGATCTTTCCTCGGCAGCGCCTTCATCAATTCTTCGGCGCGCGTGAATAAGCGGCGTAAATCCCCCACGGGACCCATGATCGACCCCGAATTCAGCCAGCGCTGCTTGTGGAAATAGTGCTCACTTTGCCCCAAATCGGTGTCGGTGTTGGCGAAATACAAGTCGTCCGGAAGCGGGGAGTCTGGGATCGGGTAGCAGGCTATGGTGTGGATCTGGTTAGGAGCGCAGCGTTTGCCTGCCCCGAAGATTATGGTTTGCGAGATTGACTCGCCGCGGATGGCGGTGGCGCCGAGACGGGATGAGAGGCGCTTGTTTGCGTGCGCGTTGATGGAGAAGTAGCGGGATATTAGCACTGAGGGGGGCAGTTGGAACCAGATGTCGTAGGCGTCGATCATGAGGATGAGATCGTCGTCGTGGGTGGGCGGGAGGGTTTGCAGGTGGGCGAGCGTGGAGGAGATTTTGGCCATGTGCGTGCCGCCGTCCATGAGACCTTCTTTGGAGGGCGAGCCCCAGGCGATCAGGGTCGGGATTGGGTAGCCCAGCAGAGAGGCGCTGAGGAGGGTTTTGCAAAGGTTGAGGTCGGAGTGGGTGGCGGGGATTAGGAGGTGTAGGCGCGGTTGGGGGGTGGTGGAATTCGTTACTGCATTGTGTTGAGGGAAGGTGTGTGTGCTGGAGGTTGGTTGAGGCAAGAAGGATAGTTGCTAGATGGGGGGCTTTGGTTAGTGGGTTTTTAATCGTACGCGTGGTGGAGGCGAGGATGGAATTCGTACTCTGTTTGGTTTGGGGACGAGATATGCAAAGATCGTGAATATAAGGACGGCGCATATCACAAGCTTCGAAGGGGTTCGGAAGCGGAAGGGATGTCTTTGGGAGGTGGTCTGAGTCATGTCGACACCCATGAGGGGCAACAAGAAGCAGGAACAGGCAAAATGTTTCAAAGCGCGTTGGTAACGACTGTGGGGCGTTGAGACAACCGGAGATCTATCTTGAGTGAAGAATCATCGTGCAGAGCCCTGATGGTCTATGGGACTCATTGGCATGCTATTGCTCGAGAACGTGAAGATTCAAAGAATGGAAAGCAAACGCCAGCACGGATGCAATGAAGCAGAACTGCATATCGCCAGCGGCATGCCTAATTTATTAGTATTACCGTTGAGATAGAAGGCAGCTAGCCAACCCTGTACCTGCATATGCATCGATAGGGGTCCCGTGTACCTGCGTGGCAGTAACCACGCGATCTCAGATAGCGCACGTCGCGCGCAGAGATTTTGTAGCCCAAAGGAGTAAAAGGATGGAGAAGCCACCCCCTTATGGGAGTCTAGGCCGGCCGTTAGGCTAGCGGGTCTAGGCCTTTGTGCCAATAAGGACAGGGGAAAAGCTTAAGGTTCTGTCTCCAATTTCCACAACGGTCTAGTTCGTCCATTTTGGGTGAGATGGAGATTGGCTTGAACTCTGTGTCTTTACTTCGCGGGCACGTCCGCATGCTTGGTACAGCGTGGGTGATAGGTGAGAAGCGTAAGTGAGACTGTTGGTGTAGACATATATAAGACGATCTCACGTCCAGTCTCAGGTATGTAAGAGTCTTCACCTTGGCAAGAGTGAGGCATGTTGTCCTGGTCAGTGGTCTAGGTCTATCATTGACTGTCGGAGCCAACCCTGACTTCCCGGTGGGGGCCCAGGACGATTCCTTGGTGTGTCGCGCGCGCGTGTACCTTTTAGTAGAGAGGGTACTCCTCGGCCAAAGTGGGGAGGTTCAACTGGGAGGACTTGGAGGAAGTGGGTAGGACCTCGTATAACATATAGTAATACAGGTATAAAGAATGAATAGCAACGCGCTCAAGTATCCCATAGTCTGGTCTGGCGTCTCCTTCACTCTTATGTCCGTTAAAGCCGAAAGTTAACTGCCCCTGAAAACCAGACACCACACCAGACGAGAGGATACCAGACACCTTATGTCTGCCCTCGCACCAATTCTCCCGCCTGGAACAACACCTCGCTTGGCATATGCACCACCCAATCCTCCCCAAGAACCCCTTTCAAGCTCTTCGTCTTCAACTCCCGATAGCGATCCGCAACCACCTGTTCAGGAACAGTCTGCCCCACCCCCGTCCTCGGCGTCACCAACACTCTCTCCCTCCCATGCAGAATAGTGAAATTATTCCACACATAGAGATCGCCCGGCCTCAGCCGAACCCTCAGCAAATGGCTATCCCGTGTCAAAATCTCCTGGAACTTCTGGTGCGCAATTCGCGCTAATTGAAAGGTGTCGAACGGCGTGACCAAGGAGCCCGTGAGGTGCGCATGCCAGCGAAAGCGTTTGACCGCTGTTGATGAGCCAGGATGGAACGTGACGGGACTGTCAACGGCCCCTTGGCGCAGCGGCGGGGAGTAATAATCCACCTTACGGCCAACGGCCATCTGAGAGGTGACGAAAGGCTCGTACAGATCGGGCGCTTCGTCCTGCAGGGTTTGAAGCGCGCGAAGGCCGGAGACGAAGGTGTTCTCGCTCTCGCCTTCGAGGCCGTACCAGCCTTGGATCTGGATCGGGTGCACGTAGTGTGCGTGGTCGACGTGGGGGAGGAGTACTTGTGCAGTGTCGTAATTTGGCAGACCGTGCGCGCGTTTTGCGTCTTCTTCGTGGTGGGAGGAGACGTTGAAGGTCTTCTCACCTGTGCGCCGGGGGTGTTGGAATACGCTGCCGAAGAGCTTTTTGAGCACTTGGGTTACGAGCGTATTGGATTTGGAATGCTCGCCTTCGAGGTCAGGAGGGGGAAGGTTGACTATTTTGATGATTCCCGTGCTGGGGTTCATCAAGAGGAGGTCTAAAACGCTCTCGGCTACGATGCTGCACTGGTCTTCGGTCGCGGCAAATATGTCCTGGTAATCCACGTGGGGGATCTCGAGCGTGTTCGCCAACCAGCCTTTTGGCGCAGTACCCTGTAGTGGGACCGTAGTAGAAGGTTGTTGTCCAACGAGAGGCCCATATGCACGAAGCCAAAGGGCGGGAAGGCACGACCTTGTACCGTCTTGCCAAACGAGGTCGAGATCTACCGCCGTGGATCGAATTGAGGCTTTGATGATGCGTGCATCCGTAAGCTTGGAGCAGTAAGCGGTTGCAGCAGTCCTTGAAGTACCAGTGTCGCATTTGGCGTCATGTAGCCATTGCGCGTGGAAGGTGAAGGTTTCGCTAGAGAAGGCAATCGTGAGAGCTGCGCCATCTGAACAAATATCACACCGGACGATACCCCATGGAGATTCCACCTCATTTAACGGTTGAGACATCATGAGCTAAGTACATCAACAAGTGATTGAGTTAGATTGAGTTTGCGCAAGTTGCTCTACCTCATGGTATTCAGAGGGTTTGCTCGCCAGTTTAATAGCGTGACGATGGCTGGCAAGGCTAGCTCCGCCTTGTGGGATGAGGCTCTGCGCCGGATGCATGGGTCCGTCTCTGCATTCCTCCTTGGCAAAGTATTGTACACAGACACCCATTTTCCGTGTGTCATGAGGCTCTTGGGCGGAAAACGCTTGCGCTCTACCGCGAATCAAAGCTGAAGAGACTGAGTAAAGGGTATGACCAGCGTGGGATCTTTGTAGCAAGCGAGGATCGACGATAGCATGCACGCTAATGCAATATCGGATATTCCGTGGGGTGAATGTGATGTCAGCATGCAGTTGTAGCTGACCGACGCGACAAAGAGAGCGTGCAAAGAGGTCTGCAGGCTAGTGCTGACAAGATACAAGCTTCACATGTTCACTGTTGTTACATTATATTTCCACCAGGTACTATTCGGGTCCTATGACTGTTTCTTTGTCAACATCTGCCACGAGCGAATCAATGACTTGGATGTTGGATTGGTCGGCTTCCTCTGTAGGGTTCGTTAGCCATGTACGCCATACAAATGCAGATCCAAAAATTGGGAGACCATTCGAAAAGTGTCACTGACGCTGAAATGCACCTTCAATATGTCCGATTTCCAACGATGGCTCCAAACCCAGCCATACTCTACATCGAATTTGTAGGCTACCCTTTCCAAAAGGTACGAATCCCAAAGCCACCACAAAGCTCCAAAGGCAAGCACACAATGTCCGGCTATGGGTCCAACGAGGGCGTTCAAAATCTGAGATGGCCTATCGACACCGGCTTTCCTATCAGGAGGATAGAACGACAACACGAGTACGAAGGCATTCGCGGACACATATGACACAATCAAAGGGGCCAGTAGCCAATAGCCGAGACGAGAGCTCTGAGACTTCCAGGGCGAGCCATCCTCATTCGTGAAACAACGAAGCCATGGTGCCAGTAGTAGCGCACCTCCAAGTAGGACTGACATCGCTTAGCATATACCCAGCCTAATGACGGGTTTGTACGTACTGCTGAACCATGTATGCACATAAGAGTAGAAAGTACTCATGACGAGAAAACCACCCGAACCATGAAGAGGCGTAATGATGATGCAGAGAACACTGAATATCCAGTGAAGTAATAACGCGCGTGCTGGAGTCCGTCGATGAGATGTTTTGCACCAAAACTCTGGGAAGGGGACGATTCCCAACCGGGCAATTTCCTGCTTCACTATGAAAAGATTAGCTTCGCACGATTCGTCAAGCATTTCCTGACCTCTTGCGTAGGCAAATGTCAGAGACATGATCGCCCCCACAGCGGACAGGCATATGATGATAGACGAGGCGCGGTGGGCTTTTGAAGAAGGGCCGAAAATCTAACGATCAGTTCTCTACATCAAGCCACCAGTAGGTCGATTTCTAACTTACTTTTTCCAAAAACAGTGTTACAGTCTCAGGAGAGCTCACTATTTCATCTGTAGTCAAAGCCGTGAACTGTGGATTTGTCAGCTCGCCTAGGAATTAGCCCAAGTCTGCATCAACCTACGAAGGCGAGGTTGGTCATCATGTACAAAACACACACTATGATGACACTGAATGTCACGGATCTGCGGAACGTCCGACGCTCGTCGTCTTCAGGACCTTTTCTGATTTCCTCCAGGACCTTGAATCACTTAGACGATAATTGTGACTGTGCGTGTGAAGGAGCTCAAGGCCTACCAAGTTTGCATTCTCATAGCCCAGGAAGGCTCTCATGACATTCAGTAAAGCCAGGGAATACTCGTATAGACTCGTGGACCGGTTTCCAAAAGAAGTTTCCAGGTTCGCTCGCCCGTATGGGGTCTTGATCATTGATGGGCCAGTTCTTCGAACACCGCAGAGTGCCACGATGCCACAGAGAGAGATGAAGATGAGACTGCTGATCTTAAACAGTGCCAACAAATTGCTCATCCGTATGTAGATTGATCTTGAGTAGGCCTGTAGCTGGCACACAAAGGTAACAATTATAATTGCAAAGAATCTTTGCAGCTTTGGATCGACCGGTGTACCTGCTCTTGTATGCGAATTTGCTAGTATGACTTCTCTTCCGAATGTCAAGGCATTGGCCTGAACTCCACCGACCAGGACGAACATGCTTGCGAACATGTAGGTGAAAAGGCGGATTGGTCGGATGTAGACCTTATCGACCTGCCAAACAATCGTCAGCGAAGCAAGGTGGCTACATCATGAGGCTTGATTTTACGTAGTGAAGCTCGCCGCCAGTGAGCGGCCATCTGATTCCGTACTCCAGGTAGATTGACAGGCTAACTCTATGTCAGCCGCTTTTGGAGATGAGCTCCCTGTAGACCATACCCTCCCCAAGTCACGTAGCAGCCAAAAAGCCACAAAAGAAGGCTGATTCCTTTACTGTGTGTTGCCGATAAGACGACCGAGGGACTATTGCAATTGGTCAGGAACGACAGGTTCCCTTGTGTCGCCAGCTTGAGCTTACCTGATAAAGATACCGGTGCCAACAATTTTGTTCAAGATGAGGTTACTGGAATCAAGCTCAGCGTCGTCAGTACCTAGGGTCGCTTGTGAAAATCGTACATCGTAGAGAAGTATCCCAACTCCTTGCCTCTCTCGATGGGGACAAGCTCCGCCTGACCCTCATGCTTGTTGTTCTCTGGTTCCGTCGATGCGCCATTTGAATGGATTGAGCTCAGGGAGAGATCTTTGCCTTCGATTCTGGCATTTAGTTGGATCAGAGGGATATGATTTCTCTGGTCTCCGCTAACGCTGGATGCTCCCCTTGCACATGAGAGTTCTTTCGTCGTAGCGGGTTAATCACGAAGGCTTCTTCGTCGCTCATAGCGAAGGCTCTGCGTTGAAAGACAGCTGTGCTTGAAAGGATTGGATGGGTGGCTGCGGCAAGTCATTCTTGCTAGAAGTAAGGCAAGGTACGTCTGCTGTGCCTGGCATCTTGGCCGGTGTACAGGTCGGTATCTCCATAGTCTTCGCGATCGATGTATTAGTCAAGGATGGTCCCTACCGTAATTTCGATTGGCATGTCACTGCCACGCAGTAATACGCGCACAAATCCGCGACTTGCTCACTCCATGCCAGGTGTCAGCAAGAACGCCTTGACAGCGGCAGAGCCTGCCGAGTATGTAGACTGCCGTGAGTGAGGTAATAATTCGGCAAAGTCCGAGTATCAGTGCAAGGCAGGAGCATTGGGAGAGATCTCTGCCTCCTTCAGTGAGGCGCTAATGCCGACTGGGATCTTTAGGGCTCAGGACCCTAGAGTACCCGAGGGACCCTTGAAGGATCAGCGGCTTCTAACCCTAAGCATCCCTAGCGTAGAACTGAAGTCTATCGCCTGATTGCCTACTTTCAAGTTGCAAAGCAATGATCGTTTGTCGACAGCTGGCAAAAGACGTGATCAGGGTGCCTTGCTGCCGATCGGCCCCATCCCTCAATCAATCTGCACTCATGCCGCGCAGAGATTTTAGTCACATTTAGCGGAAACAAAAAGCGGGGGTCGAGTACCAGAGCCAAAATGATACGCGTGTTCTGTCGTAACAATCGCTGTCCTCGCAGACCGAGATGAGGCATCAACCATTTCGTCGAATCCTGGTTTGTGAAACGCGGCTCAAGCTCCGCATCTGCGAAGATGGTAATGCTACAGCAGCATCGATTGTGTATGGAGAATTGACAGTCGCTCGTTGCCATCAATCTCGGATCCTCAAAGAGAATAAAGCTGGCTGAGATTCCGCTCGTCACCGTTCCTGATCCTCTCAATGTCGCCAATGTGTGCTGCACGCGCCCTACTGGTGCGGCGTGAGCTCGACAGGGCGTTCACGCCTGAACTGCACCCTGCCGCTCACGATCCGTGTTGAGCTTCTCTGCTGCAGTGTCTGCCTCCGAGGCACTTCGGGCTGCCTGCGGATCGATGCAATATGGCCCAGGCGGAGGACTGCGCAACCTACGTGAAAGAACTCTGTGAGATCCTGGATGCACCAAATGAAGGATCTGTCGTTGGCCAATTGACAGGGCATCTACGGAAGTGGCAAAAGTCTATCATAGACTTGCTTCACACCGATTTTGGTCGCACTGATTCAGCCTTGTGCAACGAAGAGGGACGCCAAATCTGGAGACTCATTGCACAGAAGGTGCCCGAGACCCTGGTCATTTTAAAAAACCTTTTCCACAGCCAGAGAATAGTGATTCCATCTGAGGCAGCGTTGCAAGCGCTGGAAGAAAGGATAACCTACTATGCAGGCGCCACAGACCTGCTTAGGTCGACTCTGAGCCGGTAATCGATTCATCGCGATATTTGGGTGAAACCATCGTGCTGATATGGCCGTAGTGGGGATTCGCCTCCTGGGGCATTGCCCTTCCGCCACCCTTTCTCAGCAGGCCAGCAATTAGCCAAGGTCAGTCAACCCAATGTGTGTGGTTGGAAGCATACAGGTATCAAAGTACTGGGAGACAGCGATGCTCAGTAGTTGGTTGTGATAGTGTGGCAGTACACAGGAGATACATGGAGAGCAATGGCTAATATGTGCCTTTTGAGCAGGATCACGCGGAGCTAGGGGCATGGATTTGTGGAATGCTGAAGGTTGCACATCCGGCTTCCCTTCGAGACGGGCCACACGCAGAAGCAAAGGGCGCATTGATCGTGAACGAAGAAGATTGGCCCGACCCCACGGGCCGCACCCTTGCAAACATATATCCACAGATCAGACGGGAATTAGGAATAAACGCAGGGGCTTCTTCGAATGGAGACCATGACCGGAGAACTCGTGTAGCGATCTTTGCTCTTGTCAAGGTCTGCTGCTCTTGTCTATCAATGCTTGAAGTCCCTCATTGACGAGCATACAAGTTGCACATCGTCCTACAGCAGCCTCCATCGAGTGTTAGAAGCTTGAGTCATGGTATCAAGATTCTGTCAGCAGCGCACGCGTGTGCATTGGCCGCTTTTGACCTTCCCTCCACCCAAGTCGCTCCAACGCTTTGGACACTGCATTTCATCGTCTTAGAGGTAAGCCGACGTATGTCGATCAACAGCCATTACTCGCTAACCTTCACAGCAAAGTATGAATGAGCTGAGGGCTTTAGAAAGATTTCTTTCCAGCTCGCCCGGTCATGACGGATCTCCTTTAATTTACGCCTTTGATCTCTCCGACCCTACCGACGACATACTTGACGCTCTCATCGCCACAATGTCCCCTGAGGAGCCAAATTCTCTCTCGGTAAGTGAAATTACATACCTCCAGATTTGAGGAGAAGAATTGATCATCGGTAGCAAAAGGGATTGCACAATAGCTCGCAAGCACAAGAGGGTATCGTTGAACCTGATACGATCACGCTTCCTGATCCTAGTGTACCACACGCAATCAACACAAAAGTCGATACTGCGCAATACTCAGCTGACGCCATATCGGCTTACAGCCACGATAAGGAAGTACCTACGGATAAGCCGATGATCTTGCGGGTGGCTCAACATGACCCGAAGAAGTTATTGAAAGACTTGCGATGGAGCCAGGCAAGAGTCCGCATCTTTGCCTTGAATGAAGATCGACATACACGATATCGCATAGTATTCGAACGCGAAGGCTGCCTCACTACTTACGATGGTAAACGCATATCAATCCTAACCTTTATGTTCTGAGCCTTATATAATGATAGTCACGCCTCACACCGACCGCCTCGTCCTTGGGTATGCCTTCAATATACAACCTTCGGCAATATGGTTCCTCAAGGATGAAAAACCTAATTATTGTTTCGCAAGTTGTAACGCCGGGAAAGATGGGTTACACGGTAGGAAACCACACGCGGAGAAATGTCTTCGGCACTGACTGACACCATAGAAGATCTACTTACTTTCCAGGCGGATTTAATGGCTCCAATCATTCCAATCCACTTCCCATTCGTGAGCTCTGTTGCTTTCCAAGATGGTCACACCGTATTTCAAAGGTGCCAAGAGGTCACAATCCAGATATGGAGATCAGATGGTCCAGACACGACCCCACCTGTTACGGCAGCCCAGTCAGTAGCCTCACGAAGCCCAAGATCTACAATCCACTCGTCGCTAAGTCGTATATTTATTTTCTCCCCTGAAGCTATCTTTGATTTGCCAGGTAGCTATATTCATATATCAACGTCTTTATGCAGTCAACTGACAAGTACTGCAGTCAATGAAGAGATCGCTATCAAGTCTGAAACGGTTGCCACCGATATCGTGATTGGCAACAGATCTAGAAAGAAGAAATTATCTATCTATAGGCTATGTATGGAAGATAATCAGCTTCCTGGTTTGGTTGTCGACTCCAACCATTCCGACAGGCCACAGTCGATAGCCAAGCTCAAGCTTTCGTGCTCCACGGTAAACATCTCATTTCCAAATAAGCGAAGTAAGTGTCTGAGTTGATGCTACAATCCCCTGGATACTACTAACGCGTGCAACGCGATCTTAGCACGCGAAGAGTTCGCTGCAAAGCTTCAAGATTGTATTGAGATTGCTACGATCACGGCTCAAGATCGCCAGCGACAACATGAGTTCAACCGCAGTCCGATCATTGAATCTACTTCAAGCTTTCAACCTGGCCCTTGAACCTCGGGTGCTTAGTTCTGCCTCCCAGCAGAAAGTACGTTGAATCAGGCCTCGCTACTAGCTTCGAATCAAAGTCTCGGAGCTCTGGTCATCTCTACGTTCTGGATAGCCACCTTGCTGTATCCGCCATCGATAGACCGCCATAGAAATGGCACATATTGCGACAGTGGCTAATGTAGCGGCGAAGTGTTGGACAGCGGCTTGCAAAACTATCAGAGAGCTCACAACGCAAAAGAAAGCGGGTTGCCACAGGGATATGTGATATGTCTTTTGGACCAGGGACCGATGGCTGCTACGCGACTGCCTTCGTATCTTGACGAGTCCGCATACCGTGATGAGGTAGAAAGTATATTCTAGCACACCTGTCTTGGTGAGCAATTGTCTATCTGATATGGCAATTGAGAGCTAGCAGAAGGACGGATTGAGTATTTTACCTTTGAACAGTAAGAGGTTACGAAAAGAGCCTAGAACGACAAAAACAGCTGCCGCAAAGCCGTTGAAAAGCATAGCCCCTCTTTTGCCAAGTTAGAGTCCTTCTAATAATACTGGAGCACATATACGGACTGCACAATCTCTTTGATGTAAATGATGAAGGGGGTACTCACACGGGGACATCTGTGCTCGCTGACGGGCTACACACTCGAGCTAATCGCATTGCTCTTTTGGCAAAGGATGTCTGTTCATTTGTTACTTCGATACCTTCGGCTTCGCTTTGAACCCTCCCTTCGTCAGGTTGAGAACACAACCGGTCTAGTAGAAGTCGAGGAACGTAATTGCAGCCGCCCGCGGCTTGCGTCAGACGGCCAGCCGAATATACTGTTGCATTTAGCGAGCCAAGGCACGCTATACATACAGCCCAGGTATAAAATATCGCTCCGGGCGCTCCAAATATCCGAGCGCCAAAGACCTAGGACAACGCGGGCGGTGTTAGCTACTATCTTACCCAGGGCAAACACGATCTCAATAAAGTTTTACGTACCGCGGCGACCGCATTCGTCTCTTTCAGAGTGTCCAATGGCACGACGGAGTAGAATGCAACAACGGTGAGTGTGAATAGACTTGTTGTCATTGACATGGCACCATTCAGAATCTTGGGTATGGTCTTTTCAGGATCTACTATTTCACCAGCCACAAATCCGACGGATTCCCATCCTCCAAAAGCGAAGAGCGCGGCGAAGAGTGCATCTGCTACCGTCAACGGCGTAAATCGTGACTTATGCTGCCCTCTCTCATCAACACTATGAAAGTCAGGGTAGGCTCTTGTGGTAGATGTCGGCGAGTATGAGGGCACGTTCCCTTCGTCGCGGAGACCATTCTGGACGAAAATACCACTTATGGTCAACATCCCTAGCGCCACTATGGAGAACAACGTAAGCAGCTTCAAAGCTAGGAATATCCTGGCCACCCCCAAAGCATTTCCGGCACCCGTACAATTTAGCCAGGTGACCATCATGATCGCAAGCAAGGCCAAAAGCTTGACCCCCAAGAATTGCTCATTTGTCCTTTCACGTCGACGATTGCTTGTGCCGTCGCGAACCCTTGAAAGAAATATTCGGCAAATATCATAGATATCATACTCATTGAGCATGGCTTGACTATTGCAATCCAAATCCAGGAGAACACGAAGGCTACCATGTCGCCCGCGGCTCCCGGTTTCGGCCCAAAGCTATGTCTTAGGTATTGCAATATACCACCGTTGCCGGGATACCGAACTCCTAATTCCGCGAAACTGGCAGCTCCAGTCCATACCAGGAGACCCGCGCCAGCCCAAATTGAGATCGCTCCAGTCTTGAAAGGAATGAGTGTGATAACGGTCGCTGGCGTCGAAAATATTCCTGACCCGATCTGAAGTCCGATCATCAAAGCAATACCGCTCAGAAAGTTGATTTTTCGCGCGCTTTTCGCCGTGTCGTCCTCGATTAGGCTCCTGTTATTCCCAAGTTGCCGATCGGGTCCACCATCCTCATGAATGTTCTCCATAACCTCAGGTCGACTTGATGTCTCCATGCTTGCAGTTCCAACTTCATCTCCGAGGCCAGATGTAGGCTGTGGTACTAAGCTGGTGTCTAGTCAACTTTTAGAGTCTGACATACGGCGAGGTAGCGGCGGAGACGCCATGCGGACATTGGCATAGCAAATGATTCAATAGATCTATGGCGCTAATCATTCAAGATTAGGGATCAGTGAGATTTCAACTCATGCCACGTAAGCTTTGACTGTCCGACGAGAAAGCCGGGTCGATCAAGGAGGGGGTGGGGGGAGGGCAAGTGCAGAGCCGCGCTAAGGGTACGAACGGTTAAATACTCAATACGCATTATAGAATACGGAGTCCCTGCACAGCCTGCAGAGTGATTGCCCCCACAGGACATCATGTGAGGTCTGATCGCACGCTGGACTTGCATACATCTGACTCGTATTCATGCCCGATCTGCAGGCTTATCATGTACACACCCTGCCATCCCCCCACCCCAAGAGCGCCCAAGGCAGACCGATTGCACCACTCAGACACAAGGCTGACACCCTCTCGTCAATTAGCGAGACACAATTTTGTCAGCAAGACATACGTTCAAGAAGCGAATGAGCCTCAGCCTAATTCCGGTCATGCATTTCAACCCCGCGGTTCGATGAAGGAGACGGTTGGGAGAGCCCAGCAGTCAACGGCCTTACAATTGTGTCTCATATCGTGTCTGGGAAATACCTTCTATCACCTAGCACTCCATGCTGCAACAATGCGATGGTCGCCATATTAAGTCCATCCTTTTGCCAGAGTCATGGCGACGGCAGATGGTTCCACTCCTCCGACACGGAATGGGGATAGCTATTCTTTATTTTCTATTGACAACGAGGATGGTTCCGATGAATTGCAATTCCGGGCCCCCATCAAGAAACAATTGGAGGCACAATATCAAAGGTGGAAGGATCATGACAGACCTTGTACGTTATGCCACGCAACACCGAACGGCAAATGTCAATGTTCTATCTCGTGAGATCTGATTTAGCCTACCTAGTCTGGGCAGAAGCCATAACGAGTAGAAGTACGCAGAGTTTCTTTGGTATTGATAGCTCGCATCTACTTCCATCACTACGACAATACATTAGCGACCACTCCCTGGGTCTTTCCTTACTATCAGAGCTTCACCTCTGCAGCGTTCGGGCTTCAATTGTCAGAAAATGGGAATCAATTCACTCCCTTGAGGCCTCTCAATGGTTGTTCGACGAGTATCGTCGCTATGCCATTTGGATTCTAGACTATAGCAGCCGAAGCCCCAAGGAATATAGAATACCTCTCATCGAGTTGACCGTAGCTTGCAGCTCTGATTCCCTGGCTTTTAAAACGAAAGTACCTAAAGAGGCCGCTAAAATGCTTCTGCGCTCTTGTTCATCCAGATTCGTGCTATTTCCTCAGACGCGGTTCTCCTTCGTCGAGGATGAGGTACTTCATGACTGTCTACGCCAGCGATTGCAGGAATCGAACCTGACTGATGTTACCAGATCTTTCAACCGCTGTTCCCCATAGCTGCTGCACAATTCAGAATTATGACCTACAATCTGCTAGCTATCTTCAAAGGAAGTGCAGGTTTCTACAACGCGCTTCCCAGTCCGGTCATCACTCAATTCGTACAGACATCTTACGACAAAAATGACATTTTGTACGTTGTCGCGATGTACCCTGTAGTCAATTTTGAATATCTCGCAGACTATGAGAGCCGGAAAATGTTCGAAATCGCGACTAATTCGATACAAAAATACGGTCCTGCTGGTCTGCCCACGATTGCTCAACCTCGCTACCTACGTCGATTTGACTTTCCGAGCGAAACCAATCTGGCACGCCATGATTTCACGTTTGACGAAGACGGCCCTGAAAGGATACAAAGTGCTAGAGCACTGTATGAATATGCCTGCGGAGACGTAGATACTCTCTCTTTGGACCAGAAACAGATATGTATTCTCGAGAGTGGCGAAAGACAACCCTCCCGACCTCCGCTCCTCTTGACGATTGAGCCTTTGTGGTTGATCGCTTTCCCCTCACAAGGTCAGCTGTACCCAGCCCCTAAAACGTCACGCATCAGAACCACTTACCAATTATTCTTCATTGCATCGGGATAGATACCCTCTGCGTGTTTTATGACAATCGAGAGCAGAGGCCCGAAGAGATTTTCCAAGGCATTAAACGCCAGGCAGACCGATCCATCCCGTGTGATTGGGCGCGTAACCTGCTATTCTTGATTGAAGCGGTTGATCGAAACATGGGAAAGTATGAGCCAATCTATCGGGTTTGGCTTGCAAAACTAGTAGGAGTATAAGCCTGGTAGTCTAGACACCTTTACTGACCGAGACTTAGCGGACGAGGTTGCAAGCATCCCCCAAAATCGACCCCTTGCTTCTCAGAAAGCTCAATGACTTCGTGGCGGAGATCATCATACTGGTAGACCCGTTACAGAAGCAAATTGATATCCTGAATGCATGGTGGTCGCACATGAGATCTTACTACTCGGGGTTTGATGGCCGAGCTCCATCAAATGCCAATACCCTCATGCAGGAAGCAATCAAAGCTCGGCAGGTACATTTAGACTCGGTGCAGAGGCTGTTGCAGCAAGGCAAAGATACTCAAGCTCTAGTAAGCGATGACTGCAGCTCCCGAATTGGCACAGCTTACTGATTTTGCTACGACAGGTATTCCAGCAAAGTAATTTTGAAACTGCTCGTCTTCAATCAGAACTAGCAGAAAAGATGGCTAGAGAGACGGAATTGCAGTCGGTCCTCGCGAAACGGCAGTCGGCCCTTGCGAAACGGGCAGCGCGGCAGAATCAATCCATTTTGACATTCACAATCATCACTGTCATATTCTTACCTCTGTCTTTTTTCACGTCCTATTTTGGTACGTATGACGAGACGCTTTTCGCAACAGCGCATGACTAGCTGTACGCGGACAACGACGCTAATTCTGCTCCCGCATTAGGCATGAACACTCGCGATATACGTCAGACGGATACGGGACAAAGGGGCTTTTGGGCAGTTGCAGCGCCAATATCCTTTGTTATTGTTTCTTGTGCCACATTTTTCGCTTTCAGGCAACCTCTTCTCAGATATCTTCCATTTCAAAAACACACACAGAGAGACAAAGAAAATGCGTGAAGGATTCACAGACTTGCTCACTATATGATGGAGGATATTCACTTCGCGCAAGATACACAATCGGACCTGGCTGTTTGGCCCCCATGCCGACCGCCATAGATACAGATAATGAAAGCAACGCGATCTCTGTACTACCTTTGTTGGCCCAATGGGTAACTGCTTGATACAGTCGCTTGCCTACACCGCCTTACTGCTACCTCATATCAGGTATTCAAGAACTTTCTTGTTTGAATTTCTGCAAATGTTCCCACGGCAACACCCGTGCTACCCCAGATCTCGGACACACCGTCTTTTCCTTTGCAACTACCCAACAACTTTCTGGTCACTAAGTTGAGGAATAGTAGAGGGATCCATTTTCTCAGCTGAACATCGCTGAATATCACAAATTGACGTCGAATTCAAGAGGAAAACATGGAGAGCAACGAGGTCATCAGCGAAACTGAACACCACCAGTCTGCCATCGAGGTACAGGATAAACCATCTAACGAACAGCTCTTTGCATCAGCCAATAAGCACCTGCTCAAATTCGGTGGCGACTTCCATTCCCAAGTCATCACCAAAGCCAGCGGTATCTACTTCTGGACCGCGGACGGCAAACGCGTGATGGACTGGACATCCGGCCAAATGTCCTGCCTCATCGGCCACGGACATCCCGAAATTGTCCAAACTATCACCAATAGCGCAGCCAACCTGGATCATCTCTACAGCGGAATGGTATCACCGCCAGTCATCGAACTAGCAGAAACGCTGACCGGACTTCTCCCGGATGGGCTGGACAAAGCAATGTTCCTCAGCACAGGCGGCGAGGCCAACGAGTGTGCGTTGAGATTAGCCAAGACTGTGACGGGCAAGTTCGAGATCGTGGGGTTGGGAAGTAGTTGGCATGGGATGACCAGCGGTGCACAAGGGGCGCAGTACAACGCGGGGAGGAAAGGTCACGGTCCGTTGGTACGTTGGGTCGCCCCTCTCCCTTATCTTGAGATTCCAAGACCTACTGCAGTGAACGATGCTGTATCACAGACCCCAGCTAACCTGTCTCCCACCGCGCAAAGATACCAGGCACCCACCTCCTCCCCACCCCAGACGCCTACCGCTCCATCTTCCGCCACCCCGACGGCTCCCACAACTGGCGCACCGAGCTCGACTACGGCTGGTCCCTCATCGACAAGAGCTCCTGCGGCTCCCTCTGCGCCGTCATCCTCGAACCAATCCTCTCCTCGGGAGGCATGATCACCCTCCCCGCTGGCTACATGTCCGCCATGTCGGCGCACTGCAAAAAGCGCGGCATGCTCCTCATCGTGGACGAGGCGCAAACCGCGCTCGGCCGATGCGGCGACCTCTTCGCTATTAATCATGAAAGTAATGGGGGTGTCGTGCCTGATATTTTGACACTGAGTAAGACGCTGGGGAATGGGTTGCCGCTTAGTGCTATCGTTACTGGTGCGAGTGTGGCGGACACGGCGGAGCAGCGCGGGTTCTTGTTTTATACTACCCATGCTAATGATCCGCTGCCTGCTGCTGTCGGGTTGCAGACGCTGCGGATTGTGCTGAGGGATGGACTTGTGGAGCATGCGAGGGTTATGGGGGAGAAATTGCACAAGGGTTTGCGCGCGCTGCAGGGGAGGTTTGAGTGTATTGGTGATGTGAGAGGACGGGGGCTTATGGCTGGGGTGGAGATTGTGATGGATAAGCGGACGAAGGAGCCGGCGATCGAGTTGGGGAGGACGTTGAGTAGCAGGATGATGGAGTTGGGGCTTAGTGCTACTATCTCGGCCAGGAATGCGTTTATGGGGTGTATTAGGATTGCTCCGCCGTTGATCATGGATGAGGAGCAATTGGAAGAGGGGCTAAGGATTTTTGAGAAGGCGTTGGGGGAATTGGCAGGGGAAGGGGTGGTGGGGGTGGGTGGATAGGGAGGGACTCCTGTGCTGTGGGAAAGGATGGCAGGGTTGCACTTGGTTGAGTTGATACCAAACTTCTGCATGTCTGCTAGAATTACTAAAGTCAATACTCTAGACCACATTTGCGGTAAAATAAGGTCTGATACGGCCTTTCGCTGAAGGCATCGCCCCTACTTGCACTAATGATAAAGGAGGTAGTGGTCTTGGAAGTATTAAGTGGGAAAATTTGCTGGCCGCTTCCTGTGGCCTAGGATAATGGGAAGGTCGAAGTGGGAGACAACGTCAGCCTAGTTGGTGATGAAGTCTTCAAAACATTCTCATCTGTTCTGCCACATGTCGCAGCACTGCGCGTGAGATGGTGTTTTTCAACCATACGCTCGAACCTAGTGTCTGACATAAATCTAGGAACAGATACACCGAATAAGTATGTCGCAGAGTAGGCGAAGCTTGTATAAACATCTTTTAAGCAAGGAATGGTTAGTCATTGAAGACATAGACTAAGCAGGTTTGCTCTTTGCAGTGTCATTTGAATATTCCATAAACCAGCAAAGGATTTAAAAGGTTAAGAATCACTGTGTGTTATCAATGTTATACATTTCAGACTGAGCATGACAATCGAGTTAGTACGACTCGTTATTGTGAGCGTTTAAAACTCGGACTTAATGTTCGGCTTTAAATCGTAAGGCTATCTTTTTGGCGCCGACAACGACAACCAGACTCTGACGGCCCCAATGGTGCGTAAGCATCGAGGTTCGGCGCTTCGCCGCAAGAATCGAGTTTATGGCGTCGTTTTTCTACCTTCACAGAAGATACTACGCCGAATATGAGTCTGCCAGTGCGCTGGTTGCGCTGAGTGGCGCCGTGCTCCCTCCTGGAGAGGGAGACCTCGAGGTGCACATCAATACTGACATGATTGAGATAGCTACGCGTGCTTGATTTCATGACGAAATGACTGACACGTTTTCGGTCTCCGCGGGTGCCTTGAGCATCGTCTCGTTGGGCATTGAGGTGTGTCGCGCATTGGTCGATTATTATCAGGCTGCAAAGAGCCGGAAGGAAGATCTTGAAGCCACGATATCATCCCTTCAGAGCCTATGTACGACATTAGAGGGTCTAGAGGGCACCTTGAAGCGACACCAATTCTTCCCTGATGAACTCGATCTCGTTAAGAACGTTGAACTCCATATCGACGCATGTGAAGAAGCAATTGAGTATCTTGACAAAGAGTTGGCTGCTTTTACAGGGAGAGGCAAAAACCCTGGTGTATTTGAAAATGTAAAGAAGGCTTCGCGGGCCGCATTATACCCATTCAAGAAGGGCACGCTACTCAAGCTGCACGAGACGGTACAAGATGTGAGAGAAAACATAAGTCTTGCAATTCATACTTTACAGTTGGATACTTCCAACAAGATTCAGGAGTGCGTGGCCGATTCCTCCGCCGTCTTGAACTTGTTGAGGTCTGAAATCATTCAACATCACGTGCGAGCCTGGCTCAATGCCCCGAACACCTTCGGTCAGCACTACGAGGCATGCGAGAAGCGCCATAAGGACACCGGTCTCTGGTTCATTCGTAGCCAGCACTTTCGAACGTGGCTAGATAGCAAAGGATCCTTCCTCTGGCTTAACGGATTGCCCGGCTGTGGGAAGACCGTGCTAGCGTCCACAATCATCCAAGAAACCTTTGCCTTCCGGGCGTCTTCTTCTGAAATCGGCTTAGCTTACTTCTACTTAAGCTATGCAGACATTCCAAAGCAAACAGTCTACGGTGTTCTGAGCTCTCTAATACTTCAATTATCTTGTCAGTCTGACTCTATCGCTCTGAATGAGCTGTATACCAATTATCTTGCTGGTTCACCTCCGGATTACGCCCTAGCTTTTGCATTAAGAACTGTCATCAAAAAGTTTAAAAATATATATATTGTCATCGATGCGTTGGATGAAAGTTCTGTCGGTCCACAACGTGACGCGCTCTGTAAGGTCATAAATCAAATCAGGCAATGGGACTCATTACATCTTATAATCACTAGCCGGGATTATCCAGATATCAGGGAGATGCTTGAGGTCCTTCCGGAACATGATGTCTCATTACAAAACGAAGATGTCGCTGCGGACATCAAAAAGTACATCAGGGACCAGCTCCGATTCGGTTTAAAGCTCAAGAAATGGAAGAAATTTCATTCAGAGATCGCAGACGTCTTATCCAAGGGTGCCGGTGGCATGTGAGGCTTCTTTGTCAGGAGTGGCTGTCTGATGTGGCTAATTACCATAGGTTTCGCTGGGTTGATTGTCAGTTCTCTGCGCTTGAGTCTTGCGTTACACCTAACATGCTGAGGGAGACCCTACACTCGTTACCGGAGACCTTGGATGACACATACAAACAGATGCTTAGATCTATCAAGCCAGGACTCTTAGATTTCGCACGTCGCGTACTGACTATGTTGTGCTTCTCAGCCAGACCCATTGAGGTGACCGAGATGATTGATGCCCTCGCGGTGGTCGTGGATGATGAGATTGGTGGCTATGATATTGGCAATCTTCTGTATAGCGCTGATGATTTGCTGATGACTTGTCCCGGCATGATCAGAATTGTGGGCTCGGTCACAAGTGTTTACGCCCCACCGTCTTCTGAACGAGGTGAAGCCTACTCGGAAGCTAGCATCTCAAGTCGTGTGGAGCGCTCTGATAGAAGAATTGTAAGCTTGGCGCACTTTTCTGTGAAAGAGTATCTTGTCTCAGACTACGTCCTCAAATCTTCACCACACTTTCACCTGAGGCCATCAGAAAGCCATCTATGGATTTCAAGATTATCTTTGATCTACTTAGCAAACCCAGATATACAATTACCCAAATATGATGATCTGGGCGAGCAATTATGGCACTATGGTTCGTACGACTTTTTCCGCTATGCCTGGGAATTTTGGGCCGAACATGCGCGCAAAAGCCAGATCAGTAGATCTTTGCTACCTTTGCTACGCCTTTTCAAGTCCAGCTCGAATATGAAAGTGGCTCTTCTACGATTCACATCAAGTTTTGCAGCCACTGCAAAACTGTCTGAAGAGACACTTGGGCCTAGGGAAGTCTTGATTACAATCATCAAGTGGCTTTGCTTCGAGGGACTGCCAGACCTAGTAGATGCGGTCCTCGAAGACCCTCAAAAATCCTGTCCGCCAGGATCAGCCCATGGCTTTGATATACGGACATCTGCAGGAAGAGCTACCACTGATGCCCAATCCTGTAAGAGGCTTGGGAATCAACATCGAGCTTTGGTTTCAAAGGATGATATACCTGCTTTAGACAAATGCTACGCTCTTTGTCGGACACCCTGCACAGATCTAGCTATACAGCAAGGCCACTGGGATGTAGTCAATTGCCTGTTTCGCCACGGGTTCCTGCTCGAGACCTCGAAACTTTCACGTCTTGACCCTCTTCAAATCGCAGCAAGAGATGGTCAACATGAAACGATACGCCTCATGATTCAAATAGGTGTAGACTCAGAGCTTTACCGCAGGGGGCCTAGACTAGAGGATCCGGTCATGTTGGCTGCTGCGAATGGACAAGCATTGACAGTTGCCATTCTTCTATCCTGGCGGCCCGGCGGAGCTGATATCGTAGGCCCGCACAATGTCACCCCTCTAATGCTTGCCGCTAGAAGAGGGCATTTAGATGCAGTCAGGGCACTGATTCAAAATGGCAAAGGCAGCGTCCCGCACCAAGCATTCCTAGACCGGAAAACAGACTATGGAATGACCGCGCTATTGTTTGCAGCACAGCAAGGCAGTCTCAATATGGTGAAGGCTTTGGCCGACGCTGGCGCGACTTGGAAGAGCATGACTGACATCGATGGCAATACTGCATTAGCACATGCTGTCCAAAATGAACATCAACACGTTGTTGAGTGGCTTGTCGACAATGGAGTAGACACGGATAGCGAGAGGCGGAACCGATTTGGCTTTACGCCAAAAGAAATGGCATCTCATCTCCATCTACAGCCCATCATTGACATACTAAACAAAGCTTCAGCATCTACCAAGCCACAAGAGCGGAGCGGCGGAAGTCCAATTGACACACTTTCTATACCGCCAGGGAAGACTAGACCTCGCTCAGAAGGGATCTCCAAAATGCCATGGTATTCGCGGATCGTCGGTGGTGAAGATGATACAACGCACGCCCTTTCAAGAGTCGAACTTCGACCGTGTAGCTCCCAAAGATCTTTTCTGGCGACTAGTTACGGAATAGCATAGGCGGATCTAAGGCCACAGCAAAGGAAAAGGCAAATGTCATTCAAGTTCAGTGGAGTCAGGTATAGGTCATTGATGTAGGATAGTGCATTCACAACGGTCGAGAGGCTGACAAGACATGCATCAATCGTCTGTAAACTTCAATCCGAAGATCAGCGGTGATACTCCCTTGTTGTAAAGTCTGTTTGTATGGACGAAAATGATTCGCACGAAGTGCATGTCAGGCAGCCATAAGTCGTGTACGTACCACTGCAATTCATGAGGACACGAATCTCGCTGCAAATGCACTAAGACTGCAGTATGCTTTTGTTTTTGATCTAGTTCTATCAATGTCTAACCCAAGCTGGTTTGTCGATTCGAGGGCCTCCGTAGAGCGGTATTCCGAATGACGAACAATTGATCTAGACAGCAATTCTTCAGACTTGGCTTCACATATTTGAATCATCTGAACGTTTGCAGCATCCCAAGGGCCGGCGCCTACACTCCTGCGGACTCCCAGCCATACTTTCCATTCCAGAAAGAGCGTCCAATCAGACTATCACCAAAGTCAGCACCACCATCACAATTAAGCCGTACAGAACGAATACCCACATCGCAAATCCCACCCAATCTCCGGCCCAATCCTCGGCAACTCATCCGCCACACTCTGCACATCCTTATCCCCCCTTCCACTCAAACAAATCACCACATCCTTCCCCTCGCCCAGTTCCCCCGCCAGTTTCAGCGCAGGCAAAACCGCATGTGCTGTCTCCAGCGCCGGAATGATACCTTCTAACTGACTCAGCAGCCTAAACCCCTCGAACGCATCCTTATCAGTGGCAGCAACAAACGTCGCCCTCCCACTGTCTTTCCACGAACTCAACTCTGGCCCGACGCCAGGATAATCCAACCCTGCGCTGACCGAGTGTGTTTCGGCGATCTGTCCGTGCTTGTTCTGCAGGACGTACGTGCGCACGCCGTGCAGGACGCCTTTGCTGCCGCCGGTCAGTGTGGCGCTGTGCCGGTCTGTATCCAGCCCGTCGCCGCCGGCTTCAACGCCGAGCATCTTCACCCCAACGTCCTCTTCAAAGGGGGCAAACATGCCCACGGCGTTACTGCCGCCCCCCACGCACGCGACAACCGCATCTGGCAGCTTTCGCTTCATCTCTAACATCTGTTCCTTCGTCTCCGTCCCAATAACACTTTGGAATGTTCGTACGATAGTCGGGAACGGATGGGGCCCAATCGCCGAGCCGATGATGTAGTGCGTAGTGTCCAGATCCACAACCCAGGCTCTCAGAGCCTCGTTAACCGCATCTCTCAGCGTCCGCGCGCCTGCTTCCACAGCGACCACTTTCGCCCCGAGCAACTTTATCCGGAAGACGTTGAGGGCTTGTCTCCGCACGTCCTCAGCGCCCATGTAGACCGTGCAAGGCATACCAAATTTCGCCGCCACCGTCGCGGTGGCGACACCATGTTGTCCGGCGCCCGTTTCCGCAATAATCCTCGTTTTGCCAATGCGTCGCGCCAGCAGGATCTGGCCCAAAGCGTTATTGATCTTATGACTACCCGTGTGGTTGAGATCCTCGCGCTTTAACCAAACGGTGGCGCCTCGACCATGCTGAGTCAGGCGCTCAGCTTTGTGAAGGCGACCGGGACGACCCATGTATGGGTAGTAAGAGCGGTATTCATCCCAGAATGCGGGGTCGGCTTTTGCGGTGTTGAAGCCGGACTCGAGCTCTGCGAGACAGTCCATTAGGGATTCCGGGACGTATTGCCCACCGAATTCACCGAAGCGGGAGGGTATAGCGAGGGAGGCTGGGTTTGTGGAGGGGTCGTTGAGAGCTTCGAGTTGGGTTGCGAGGCCGGGGCCGGTGCCGTTTTGGCCGGGCTTGATGACGGAGTCGGTATGCACGGGTGATGAGGTCTCCCCATGGGTATTTTCGAGGTGATAGCCATTGGTTATTGGCTGCTCGCTTTTTTGGTGGTCGTGGACGCCGTTGACCAGAGACTTCGAGGCCTTTCGATCGGTTATTTCGGCGCAGTACTCCTCGACTTTCTGGGCTCCTTGTCCGGGAGGGGCGTTTGCGAGGGTGGTGATGATTTGGCTGCCGATTACGACGCCTTCAGCTACCTTAGCGACTTCTACAAAATGTTCCCGTGTGCTGACTCCGAAGCCGAGGGCGGCTGGCACATTATTCGAGTACTGGTGTATTCGCTTCAAAAGGTCCGGTATGCCTTTGCTCAGCGTCCCAGTGGCACCGGTGACGCCCATTCTCGAGACGACATAGATGAAGGAGTCTGCGATCTTGCATAGAAGCTTCATTCGCTCTTCCGATGTAGCTGGGGCAATGAGTGGCACATATGATAGCCTATCATCATGTCAATCCCTCATCCATCTTCAACTGCCAGTAACGTAGCAAGGACTCTTCATACCCAACGCTCTTGCAACCCTCTCTGAACCTCACAGCCTCCTCTGGTGGCAGATCCACGCATATGAAGCCACTTACGCCAGCCTCCTTTGCATCGTGTAGTATCTTCTCTTCACCATAGCTCAACAGTGGGTTGTAGTATCCCATAAACAGTATTGGCGCTCTCAGACCCTTTCTTCGAGCCGCTCTTACTGTCTCCAAAGTAGACTCGACCGTAATGCCATTCTTTAGTGCTTGTGTGTTTGCTCGTTGTACCGTAGGGCCATCGGCAATTGGATCTGTGAAGGGTAGGCCTTCGATCTATTATTATTGAGGCTAGGTCATAGAGGTTCCCCAGAGGTCTGAGCATACCTAATTCGATGATATCTGGGGATAGTGTAAGCCCGGATCGTGGTCTGTGAATGCAAAACACTGCTGGCGGGAACGGTGGCGGCATATGGATTCAAAGGAAGCTACTTTGAATGACTGACCTGCTCCTCCGGACTCCAAGCCTAACAGTATGTCCACTGTCTCTGCTGCGGTGGGATAGCCAGCTGGCAGCCTCTGTCAGCTCAGTCGCACTTCCACTTGCTACTGGTATTTACCGGTCACATATGCCACAAAGGCGGGACGTTGCTCCTTCGCGCATTGTGCAAACGTGGACTTGATGTGATCCATGTTGTATGACAGAGACGGTCAATTGAGTTTCAGGTCTATCATGGTCGCAAGGAGATCAGAGCTGGATGTGGGAAAAATTTAACTTGAGATTGGTGAGTCATTAGTTCCGTTGTGTATGACGCATGCTTGAAATACGACTAAGATTGCAAAACTGCAATAAAGACGGTATCTACATGCTTTATAGAAATTGGGCTCCACGTTTGAGAAGCTCAAGACAATTGTTTGAGGTATATAATTTTCATACTAGCTATTCTATCCGTCGCTATGCTGTCCAGCGTTGGAAGTCATACAGTCCGTACATGCCATTCAACGACATCAGAAGTCCGTTACTCTTCCATTATAGCTCCAATCTACTTCAGCACCCCAACGTAACGGCTCATTCTTCGGTCCACCCATCTCTCCTGTCCGAGGATTCCTCTCGCCCTCAAATTCCGGCTTCGCGCCTCTTCTCACGTCTGGATGTAACTCATCCCCGTCACCCTGTGCCGTCACCTTTGCATCTATATCCTCTATCTTTTGATCACTTGCAGACATCAACATAGATTCATTCTGAGGCGATTGATTAATCTGTGGCGGGATCTCAGATTGTGCCTCCGCTTTGGATGAAGGGGTGGCGGGTGACTGGTTCACGGTGATTGAGGGTCTAGGGGTACTGAACGCTCCAGTCGATGAGCGTTGGAGCTTCTCGTAAAGTTGCTGCTCTTCTTCTGGAAGTCGAGGTGGAGCGGGACCTGAGGCGAACGAGGCAGGAGAGCAAAGCTGGGATCGAGATGAGAAGAGACGACGAGAGGGCTGTAACTGTGCTATAAGGAAGCAAGCACGTCTTGTGCTGTGAGTGACCATAATTCAGCCTGCTAGTCGCCAAAGCGTATGAAAAGTATCGATTGAAGTGATAGATCGTTGATGAGATAAACTCGCATGCGTGATGACGCTCTCGCCACAGATGTTGAATGCCAAGCATTTATCAGATCTGCCACTATTACTAGCGCTGCCGCTTCCGCTGCCTTATTGAGCTTATCGGCGATATCATAGCCTAGCGTATTTTCTTCTCAAAAGGCTGTCATTAACCTACTTTGATCTCTAGACTGACCATGCGACTATCGGTCTTACCACCAATAGGCCGATTTGGCTGTTTGAACCTAGACGACCCAAAGGTTCGGCAACGGTGGTGCTGACTTTCACTGTTTGGTGGCCTACCGAGAACGTCTTTGAACCTCCGTCATGGCCATCATAATGGTCGAGTCTGAAGATACAGACTACGTGTCATACACGGATCTGTGTTGTAAATAGACATCCGGGGGCATGGTAGATTGATTTCCTACAGTCTCTTCAATCAACACACCATTTCCGATTATACGGTGCATACTCTTCAAGCTGAATATAGTGTCCCCGGAATACGTGTGCCATGTACCCATTCATGTGCCCATATCCTTGCTCATCGCCTCTATAGCCGCACGAAGCAAGTGCATCAATAGCGACAGAAGTTCTTGAAAGACGCTGAGACTCGAGGAAGAAGGCTTGAAGGGCCTCTCCATAGACAGTGTTCTCCAGATTGATGCTGTTGGTTGTGAACTCTGCCAACCGGCGACCGGCTGTTGATGCAATTAACTCCTGAGCAAGAGAGTACGCTGTATGACAGAATCGATTCATTTCTGGGTTCAAATTGGTGAATGTGACGTGTGACTTTTTCTCGACAGCTGTGATCTGATCACTTCGAGATTGCTGCTTGTCCGCCTGCTCGACTAGAAGACCCCGGTATCCATACCCGATTAGTGGGATCCAAGAACTAGATCCGCGATACAAGACCCAAGGAATCGGAAGATTTGAAATAATGACACTCAAGTCTGCTTGTTCAGCGGAAGATTCGGACGCAGCGGGCTGACAGCGATTCACAGTATACCAACGTCCCTGGCCATCTCTCATTGATAGATTGTTTTTGAGAATGCTTTTTTGTGGCAAAGACTCAAAGCCGGCGAGGTGTTTGGGCAAACCTTTCGTGGGATTGGCTGTGCTTATTCGAAAGCCGGCCAATTCAACAAGGAGCCCCATTGTACTGTCATCTGTTACCAAGTGACCTCGATCCTCTTGTTCGCCAGGCATTGGAATTTCAAAGAGGCGGTCTATTGAAAGCAGAGATTGCGGGGCCCATCGGAGGCCACGCTCACATATTTTGGGACCCTGGTGGAAGATAATATGCTTATTGATACCAGAAGGGGAGGTACTCATGATTCTCCAGAGGGTTTGCATACGTTGCTGCGGATTCGAGGCCAGTATTGCACTCACATCAAGACCTAGAAGTGAAGCAATGATTATCGGTTCGTCGGAAGAGACGGTAACGGATCGATACAGTAACCCCTTCATGACGTCCTTGAAAGAGGCACCTCTGTGCTCCTGTTTTTGAACTTCGGGTAGGGTCAGGTTATGGACTCTTCCTATCACGTTGTCTGCAATCCCTCGCCTTTGAATCTCAATTTCTTGAGTCTGTATGAGAAAGCCATACATTGTCGCCACATTCAAAGCCATCTCCTTGAACTGAAACCACAACTTGTTTTTCAGAGCCCCTAGCGCACCCTCTTGCAGAGTCCAAAGCCTCGTCATCCAACGAGAGACTGCAATACGAAGACACGCTTCATCAGCGCCTATGCCTCCAACGCGGTACTTAAGGAAACTTCGGTCTAGTACAAGGACCATCGAAGCTTGGTAATATGTGCGGTACATCTGCTGTAGTGCCATGCGTTTACCTTCTGGTGATATTACTGGACAGCACAAAGTGTCACACCACAGTAGCAGCTCAGGCGCACCGTTCGAGTCTTCTAGGGAGATAGAGGTATGCAATTTGTCGATCAGTGCTTTTAATCTTGAAAGTTGACAGCGAGGTAAAGCAGTCGCATGAGGATTACCGAGACCGTCCGTCCATACATGGGACAATGCTACGTAGGGCGTGGAGTTTGTTGAAGCGACTATCTCAATTGACATCTTGTCCGAATCTTTGTCTTCTCGAAGTCGCAAAAGTGGTAGATCTCCCAATTCCAAGCAATCTACCAGCTTCTTCTCGGGGACGTTCATGAATTCGCACCTACACTCGTCGTTGACATGATGGGTCACTTGGCCAGGGGTACCGAATTGCCCGCTCGACAATTCTTTTCGTCGCAAGATGCATGCTGCAACTGATCCTCATCCTTGTAGAAGCATCTAATGAGGTAACCTACGGCTTGTGGTGATGTGAACGTCTTGATTAGCATCTCCATCTGGCTCGGGCAGCAGTCGCTACGTTCAAGCAGAATTGATTGCCGAAATTTAACGCTGATGGGAATACACCAGACATAAGGTATCAATGAATTGCGAGGGTCATCCGTCCAGGCGACATTGCATGCCTTGCTTGTAGCATAACCTAGTATTTCTGCGACAGAAGCAAGATGAAACTTGAAATCATTATCCATGACAAGATCTGTAATAGCTAGACATGCAAAAGTCAACCTCAAACATTTAGCAATGTGCTCATAAATGGTCACCAGTCGAGTTTCATCCTGCTTTACTATTGCCCCCCATTTTAGAAGCTGGGGTACGAGACTTGCCGTTGTAATGACAACCCTCTCGCCCTCGACAGCGGAAGATATCTTGACGAAGTCCTCGGGGTGATACAAGTCCCCTAGTACTTCATGTAGCAGGCCAAAAAAGAGCCAAGTCTGGAGAAAAGACGCGAACTCAGGCGGCGGCACCGCAATAAGGGATCTCCGATGCCCAATATTCAGGCTAGGGCTTTGAATACCTCCCACACTGTATAAAGCTGGGAGACCTCTTCTACCAGGATAGCTTAAGAATGGTCCCTTATCATATTTTACTTTGCAGATATATGGTACGGGTGGGAAAGCGGATCTTGGTTGCCCTCTGGGTATGGGAATATGTTCCATACCTCACAGACGAGCTCGGAAACACTTGCAGCGTCCGGGCTTGATGCTGGGAAAGGCAATACAGCTTCAGAGATAATGTCATCTCCCGAGGGTTTCGTTGGGCATGCAAAGATCGAGCGTTATCATTGGCATTGGTGATTTGATAAAGATATATGACTGAGTCACATTGTCCTAGAGGATGCTCCTTAAAACTACCAGCGCTGGCAGCGGCTTAGACCGACCAGTCTGGAGGCCAAAGGGGACTATGTAAAAGTCACAGAGCAATAATCAAACTAGTGATCAAAACCTATGGATTGCTGTCTGCCAAGCCCATCTCACTGCATAAAGGCTTGGCAATAGATTAACTCCGAGGCTAATCTCCTGGTGAGCAACCGAAAATTACCTAAATAATCGGTTGGATTACCAGCGGATTACTCGTGTAATTCAGGAGTAACACGATTTTGGACCAAGCATCCATCCCTCAAATCAAACCGACTGTCAAGTGAATCAAGTGGCCTATATATTTTATATATTCAAATTGCTAGCCAACCACCACTCCGTTGCCCCCGGTGGCAACCACACGTCCTGACTAAATCCCCATACTTTCCACATTGAATTTGGCATCTATACGCATCATAGTGTGACGGACCGCTGAATTTCTGAGATATATACTTGCCCTACTCACCGAGAACGCCATTAGCACAGACGGAAATATGGCATGGCGAAACCAGGGATTTGAATAACTAGCCTCAGCTTGACGTTCATCAGCCACTCGTCTTCTGCAGACAACAAGCTTTCAAGGAATTTAATAGCAGCCGCATACTTTCTGCTTACATAGCAATGATTATCACAATAAGTACCCATTATCGACATTTGATTTCACCTTCTCCATCCCTTTGTCCGACCATCAAGCTGAGAAGGATAATTCCCCACCATCAAAAGTAGACCAACCATAGCCAATCAATGCCAGACTTCCGCCCTGCTGGCCGCTAATCCGCACGATAGGAGGCTTAACAGTACAGTGATCACCTGATAGCCTCGAATGCGCGGTTCCATTGCTTCAGACGTCTATGTCGATCAGAGTTGGCGCCTCCCAGTCACTACTTGGTATGTTCTACAAAAGCTCGTAGTGCGCCAAACTGATGTGAGTGTTGGAAGTACCGTTCTATGGGATGCTCCTTTCATGTACTCGCTTTTAAGGTAAAGAAAGCGAGCACGAGTGGACGTACGCCACTCATGCAGCTCTTCCGCCACGAAGTGGGCGTTGCCTCGTTGGCGCGGCTACTAGACTACCTGGAGATCTTAACCAGTGAAATGCGAGATATGCTCCTACAATGTAGGTTAAACGCCCCTCCTCCTGAGATTTGCATGAAGCGGAGCTACTCAAGAACTACTTGAATCAAATGTAATGCTTGTGCAGCAAAGTTTTCAGACTCCGTGGCTAATCTCCACATTGCACGAAGGGGTATTTGGTACCGCACAATAAATGCATTCAGGAACTTTGAGACAATCATCGCATATCGTTTCGAAAAGGCTGAAGATAGGATGGTAGGAATTTTCTATGGATTGCGGCGAAGATTGCCAGCAATCAGGCTTTGCCTGACGGCCAGTTTTGTTTTTAAGAAATAAATTTCCTCATGCTTGACTTCTGCTGTCCCTGGTTCATGGATGAGCATTCATTAAAGATCAAGAAATGAATCTCTCGAATGTGAATGCCACTGGCCTTACATTGCAAGATTGGATCGACATCAATGTTGATAAGGCCTCTCAAAGTCCGGGATGCTCTCTTCTTTACCCCGAGGACCCTCGTGCACTCACTGATTCAGAGTATTGGCCCTACTTCGCAGAAGGCAATTGCTTGACAATATGTAATAACAGCGGGTATTTACTAGACAAAGAGTCTCACGCAAGTCGAACAACAGTGAACAATCTTGCAACATGTGGCCTATGGACGACCTTAGCGACCCGTCGGAACTACTATTCTGACCGTATTGCCAACTGGAATTCCACCCCCGAATTCATTGGATCCGACTCTGCCAAGAGATTCGCTCTGAATGTGCAGATGCTGGATAATGACATTGGAAGATTGAGTCATTGGAGCTTAGACTGGCAAAATTTGCAGTATGTGGTAGCTTCAAGAAACGCTATTGTAAAAGAACTCGGCTTCGCTTTCAGTAGCAGCAAAGTGGGGACATACGAAGATACAATCGCTTTCCCATACAGTTGTACTGGAGATGGGCTTTTTCCACCCTTGGAGGACGATGGCGTCGAACTTGATAGGGCTCCAGTGCAGCAAAATTTTGAGCTGCAGAGTTGCATAAGGCAGATCTGCGCCCCCAGAACCGTGAATCCCGAGCTTGGTGGTATTGGGGTAAGAGTCAACTCCCATTATTAGATGAAGCTTAGATTCCTAGGTCTTCTGGTCCTTAATAGCGCAAAGTGCACTTTCGATCGGCTCTTTCGTCTCTCTGATACTTCTCGAAACATGGCCCTCCTTGAGAGGTCAGGAAATTCGAAAGCACACACTTGCCTTAACGACAGCTGTGGTTGACTTTCACAAACACCAATGCTACTTCGTATCCGTGATTCAAATTGCGGCCTTAATTTTATCTGATCCCAACAAGAGTTACATTGACTTGGGTAAGCCACAGACGCAGACGCTTAGTGTAGGGTACGATGACTACGATATCCTGCTGACTCTGCCTTTGGCCATGAATGGCTATACTCCAGTAGTGCTTTCTCTCACGTGTATTGCTTGGTATGGTCAGAACTCTTGGCACATGATAATTTTGACCGGTCTTACTATGGCATTATCAGCAACAAATCTGGGCATGAATTATTTTAAAGCACTGGGCAGGTTTCAGTACAGTATAGGAGATGATAGGGGTGGCAATATCGAACGAGGTTTCTCTCTCTGCAAGTCAATGTCCTATAAGACCTACAATCTTGATTCTCGTGATATTGACCCCAGTGTGGTCGGATCGATACTTCTCTTCTGTGTCGTTTGGCTATCTGGTCTCACTGTAAGACATTACATCCACACCACGAATAGCACTCGACTGAAGAAGATGATGTCAAGATTCGAAGCAAGATACCTCAACACTTTTGGGCACTACAATACTCTTTTGTGGCGGTTGTTTGTACCTGTGTCCACAATACTATGGACCACAAGCTTCGCTTATCAACTCTATTTGTACGGTATCTTCTACAAGAATCACTTGATATCACCAACATGGTCTTTCGGGCAGATCATCGCTGTCGCTGTATGGGCACAGTCTATTGTGGAGTTCTTGTATATTGAACGTAGTAAGTCAATATCTTCGGATAGCGATGCGTTCCCTGCCATGTGCTGATACTGTGGTCAGAGGGGAATGAGAAGGGAGCAAGATACAGATACCCTCCTAGCCTCCGCCTTGTAGACATTGGAGACAGCGACGAAGCGAAAGACCTTGAACCTGACGTACGCCGACGGTTCACGCTGTCAACAAATTTTTGAGAACTCATGCTGGCAAGCAAGGAATGCGTCTCAGAATGAATCACAGCACGGCCTTCTGTAAGACGGCAAGGCAGAGACTTCACGCGATGAGAGAAGTTTCGAAGTAGAGTAGCGACCTTTGAGGTTAGGTATTGTCTTTTCCACAAAAAAGTTTACGAAATCAACGTTACAAGAGCTGAACCATGACTTAAGCTTTTCAGGAGAAACGACATTTCAACCCCCCAGAAAAGGACATCCTCAGCTACGTTCAAAGCAGCCTGGGGTGAACAGCAAGAAAAGCAGCAGACATGTAATCTGATGAAGAGCTATTCAATTGGAACGACACCCCAAATGTTCTTAAAACACAAAAATCTCTTACCTAAGAACTCTTCTAGATCAAGGCAGTAATATAACCAACCAGCACAGATTTCAGCCACATAGTCGTCGTCCACCAGAACATCTCAGGCAACGTATTGGCCACATAGCACCTTAATAGTCTCCCCCGTTCTCTGATCAGTGCTTCCTCGCTTGACAGAACACGCATCGGACCAAAGCCTCCTCCACCCCCAAGACGCGAGACATTCTGTTTGAATTTATCTTGCGTTGATAGTTTCCAGCTATAGGGCTATATCATTCTCTTTCCCCCTCCCCAATTATAACAAGACCATGCTCCCCTCCAAGGCCGAGCGCATTTTATACACGTAAAGCCCCCTCCTCTCTTTTTCTTCCCCTCCCAATCTAACGCACATGCAGTCAAATTTCCCCTTGAATGTAAACATCACTCTTACCCAAATCGTCGAATATGGGACAAGACGATAAAGTGCCCTTGGGAAGATAAGGCGCATCGTATTCATGGCGGTGTACGCTATAAGCGTCATCTCAGCTCGGGGGTTGGACCGGTTCAATTTGGAAGAGTTAGGGGGGGGGAGGTTGGAGGAGAAGATGTTGGAGAACGTGAGATTGAGGAGATGGTCATGTAGTGGGAGGACTCAGTCCTTGACAAGATAGAGGAGTGAATGACTCGATGTTTCTGCCTGACGTTCAGCTCTCACCAGCCCTCCTAGTAATCCATAACAACCCACGAAACGCCTCGCTAAAGTAGCAACACCATCTCACCGCCATCTCCACTTAGCGTACCTCTCGCAAACCATCACTCAACCCATAGCACCAACAGGCACCCTAACCTTCCCCGTCAACGGCGGCGGCGCTAACCCAACCATACCCCCTTTCCCCCTACAATTCCCCTCCGATTTCTCCCCGTCCGTCCCCGCCCCAACCAATTCAACTTCAACGCCCTCGCCAAATCCTCCATCTTGCGCTGCGCCTCATCATTACTCTGCGTGCTAGCGAGCACAGACACGCACTGCAGCATCCTCGCCACTGTGTCGGTGACATGCGTACTATCCGGCAGCGCAGGCCGGGAAGAGTTAGAATTTGCGTGTTTGCCTTGGAAAGAGGTGGGGAGGGTAGAGTGCGGGGCTGTCGTGGTGAAGGAGGGGAGTTCGGGGGCGGAGAGGTTGGAGTTACCGCGCGAGCGGGAGGAGTCGGAGGGGTCGTAGAGGGTGGAGGATTGGGAATTATAGGATTCGCTGAGAGGTGGGGCGGCGTGGGCGGAGCCGGCGGTTCCGGGGCGCGCTGTGGAGGAGGAGGTGAGCGTGTCGAAAGAATCGACCATGGGTGAGGGTTGGGCGGCGGGATTGATGCTCTCGAGACTTAGGCGGGAAAAGGTGGTTTTAAGCGCGTCATAGCGGGGGAGGATTAGAGTGTCGCGGTAGGCGAGGAGGACGATACGTCGGACGTCGAAGGCATTGCCGAAGGCTTCTGAGGTTGAGGAGGGGTCTGCGCCCCAGAAGTCGGCGGACTCACGGGCGGAGAGGAAGGTGCCGTGGCCTTTGAACTCCAGGTCGAGAGGGAGGAAGACCGCTTGGATGAATGGGAGGAGCCGGCCGAAGAGGAGGCCCCAGGTATCTACCAGTGCGCGCACAAGGCGGGTTTCTGCTATAGGGCGGAGAGTGTGATCGACAGAATTGAAGCCTACGGAAAGAAAGTCGCGAAGGTCTTCAATTAGGCCTGTGGGATTGTTCGTGCGGATACGACGTTGGATGTGCATCGTAAGAAGACGGTTGAGGTCTTCAATAGGGATGCGGACTTCCTCTCCTTCGAAGATGACGAGGAGTTTGGCTTTGAGAAAGTCCCAGGCATCTTCTTGACGGAGATTGCTGAGAATCGAGCTGACCCCGCCAGCACTAGGAAGTTCTATCGTATTGGATGTGGATGGGCCAAAAAGCGAAGGCCCAGGAGTCGAGCGGCCGGGGTTAATAGCGAAGTCGATTTTATCAATGTCGGTAATCTTGGGTGCAAAGGGAAGAGATTTTTCCTCCCTCTTCCTCTCTCGAACTGCTTTCCCTGCATGGCGAAGGTCGAGGCCTGTGAAGGATGTTGTCGCAGGGCTTGCTGGAGCAGGGGCAAAAGAGTAGAGCGTGTTCGGCGCCGATGGATTCAATGGCTGTGAATTACTTGAGGCCGACGATAATAGGAGCGTGTGATCATCAGCAATCCTGTCCCTGAGCTTGTTTTTCTGTCTAGATAGGAAGTGATGCTTGTGCTTTTCTTTCTCTTCGCCTCTCTGCCGATCTGTCGGAACTAGCGTAGACGTGGAGGTGTTGCCGGTATTCAGCGAATAGAGCGATGCCCCCGAGGTAATTGAGTCTGCGAGGCTAGTCGTAGATGGATTGACCAGCTTAGAAAGACCACTGCTTGGAACAGTAGGAAATTTGTTTGGTGAAGGTAGTGGCTTGTCTATATTGGCATCCCTATTCGACTTGTCTTTCGGCTTGGAGAAAAGCTTCATCTTTGACTTTTGTTCCTTGAGCTTAGGCTCTTTCTCTGGTATAGGCGGTTCATAACCCATGAAGCCTGGTGACAGTCTGCCAGGATATGCAGCATTGGCAGCTGTGGCAGCCGCAGCAGAATTCGACCCTACGCTGCCATTGTATGGTCTCGACCCTGATGTGGGAGGGCCATTGGATCTGTCCGCACCACTGTGCCCTGTCTGTATAGGCGGTGGCTTTCTCTTGCCTGTGATTGTTCCGGTTGCTGAGCCTATTGGAGGGCTACTCTGAGGTGAGGGTATTGTTATCGAGCGTTGTCTGCTATGCGATTGATGCTGCATTGCTGCTTGAGCAGCGATCTGAGAAGCCGTGAGATTTGACATGACGCCCTGATCACTCAGATTTGGTGTGGCAGATGGCAGGGTAGGCTCAAAGAAACCTTGTGAGTGCTGCCGCTTGTGTCCTTTGACTTCACCACCGGAGTGACGTGACGGTGGTTCGTTCGATTCTTGCCTATGAAAGCCTGGCCTCGAAAAGTTGCTAAAGGATGTTGTGCTACTCGCGGCGGTGGAATTTGGTAGGACATGTCGCACATGTTGTGGATGGCGCTGAGAGCTCTGTTCACGCGATTGAGGTCGCGCGGAAGGAGGCGAAGAGGGTGAGTCGTCACTGTCAATGCTAGGAGACGACCCAGGACGAGATGAGAATGCGCCCGGCCGTCGGTGGCCCGTTGCGCCGGGATTCATGGCCAAGATGGATTCTTGCGCCGTTCATTCGACGCTTGAACAATTTCTTTGTGATACTTCCATCTCTTCTAGCGCCTTTCAATCGCTACTGTCGGTGACAGCGAGGCAGGCTGGTCTTCGCCATTGAAGCTCCGCTAGTCACGGGCCCTAGAGCGGGGGGCTGCGGAGGAGGCTCTGGGGGGAAGCACCCTAAAATCTAGTGCTTAGTCAAGTGGCCTCAATGATCTCCGTCTTGTAATACAATAAACCTGTTGAGCTCTTCTGAGGACCATTTCCATGGCGACCAAACCATTAAACGACAAGTCCGAGCTCAAAGCATTCTATACATCTCCCGAGGAATCCCAGATCTTCACACATACACTGCCCTCCGCCACCGCCTCTACAGCATCTACAGAAAAAAAGACGGCCTATCTCCACGAGCTGAAAGGGGCGGTCGGCAAATTACAGGGAGAAATAAACGAGTTTCTGACGGACAAGATGGAGCAGGACAAAGCAGCTGAAAAGGAGGGAACAGGCAATACAAGGAGTGTGGACGAAAATAAGGCTGAGGAGACATATGGGGAGGAAGATGTTGAGGGAGAAGAGGAAGGATTGGGGCCGTTCAAGGATCCGACGAAGCCTTGACTAGAAGCTTTGAATGGGGTATCTACTCTATGAATAAAAGACCGTCTCAAAGCTACACCGAACATCAATCCACCCACCTCACCTCGTCGAACACCCGTAGTGAACAACGCTATTACTACGCACACATCAGCACAACCTCAAAAGTACAAGGGAAGGGGCAGGGTAATACTCACTCCGGCATCACCTTAACAGCACTTCCCCCAAATCTCTTGTAACAGACCCCACACACCCTCTCCTCGCCAATAACAACCCTCCTATTCCTCCCTCTATTCCCCCCGTCTTTTCATCACCAAGTCTCAGTCTCGCCTCCTCACTGAACGCCAACGCACTCCTCAAACCAGCCACAATCCTACTCTCATTGGCGACGCTGTTCGCAGAGCGAATCTGGCCGCGGAAATAGTTCTCCAGGTCTTTCACGGGCAGGACTTCGGGGATGGTGTTTAGCGTTGAGGAGGCAGGCATGCGCGCGCCGTGTTTGGCTAGGAGATCGAGTGCGGGTCCCCATTGGGGTTTATGGGGCGGGGGAGGGGAGAGATAGAGAGAGAGGAGGGTCTGGTAGATGGACGGTTGGGTGTCGTCTGGATCCGTGGTGATGGAAACGCGTCTGTGACCACTTTGTGGTTGTTGAGGTGTCTGGGGGGAGGTGGAGGCGAGGTAGATCTGGTTGCAGTACTCTTCCGCCTTTTCGGCGTCGTTGAGCTTGAAGACGTAAATGTCGAGGGCTTGTTTGTGCTGGCCCATGTGGCTGAGGACGATGGCGCGGGCTTCGTAAAGATTGGGATCGTCGGCTAGGAGCTTGTTGAGGGCTTTGTAGGCTTGGTAGCTTTTGCTGTTTCGGAGGAAGGTGAGGGTTTTGGATTTCCATTCTTCACGGGCCTCGAGGGATGGATGAGGTTTCTTCTTGAGCCCGTCGATGTAGAAGTCGACGAGTCGTTGGTGGAATGAAGGGGTGGTGTCGTTGAGTTCGTTTATGATGTGTTCTAAGTATGTGAGCGCAAGCTTCTCATCCACGTTCAGCAAGAAATCAAGAACTCGATCTCGGGGTAGTGATTCAGCGTTCTCTGTGTCTGCTAGGAAGATTTCCATCCCGAGGTCAGGATCTTTCTTCAATGGCCACTTCGCAAATTCCAGAATCAGATCAACTAGCTCTGATGGTAGATTTTGCAGATAGGCCACTGTTCTCTGCGGTCCAGCAAGTTGCGGTACGGTCTTACTTGGCTCTTTCTCACCAAAGCGTTCTAATAGTTCAAGAGCCTCGCGATGCAGCTTCTTGCCATAGAGAAAGTCCACCAGATCATTATATCGACCAGCCTCAGTCAATCTTTCCTGAACGACTTCCGGATCACAGAAGTTGTCGATTCGAAAGAGCGGACCAGCAAACGAAGGACTGATGAACATGTATGCGCGAAACAGAGTGGTATCGACAAGTTTAGCCGTGTCTAAGAGCTTCTGCTGGTCTTCTGCCTGATTGAACGTCTTTTTGGCAAACAACGATTCAGGTCCTGCTCCCAGGGTTCCTTGAAGTCCTTCTTGCTTCATCGTGCCGTCCGAGTTGAGTATCTTCTTCATTCTGGTTCGTGCGGAGACCAGAAAGCCTCGCAGCTCTTCCGTTGCTAGCTTGAGGTCCTTCCCTTCTACGTATTGAAATTAGCTATGGAGTATACGTAGACATGGAAGAATCGTACCCAACGGGCTGCTCGCATTGATGTGGTTGTCCTGGCTCCCTTCACTGCTTTCATTTTTCGACGCCTTCTTGGATGTCTCCTCACCCGATACACTTTTGTGAGAAGGACCTCTTTTGTGTTTGGACAACTTGGAAGCTTTGGATGCTGGCGAGCCCGGAGGATCGGAGGGCTCATGAGATAAAGCTGAGGCCTGACCTGCAATGAAGGCTGGGTACAAATTGATGACTGTTTCTGGAGGTGCGTTGACTTCCGTAAATAAGTCTATAGACTCGCGATAGCTCTTGGTATCGAATAACATCTGAGCTTTCTGCATCTTGATATCTCGCAGCCGGCCTGCCTTGTCTTTCAGTAGCGCGTCTTCTACCAGACCCGTCAAGCTGATTGCCTCATCCAAAGCGCCTCGATCTACGAGCTGATCTATTTGAGTCTCATAGTCTTGAGCCTGCATTCGCCAGATCATGCGCTCGCTGAAGACGAGGAATCCTTTTCCAGCGTGCGCGAGACTGATATTTGGTTGTGGGATGTGGAGCTGGGTTGCTGAGGGTAATGGGATACTTTGAAGCATGGTCAATGTTTCCGGGTTTCGCAGCTCTAGCGATCCTCTCGCAGTCTGTAGTGATAGAAGGTAGGGGTATGAGTAGCCAACAGCATCTGGCGCGACAGGCCATGGGATCTGTCTGCGACCTAAGGAAGTACCTTCGAGATCGATGAAATGCGTGTTGATGTCCCTCGCCAGCAGGATCTGTCCCTCGCTCAGCTTCGTTGCAAGTGGCTTGGGAGCACTCATTCCCAGATAGCCAATGCTTGCGACGCCTGTAGCCCCTAAACGTCCACCATCTTGCCCAGGCGCGCCACCAATACTTCCAGGGCCCACAATATCAATGACTCCGGAAGACTCAACGTCATAGAGAACATAGTTGGTATTCAGTCCCACGACGAGACGAGTCGCAGATGCCCAGGTGATGGTCTTGACGGCGACAGTGAAGGTATATTCTAGGTTGTCCCCTTCTAGCTCACCATCATGCCACGTCCAAATCAGTAATTTCCTCTTGACAGCCACAGCAAGACGTGTGACGATCGAGTTGACTCTCGTTGAATTATCCTTCACAACATTGGAAGTTACAGTAAAAGTGGACGCGCCCTTTGATTTGGACAAGGTTTCTTGAAGCTCGTAGCTTTGCAAGTCGTGAATGTGAACATAGCTGTTCGAGAGGGAGAGGAGGATGTTTGCTTCTTTGACGAGAGCTAGCTGCTCGATCTTGTATTTTGAGAACTTCTCCTGTTCTCGCAGTAGATCCACCGGCTTTTTGCCTTGCTGGGAAGTTGGTCTCTGATCCTTAGAGGCTTCATCACTGTCTCCATCTTCTTTGGTCACCTCATTGACCCTGTGTACGCGAAGGCTTCCGGTATTTAGTCCAACAAGCAGTCGATCACCTTGATGAAGACTTAGCACATTCCAGAACCAGCTTCAGAGCGCTCAACTACCGTAGGCAAGCACAGACTCGACCTTAGACTTGTCGCGCTGCTTTAGCTCGATCAATGGCCGGGCTGTAAAGGCGGACAGCATCGGGAAGAGACTGCGTCATGCTCGCTCATGTAGCCTTTATTTCAAAGCGACTGGAACGTACAACGTGAGCTTGCGACGCTTTACAAATAATGCACGCAACCTTCATCATTCCTAGGCCCTGGAAGCTGCAGAAGAATTGCAGTGGGGCAGGCTTGGCCCCAACCAGCCGCCGTTATGAGCCGATAGCGTTCCCGATGCTGACATGGGGTGCTAACGTTATAGGGGCAAGTAGTCCCTATAAAAAGCACTCAGTGGCTGAATTTAGGGCAGTCTAGCAAGGTTAAGGCGTCGCGTGCGTGCTAGATCTCTAAATAGCCGTTCGCTTACCAGTCGGCTCGTCTGATGATGCTGACGAAGATTCAAGGATCCCTATTTGAATAAGATGAAGTCGCATCCGACCCGCACCATGACCCTCCATCTCTCGAATGTAATCTCATCCTCTCCATCCTCTCCATCCTCTCCCATCTCGCCTGTCATCATATTTTTCAACCCGCAAGAATGTCGAAACGTACAATGTTCACCACCGTCACCCCGTTGCCCGCCGGCATCAGTCGTGAGACCGTTCTCGGCACCCTCCATGGTCACACGGAGATGATAGATCTGAACCCTCTAGTCATCGAGCGACATCCTATTAAGCCTCCACGAGAAGCTAGCCCCGAGGAGATCAATTGCGAATGGTATTCTGTGACAGACAAGATCACCTACATCCCGGGCGTATACACGGGCAAATTGACCTTCAGGGCCTGCTTCCATGACCTACCTGATGGCCTACAAAGTCACATCCTCGCACCAACTGGACTAGACATCAAAGGCCGATGGACACTTGGAGGCTCCTTGCCTGGCGAACCTCGCCAAGCTGTGGAAATTGGGCTCAATCTGCCGAAGGTTGGGCTGTGGTTGAAAGAAGATGTAGATATGAAGTGCAACATGATGGCAACAGGCTTCGTGAAAAAAAGCACCAAGAAAGCGCACAGCACGCTCGTGCAAAGACTGATCGAGAAATCCCACTTGAAAGACAACGAAGCCTACAACCACGCGCTAGCTGAGCAAGTGGAGTTACGGAACTCGTATCCTCCAGACTACCACTCAAGCACTTCAATGATGAGTCCAAGCTCGACATACAGCTCCCCACCTCAAGGTTATGATACCAAACCGCCTATCCAGCAGCATGCTTCGTATTCAAGTGACAACAGGGGTAGTGTAGTCAGCGGTAACTCTAGCTTCGATGACGCAGAACATCCATACTACGCTGCTGCGAAACCAGCGCCGCTACAACCGCGCCAGTCTCAATCATATCGACCATACCCCCAAACTATACCGACACAGGAGCTGCCTGTTCATCAGCCGTACACGAATCAGCTGCACACCAACATCACTGTCGAGCTACCAGGTCAGGAGGCGAGGACGCCTATTGAGATTGAAAATGCACGCTCAGTTCACCCTCAATCCTGAGTCAGTCAACCGTTGTCGATTGGGGTGGGAGGCATTGATGAATTCGTCGTTTAGCAGCATGGCGTATGCGGGAAAGTAAATACCATGGCGTTGTTCTTGGACTTTGATAGTCGCAATATATCATACATTGAATTTCAAATGAACAATCTTTTTTAGCATATTACTGCAAATTGCCAACCCCGCTGAAATCTCCGCTTGTTTGCAACGACATGCATAAATTTATACTTTGGTAGGGCTGCCCCGCATAAAAAGTTCGAGGTCGCGAAATCGGAACTAATAAACAGAGTCAACAGAACTACATAAACTCTGAAAATATCCTCCAAGTTGATCTAGACACCAAATATTATCACCTACAGTCTTCTACCTTATAATTTCCCTCCACAATGCCTAGCCTCTCCTCCCCTCGCAATTACATCCGCAAACACACCAAAAGTCGCAAATCCGCCCTCAAAACCACTGCATACGTTCGTAAACCCTTTCCCCTTCCCTTCTCTCTCAATTCCTCAATGCTAACGTCCCCCTTCTCAAAAGACCCGAATCTCCTCTCACCCCTCGCATCTCGTCAACCTCCAACCCTCCTCGCCCCTCCTTGCCCTCCCCTTCGAAATACGTCACCAAATCTACACCTACGCCCTCCTCTGCACGCCTGACCTCAATTGTCCCCTCAACCCACATACGTACAACTACCGTCCCGAGTTTCGTGATGGGAATAGGGATGGGGGTTTCACACACGCCCGCCACATCGCTACACCACTCCTCCAAACCTGCCGTCGCATCTACCTCGAAACCCACCTCCTCCCGGCCACACTAAACGAACATATCCTCTACGGTTGCGAAGCGACCCATGCCCCCCTCAATTGGAAGGGAGGGGCGCTGTTTCCGAAGTGCAGGTTGAGGAGGGAACAGATCCGCGAAGTCCTAGCGAAGGGCAGGATAAGAGTGTTTGCGCAACAATACTGGCTCGAGGATTTCAACAATCGGGAAGGTGGGTTTCGGGATTTCTGTGCGGCGATGCGGGGGTTGTGGGAGGATGCTGTGGGCTGTGAGGACGTAAGGGGAGGGAAGAGGAAAGCAGGCTGGGACATGAGAATCACGATCCGCCACACAGATTGGTGGCACTTCCTCCTCGGCGCCGAAAGTCCACTATACCTTGACCCCCGCCAGGCCGGGAGAGCGAGCCGCCGCCACCTTCCCCGTCCCTCTGCCCCCATTCCCCCCGCTCCCCCCGCTCCCCTCCCACCACTCACCCCCGACCCCAATTCCGACCCTGAACGCGATACCTACGGATTCGACAAAGGAAGCTGGGGCACGCGCTTCCGCTATCTCAAAGGCCTGAGCCGGCTAGAGCTAGAGCTAGAAACTTTATCACATGAGAGGCGGGAGTTGCAGGAGGTCGTGGCAAAAGCGGGCGAGTGGGTGTTTGCATTGGGGGATGGGAATGTGTTAGTGCATGTGCCTGAGGAAACTAAGTGGTTTACGTGGAGAGGGAGTGCGGGGTTTAGAGGGGTGCCGAAGGGGCTGGTGGGGAGGGACGACGGGGCAGGGGGTAGGCAGGGCAGCTGGGGGACGTTGGCGAGTTTTAGATCGGGGGGTTCGAGGGGGAGGGGGTGGGGCTGGGGTTGGGATAGGGGAGGGGGAGGGGGAGTATGAGATGCTGGATTATGCCGTTGTTGTGCTGGTGTGGAAGGCACAAGCGTCTGGGGAGGAAATGGCAGAGGCGCGGTCTGTGACTGTTGGTCATGCTAATGGACCCCCATTGGCTGTCCCAGCGCTGGGAAACCGGCCTGCGAGAGAGGCAAGTAGGGATATTATACCAAGTGCATGGGGTTAGCAACGCTATTTTTATCGAAAATATGATTTAGATAATCAAATAGCGTTACGTTGTGGGGTATATACTGTATGTAAATGTCAAGATGTCTATTGACCCGCCCATTGCATTTGCCTCGTCAGAACTCTTGAATCATGCTGTCAATTCAGCAATCCGTCTTTCGATCTCAGGTACGGCTCTCAGTTGGAGCTCTAGTTCCTCTTTCTCACTAAATATATTCAAGTCAATATGATTCTCCTACAATTCTAGCCCTTCAAAGGGAGAGACTTACTCCTCAAGTTGCAGCCTCCTCTCCGCGTCCAGCTCTCCAAAGAAATATCCGCCCTGCCCATCGAACTGCAAAATGACCTGATGATAACGCCACAGACTCCTCCGGTGCGAGACAGTCATCAGCGTCACCCCCGTCGCCTTCGCTGTCTCATACATCTTCCTCTCCACCTCCAACGTCACACTACTCGTACATTCATCCAAAATTGCATATTTAGGTTTATGATAGAATAGCCTTGCCATCGCGACCCGCTGCTGCACGCCCATAGATAGGACAGACGGCCATTCGTCTTCTGCGTCCCAGCCACCGTGTCTATCGACGATTTGTGCTATTTCCACGCGGTCGAGGTGCTGTAGGAGATCGGAGTCTGTAATTCCCTTGACGCGCATCTGGGCCAGGGTGTCGGGGTAGATGACTTGTTGCCGCAGTGTGCCTCGCGAAAGGTAGGGACGTTGGGGGATGTAGAATATATCACTCGTTGGAGGTTTTTGGACTGTGCCGCCGTAGACGGGCCAGAGGCCACCAAGGATGCGAAAGAGAGAGGATTTTCCGCAGCCGTTTGGGCCGACGATGAGGAGGTGTTGGCCTGGTGTGATGTAGAAGGTGAGGGAGGGAATTAGAATGCTTGCGGAAGGGGAGAGGATGGGGACGGATGAGAATTCAATGTTTGGAGATGGAATGATGGTGCCGCGATTTGATAGGATGGAGGAAGGGGGTTGGGATGTGGTGTTTGTGGGAGAAGGGGACGAGGCGAGGTTTTTGGAGAAGCGGCCGAAGTGTATGTCTTCCATTACATTCAGGAGAGCGGCAACGCGAGAGGTGTAGCCGGCGAGCTCGGTGACTTCTTTGTAGGAGAACATCACGCGTCCTACTGCGTCGGAAGAGGAGAGGAGCATGCGTCTGTTTGTTACGAAGCCTGGACATGTCAGCTCTGAGTGACAAGAATCGAGGGGGAGCGTACTCTCTGTGCGGTCACCCGTCCCGCGCAATTCTTGTCCAGGGATCTTGAGAAAGACTGGCACGCTGCAAAGTAAGAGACCCAAGGCTCCCCATAGGTACTTGATTACAAAGTCTTCCATCACACCATGATAGAGCCGTCTCCTGAGTATGCGATTGACGTGCTTGATAAGAGTGAAATAGCCTTTGTCTAGATTGTCTTTCTCCGCTTCATGTCCATTGTAAAGTGCGATTTGCTCACTAAAGTCTATCAATCGCGAATGCTGAGCTCTAAATTCGCCTTCTAAGCGAGCTTCTTCTGCCACATACTTTCCAAAAGGCGGCGTCAATGCTCGCATGACATTTGCCGAGAGTTGTACAAGCAAGCTCATCGCGAAGAGAGCTTCGCCTCCGACGGACTTCGACAAGGAGTAATTGTATATAATGATATCGAGCATGGGTTTCGCTAGATTGGAATATAATTCTGCCAAACTATTGGAGAAATTTGCCACGTCCACAGCAATCTGCTGATCAGCGTTCTTGATTCGATCATCCAGAGCAGAGAGACTGTAAAAGGTCATATTCGAGAGATATTGTTCATGTATATGGGTGGTCAACCTGCTTCGATATGAGAGCGCGAGTTTGCATTGATGGTACGAGAGCATGGAATTGGTGAATGTGGCTGGCACGGCTACCATCATCCACCATGCAATATTCTTGAAGAATTGCCTTCCCTTCCCCCGAACCAGGCTGCTGACGATCTTCCCATCCAGCTCAGCAACATACAGACTAATCAATGTTCGGATGATCAGAAAGAAGCTGTGACTGATGATCAGGCGCAACTCCTTGCTTTTCCACCTTGGTATGACTATACGAAGTAGGCGCCATATATTCCTGAAGAACTCGCTGTTCAATTGTACCCTTTTTCGGGCGGTCGCAGAGGCTTCTACTGTAGAACTGCCTGCTCGCTGCAGACGTGCCTCTGTAACGCGTATTGAGGCTGCTTTCTGCTCAGAGATGGCATTGCGAAGGCGATTGAGAAGGGCAAGGGCGAATGTGACATATATGGTACGCGAGATCTTTGTACGATGCGTCAAGTAGAGGTTCGTAAGCTGAGAAATGATCTGCTTGATCGATTGCTCCGAGAGTTTAGAAGGGAGGAGTAATTTCGACTGGACGGCCATATTGTTTCATACGGCCCTGAGATGTTTTCCTACTTCGACAGATATACAGAATGAGCCATGTTGATGCGTAGGAGCATCACGCATATCCCTCCACCGAAGTAAAAGGCCATGTCGTCGAACATACACCATTCTCGGCGATATCGGAGGTCAGTTTTTCCGGGTGCCTCGGCAATTCTTTTGCCCGCCGCCCGCTAATATGCGGACTCTGAGCCATAGAAACGGCGGGCAAGGTCAGCATCGGATAGCATCCTTTGGTCCTTGGTCACGTTGTACGATGTGATACCTCAGCTCACCCCCTCATGTTTCTTGTCCTATGTTCTCCCTGGCAGTATCTCCTTCCCAGGAGATCACGCATGGCATTCCTTGATTACGGTTGATTCGTCTCGTCTCGTTTTGCTGCGAGCGGGACCAATCTCTGTCCGATCAATTGATCGAAACTTGGAGCGAACATTGTCTTTTGTTACTATCTCGCAGCCATGATAGGTATGTATCGAGAGCACAGCGATGAGTTCCTTCGTTGACTCTCCCCTAGACCACGTTCTTGGTCGCCCTTCAACCCAATTCCGAAAATTCCAAGTATTTGCTGTTGTTTCGTTTTGGTCGGCTTATCTTTTACGGTCAGTGGAGCCGTCCTCGAGATAAAATTTCGCTGAAAGCTTTTGCAGAGGCAACAGAAATGGGCCACCCTTCCTACGAACCCTCTCCGAGCGACTGTCGAAACACCTTACACCATGGCAGACTGTCGTGATAACAATCCTCTATTTGTATATCTGCAGGAATTTCGCGAAGATACTCGGCCTTGAAAGCCCTGAGCCGTTGGCAAATTTGTACAGCAGAGGTTACTTCAGAGCAACGTGGATCACAACAGCTTTAGATGCTGGTTTCTGGACGGCGATGAAGATCAGGCGGAAATGGTTAAGAGATCTAGCTTCGATAGTTTTCACCGTCCATTATCTGATTGCCGCGGAACAAGCAGATGAGAAGGTTCGAAAAGTGAGGGGCTTGCTTACAGTAGAGCATATTCGCGTCTCGTGGAACAAGACGACGACTCCCTATCTAAGAGCCTTGTCGGGCCTCCTCCGACCCAGGTTTACTCGATACTCCCCACGAGCGATTCGTATACCTCGGCCAGCAGAATCTTCCTACAAGGAGCCCATAGAAGCATGGCTTTACTTCGATGGTCCTCTGGCTTCGTTGAAGAATCATACCAAGATTGTGCTGGATATACCAGGCGGTGGATTTGTTGCAATGAGCCCAAGGCATCATGAAGATAAGCTTCTCGCTTGGTCGGGCAAGACAGGTCTACCCGTCGTCAGCTTAGACTACAAGAAGGCACCTGAGCATCCTTATCCCTTCTCTTTGAACGAGTGCTACGACGCCTACCAGTCTCTGATTGAATCTCGTGGACGTTGTATTGGCTTATCTGGCGGCAGTGTCCCTCGCATTGTCCTCACTGGGGACAGTGCTGGTGGTAACTTTGCTGTTGGAACCACTCTAATGATTCTCCAAGCGAATGGCAAAGGCAGCCAAATGTGGCATTCATCCCAGAATTCCCTGCCATTACCAGAAGGTCTCGTGTTGATCTACCCTGGGCTGGATATGAACATCGGTAGCTGGATGGGTGACGATGAAATGTCTCTCATGCAGGACCAGCGCATGCGCAAGATCAATCGGAACGTCATGAAAAAGAAGAGTGAAGATTACTACAAACTAGCCAAGACTCCTCATCCGTCTGACAATGAGATGGATGGAGAAGCGAACATGTACACCAAGCCTCCGCTAGCACCCGCGACAGCAACAGAAGGTACCGTCATAAATGCCAAGGACGATATCTCTACCTCGAAACCGAAAATTCTTAAGACCCGCCTTGCGATGTCTTCAATGATCTCCTACTTCAATGACCGTGTTCTCACCCCGGAGATGATGCGTGCAATGATCATCCTATACATTGGCCCACGTACCCGCCCTGACTTTGCTACTGATTACCTGCTGTCTCCAATCTTGGCCCCTGAGTCTCTCCTCGCCAAGTTTCCGAAGACTTTCTTGTTGACAGGTGAGCGGGATCCACTCGTCGACGACACAGTGATATTCGCTGGTCGCTTACGACAAGCTAAGCATAACGACTTCAATCAGCGGAAGGAGCTTGGCTTGTTCAAGTCTCGTGATGAGTTCGACGAGAAAGATCATGTTGAGGTGTCACTCCTTCCTGGTATCTCGCACGGCTTCTTGCAATTTGTGTCTATATTCCCCGAGGCCTGGAAACACCTGTTCCGCTGTGCGAGATGGATAGAGGAGATTTTCGACAGTAACGAACCCTCGTCTACTCCTTCTCCTCTTCTCGAGCGCAAAGGCTCCTACGGTATGGGCAACGGAGATGCAAGCCAGCACACACGACACCACCATAGAATGGCTACCGAGAGTTCGGGAGATGAGGACAATCCGTTGATGATGAGCTCATCCAGAGAGCCGGAGCCCGCGCCCCGATCCTCTCGCAGAGGCAGAGGAAGGAGGACCCGCCACTCTAATGAGTATGGAAGAAACAAGAGTATGGTGTCTCTTGGTAGTGAGACTGATTTGATGGCTCGGCGAATGAAAGGCCTGACAGGAGGCTTGATGGGCGCATCCAATGATGGGACGACGACGCCTTGAAATTAAATAATTTCTTGCGACCATTTGACGTAACGATCATGCTATCGTACAGACATTCAATATAATCGGCCTGAAGCGTCTCACAGACGTTTGAATGGGCTACGTACGGAGTCTTCGCCTTCACTGATTTACTCCTTGCGGTTTCGACCTTACACCTGGAAAGCTACTACATTTGCAAGCCGAGTATGCACTTCTCGAGGAATCTGCTGACCCTTCCAAAAACCGGGCAAGTGCGCGCTTCGGGAATACGAATTATTTTGGCAGGGCTAGGCTCAGTTGGCCCTCTCAGTAGCCTAAGATACCTGGCACATGATTGGGCGCTTTGCCCAAGGCCATCGGGCTTCGCCGGAACAACAGGTTCCTACTCTTGGTGGTCATCTGCCGCCAATAACCATAAGACCTAGAATGGAAACAGCTTGTAGGCTGAATAACACCACCGAAGTTCTGCTCCGTGCTGTTACCGTATGACGGAGTTAGTCCCTTCTTCGATAGCCATGCTCAACCATGCCACTGCCTGAGGGCATGATATATAAGTCTGCGGCCATGTCTATCCAGCAACATCAATTTCCAAATGCTCAAACAGATCTGTCCAACGATCCTCATTTCCAAGACGCCAAAACCATCAAGGAGCACCCTCGCGGAAATGTCCACTGCAACAATGACGAGTAACCGTACCACCACCAACAACCACCCTAGAATCATCACCACACAAAGAGCTCTCATACTTAGCAAACCTCTCTCTCCTCCTCCCTACACCCTTCGCATCCACCATGACTCCCACATCCCAACTCCAGAACCTACCAAAGGTGATCACCTCATCAAAGTCCATTCCACCGCCCTCTGCGCTCGCGAGTTGACCTGGCCCGCCGCCTTTCCTGACGCCATATTTTCTGAGAACCCCTCCAAGACGGTCGTCCCCGGTTATGACCTCGCAGGCACCGTTTTGACGACCGAACCCGCCTCCCCTTTCAATATCGGTGACAAAATTTACTGCCGCACTTTACCAAACCGCCCTGGCAATTGCAGGGCATACACCATCGCTCGCACAAATGAAATGGCACTGATGCCACGAAATCTCTCCTGGGAAGATGCGGCCACTGTACCCCTGTCTGCACTGACAGCATGGCAATGTCTCTTCGACAAAGCTGGATTCAAGCCCGGTTTCGGCACTTTAGGCAATGATGCCGGCGAGGACCCAAAAGGAAAGAAAGTACTGGTCACAGCCGCCGCAGGTGGTGTAGGCGTCTGGCTCATTCAGCTCGCGAGGATGGCGGGCATGGAAGTCGTGGCGCAGATCGGCAGTCAGAAGAACGCAGAATTTGTGAAGCGACTGGGCGCAACCAAAACAGTCAACTACAGGGAAGAAACGCTGAAGCAGTGGGCGGAACGCGAAGGGCAGGTTGACCTGGTGATTGATTCCGTGGGAGGCAAGACATTGGAGCAAGAATGGTGGGCCGTTAGGGAAGGCGGCCGCATTGTTGGTATTTTTGAGCCTCCTGAGGGGAGGAGACCGGAGGAGTTGAAAGAAAAGAATGTGAAGAACGAATTCTTCATAATGAGGCCTGAGGGGAAGCAACTGCAGGAGATCACGAAGTTGGTCGAACAGGGCAGGGTGGAGACGGTCAAGGACAGCGTTTGGGACTTTGATGAATGGGAGAAGGCTTTTGAGCGTTCAGATGGGGGACATACTAAAGGAAAGGTTGTCATTAGGGTTGCTAAATAAGAAGGACGTGGTTGGAAGTGAAGTTGAAGCATGATGTAGGATGATGAAGCTTTACTCATTCAATGAATGGACATGTTAATGCATGGCCTCCGGCCTCCCTTGGTGCCTCTCGTGTGGATCTCAAATCGGCTAGCGGAACCCTAAGCATGAGCGAAATTCTTCACGACTTGAAAGTACACACGTTCACCTCTTGCATCTGGCTTTGTTGTCCGCTCTAATGCGCAAACTTGTCGAAACGAGTGGGGCATCGTAGATCATCCTCGTCGGACACACTCGGGACAAGTATCCAAGCAGACCGTGGCAACGCGAACCGTGCTCAGTGGGGACGGAATTGACACAATCTGGCATCAGAAGACATCAAATGATGGAATTGTTAACGCGCTACGCTTATGCAATACTATTGACGGTTCATTGACTAGCGATTTCGGTTGCCAAAGCCGTGCATTAGCAGGTCCCTTTCCAGCAACTTCCAAGGTCTCGACTACGCCATGTGTACCGCAATTGAGCTGGCATATTCATCATCCTGATCCCAACGAATCAACCTCGAACTTACAGCTGTGAACAGCCGCACTAGCAAGACTAGTCCACCAAGCGTGGAGAGAATCTTCCGATCCGAGCGGTCCCTAGTTCTGCCCCCATAGCGCTACGGGCCCTCACCGCTTCTCACCACATTCTTCACGTCTCCGCATCCCACATTTCAGATTCAGAGCGTTGACGAATGCTCACGAAGCCCACATACTATTGAACTACTTGGCGCTCTTAGCCTCAGTTCATCGGTTTCGACTACGTCTGAAAAGACGATAGCAGAGGTTTGACAGCTTCAGACCTAGGCTCGAAAGAGTTGTTGTCCGATACCGGTCCTTGATGCCGTCTCTTGAAGGCATGAACTAATGCAGGACCCATTTAGAAGCTGACCCAGACGCCAATGACTGTGCCAATTCCGACGGGAAACACCTCTGATTGCGACCTGGGTCGATATGTGGATTCCCTGATACTAAGACGCTGGGAGCTGGAGTCTTTGCCCGAACAATACTAGTTTGACACGCGTCCGCGTTGAACGATCAAACATACCACCCATGGTAGTTGAGCCAGCGGATCCACAGACAGAATAGCAAGTCAATATTGACACTGACATAGCAGGGAATTGACTTAGGTTGTCACATTTCCGTGCATGGCTGATCTGTCCTCGAATTCGATCGAGCTTTACGGCAGATCTTCCGAATATACTGCGGCACAAATGAGAGCGGACAGGCAGCTTGTCACCTCTCTTGCAGCGCTGCTCATCGTGATTGAGTCTCAATAGCCTTCGACCGAGACCCATCGAAGCCTCTTTGAGGTTATACTATCTATGAAATGGTCAACGTCGTTTCTGGTATCGTTAGCGAAGCAACGTTGTTGAAAGAGATCGAAATCCTGTGAAATCTGTTATTTGCGTATGCCTCTCTCAGTCTCGAGAGTCCATTTACCAGTCATGACGCAATGTCAAAGTCCGTGCCTTAGTCCGAGTTTCCCAGCACTAGATTCTGACTATCATGTTCGATATTGAGGACGCAATTGCCAGAAGCCCGAGTCGACTATCCTCATGGCAGTGTCTTTACCATTCTTGGCAACGCTAGTCACTGACTAAAGGCACAAGTGCAATCGACAAGCATTGTCTTCGTGCTGTCCGAGCTTCTCCCCCATCTGCAATGGCATCAGTCTCGATCCATCTCTTTGGCCTGTACTCCACCTGCTTGGCGGTAGCACCCATACTTTCGCCATTATGACGGGTCCTTACGCCATAGCTCGTTATACTAGTCTAGACTTCCCTCACGGTCGAAGAACTTCACATGACTAGATCAACATTCTCACCTAGCCTTTTGCCAGTTGCATGATGGTGTTATCTCGCACCAGCCCTCAGCGGCATCGTCTGTTGGGCACCAGCATCCAAGTATCGGCAGGATACCATAATAGGGAAAGCCTACCCAAGAACACCAAGTATACATGTGTGATAAGGATGACTTGGTCGCTGTAGCTATGGTGGCTTGACTTGTGGCCAGCTGAAGCATGACTGTCTGAGAGGAAAATCATGCATAGCAGAAGCTTCTAGCAGCCATTTCATGCAAAAGCTAGCCACTATAGTCAACATGCATACTGATGTTAGCTGAGAACTCCTCTTCTGAGACTGTTGGCTTGGATTGTGGCGAGCTGAAGTCGATACTTGTGCGCATCACTGCATGACGGACAAATCTAGAGCCTGAACGAGCCTTTTACTTGCATATGTTGAAAACTCGCTCAGTGATTCTGGACCCTCCACGATGTCTATAAAGACCCCCATCATTCTCTCCTTCCAACATGCCCAAAACCATTGAGATAACGCAAACGATAACAATCAAGGACATCGACAGCGAACCAACCATTCAAACAAAAGTCGAAACCTCCAAACCAACCCTCAATATGGCTCCCTCACCTTTCGTCCCCTCTTCAATCTCGGCAGTCGAGTCGAACCAACTCAGCATCCTGTACTACGCCCGCCCCGATGGCGACATCGCAGCCTTAACTGCCCAGAAAAGCGGCGAGGATCCAAGCAATGCCGACTACAAATCCACCAACGTTATCCTCGAGGGAAACACCATTAGCGCTACTGTTCCACAGCTCAGCGCCGTGGCGTACGATTTCCACGGCAGCAAGGAGGTATGTCTTGCAACCCTCTTCCCTTCCCCCATTCCTTTTTCGCTTTCCCCAACCACCCCCAGATCTTCCCCACACACCCACCCTCCTCAGCCCCTCCATCCCTCACTAAACACCCCCAAGATCCGGCTCTACTACATCGGCGGCAAACTCGGCGCCCCGACGCTCCGCGAACTCGTCCGCAGCAACGGGGGCGAATGGAAAGACGGCGCCCTCAACAAACTTCGTCTGCCCATCACGCCCAACTCGCTCATCTCCGCGAACGTGGAGGACGATGTGGGCGATCTGAAGGTTTTCTATAACTCGACGGATGATGATGATAATACCGTGCCGACTGTGGCGTGGGTTACTAAGGGCCAGACTGCGTGGAGTTCGCGGATTATTGGGAAGTGGAAGTAGAGGGGCGATGTAGGGGGAAAGGGGGAAGGGGAGGAAGGGCAAGGGGAAAGGGGAAAAGGGGGGAAAGCACGATCCGACCCAATACGGTCCTTTGTAGATAGGTAGATAAACAGACAGATAGCCGAGATGGAGAAAGTAGGTGGAAAAATCACATTGGAAGCGAAGACGTGCTCCCTTCCACGCCCCTCTCCTCTGCCTTTCTATCCCCCCTTTTTTTTTCTGGTAAAGGCATTGCTTTGGGCTGGCTAGTCCGCTCACCGACCGATTGGCGAAGGCTTAGCGCGTGAGAGCATATTCTTTGATGTAGAGCCGAAAAGGGGGTGGGGTGTGGAACAGGGGGTAGCGGGGTGGGATCTCGCCCTTGGCTATCCCTATCCCAATACCTGTGAGAAAATTGCAAAGACTTTACGATCGAGAGGGTGACGGAATGTACTCCCCCTCGTTGACTGTCCCAATTAGCTATCCCTAAAACATAGAACTCAAAGCACGTAAAGCTCCTAGTGCTACATGAACGAAAATGGAGTAGGTCGCGAAGATCTCCTCCACCCAATACATAGAAGCAACCATGCCTGAGTTTTGAGAAGATGCTGGAAGGGGAGAGGGGGTGGATGGATTTCTGGTATCGAGGCAGGTGTTATAGGGTGGGGTGGGGTGGGAGCGAATCGAGACCCATCGTTACTGGAGTATTGTCAAAGATAGGAAAGGAAAGGAAAGGAAAGGAAAGGAACGGGACGATCGGTGGATACACAGCACATGCTATGACTTCGCTCCGAGGTTTCTGATAGATTAGTTCGGCGGGATGTGTTAATCATCTCTCATATATATACATATACATACTATATACACCGCAATTCATCTAAGTTCGTCCATTACCACATCAAGAGCACAACAACGACGCACCCCAAACACCATATCATCCACCTATCCACCCCTCTCCTTATCGCCCCACTTCTGCTCTCCCCGCTCCCAGTCGTGGCGCCCACACCGCTCCTCGCAACCGTCATGGTCACCGTCGTCGCGCCTGCATCCCCGCCTGTAGTCTCGCTCGTCTTCGTCACCATTCCCGTGCCCGTCACCACCGCAGTTCCATTCACCGTCCCATTTCCCCCTGCCCCACCCACACTATCACCAGTCAACCCAACAACCGCGCCCACAATCCCCTCCAAAACCCCCACTTCCTCCGCACTAACATCCCCTCGTGCAAAAGCCTCCTTGATCACATTCTCCAGTGCTTCTTTCTTGCCCTCACCCAACCCTCCCAACCCTCCCAACCCAGCCAAGCTAGTCGGAATACTCGCTTCCACCACCGCCTCCTCCAGCGATTGCGCTATCGACGATGGGATAAGAGTTTGCTCAGCGCCGGCTTCGAGAGCCGTGAGCAGCGAGGACGCGAGGGGTAAGGGGAGGGGAGTTCCTGATTCTGCGGCGGAGAGGGCGGAGTTGAGGAATGAGAGGGTGGCTGAGGGGAGGGGGAAGGGGAGAGTGATAGAGGCGGAAGGGGCGTGGGCGAGAAGGGAGAGGAGGGAGGAGAGGGTTGTGTGTTGAGATGGCTGGAGCGCGGGGATGGGGTTGGTGAGGGTAGGGGTGGCGGCTGCGGCGAGGAGGGAGGAGAGCGATGTTGCTTCTGCGTAGGGGAGGTTGTCGGAGGAGACGGCGGCGTTTAGAGAGGATAGTTGTGGTGCTGAGAGGGGGGTTGTGGCTGCGAGGACGGATTGTAGGGATGAGAGGGCTGTTGGGGGGAGGGAGGCTGCGGAGAGGATGGAGGAGAGAGTGGCTTTTGCGGCGGCGGGGAGAGGTGTCGGAAGTGTGGCTGTGGGTGGGTTGAGGAGGGAGGAGAGACGCTGTGCTTCTGCTGTTGGGAGCGCGCCGTTTGAGGCAGCGGCTGAGAGGGCGGAGTTTAGGGAAGATAGTTGGGCAGCAGGGAGAGGAGTGCCGGAGGCGGCTTTTGTGACGGCAGATTGGAGTTTTTGAACTTCGGTGGTTGGAAGACCTGCTGCTGCAATTGCAGAGTTAAGGGAGGGAATGTCGTTGGTGCTGATGCTGGGGGCGGTGGGAGTTCCTGCTAAGCTTGATATGGCTGAATTGAGACTTTGGACCTCAGATTGTGGTAGGCCAGGGACTCCCTTAGCCTGAGTGGTGCCGGCTTGAGATATGATCGAGGAAAGGGATTGTGCAGCATCAGGCGATAAACTGGCTGGGAGACCGTTCGCTTGAGCTTTGCCTGCTGCGTCGATGGCTGAATTCAACGCTTGGACTTGAGACGGGGGTAATCCAGGGGATCCATTTGCTTGAGGTTGAGCAGCCTTGTTGACTAGGTTTTGGATCGACTGAATCTGTGATGCTGGTACAGCCTTTGATGGGCTTTCATTGAGGGTTGCGTCCGGACTGGCAGTAGGTATCACCCCATTGTCAGCTGCCAAGACCTGACCCAAAGAAGATATGGCATTCCCAAGACCAGTATTGCCGCCTCCTGGCGCATTCTGTATCTGTGAAGCCTCTTGCCCCAAGATGGCTGCAGCAACATTGTTTGGAGCATTTGTACCCGCCGAGGCATACTGTTGCTTAATGGAAGAGACTTGGTCTTGGTTGACTGCAGGCAATCCGAGCTTACTGAACGAGTCCGTGATAGAATTGATGGCTTGATTCTGCACTTGGGCATTCGCCGCAGGCTGGTTAGGAGTAGCCGGGTTGGCATTTGCAGGGCTGTTCTCGGCCACGTTTGTATTTGTATCCTGATTGGCTTCATTCTGCGATAGGTTTGCAGGGTTGCCTTCAGCTGCATTGTTGGTCTTCTCGCCGTTGGCCACATTTTGTGCCGGCTGTTGGGGAGCTTCATCGGCAGCATTGGCTGAATTTTGGTCTGGATTTATATCTCCAGAACTTGCCTGCTGTTGAGGAGATACAGCTTTAGCTGGTGTGTTCTCTGTCTGTTGACTAGGGTCTTCGGTCTGTTCATTGTCTTGCGATGAGACTTCACCACTATCAGTATTAGTGTTCGCAACTTGTGAGCCCGGGTCGTTGTTTGTATTGGCTTGTGGTTGATTCACAACAGCGGGAGCAGGATTAGCATTCTGGCTCGTTTCCTTTTCTGGTGATGCAGGTGCTGGGGCGGGATCTTGGTTTTGTGGTGCCGGAACTTGTTGCTTCTGCTGGGTTTGTTCAACTGTAGGTTGTTGTTGTTGCTGCTGCTGCTGCTGCTGCTGCTGCTGTGGTGCAACCTCCTGCGTTGAGGGTGTCTCAGGCTTGGGAGCTAGAACTGGCGCTGGGATTGGACTTGCCGCCGGTTCGGGCACTGGGTTGGGTGATGGATTCGATGCCGGTGTCTTCGCCGGTGCAAGAGCTTGGGCCGTCTCCTTGGCTGGTGCTTCAGGCTGTGGAGCAGGCTGCGCCGCTTCTGTCGTCTGGACAGCTGCTGCTGTGGTAGTGACAGGAGCCATCGCTTGAGCTGACCTCAAATCCCGTGGGGGATCCAGACCGATAAAGAACTCGTCCTTGCAAGTCTTCCAAGCGGGATCAATGTCTAGAATCTTGTTTGGGAACGCGATCATCGGGCGATATGGTTCGCCTGGTTCTGGTTTGTACCAATGTTGTGCCTATCGATAATTAGAATCCACCTGACCCTGAATGCTGCGTTCGAGAGGAGGCGAAATACTTACAGCAACATCTGGCGGTGGACATGGCAGATCCGCGAAATTATACACGGATACTGGAGCTTCAGGAGAATAAGCTAGGACACTGCCAACAAAATCGGCCTTGCGCCCTCCAGTCACGGGACCTGCTACGCTTGATAGCTCTCCTGGATTGAAAGCAATCAATGTTGATTGTATGACACTTTGCGAGCCAACAATTCCACAACCATCCGTGGCGCTTAGGCTGTAGAAATTGACATAAACAGAGGGTGAAGTAAAGGTATTACCATCTATTACCGCTATGTTTCCGAGGTCTGCCTGCTTCTCTACCTGCTTCTGTACAGCGCTTTGTCCGGTAAAGTTGCCAGGCATATCTCGGCGAATCTTCTTAGGTGTCACAGGAAGAGTTTGCGAAGACGACTGTGGCTGACTGCTTTGTGTCGATGAAGCCACTTCAGTCAGACCCAGCCAATCGCTTGAAGACTCATAAGGATTGAAAAGGGGATTCTTGAACGCAATGCCGTTGATCGTCGTCCAAGTTGCAATGGTTTTGATATAGGTTTGGCCTGTGGGTGTACCAGGCTGACAGCAAAAAACTTCTCCCCAGTATGTGAGGCATCCTCCTCGAGCTTCACCATAGCAGGTTGTAGTGGCGCCTTGTAGTGCTGGATTCACGCTGTTTCCGATGATACTGAGGCAGGAATCATCTGCACCTGCTTCAGGCCAATAGTACAAGTCTACATTCGGACCACGGATATAGCAATCACCGCAGCATGAGTCAGAACCTGTCATCAATGGACCTGATGTTATGATTGCGGCAGTAGACGTTACTAGGCCTGCGGAGTTCACCCAGTCTGTTGGACATGATCTTGCAAAAGTCGTACTTGGGACGGTAGAGGAGTTTCGGGTAACGGAGTAATTACCCGATGTTCCGAGAATAATGCTAGTAGGACTGGCTGTCGATGTACCATTTCCCACGATCGCGAAAGGCGGCGACGTTTGTAGCGCGCTGTTGGTTGGAGATCCAGTGACCCCTTGTCCAGTAGTAGATTGGGAAGAAAGGCCTGTCACACCAATGGCCTGTTTGATTTGTTTAGCTAGCGTGGGTGAAGTCTGGCCTAGGGTTTCCCGGGCTTCGCTTGACGTGTTTGAAGCTGTGGCATTCGATGAGTGCGAGAAGCTCTGCGCAGGAAAGAAAGCTTTTTCCTGATTTGGATAAACGGCGGCTGTGGCATTCGTCGTCTTAGAAGGCCGTACGATATTCGCTTGTTTCACAACCTGATCTTGGTCTTGAGCGACTTGTCCAGTAGATGAATCAGTGCTGCTTGAAGGAGCTAAAGCGGTTGTCGACGTTGATGTAGTGGAAAAGCTAGTCAACGAAAGTCCAGATTGGACCCCGAGTGTTTCAGTATTCGCTGTATTGAGCACTTGTTTGTTATTCACTTGGTTGAGAGGATGGTCCTGGGTGTTAGAAAGCGACTGTGTCGTCGGAGGATACTCTTGCGCCTTTTTCTGGTCGAGCCCTAACCAATCAAGAGCAGCTGATGATGAGCTGGAGCTCACTTGTGAGGACGAGCTGGAGGAAGAGGACGATGTTGTTTGGTTTGATGAGGTGGTAGTGCCTAGCAAAGTCCCTTGACTCGTCGAGCTGGCTGACGATACAGCAATAGCAATTGCGTTTCTCTTCCCAGGAGCCGCATTGATTACCTGGCTTACTAAAAGAAGGAGGGGAAGAATTCTGCAGCGCATGCCGGTGCGCGATTAAAAGGCTCGAGGGTAAAACGAGCGACAAATAGGACATGAAGAAGACTCAAATCTCAGTAGCAAACGAGTGTGGTATCATGGAACGCGACTTGCTTCGAGCTTCCCATGCCAGCTGAGAAGGCTCGCATCAGATTGTTTTGCAAGAGAAGAGAAAAACAAGAAAGACATTCAGGTGATGATTTTGATTGTGGCAACTATGAAGGGCACATGCGTGATTTCCAGACGAAGGTACGAGGTCACTTGGTGTACGGCGCAGTACGTAAATCTCTAACATGGGGCTGGAAAGAGCGGAGACTTTCATTTTCACGAAACCTGAGATATGAGGATCAAGCTGACAAACACTGAGGCGGCCAGCGCGTCGGCGACTTTCAAATATCTTATTGCTGACGTGAATGAGCTTGTAGAGCTGGCAAGTGTGGCAAAGAAGTTGTCGGTGAAGATGGAGAGAAAATTTCTGGGGAAGGAGGTGAGACGCAAGATTCAGGGGAGCCGGAGCTTAAATCCTCAGCCTTCTCTAGGGTCGAAATGCGGCTGAGGCACAGTTCCAGGATTGGCCAGTGGGCCCGACGTCCCTAGAGCTAGCCCGGAGCTTGCCGTATTTAGGGCAAAGCCGGCCCAGAACGGTCTAGATCTCGCAACCAAAGCTGTCGCAAAAAGTGATCTCATATTAATCGTTTTATTTTGTTGGATTTCATCGAGCTATTTAAACAAATCTAAGTCCGTTGCTCTTCATCCAAGCTGTCTTGACGCTAGGTTTGATGTGGTCCCAAAGTAGATGGAAGAGGCCTCGGATTTAGCAGGATCACATGCGTCAACGGCCAAGACAAAGGAGCATGCAAGCCAGGCAGACTGTAGCAACCCTGCAATGGCTCAAGATGACGGAAGCGGAGCTCCCAGGGCGGTACATAGTCGTCACTTCCAAAGTCTCATGGTGTGTGTCTCCTCTCAATGATGGACAATCGGGGCGTCCTCACAACGGAGTCGAGATCATCGTCGAGATCATCGTCGTCGACGACTTCACGTCCCATGTCAACTTCAGTGGCATTGTTCAGATCGGCATTCGTTTAGACTAATTGCTTTGAAAACAGTCTTCAAAATCAAGTTCATGAGGGTGAATGATTACAAAACTTCGCACAACATGCTTCACTTGTGGGACAATCATTTTATGTATCCTTTTCTTTGGGTCATTCTATCTTTGCAAACACTATGAAACCTTACTCATCGCAAGATAACGCAAATATTCTTACACTCTTCCTAGAGGTAATTCAATAGTATAATGACTTAGCGCAGACGCGTCCTCGAAGGCTGCACCGCCTTCTTCCTCTCTCCACCAGCACTCGTGTGTGCACGCGCCCTCTGGTCCGCAACCCGGTGATATGCTGCATTTGATGGGCTGATGTTGACTGGTGTGATGGGTGTGCTCCACAACTCCACCACACGGTATAGGTGGTGATCGCAGACCGGGAACCGCTTCCGCCAGTCCGCCATCATTTTCTCGTTCCTGAGGGCGTGCTCGACTTTGTGATCCGCCATTTCCGCATACAAAGTGGTGACAGCAAGAGGAAGTACTAACACCTCCATCTTCTCAACCGGCGAGCTCAAGATCGAGGTTGAGAAAAGCTCGTTTCTTTGATCTCGGAGCGTGGCTCGACGAATGCCATCGTGCATTGCCTTTTTCTCTGGGATGTGCAACGACTTGTTTCTTGCCACGGCGACGGAGAATTTGTCGTCGATCCACTGGTCTCCAAGAGCACAAGCCTCCTCGACTTTCTTCTCATGCTCGGCGGGCTTCGTCCGCTTCCACAGCCCAGTCTCGGTTAGTTTGGGGGTGAACGGGTATCGACGTTGGAGGTCGAGTTTGGTTGCAAGACTTTGGATGTGTAAAGCGCTCATCGGATTCTCGAACGCCCAAAGCTCCAGCTGATGGTTGATCTCTTCTTCGCTCCACTCATCATAGGCATTGGATTCCAAGATGCCGCAGTCCAAGAACATGTCTTCCAGGCACTTTGGCATCGTAATCTCGCAGGCAATCCTAAAGCCGTATTTGTCATCTGGCTTTTGGGATACGAGACCTTCTTCTGAACTTACAGTCGTCCTGCGTTGGCACGATGGCCGTTGCTTAGCTGGCCCTGCATGGATGGCAATGATGACATCTCTCTCGTTTTCTTTGTACAAATGGCTTGTATGAGGACGTTCTGGCTGATGGCTGGGAGTTTTTATACCAGCTTCAAAAGGTCGACTGAGACGATGCGATATGGTTGTACTACGCTTCAAACCTTTCGCCCTATCACGGACATGGCCACCTGATTCACCGTCACGCCGTCTTGACACGCTGCGGAAGCCAGGCATTCTGAGTGGAAACACGTGTGTTGTTTAGCGAGGCGCAGCTGCTGGTTCGTTGGCTCTCAGTGGTATTGCGAGTTTTGAGGTTACGCTTGGAAACTATGAGTGAAGGTAGGGTGACGTTCCTCTCCAAGGATTAGCAAACAGGTTTTAAAGCATCGACTAAGCGGGGAGGGGCCCATATCAACAATACGCATTGTTGAAGTTCGGATAATGGACAAACAACATTACGATAATGCGATTGTCCATAGGCGATGACGTAGCCCGATCGTGGAACAAAGAGTCTCGCCGGTCGCCTGAAGTGTGGCCTCCACGTGTTCAATGTCGTTCGAGCCCAGGGATCCGCGATTTGTGGAGGCTGTCCGACGGGACCGGCAACAAAGAGGTTGTGCAATTCATTGGTGCTTCCACCTTCGGTGCTCTCTAGAGTCTCATAACGTTTTGATGCTTTCTCGGCAGGGGCGGTACTTGCGCCTCGCCTGTGACTGCCCCCTTAGGTGGTACAACAAGATGTGGATGATTTCAATGCGGTACTCATTATTTGCCTGACTTAATCTGACGTCAGCTTCGACCAGGTCAATTGGACAGCTCTACTGGACGCTTGTCCGCTGCATTCCGATATCGATCCTCAACCCAAGATCAAGCGATCTATCTGGTGCATCATGATACATGCCTTCAACATCAATTGACGCGCCGCCGAAAATGCCAATCACAGAGTTTTGGACGTATTCCAGGTGCCACCACAATAACTCGCATTGATGAACGCGAAGTCTTTGTGGCCAGTAGAGTTCTATCGCCACACTCCTGTCCTCTTTCGTCGCGAAGAAAGACTCGAGAGGGGGCTCTTGGAATTGCGCGCATGCTTTGGCATGGTCTCGCCATCCATTCAATGTTTGTAGGAGCCAACTCGTCTGGGCCGCGGTTGATGTGTCGTCATGAAGCTCGATGACATAGAGTGTGCCTCCGTAGAGTCTGATCATCTCGCCACCTGGTGGGACTGGCCACGGCGCGAACGCCGTCGGAATTGTCGTATTCTGAGATAGAGCGAGATAAGGCAACTCGAATAGAACGACAAAGGCGCAAAATCTTAGGAACCTTGGTGCCGGCCACATTTTTCTCGAAGCAGAGTCGACCTTGGTAGACTTTCGAAACTCTATGAGATTGGTCTTCCATAAGCCAGTGGTGAGAATAAATATCGCGCAATGTGAGGATGTACACTTTGAATATCCTTTGATTGTGTCGCGAACTTTTGGCGTCGTTTTGGTTTTTTAAAGAATCACAAGACAATTTTTCGGAGGCGCTTCATGCTCAATTTGTCTCAGAATTCTGTATTTAGGCATTTTTAAATCTGCATGTCTTGCATATCTGAATTTGCGTCTTTCTGCGCGTTGATATGTTGCTCGACCAGAGATTCAGGCAGACTTTGCGTCAAACAGATTCTACCCAAAATCCACCCACAAAGTATCTGTCTTGGCCGCCGAGGCTGTCAAGCCTATCCTCCATCTCTCAATTGAATGGCTTACGCGCAAAAGGACACAAGGCAGATGATGAAGCAGCGGAAAGGGAAAGAGGGCAAACTATCACGAAATAGCGGAGTCGCACGGTGATCTGCTCGAGCCATCGAGAAATGAGCCGCTAGCTCGTCGACCACCCCAAGCCGAGACCATGTGTGAACTCTAGATGCGTGATCAAGCCTGATAAATTATAAACCAGGTAATGTTAGTGTGCAAGTAGTGACTTCGTTGCATAGCTTCAACGGTCGTCGAGATATCCATCCAACGAGAACAGAAAGGCAATGTCACAAATACCAATCTTCATCAGAAGTGCTTGCGCTGCACTCTCGGTAGTTTTCGGCCTACTATCATGCAACAGACCGTTTATCTACGTGGATACGTTTCAGACCACGGGAAATAATTACGAGTGAGGATAAGCCACAACTCTACGTCGACTAGGAATTCCAGGTCAAAGTATCAAATTGCGTATGAACAAAGACTGGCAAACCTGGATCAACAGGAATTACCCCGATGACCCTTCATTTCCGTCTTTGCAGGATACAGCACAACAAAGAGTGGCATGCCTCCGCCTGCACAAACCTTATCAGTCGTTCGAAAGGCCAAAGGCAGCAGAGTGCGTGAAATGCATCAACGCATCAAATCGCGAGCTCCTCTTCTCGCCGCAAAGCAAACAAAGCTTGCGTAAAGAAATCAGCTACGTAAATCAAGCAATGCAAGTTCCCGAATTGAGATCAATCATCATTAGACATTATCTATCTCACTGGCTACCTCCTGCATACATCCGTGAGCAAACATCGGCCAAAGCTCCACCTGTTCAACACACTGCACTCTCACGCACCAGTATCTCACCGATACATCAACGCCTCCATCTCAGCAAACGTCTCTGGGATTTTCCTCCCATCCTCCAATCTCGCCTTCTGTCCCCTATTCGCCCCACTCATACTCCTCCCCCCAGCGCAACGCCCATGCTAGTCCCCGGCCTCGACGCACAACCTTCACTCACGGCCCCAGCTCTCCCCCTCCGAAAATTCTCACCAAAGCCGCTTGCACTCGCTGAGGACGCAGCACGGCCGCGACAAGGCATACGATCCAGCCCGCTATCTTTACGCACTTTTGCTGCGTCTCCACCGCGTCCGGCGACCTGCATTTCGATTAGCAGGTCCGGGCGGAGGACCCAGCCTTCTGCTTCCTCTGGCTCTTTAGGCGCTCTGAGGATCTTGTTTTTGATGGCTTGTTTGAGGGTGGAGGTTCGTGAGTGATGCCCGTTGGTTGAGAATTTTGATTTGCCGGAGAGTGTTGAGAAGATTGAACGGGCGGATTTTGTGGAAAAGCGAGAGGCGCTCGTTCCTGGTCTGGAGTCTGTTGTAGGGGGAGCTTGAAGGGTTCCTGACCGACCGCGGAGGGCTTGAGGAGAGATTTGCTCCTGAAAGCGCGGCTGTGATGTCGAAGTCTTTGGGAGTGCAGACATCTTTACAGATAAATCCCTGGGACTTGATGGTGATAGGTGATGGTAAGTTGACGATAGAGATATGGGTAGATGAGTGACGAAAAGGTAGAGAAGAACCAAAAGACTACGAAAGCGATTTTAAAGTCGAGCATGTCTTACTATCATTGTTATGTTCTCTCCGTCTAGCCCGATACAGAACAATTGTGAACAATGGGTATTGTTGCATTCGTTGAACAAAAGGAAGACTCCGCCACATTTACCAGTCCGAGATACTGGCCGTGTTGCTGGCTGTGGTGATGCTAATCTCACTGTCAAGAATCAAAGAGGGGATGGGGGGAGTCTCTTGAGATACTTACTTGCCTCTGAAAACATGAGCTAGACCCACTGCGTGACAAAGCCAACCACCTTGTTCAATCCTAGAGACATAAAGACCACATACTTATAGTAGATAGGATGTATAAAATGAAGAGAAATTGGCTTGAGATGTGAGAGACGCAAGCTTTCAAATACCAGAAGCAAAGGGGCGGTGTGTCGCGCGGCCTCTGGCATGGTGAGACGTCGTAAAGCAAACTTTGCTGATCTGGCAAGATATATTCCTAACTCTTCAGTAAGATGATCATGTATCTCTCTACAGTACCTAACGGCCAGGCAAAGCTCGATCTTCATAAATTGCAACACTGTCAAAATTCACAACATTAAGGCTGATTAAGCAAGAAGCAATCATCAAAAGCAGGAAGATAACGAGCACCCAAATGCCGTATCTTCGCACGACTATTCAACGGGCAGTGGCATCAACGTCGGCAGCCCTGACACAACCTTCCTACTCAAAGAAAGGCCAGAAGATGTATCCAACCCAAGAAGCTTCCCTACCCATCACCATAATTTCTTGCTCCCCCCCCCCCCTCCACCTCTCCTCGCCACCACCGCACCAATTTTTCCCCGGCACCGCTATGTCCAATATCAACCCCTTAATTCCGGCGTCCCAAACAGGAAATTCCGCCTCCATCAACACTTCATGATGGCGACACTTCTCCGAGCTTGACCTCTTTGGTAATTTATTCAGGTCCAGCGTCGGAATTTGGGGATATGTAGTCGGGTTTGAGTTCTTGCTTCCCGCTGCCGTTCCGGACATTGGTAGGGGAGAGGGGGGGGGTTGAGGGGGGGGGGTGACGTATGGTGGTGTTTGCCACTGGGGATGTTTTAGGTGGTGAAAGAATGTGGGTGGGGTGGATTTTGTGGTCTCGTCATCGTGCTTTGCTGAATTCGAAGCGTGTGTTCGATGCGTATGGGGCCTGCATATGCGTCAGCGATGGGAGTTATGATGTGGTGCTGGTGGTGTGGGAACATGGCTTCTGGAAGGCCATTACAGGCTCGATAGCCTGTTGTTACAACGTCATGAAGGACGGACGTATCTCGAAGACCAATCACTTGGGTCGGTTGCGGGTTCAGTGAAGCTGACCGAGCTACTCCATTATCCATCTGCCAACATTGCTAGCTGACCCTCTTGGAAATGACGCTCACGTAGCATCTGTGCCCTGATCTTAGCTAGAAAACCCAGCTTGCTGACTGAGGTCACTTGGTAATGCAGACGTATATGCCAGCAGTTGGCCTTTCAACCTCGTTTTGATGGGATTGCCGAACGTCTCCGCCATGGATTCCGGAACGGTGCCTACAAATACCACCTGAGGCGGGAAGAATGCCTTGTTTTTTACATTAAAAATGCGTCATACATCCTTCCAGAAAAAAGTAGAGGTGGGTAGGAAGCTGTATGAATGACGTTGATAGAAACAAGTGGCGAATGCGCAAGAGGCTTACCACTATAAAGAGCCACGTTCGAAGCCAAGTTCTACCACTCTGGCAATCATCTCATTTCTGACCTGGGCCTCATCCACACATTCCACGAAACATTCAGACACCTTCAGTCACGAACACCGAGTTCAACCCTTTTCAGATCAGACATGAAACCCTCTTCCCTCCTCTATCTCGCCCTCAGTACCACCATCTTAGGATTCCTTCCTTTCACACACGCCATGCCGACTGCTTCGACAATGTTGCTGGAAAGTCGCCAATCTTGCAAAGCGCTCGGAGCAGCGTGCACAGATAATACTGAGTGTTGCGGCGGTACATGTCAGAGGGATGTTTGTGATTGATTACAATCGAGGTGCTTGAGAACTGACGATTTCGGATCCGAGGCGATCATACGAAATTTATGTTGTGGATATATTATTTGTGTAAGACCTATTCAGAGCTAGAGGACGCCATATGCGCAATGTTTTGATTTCCATCATGAACGACCGAGGAAATTGGATTGTATATACAAGAATGTATCATTAAACATTACAGGGATTGTAACACACCTCAAGAAGTAGACCACCCTAATACCCTTAAGCCAGCTGAACATACTGCTCTGCCTCCCTGAACGACTTCGAGCAATCCACCACTGAACTCAGGAAGCGCGGACCGGAGCCACGGTCCCACAGGCCTCCGGATTCGGCGGCTTCCCATGCTTCGCGCTCCCACCAGCAACAGGACACCACTGCACCTCATTCCCCTTCGCAAGATCCTTCTTCCAATCCTCCTTAGCCACCTCATCAAACCTCGCAGCCTCTCTCAGCGGATCCGTAGTCAACAGATTCCCGCGCACATAATTGGGCAGCCCAACCCGATCATACGCCGTCTGGCCCTGCGCATCTTTCTTCCCACAATTATTCTGCCACTGCTGACTCGTAGCCGGAATGCCCCAGTCGACCCAATTGTTCGGATAAGGGGGTTCGCCCACCAATTATCCGTATGATTGTACGCTTTATTGACGATACCGTCTTGGTAGCATTTAGTGAAGAACCACCACACCGGTCTCGGGTACTGCTTCCCACTATCAATAGCGTTCTGATCTCGAGAGGGCGTGCCGGCGTAGAGGATGCGCGCGCCGTCGCGGTCGATCATGATGTCGGCGGGCGAGGCACAGTAGTTGGAGTCGTTGGGGTCGGTGGAGCATACGTCCATTACTTTCACCATGATGTCCGTCGTGCCGTCCTTGAAGCCTGTCTCGTTCCAGATGTTTATGCAGATGTCGGACATGCAGAAGCGGTCGAGACCGAGCTGCTCGGGGGCGTATTTCAGCCAGTATGGGTGGATGGCTGCGCGGCGGTGGTAGTGTGCGGAGTCCGGGATGCCGCAGGCGGTGTTGTTGGCAAAATCGTTGGTGTGCCAGGCGGGGGAAACGCCGGGGCTGTCGGGGACGTTGAAGCCGGTGGTGAAGAAGTTGAGGGCGCCTTTGTTTAGCAGGCCGAGAGGGACGTCGATGGGCCGGGTTTGGTATTCGGCGGGGATGGGGTCGTGGGTTTGTTCGTGGATGAAGTAGGCGCTGTTTTCGGGGATTTCGGGGCGGATGTAGTAGTTACCGTCATGGTCGCCGGCGTCAGAAGGGACGTGTTGGAAGGGTTGCGTGGTATTTCGAGGTAGAACAGAAGCTGATGAGACAGCTATGCAGGTAGTGAATGCTAGGACTGCGGACCTCATAATTGTCTTGTCTGGGCTATAAGCATAGATAAGAGATGAACCTGAGCTGAGCATCTTGGAAGTCTTATAGCATTTAAGAGGTCTAAACGAATCAGGGGCTCTATTGCTCAAAGGAACGCATGATTCGTGAAAGGTGCAAGGGTAAGGTCAAATTGCTCTAGATTTTTTTGACATGATAGTACGTTCAAGCTTGGAATAGCGCTGAAGATCCTGCAACGTTTGACAGAATTCTTCGAACAACCTTGCACGGAACGTTGAGGCGCCTTCTAGACTAACAGCTCTAGCCTACCTTGAAGAGCTCGGAAGATTGACATAGCTGGTATTCTACGACTGTCAGCTAAGAGACCTGGACTTCGACTGTCAGTGTTACTAGAATGAAAGACTGGGATAAGTTTCGTTCCAATTGCTTATCCAATGAAAGATGTTCTGTAGTGTTGCATCCTAGACATCCTGTGCATATATCCCGCAGAGGGCGGCTCGCGTATGAAGAGATGTCGGAAACTAATTATTGTCAAATCGACCTGATCAAGGCTCACTTGGGCCCAGTGGTAGACACAGTTCATATTCGGACCCAATTCATTGTTGCACTTACGCCGTGTTTGAAATCGCTGGTCAGTGGAAAGACGTTCATCTGAACGGCAAGCACTTAACACGAAATGATAGCCGGAGACTTTGCCCACCTCGAGAGTCTGGACTCCGTACTGGGGTTTCCCTGTGTCTGAACTTATGATCATTCGATGTGAAGCAATGCTCTGACCAGGTTCAATATGGTTCAATGCCAATACTCTACTGCCGAACCGTCATCTAGAATTCTGCAGATACGAGCAATCACGAGAAATCTTCTGACTCGTGAAAGGTAGCGTCTCTTGATTGAGCATGGTCGAGAGATTGAAATTGGATCAAGGTTCGTAGAGAAATTGACGCGTCAAATCGGTGAGCGCTTATCTAGCAGGAGCTGATGCAGACTAGAACTGCAACGCGCAAAAGTCCTCTAGTATTGCTGCTTGCGCGCATCCCGTGGATCTGTAGGCAAGCGTTCTAAAGTCTGTGGTCAAATGAGCTTCGAAAGGGGAGGCAGAGATTGCAAGGTTGCTCAAATCGATTGGCGCATCAATATTCAATGGTTACAGCGCAGCGTTGCTCTGCAGCCGACAGATCGTTCAAAGCCGGGCGATAACGATCAGCAGGAAACATGATGCATGCATAGTCTATAACTTGAATTTAGGGGGCGTTGCAGTGATCTAGAGAGCCTTGTTCAAAACAAACAAAATGACAAATGTGAAGATTCATTTGAATTATGAATTATGCAGTGAATAGATTTGATCAAATACGGTGGGCGAAGAATCTTTTTGTGCCATAATTGTGACCCTGGGCTAGGAGATAAGCCGCTCATAAGAGCGATCAAGGGGAATGAATTCGTGATTTCGTCATTTTACTCACTGCAGGGCAAGCTGGCCTACCATGTTGAGTCCCTGTATGCCACTTATCGTAAGGCGATACCGCGATCACATTACCAAGGAGTGACCCAATCGTTGTCGCTTATACTGCCGTCATGCTGTTCCAAGCATTCATGCCATTTGAGCTTGATGTAGATGGTGATATCACAATTTTTGGCGTGAGAAAAGGGGCTGGTCCACCGCTTCTCCTTCTGCATGGGTATGATCAATGAAAGATCCCGAGATCACGATCCATACCTGATGAATTGGTAGATTTCCAGAGAATCATCTCATGTGGCATCGCATAGCCCGTCGATTGGCACAGAAATACTCAGTAGTGGCAATTGACCTCAGGGGCTATGGCAAATCTTCAAAGCCCGCAGGGGATGACTCACACGCTATCTACAGCAAAAGGACAATGGCGAAAGATTGCATCGCCGTGATGACCAAGCTTGGGCACGCAAAGTTCTATATCTGTGCGCACGATCGAGGAGCCCGCGTGGCTCACCAGCTCTGTATTGATCATCCGTCTCACGTTGAGAAAGCCATATTGCTCGACATTGCTCCCACCCTGGCGATGTACGAGCAGGCTGACATGTTATTCGCAACGGCCTACTATCACTGGTTTCTGCTAATCCAGAAAAGCCCCTTCCCGGAAACCCTGATCTCTGCTAATCCTGAAGCATTCATGGATTATCAAATGGGCGGACGACATAGTCCAACCATTCAGATCTTCGATTCAGAGGCCTATGACTCATATTTGGAAGCGATGAGAGATCCCGCAGCAGTGCACGCCATGTGCGAAGACTACAGAGCTGCAGCGACTATCGACCTGGAGCACCAAAGAGAAGACATCAAAGAGGGGAGAAAGATACAATGTCCCCTAATGATTCTCTGGGGCAAGAACGGGCTAATTGAGAAGAAATATGATGCTATTGCAGAATGGAAGAAAGTCTCTGCCTCCACGGTCGAAGGTGAGGCACTGGATTGCGGCCACTACATCCCCGAAGAACTGCCCGAAACTCTCCTTGAAAAGATAGAGACTTTCTTAACCGACTAACGAAAATAAATGAATCTCTTACAGCACCTAATTTGACAAGAAAATACTTCATTAACTCAAACTACTACCGTTAATCTAAACCCTCGAATGCCTCCTCGGGCTCACCGGTCTCCCCCTACTCTTCTTCTCCTCCTCACCCCTTGCATGCCTACCCTGCGCATCCGTACTAAGTGCCTGCAACTCCAACTCCCTAGCATTAGCCCTACATACGCTCTTCAGACTCTGCACCCTCCTGATCGTGTTTCGTCTCTCCCCTTTCCCCTCTCTGTCCCCTTCAATGACGTTTCGCATATCGATCATCAGCGGCGACGAAGGCGGCGACATCCCGATGTCCTGGAAACTTAAGAAGTCAGTGGGCTGTTTTGGACGGTTGGGGGTTGCAGGGGGGTGCGCGTGTAGGGGGAGGAGAGACTCGAGAGGGCTGTGGCGTGGGGAGAGGCGCAGAGGACCGTTGTGTGGGAGAGGTTGATTGTGGGGAGGGTTTTGGCTGTGGTGGAGGCGGAGGTGGGGCTGCGGTTCTTTCTTTGGAAGAGGGTGGGGATGGTGAATGTATGCATTGCTTTGTGTTTGTGTGTGGGTGTGGAGATTGGTAAGTGAAATGCTTGTTGCTTATGAAGTTGGATTGTTTGCTCTTTTGGATAGCTTTGTAAGTGGGTTTCTTGTTATGCGAAATGTTTCTCTGTGTGGTATGACATTTTCTTGGTGGAAGATGGGATATTATATCATAATGCTATTGTTTGCTATTGATTGTTTTGCTCTTAGTTGCAAAACAAGTCTATTGTCTTTTTCCGTTGCAATTGTTTTCATCAAAAGAGTAGCCTTCCAAAACCATTGTTCCAGCTCCACCAACGTAGACTGAGCTAATAGCTTCGGGTACCCAGCCTCTTCGAAAGTCGTTCAAGAGGCTTTGAACCTTGCTAAACACTTGATCAAGATCCGTTCTTGCTCTTTTGTTATCACGAATTTGCTCGCTTTATGGCTGGGTGCTTGATCAGGAGCCGGATTATGTCTTGCCTTTCGCGTATGAGTCACTGGCGGTGGACACAGCAAGCTTCGATCCTGGAAAGATGGAGGAACATTATGGGTGTACCTTTGCGTTGGGACTTCATGGACGACGATCTTCGGTTGCGTACATTTCTTTTCCTGCATCTCGTTGTGGGACTGTCGAGGGCCTGACCGTCGAGGACATAGTGATGGGCAAAGCTGTTCGAGTCTGCACTGAACGAGCGCAAGATCCGGGTCGAGCTGGCTAGAGGCTATCTCTTGAGCTGGTAGATTGAAGTGTTGGACCATTTCGCGATGTGGCAAGGAGTGCGTAGTACAGTCCAAAGCTGCAGCTACATCTAACCAAAGTTCTCTGTCCATCGTTGCGTCTCTGAGATGGGGTGATGAATGAGTACGATGAGCAGTGTCGGTCGATGGGTAGTTCGGACTTGTGTCCAAAGCTTTAGGCGTAATTATAAGTGGCTCATTGTTGGGGATCGTTATCATTGTTCCTGGGAGAAGCAACACGCCCGAAGACCAATCACAATCATCAACACGTGATTCACTTCATATCCCCGCACGTCGTCATTCGCTGTGAGTCCACAGGCAAATTATTCCATGTCACCGGTTCTCCCGCGTCGTACATCTGTCATGTCGAGGCTTCGTCCCTACCATCGAGATTGTTCGCTGCACCTAGTTGAGTTCAATACAGTCTGATAATTCTGAGGAACCATTGGCACAGGCCTTCAATACACACGTCATATAATGTCTTCTCCTCTAGGCTCGTCGCAGACTTCATCGGAGTCGCCCATTGACTTCCGCATTGCAATCATTGGTGGTGGCATATGTGGCCTAGTACTCGCTCACGGATTGAACAAATATGCTCATATCGACTACAATATATATGAAGCTGCTGAAAGCACTAGCGACATCGGAGCAGGTATCAGCTTTGGGGCCAATGGTCAGAATGCACTCAAAATCATCAATTCCTCAGCTTTTGCAGCATTTGAGAAGCACGCTACAAGGAACAAAACATCTTCATCGCCAGACGTCTGGTGTAAATATGTCATTGTGAGTCTAGACATTGAGACAGCAGAACAGAAGCTAAGAACGCTTTAGGGCAAAGGAGATGGCGCGGGAAATGAGATTTTCACCTTGACGGCTGACGGAGGCTTCCGATCATTCCATCGCTCCAACTTCCTTGGAGAGTTGTTTGAAGCCGTGCCTTCTGAGCGTGTGCATTTTGGTAAGCAGTGCGTACGTATTGAGGACAATGAGGGAAGTCCCGTCATCATTCATTTCAGCGATGGTACTACTGCCACGGCCGATGCGATAATTGGCGCCGATGGAATTCACTCCACCATCCGGTCTCAGGTAGTTGGAGAGAACACTGGGAAGCCAGAGTATACCGGATGTGCAGCCTACCGGGGTCTCATTGATATGGATCTTGCAATCAAGACTATGGGCCCAAACGTGCAGAATAGCAGGATTGCTTGCGGCCCAGGTATGTGGCGATGCTCTTGTTCGGAACATTTCCTAACAGAATTGCAGGTTCTGCAATAGTCAGCTATCCCATTGAAGATGGGAAAACGCTTAACATTGTACTCTGTGATTTTGAATATGGAGAATGGAATCATGAAGATTGGATTGCACCAGTCGTTTGGGACGAAATAGAGAAGCGCTTCAGTGGATGGGAGGACAATTGCCAGGGTCTCATTAAGGTAAGACGACGTGAATCATACAAGATGAAGATGACCATTACTAATTTCAAGTAAAGCTTATGAAGGCGGACAATCACCAAGCGTGGAGTCTCTGGCAGGTCCCAAGCCTTCCCACCTTTTACAAGGGCCGCGTCGCATTGATAGGTGATTCCGCACACGCTATGACGCCTTTTGCAGGTCAGGGCGTTGCCCAGGGGCTGGAAGACGTCTTGGTTCTGGAGAAGCTGCTTGGAACACTGACAGACAACGACAAAGCACTGGACATTGAACGTGTCTTGTCTGCGTATGATAAGGTGAGGAGGCCGAGGAGCCAGGATATCGTAAAGCTTTCTAGGGAGACTGGACAGCTATTTGCGTTACAACTGGCCGGTATCGGAGACGATAGGGAAGCGATTGCAAGCCACCATCTCGGTAATACGCAGAAGCTGGGGCACCCCAATCTGCAGAAGCAGATCCACGAAGCAATTGGTTGGTCTTCAGCGTCAGAGGCAGACCCCGCGCGTCTTTGCCACCTTGATCTTGCAACCGGCAATGTTCCAAAGGAAGACTCAGATTCTGAGTAAGGGCATGTGATTCCATCATAGATAGTAGATAGTACGCAAGCCTTGTGGGTAGTACTGTAGAAGGAACCTTTGCGCCAACCGCTGTTATCACACTTAATCCTTTGTTTCGGCCCACCACAAAGGCGTACGTGTAATTCACTCTACCCCTCCTCTATCGTCATTGTCCATCAAACAAAGCTAGGCTGGTGTCACGCTGACCTTAAACGAAGCTATCTTACGCGCATACTTCTCTTCACCTCTCATTCTTTACATCTAAAATCCCTTCTCATAGCTGATTCGTCCCTTTTTGATTCGTCATACAAGTCCCGGAATCATGGCGACAGCCAAAGCAGGCCCAAGGTCAAGCAATCCAGTCCTTCTCTGGCTCAAGTCAGTCGACAACGAAGCCGATACCGAAAAAGACACCGAAGAAGACGTAGTGGAAGGCGGCGTCAACCTCCCAGAACTGATGCCAGAGACATACAACACAGAAAACCGCTCGAAATGGACTGGTGAGCCAATGAAGCTCATGCTCCGCGATGGTAGCTTGAGGGTCCTGCATCTTCCAGAAGAACAACCAACAGGCAGCACTCAGCGCGAAGGAAGTCCAAAAGCCACACCCGAGAAAGAGGAAGTCTATCTTACGCCACAGAAACGAAATGACTCTATTCATCCGACTGAGCCAGTGAATAAGGAGAAGAGTATTTCGGAAGAACCTCCCGTCCGCCGCTCAACCGACTGTGATGTTAAAACAGGAGCGAAGACGGAGCCAGGTACGGAGAAGAAGAAGAGACGTCGCCGCCGTAGGAGGCATGGGAAGGGTAGCATTGGAGATTTAGAGAAGCAAGATGAGAGTGGATTGGAGAAAAAGGAAAGACCACTTGGTGAGATGTGGCGCTGACTGAAGTCAGAGAGAACAATGGCGCGAGTGGGAAATATCAACAAGAAATCCAGAGAAGACACTCGATCCCTTACTGTGAATACTTTGGGAACAACGTTCTCCATGGACACACTACCCTGCAAACCCTCAACGTTGAGAACCAGCTGATCGCCTTCGAACGCAAGATACATCACGGAAGGCTGATAAAAGTTCAAGGAAGTAATTACTTCTGAGTCTCTCGGGAGATAATGGCTATATGCTCGTCTTTCTGATACTTCATAATTCTCCGCATGGAGACAAAGGACAAGATAGTCCAACGACGATCTCTCGAAGAATTGATGGTCTTGTTGACCAGGTAAAAGCTTCAACTGGAGGAGCAGCCAACTCGCTGGTCGGATATTTTCGGGCGCTTGTGGAAAAAGGCGAGATCAGGAGATCGATTTTACGGTGACATGAAAATGTAAGATGTGGTTGGAATGGATAGGGTGCTGTTGGTGAAGTGTGGCATCCCTGGACAGTCTTTGGTCAACTGGACATGGCCCTGCAGAGGGTCTGGATAGACATAGTTTCTATCTTGGTCTATTGGTTGTTTTGGACATTTGATTGGAAGTGATAGGATGCTTTTGACTTTCATCATGTAATTGATATTATAGCCTACGAAGTACATTGCATTGTCATACAAGCTGTTCGAGTCTACAATTCTCTTGGGCAACACATTCCCCCTGTTAGCCCCTGGAATTTAGGCGTCATTAGCGCCCGAACAGGGTCTTATAGGCGTCTAGCTCTAGGGCATCTTTGCGAGTACTAGACTTGGCATGATCGCAATTTCCCGGTGTCGATTTTTTACAGTCTGTCATCATTCACAGGTCATTTCAAACCCACAGCTCCCGTCGTTTATTGTATCGTGTCTTCGTCTTAGCCTCTTCTAGTGTTCATAGAGAGCCCCGAAAGCCATGTAGTCGCGACTGTTGGAGAGATGCTTTAGCTTCTTCAGCAAAGGTCTGATTATGGGAGGTTGAGGTATGTGAGCGTCAGCTATTGTGTAGCATCAAAGTTGCATGTGCGTACGCTACTTCTATTCATCGAATCAACGTCTATTCTTTCTCTTCTACCTTGCAGCATATACATGGCCAGTTTGCCCTTTCTCTCAATCCATTGAAAAAGATATGATCGCGCTATGAACGGGTCAGCCGACTGAACGTTGCACCGGTTGTCTTGGGACTTCATGTGGCTTGCTACGGCAGCATGTCAAGGCATGCTCATTGGTAGAAGCCGTTCGGCCTTCGCTAATTAGACTTGGCACGCATGAGGCCACTCGTATTTTAATATCAGCCATTTCAGCCTCGGGCACTATGTGTCACGGCTGCATGAAGGCATACAAGATACCTCAAAGCCCGCTCAGAGATGCTTTTCAAAAAAATTCAAGAGCAAACCTCAGTGTCCCACCCAAAAGCTCAACCCAAGACAAATTGCCTATTCCCAAATTTATCTGCTCCAATCTCCCCAAGATGTATCCCACGCTCATCGCAGTCGCCCTTGCTATGACCAGCAAAACTCTCGTAACAGCGTCTCCCCAATCCAAGCCTCCCTGCACCAAACTCGTCCTCCCCACAAATTTCTACGGCATCACCAACACTTCCCCAGCCGGCACACTCGACTACGGCCCCCACAAACCCGACCCCTACTTCGACTTCCAAGTCTCGCAAACCAGCGACGGCGGACAAGGTCTCCCTCAAGAATCCGACCTAATAGCGACCTACACGACCCTCCCCTGCAAATCCACCGAGCAATACCAACTCGAATTTTACTTCGACCCGATCTCCGACTACAGCTACAGCGGGCCCAACACACGCATCGACATCTGGCGCGTCGACGGCAACATCCCCCGCGACAAGAACGGCAAGGGCAAGCCGACCTGGAACAATATTGGGCAGTTTGCGGAGATTTATGTGGGGGGGTTCAAGATGCCGAGTAGTGAGGCGGAGCAGAAACCGACGAGTTTCTTGGTGGGGAATTTTCTGTGTAAGAGGGAGACGAGCTTTAGGGTCAGTATTGCGAATAGTAAGGATGGGAATCCGGAGTTGAGTGGGAGTGTGAGGTATCCGCAGGAGTATGCGGGGGCGAAGGAGACGGGGCTGAGGGTTAGGTATAATTGGAAGTGCTAGGGGATGCGCTCTTGACTTGGGGAACACTGAAATAAGCGAGGCTTTCTTTGGCATTGCTTTGATTTTCATTGAGAGTGACCAAATTCGTTCAAATTCGTTTTTCCATTAATCTGTATTGTACAGGTAAATTTTTGGGTAGCTCTTTTTTTCGCCACTGCGGCAAAAAATATATATTGTTGTCTACGAGCACTTTGAATACATACGACCACAGGACACGGACAATACGGGTTCCCGTCAGCTCACCCAAAGTCAAACCGTGTACCGATCGAGTAGTAGTTGGGTCGGTGACGACCAGCGAATGTCGATTGTTGTATGTTTTTGATTTTTCGCACCTCTCAATTATGAACACATGTCTCTGTCATTTTTTTGGATTTTTTGGCAAGGGATTCTAAGGAGAAGGAATTTCACGATGATAAGATTTCAGTCGCAGACGAAGAAGACCACCACCCTCACTTGAGGAACATACTTAGTCTGTTGCAGCTCTCTACAATGTATCTCACTTGGCATCCACAACCAAGCCCGAGAATTGCGTGAGATTTACATTCGAGGCATTAAGTAAGGTCTTCAGCCCAGCCGTGATGAGCTACGTCGAGACGCAATCGTGCCATGGTACGCTGGGATAAGGAAGCAACATCCATCTCAACTCAACGGCAGCCATCAGGCTCGTTTGCAAGAAGTTAAGTAGGCCTGATTGCCGGTGCCGATGCTTCACAATCAACACGAGATGATTACATCTGGAAAAAGCAAAGGTCAGTTTTTAGACCGTCAGATTAGATCAAGCCTGCTGCAATAACACCTGCAGATATCACGGGCCTAATGCGAGACTTTTATCTAAAGTCACACGATAGCCGACGTGGTGCCGGTAGTCCAAGTACCTCTCGCAAAGCACTACAGGCAATTAAAAGACAGCACTCAGTCAAGAAGCGCAAGCGAAACAGGTTGGTTTAATACCTTGATACTATATCCTTGTCTACAGTTTGTCTCTCAATCATGGTATTTGACCATTGTTCCAGAAAACCGTGCAGATCTATATGAAAAGAATGTGAAAGTTGCTATGGGCAACTAGTAAAACATGTCCTTGGTCCCCTCGCTGCTGCCCCTACATCGATCGAGACCTGAATATCTCGCATTGCAAGATAACCGCCGTTGCATACATTGCACAGTCTGTAGCTTGTTCATTATATCTGTCGAGATCTTCAAATTTCACGCTTTCAGAAGGCCGCCTTTGCATATTTTGCACGTTGTCTTGAATATTCAAAATTCAAAATGAAATGTTGTCGCTTGAGATAGAATCATGGCCTATCTTCTACGGTTGCCGCCTTTACTGTTGCCATGACTGTTGCCATTACCGCTACCATTACCGTTGCCATGGTTGTTGGACTGTGTTCCTTGGTTGGCATTGTTGGTTTGATTCCTCTGCTTGGTCTTATTGCTTCCCCTCTTTTCATAAGGATCTGCAGGCTTGGGAGGCTTGTTGGAGAGCTCGTCCCTCCGATCTCCGCATTTTATGCAACCTTGCTTGTAATCGACAATCTTAGGGCATGAGCATGTACCGATGTGCTCTTTTTTGAAGCATGAAAGAGTAGCGGTCTGTTTGCATGTCATACTATCAAAAATCGAGTTAGCAGGGCAGTAAATCATGACACAAGCCTGGGGAATAGGTCATGAAACTTACCAGTGATGACTTCCATCAGCGTAACCCTTTGTCATTTGATCTTCTAGGCGATGTCAAAGACTGAATAGAATTACAAGAACAGTCGGGGAGTGCTAGTGAGTAGCTTGAGTACTCTGAGAGATTTAGCGGTGATTGAAAATCGTTGAGAAACTTAGGTTGCAAGATTGTCTGAAGAAACAGCAAGCAGACATGGGAGATGATATACCCACCCTAGCTGAAGATCTGTACGACACTGTCAGACTGCAAGTATGGCTGTGATACGTGAGTCTCTTTGGCATCGTGACCATGATCACATTGCATAGACAAATACTTGGACACAAAGCCTTTGTGCGACGACCATTGCGGTCGTTAGACCCAGTCACTCTCATCAGCGCCGTCATTGATTGTGTCGCCTGGGCCCTTGATTTGGTGACAAGTATCGGCGGGTTTCAAACAATGAGCAGATGTTGATAGGCTCTTGTGACACATTGCCGAATGCGGTTAGCCGGTTGCCACTTGTCTGCCTATTTCACGCCTTCAAAGTCTCTGTACTCCCACGCTTTTCCCTTCAAGCCTCAATGCTTGAGTCTGTTATGGTAATCTCAACGACTCGCAAGTCAACAATCTAAGCAGTCGACGCTTCATCGAATGGCGCTACGTGTTGAATGTTCAAATGCCGAGACCACTGCTCCGCACAACGTTGCATCAATTGAGGACAAATCCAAGATCACAAAAGAGTCAGTGAGGCACATGGAAACATCAGAAGAGATTCATGAGCCAGAAGCAGCGCAACATGGCTCGTCGAGCATCCGGGAATCGCACAGCCGCTCTACTATAGAGCCAGAAGCAGCACAAGATGGCTCGTCGAGCAGCCGAGAATCGCACAGCCCCTCTACTACAGAGCCAGAATATACGACGAGTGATTGCGGCGACGTTGGAGACTTCTATAAGCCTCTTCTTGATGTCATAAACCTAGAAGCGCTATGCCTTGCGAGTATTCGTGCTCGTTTCCGCCTTGATACTGTATCGCTGGCTGGCTCAGCCATGTTGACATGCCAGATCGCGGATATTCCGATGATGGGGGCCAGTCATGCCGTTTGGATGATCGAGTTTTCGGATGGTGTCAAGTGGATCGCCCGCGTTCCAGGTCATTCATACCGCTCATTTGGCGACGATGAGAAGCAAGACATGATGGGAAGGATCAAAGTAACCAAATTCATCCGCAAGAACACTAGCATCCCGATGCCCGATATTTTCGCATGGCAGCTAGACAAGGGGAACCCTGTGCGAGTACCGTACACTCTGGAAGAGTTCATCGAAGGTCGCCTGCTGTCAGAGCTTTGGACAGATGAGTCTTGGACGACAGAAGAAAAGCGACTGAGAGTTCTGACACAGCTGGCGCGCGCGATGTCTGGTCTGACCGCATTCACGTTTGATCAAATTGGCACATTGACTATGCAAGATAACGGCCGCCCTGGCGAAATCAAAAAAATGCTCTGCCGAGATAACGATAATCTGGACGACAATGAGATTTGGGGCGAAGAGTTGTACACTATGGGGCCGTATTCAGCGATGAGTGATTATTTGCGTGAATGCCACGAAGATCCCAAGCCAGTCGAGACCGAAGAAGCGAAGTGGACATGGGCACTTCACCAATTGGAACGTTTGGCGATCGATTCAATCCCTGACTCGATCGATAAAGCTGGCTTCGCTCTGGGGCACGGGGACTACAACTCGCATAACATACTTGTCAACGATGACGGTGATGTGACAGGTATCATTGACTGGAACGCTTCTGTAATGCCCCGTGCTTTTGGATGCGCTAGATACCCAATTTGGCTTACGCCTGATTGGGATCCAGTCAAGTATGGCTGGGAATTGGAGGACGTCCGGGAATTCGACTCGCCATCCCAATTACTCAAATACCGGCAAATTTATGCGAAAGCTTTTGCAGAAGCCGTCACTGAACTCAATCTACCGGGAGACAGTCATTATGCAACTGATGATACGAAATTATCACCATTGATTGAAGCAATTTGGTATGCGCGAGATCAGGACGGTGTCGAAGGCCCATGGATCATCTTACGGCTCTTACATTGGGCATTTGATGGCAAACCTCCTTGCACGATGAAAGAGTATTTTGATGCCTGGCAAGTTGGTCAAGCAGGGGAATTGACGGCGCTGATTCGGGATGCTTTCAATAAGATGTGGCACGCTGAGCCGGAAGATCCTGCTGAGTATCAAGTGACATACAAGCAATTTCTTGATGCTATGCGACCTCAGGACTGATGACACCGATGCTTTTTAGATTACAATACTCACAGTACTAGTGAAGTCAACGATGCTCATATTGAACGCTCTCTTCATGTCATATTGATTACTGCTAATCTGCGTCGTTCTATTCTAATTGCCGTACACAGTCATTGTTCTCTTGATTGCGCAGCAAAGTATTAGCAATATGCTACAATCGCATTGTTCACATTCCCTGTTCTACAGCATCTCCATCGCACAAAAAGACAACATTAAAACAAAGCGATTATATACTGACCTTCTTACACCAAGCTGAGCGCCGCGTATCCTCCTCCCGCATCCTAACTCCACAGGAAAACACCTCTTACGCCATCATAAAACTCGGGACTACAGAATTCAATCATACTGCAACAGGCGTCATGGCTACAATCCACCTTCAACAGGCATCATATCACCGAAATGCACCACCTACAGTTCTCAGACCAGGCAAGGGCAAACCATCTAACTTGCATCGTCGCCGGCAGATGTCTAGACAAAACCAGCCACTGCCTTCAATTCATGAGATACCTCATAACTTGCGGGCAGGGGAAGCCAGCAGTGCAGAGAACAGATCAGATCAAGCCCAAAGCCAGCCTCGAGCAGCATATGATGTCTTCCCGTATCAAGACATTAAAGGGGGCCACGAAGCCTGGTCCTCCTACGTCGAAGACACATTAAGAACCTACATGCCATCTACGCGCAACAACAATCTCCGTTCAAGTCTGCAAGCTCGTCTAGCTCAACGCCAACCATCTACGCCCTCTTTCCAATCCCTCCACTCCAGCCCCATCTTCAACAGTCAATTCACTAGTTCAAAAGCACAAGTACACCCTCCATATCCCTGTACTCCCCCATCCAGATCCCCAGCACACAGCATTTCCAACTCCCTCAAAAGCTGGCCCACTTTCCTCGAAAACACACTCAAGGCCTACATCCCCTCCTCTATTAAGCACAAAGCGCTTCCCTCCAGCCTACAGACTGGCTTCCTGCATCCAGAGACAGGAAAGTCATGGTGGCGACCCCAGTACAGTGACATCGACACCAATGATGTAGGCAGTGAGATGAGTACGGCGTATGTACCTGGTGTTGACCGTGAGAAACAGGGTGTACCACAAGTCGCCGAAGCACCACCATTCTCTGACTACTTCACCACAGCCAATGATCCCCCATCGACAAAGATTAGAATCGCAGACTTCCAACCCAAACCCCAAATCCAACCCCAACCCCACTCCTCCAAAACCAATACCAAAACGCCAAATCCCTTCACCTCCCCCCAGATCTCTGCCAAGTGATCCGCCAGAACCTGACATGGGGATACAGCCCGACAGCGCGGTACGAGGAGCACGGATGGGTATTGAGTCGTGAACACACTGTTGCTGTTGCTGCTGATGGTAGTAGACACGGGCACAGCGAGGGGAGGAAGAGTTTCTGGGAGATGGATTTTTTGGCATGGCGATGAGAAAGCCGCACTTACCTACAGATATTAGATCGGTAGGAGTGATGGGTAAAGGTCGCAAGAAAACGAACTCAGGGGTGGAGGCTAGTCCGGAAGTCGCAAGTATTTTGACAGCAAAAGCGTGGTATAATTGTAAAAAAGAGTAGATTCCTGTCGGAACTTCAAGAAAAATCTCGTCTTTTCAATTGCATACAAAATGTACAAGCTATGTACACAAGCCACCCTGTCCCTAATCCTTCCCTTCTCTCAATCTCGGCCACAAATCTGCCCCCGTGAGATCTGAACCTGCACGTCCGTCTCCCACTGCAAGGCAAGTGCTCGATCGATGTTTCAGTAGCTCTGTGCAAAACCAATCTCCCCTTCTTTCATCCCATATGATGCTACCTATGTATGCAGCCAAGCCAGGCAAGCAAAGAAAATTCTTCCATCACCAACTCGCTCGCTAGTAAAAGCGCCCTGCAATGCACCCGGATGTAAGTTAGAATATCCGAAAAGTGTATCCATTATAGAATCGAAGGATCTAATAATATTTATGCAAAGCCGAAATATTCGCTACCCGCCGTCATGGCTGTGTATAGTTGTTTGCGTAGGGATTCGTAATCTTCGTACTCGGGCAAATCGAGCTCTGTGGGATTTATTAGTGTTGCACCGTAGAACAAGTGAGATGGGACTTACGATTGAAGCAAGTATGGGAACTGGGCAGACGATCCTTGTTCCCGTAGTCACGATGCACATTGAATCGCGAGAAGCCATTCATACCCTCAAGCTGACCAAAGCCGTTCAATGGTACCTTACTTGTTCCGGTGACGAATTGTAAGAGCTTCGCACGCTCTTCTTTATCGAACGAACGGACGGCACGCCATAGCCATTGGATCTGGGGCGAGGTAGCTTGATAGTTGTGGTATTCTGTATGATTTTTCCAGTCATCAACGTCAATGTCTGGTAAGCCGGAGATGAGAAGCTCAAGCTCTTGTTCGTTGAAGATTGAAATGAGCTCGGGAGGTACGATATCATGGAAGCCTAAGGATCATCAGCCAACTGCATGTTACGATTTTTAGTGTGCTTACCTTCAAGGAACTTCTCGAGCTGCGACTCAACGGAGCCGACAAGACGGTGCTGAACCACAAGCTGTACATACTCTTGCTTATTTTCTTCAGTCACAGGAATATTGCGACCATTAGGCACAAGATCAACGATCTCGGTGACGCCAAAGTCATCGGTTTCAATCGACATGGTCTCGGTGATAATTTCAGTAATGTCATTTTCGAGCATCCAGAGCAAAGACTTATAATAGTCTAGATCGAGGGTTTCCATGTCTTTGATGGAGACTGTCCGGCCGAGAATGCGCTTGTAGACTGCTCTGCTGAAATGACAATCAAGAGCACGACCCTCATATAGAGCCTTTCCAATGATGCGACCAATGAATTTGAAAAACATCAGATGCTCTTCGTTGATTTTGCTGAGCTTATTGGGATGGAAAGTGGTACGATCGGAGGCAACAGGAATGAACAGAGCATAGTCGGGATTGAACATCTGGCGCGAAAGGACTTGGAACCATTCGCGAGTGACTCCCCCGGCATCAACACCTTCTTCGCCATGAAATCGTATGTTGAGCTTGCCATACTTGATTTCGTCACCTGACTTGAAGGACAAGAATTTGAACGAGTCCAGGAAGACTTCATTTCGTCGGACAGAGAGTTGTAATGGTGGTTGAGGATGGCGAGCATCGTTGCTCTTTGTGTGTAGACGGCGAGCGAAGTAGTTGCGCTTGTTGTCGAACTCCAAGACCTTAGGATTCTTGACGAGCAATTGAAATGTTCCGCTCATAAGCTTAGGGTTCTGGCGGACAAGTTCATTTAATATCTTACGATGTTCTTCGGTAAATCTGAAGAACAGCGACTCCAAATGACTCTCAGGCGCGGGGCTGGATACGGCAAACTCTTTCATGATTTTGCTCTGTGCAGCCTCTTTAGCGGCAGTGTTCGTGCAGACGACCATGAGGGCTTCAACTAGGGGCAGTAAGATGGTCGCAACATTCAGCATGTTGGTGCCTTGACGAATGGCTTTCAGACATTCTCCCAGTCTCTCCCAGAGCATCGCGAAAGTAGAATCTTCATAGAGAGTCGTGACGAGGTCTGCTTTCGAAGTCACGGAACCTTCATTATTAGTCTTGTCCTCATCGGTCGATTTTGGTTTATTGTCTTCACGCTTAGGGTCGAACAGGTAATCCAGTGCCTTGAGTACACGGAGGAGCTTTGACTGATCAGACACTTGAGGGGAGAATTTAGCCAGTGCCATTGCGCTTAGGTCATTACCAGATGCGGCAGCCTTGATTTGCGGGATTAGCTCATTCAAGTCATGAAGGACTAGTTGACCAAGTTCCAGAGCGCAACTGACAAGCCGCTTGCCAAATACATCTTTTGCGCCCGGCAGAGCACAAAGGTTGGTCATGGTTGACAACGTGGCCCTGAAGGTACCTGAGGGACATTCGCGAGCAATGATGATGTTAACGACAAGCTGCAGGTTCTCATCAGGTATGCTCGGAGGATTAAGGGCTCGAGGACGCTTTGTAGATTCGCTCGAATCCTTTGTGTTCAAAGTCGTCGATTCCTCTTTAGCATCAGCGTCCGCTGAGGTCCCTGCAGGTTGAGCTTCTGTTGTCGTAGCTTGTACATCTAACATTTGAGACGAGCTATTTGGATCGATCGACTCGGTCGGATTCTCTGGACCATTCGCATCGCCACTGTTGATCTCGCCGGTATCAACAGCGGTCACGTTTTGATCGTCAAGCGTTACTGTATCCTGTATGTTGTCTTTTTGGCTCCTATCCTCTGCCTGGTCCTCTTTGGTTGACTCTTTCTCCTTCCTCAAAAGCATCGTCAGTGGATAGGTTATCCGCTGAAGGAGTTCAGCAAGTTGTTCGACACAGCTCATATTCTCTGTGACCAGAGGACGATCAAGAAGTCGTAGTAGGGCGTTGATTGGGTATTTTGAGGCTTTATTTTCTTTACCCTTGCCCTTCTTACTAACCTTTGTCTTAGGTGCAAAGTATGCATCATTCTCACTCAAGAAGAAAGATGGGACGTGTAGATTGTGTGCTGTTAAGAATGCCAAAGCGCCTAAAGATTGCTGTATAACCATTAGAGGGGTGACTGTCAACTCTGAGATACTAGTATTGTTCGTCAATGAGGAGCCAGTCAGCATTCGCTTGAGGGGAGTCCTGGAGGCGTTCGTTTCTTTAGCACGAACAGACAGTTGGGTATAGCTCCGCTCTACAGCACTAGCATCTATGCTGCCGTCTTGTAGAAGCGTAAGAAGTAGACTAATGACTTCCGCGCGATGCTGACGGTTTTGGACGATGTCATGAAGAATACCAAGCAACACAGTTTTCAAATTTTGTGCTTGTTGGATGAACATTAGTCTTAATAATGTTGCAACTCCTGATTTGTCAAGCATCTGAACTATCTGCCTTCGTGGTGGCTTTTTGGTTGGCTGTGGAGGTCTAAGTTCGCGGCCGATTGCACTCGGTCGAGGGATTCGTGCAGCACCTGCGAAACGGTGCAGTGACCGGTCTCCACCAAGTGCTCGTGCTTCGGCTGCAATGTCAGCTGGCAAGTGAGACAGCATCTCTTCATCTTGCTCCATGAGGACATGCTGTCGTAATGTGGGGTCGAGAGAAGCTAAAAAGCTCGCAGGGTCCATCTCTTCTGGTTGAGCCTGAACTCCAGCGCCTTGCTGCTGTCGACGTGCTTCCTCACGATCTTGCAGACGACGTTCTCGTCTCTCCTGTTGAAGTAATTCTTGTCGAATATCGTCGGGCAAAGCGTTGAGAAATTCGCTATCAATTTCGGTAGGTTGAGGCTCTCCTGTTGCAGCATTCTGCGCGCGGCGCTGAGCTACTTCGCTCATCAAGACTTCGTTACGAATATCCTCAGGGAGAGCATCTAAGTAAGTCATGTCTATACCCATGCCAGTGATATCCAGTGGAGCCCCATTGAAGGTCACAAGTTGTCGCTCTGTAGGTTCTGATGAAGTCGTAGCTTCCTGCGCAGCTTGCTCGACGGCTTCGTTCTCCGCCGCCGGAGCCGCGGAAATCTCCTGTGGTAAGCCTGATTCCACGCCCTCCATTTCCTCCGCCTGTTCGTGGCCAATATCTTCTCCACTTACTTCAGCAATTTGACTCTGTCGATTGGCGGCTTCTTCGGCTTCGGCTTCAGCACGAGCTTGGGCAGCAGCAGCAGCCTCCGCAGCATCTTCCTGCTCTTTCTTTTCTCGCTCTTCTTTTTCCTTTTTCTCTATCTCAGCCTTGAGCTTATTCTCTTCCTCCCTAATCTTCTCCAACTCCTCGCGTCTTCTCTTCTCCAGTTCATCTTGCTTCTTTTTCTTTTCAATGGCTGGAGGGATCATTAAACGCAATAGAGCATTCGTTACTCGTGACGCTTTGTTCTGGACCTCAGTAGTTCCGAAAAGCATCCGGGCCTCATCCGTCCATCGTTGAGAGGTGTTTTGAGGAACGAATGCTGCTGGTGGTCTTACATCTGGTCGCCGAGAGTCCCAAGTGTGTGAAGAATGTCTAGATTCGGTGAGAATTGCTCGAACACCCTGGTTAATACTCGCAGGGGTGAGACCCCCTCCGGGAGCTGCAATCGATATGTGCAAATTGCCTTCCGGTCCAGGTATGGCTGTAACGGCAGGATTGGCTTGCCCAATTGCATTCAAAAGATTGTGAATAAGTGAACCATGTCCGGGCCCCTGAGCACCAGATCCACGCCCGCCAAATATGGCTTCCATCAGACCCATTGGTGGGCCGCCCTCTGAAAACGCAGATCGCCTGGGTGTAGATGGTCCTGAAGCTCGGTCACCACGTTGTAGGAGTGGATTTGTACCGTCGTCGTTTTGCCTAGGTCCAGTGGTCGTTCGATGAGACCGGGACAAAGGGCCACTTCGTGACGAACTACCATGAGGAAAGATCGTCCAGGGATCCGGTAGAGAACGAGGATTTGGGGGGCGATGGTACTGGTGACGATGATGGTGGTGATGATGATGATGATGATGACCTTGATGGAACGGTTCTTCATCTGCTGGATCTCCCCATCCCCAAGCAGGGTCTGGCATATGGTCGGCTGCGTTGCCAAAATCCGGCTCGTATGCCATCTCTTCGTCCTCCATGTCCTCTGCATCTTCATCGTCCTCATCGTCCTCCTCTTCATCCTCCTCATGTCGGACTATGTCATCCATGTATCGGCCTTCCCGCACATCGGTCAAAAAATTATCATCAAGACCCTCTAAACGCTGCAGCGCTGCTGCAGGGCCACCTATTCCGTGGACCACGTCTCTTATTGCATCTTCGGCGTCAGGATCATGGCTATGAGTGTCATCATCTTCATCATCTACTGGATCAATATCTTCGCCATCTTCATCTTGCCATTCCTCCTCATCGCCTTCCATTAAGCTAGCATTTTCATTATCCCCGGTAACTTCAGCCAAACCGTCGAGATCATCTGCATCTTCGGAGTCATCTAGATCGTCTTCATCTTCGTCTTCGGATGCTTCTTCGTCATCGTCATCGACTTCGTCGTCAATAATAACTTCCATCGGATGGTCTCCATCGACTCCTTCAATAGGCCCAACATCGCCAAGCTCTTCTTCCTCATCACTAATCACTTCATCGGGATCAGGCTCACCAAGGCCGTCATCATATTCCATGCCATCATCGTATTCGTCGTCGTACATTTCTTCGTCCTCACTTCTTGAGTCTTCAGAGTCTGATCCGTTATCACGATTTGGTTCAAACATCCCAAGCGTAGAATTGCGGAAGAGGTCGGGAGTCTCTTCCCTGCTATCATCTACCTCTGAGACTGAGCTAGCACTAGAAATCTCGTCTTCGTCCGTTGTACCAGGAGTCGTCGAGATACTTGAAGTCTCGCTCAACTCCACGGCAGTCACCGTCAGCAGTTTCAGTGGACGAAGAATATATTTGATGGCACGATCAGCACCCTTGAAGTTAATGTTGATGTCGGCAATTGAATTTGTGAGTGCTGCAATAAAGTTTTTCTCAAACATAATCTTGGCGATGGCCTTCTGATGACCTACATCAAGTCCGGTCGGAGGCAACATGCCCTTCGCAAGGAGTCGCCCGGTCATGAGACGTTGAAAGAGATCAGCCAAGTCGAGGAGCCGGCCATACTTAGTAGTGATGTCTTCATCGGAGTTGACAGCATCCTTGTAAGCTTTCAATGCATGTTCCAGAACAAATTTACGAACAAACACCAGATCCGGCTGATCATCTTCTTCAACGGTCCCTTGTTTCCGTTCGTACCCATACTCGTTCGTTCGCAGGCAGAGAGCGACTATGGTCGAGATAGCCCAATTAGAAACTGTTTCATTTTTCTTGGTCGAAATGGAGTCCTCGTGTTGAAGCCTTCCAACCGGAATTGCGTGAGAGAGAAGATAACTAAGTACGTGAGAGCGAGGCTTCGAAGGCGTAGATGCCTTCAAATCAGATTTACGTGGAACGTTGAGGAATTCGATTTTTGCTTGATTGTAGGACTGCAAGAGTTCAGTCAAACACTGCAGAAGGAAGCACCGGAAGGTATGGATTGGATGCTGCTCAGGTTTGTACTCAGTCTTCTTGTTTTCTGTCGATGTAGAGGATGTAGAACTCTGGACATTGGATGCTGTTGAATCTGAGTCTGGCGCTGGTACAGTTTCTCCGTCATCATCAATGGCGGCTAGCCGAGCGTCGAATTTAGCCGTTGTTCCAAAGCTGTCGGCTGTATCCTTGTAGCTGAGAAGCTCATTTACCAAGAAGTAGATGACACCGCTAGGATTCTCCACGATTGGAACTTTTTCCAGGGCCTTCGCTTTGGGCGCCACGTTCTGATCATGCTCCCCTGTCATAGCATGCTCTTGAGCTGGTGCCTCAGCATTTGAATCCATGGGCTTATCTTCCTCAGTCGTCGGCACCTCGACGTCTAAGGAGTCCACGCTGGTTTCTTTCTTAGGCTCTTCCTTTAATTTGAGCTGCTGAGGGCGCTGGGAGGCATCATATCCAGTAATTTCCAAGACTTCGTTGGAAACCTCTACAAAAATTTGAGGCGCTCGGATGGCAAGATGGTTCATATGTCTCGCATAAGCTTGCGGCTCTGTCGGTCTATTTGGTCGGGTCTCGAACCCATTGCGAATCTCACTTCGGATGATGCGGCGTACGGTATCGTCGTCCTCGAACATGTGTCGGACCACGATCATTACAGAGCTGGTGAGTCTGTCGTCGGGTCATTCCACAGAGTTGTTTAATCATGAGGAAAAAGCGTTGAATGTTTCTCTTCTCAGCGAGCTTTGATGCAATACTTCGAGATCGTGTGAGGATGGCCAGAACACGGACGATCGACAAGACGAGAGTCTCGTCTCGTTGTGTGAACGACATCAGCTTCAGAAGAGCTTCGAAGAGATCTGACCGAGATTCATCGGAGATTAGCGAAGATTCCACAGCGAATATTTCATCTCCTAATTGTGTGTTTTCGGGATCTGATAGCGACAAGCTGACCTTAGGCGGCTGCGAGTCTTCTGCAAGTATTCTTTCAATGACAAGAAGGGTATGTGCTACCCAAGGAGTAGTCGTCATACTGACAGGCTGATTGGCAGGTCCTTTGATGAATCCAGTAAAAGCGTCGAAACTGTCTCGGAGTTCAGCAGAGCAGGCTTCGAAGAACTCATTGTTCTGAAGGACAAGTGCCAATAGATTCGCGTAAGCAGCAATTTTCTTGCCTGTCGCTGCCATATCCTCATCTAGATCAAATGATATCAAGGATTGCACGAGAGTAGTCCCAATTTCTATCCGGACAGCCTTTTCATCCGTTACTTTTGACGTTGCAGCACGAATCAAGCCTGCAAGCTCGAAAGTAACGTCTTCGTGTACGTTGAGGACATCAAGCGCGCGATCTACGAGAGTCTTTCTGACCTCGCTTCGAGCGTTATTGAGATCCTCCTGCGTTACGAATTTGGACGAGGACTGGTTGTGGGATTGAGAAGGTGATCGAGATTGGCTGTTAGAAATGGAGGGTTGACGTGAAATTGATGAAGTGCCAACTTGCTGAGAGGTGTCAAGAGCTGCTTGAAGTTGTATCTCTGGAAGACCTTCCTGTAGGTTGTCGAGACTCATTTCCATATTTTCAGCAACTTCCGAGTGATTTTCTGGAACACCCGGGGCTGGTGGGGGGGCAGGTATCGCTGTCAGTGGATGAGTATTGGCTTCAGACTCGACAGTAGTTGACTGAGCAAGTGGACTTGGCGAAGGCTGAAAGGGTTCCCCCCGACTCAAAAGAGCTAAGCCTGCGGCAGCGGCAGAAGTGTCTTCATCGATGTCACGCTCAAAATCAATCAGATCCTCGGGCTCCACCGTAACGGGCTGCGATAATAGACCGAGCTGCCTCTCTCTTGAAGTTTCAGGAGATGGGAAGAGGGCTTCTGTTTGGTCGTCGTCATACACAGGTATGGGCAACCGGGAAGCCCCTGGCATACTTTGTAATCGTTGACAGTATGCGGTAGCTGCTCGCTGATCGTTGAAACAGCGATATAGTCCTTCTCGCGCAACATCTTTTTCGAGTCCCTTGTCGGTGAGTTGTCTTAGTCTCTCGGTATTGATTTCATAAAGTTTATGGATTGGCTTCTCTTGGTCATTTGGAATTTGCTTCGGAGTTCCGTGCTCTTCTGAAGCGTCGAGGATGATCTTCATGGTATCAATTACAGTTTTGATGATGTCGCTGGGAGCTTTCTCAACAAAGTTAGAGTCCCACAGGGAACGCACTACAGGAAGTACGACCATGCGCAGCTCTACTAGCAATTGATGAGGATTAAAGTAGTAGGCTTGACCGGGTCTGGTATCGAAAGAAAGTAGAGCTTGTGACTGACCAGCATCTACGACTGATTTAGAGGACAGGACAGGTTTGAAGAAGCTGAGGATAACTCTAATGCCTTGCAAAGCGGAGAAAACGCGAGTGGCGTGTTCTTTCGACATCTGCTCATCGGAGGAAGTTGGCGCTGACTGAACGTCATTGTGGAATGCGTGCAATATTTCCTTGATGACTTCGAACCCACCATCTCTCTTGAACGAGTGCAAGAGCAAAGTCAAGACATGAGACGGCCCACGATCTGAGGAACCTATAATGTCAGCAAAAGAATGTCATGAGACTCAAATATTTCCACTTACCATCGATTATCAGTCGCGACATGGATGACAAGACCACGATCCAATAATTGTAGAGCTCTTGCTTGCCCGCAGTGCGTGGCACATCATACGACAGCATCTGCATATATGCAGATGACATCGCGTCTGCTACCATAGATGCGTTCTGTCTAGTGTACATATCGGAAGAGTGTCCACGGCGCTTCCCAAGCAAAGATTTGCTCAGGCTCTGGAAGAATGGTATCATTGCGGAGGGCACTTGGCTGAGTAAGAATCGTAAGATCCGGACATTTCTGAAAGTCGGAGTCTTCTTTTCATCTTTCGATAGGGGCTTTTCAGCGTCCGAGGAAGGCGATTCTGAGGGGATAGTTCCTGGTGGTCGTGTATCTTCACCGTTTTCGGCGTTAGACTCCCTTTCCACACCGTGATCAGACCCCGAGAAACCAAAGATCTTATCAGCCTCTGCACTCCCCATTCCATAGCCCTTTACCGTAGTCGCTTTCATCCACGGCTCAGGTATCCTTTGCATCAGGAGTATCTCTTCCCATACACATACGCGGTGGAGACCCCCTAGGCTTTGGATGAGCGCGATATAGTAATCCGCGAGATTTACTTGGTTGAAGGGCATGTGATGAGAGCGAGAGTTGTATGGCAGGTGAGAGAATATCTCGAACAGTATGTTGCATAAGGTTTGAACGCGGACCAGTGCCTGCACAATTAATGTTCCTGATGCGCCTTGAGACCTGTCTTTTGTTGAGTGGGAAGGAAATGAATCAGGGCTAGTGAATTCGGCAAAAAAGCTTGTAACTTCCTTATGAGGTTCTTCAGAGGCGTACAGGGGTTTGAGATCTTCTGCCGCGCTTTGTGTACGTTTGAGAAGAGTAGGCAAGACAAGGTGGGCCTTCTGGTCTGCAAAGAGATGGATAACCCTCCTAGTCTCGATGGACGCATCGTGATTGTTCCAGTCGTACCTTAGTATTGGCAGGGTGGCAATATCGAGCACAAGGTCTGCAGCTCCAGCGTCTACCAACAGCGCGCACATTTGGTTGTTTTCTGCAAACCCGGAGAGAAACTTCATAGCAACATTGATGAAGGACAGTATAGTAGTCTCAGTGATCTCATCGCCCATATCGTTGAGTTGATATTGGGAAGAAAGCGGAAGAGGAGTATCTGCGCTTAGTGCTTTCTGTAGCTCTGCGCCGTTCGTATTACCGTCATCCATAATAACGTCTCCATCTGTTTCGGCGATGTTTTGAGTCACACTAGAGTCACCAGAGGCAACGAGACGCCCACCTTCACCCTGGAGCCATAACTTCGCACCACTATTCGATTGTTGGCCCTTGGCAACGCAGAGTTTTTTGATGCGAGTAATCATCTTCAGTAGTGATGATAGGACAAGAGTCTTCAGGGTAGGATGATGTCGGACCAGCTCATCAAAGGAACTACCAAGGACTTGTCCAAGTTCACCTTCTGATGACATAATCTTGACATGTGTGGGAGACTCGAATACCTCGAAGAATGTGTCAAGAGCATTAGATTTCTTCAGTAGGTCCATGCCGGAATGGTTCAAGCACAGCGCTCCAAATGCATGGGGAATGGCAATTATGGAATCCGCTGCAGGTAGAATTCCTTTAGCTAAATGGCGGTTTTCGGTAGGTTCTTCGGCATCAAATTTCCCAGCAAAGTGAGAGAGTAGCTGTTCGGTGTCCGCCCCCGCGCCAGGAAGATCTTCCGCCGCGGGTGTAGCTTCAGTCGAATCATTACCGTTGTCGTTTGATTCATTTGATTGTCCGCCGTTGCTCAAATCGAGAGGTCGCGTGCTCAAAATCTCGAGAAAGCTTCGACTAAGGCCGGCCTCAGAGATCACCGCGTAGCTCGTAGGCTCATTGTGTATGAAGCTACTCATAATGTTGACAGCACCACTCCAAACACTTGATCCAAAAACAGTGGGATGGCTGATGACCTTCCTCAGGCCGCTGAGAAGATTTGGAGATTCAATAAAATTTCGAAGCAACCGACTGAAATTGCCGTTGTTGTTTGTCATCATTTCTCTAGTTATCTTGAAGATCATACGTAGTGTTTGTTGGCTGAAGAAGGGTATCTGATAGTCAATTATGCGATTTCGATATTTTGAAGGAACTCCATTGCCTACTTGAGCACGCTGTATGGATGAATCCACTTCATAGGCCATTAAGTTGGAGATGGCCTCTAAGCCGTTCACACTGGCAAGGGTCTCAAAAGCGTCACGCACAGGCCCGACTAAATTGTTCAAGAATGTTAACGTCTTAGAGAAGCTGCGTTCTGCCTTAGCTGTCCGTAGGTCGAGTACTTCGACTAGGAGATTCAGGAGACCCGCTGAGATAAGGGCTTCTCCGGTTCGCGGCGCGCATGACGGCAAACTATCCAGGAGGCCGAAAGCTGCTTCTCGCCACTCCTCTCGTTCTTTGTCCATGTCTGTTCCTTCATCTCTCATGTCTGCGACGGCTGTGCGCAATATGTGAAACAGCACGCCATGATTGACGTTTACACTTAACGCGGAACAGACGTCGGGCGCCTTTGACTTAATCTTGGCAAATGCCTCCAAGGCGCCCAGAGCGACAGTCTCTGTCGTTGTGGGGACTTGAACGTGTGTATTCGATGGAGGGCTAAGCAGGTTACATATTTGTTGAGTCAGCTGTAGGTTGCGGGGTTCATCTGAGTCTCGTTGGAGAATCTTAGATTTGAAGACTTCCTCTGGGTAAATATAGGCGAGATTGGTTAATGCGAGGAGCCTGATCTCGACCGCTTGTTGCCTGGTGGATGCTGAGCTTGTGATTGCATGCGCGACACGCACCCTCGATAAAGCCTCGTACTGTGAGTCTTTGGGCAAGTCTACAAGCATTCCTTTCAATACATGTTCCATCGGCTGTGTTTGAATTTGGGAAGTTGATATTTCGACATGTGCGGCGGCCGACTTCTCATTCTTGATTTCATTACTTATTGAAGGCGGGAATTCTGATGCATCATCGGAGCTAGAAAGACGGCTTGGTCTGGAAAGATTTGAAGGACGCCTTGACGCAGTTGGAGTGCCAGGCTTGACTTCTTCCTTTGATGATGTGCGATAATAGCTCAACGCGACACTACCCCACTCTTCGTATCTCGCTGCATCAATAGACAATGTAGGATTCTTTGGCGACATTTTCTTCGCATTTCCATTCATATGTACTTGATCAAGCCTTAGTAGGTCGAGAAAATCATTGGCATTTGCACCTCGAATTGTCTCGGCCTTTTCTTTCCCTTTCTTGCCCACGGGAGAGGCCGAACTCTTTTGATGACTGGGTGGGGGCTTAACAAATGGCTCTGCAATCTTCTGGACCTTTTCAAGATCGATGTTGTAATGGCTTGCTAAGAGAGCTTGGCTCAAGTGCTGAGTAGATGTAGAAGTTCGTTGCCGAGAGGCATGGTAGCGTTGAGCTAGGCGGACCATAAGCTGTAGGACGCTGGTCAACAGAGGAAAACTTGTGGTGTTAAGCAAAGCACTGAGGCGTTCACTACTGCTGTAGAGACTCCGATTACCACAATTTTCCAGCAGGATGCGCGAGAATTCCAGAATGCTCTGGACGAGATGTCTATCGCCATCTGTCTCGTAGCCCAATGATTCTATCTCTTTAGAACTTGCGCTTTTGATAGAAGCCACTTTGCTCTCCTCGGCAACGCCCCGCTCAAGCAAAGTGATACCGAACGGCTTTGTCTGTGGACCACGATCAAGCTCATATTCACGATTGAAATCTTCGAGAATGTGATCGAACCGATTCAGAAGCGGTATCCAGTGGTATAGATCCCCTCTTGGCAGTGGCCACCTCTTCGGGAAAGAGTCGAGGTGATTAGGTAGATTTGTGATCGGGAGGGTGGCCGCTACGACGACAAATTCGGCAATAGCTGGGGACTGCAGGGAGAAGTTAGCAGTCTATAATCTAGATACCGGGGTGCAAAATTACGCACTACTGTAGCCTCATGTTTTGGGCCCGCGGCCTTCTTGATGCGCCCCATCTTAGCAACCGAAAGTCTGTTGACCAGTCATGTGTGATTTTTGTCCTCCCAGTACCACAAGGAGTCAGAGAGAGGTTGAAGCTTCCAGATGAGTTGTATCTTTCTTCAGACTTTCGCCACGGAAGCTTGGGGATGGTGAAATCTACTAAGGTTAGTTTTGTCAGTGATGGTTTACCTATATTCTTGGATATTGTTGTGAAGTCTAGCTATCGAAATATGTAGAATGATCGTCTAAAGTATGAAGGATCGTTGATGGGAGTGTCGTTCTTCGAGTTTAGATGTCGGAATTGAGAGCCTCGTCAGGAGTTCAGCCCAGTGGTGCAGCACTGGCTGATGCGTGAACGATGTCGTATCGAGTAATGATGGAGGTAGAAGAGAGTTGTTAGGTTGTGCAAGATGTCAGCAGGTGTGTGTCACACGTGAGGATATGTCGAGCTCCGAACACGCCTTCCCGTAGCTTTCATCATAAATCTGAAGGTAGTTCGGATTTTAGTGAAGCCGGGCCGATGAGATGAAAAGGCTTGGCAATGTTCCTCTGTCAGACGGACGTTACTGATTGACCATGTAATTGAGTCAATTGACTTGTGAAGACACAACTAGTTACGTGTAACCTGGACTCTACTAGTATGACTCAAGGAAAAATCACGCTATCGGTGCGACCGAGAGGTAGACTTTCGGCTTTCATGCTTGAAGCCCTGATTGACTGAGGCTAGGGAGACCGGTCAAAAAGTTGCCAGAAGAGACGATAGTTGTATCCTCAGAGCCAACATCTGAACTCTACAAACAGATTGCACTCCAATCAGGCGCTTCAGTCCACCGCCTACGAATCACCAAAGGCAGCGATGGAGCGCTTGTGCCCAACGACACCGGTATGCTGGTTCAAACGACGGGCCTGAGACAACAAAGTACGATATACGTGAAAGATCTTGGTACGTCTAGCACCCCACTACAGCTTTACTACATATATCCTGATTAGCTTACATTCGTTCCCCTTAGGCCCACAAATACGCTGGCGCACCGTCTTCCTCGTCGAATACCTTGGCCCCATCCTCATCCACCCAGCCTTTTACTCCTTCTTCACCAAGAATGGCGAGGGAGCTTCCTACACCCAAACTCTAACCCTCATTCTCGTCGTCACACATTTCTTAAAACGTGAACTCGAAACCCTCTTCATCCACCGCTTCAGCGCCTCGACCATGCCCACCTCCAACATCTTCAAAAACAGCGCTCATTACTGGCTACTCAGCGGAGTCAACATGGCATTCTGGATATATCGTCAATCATTCTATGGCAAGTCTGGTCCCAGTCCGATCGTTACATCGTTGGGGCTAGCATTGTTCGTTCTGGGTGAACTCGGGAATCTGAGCACGCATTTGACGTTGAGGGGCCTGAGGTCTAGTGGAGGTAAAGAGAGAGGAATACCACAAGGATTGGGCTTCGATTGGGTTACGTGTCCGAATTACATGTTCGAAGTGGTTGCATGGCTAGGTGTTGCGCTCGTGAGTCTGAACTGGAGCACGGTTCTCTTTGCAATCGTGGCGACAGGGCAGATGGGTGTCTGGGCGAAGAAGAAAGAGGCGAGGTATCGGAAAGAATTTGGGGGAACTTACAAGAGAAAGAGATATGCTATACTGCCGGGAATATGGTGATGATGAAGCGCCTGTAGGATACGTCAAGCCATCTCTAGTGTTTACATATGAAAGAATCTCGCAAGATAAAAGCGGCAGCCAGAGAACGTACTCAATAACATAACCAAGATGTTTTGAATCTTTATTCAGAGTCATTGAATTACTATAACCGAAAACCATATGCAGTCGAATCGTGGGTATCAACATCATCCTCCGCATCTGCCCCTTTGACCTTCAATCTCGATTGTCTTACCATCCCATTAAACTCGTAAAGCTCAATATATCTCATAGAATCCAATGCGTCAACAACTAGCAGGTAATGCAAACCAAGCCGCCCTCCCTCAACTCCACGCACTCAAACGCCATATTGGTATCATCGCTTCATCGCATCAATCACATAACAAAAATCCCACATCATACCCCTCTCCCTTCCCCCTCATCAACAAACCACAGCAACAACCCCCAAAGCCCCCACCAGCAACCCCCCACCCACACCCAACACAGACGCCCCACTCGCCGGCGGCGCCTTCGTAGAACTAGCACTCGGGCTCGACGAACTAGCCGCACTCTCCGAGCTCTGACTCTCCGTCGGCGTCGCGCTCGCCGTATCAGTACTCGTCACCGACCCCATACCAGACGTAACACTCGTCCCCATCGTCGTCGGCTCAGCTCCAAACGTCGTAGAAGTGACTGCACTTGCCGCCGAGGCAGCAGAGTCACTGGCCGCACTAGCAGACGCGCTGGCATCACTGGCGACAGATTCGGTAGCGGATGCGACTGCGCCAGTCGCAGATGCAGCAGATTCACTAGCCGCGCTCGCATCACTAGCGACTGCGCCAGTAGCAGAAGCAGCGGATTCTGAAGCCCCGCTCGCTGAGGCGCTGGCGTCGCTGGCGATGGCGACTGCGGTATCTGATGCTGACGAGCTCGCTGCGCTGGCGACGGCTGCTGCTGTGTCTGATGCTGAAGCCAGGGCTGCGGTATCAGTGGGCACAGGAGACGGCGTGGGTACTACGACTGCAGCCGGACCATTGCTTTCTGAGGCGAGGGATAAAGGTGGTGATGATGCGGAGCCAGACACTTCGCTCTGCACGGCGGCTTGTTGACTTGCTGCGGCGACCGCATTGGCGGAGGCGCTGCTGGCTTCGGCTTCTGAGGGTGATGATGCTGCTTCTGAGGGAGAGGCGTTTGGCGAGGGTGACGCAGAGGGTTGGACGACGTTCACGGGTGCTAGTGTGACGGGACCTGAAGGGATGGATGCGCTGGCGGGTAGGACGACGTTGGTAGAGAAGTCGCCGACTTGCAATGGGAAGACTGGACCGGCGGGCGCGGTGTCTGTCACGATACCGACCGAGGCGGGGAGATCGGAGGGAACACCGGAGAGTGCGTCCACGGGGCCGGTGACGGTGTAGATTGATGTGATGACGCTTTGGAGCATGAAAGTTACTGTGACAGCAGGGACTGTGACAGTGGCTGTAGGTAGGGCGGGCGCGGGGAGAACAACGGTTTGGAGGACACCATTTGCGGAGAAAGAGATTGTGGTGGATTGTTGTTGTGCGTTGGTGAGGAGAGGGAGTGGAGCGGCGATGAGGGTGGCGGCGAGGCCGAGGCGAGAGATAGTGAAAAACATTCTTGAGTAAAATATGTAGATCAGATGAAATGCGAGGTATGCAGGATGCGAGGAATGCAGAAGGATTAGAAGCGATGGTGGTGTGAGGGAGAGGTAAATATCAGAAATTGTTTTGGTGTGGCAGGCTAGCGTGGAGGCTGGGCAGGGGTGGCAGGAGGGTTGACAAACAAAATAATAGCGGAGCCGCGTAATAGGCAAGTGGAAGCGTGCATGGATTGAATTACTCTGAGATATTGGACTCACTGGTCTATGTCTTTGATGCTCTGAAAGTGACTGACACACCTGATGTTCGTCGTCGGCAGGGCATGCTGCCCAATTTCGCATAGAACTTCGCATGCCTATTCGCAGTTTCCGGATATTCAGCATGTGATCGTCAGAACTAGATGGGGCTTATGTTGTCGAGCTCGCTTGCCCTTGCCAGATCACAGCTGAAAACCAAGGCGTCAACCATGCTGCCAGCTTCAAGATGCTGAAAAGTTGGATAGCCGTTGCCAAGACTGGGCGAGCCACGCTAGCCAAAGTGGCTGGTGGTGGCTGGCTCCGGCGCTAGGAAACCTTAGCGCGAATCCGTTTCGCAGTATCGGTCTTCGAGATCCAATCCACGCGTTGCCAAACCAGTGCACGCGAGCGTGGATTAGTGTCATCTGCATGCCTTGGTCACTGGATGATCTGTCAAGTCAAGAACCTATGGATCACGTCAGCACGATGATACTGAGGGTATAAGATTTGGCGACGCGCGATCTGACAGGTATGATTCTCAGACAGCAGTTGGTAATAACCTTATCCACACGAAAATTCAGAACAGGTCTGTGTTGTGAAATTTGCTTCATCATAGGAAATCCGGGGCAATGAATGAAATCACAAACGTACCTGTTGATGGGTTCATGTACATAGACCCCCAAGTCGTAAGGGCGTAAATCTGACACAAATTTACAGCTGCAGGGCAGCCCTTGATAGCTCATAATATCATCACGCTTTGCGCTTCTTGAAGAAAGCGTCAATGTTCTTCTGACCCTCGTCGTGCTGCGAGCTACCAACCCCACGTGTACGCTTGAGACCAGCAAGATGCTCTTTTCCATTCACAGCTTTGATATTCATCTTGTGACCAGCCAGAAGCGTAGATGAACTCTCCTGCGCAGGGCTGACATTCGAATCATTTGCGTTGCGAGTAACCTCGAGTTCCAAATACCCAGTATTCGACCAACCGCCTAGGTACTCTAGGGGCGTAGGGCCATCTCTCCCCATTGGAAGGCCTGGAGCAAGGGAGACGCTGTTCGGTGCGAAAGCTCCGAGAAAACATCGCCAGAGATGGGACAAGATAATCCCATGAGACACAACGGCGACAGTATATTCTTCTTCCTCTTCTTCCGTTTGTAATACGGGTATGAGGTAGTCTTGAACGAATGTGTTCATTCTTGCGCTCATCGACTCCTTGGTTTCGACATCTTTGAAGTCTGGATATTGTTGATGCTGCGTCCTGTGCTCTTCCTTACCAGACCGCTTGTTGTCTCGAGGGCGTGCGTAGAATGGTTTTCCTTCGTAGTATCCGAAGTCTTGCTCTCGAAGAATTTCTAGCTGCGTGACAGCATTCCTTCCATGCTCTTGATCTGGCTGCTTGGCTTCTTCGGCTTTGTGTATGGCACCAGCAGTCTTGAAGGCTCGTTGAAGGTCCGATGAGAAAATGTAGGCAAATTTCAAGCCTCGGTCGACCAGGTACTTTCCCAGTCTCTCGGCTTGCAGGTTACCATGAACAGTAAGGGCGGAGTCTCTGACTCCAGCATAGATACCTGCTACATTATCAACTGTCTCACCGTGTCTGATGAGAAACAATCTCATTGCATTTGGAACATGATGAGCGGGGAGCAATGGAAGCTGTGTGGAAGTCAAGCTAACAGTCGGCTATTGTGATTGGTCAAAAGGCTGACAAAGCAGAAAACTTCAAAATCATATAGCAAAGTGGATTTTCCTTTATAATTTAGCGAAGTGTGAAACGCCATTGCCTAAGATTGCCAAGTCGATAAAGTGAATTGAACACCTACCTTGATTCAAAATGGCACATCTGCTCATCAAGCTATGTGTGGTTTTCATAAGTGGGCAACTAAATCCGGCGTCTCATCATTCATGTTATTTCCTACTGAACCTTCGCCTGCTTTACCTTTCTCCTCCAAGGAACAGCCATTGATGTGACTTGATTGAGGCTACAAGTGGCACGGCTTTCCCTTTGAAGCTCGCCGATCGCCGATTGCTCTCAATGGTCAGACTTCTTCACAAATCAAGGGTTGCTTATATTCACTCTTTAACTACTAGTGCCTATCCTCTCCCATTGCATGATCGCCGCCTGACTCAGTCATCTTGAATACTATCAGTACTTACATTTTTGGTCCTGTGGGTCATCGTCTTCAGCCCCACAGATCTCCAGCCCCATTCTGCAAGCTTGGAGTGGCCATTTTACTCGATCTCACCAAATTTTTGACAATTGCTAGACCTTACCACATGTTTCCATGCTATCTTTTAATCCTTTGATTTCATACTGGCGCAGAGCTGCCATCATTCGATCTGGTGAGTTCAATTGAGCCATTGTTTTTTCAGCTACGTCTGGCTCACGCAAATTTTCAGGACTTACATTTCACCACCAACTTTACGACTTCAATTAAACCTGATCCTCTTCGAAATTTGGTTCGCTATCCACCTGACTAGTCTGATTACGTTAAGTTACTTCTATTTTCGTACGTGGTTTCAATCTCGTCGCATTCGGATACGATGGTCCATCGTACGTACTTGACAATTTGTTCTGCAACATTGAACTCCTTGTCGATGCGCACAAGTCTGTCGAATCGTTTCGTCTTTTACGGCTTGTTCTTTTTATATCATCAAGTTCCACTTCTTTGGTATTCCAAATGTCTCCAAACTGACTTGCTTCACCCTTCATAATTCCTTGCTGGTTCACATTGCAGACTCGATATCGGGTTCTCGTCTTCGATACTGACTTTTCTTGTGGTCAGGCAAGTGACTCTTGGTTTGCCCGACTTCGCGAGGCACCTTTTTGCCAATGCTGGTTGCTTTGACCATTGACCGTGCCCTAAGATCTGCTGCTCTTTGCTCGGTTTCATTGACTTTCATCATTCTCGAATCTCTACCATCTTCGGAAGATGTCATGACCAAGCTTCATTTCTGAATAGCTTCTTTGGCCAAAAGCCGGAATCGAGAGCCACATAATCTATGACCATGTCAGACAGTATTTCCGTGGCTCAAAAATTATCGGCATATTCTGCTGGCGACGAATGGAATATAGGGTCTAATAAAGTCTCGTCTCGATCCCCAGAGCATCCTAGCTCATCTTCCGAGACCACGTCATATTCAAGTGCAACATCGCCATTGAGTGAGAGGTCGGTCTCGCCTCCTGAACTTCCACGATGGACAGACCTGAACCGAGAAGACATCCCTGCTTCTGTTCTCAATTCTGAGTTCAATCCATTACCATATGAGCTTCGACTCAAACCCAGAGAATCAGACAATTGCATCTCAATAGCCTTGGGCGATCAAGATGCTACAGCAAACTATGATCCCAATGCCAAGCATGACCCATGGCTGAAGCCACCAGTCGAATGCTTCCTCCGACGCAAACGACCACAGCCCACAAGACCATTCAACTATGCCGAGTATCGTGCTAAAAGACCAAAAACGGTGACATGGCAGCGTGGTCGCTTAGAGGGAAAACGCAAAGTTGTAACATTCAAACTCGAGTCTGCAAACGCCGCTAAACGAATGAAATCTTATGGCTCATCTCTTGACAATTGGCCAGGGCCAGCTTACACAACAGAAAATGGTGAGCCTAATTGGGAAGCATGGTGGAAGTCACACGACCCTGTTCCGGAGGAGGAGTACCTACACTGGAATTCTTATGACTTTCGCGACAGACCGAATCTCTCACCTGGAGACGCTAACGATGAAGACCTTTCTCTAGAAGATGTTACCCTTGGCCATCCAGAAGCCCGTGGCTGCAAGGCTTGCTTCTCCTTTGGTCATCCGTGTCCACTTCTCGAGGGAGGCTCAAAGTATCCCTGCAACTTATGTGCCGAGGACGAAGTGGACTGCGAGCTGCTCCTGGAACCTCCGGAGAAGGCGCGCTGCCTGTATTGTATTTCGAAGAAAATAATATGTTCTTTTGCTTCTGATCCAACTCAACGAGGTGCATGCCAGAATTGTAACCTCATGAACAGGAAATGCATTGCTGGACCAAAGAGTGGGAGGACTAGAACTGGGCCATGCTATGATGTGGGGTCTACACCAGACGAAGCGAATGCGAGATCGTTTGTTACGTGCACGCAGTGCCGAAAGGCAGGCAAATGGTGCTCTCTCAAGGGGAAGCGCCAGCATCCACCTTGCAAGCGTTGCTTGGAAGCTGACACGAGTTGCACCTTCGAGTCACTGAGCAGGCGAGCATTCAACCGACAAAATGCAGGGCGTAAACAAACAGAGCCTGCAAACGTATCTAAAGATCCATTACCGAGGATCGCCAAACCAAGAACGAGATTAGGTCCGACCAAATCGTCCATCAAGACCATAGTCACGAAATTAGCCAATCCCATCCAATTCAACTTTGAGCCTACGCAAAACGACACCATAGCCTGCCACTGGTGCGATGATCTGATCTATGGCATACTCGGTCTTGGTGAGGTGCAGATCGAAGTAATTGACTACCACGATCAGGAAGGCTATATCGAGATAGGTGGCGGCCATACCGCAGCTGGCCACGCACCCAGCCGAATGTGCGACACATGCACCCTAGAACGATTAATGATAGCAGCTTGCCATGTTCATGAGCTTGAGCCTATCGAAGGAAGTGACCCTGCGACATTCGATTTCACAAGTATCACAGAACATATGATGCCCGGCATGGCGGCCTCCGCACCTTTCCAATGGTGCTCCGTTTGTCCAGCTCCAGCGTTTTTCAAATGCGCGAAGAAATCAGGTTTGGAAGGAATGCAAGACGGAGGAGAATGCCTTCCTAATGAGCATGGTTGTGGGCTTGGGCTCTGCGAGTTCTGCGCTGTCAGCTTAGTTGGGGAGCATGACGGGAATCTCGGGGGTTTGATTGACGCGATGAGCAAGCAACGTGCAGACGAAGGGTTTGGGTTAAGGGCGGATGTGGACTTTCTGCATCCTCACGGTGAAGTGCTCAGAAGGATGTCTAGGGGTTGAAGAGCAATACGGTTGATACATGCTTATGAAAAGGATGGTCAAGATGAGCTTTAAGTATTGCATTGCAGGCATAAATCTTTGTTTCAGCGGTACGCAATCCTACCACACGAGCGTAGGTAAGAAGCATTTGTCCAGAAAGGTACTCATGATTGTGAGCAGAAGTGTACGTTCAGCACGACTTAGATAGCAAATGCACTTGATCGACACGAGCGAAATGTAGAATTTATGCAGATTTTGTGCAAGCGCAAATGCAACGCTAAGATAAGATAAGATGAGCGCCGCGTTAGAAAGAGCGCGCAATCGTCAGGAGTAAACTGAGCATTACAAAGGAACGGATCGTCATCTGTCGCTATCTATAGCCGTCGCGGGACCATGTCGCCTCACTGAGCCCTCTTTATAAATTGCCATGACTCGCAACCATAATGAGCGAGCTCTCCGAGTTCCAAATTGGTCAATCCGTAGAACTTTCAGATGGACGGCCAGCAACAGTTCGATACATCGGTGACACCCGTTTTGCAGACGGTGAATGGGTCGGAGTCGAGTTGGAAGATGCTACAGGCAAGAATGATGGCGCGGTACAGGGTCAACGATACTTTGAGTGCCCGCCGGCGCATGGCATGTTCATCAGACCAGCGGCGATTACGGTAGTCGAACAACCTACTCCAAAAGCACCTAGGGTCACAGGCAAGGCAAATGGAGCAGCACTCAAGCCAAGACCATCAAGTATGGTCGCAGGAGGGAGCAAAAGGCAGAGCCTGGCAGATTCAGTATCAAAACGACAAAGCATAAACGCCTCTAGCCCCACCCCTGCCTCTAGAGTATCTAGACTTGCGGTCAGAGAATCTGCTCATAAATTATAGAGAATCTTCTGACAGCTACAGTCTCCTAGCAAGTCTCCCACAAAGCAACTTGGCTCCTCTTCATCCTCTGTTCAGTCATCCCGGGCGGGCACTCCTGCTGCTTCCTCGCGAAAGTCGATGTTACCGCCATCAAAACCTATGCGATCAACCCTTGGACAGAACTCGGCTACTGCAAGAGCTCCGCGGCAATCAATTGCCAACACAATTAATGGTACCGCAAAAACCCCTAGCCAAGCGTCCTCGGTGTCACGCAGTCCGGCCAAACGCCCATCTCTACAACTAGGACTAAGCAAAAGGATAGGATCAGTCGGCGGGGCAAGTCAAGCAAGCAAAACCAATGAACCCGGAGTCCTAGCAGGAGTCTCGGAGCCTGCACTCACCTCGCCAACCTCCGGCACGCCTGACGACACCCATGCATATCTCCAATCTCCCCTGTCCGAAGAGTCACAAACTGAGCACCCACCCACTGAGAGACCATCATTCTCTCGAGGGAGATCGCCATCCTCAAATCTCCAGAGGCCTCCCCACTCAGCAGTGGTGAACAAAGAATTGGAAGACCTTAAAGCCAAGCTCCGTGTCATGGAGAAAAAAAGGACAGATGACAGGGAGAAACTGAAATCAGTAGAGAAGATTCAAGCTGAAAGAGACAGGCTCGAAAGTATAATACAAAAGTTACAAGCCAAGTATCAGCCTCAACAAAAAGAAATCTCGGATCTAAGAATGCAAATCAAAGACGAGCAAGGAAAAGTCTATGAATTGGAAGGACGTCTATCAGAACATGATACCATCTTAGAAGTCGCTACATTAGATCGGGAGATGGCAGAAGAGACTGCCGAGTCTTTCAAGCTTGAATTAGAAGCATTGCGGCAGAAATATGAGGAAGCAGAACTTGAGGCTTCCGTGCTTCGAGAGGAAAATGAAGAACTCGGAAAGGAGATGAGTCCAGAGGATAAGACTAGCCAAGGTTGGCTGCAATTAGAAAGGAGCAATGAACGTCTACGAGAAGCCCTTGTCCGGCTACGAGATGTGACGCAGGAACAAGAAGCCGATCTGAAAGACCAGATAGCGGAGCTTGAGGCAGACGTTCAAGATATGAACAAGTTGAAAGACAAACATGGTCAGACGCAAGAGGATCTTGAGCAATCCAACGGCACTGTGAAAGAGTTACGGCAGCAACTAGATGCTACACTGGGCGCAGATGATATGATCGAAGAACTCACCGATAAGAACCTCACTCTGAGCGAGAAAGTGGAAGACTTGAAGTTAGCGATTGAGGAATTGGAAAGTCTGAAAGACCTCAATGATGAGCTTGAGTTGAACCACGTAGAAACGGAAAAGCAACTACAAGACGAGATCGATTACAACGAAGCATTGTTGGGTGAAGAAGCCAAGAAAGCAGCTGTCCAAGACGGCACAATCCAAGATTTAGACTACACAGTCTCTCGCTTTCGAGAGCTTGTAGCAACGATGCAAAGCGACCTTGAAGACATGCGGGCGTCGCAACAAATCACCGAGTCAGAGGCTAACGAGCTCAGCAACCGTTCTCGAGCGATGATGGATCTCAACATGCGTTTGCAGACCTCAGCCGCCAAAACGCAAGTCAAAGCTATAGATCTTGAGTTGGGCAAGATGCAAGCGCAAGAATCGATAGAGCACTTGTCCATTGTTCAGCAATTCCTTCCGGATGCCTTCAAGAATGAGCAAGACTCTGTGCAGGCTCTGCTTCGATTTAGAAGACTTAGCTTCAAAGCACAAATAATGCACAACTTCGTCAGAGAGAAACAGAATGGTCCTACTTCTACTGTCGGTGACGATGACATTGCTCTTCTGAATGACATACTCAACAAGCTGGTATGGGTTTCTTCCACTTTTGATAGATTCTTCAGTCATGTGCAAAGCTGCAACCTAGATAGCTTCAAGCGGCTGGGAGGCGCCTTTTACGAGCTCGATCCTGTAGAACGTGCATTCAATACTTGGATAGATGCAATAAAGCGGGATGAGCTCAAACTCGAACTGTGCGCCAGCGAATTGCAGAGGTATGGTGTCTCAATATCGCTCTATGAATACGGACTAATCACAGCTTAGAACAATTGCTCTCACAAGTCATCTTGCAGAAGTCCACATCAGCGACGATCTGGAGCACTATCCCGGCCAAGTTCTAGCATTTACTTCAATGATGCATAGTCATCTCGAGACTGCTGCTGGCACACTCGCCGCCATTAAGAGCCGGTTGGAGACTGCGCTTCTTGCAAGTGAAGGCGAGGGCTCAACCGACGAAAGCGACTATCTTGAAGTTTTCGAGAAAATCGACACACTGGTCTCTCAGAGCAGAAGTGGCAAGATCATCATCAGTAAGAGTGTGCGGCAAATCGAGGATCTCAGGTCTCGGTCATTGACTCTCGACCCTTCTACTCTCGACATCATCGAACATACACAGGAGTCAACCTCCAGCTTTGCCTCAGACATACGTAGTTTCAGCGGCACTATTCTTCGCTCTCTCAATAATGACATAAATTCAGTGGGTTCCACCTATTCTCGAATCTCAGCCGGCTTCTCGGAGGGCCCCGTGACCTACACACATCTTATAGCGAAGCAGCAGTCTACGACAGCACAACTCCAGTCATTCTTGAACCTTACAAACAGCCTTGCGCAGACTATAGAGTTTCCATCTCCGCCGCCACCGCCTCCGTGGAAACTCCTGGCTCAAAGAATGCGCGACGAGGCAGCTGACTCTGCGGCACGAGACACTGAACTTTCTAGACTGAGAGACGAAGTCACAGCGAAAGGCACGACAGTTGCAATCAAGGAAAAGATACTGGAGGAGCTCAGCGTAAAGAATGAAGTCCTCGAGAAACGCGTCAGTGAATCGGCCAGTCGACAAGAAAGGCTGAAAGAACTGGAAGCTGTTTCGGAATCATTCAAAAACAAAGAAAAGGATTATGTGGCCAAGCTTTCTCGTCTACGTAAGGAGCTTGAGACACTCGAAGGTGAGCGTGAGACGTGGAAGCAAGCCCCCAAATCGCCTCCAGCCGACCTGCGAACCGATCAAGCTGCCAGCACCGCCGTCACGCCAACCTCGGTGACAACGCTTCTGCAGATCGACAGCCTTAAGGCTGAGATGGCAGCCCTACAATCTACGGTCCGCTATCTACGCACTGCCCACCACCAGTCATTCGTCAATGTATCCAACTCTTTCTTATCGACACCTATCACTCCTCGCGTCATGCCACAGGATCATCTTGCACGTGAAGCCAAAGATGTTCTTAAGGAGATGGTCCACCTCATTTCGCAGCCGGGCTCTCAGCCGATCCAATTGCAGCGCCGAACGGCAGAGACGCGCTTGCGGTGGCGGCCAGCCAAAGAGAGCAGTACGTGGCAGGTGCAACGACAACGAGAGGAGTTTGAGGAGTGGCGTGAATGGCGTGATGGTGTTGCCCGACGTGCAGTGGGTAAGCGGAAGGAGGAGCGGCGGCTGCAAGAGGTTCGAGAGAAAAGGGATGATGCAGCGCCGTTGCTCGGCCAAATGGGGCTAAGCAAAGGAGCTGCGGGCGAGGTGAAGATTTTTGGGGTTGATGATAACGGGCCCGATGGTGGCTGAATGATCTATGCAGCTCTGGTGGAGAATGCTTTGGGGCAAAATTGGGAGAATAGGCCAGTGAGCGATGCATTCTTTCTTTGGTCGAATATGATACCCCCTGTTGAGACTGCCTTATTCATCGTAAGTAGTTCAATTCATTCACTTCTTCTTGTCAGCTGCTGCCACCAGTGAGCTATTGTAGATGCTCCGATTTCTTTTATCAGCAATCTAGATTCATGATCTCTGGGAAGGGGAAGATGCCTTATCGGGCATTGCATTGCGCTGATCGAGATCGGGTCAGATGGCTTCCACCGCGAAATACCATTCACCAACTCTGGGTGCTTAGCTCGCCGTTGTACAGACAACTGGCCTACTCGTTACCTCTGGATACCTGCCTAGAACTTCCGATCGCCAAGTCTGGTGATAACACAGCCCATACATGTGGGGGGTGGGCTAGACCTCAAGGTGTCGTCGATGGTGGCGGCGGGTAGACTCTCGCCGGCGATGAGTGTCATTCCAAATCCCTTCCATTCCTACAGTCTCAACGGCATCGCCATGTGGAGATTAACCAATACGGACACCCGGAAGCCGGGTACCGTGCCGTCTTGAAACAGCACATGTTGATGCTAGTCTTCAAGTGAATGGACGCAGGTTCCCCCAACATTCACCTCCGCTGTGTAAAAGGAAAAAAGAAGACGAGCAGCGGCAAAACCTGCTTCATCTCCTGCTCAACGGTTATGTCAGGCTCGTGGCTTTGCCACCACACCAAATATTGAACACATATTGAATACTGGGGCAAATACGCCAGCCAACGCATCATTCTCATCACACTGCCAATTGACTCCGCCATCGCTGGTCTGTGAGGCTCCTACTTCCTCCTACTTGCTCCGACTGATTCAACCGCCCCATGCAGGTCCAAAAGCTAATCTGACATGGGAAGCTGTCGGCGGGGCTTGTAGACCCCCATTGGCTACCGCACCCCCAGATCTTGTTTGCATCACTGCCACCACTGCTCATCATTTCCGGGCCTACGGAAGAGACACCCATCCATCATGATCCCCCTCATCAAAAGTGAGTACAAGTACACTCCCACTCGTGCCTCTCTTTCCCCCATCAACACCCACTCCCTTGCACGGAGTATATCAATCTCCCTTTTCCCACCGGCCAGTGGAGATCTCTAGCACAATCTCATGCTCGTCATTCCCACTGCGTTCATATGTGAAGCCAGAATGGATCTAATCTGCCCACAGCAAAGCTCCAGTCGGGTAGTCCACCGATCAAAGACAGTCATCCGCTTGCTCATTCACGAAACGCAGACTGAAACAATCGACGGTGTCGAAACAAACGACGCAACACAGTTCGACGACTCTGATGATAGTACCGTCGAGACCGCTACCATCACCGAGACGACTTCTCCCCGGACAGAATTCACAGGAGAAAGTGAGGCCTTCTCCGAAGACATGACCAGGGGTTGGGCCCCGCAGGCCACCATTGATCCCTCCATCCTGTGCATTCAGCCGTATGATCTAGCATCTGCATCCTCATCTGCAGCAACTTCACCCATTCTAGGAGGAGCTCAGTATCCATCCATGCCGTACAATGCGCCTGAAAATCTTGCCACCGCCCACTTGGCTGGCGAGAATGACACATTGCAAGGCCCTCCATCTCAGATGCAGCTGATGCAACGATTCATGCAGAAAAGGGGCAACCGTTCAGCAGGCTTTCATCCAGTCCATAAGGATCAATCCAATCGACCAGGCCGACCTACTAGCACTGCACGACCTGTGAATTGCAATGACAGATCCCCTAGTCAAGTCAAATGGACGCATGTCAATCAGCATACTCAACCACAGAGGATCCAGCTAAATCAGTGTATTCAACTACAGCCGCCATTTGATGAGATTGGACTTTTCATCCGAGAATCGATGCCTGCCGCTGATGCCGACTTCAGTTGGCTGCACTTCGTCGAACAACTAAGGCCTGACCAGCGACAAAATCTCCACCGAAAGCTAGGGTTTTTACGAATTCATAATCCGGCCTTGCTAGACCACCTCCACACAATGTCGCTTGAAGATCAGCAGGATGCCCTTCGGAGGATGGCCAACAACATCCCTGCAATCCTTTCGCAAGCAGCACCTGCTGAAGCGACTTGTGCTACGTACGTTCCTAGGAGTACTATGCCGGTGGAAAATGTCAACACAGGGCAGACATCTCTTGATTTCTATTCTATGGGTCAGCAGAGTTCCACGTTTGATAGCAATCCGAATGGCTTGGACCCAATCTTTCCTGATGATCATCCACGCAACCGGCCACTTGTCCAGCAAGCGTTATACAACAAAACCATCAATGCACAGAAAGCAGCTCACGAGAATTTGATGTCTCGGCAACCGAATAGTGGTATTGTTCACGGGCCTTACGGTCAACCATTAGGCATGCAGACTCCAGCATCTTTGGCTCGGGAGCCGCCAGGCATGAGCTGCCCCAGTCCTCAAATGTACCCAAATGCTACTAGGCAAGGAGCCCAGCAACGGCTGTCGAGCTTCGAGATCTGCTGCATTCGTGCATTTCAAATATACGACCCACTGACAGACCTTGATACCCTCTCTGGTATGTGATTCTCCATTGTCCTGTGCTAAATCATTTCGATGACCCATGCTTCATTTATCGACTTAGCAGAAGCTGTCCTCGCTGACCTCAATGCTGTGCAGAGATCATCAGATTCCGTCGCCTGGACTTCAAACCTCTTGATCTCACCAACTTCTTCACCTGGTACGCGAATGTTTGTACACAGAAGTTGAGAACCATGATTGAAAACGAAGTCCGCATCGATCGTGCTGCATGGTGGAGCGTGAAAGTCTTCGAGCTCTACCAAGACTGGCGATCAACCATGACCTGTGACATCTTGCCCCGCGCACTAGACACTGGCCTGATGGACGCCGACGGCAATATATGCGCTCTGCGGGCTGAGCTCAATGGAGCACAAGAAGAAGGTCTCAATGTGGACATCAACAATGCTCAGAAAAACGAGCAGGAAGGGTTGCGTACACAAAACCTAGGCAAGGGAGTGAAACACCCTGAAGACCACGGAAACGACAAAGACACTTCCTGGACCACCCTCCCGTCCCACAACCCTACCCTTTTGAACAGCCCACTGCCTACAGCCGCCTACAACCCCTCTTCCACCCCTCCCCCCTCGCCCTGCCCTGCCCATCACTTCGAAGACCACGATCCTTCCGTCTCCGAACCTCCCCCAAAGCGCCACAAATCTGTCTGGGAACAAGCGGGGCTCACAGTCAGTCCTCTCGCGGTACTAAAAACTGCTTACGGAAAACCCACTTCCCACATCCCAGCAACACAGGATCCAGTCGGAACTCCGGATAAAAAGACAAACGATTTGATCGGAGCGCTAGAGAAGGAGGCGAAGGTGCTGATGGAGCGTGGTGGGGAGGAAATGGAGGGGGTGGGAGGGAGTGATCAAGGCAGCCCGGCTGCAGCGGTGGTGATGGAACCGAGGACAGGGAAGGGGGCAGAGGTAGGGTTGAAGAGAAAACGACCATATGGGTGCAAAAGACCTGGCACGCTATGAGCAGGGCGAAAGTCACATACATTCGCTACCGACCGCGAGCCACCTGGTCGTGATATGAGACAAGGACTCAAAGAGATGAGGGAAAAAGCCGAGCTAGGCGCTGAAGTTTTGTGGTAGTTTGCGATTCTGATTGCTATGACTTTAACGGCCTTTACGATGATGATGGTGCTACTTAGCCAGCGGTATACCTAACCAGCTTCTGACATGACCAATACAATTACCTTACCAAAAAACCTACCTATTGTTTGTTCACCTACGCCTTTTCGCAATCTCAATACCCATTAGCTTCACGTTCCCATCGAGCTAGAATGATCAGCGAATCCTAATATAGTTGAGTAATCAATCTACAGAATGGTGAGACTGGGTCTTGCAATACTTTCCCGTAAACCACATCACGAAAAAGGCTGTTTGTGGGCACGATCACCGAGATTGTAAAGCCATCCAAACTTTGACGCTCTAGAAAGACCCGAAGAATTCTTTATCGACAGATAGGTCAATGTTTCCTGTACAAAGCACCATCTAATTCCTTCCTCAAAATGATCCCGAGGCAAACAGCTCAGCTCTCGATCAAAAACGCAGATGTCTAATCAACCAGCACGATCGGAGATCAGAAGTCCAGTCTCAATCCTCCAACGCCTCCTTCACCGCCTCAGCACCCAGGACTTCAAACACGCACTCCCCATCCGCAATCTCCGGCCCGCGTCCATACCTCGCCGCCATATAATGCGGATAGCCACACCTAGCACAAGTCCTGACCGCGCGCTGATTATGCGGCTGATACGGCGGCGCCTCCTCCTCCCCCCTCCCCATCCCCATCCACCCCATGATTCGGATGCCTCCACCCCCTCTTACTCCCATCCGCCAAACCCCCCATTCCCTCAACACCCTCCGTCGCCTCTGGACCTCACACTCCAAGCCCGCGATCGCAGCATCCATCTCCTGCCGTGTCCACTCCAGCACCACCACGGCCTCCTCCTCCTCCGCATCGTTTACCGGCCACCCATTCTCCACGAAATCGTCCTCAATATCCTTGGGCAGTTTCTCCCCGCCCTCGCCCTCGCCCCGCGCCACGGACGCTGGCAGCATCTGTCCACTGATCCGGACGAATTCCCTTCGGAACCGGGCTTGTTGCGCTTCCAGCACGGGGCGGAGATTCGAGACCTTGCGGACGGCAGAGGTGGTTTCGCTGGGCGTGAGGAGGATGTCGTCGCCGCTGATTTTGCGCCGGCGGCGGTCGGGGTGGATGTGTTTTTCCTCTTCATCTGGGACGAGGCGGGACAATGCGCCAAGGTGGGCGCCGGGAACGTTCTCGGTGAGGTCGTGTGAGAAGGGGATGGAAGAGTCGGCGTCGAGGTCGCTGTAGCGGTTGGATGCGGCGGAGTTGGAGCGGGCGCGGTAGGCGGGAAGGACGTCGGAGGTGTCGGAGATGTGGCGACTATGGTTGCTCGTTTGTGATCCGCGAGAGCTCACGCCTTCGTAGCGGTGGGGGTCGTAAGTGGTGTAGGCATTTGAATTGCGGCTGCTGCTGCGACTCTGGGCGCGGCCTCGACTGCTTGCGCGGCTGGTCACTGTTGTTGAGCACGAGTAAGTATTTCCCATAGGATGAAAGAAGGAGGTGGTAGTGTACGGACCTTTGGAGCCGACTGGAGATCCGTAATAGTCCGAACGACCAGAGTATGCTTCATCAAGTGGTGAAACCGGTGAAAAGTCCCTAGATCTCTGCTGCTGGGAGACAGGACTGGTTATCCGGCTGCGCGTTTTGGGTCCACTCGGAATGCTGCTTTGATTACTCTTGGGACTTGAGGAGCGCCCTCGTGAGCTAGATCGATCGTACTCATGGGAATTTCCTTCGTCTGGCAGTGAGAATTGTAATACGTTTCCCGATTCGTGCCGCGCTGAGGCTGGACCTCTTGAACTTGCTTGGCTGGAAAAACGGCGACTACGATTCGTAGAACGGCCAGTAGATCTGCTCGGACTCCATTAGGATGCTACACTTACTATGCATGTTGACGAGACTTGCCTCGACGAGTACTGTCCACGGGAGCCATGCTCTTCACCGCTATCAGTGTCCGAATCCGCTGTTGTCCGGTAGGTACTGGACCGATGTGTCGAAGAATGATGGCGTGGAAAGCGCTGCATTGTGTGAGCTATGAATGAAGACAAAGTAGATGCTGAGACTGAGATGTGCTATGATTTCCAATGTTGATGTTTTCTAGAATGAAGAACAAAGACAGTGCTAGAGAGAGAGCCCACTTTTTATATTTACCATCTATCAACCCAAGAGTGACACAACACGAGCAGTATCACAGTCTTGTGGTCGTACAAGATCGATAGCTTGGTACCACAAGGAGTACAAAGACTTCAATACTACCCGAACGACAATGGTTTCAGCAGGCAACCTTCTCAGAATTCAGGCATGCTCTGCGCATGACTTATTGTGCGCCTTCAAGATCTGCCTCATGCCTAAAGAAGGCATTCAGAACGAATCAAGGAGTACAAAAGCATTGAGATTCTTCGGTGTAAGGTTTCGCGTGCTGCGTCTCTTTCACCGTGTGGCTAGAAACTTGTACGACATGCCGTCGTTCAGACGGGGCTCACCGCATCGGCAGAGTCTTCTTAAACATATATAATAGGTACTTTCCCCTTTCTGTTTTCTCTTTCTTTCCTTCATCTCATCAATCCAACAAGTTTACTTTTCAACAGAACATTTGTCTTCAACCAAGTGCTCAAACGACTTACACATCTCGAACTTCCTCCCAAGACAGACCATGTCTCCGTCACCACTTGCTCAGGTGCATACATCCTCTTCTCGTTCACCATCACGTTCACGTTCACGTTCAGGATCGTCATCACGGTCTACATCAACGAGCTCGACAAAGGAAGGCCCATTCGACTGGGATCTTGACTTTGGGCCACAAGATCGTCCATCACGGAAGCACCTGTACCCTACTCGACGCTGGCAAGGTGCCGCTCCCAAGGACCTTCCTCGGGACTTTCAGGGAGACTTTCCAATGACAGAGGAAGAGTCGGCCAAGGCTATCCAGGAGATCCAGCAGTATCGCCACATCTTTGAGCAGCAGCAGGTCGTTTTACAGGCCGAAAGGTGTCGATTAGAAGGCACAGAAGCTGCAGCTGACGGGACCGAAGTGACCAAGAAGGACAAGGGCAAAGGGAAGGCTGTAGCCGCAGAGATCCTAGACTCCGCCGACGAGGACCTTGAGAAGCCACGCCTGCCACCACGGACGTTGCATTGGTTCAAGTTCATGAACTGGCCCCTCGATGATGGACACAAAGTGAGACTTTCTTGGACCCGGCTCGAGATGGATCGCGAACTTCTAGAGTTGGAGCACGAACGACAACGTCGTGGTGCAAAGATTTCCCATTGGAGGGCCCTTGAGGACGGCTGTCGCGCAGAGTGGAAGAAAGAGCGCGAACAGGACCAAATCGTGCGGGGTCTCGAGAAGCTTGGTATCAATGCAGACAACAGTAAGGGAGTGGAGCAAGACGAGGCTGTAGTATGCCCCAAGCATGGGTATCCCCACTTCATCTGGCCAAAGGAAGTACTTGCGGCTCTTGACTTCCAGGATCATGGGGCCAAAGCCGACGGCGACGAAGATGAGGAGCCGGACTGCATACTCCACCGTTTGGTAAAAGACGGTCTATCTTCTGGTGAGCTGCAAGGTTGCTTAGAGAGTCTGGTATTGCAGAAGGAGCATGAAGAGGGAAAGAAGACGGAAAGGGGGCGAAAAGCAGAGACCGAGGAGGTCGAGGAGGAAGAATAAGTCTGCACACGGATGTGGAGACCTCAGGGTTAGAAGTGACTGATCTGTGCGACTTGAATGTTTTTGAAGCTTGCAGAATAGTATCATGCAGAATCCTTAGCAAACACTAGCAACATAACAGTTAGCTCACAGTCATCATTCGGTGGAACGATGATCAAGCATTACCAATATTGCATCCAAAGTAATCAGTGCTCTTTGACGAGAATACCCTCATCGACACAAAGATATCTTGAATGATGCGAGACATGCTACGCAAGAGTCTTGATCTGGAAAATATCTGTACAACCTGAACTTCTCGGGTCCTCACGTGCAGTAGAAGCCAGTCATGACTTGTGCCCTGCAATTGAGGGCGTCAGATGTCAAGCAGGCGAGTTCCAAGAAACCATTCAATGAACAGAGAGGCGATGCTGATGGTATTGAGGCATACAATGAATAACGTAACGATCGTGGTCAGACAGAGTTTCATTGTTCGTTGAAAGTATTTGTAGCCATCATGCGGTATCATATCTGCTCTTGCTTGTTGAGCTGTTTCTTCATCCGGTGATTCTTCAGCTCTTGCTTCTTACTCTCCGCGATAATCTCGTCCAGTTGCGTCTTATGTTGGTTGACATAATGCTGGGATTTGTCAGTGAGAAAATTGCTTACACTCCATCCAATTAATCATGTCTTGAATTCATGGCACCAAGGCTTGTTCTTCCGTGCATTGCATGCCACAAGCAGAACTCTCACTGCAAACGCGAGTCACAATCTAGTCTCGCTTACCTCTCCAAGTCCGTTCTTACCACACCGTTCCATCCTCATGCCATGATTTCCTTACAGGATATGACTTAATTGCCCGTCAACCTTCTGCCAAGGTATTTCCTACAACAATCGCGTTCCGTGCATTCCCGAAAACTCGCCGTATGCGGTCGATGGCCTCAAGTTCATCCAGCTTGCGATTAATCTTCTTCAGCTCATCCTTGATATACTGTTCGTCTTCCTCCATCTGCTCCTCTGCGACGCGATCAGATCCGTCCTTGGCGTCTGTGGGCCTCGCAGAGGTGGTTTCCACATCTTCTACTCTCGCGAGCGTGGTTCCGGGTTCCTGGTCCATCGATGAATTGTCTGAGCCTCCATGGTTCTTTTGCTCTAGAAGATGAGTCGCCTCCTCTTGTTTGAGCCTTATTGGAAGACTGAGCTGGAGACTGTTCTTCGCTCTTGTTGCCTCCGGCGAATCTTGTGCTGTGTCCTCTTGCTGTCGATCTTTTGGTCTATAAGATTGGTACAGCTCCGACCTTGGCTTTCGACGCACCATTTTGTTGGATCTGCACTGAGTGTTTCGTTCCACGAATCTTTGTCGTCTAGCTGATGAAAGAGGAAGAGAAAAGGTTGGAGAAGTCCTTTCTGTAATACCCCTGTGTTCATATCATGATCGACGTGTCATTCATATATGTGTCATTTGGCTTTGTTTGACGAATGAATGGTTTTGTGACATGGAATGTGCCACCGAACTGGTGTGTCGGGCTTCAAGGTGTGTAGATGAAATACTCACCGTGTCTCTAACCAAACCTCAACGATTGGCTACGGTCACGACTACGACTTTATCGCCCTGAAGAGCATTAGCCGGCAACACTCAAGCCTCGCATGACACGAGGACTGTCACACCACTGTAGTAGTAACTCACACTCATGATCTTGATCAAACTCAAAAGTAGCCCTCATATCGGATGCCCTATTCAGAGACATGCCTCTTGATTGGCTATCTTGTTCTCGTAATTTGAAGTTCTTCAAGCGTCAATAGCAATTGGGGATAATACGAAGATTGTAGGACGGGCCAAATGTCAGGCGCGAAGAACTCTGCTGCGGCTGGAATTTGACCTTAGACAATGGTCAATCGATTCAAATGTGTGCAAAACGTGGCGAGGAGTGACACAACGACTCTGAACTTAGTGATTCGTTCTGAGAACGCCCAACTACTGATCATGGATGGTTCAAGGACCAACTTCAATGATCACCGCTTATTTGCTCTTGACCTGTATCATAAACATCTGTACTATGAAACCTCAAAACAGTTCGCCCTCCGCTTTTCGTCTCATTGGTCAGTATGGAGAGGAAATTCATAGAAAATTGTCATGATATAGCAGTCCTGTTGATTGGTGAAGTTTACCACGACCTGCGAGACCGCATGGAATTTTGCTATTTCGCCAATCGTCCAGTCACTCAATTGTCTCGGTCGACTTAAAAAGGATGCGCGACCTGTTTCGAATATTTCTACGTCCCAACAACACCGCTTTGTTGTAGCATCGCATCTTACGCCACTGACTGGATCGCCTTGTGGAGCGTTGTGTGTGCACATGCGTGGCGACCGTTGAAGAATGTATCTTGCCAGGCTAGAGGTCAGAGGGTCTCCGCAGAGTGTCTAGACTGATTTCGCAGTTCGGCGACAGCTACCTTCGCTACGGCATCATTCAAATCATTGCGATGCCGTAGAGTTTCAGCGTTGGCAACAGTCAACTGATTGTTAAGGAACCGATAGTTGTAATTGACAGGCTGGGTTTCCTTACCAGTGGGTCTGGACTTCAGTCTCTTATCATTATTTTCTTAGTAAGCTTAGTAAGCTGATATTGATTAGTTACTTTGAGCAAAAAGCAGAGCTAGTCTCTTTTGGGCTTAGCGCCATCCGGATAAAGCTCAGTCTCAAAATCCCTACAACTATCACGCTCACTAGTCGGTTCATGTTTTACAGCACCAATTGACAGATTGTACAGAAGCCTCCATAACAGTCGGTTTCGGCTTGAAAATTGACAGTCATAACAGTTGTCGACACTGTAGAGTTGAACGCGCGGTCAAATCTAGGCAACAAGATGAATGCATGATGACAGTGGTCCGACAACACGCTCTTGCACAATAATGCAAATTTGGTTCGACAACACAGTCCTTTAAGATTTCGACTTCAGTCTCTGGTTCCTATTTCCCCTGTACCATTCACTTACCTGACGTGGTCAAAATTTCAGTCCACTAAGATGGAAGCTCCCGCATCTTCCACTGTGAAGAGTGAGCTACCGACAATAGTCATAGTACAAGGCTCCTTCCAAATTCCCAAAGTGTACGAACAATTCGAAGGCAGTCTCCGAAAGCAGGGCTATCCTACCGTTCACCCACGATTCCCAAGTTGCACAGATGTGGACGATCCAGACTTCCCAAATCGCTCACTGATCGACGATGCCCTGGCTGTCCGCAGCGAGTTGATCCGTCTGGTAGAGTATGAGCACAAGACCGTAGTTGTGGTAATGCACTCATATGGTGGACTGGTTGGAAGCGAGGCCGTAGCGAAAGACTTGGTCTATGCTGACCGAAAGGCGCGAGGTCTGGCTGGAGGTGTCATCCATCTATTCTTTTACGCCGCTTTCTTGCTTCCGGAGGGCCAATCAGTGCTGGGTAAGTTCGGAGAGTCGCCAAATAGCATTGTGACGGTATGTCATTCCATTGAACACCACTCTTACTTGTCTTCCTTTCCTTTCTGTTCGATGCTTAGTTTGTTTAAATCAACATTTGCGCCATGTTGCGTCTCATATCCCATCAAAGAACGTCCCTGCCTCTGCCAATGATCAACAAATGACTGATCCTCAAAATACCTAGCCCGACGGCCGCTTCATCATCAAAAACGCACAGCAGAATCTCTACAATGATTTGTTGCCAGCAGAAGCAGAGTATTGGGGATCATTATTGATCTTCCAGTCGCACAAAGTGAAGAAGACAGTACTTACTCGTGCGGCTTGGCGCTACATCGCTTCAACATACCTCATATGTGAGGGAGATCAAGCAGTCCCTCCGCAATATCAGGAGCAGCTTGCCAATATGGCAAGTGCGCACATTGAGAGGTGCAGTGCTGGGCATTCGCCTCAGTTGAGTCAAGTCGAGATGCTTGTGGGGAGCATTGATGGCGCTCTGAAGAGGGCTGTAGCTGAGCTTCAGAAGAAAGCCAGTGAGTGAGAGTGTCTTTGGTCCAGTAGGCGATGAGTATGTTTGCACGACCCAGGAAGAAAGGGTCATAGAACATAGTAAAGCAGCCTTTCACCAATGCAATTGTTTACCGTTGTACGTCCATCTGACTCTTTGTGTCACCAGATGTAGATCGATGTCACATGGCTTGTGACGACACCGGTGCGAGGTTGTGCCATCGGGGAAGTCGAACAGGTGTTGTACCACCTATGCTCTCTATATAATGCCCACACCCCAACTTCATTCCTTCTTCTTTACAACTCACTCATCAACAACAATTCGAAAGCTATCTTCTTACAAAACCAAATCAACATCGAAAGACTTCCATCATCATGCCTCGTAGACAAACGAGCCAGAACTTTAGGGCCGAAGACTATCAAGCTGCTCTCCGTGCCGCACAACAGAACTTGAATGAACGCCGCAACGCAGAACAGGCACCAGTCCAACAAGCATCCTGTCATAACCGCTCAAGTGGTAACGGAAACAACGACAACTCACTCCTCGTCGACTGGCTCAATGAACCAGCCAACTTCCTTTTACTCCAACACGTTCATCGTACCCCCGGCGGAATGGAAGAAGCCCGAGCCATCGATCGCTCAGGGGACGCTCGCCGCCTAACGGAGACAACAAATCGCTGGATACGTGAATCGTACGAGTCAGAGATGGGACCACTAAATACTAAGTTGCAGCAACAGGACGATGTCTATGCTCAGTTGAGGGCCGAGCAACGCGAGGACGACGAGAACCTGCGACGACGCGGTCTGCCTGTCCCTCCGTACCGCCCTGAAGATCATGAAGGGTTTGAGGAGCACCCAGATCACCCTGCAAACGAGCACCAGCACATGAATGGTAGCCGTGGTGCATCCAGTGGCCGTGGTCCAGGAAGCTCAGGTCACCACGGTAGTCGACGCTAGCTAGCCAGGATACGGATGTCGTTGTGCGACTATGGGGGGATCCGAATCGCCGCGATTCATTGCAGAGCAATATCGTGCGATAAATGCGTCTATCCGCCACGGCCGTCGTTGACATCAAATCTTGGGTCGAGGGAATCCATACCGAATGACCATGAATTAGGATGGAGAGATTGAATCTACTTTGCACAAGTTCGCATGCGGAATGGTTGACATTGGAACAATGAATTTGGTATGCTTAGACTGGCTTGAATAGTTTAGTAATTGCTATGCCTGCGAGACAGATCGTGCCTAAACTGAATGATGAAATTTGCGTGATGCTAGTGTTCTCAACACCAGATTTACTTCTTTGTTTTAATTCAGACAACATGTGCCGCAACGAAGCATACAGCATGAACGTAGCCAAGCCCAGCGAGTAATCCCTGGTGGACAATGAGGTTGCACAGCCAACACGTGGAAGGCAGGTGTTGTACTACCATCACTAAATCGCACTGGCTATTCCAAAACCCCCTCCCCAACTCCTCTTCTCTTCCTTTCGTTCATCCCATACCTTACCCTCAACTTCATCTTCTGGACCAAATCTCAACATCAACACCACTCTCCAGTCATGAACCCTTGGCTCTACGACGACATCTTTGACGGCAACATACCCAGATTCCCTCATCTCTCTCATGATCGTTACTCCCACCAAAACCCCCGCAACGATCACGATCACGGCTTCGTAAGATGGATCATGCTCAACCCTCAACTACGTCAATACATGGTAGTCACACCCGACGCGTTCAACGAAGCCCACGACATCGACCGTGAACGCCGCTCGCCTGTCCGACAAGAAAGAGAAACGCAATGGCTAGCTGGATACTGGGATAGTCGCCCCCGACCACCGCCACCAGGCAGAAACCATCGAAGACACGACGCACACCAACAAAGACATCAGCAGCACGGACATCAGCAGCACGGACATCAGCAGCACGGACATCAGCAGCACGGACATCAGCAGCACGGACACCACACGCACCAAGGGCAACAACGAGACGAACGCCATCCTCCCCACCACGAATTACCCGGGCATCATCGTCCCCACAACCACAACCAAAACGACATACGTGAAGCTCATCCGCAGCAGCATCGTCATCGCCGACCCCCTCCACCTCGACCCGAGTATCCGGGCCGCGGAAGGAGACTCTCCCCTAGACCTCCTCCACCTGGACCTCCTCATCCTAGACCCGCTTCGGTCAGAAGTGAGGACACTGATGTTGTTATACGACGGCAGGAGAGTCTTAATCGTCGGCTTGCGTTGGAAGACGCTCAGGAACGTCTGGTTTCGCCTTCACCTTCGCCTTCACGGGGAAGTGGAAGTGATCGCTGAGTTTGAGAGGGTTTTTGAGGAGGAAGATTAGAGGACGGGCGGTGGGCGTGGGGTGAGAGAGAGGGAAAACGGGAGAGGGGGCCAGATTGTGATGAGATGATTGAGGAGCTGTGTGGGGGGTTCTCAATATTTCAAATAATGAATTTTGTACGATTGGATTGGTTTAGATGGCTAGATGTTTGCATGCCTTAGCATATCTATCACTCCTTAAGAACAATGAAGACGATGAGTTCATCGATGACTTCTCAAAAAATGAATTGATTGCGACTGGCGCAAAACATGAAAGGGTATCTGTTCCGAAATGACAAGTAGGGAGGACAGTGCAGTCTTATAACCAAATAATGAGTGACAAACGACGCATTCGTCGCCATCCATTTACCGCTTGGGGTTTCTTCGCTATTTGTGCGAACCTCCGACGATGCAATCCAAGATGATCCTACTAGTCATTACTGCAAAATATTGATTCATGAAAATGGCCGCATAATCATAGCGAGCTGCATGTCGCAAGTCTTTTAAGTATTAAAATCACTCTCACGCCTGTTATTCAGATTTTTTCACACCGCAAGTGGCGCGAAATGGCTATCATGCACGTTCCAACCCCTAGCACCCTTTTGCATTACCAGGCCAGCCTGGATGCCTATTCAAACTCTCTCCATCTATTCTTGCCTCAACCATCCCTTTCCTCTCCCACTCCGCCCTTTTCCGCCCCTTTCCCACCTTACACCAACCAACAAACACACCCTTCACTACCTTCCTCTCACGGTCGCGTCATCTTCCTCGTCCCCATATCAATACTCGGCCCCGGTCCTCCATACTCCTGCCTCTGCTCATGCCTCTTACTCCCGCCATCCTCCCCATTCGCGCCCTCATCACCACTCCCCTTCTGGCTCCTTCCTCCCCACCCCGGATGGCGCCGTCCACTCAAAACATCCTTCGGCACCGTACCCATCGATCCATCCACCTCACCCACCCCATCCACCCCATCCCCCATCCCGTCTCCTTTATCACCTGTTCTACTAACCACCCTAGCCCTTCCGTTCTGTTTCGTATCTGTACAACCACGCCCACTTCCTGCCTCTTCCCCAACGCCAACCCCATCATCATGACCCTCAAAGAAAGAGAAGACAATCTTCATAGCCTCATCATACTTCCCCTCCTCGCAAAGCACCTCAACGGTCTTCACGGTGTCTTGCCCCGCTTGGCGCATGAAGGGTGTGAGGTACGCCCAGCGCTCTTCGCTGGAGTCGGTGTAGTCGCTTACGACAGAGAAGATGATGTTGGGGGGCGGGGTGTGGAAGGTCGGCGGGCGGTAGGGTCGCGGGAGACTTGCTTGTGGAGTGAGAGGGTAGGAGTCTGATAGGACGCGTCGTGGGGTTGGTGGTTGGCGGTGTCATTCTCGGCGACGTCGTGCTTGTCATTGTCTTGATAACCAGAGTCAGAGGAGCAACTGCTCCAGGCGGATTTTGGGGCTTCGGGTGAAGTCATGCTAGCTTCGATGGACGATTTGCAGTGATTTTGGGTTTGTTTTGGTAGCTGAGTGATATGGAAGAAAGGAGCATGATGGAGGAGGAAGTATAGAGAAGGACAGGCAAATTTGTAGTCAAGGGAATGACGTTATTGACACTTGTATGACTTCGGTGTGTCACGCGAGAGGATTATGTAAGACAACACTCTTTCACTGGTCGTACATGAAAGTGAATCGCGAGGAAGCGGGTGCAAAAACCTCGAGATGAATTTGGATTACAATAATAGAAATGAGACTGATACAAAGCCAAGTATGGGCCAGCGTGTTGCCTTGTGACCCCATAAACCCACAATACAATATTACCTACCACCCATGGTACGCTTTATATCGCCGATTCCTCCATCTCGTACCCTCTATCCTGAGCCAATACTCCCTCTCATCTCTGTTGGAAGCCTGGTTCATCCATCCAGGACCCGGAATATTGTAGGCTCTGCCACCTACCATCACGAATCGCATAATATGTTCAAATGAGTCTGCGGGATGCGATTCGAAGATACATAACCATCTACACAGCCGACAGGTACTGTCTCTGTTCAGCAGCAGTTCCATGGCGTCCTCGTCTGTCGGATCATGTATTTCACGCGTGTCCGTATGCTCTGTATGATCCATAATGCTCTCCAGGAACTCTCGTCGGCTAGAAGGTGACATATTGACAACGCACTTTATCATGGAATCACTCAGTCCATGCTGCATCTCTTCATTCCGCACAATTGAATTCTCTGCTGGGGTCGAAATCCTTGCTATCTCAGAATTTGGCAGACACTCCGGATACATTTCTTCATTAGGTGCAAGCCCGAATGATTTGTTCGCTAGGGCGGATAGCTGCCTGTTTATATTTATAGCAACCTCACAACTAGGCAACGAAACAAGCTCTTGAGGTGGTGGAGAGGAATTGCTCAGAGAGCCTAGACTGAAATCTTCTGATGCTGATTCAAAGTCACAGTCAAATGAGGCTTGTTCGCGGTTGTTTGAAGATAAGACTTGATTGCTGCTTAGTATGGTCCCAGCGCAATAGTCTGGTAGTTCAGGATCATGCTCCGGGGACTGTCTGGTTGCATCCGAAGAGGCGTTTTCTATGGTCAGATATTGATCCTCATTGATCCAGTCGTCCAAAGGTATATCATCCTCGGGCTCTGAAATGATAGTGCGATATGCTGGTAACCTAGCCAGTGGCTCTGTGGCTACTCTAGATTCAACCGAAGAGGCGAGTCCATCCGTTGGGTCTTGATCGAAATTGACCCAGTCTTCCCAACGTATGTCATCCACAGGCTTTGACATCGTGTGATACTCAGGCTTGACTACCAATTGCTATCCGCTCGTTGTCCAGAGGACTCAGCACAGCACTGTCAGTTCCCTCAGCTTTAATTCTGTTCGAAGATGGAATGAGCTACTTTTTTCGCCCTTTTTATTTTGCTTTGTGATGGCGTCGGCGGTAGGGTGGACTAACTTTCCTCGTTCGACGCCTTCCGGCCTCTGAATAATTGTGTAATTCGTCACCACCAATTCAGTCATCCGTCAGTACCTTGCCTATGACGGCTTCCAAGTGGCCGCCATGTTTACACTTTTTATTTATAAACTTATTAGTTTTGTGTAAAATGAAATTGTATTTATCTTCTAAGTTTCAAGAGCAGTGTGACAGGATGTACCTACGAAGGACGGAGAACAAAGTATTTAATACCTTTCATGCGGAGCAATCCAAGTTTGCTTGAGTCTGCTGTGCTTGCTTTCAGAGCTTTTACTGAGAAGCAAATCTACAAACGAGGGCTTCGAAAATATCTCTCTGAATAACGAAACGGCACAAAGAACGAATGCAAGAGCGAGTGTATGCAAGACCATGAAACGAGAATACAATGCGCGGTAAAAGAGCTGCGGAAAGAAAGTATGAGTCCTGGTTGAATGATTGAAATTAAAATTTAATGGTTTTTTAAGCCGTGCAGTATTCTATGCTGCCTCTGCAACCAACTAATGCCCATGGATTAGGAAGAAGCTCCCATGAAGAATGCTATCAGTGTTCTCTCCAAGCTTGGCGGAAAGCGAGTAAACCGTCTACGCATGTTTAGTGACTTTTGACCTGACTAAAAATTGCATTTCCGGTTGACTCGACGGGGTCGCCGTACATTCCGCGGATGATAAAACGCCTCTTGCTTAGGGGGAAATTCAGGCTGAATGATGCTTGTAGAGTCGACGCTTGCTTTCAGAGGCTTCCTCTCGTCAAGCAGCTGCTTTGGATGCTTCAAGAATGGCTGTTCACGTCCTCCTAGTTCCACAAGCTCATGGTTCGGAAGGACGCGACTGATGTCCAAAATGGACTTGCCACAGCCCGGTGGCAGATTCACCTGCTTTCTCTTGTCGTATTTGTCTCCGACATCGCCATGTCGAACCCAATTGTATCCCGGAGAGTCCTCACAAAATTCCCTCTTTTCACAGAAGTCGACGATGGTTTTCAGGGCTCTACGATCCCGTTTTCCTTTCATCTTCTTACGTACGCTTGCCACCCACTCATCGGTTGTGCCAACTAGAAATGTATCGACGAATGTCTCCATCTGAGGGTAGGACATGTATTTCGTCTTCAGATATTTTTCGAAGAGGAACATTAGATCGTCGCTAACCTCGCGATAGGCATTATCTAGGGTAGGACTGAGTGGAGGGCCCCGTACTCGCAGCTGCAATACATTGCTTTTGGCGCAATGGATAAGTTCGCTTCGGATACGCTCCTCCCAATGCTGTGGTGGGGGTACGTACGGGCCATCCAGCATGCTGCTAGTCAATAGTTTTGGCGGACCAGGCATATTGATAGCTCGAGTTAAAACCATCTCGCCACCCGGATGGGAGAGGCTTGTAGCGCTGCTGATGGTACTGTTTAATGCGCGTTGATGTCTGTATTCTGCGAAGGATTGCAAGAGAGCTACAACCGTATATTGCCACTTGCAATCGATAATGAGTAAAGAGTAGAGGCTTAGAGACACGAATATTGGAAGCATGATGTGAACAGAAGAAAGGAAGTGAGGTCTTGTTGTTGAGACAACTGTTGCTTCAGTCGGAAAGAACAATGGCAAATCAAATGCACAAGAGAGGTCTTGCCACAATCTCATACCGACGAAGGCGCATGACAGAGACTTCAGGCTGCGATAGCGATATAAAAGCTGCCAATACTAAGATATGCAGGTGAGAGTTGGGATGATCGAGAAATCTCACAGCTTGTGCTATGTATGTAATAATGCCGCCCTAAACACTTCGCCCAACGTTTCCTTCACTCCTACCATCCACCGAAATGCACGCCCTGCATGAGGGCATCTATCACGACTGACCAAGGCGTTGTAACACAAGAATCATGCAAGGTCATAGATTGCAATAATGGATGATTGCCTTGCCAGATCATGTCGGATAGGCACTTGGAAAGCAAGCGAGTTACTTGAAAAAACTGGGAAATCATCGTTAAATCTAAGCATTGACATTTTCTTAAGATTGAAAGTACATGTTACTCACAACTGATTCATTATGCCAATCCTAAGACGCCAGCCAAAATCCAAGTATTCACTCAATCCGAGATCCAACGGTCACAGGCTTTCCCTTACGCCCTCAATAGTAATACCTCTTCTGAAGACTAATATCCCCAAAGTCGCCACCGAGCTCATCGTACGTTGAGTCACGATGTCGCGTCGCCCGGCCTGAATTCCCTCTTGGACTTGGAATATCTCCACGACCATCATTTTGCCTTGAAGTCCCACCATCCCGCCTGGTATCAAACCTGCGACTATCATCATATCCCTTATTTGCATCCACAGTCTCCTTATCCACCTTAGCACCCGTCCCATAATCCACCATCATGCCCCAAACTCTATCCCTGCAATCATGGGCAAGCAAGCTCACCATACGCCTGAGCGTTTCTTTCGAGGCATTTTGTCCAATGTTGAAGACAAAATCTTTTTGCACTTTTGAACCTTTGCCGCTTGTTTCCATTTTGTGTTCTAGGAAAACTGCGACAGATGGGGGAAGTTGGCGTCCGTTGAAGCGCTGGGAGGCTTGGTCTGTGATATCTAGGGATGGGAGTCTGGTGAGAGACCGGGATTTTGGGTGGGCTTTATGATAATGGGTTGTGGCTTCTCCCTGCTTGGTAGATTGATGACGAGGGTTGTAGCTTGGTGCATACGACTCCATTGTGGAAAAGTAGACTTTGATGTAGGAATAGGTGGGAAATGGTCCGATTGTGGCAGAGAGGGCTTGACTCCTGATCTCCGGACGAATCTTTATGTATTTTCAAGAAGGGAGTCTCCGGTGTGGTTGGATTCTATTGCAGTAAGTCATTGCAGATCATGGGTGAGGCGGCATCTGTTGAAAGGTGTTTGTGCTACCTTCCGCAAAAGCATCCAGTAGCCGTCATCACGAATCTGATCCTTGAAGGTGTGTGCAAGGGATCTCTTTGTTCAAAAATCAATGTGATTGTGATACTTCGTCCCTAGCGTTTCGATTGTGCCACCCTTCATTATTGACAATGCATCTACTTACTCAAGACTAGTCAGAACAATGGTATTGTTCCATCATCTATCCGAGGAATGACTTGAGGTAGGACAATGACGTGTACAACATCGGTGAGCTTTGTTCGCACGACTCAGCTATACAGACTCTCCGGCATATAAGCTCGAGCCTCCTCCCCTTGTTCTTCCTTCCTCCCTTCATCAACCACCTTTTCTTGATCAGACAACTTCCTCATACTTGCAAGAAACCAGCTTACAATCTCGACCAAGCCGCCCATCTCTTCGCACTTCGAACCGATCAACCTCACAGCAAAATCGATCATCAACATGACTCGTCACCAGGTCCAGCACCGCGACGCCTCTTCGCGTGGTCATGCTCACTTGTCGGAATCGAGTGGTCGTAATAGGTCTGGTGAATGGCATCACTCAGGCAGCGCTCACTCTCAAGGCTCTCGTCGTGGTGGTCCTGTATCTAGCAGCCCAGGTTCCGCGGCAGGCAGCGTTCGATCGGCTTCTACTCTCAGCTCCCGACGAAATAATGGCCCGCCACAGAACCCTGTAGGAGTGATGACGTTCCCACCACTACTGGATGACATGGTATTACAAATGCTGTCTGCTGATGAAGCATCGGAAGAAGCGTTGGTCAATTTGTACTACAACGCAAATGAGCGTACTCTGCAATGGGCAGAGCGATATCTTCGCGAGAATAGGGCTCAAGACGCAGCAGACATTGTCAAGGAATACTCCCGTGGTGAAGCAGTGGACTCTAATCTTTCGGTACGCACCGGCACCCGTACCGCCTTCACCTATCATCACCAACACGCGGACGGTTCAAGCAGTCGTAGCAGCAAAGTATACCATCTCCGCACACCAATCTCTCCCAATGGACTCGATGAGGACCATAGTTCTTTCCGTCTCAGCAAGGGAAATTGGAGCTATAGGCCAGGTGGGTCTGAGAGCCGTCACGCAAGCCCACCACGACGAGCTGTGACAGTTCATGATCCTAGCCGTGCTAGCGATGGTAGCCGTCTCACGAGTTCCTCTTCAAGTTCTATCAATGGTGACAACCGATCCCGCCATTCCAGCCATGGATCAGACTACGAGTAGTCAGAACAAGGTGTCTCAACAAGCAGATTCAGATGCGGAAAAGATTTTATCATGGTACTGCTACGGCTGTGAGGGAAATAGACTTGCAGAGCCATACCACCGGACATTGAAAATGCTTGACAAGGCGAACAATACGAGGCTTGCGGGGTCTAGGAGCGAATGATTTTGTCCCCTTTTCTGGATATGTTGACCCATGCAGATCATGCACACAGAATCACTTTAGGAATTAAATGGAGCTGGGTTCGGTTAATGAGTTCAGCTAGGAATTTACAGTCTTTACCCAAACATTCTCCCAGCGATGTTGAAAACCCACTTCCCTTCATTTGCTCATGTTTTTTTGCCAATTTTTCTTCATCCTAGACTTTGACGTCCTTTCCCACTCTTTACTCATAATTCCGACGCACAGTCTTTGTCGAGCTTGTTCATTGATCACGTAATTAAACAGCACCATCCGCACAATCATGAGATACACTGCGAAGCACTAGTCTTGTATGACCTTCCAGCACAAGTCTCACAGTAGAACAAAGCCGAAGTGCTGAATACGTAACCTGTGATATGATACCACCACGGGCCATTTGCGTTTTGAGGCACCTCAAATTCAATCACACCACAGTCTCTCCATCCTAGTAGTTTGAGGTCCACAACATGTGACGTACACTTTTTGTCGAGTACCACAGAGAAAGTCCAACTCCCTAGGCTAACGATTTTTGGAGTCTCGATTGCTAGCCATCTTCTAGCTCTTTCTTCCGTGTGACCTGAAAAGCAGTCAATTCGTGTATCAGTTGTCGTACAACACAAGGTGCAATAGGCTATTCTTCGGTGTGACGTCGTGCTTGGTGTCGTGCATCAGTCAAGGCTCTGGTATATTAACTCCATCCTTTCCCTCTCAACTGTTCTTTCTTTCTTTCTTCCATCAACAGTCTTCATCCTTTCTTCCCAAACATACCATCCTTACTTCAACAACGTGCATCCTCCCTTTCCAAATACATCATCCAGCATCAACTCCAGACTGCAAAATGCCACGAATGTATGAGACACATGTCACAGAGGCAGACACCTATTCTCATCGTGGACGTAGTCCATCTGTCGGCAGCCAACGCTCAGTCGGCTCATACCAGAGCGCTGGTTCTGTGGATTCTTACGATAGGGACCCTTCCCCTATGCCTCGCCAGAGCGGCCCTCATCCACGAGGACATCTTCGCTCATCAAACCGATCTATTAGTCCCCCGTCTCCAACTGTTCGTGGGCGAGACACATCTACGACTCTGACGCGTCATTCTCACGATTCCCGTCAAGAATCTCAACCATCACCGAATGCAGCTCTGTTGGACCCTGACGCTAAATTTTCCGTAAATCTACCAGAACATGTTGGTGAGATTGTGAAAGTAATCTTGAACGATTTCAAAGAGGCAGGAAACAAGGGAGAAGCCGACCAATGGATGAAAAAACTTCTTGACAACGCTAGCCGAGGATCGCTCCAACGTATCGACGCTCGCCTCCAACGCGACTGCTCGCACGACGCGGTGGCAGATGCTGCGGATATCATCGGCGCATATGCGAAGGGGTGGATAGTAGACCCGGATGCACCACATGCACATCCAAAAGGCTCTGATTCTGATGCAGACGAGCGAGACCCTGGTCACAATGGTAGGAGCAGCCGTCATTCGGGTGGCACAAGCTCTGTTCGATCATCTCATCACCATGAACGCGACGATAGTCCCCGCGCTAGCAATAGCAACAACCACGGACGATCTGAGATCGTTGCAAACCTTGCCTTTAGCATTGACTCGAATGCTTCAACTTCAAGCCGTCGTGGACAAGGGCGTGGCTCACAAGGGAATCATGGATACTCTGAGCGTCAATCTCAACACAAGTCTAGCTCTCAATCACATGGCTCTTCCTCTCGTCGTCAACAACAAAACGATGACCCTGAACGATATGGTGGTTCTCGACGGAGCCGCTATGACTCCCCGGAATACGAATGAGGATAGTAACTTAGCGGGAGCGCAGAAAGGGAGCCTCAGTGCTTGAAACATCAGATCGAATGGCGAGAGGATCTCAGGGGAGCAGGCACACCATGTTTGCAGGTTGTGATATCCTTTCTGGACATTTAATTCTGCCTGCTGGGCGTGCATAGATAGGTTCTTCGGGGGATTTCAGTCTTTACCATACAACCAGGTAGTATCATTATCATTCATGGTTTTGAAAATTTCATCTACTTAGCAAACCTGCTTGTGATTTCACGCATCTTGTTTTCATTTTGAAACATCGCTGGTACCCGCGGTAATCTCTCACGTTCGGTGTATTACCTCGCGAGCAAGTCTGTAATCATTGGCCTGACCCGTTCAATATGTATGTGTTGTACCACAATATTGCGTGCACGTTGTTGTGTCACTTCATGAAAACACTAAGCTTGATCTTGCTATTCTTATTGTTCGACAAGTCCAATCTTTCTTTCTCTTCATCCTGAACAAAGAGAAAACTCTCTGTGCCCACGGCAATGCCTCCGCGATCGCACTGCACCCAAACATACTTTCCTTGAACAACAGAGTAAGCATCCGGAAAGACCCAAAGCGGGCAAATCCTTCACCATCACAGCAGCTTTTGTCAGTCGCCTCAAACGCACGACGACGTTCCAAGACATTATTGACCAGAAGTAATGGAATCGGAGGCAGTGACTATTTCTTCGGGTCCTTTAAAGGGCGCATGGGGCTGGTTCCTCAAGGTTTGAGAAATAGACAACACGGCAGACAATAGGATAGAGACCAGCATTGCAGATGCCAGTAAGCTTTGTACGATCAATGGCTTGAAAAACTGGTTCTTTGAACATCAGACGTTTTGCTTCTGCGCCCCCATAGAATACATAGTCATCAGGCGTGTCTTCCCTTAGAGCATGTATGGAGGCCAATAAGGCTCGAACGTACCTAATATGTACGTAGTAAAAATGCTGACCGAGATATTCCCATGTTGACCCTCAGAAACATATCGGAACTCACAGCGATCCACCAGCCTATACTCCCAAGAATACAACTCAATTTCCAGCTTCCTCATGTTCGGATGTATCTGCATTGCCCTGATAAGGAAACAGTTGAGGCTTCTCAAGAATGCCTCTCCATTGAGGAAGCCACCACAAGTCTTTAGTCTGAGATACTGTAAAGAGGCTGGCAACATCCAAAACATATCAACGGGCTCGATTTGTAAGTTATTCATAGAGTCATAGGTCGTCTCCAAGGTGTGGAGAATCGGAAATACTTGCATGTCACCGAGAAAGCTTGGGTCCGTCCCTATTACGATGAGTCTTAGGTGTTGTAGAGAAAGTCGGGAGCAACGTGCAAGCATTCGCACTATAGCCGCGCTTCGAAAGGTGCCAAACGAGTGTAATGATAAATCTAATTTTCTGAGCGCACGCGTCTTCCACAGCATGTGGCCTATCCAATCATTATAAAGGCCATGGACCTGACCACTGATTATCAGCTCTTCTACCATTGAAGTTGCTCTCAACCCCGGTGGGTGGAGGTATCTTAGGGGGGTCATAAGGCGTGAAGGAAAAGTCTTAAAACCTGTCACAGCCAAGCGTCGAATAAGAGGTAGAGCCATAAGCGCATCAATTGGTCGCAATCCCCACAGGTCGCCTTGCCTAGCACCCACATAGTCTAGATTGACGCTTTCGAGCTTTGGGAAAGCTTGCGGAGCCCGCTGTTGCCATATTCTCCCAAATAGTTCCAGCGCAATCCTTACCGCTGGCAGATTTCCATGGACTTTCCAACCCAGTCTCTTGAGATTAGGCAGATGTACCAAAAGCATGATGATTATCAGATATGGATGGCGACCACGGAAAAGCTGAATCGCACTGGCTTGGTCCTTATGACTTAAGCCTGGAAGTAGGCGGAAAGCATTAGCGAATAAATTCACGTCTAAGTCACTGTATGACTGGTCGTAAGTACGCCGGTTTGGTGGTTGAACGAGGCGCCCCGACCATTGCGTGAACCTCAAATCTCGAACATAATATCCGATCCGAGGTTCCAGCAAGACTCTCTTCAGCAAAGAAGGCAAATTTTTCACAGGCTGTACTCCGGAGAAATCATCTGCAAGTGAATATGCACGCTTGAAGTTCCGATGTCTCTTCAATGCGTCGTCGTAAGACACTTCATGCAGAAATCTGTTCACGAGAGCGAAGTTGACGACATCCTCGGGACAAAGCTCGAGTGAGATCATTATGAGAAGTTCGGTGGCTAAATTTAATAAAACGGCCATGGCCGCTGTCCTATTATATGTCTAATGATCGCTTAAGTACTGAAGCTTGGTCTAAGGGGACACAAGAAAGGGAATGCCTGGGCTTGGGCTGGATGTACTGAGTTGACAACGGTTCATGATGCACCTGAACAATACACACGATTTCAAGAATAGCATGGAACACAATTTTGCACGTAAATTGTCGCTGTATGTGCTTGATATGCTCCTCGTGGAAGAATGGAAGTCAGGACAGGATAGAGAGGTAAATAAACCATATTTGCAAAATCTATTCAAAGTCTTGGCATATTTATTTACGTCAGAGGGTTGGCATTTAAGCCAGGTCCTCACGATATCATCCACTTACGCTCGACTTCTTCGACTGAATATGTCAGAACATAAGTATCACCTGCCCTTTGGCGGTCACGCTCCTAGTACTCACAACAAACCCTCTACTGCCAAGCAGGAAGAAAGCAAGGAAGAATCGCTAACCACCATCCTCGATGAAGAACAACGAGGCGAGCTCACGCTCCTTATCGCGAGCGCAATGGTTGCTATGCGGCGTACAATTACCTCAAGCTTCGATGCCAATGCAGGTGTTGCGCAAGATATAGCGAAAGACGCGGCTTCTGAGGACGAGAAAATCATGAACCCGGACGTAGATCCGACCAAAGCAGACATACCGACTATCGAGGCAGAGAAGAAGCTCAAAGAGCAAAGGCAGAAAGAGCTCGCAACAATCAGTGTCAAAGAGCTGAAGGAAGATTCACTGAACTTTTTTGACGATTGGAGGGGCAAAGTCATAGAACGTGTGGGCGAAGTTGTAAACTCACGAGAAAGAGTCAAATCGCAATTGAAGAAGGCGGATCCACCGAAGGATACTACATACGCTCCTGCTGATCGAAAGCTTGATGATTCCAAGACTGAAAAGGTCGAGGAACAGCTCAGCGCCAGACTAGAGGAATTTTACCCTCCCATCAAAACCCCGCTTGCCGAACTCGAAGAGAAGGAGAGAATCCTAATAATCCACTCGACGTTGCTACTACTGCTATCCCTGGAACACTACATCGCACCATCTCGAGTCCTTCTGCTTTACATGACATCCTCTTTCAAGCTTCCGCTTAAAGTCCTCATCGAAGATGAAGAAAAGATCGCTAAAGGCCTCCTGGAGGCTGCGAAGCAGATGTCGGGCGATGCTGAGGCTCAGAAGAAAGCCGATGAGAACCAGTCATCGCGAAAATGGAAAGTTGGTCTAGCCTCCGTCGCTGGGGCTGCCCTGATAGGTGTCACTGGCGGACTGGCAGCGCCCCTAGTGGCAGCTGGTGTCGGCAGCGTCATGGGCGGACTAGGCCTGGGAGCCACAGCCGCTGCTGGCTACCTAGGTACGGTAGCAGGCAGCTCCGTGATCGTCGGTGGCCTTTTCGGTGCCTATGGAGGCAGAATGACAGGCCAAATGATGGACAATTACGCACGGGAAGTATCCGACTTTGCCTTCATCCCCATCGAAAAGAACAAATCCAAAAGCAGCGAAGCGACCCCGAACATCAAAGACAAGGCTCAAGCAGTCTCTAAGCAGCTCGGCTCCTCCCAGCAGTCACCCTCCACCTCCACCCCCGCGCACCAGAAGAAACCATCTCACGATGGCAAAGCAGGCCAAGCAACCTCTTCCGCTAACCGTCGTCTCCGCGTTACGATAGCAATAACAGGCTGGCTGACCTCTCCAACCGACGTGACCAATCCCTGGGCCATCCTCAACAATCACAGCAGCGAGCCCTTCGCTCTCCGCTTCGAGCTCGAAGCTCTCCTAAACCTCGGCAATAGTCTCGACGCCATGGTCTCCTCCGCAGCATGGGGCTACGCCAAGAACGAACTCATCAAACGCACCGTCCTCGCCGGTCTGGCAGAAGCTGCCGCCTGGCCACTAGCTCTAATGCAAGTCGGCCGTGTAGTCGACAACCCCTTCACCATCGCCCGCCAGCGTGCCGACAAAGCAGGCGAAGTGCTCGCTGACGCCTTAGTCAACAAAGCCCAGGGCGAGCGGCCTGTGACACTGATCGGCTACTCGCTCGGCGCAAGGGTAATCTACGCGTGTCTCTCCAGCCTCGCTAAACGCAAAGCGTTCGGACTAGTCGAAAGCGCGGTCCTCATCGGTGCTCCGGCTCCAAGCGGCTCAGCTGAGTGGCGACGAATGCGTGCCGTGGTAGCCGGCCGTCTCGTCAACGTCTTCAGTAACAACGATTATGTTCTCTCCTTCCTGTACAGGACAGCGAGCGCACAATACGGCGTTGCTGGCCTCTCCCGCATCGCGGGTCTTCCTGGCGTAGAGAACGTAGATGTAAGCGAGCAAGTGAGTGGACACTTACGATACCGGTATCTCGTAGGCAGTATACTCAAGAAAATCGGATGGGAGGACATCGACGACGCAGCGGTGAAGAAAGAAGAAGAGGCATTCAAGAAGATAGTCGAGGAGGAGAAGAAAGCAAGCTATAAAGACACAGCGAAGGATAAGGGAACGAAAGTGCTGGAGGATAATCCGCTGGGATATGATGTCCACGGCAAACCGAAGCAGGCTGGTGACGAGAAGAGTCCAGAGGAAGAGAAGAAGGAAGAGGCGGAGGCGGAGGCAGAAGCGCAGAGAATGGAGAAGGAGGTGAAGGAGAAGACGGAGAAGGGGATGCTGGAGGGTGCTTGGGGGTATCTGCCTACTAGATTGAGGGGTGGTGGAGGAGCAGATGAGAGTACACAGGAGAAGACGGCGAGAGAGACACATAAGGATGGGAAAGTGGCGGCTGCGATGGGTGAGCAGGAGGGAAAGAAGGAAGACAAGGGACTATTAGGGACGATAAGTGGTGGATACTTGGGTTCAAAGTGATGCTCAAGTTTTCAGTGGAGATTACGACGACAAAAATTTCTATATGATCAAATTTATGTATACACGACGTTAATTGAGAGAGAGTAAATGATTGATGCAACGGCGGCCGTTTTAGGATAGAAGCATACAAGATACAACACAATGAATGAGCGGTCCGCTAATGACAAGTCATACACATCGTCTCCTATTCCAAGAGCACCCATCCACTCATCGACTTATCACGCCTTCTCCAAACCCTCACAACACCACACACCACGACCCATCCTACCTAATGAGCCACTCCCCATCATTCCCACCACCACCGCCTCCCTCTAGCCTCTCCAATATCGGACTCCCACCAAGCACCCCAACCCCAGCTTCAGCAGGCACCCTACTAGCCCCAGCCCAAACCTCATGAAACTTCACACTCTCATCACTACTCGCGACAACAATACACCCTTCCTCCCTCGTCCTATCATACCATCGTTCGCCCAACGCTCTGCTTTCTCTCCTAAGCCCACCACCCCTTCCCATCCCTCTTCCCGCACCACCCCTCCTACCTCCCTCTCCAGAGACGCAACTCCCCGGAAATGCCACCGCAAACAAGGCTCTCAGCTCGCTCCCCCAAGGCACCTTGACCACCTCCCTACATCCAGGCCACGAGAATACCGCAATCCTATACGGATGGTCCGGCTGGGGATACCCAAACGTGGCCGCGATCTCTCGGCGCGTGGTGCTCCAGATGAGACTTGTGACCTGCGCGTGCACATTGATAGTCGCGAGACAGGCGCCTGAGTAGACGTGGTAGAAATGGATAGCGCGGTCGTTGCTTCCGCCGCCTGTGGCGATGAGCCCGCGCTGCCAGGGACAGATTGCTATTGCTTTCACAGCCGCGGAGTGCTGCCATTTGTGTTTTTGGCAACCTTCGCTTATGAGGAGGGAACCATCTTGGCCAGGAATTATGGTTGTAGAGTGCCGAATGAAGGCAGGGAAGGAGGGAAAAGGGTCGGAGAAGGGGTTGCTTGCCGCCCTGGAGATTGAAGGGGAATTGACGTCGAGAGAAGGTATGGTTGTTGTTGTTGTTGTGCGAGAGATAAAATGTGGCAGAGCTAGGGTGTCAAAGAAAGACTGAAAGGGGCCCTTAGGCGCCGAGTCAGGATTTGAGGTTTGGGTGGGGTCTTTGAGGAGGTCTTTGGTGTCGAAGAGATTGCAGGTGTTATCGTTGGCGCCAGTGGCAAAGAATTCGCCAGTTGAAGACCAGGCAAGGCCACAGATTTGTTGGGTGTGAACTTCGATCTTTGCGAGGAGTTTCATGTGACCATTCCACCCGTGAATGTCGACTTGTCGCTGGGACATCCATTCAATCGAGTAATAATAGATTTGACCAATCTCATCGCCTACTAGAAGCTCTTCAGTAGGCACTGTGGAGCCGAATCTTTCAGATGGTCGAAGGGAAGTGACTGGCTTGAAGGAAATACAAGCGATGGCATTTGGTTGTTGAGATGTGAAGCGAATTTTCTCTGGGTCTGCAAGGCTCCACAGACTGAGGTGTCCAGTATTGCGACCGACTGCGAGAATACTATACCCGCCCTCTTCGGAAGAGAATGACACAGAGGTGATGAATGTGGTTTCTGATTGATCGTCCTCGACAAAGGGGTATCTCACCCCGTACTCCTCAGACCAAAGATAAACGCGATTGTCCAGACCCACAGCAAGGGTGCGTGAAACACGGTCATAAGAGAGCAATGTGCAGTAGTAGTCGTCTCGCAATCCAGGAGCATCTAAAACTGTACAAAAAGGTTAGTGAATCCTCCATACCTTGACAAAGTGGACCTATCTGAATGGTGTTGTGGGCACAGGCTTCTGCAGTACCTTATTCGACCTCTTGCGTGCTGATTCGAAATAGGTCAGTACGTATACAGGAATAATTAAGAAGCAAGGAGTCAAATTGTGAACGGTCAAAGAACTCACGGGAGGCAGAACATGTTTGCTCCCAAGGATCTTCTTTCCGGACTGCTTCTTGTTCCAGATAGAGCCTCTTCCGTTTGACTTCTATAGATCCAGTACTCACGACTCGTGGGGGTAGGTAGGCTCTTGTGTTTTCCAAAACCCTGCTTGTTCGATCAATATTCATCGCTGCGGCAAGTCTCCGCTCCATGTAATCAACGCCTTGATCGGTGTCTAAGTTGTCTAGAAAGTGTGACTCGTACATCGGTGCATTGGATCCACTGCTAATGAAACCTCCCCTTCCGTTTGATACGCCCCTGGTGGGGCCAGGAATGATGGAACGTGAAGCATTCCCTGCGCTCCAGATATTTCCAAGGCTGGCAGCTCTGCTCTGTCCCGACACCTGTCCAGGAGAAACTTCATCAACAATGGTGCCTCCAATCGTTCGAGAGGACAATCGGGCTGACGTTGCGTGACCTCTCGGTTTATGACCACGCTCATTTCTGACTCGGGATACTTTCAAAGGTCCAAAGGGGTCTGGTGTGGCTGAACCGTGGCGCAAGAGCTTTTCGTCCGGTAGTAGATCTCGAGGAGCCTTGCTGACGTGGAAAGTCTCGGTCGGAGTCTGGGGAGATGTAGGGGTTGAGCGATTTGATATGAAGCGATCTGGAAAAGGTGACTTCGGAGAGCGAGCTACGCCAGCGCTGAAGCATCGCCTGGATGGTGTCTTAGGAAGTGGAACCTGCTGTGTAGGTGGAAGGTGTGATGGCTGAAGAGGAAACGGATATCCATTGCCATCAGAAGAAGTTGGACTATGTTCTATCCTCGATGCTTGTAGAGACGCTCTCTTGTCTATTTCCTCATCGTCAGTATCGGGTGGTGTGGGCAAGTAGCTGGTATTTCTTTCTTTTAGTATGCGCTTGGAGACTCGAATAAGCTTAGAGTTAGACTCAGGATCAGATGAGCTTGGGGTAGGTGGGCGGCTAGAGATGCTGTGAAGAGATTGATGGTGAGATGTAAAGTGAGTTCTAGATGGCACATGAAAGGGGTCCAAGGATCGATGATTTCTTCGCAATTTTCGCTCGTAAGGCGAGAGATTGGGAGCTGCAAGTGTACTAAGATGAATTGCACCGGAAGATTGAGATGAAGAAGGACTGTCAGCTCCAGAAGAGAAGGCAGAGTTTCGCGCGTGGTAGGCTCTGGAGCCAGCCATTGCACTCATTGTTAGGGGTACGCATTAAGATGCCAAAAGACTGCAGAAAAGGAATGGATTATGGCGCTGTGAGATTCTTGATTGAATGGAATGGAGTGCTTTGATAAACGTCAAGGATTTTCGGGCTACCTACAGCGATGTCTGTGATGCAATGATGTGAGAAAGAAGGAAGTCGCAATGGCCGAGCGTCATTTAGTCTGAAGGTGGCACCAGGTCTAACCCATGTAGGGGGACACAGCGGGCTGCCTTAGGCGCAGAGACTGGCTTATAGGGCACCTTTCAGGGACCCCCCCCCTTATGGCAGCCCCTAGAGATAAGGCGATAGAATTTAGCGACCCGCGGGCGTCTGAAAGCCGGGCAGCGGAGGTGTGGATTCAATGCCAGAGTAGTTTTTTTGATGCCTGATCAGCCATCATTTTGCGTCGTGTATCTCCATTAACATGGCAAGCGTAGGTTCCCCGTAGAAGATCGTCGAGTCTTACTCAGAAGCTGAGGAATCTTGATAGCATGGCGTCCCCCGAATTGGAGATGGTCTATCGCGAAAAGGGCAAGATCGCCAAAATGAACTGGAAAAAATTGACGAGTACAAAGACCTTGTAGACAGTGTCAATGCGAAAGCATGTCTTATGCGACTTTCTGGCTGGCAGTCCTGACGGTTCATAGATTCAAAATTACGAATACGATGCCTCGACCCTCCAGCTGACCTCCAGGCTGCTAAAGCAGAATCCCGAGTTCTACACGATATGGAATCATCGCCGCCGCATCCTCAGCGATATCATTAGCCAACTTCCTTCCAGTAACCCACAACATACTACCGGCAGCCTTGAGAATCCCGATTCCGTTATCTCACGTCTCATTTCAAACGATCTTTACTTCACCTTACCCCTGCTCCGCAAGTTCCCAAAGTGCTACTGGATATGGAACTACCGGTCATGGCTTCTCCAGCAATGCAACGCTCTACTCCCCTCATACATAGCGCGTCAATTCTGGGAAGATGAGCTGACTCTTGTTGCTAAGATGCACGCGTTAGATAGCCGCAATTTCCATGGGTGGGGCTATCGTAGGGGCGTCGTTGCTGCACTAGATAGTCCTGCTTTGCAAATCGGCTCCACCGAGAATCAAGTGGTGGATAATGGTGAAAGCGATGGGACAAAAGAGGGTGGTGAGAAGCCGGGCAGTTTGACTGAAGAGGAATTCGAGTACACGACGACAATGTTGGACTTCAACCTTTCAAATTTCTCAGCGTGGCATCGAAGAAGTAAAGTGATTCCTCGCCTTCTAGATGAGAGAAATGCAGGTAAGGACGAAAGACTGAAGCTGCTAGATGAAGGTAAGCCCTCTTGGTGTGTCATTGATTTTTGAATGCAGCTGATGGAAGATGACGGTCGATAGACTTAGAGTGGATACAAGGCGCCCTATGGGCGTCTGGGGACGACTCGAGTCTATGGTTCTACCACCAATTCTTGTTGTCAATTTTCGACCCCGATTCGGCTGAGAGTTCGATCGTGAAGGACATTACGGCAGAAGAGAGGAACACATACGTAGCTGACGAACTGCAGAAAGTAAACGACATGTTAAAAGGCGCGGAGGATTGCAAGTGGATCTATCTGGCATTGATTCGTATGGGGATGCTGCATCGGAAATTGACAGGGAAGTGGAAGACGGAGAGACAGAAATTGGTGGAGTATATTAAGATTTTGCACCAGGTGGATCCATTGAGGGCCGGGCGGTGGCAGGACCTAAAGAAAGAATTGGAGGCGTGGGAATGACGCAATGACGGCGAGGGGCTTAGTCTACATGATCTTGCGAGTTGAAAGAGACGTGCTTCGTCAAGTATGCAGACACTTCGAAGCATTAGTGTAATATGAACATACGATTTGGGGTATCTCTCAGATCAATGATCTTTCAAAAAGCTAATCTTGCACAAATCACTCGAGTATCATCGCGAACAACCTCACTCAAACACATCAATCAAGTCATATCCAATACCATAACGCCTAAAATGCGACTCCTGAAAGCACACAGACCGCGACTCAAATTCACCTCTGGAGCGGCTCCCTTCTAGCCGGTCCCTCGTCTCTGCTCCCTCACCCCCTACGCCAGGCCTCATCCACCCTCGCCCGCCTCGCCTCCTCGGCCCTCACATCCAAATAGGAGGGCAGTCCATCCCCTGCCGCTCCCTCCCTCACCGCCCTCCACAGCATCCCACAAAGCCCGCGATGCTCCCTGTGCCCGTGACAAGTCCAGTCGCCTGGGCTGACGCGATGGTCCAGGCTCTCCATCGTCGGCCTCGTCCTGACCACGCACAGCCCGGTGACCCCAGGGCGTCGCCGGCCGCTGCGGCGAAAGCCCCCTCTGAGGCGTCTCTGGAGCACTCGGTGACGAGGTCCGAGTGGGTGGTGCCGGCTCCGTTGGTGCGTGCCCTGGAGGTGTCGTTGGCGCGGTGGCTCCTCGCCTTGGGAGCCCAGTCCTTGGCATGGGTGCCCGTTGTTGAATGGGCCGGGGCCGCGCCGGGTAATGTATCACCATCCCTTCGAGCGGGAGATTGACGTATGCGGGTGGAGGCCCAGGCGGAGTTGGGGCGGTGTATGCAGGCGGATCACCGTTGATGCCTTCCAGATTATACTGTTGGACCTGATGCTGGTGAGCCTGAGGCGGGGGAGGCACGTCTAGGTCCAAAGCATCGCCAAAGGGGCCACCCAGTCCCCAGTCGGTGTACGCGTCATGGGGGATGGTGGTGTCTACCGAAGCAGATCTATGACGGCGAGAGAAGGCTCGAGAGAGGCGACGACATTGCCTCACGAAGTATCTGCAGACATGACTCCAGCAGAACCAAAGGAAGAGCAGAGGGATGACGAGTAGGGCAGCGCCTACAAGAGCAAAGATGGCTAAAGGGGAGATGGCGGAGTTCGACATGAGGCCGTCGATTGGTGCCATTTCCACAGACAGTCTGAGGCAAAGCTGCGTCAGCGTTTAGTCTTTTGCTCACACGTCTGCTCTACGATGTCTTACGAGAAGGAAGGGTTTGATGGTAGACACGGCACAGAGCACTGTACTTGCAAGGCTTGGAGAGGTTTGTGGGAGTGAAATCTACTTTGTATTGCGTGTATGTATGTCTGCGAAGAATGAGTGCAGAAAGTTGAGGAAGGAAGATGAAAGAGAAGAAGGAGCTTTTTATAAGCGGACACGAGAATATTTGAGTTTGAAGAGTCATGAATTTCTCTCAGATCAACGTTGAAACCGTTCCACCAGAAAGCGTGAAAAGAAATAAACCTTCAGAGGCTGCACCGAAATCGATAGTAATAGCCATCCGCAAGCAAATGGATTTGAAAAGTATCTCCAATGGTACATCGCAATTCGCGTAGCAGACACACTCTGATCTCATTGATCTTCTCTGTGCTCGAAGACTGGTTTGAGAGCTTCAATTTCTGATCAACCTGAAGTCCTCAAAGAGCAAATCCTCCCCCTTCTGGCCTTCTCGAGACAAGTAGCTGAGTAATCAAAAATAATCTGGTCGTAAACTTCAGAGAGTCCACATTGCGTATGAATTTTGGAAGTTAGAAGCTGGCCCGTGACTACCATCATGCCTGAACCAGAATCAATGGAGTGGCTTCGCTGCCCAAAATGGAAACTTAGGAGAACAATAAGGTTGGAAACATCACCACCCCGTATTAAGCGAGCTGTGTGGCTGAACCAACATCATCAAAGGCCACTGAGGGCTCAGTGTTGATCAAAGTAGACGTATGAATTATAAGCAAAAAATCGAGTTCCTCTAGCAAGTAGACGATATGGTCAAATTCGCAAGCAGCGAGTAAATGGAGTCTACACGACAAGCGCAAAATGTTCCTCAATCTGCATCTCGGCTGAGTGTGGATCGCAAGACTCCTTATATATTTTTATTTTTGGCTGAAGAAAGAAAGTATCGAAATTTAAAATCATAAAATTCATGCTGCGTCGTGGAATCTTGAGTGAAAAACTTCTTGATATTGAAATGACACGGGCAGATATGAGGGATGAGTGGCCTTCATTGAAACGCAGCATTTCTTGTATGTCTTCGGCTATTGGAAGCCAAAGAGACATGCTTCGGTCTGCGCCCTCCACCGAGGGCCTGAGAGATTTCGAACGTCTACCCTTGCGGTAGGTCATCCATGGAATTTGATGTCCACTCCCGTATCGTCATACCAGAGCTCTCGAATGCGTAAGGTCTTGCGGTCCTCGACTCATTCAACCGGACCAAAATTGTCTTTGAGCCAATTCAAGCAGACCTGGAAGTAATGCATCTCTATATCATGTTGAGCTCACTGAGCTTCATGCGACTTATTACGCCCATTATTTGCCCAGGCGTTGGGAAAGCGTCGAGTTCTGGTGGCTGCGCTGGATGAATTGGAGCTGACGCGTCGATTGGAGTTGCTGGTGCCGGCCGACTGGGGAGTATTGGAGCTGGTCGACCTTCTGACGGGACGTCACCAAGTACCAGGAGTTCTGTAGGTGCTTCTCGTCAATCTCCTGTCGGTAGCACTAATTCGACACTTACTCATGGCGAGTAAAAGGTAGAGAATATTCGCGATCTCATTGATGCAACAAATGAGGCGCTTGGGGCGGTCGACACACTGCTAGACAGACCTGAGGATCATGTTGGCGATCTATCTTTCAAAGCATTGTATGTCGACCAGACGTCCTCTATTGGTGCCAACAGCCCCTCTGCCTCCTTCTTACAGCCGTTGAATACCACTTTCTTTGCGTGCCTGGAGACAAACGATGACGTTATGTGCTTACCAACCAGATCATATGACTTTTTACGGGTCGGTGGCTGCACAAAGCATCGGTGTTGATTTCAGTATTTCGACAACCAAGTTTTTACTGATGTCACTGGAATCTACCGTCACACTAAGTGGCTCAGCAAAAGGAGACGCGCCAGAGAATCAGGCATACGGTGTGTGAATGTAACGTCTGAAGATGCTGTTCAAGACTTTAATGAAAGTTGTAATAGCCGCATTCTTCTTTTTGATAGTTATTAAGATCCATCTGGAAAAGCACACTTGACAATCTCGTCCCTCTTGACATACCGGTAGTGTGCACCTAAACTCAACCCGGATTTGAGGGTTTTTGCGTTTTGTTAGGGGTGCAATGGAAAGAGCTTCTCACTCGGATACGGCAGACGCGAAGGCGGACTTTGGTCTTGGGCCGAGCAAGACATCAGCTTGATTTCAATGACAGCGCCTGCCACTTGAGATTACATATTTCCTTGAATGAATCAGTGCATGGTCTCGGATCCTGTAATTAAAATCTCGAATTCAAGTTCTGCAATAAGACCGGCAAAGCCTTGAGAGAGCGGGTTGTTTGTACATGGGTGTGCGACCATGCATGGTTGAAGTTCCTGTAATGGGCGAATTAGCAAGTAATGTAGATGGATCAGTGATGTTGCCGAAATGATTGATTCACTCCAACTCATGGCTGTGATGGAAAACATGCCAGTGCCATTCAACAAAGCTCTTTTCGTAGGGCTGAAATGCCAAGTCATCATCCAAATCTATCCTAGCGCGCTTCGCTAGCTCCACGCACACGCACAACAACCACCACCTCCTCCCTTTTCCCTCTCTCCGCCGCAACCATGAAGCTCAACATCTCCAACCCCGCCAAAGGCACCCAAAAACTAATCGAAATTGAGGACGACCGCAAACTCCGCGTCTTCATGGACCGCCGCATGGGGCACGAAGTAGCCGGCGACAGCGTAGGCGACGAATACAAAGGCTACGTCTTCAAAATCACAGGCGGCAATGACAAGCAAGGCTTCCCGATGAAACAAGGGATCATGCACCCCACAAGAGTCAGGCTACTATTGAGCACAGGGCACTCGTGCTACAGGCCCCGGCGGACGGGCGAGCGAAAGAGGAAGTCGGTGCGAGGGTGTATTGTGGGCATGGATTTGGCGGTGCTGGCACTCACGATTGTGAAGCAAGGAGATAATGAGATCCCTGGCGTAACGGATACGAATATACCGCAGCGGCTGGGGCCGAAGAGGGCGACGAGGATTAGGAAGTTTTTCAATTTGGGGAAGGATGATGATGTATGTGCTAACCCCTACCCCAATCATTTCCCAAGCGAAATATCTGGCTGATTCATTGTTGAAATGCAGGTCCGCAAATTCGTCATCCGCCGTGAAGTCCAGCCTAAGAAGGAAGGCGCAAAACCCTATACCAAAGCCCCGCGTATCCAGCGTCTCGTTACTCCTCAGCGTTTGCAGCATAAACGTCATCGTATGGCTTTGAAGAAGCGACAGGCGGAGGCTACTAAGGATGCTGCTGTATGTCCCCATATTCGTTGCTCTTACTCTACGCAACGATTCTCCGGTGGCAGATTTGGGCTAACTCAATGGTGCTTGCAGAATGATTACGCACAACTATTGGCGAAGCGCGTGAACGAGGAGAAAGCGAAGAAGACAGAGCTGAGGAGTAGGTTTCTCCTTCCCAATCCTATCTTTTTCACCTTTTCGTCGCAGCAGGCTAACACAAGGTAGAACGGAGAGCGTCATCAAAGCGGGTGTAGGCTTGCGGTGGATGATAGTGAGACTTTCCGAGCTGTTGATGAGGGTAGGATCTACAGCTGCATGGTTCCGAGGATCAACAAAGAGTGTTTGGGGCGAGAAAGAAGCATTTCCTGGCTTGAAGATAGGCGCACTTGTGGACAGCTGCTTCAAAGAGCATAGTTTCAAATGAAGATCGCGAGTGTGAATTTGACCATGCGAGTGCGAATCTTTTGGTGGCTCATTCCCAGCGTGACATGTATATGCTGAAATGCCTCTTTCTGGTAGATAGACCTCCACAGCACCTCCAAGAACACAGCAATCTCGATTTGACGCATGCCTCCTAATCCCAAACTATACGCCAAGAGGACTTTTACATTTCCCCAGTACCCAAACATTATACCTCGTTCAGCAGATGCATAGCTACCGTTTGCATTACGGTGAGCTATCGACCGGAGCGTGTGTGAACAGAAAGCTGACGCTCTCGCCCTGTGGAAGTAATCAGTATCCTGATGGTACTATCGACGCAAATTTCTCACGTTATGGGTTCTTCTTATTGCCTCACTCAAGGTCGGCGCAATGTTGATAGTTGTGAGCTTAGGACACAGCTTATCTTTGCCCTGAAGCGGTACAGTCTGTTCTCCTATCAGTATTCTGCCATCTTCGTGTTTCCACTGCAGGCGCCCAGAGTCCACTCACATTTGTTACAACGACTTTACTTAAGGCATCACATCCGTTGAGGTTGTCGATTGCCTTGCCGCTCAGGATGCCATGTGTGCACATTGCAAGTACCTCTGCGGCACCATACTCTTTCACCGTTGTAGCGGCTTTGCATAGGGTTCCAGCGGTGTCGCACATCTGTCTAGTTAGTAAGAAATACAGTCTGCATATGGTAGGTGGGGTGCAGCAGAGGACATATTTACATCATCGATGAGGATCGCCATTTTGCCTTTGACCTTGCCGACGAGTACCTGGAAGTTATGAGCAGAAGGCATAGTATTGGCCAAGATGATTGAGTACCATTTTCGAGACTACGCTTGCCTCTTGTCTTTCCTACGGCACATTAGGCGCTTGCTAGACATGCTCAGGCCACGACCAGGAAATACTTTGTGTATCATGGCGAAATCTGTACTCAAGCGGTAGGCGGTAGAGGTTGCCCTGTGATATTTGGTAAGCACTGCAGTCTCCATTGAATTGAATATTCTGGACTCATCTTTACACCTCCGGCATCTGGTGAAACAATGACCACTTTGTCCGATTTGATCTCGGATAAGTAGTGCTCTCTCAACCATGCTATAGTCGCAGGTTCCGCGTAAAGGCTACCACAATCAGTATTCCACTTAAGACTTATAGGAATGAGCCCACTTGTCGACAGGCACCGAAAAGAAGCCTTGTATCTATGACAGTCAGCTGAGAATGTCTTGGGGCGCGTAGAAATATGTACTTGGCTTGCATGAAGGTCCATTGTGATCTTTCACTTATCAGCCCATCTACAGAAGTCTGCGTTGTATCTCTTACGACGTGGTTTATGCCTGCTACTTGCAAGAGATTTGCTACTAGCCGGGCGGTAATGGGAGCTCTGGCAGTCTCTCAGCTCGGGCTTTTTGCTCGTCTTATTATGAACCTTACCGACTCTTGTCCTGCGTTGCAATCATCTTTAGCATTGCTTTACGTGATTGACAGGATTACAGACTTTCTTGTCTCTGTCGTTAATTAGTAGAGGACATTTGAAGCCGAGGGGATTACAAGGACTCACTGCCGTGCATACGGAAAGTTTGGTATGACTGCCGTGATTCGTCTTATGTTTATCAGCAAGTCAACCATGAATTCTGGTCGAATGGCCAACCTCGCTGATGCCGTTTTGCAGGCATTGATCATCTTCATGTTCGGCTTTAGCAGCTGTAGTAGCATCGATGTAAATTGGACGCTACCTGAAGTAGCTCCATGAGACCTGATAATCATTAGCGATAATGGTTACAGCAGTGACTGTATGCGGTATACCATCATTGACATCTCCTGGCGCGGGCGACTGAACAATGAAGACACTGAATATCAACTTTCAGCACATAAATCGGAAATGCGTTCGAAGATGTAGCCACTGACTCCTCGTCTCGGACCTAAGTATGTCGTGAGCACCACCGAAGCTCACAACGCTGATGGACTCTTACTGATTCGCCGATGGTTACGGATGTTTCCTGATGTTGTTAGAAAGAGAAGACACTCTAAGTCTACCGCGGCGAACATACTTGATTCGAGTATTTCAAGACTAGCACTTTCGCGAGCTACACTAGATTAGATGAAATCTTTCGATGTTGGGGAAGCACCAATCACCTCTTTGCTCACACTAGCTTACGTCAGCATATGCCATGCTTGAAAGCAATACTATGCTCACCCGTCTGCCACCATCTTTGCCAGCTCAGGATGCTAGATTCGTCAGGCGTACCATTCCCGCCCATCATGCTGCAGCGTACCGAGTTCCCCGTCATTATAACCACCTCATTAGTCGACATTTTGAAAACGATGACGAGTATAGTAAAAATTCAATCTAAATAGGAAAGGGCTCGCAGGGGCGAAATATGCGAAATCTGAAGGACGATCCCACCCAAAATGCACGAGAACACTTCAAAGACTTGAGCTGATTCATGATGGAAAGTTTCGGAAAGTGTTTGGTGGAGGAATCCTCGAAAGCCAAAATTGAGCCGGAGAAATTCCGCGAACTTGAGCCGCGCCAAGCCCGCGCTAAGCCTAGAAAGTGCAGGTGTTCCATTTCCTCGAGCTTTCTCCTTGATAACGCCCAATCACAATAAGAAACATCGAACTCGACACTTCGAGGTTTTTGATTTGAGCAAGGAGCTGAGATAGGCCCAGCCGCTGCACGGAACACCCAATAGACTTGCGATGATGTGTAGCCATTCTCATGCCTATCTCACGAATCACTGGGAGCTATGATTGTGCTTGTTCGCTTGAAGACCTTTCTCTGATTTATCGACAAGGCTGCTGGGATGCCTACTTCCAAGAAAGGCAATTTCATGGCGATGTCAGGATCCTTCTCGAAACTGAGGTGCCTTCATTTTTTGGTGTATAATCTTGTCCTCCCAATTCTTTGTCGTGCTGTGATTTTGAAGTCGTTCATTATGATCCCCCATTGCAAATTACTATATGGTTCTTGTTGGCCGAGAAGTAATGCTGTATTTTTCTGCTTAGTTGATCACAGCTACATTATGAATCCGGCCACTTGCGACGGGCCCTACACACGAACATCATTCCTACTGAATACTATATATGACCATTGAATATGCCATAGGAAGCAACAAGGTGAAATGGTGGGTTTTGTTCTGAAACTCGCGTAATTTGAGTCGTACAGCATTCAGGCGCGATCAAATAATGAAAGCCTCATCTAGTCCAAAAACAGATCATTTCATTTTGATTCGCGTTGCCGATGGAAAGGTAACCGGCAGCAACGCCTACAATTGATATTCGTCTCGAGTCAAAGGAAAGTAACGCACAAGGTAGCACACTCTCTACAGACTTTGTACTACATTGATGTTGCCTTGCCGGCTGTCATACTCCCAACGTGTAGCAACTCGTCTGCTGACTTGTAAGTACGTACGATAATATGCACGACACCGGGGAGCTTTGTTTGTACCACAATATGAGCTGATCTCGGGGTATATAAGGTACGAGCTCTCCCAGCTCATCCATCCTTCCCTCTTTGCTCAACCTACTCATAATATCCCAATAGAAAATTCAATTCTTAACACCACCCCAACAAAAAGCTAGCACTGCATCTTTGACAATGACTCGTCGCGAGCACACACACTCCTCGTCGGTCAATGACCGAGCCAGCACGGCCGGTGGATCCTATCGCTCCACTGGCTCTCGCTCACAAGCGCCGTCTAATGGACAAAGCTCCCATACACAAGGCCGCCATGAACTACATTCCCACACAGCGGACAGCTCGAGCGGCATCGACTCCCATCGTCACCACCGACAACAGAGCTCAGCTGGCTCGTTCGACTCACAATCCCCTTCCGAATTGGCCGAGCAGCATTATTCCGAACAAGGTGCGAGACCGGCAGCAAGAATACAATTTCCGCCCCGGTTTCATTGGCTTATCAAGGGTATCCTACGCAAGCGCCCAGACCTGGATTGGATGATGGAGAACGTGTGGAAGAACGCGAATGAAGAGACCTTCGAACGTGCGGAGCAATCCTTACGCGACGGTCCAGGAGATGACGCCTGTGATATCTTCGGCGATTATGGACGCGGCGACAAAGTTGACCCTGGAGCCCCTCACACCCATCCTAGTGAGTGGCCTAGTGAATTCCTTCGTGATTGCTTCGATCCTGAAGGCCGAGACCATCAAGGTGCCGGCACTTCTGAACGAGGATCTGGACACCGTGATGGAGGTCGTGGGGATAGCCATAGGAGCTCTGAGAGTCGTAGAGAGACGCATCATCACGGCACTAGCGCCTCCTCTAGCCATGGTGGATCCTCTTATGGAGGCAATCGAAACGACAACGATGATCGCTATGAAGATCAATACTAATTAACATTCGATCTCTTCAGATACTAGGAACTCAAGGCCAGCAGAGGGAGTGTCTTGAAGGGGCAGCACAGAATGATGGTGTAGAAGGCAAGCGATACATGCAGGATTGCGACTATGATAAATGTCCTTGATTTTTCAGGCCATTTGGCAGACATGCGGAGTATGCAACCAGAACAGATTGGATAGCCAGATGGAGATAGGCGGGAGATACTGCAATCTTGAAGCAGGAACAATATCACTAGCTTCACAAATACATTCTCTCAGCTCCTGCTCTCCTGATGCCCCTCCCCGTGATTAGGCTATGGACATCACTACTGTTCTTACGCAGTCGGCGCCTTTTGACTCAGCATTCAAGCTGACATCTTGGGCTCGCTGTCAAAGAACCTGTAGTGGATATATTTTCTCTTACATGTTGACTGGTATAAAACTCCAAATGAGCTGAGATGGGTGTACAAAAGACTTAATTTCTACGTTGGAGTTTTAGGGCTAACTCTAAGGAGGTACAGCCTAGAGCACGCCATATAAGCTGGCTTTCAGGCAGCCCGATGGCCCCGGAACTCGTAGAAAACCTACTTGGCGCGGCAATGGTCCGACTGGCCGATCCTCGTAAAGGACTTTCTTTTCTTCGAACCGTGAATGAGCAGTGCCTCCTCGGACTATCATGGAGGTTGATCGGGATGCGGTCAATTTGGGTCCGGCAGTGGATGCTCAGAGCACTCCCGAACCCTCAGCAAAGAGTAGGCAGCCAAAGAGACGAATCATAGGCAGAAAAGCTGCAGCAGAACAAACCGAGCAACCACTCAACCGACAGACCATCGAATCTAGCGGCTCAATACAAGGTACGCACTCCTGCAACATACCCAAAGACAAAGAGCACCTATTCGTCTGACATATCGGAAGCTGCGCAGCCCAGAAAAACCCGGAGAATCATCAACCAAGTGCCTGAAGACATCCTCAATGACGTTGAGATCAACGAAGCAATCGCCCTGCTCCCATCGAACTACTCCTTCGAGATCCACAAAACAATACATCGAATAAGGTCCTCAGGATGCAAGAAGATAGCTCTACAAATGCCCGAGGGGCTCCTTCTCTTCGCCACCACTATCTCGGACATCTTGACCCAATTTTGTCCTGGAACAGAGACGCTCATCATGGGCGATGTCACGTATGGTGCTTGTTGTATAGACGACTACACAGCACGTGCTCTAGGCTGCGATATCCTCGTGCACTACGCCCATAGCTGTTTGATACCTGTCGATGTGACCAAGATCAAAACGCTGTATGTCTTTGTGGACATCAGTATCGATACCTCACACCTTCTTGCGACTCTGGAGCGCAATTTTGACTCGGGAAAGTCAATTGCGATGGTTGGGACTATACAATTCAACTCTACATTACACACCATTAAGCCTATCCTCGAAAAGGTCGGCTTCAGAGTCCTGATTCCGCAGATCACACCATTGAGCAAGGGAGAAATACTGGGGTGCACATCGCCACGTTTATCGAAGGATGCCGCAGATATCATCCTATACTTGGGCGATGGCCGTTTTCACCTCGAGTCCGCCATGATACACAATCCATCCTTGCCCGCATACCGCTATGACCCATATTCGCGAAAATTGACCAGGGAGACGTACGAGCATCAAGAGATGCAAGAGCTGCGAAAGAGCGCGATCACACAAGCTAAGAAAGCGAAGAAGTGGGGACTGATACTCGGTTCGCTTGGTAGGCAGGGCAATCCGCATACAATGGCTTTGATCGAAAACACTTTGGACGAGCGTGGAATCCCATTCATCAACATCCTGCTAAGCGAGATATTTCCTGGCAAGTTGGCTTTGATGAGTGACATTGAGTGTTGGGTGCAGGTCGCATGTCCACGTCTTAGCATTGACTGGGGTTATGCATTCCCGAGGCCGTTACTGACGCCCTACGAAGCGCTTGTGGCTCTTGAAACCAGAGATGATTGGGATAAAGGCAATGACGGTATCTACCCGATGGACTATTACGCCAAAGACGGTCTTGGTCGCACGAAACCAGTCGATGCGGCTTCTCTCCCGATATCTGCAAAAGGATGAAATAATGACTTTGAGCTGTTTTGACTCCTTTACAAAAACTAGTACGGATCACAAAAGGACGACCCACAACCCTACTACCGTTGCCGTCAAAGGTAAGACACCTCTCAGTGCATTTAGCACCCCCCACCTCCGCACAAGGCTTCGAGCTTCCTCATCGCCAAGCTTAGTCCTCAGATCACTAGCATCGATGAGCCGCCTGTTAATCGGCTCCATAAATATGAGCGTGGCCGGAATGATCGCAATCGTCACAGCCGCAGCAAACGCAAGGCCTCGCCACCTCCTGCCAAATTCTTTTGTCTCGCTGGTCTGCTGATGGTGTTCATAAGCTGTATAAGCCAGCATCGAGCTTGTAGCGAGGGCGCCGGAGATGCCGATTGTCGCGCCCCTGTTGAAGATGAATCGCCATTGCTGGATCATTACTTGTGGCGAAGACAAGAGGATAGCGGGTATAGCTAGGGCTGAAAGGGATAGCAGCCCCCTTCTTGAAGTCAGAAATATCGTGTTGATTCAGTGAGGATGCCGTACCTCCGAGGACCCCTGAGGATACAAGACCTATTGTGGTAGCCAATCTTGTGGGAGAGATTGTGTCCATTTTCCGGTGCAGGCAAAATATGGTAGATTTGGCTTCAGGATTGTCACGGCCAGAAAAGCTACTCGAAGAAAGTCGAGCCCTTATATGCTTGATCTTGCACGGGTCAAGCTGTTAAGCGCAACTCTCTACGGACTTTTCGCGGAGTGCGTCACCCTTAATGTGACCTCACCGACGCAAATATCGAATTGGCGTGTCTTGGCCGGCGGACTTTGTCTGGGCGTGCGAAAGTCCGAACGAAGAGTGTCCTCCCCGAAAATCTCGTTCGGCCGCGACTGCTCCCTTCCAATTCTGAGCCAAAATCGCTTGTACTGTACGGAAATATGTACTTTGTATATGCATTGTCTACCGAGACTACAAGCGGCGCTGGCTGACACCATTTTGTCTTCAACATGGTCGTCCCTCGGGGCTGGTCATTTGTAATCACCCCAAAGAGCTCTACATCGAGCCATTTTGAAGACCTAGGCACGAAGACTAATGCCTTTACATGAACAGCAAAGTCTAGACTTTCAGTGATGTCTAGATCAAGTGCGAGCTCACGAAACGGGTGGGGCAAATTCAAGCTGTGTGGAAAAGGCCCATCGCTAGAAGTTGCCCCAATGCTGGGTCTTTCACACCATCAGATTTTCATCGCAGTCCTCATTGCTCAGTTACAGGGACCCTGATGACTTTAGCGCTGATAGCTGGAGTGCGGCGATGCCGAAAGTAAGAAGGATCTAACCCTTTTTAATTCTCGGAGATGATCGTCCGCCTGGTCACTAAGGGACCGACCTATCACAGTTCGGGATGGCGTTCCTTTCAATCCACATCGGGCAGTCCGTAAGACGCAAGTACGATAGTTGTCATAGCCTTAGCCAAAGATTAGCTTACCTTAACACTGGGTGCTGCACAAGGCTGAGAGAAGGGCTCTGCGGTCTAGATTGATGCTCATCAGATGCCTCCCATATCATAAGCTGCCCCCACGCTGAGGAGACTCTGTCTTGCGAATGCCTAATTTTTTATCTTCGCGATTGATCAATTGAAATGGAGGTTCCACGGAAGCAGGTCAACTCGACTGTGACACCTGTTGGTTATAGCCCGGTCAATTTCAGCATTCGCAACCCATGGGATCCCAGCGTCCTCAAACGTATACCATGGAAAGGCTTTGGGGCCATGTTGGGCGCTGTAGCCGGCATTGCCGCAGCCGTTGCAGTTCTCGTAGTATCTGACGGTCAACCAACCACCAAATGGTCACTACAGCCCGCTGTTTACCTCGCTATCTGTTCTGCTCTCACCAACATCTTCATACATTTCGCGCTTGGAAAAGCCGTCACCGTTGCCTGGTGGAGACGAGCGACTCAGCCGAACACCACCATCGCAGATCTGCACAGATGTTGGAGCTATGGGGATAGTCTTTGGGAAGCGGTCTTATCTGGGACGCATGTTAATTTGATTGCCATCGCTTCTATCCTTGTTGCAATCGTGCCAATCAACGGACCCTTCCTACAACGCGCATCCCGGGTACAATTAGGCACATTTTCGCACACATCGAACGTCAATGTTCAAGTTGCACAAAGTCTACCGTATGGATACACGGGATATCTGAGCGGCCGACAGGAGGCACCCACGTTGCTGACGCCGCCGTTCACAAAGGTCGTAGAGGCAGCAACCTCGCAAGCGCCCATCAACGTCACCGCCACTGGATGTACTGGAAAGTGTGCGACTATTGTTCGAGGGGCCGGTTTTGCCATTAATTGTTCGACTACTACGGCACCATTCGGTCTAACCCCCACGGCACCTCAAGATGGCGGAACCTTTGACACTGACCAGGAGGCCGTTGAGAATGGGACCAGAGCATTCGGCTCCTCCTTTCTCTGGTCTTCTCAAGAACCCGCAACGGTCAATCTCACGGTACAATACAAAGACACGACAAGCTGCGACGGAAATCTTGTATTACGAAACTGTACCCTGATGGCCGCGACTGTTGACTATCCGGTTATTGTCAATGGCAATCAAAGCACAATAGAGCTTGACCCGGATTCAACCATGTTCACAGACCACATCTATAACATGACCAGTCTTCCGTACATATATACAGGCCCCACAACCTTAGGGGGTTTCTACAAAGCGCTCAGAGATACGTATGAATCAACAGCTAATCTTCGCTTCGTAGGTGCACTAGGGTATGAGCTGAGCGGCGACGGTGCAACGGCCAATCGCTATGCCGTTGTCAATCTAGACCCAAATCAAATGGATGCGGGACCGCAATCCAGCTGCAATCTCTCCTTCAGCGACCCAACGGATGACCTTGTTCGTTCGGCGCGCGATCTGATGTTTCGGTCAGCTGTTGCAGCTGCCAATGCTACAAACGCACAGCATGTGTCAGCGCAAGAGACAAGAACGGTACCGACATACGAATCCCGTTACCTATATCTTGGAATAGCAGTCTTGTTCACCGCCATTGCATGGCTAGCTACCCTCCCAATCTTCATCGGCTGGTGGCATGTTGGCCGAACCGTCAGCATGAGTCCAATTGAGACTGCCAAAGCCTTTAGGGCGCCTATGCTGCAGAATGCTGATCCGAATGCCATGGCTGATGAATTTGTGAAGGAGGTGGGGCAACGTCCAGTGCAATATGGGGCTCTGGCTACGCGCGACGGTCAACAGCAGCTCCTAGAGATGAATGATCCACAATTCGTTAGAAGGCCTCAAGAGGGGCAGTCATTTTCTGGATAGGGGTTCCTGATACTGTATTTGAACACCGCTTTTGTTCTTAGATTCCGAGAAATGAAGCAATGCCGACTCATCGTTTGACCTAGCGATAGATTTCCCATCTCTTAATGTTTTGAGCAGGACTTTAAGAATCTATATTGGCTTGTCTCGGCCACGAGTCAAGGTCCCCTCGTATCATGGAATTGAGTACTGAATACTCAGCGCTCTAGGCATACTCTCAGCGTATCGGATCTTCGCCGGCTTGCTTCGGCTCCATGATCAGGCTGGAGCGCTGACTTCTAAGAAGAGGCAGCCTTGATGAGAGCTAAGGGCAGGGTCAGCGCCCAATTGGGCTGTGGCTGAAGGTAGCTGCAGATCTAGTCTCAATCAAGACTCGCGCTAACGCCTATGCGACTAGCTTAGCAGACCTCGATCTTCCTCTTCAGCCGCACGTTCCTACATATTGCTCAACTTGTAGTGCTTGTCTCTACTGATGCAGCGATGGATTCTATGAACTATGAGGCCATATCTTTGCAGCCTGGACTCTTTGTATCCCCGCCGGACCCAGGCAATGCCTTTTTTGAGGTATGGCCGCAAGCTGGATCAGAGGTTAGCCTTGCCAATTCTGCAACGATTCCCTTTCTCAAGCTACGTGTATAGCCTATAATCAAAGAAGGATGTTTAAAAGACGCAGAAGTTGAGGCATGGATTGATCAAACAGTGGGCTTCTCTGCAAATATTCTTCTATTTACCGGGCTAGATACTTCATCAGGGGCGGTTTGAGGCACCTACAGCTTCGGATGGGAAGAGGTGCGGTGGGGGACTTCGTCTGATGTTGGTATCGCCATTAATCTCCATTGAAGTGTTGGCCTCACGCATGTCATCCAGTTTTGGCGGTCCTGAACCCGTGCGACGAACCTCGCCGGCCAGGGTACATACCCACGGGCATTTCACCAAGTTTTACATTCCCTTCATGCGAGATACATTTAGCATGCTATTGAAACGTTGCAAATTCTCTCGTCAAATATTGGACTTGAAAGCTCATCGTACCATCGCCGCTCACAGCTCATCCTATGTAATTCCAAGCGACTGCGGCACGGGTAGCATCCACAGTCTGTTTAGTTCTCTTCTATCCCGCATCGTAAAATTGAGTCTTGATTCACTCTAATGCCTTGATTCCGCGGACTAGGCTTCCTAGGATTGATACGACTCCATAATAGTTCGGCAGCAGTCTTAGCACATAGCTTCGACACTCAAAACGGCACGACCACTGGTATCATTTTACGCATAGACGAAGACGAAATGAAAGTCATCAAGAAATATATCATACACAACAGAGGACTTATAGGACAACGGCTGTTCCTTCGAGCCATTCTCACAAACCTAAGCCTTAAAGTAAGCATGCAACACTTGTCGGAGGTGAAAGAAGACGTGATGGACATCGAGCATAATACAGGCCAGCATACTTGGGACAATTATAGGCCTCGAGACTTGAAACTCAAATCAGATCTAGAGCTCTCCAGACTTGCACACGGTCTTCGAATCCAAGTGGCAGTTCTCGCTCGGAAAATTGAAGTAGCCTCGATTTGGCTTCAGCTCTTACAAGATGATCTAATATCAACGACTGCAACAACGGCATCGTCATCTTGTGTAGTGTATGACTTTCTCCAAGTCTCTAATTTCAGTGTCCAACTCGATTCATCGACGATGCTGCTACCTCAATGGCTACGAAACTTGAAGACACAGATCCAGCTGGCTAAGGTTGACGTAGAATTGGTCGGTAAGAGGGCAGAGATTCAGATTGGGGCTGTAAGTATATGACCACCTGTTCCTCTACCCAACTAGGTTGCTTCGATCTGTCTGCATCATGTTCAAGTCTCCTCTCCTTTTTTCGCAATACTAATAAGTTGAAAGGCCTACAATAGGTTCGCCCAACGAGACAACATAACTACTCAAAAGATTTCCGCAGCTACGAACCGAGATTCCTCGGCTATGAAATCCCTTGCTGTTCTCGGGGCCCTCTTTTTCCCGGCACATTCATGGCTGTAAGTCTCTTCTCTCGACTTTCTCAAGTGCTCCGTTTCTCTTTTCATGCCCTCTTGCCACTTTTTCTTGTGCTGCATTCCCACTTCGTTCTTTGACGAAACCAACCCAAACTAACGTAAATGCCAATGTGACTTTACGCTAATTTGACGTTACACATAGCAACTCTTCGCACTCCCCCAACTGGATGGCCAACCTTTCTGGATGTACTGGATCATTACAACACCGCTTACCATCGTTGTGTTAGGTTCGTGGATATATTGGACACACTGGCGAATCAGAAGTGTGGAGAAGCAAGAGATGGAGATGGACAAAGAAGCCAGGCGTTTAGCAACGGAGAAGCTCGCTTGATTTGTCATTGGTAATGTGATACAGGACTCGGGCATGAGTGAGGTTCTTTGGGAGATCGGGATTGAAGTTAGGAATGGCAATCATGATTTGACAACCTAGTCAGATATATTACACGGTCTTGAGATTCATAATACTTGTCTCTTGTCGGGCCTTATGCGCCTTGAGGGCTGTAAAGATCCAGACGTAACGTGCAACGCACGAGAGAGGCTCTGGGATGCCAAGCCTAGCCGGGCAGTGAATGTGAGGAAGTGAGCTCTATCTACATGGAGCCTCACTCGTAAGTTTTTTGTCAAATACACTACAGCATGGTTGCCTGCCCAGCATGCGGCAAGGAAGTCAAGCAAACGAACATTAATGCTCATCTTGATTCAAACTGCAAACAGCACATAGAAGTCCTGCTTTCTCATGCCGAAAACAAGAAGCCCGGAGCCTCGAGCTTCTTTCGCAACGCCCATTCAAATAGCCAGCCCCAGGCTCCCAGTCCCAGCTTCGAACAGCCTCCCCAGAATGGACCAGTCACTATAGGTGGAGGGCCGCTCGGCGACCGCCCCTTTGCGCCGTTCAATAGGAACTTCCGAAGGCCTTTTCCTTCTACCCCATCAGGACCTACGCCCGATCTTGACAAGAAGACACTTCAAAATTCTTCGACCACTACTAACGCGAACATCAAGACGGAGATTCGACCTAATGCTACCCCTAATTTCTCTGAGAGTAGAAAGCGGCGACGATCATCCAGCCCTTCAGTCGCAAACGGCACACCTCAGACGCCCCAGCCCAATCCCACACCTACAATAGAGAAGAGCGAGCCTTCTGCGAAGCGACCAAAGCAAAACGCATTTCAGAATGCGCAGCCTCTTGCTGATCGGGTTCGTCCACGAACTTTAGACGAGATACAAGGGCAAGAGCTGGTTGGACGAGATGGTGTTCTAAGAGGATTGATTGAAAGCGATCGCGTACCTTCGATGATATTATGGGGCGGCGCAGGCACAGGCAAAACTACGATAGCCCGAGTGGTTGCAAATGTATCAGGAGCGCGCTTTGTCGAAATCAATTCGACGAGTTCGGGAGTCGCAGAGTGCAAGAAGCTATTCGGAGAGGCTAGAGGGGAGCTCGGGCTGACGGGGCGGAAGACCATCATTTTCTGTGATGAGATCCATCGATTCTCAAAGTCACAGCAAGACGTGTTCCTTGGGCCCGTCGAAGCTGGGATCATCACGCTCATTGGAGCCACGACTGAGAATCCGAGCTTCAAAGTACAGTCTGCGCTACTATCGCGATGTCGAGTCTTCACTCTCGCGAAGCTGACTACAGAGGATATCACCTCAATCTTGAAGAGAGCTCTTAAAGCAGAGGGTCCTAATTACAATCCAAGGCGCGATCTGGTGAATGATGAAATGCTCAAGTATTTGGCTGCCTTCGCCGATGCTGATGCCCGTACTGCTCTGAATCTTCTTGAACTTGCTATGGACCTATCTAGGCGACCGAACACGTCACAAGAAGCGATCAAATCAAGTCTTACGAAGACTCTAGTATACGATCGAGCAGGTGATCAGCACTATGACACTATCTCTGCCTTCCATAAATCGGTTCGCGGCTCGGATCCAAATGCTGCCCTCTATTACCTGGCTAGAATGCTACAATCCGGCGAAGATGTGCTCTTCATTGCCCGACGTATGGTAGTTATGGCCAGCGAAGACATCGGGCTCGCAGACAACAACCTCCTTACACTTGCCACATCAACATATGCTGCTGCTGAAAAGGTCGGCATGCCGGAAGCACGTATCAACCTAGCCCATTGCGCCGTCGCGTTGTCTTTGGCGAAGAAAAGTACCAGGGCATACAGGGGCCTCAACAGTGCTTACGCGAAGTTGAACGAGCCCGGTATCGCTGCGCTACCGATACCGATCCATCTACGGAATGCGCCTACGAGGCTGATGAAAGAGCTGGGGTATGGCAAAGAATACAAATACAATCCAAAGTATTTGGATGGTCTGGTCAAACAGGAGTACCTGCCAGAAGAGTTGAAAGGCTTCGAGTTCCTTGAGAAGAGAGACTTGGGCACAGAAATCGACGAAGAGCTTGGAGAGGCTGATGGCTTCGGATGAAATCATGTTCGGGCATCAACTCGAAAACGAAAACTCACGGATGCTGCAATGCGTAACACCGAGCAGACCCTGATGACTCAAAGTACACCACTGCTACAGCCGCGAAACCCTCCTTTGTAAAGTGTAGCCACATCGGTTGACTCTAGGGACGGCCTCGTGTGGGATATCAGTATCTAGTTCTGGAACCCAGCATGCAGCGTAGAGAGACTACGAGGTATGAGATGGTCGACTCAAAGCATGGGTTGGGCCATTTGTCAGCTGGTAATGATGAGGAAATAGCCATGCCATTCGGGCCGGACATGCTGGGTAGGAAAGCTTCAGTGGCAAATATTAGAAGTCGTGATTAGGGATAGCCGGATGGGGGCAGGCGATTTACACAGGATAACATATGGGATTGAAAGCCCTCGGTCCACACTCACCCATCAATCAGCATTTGGTATAGTCTTGTTATCTAATCAGTATCAAGATCTAATCGATAAGTCTTAAAGTGTCCGGCTACTCCCATTACCGACCAGGGGTTCCTCGGCGATATCGGCGCTTCAAGGCTCAAAGCTGACTGGACGTGAGCATCCACCGGGTCCTCTACGTACTTCTACCTTTTCTTTGGTTCCGTCGTCAAATGTGATGCTACATCGTCTTCTCAATCAAACGGTAGCAAGCGTCTCATCTCTCAGACCACGATTGCAGTGGAAGAATTCATCAGCCTCGTATACAACCTCCACCATGGTTCAAGGCGATCCGTTCCGTCCGGCTGCAAGAGTAGCTGGACAGAAGCTTGATGTCTGGTATGAAACTTGGACGTGAACTTGATGCGCAAAAGACAATAATTGACGATGACCAATCAGGACGATTGTCAACGAAGGTGCTGCGAACTCGCCAGTACAACCAATTGTCAATATGGGGCAAGGCTTTTTGTGAATATGCACTCTCTGTTTCCATGATGACGTGATGCTTTCGGGACTAATGATGGAAGTGGCTACAATCCTCCCAAATACGTTACAGATGCCGCGAAAGAAGCGCTAAATAGGGTAGACTGCAATCAGTATGCACCAACTAAGGTCCGAAGCCTGATTCATAGTGCTCTCAATGGCAGGAGAAGCTCACAATTTCAAGGGTCGGCCAAGGCTCAAGAAAGCGATCGCAGAAGCCTACAAGCCAATCATGGGAAAGCCAATCGATCCAGATCGTGAGGTCGTCATCACCACCGGAGCAAATGAGGGCATGCTCAGCGCGTTCATGGCGTTCTTAGAACCTGGAGACGAGGTCATCCTCTTCGAGCCGTTTTTTGACCAGTACGTATCGCACTTACTTATCCGTACTCACATACAAAGATCGAACGCTCACCTACACAAGGTACATCTCAAACATCAAGATGGCTGGTGCCAACATTCGATATGTGCCGCTTACTCCGCCAGCGAATGGAGCTCAGGAGAAAACTTCTTCCGCAGACTGGTTGCTCAATGCTGACGCTTTGAAATCAGCAATAACGCCCAAGACGCGCATAATAGTTCTCAATACTCCACACAACCCACTCGGCAAAATATTCAACCCAGCCGAGCTCTCTGCCATCGCCTCTATCTGCGTCGAAAACAATATTCTCCTCATCAGTGACGAAGTCTACGATCGTCTGCCTTATGTCCCCTTCACACGCCCCGCTAGTTTAAATGATGAAATTGCGAAACTCACCCTCACCGTCGGATCAGCAGGCAAGAACTTCTACTGCACTGGCTGGCGCGTTGGCTGGCTGATTGGACCCGAGAATCTCATCAAGCACGTCGCGACCGCACACACCCGCATCTGCTACTCGACTGTCGGACCCCTCCAAGAGGCCGCCGCGGTAGGTTTCGAGCAAGCAGACAAAGAAGGCTTCTGGGAGCAATCAAAGAACGACATGCTCGGCAAAATGAAGCGCTTTTGCTCTGTCTTTGATGAACTCGGCCTGCCCTATTCAGAGCCTGAAGGCGGGTACTTTGTTCTCGCGAATTTCAGCAAGGTGAAGTTGCCTAGTGACTACAATTGGCCAGAGCAAGTTAAGGATCGGCCAAGGGATTTCAAGCTATCATGGTTCTTGATCACAGAGGTCGGTGTGGCGGCTATACCACCAACGGAATTTTATACGCCGGAGAATCAGCACTTTGTTGAGGACTGGTTGCGATTCGCGGTTTGTAAGGAGGATGATGTGTTGGAGAAGGCAGAGGAAAGGCTAAGGGGGTTGAAGAAGTACATGTGAGGGCAATGCGCTACTTTGCAAGTACCCGCAGGGTGCCCAGGGACGCGTAGGAATACTCTGCAGGGCTGGAACGATTCTTCACAGCCTGGACACGGTGTCTCAGAAAGGACTGACACGCGCGATGGGCGCAGTACAGGCGAGTAAGATGAGAGGGGTGCAGAACGCTGTCAGCCAGCCAGTTCATTCCAAGGCTGACCAACCAGGAGCCTGTGTTAGGTCAAACTACCAGCTGACTCGCATACAGGCTTACAGCGTGAGATTATAGACGATATTAGACTTGGCATGCATTTAACAAGACCACCACACAATCTCACAGACCGATGAATCTTGTCGAATTCGCTCTCGTTCAGGATACCTACCGCTTCTGTCGTTTTGAGTCACAGCAAATCCGACGAAGATGGTCGGCGTATAATAACAACCGACAGATTCCTCCCTCATCATTACGACTCTGCCACTTTCTACCTGCTTTGATCCAATTATCCTCCTGTCGCTTATTTCTGTGTTGAAAGTGCTCAGACATTGATCCCTTGGTACCCAATTGACAACGATGAAGCCCCCTGAAGACACAGAATTGCAAACCCGCCGATTGCGATCGCCAAGCCGTCACCCTTTCCCCCCGGGGCCGAGAACCCTAAAGCCGGCACTTCTCGGGAATGTCTCACCCCTAATCTCAGCCCTAAATCTTCGAGAAGACATGACTCGTCAAGATTCAATCTCGACCTTTTTCTACAGCTTCTCTTTCCATGGGCTACCACCGTCATCTTGGCTGTTCTTCTCGTTGTCATCGTTGTTGTGTATCATAGGAAAGAGGTTATTACTTCGGGCCAGAAAGATACTTTCAATGGACTTACTATTGCTCTTCTTCTACTGTTAGGGTTGAGTTTTTTCGTATGTCTAGTAACACCATGAAGATACTCTGACGCTGCTAATGCAACTGGACAGGAGGCATTCAAGGAACTTGCACGTGCTCTTCCGAGCCACATCATTGCCTGGTTCGACCCGCCACAAAGTGCAATTCCCTCGATACAGAACTTTGACAGCTTGAAAAAGGTCGCGACATTGAGTTGCGCCAGGGGGCTATTTCTTGGGGACTCCGGCTGTGGTGTGTTCTTTGGGTAAGTGCCTGCTTTCTGATGCAGTTTCTCAAATTTGCAACGCTGGTTTCAATCCAGGCGTTGTTCATCGACCAAAAGTATGGTAGACCCCACGCTAACCTTACGACTTTTAGATATCGCTCAACCTCGTGAGTCCTCAAACCATGAACATCCATCTCATGCTAACACTTGAGAGATCGCGCAAGGATCAATTGCATTGATCAGTCTCACTGCCACTGTCAATGATGGCAACAATTACAATACTACATATCTGCGAAGTGGACAGGTGGTTGCGTCAAACCTTACCTGCTACTTTTCAAACAAAACATGTCCGATCTCTCGGGCGGCGACCAATGGTCTCGCCCACTCATATGGCGAGGCGATCCTGGCCCCAGACTGTGGCGGCTTCAATCAGCTGAATAACAGTGGGCACCCTTCACAGAATTGGCAATACTATTGCCGATACCCACCAGCAGAAGATGCCGATTCCCAAGCATTTGGTTACCGCTTTAAGGAGTACAATCCAGCTGATAAGCAAAATCTCTATCCGCGCTTCACGAATCGCCGCATTACGGCCTTTTCGGGCGACTGCCGTCAATACTCTGTCATCGGCCAACCACAGAACGATACCATTGAGGATATGAGCGCCACGCAATTCACATACACCAATGGCTCCTACAACGGTAGCATATCGATCCCTAACTCTGCTCTCGGCCTCAATGGAACTACATATCTTTATAGAGGCTTCAATTCGCCAGAAAATGCAACAGACTTCCTCTGCGGCGACCGCTGTCTTCTCATGTGGGCGTACAAAAATAAAGGCGGTGATCAAGGAAGGACCTTCTTCGAGTGCCCGATCACGGTTAGTACTGTCACTAATGCAACATCATCTGATCATGCGGTCCGGGAAAACGTAGCTAGAGTGGCGGCTGCGTCAATCGCCTTGCAGGGCCGTTACACTGACGCCAACACTCGGTCTGTCCCCCCTGACCAGAGAGACTTTTATCAGTCCCAGTACTATGCGGAAGGGTATGTAATGTCCCGCCTTCTCATCGCCTGTTAGGCAAACAAGAGATCTACTAAATTTGTGTTCATCTTAGTCACCCATGGGAGATTCACGGCCAGAGTCCCAGAAAAGTCGGCGCAAACATGGCACAATCCGCAATTGGAGCTATATCAACTATGGTAGATCTGAACCCGCAGATCCGAATAGCGGGCACCGTACCCTATCTGGGTAGTAGAGTAATCGTCAAATGGAAGTACTTCGAAGCGCTTATGGCCTGCATCGTAGCAGCTCATTCAGTGGTCGTTGCTCTGAACTATGTGGCGATCAAGACGGCACGTGGTTCATAAAGAACGACGAAACCCTGTCATAATGAAAAGTGCACCAATTGAAGACCCGACGTATGAATCAGTACCTTGGCGAGCTGAACTCCTCTACCTCATCGATTCATGCTCTACAATACACTGCTATCTAATTGAATTCTTCTAGCCCTTCGAGTATCTAGACCACTGTAGCTTCTCCCGCTTTAGCCCGAGTCGAGTAGCCTGGAGGAAATATCAGTGATTGACATCGTTTGAATGAACATGGCTTACAAATTACTTTCCATAAGCAAAGATGATATTGCCACATCGTTGCCAGCAGAAGCAGCATGTTGAGGGTACCGAAGAGGATGGCAACAACGATGTTAGGATCTATGGGGTAATTAGCCTGGAACTGCTTGGTGAAAGAGTTCAAGTGAAACTTGGAGTTGATGCCTACGGACATATGACTAGCGTCTAGAAGCAGAAATTACTTTAAATGTCTGGTAGAATGTTTGCCTCAGTAAGGGATCACCGGTGGTATATATCGCTAGAATTCCTTCATAGCCATTCATGGTCAAGGTCCCTGCAGCAAGATTGTGAGTAAAGATCTGGATACTCTAAGGTTTGGGACTACATTGTTCCCAAGCAACATGGAGGATTTGAAGGCTAGAGTGGCAGGCCCTTTGACTTAAGAAGGTGGAGGTGATCACAAGGCCCTCAGATGTTGCTACCAGTGAACTACCTTCAGTAAGAGCGAGGAAGACGCAGGTCTGGTGCATCACAACGCTCAAATCATGATGATAAGTGTAGGTGATGGAATAACTGACACAAGTCACAAAGCGATAGAAGCACAGCGCTTCAAGTGCATTTTTGGACAATGCTACAGACGAATCTTACAATCGATGCCCTACTACTACGGGCAGTTTCCCCTCTTCCCTCAGAAACCACACAAAGCTCGAATGCCAGCTTGTCTAAATCAAGACATTTTGATGTTCGAAGCAAAAGACCTCATAACAGTCGCACCGCGCGAAGATGATCACCACGTTTGTTTCTGAGACATTCGCAAATCCTCCGATTCAAATCCCACGCTTTCGGTTTTGAGGCGCAGGGCTTTCAACAACAGCGATGTTTCTCGACCAGCCTGCCAACATGAGCGTATGTCTCAATCTGCGATCGGACGGTCATTTCACAAAGAGTAGAAACATAATGATTTTCCTCTTTTGTGGATCCATGACCGGAACTTGGTCTATTCAATCAATGAGCATGCTACGTATCAGTCCATTACGATGTTCAAGCTCCTCATCTTCGCTCTAGGACTTTCATTCGTCAACACCATGACATTGAACCCGGCTCCGTCCGGGAACTCTCCATGCCAGAATACAACACTCAGTAAGAGATCTGTCGATGACATTACGGCAACATCACTGTAAGAGGCTAAGCCCCCATGTCAAGCCTTCTAGATGCCTTATCTAAAGAATCAGCGACAGATCCTGCCCACCAAATTCATTCACAAAAGACCGCCCCGACCACCACGAATGGAACATAACGATTCCCGACTCCCCACTACGCCTGCAAATTGAGAGCGGCGACCCCCTCAACCACCAAACCCTATCCCAATCCCTGCGCCTCTTCCAATCCTCCATACGATCCGAAATCGAAGAGAAATGGGAGCCCGAAGGCCCCCTCGAACGTGACCACCACGATCCTTTCATCAGCCGCCGCAGGCTTCATGACAACATTGGCATACAGCTCCATGTCGGCTCTCGCGACCCCAATAATCCTGTTGAGCGGCTGCGTTGGCGCGATTTGGAGCAAATTGTGGAGGGACTAAGCGCTGCCGTGGGGCAAAGGGAAGATTGGAGTTATCTTTTTACATTTAACGTGTGGGACGATGACTATGTTTCTTATCGGCCTATTGGGGTGGGGAGTTTGAAGTTGGTTCTTGTAACGGTAGGAAATCTGACGGAGAGTGTTGGGTCTTTGCCTCAAATCTCGAAGAAAGAAAGGGCGTAGAGTCAAGTAACGTCGTCCGTTCTAAGAGACTTCATCACCTGGGCCTTCCTGCTCGAACACCGTAGGTGTGAGCTTCGATATCCGTGTGAACGTATGACTCCTGGACGAGCTCTCAAAAACGGACCCTTCAGAGTACGTTCTCCACTGTCTCTGCTCGAATAATGATGCCTTGTGAGCAATGCCGCTCGACTGCAAGGAACTGAAAGTGATCTGAACCGAGCGCGGTTCATCAGCCTTGAATCCTGTACTATGTGCCACGGTGAATACAGATGCGTGCGCCTTCTTGACCAATGGCGAGATCCTCTCTTCGGCAAACCTTTTCCCGTTAAGGAGAAGTAGTTCAAGAGGAGAAGCGATAATGGACAGTATATGAGAAGGATGAGGGTCAGGGCAGACTCAAGTCGCTCCCAAGCAAGATCACAAACAGATATGGCAGAATGCTGGACCGGTTTGAAGCACGTCAAGGAAACGTCATTCTGAAAGTTCCTCATGGCTGGTGTCTAGAGCACCATTTCGGCAGCGGAGGATGACTTGCCGATGGGAGTTTCTCCCACGCTATCTCGCTCTAACATATTCGATAGTGATACTTCAACAGAGTTTCGCCACTGCTAATTCTCTCTCTTCTTCGACGCGCGTATTATTGTAGAGATCTCGGCAGGCTTGATCCTGATCCTGATCATCCAGGCTGGGGAACAAGGAGATTTTGCTAGACACACAGAGGTCCGCATTGTGACTGCTGATATTCTTTCGAATTCTCATGATCACGCTATGTCATTGCCAGACCTCTCTGCTGTGGCCTGTGCTCATCTATAATGGAGATGGAGCATCTATGAAAGTGGGATGGTTATTCGCCGAAAATCTGGCAGGTAGGAGAATTTTCTTTTTTTATGTATCGGCTATCTTGAGATCTTTTGCGTTTTTAATCTACGACCTCGTCTCATTTGACTGTTTCTGTTTGGAAAATTCCAAGATCTAGTCTCCTACCTCAAGCTGCACTCCGCCAAAGTCGAGGGGGAAAAACCCCTTTCATACACACTTGATGACGCCTAACAGATCAAAGGAGACCAAACACACTTTACATCGCCCTTGATTTTCAAGAATCGTCAGAATTGTAACTCGCTCACATCAAGGGCACAACCTAGTGGGATAGGCTGCGGCTCTATCACCCTTTTCGCCCCCAACTACCGGATGTTTTCAGCGAGCCGTGTTTAAGACACCAACACCGGAATCTTTCGCATGCAAGATCTGAAACGGGTACTGTGGAGATCAATATCGTGTTTCCCATCTGCCTTTTCAAAAATCGATGGAAATGTTGGACTCCAAAACAGAACTCATTCGGCTTGGCGTTGGTGATGAACCTTGAGCTTCATCTAAGAGGCAGGTGAGGTGGAGCTATGACCAAATCTGTGCGACTTGCTTGTTGAGCTGGATGTATATGTTGGGGAGCTCCTCGATGATGTCGTTGCTGTACTCCTTGGGGTGATAGACTACTCTTTCTCAGCTCCCAGTCAGTCCTTCCCAATCTATCCTTTTCTAACAACGCTCTCGTCAAAATGAAGAAGATACACACTCTCTTCCCTTTCTTCTTTCTCATCTCTCCCATCTCAGCATGGGTCCTTCACTGCGATGGTCCCGTGCCCCCCTCCTCAGGACCCCGTCTCCTCGATTTCCCCACCCTAACAAACCTCTGCTCCACCTACCCCTACGGCCTCGGGCTCATCTGCGGTCCGAACGGCGAAGTCATCGTCGGCATGCCATTCGCAAACCTCTGGATCGGACCACCGGATCCCAATTACCTGGCCACGGCCTGCCTGACAGGCTGTCAATGCGCAGACATCGAGCCCGACACCCCGGGAATGGCGGTACCACCGCGTCCGGGCCAGCAAAATGCAGTACCAATTGCGCAAGTAATCGATATGGACCAAGCTGCGCCGTTGGCGGAGAGGATTCATAGCTGCTCGGACTGGTATGGGAGCCCGCAGTGGGGGCATTGTGCGAATGTGATGGGGATAATGGATCAGGAGTTTGCGGCCGCGGGGGTGGATGTGGTTCAGAGCCGGCAATTTGTTGGAGAGGCTGTACAAAGTCCATCCAATGGGGCGACGATTTTGCCAAAGACGTACTCGTTTGGTAAGCAAGACCCGTCCTGAGATCCTTGTGGCTGGAGGGCGGAGAAGTAATTTTGGGTACAGAGAGCTGCTTCGTGACGTTCTACTTCGATAGTCCGCAGCAGTCTGCAAATCAGCCTTGGGAAAGGCTGCAGGTCGATTTTCTCGACATTGTCGATGATTGCGTGCGGACACAGGGGAAAGGGGGATTAGCCCCGGCTTCGCCAGGTAAGAAGGGAACCCGCTGTCTTTGGAAAGAGACGTTGGCTGATTATCCAGGCCATCCCATAAACGTCGTCGTCTACGGCGCGGTATCCAATGAGAAAAGATTCCGCGACCAGAACACCTACTCAAAGATCGACACCGGCGGCAACGCCATTTGCGGCACTCTCAACTCGACTACATCGTCCACAGACAGTGTGCAGAACTCGTATTCATCAGATGGACAGACCAGCGTGGGCAGTAATTGCTATACCCAGAAAGACTGCCAGAGCCAAGTAGATTCCGTCTGTGCATACAACGGCGACGTGGACATGCCGATCGATAGCTCGTGGGGGAAATTCACTTGCACGAATGTGGCGCACGCGGGCTTTGCTGTAGCAGCGGCGCTCTCATGGAGTAATTGCTACACGGGACGGTGTCTCTTGGAAGCCGATGGTACGTTGTTTATTTCGCAGGCGACGGGCAATGCGACGGAGGTGGCAGTGAATGGCACGTCTCCGACATTGGATCGCTACCTGGAGCTCCATCAGGACTCGCAGATCTGGAAGACGGTGAATGAGTCGATAAGTGCATCTGGCAATGCAACCGGATCGAATGGTGCAAACAGTGCTGGGAGTACGTCGCAGAACGCGAGCATTCCAGCGCCTTTGAGTGCTGATCCGTTCCTCTGTGCATGTAATTGTACTTATTTCTCGAGATCTTGCTGTCTTGCGCCCATTGTCTTCGAAGATGCCTCGCCGCAGGGCAAGAATAGCAGTTTTAATCAGATTCTCAAAGGACCGGAGGGGCAATGCTGCGATCGTGACACGGGGCTTTTACAGGATCTTTCTTCTTCGAAGTACGAGAACACAGCGGATAAGGATGGTGCTTGCATAGAGTCTGCTTGATTTGCGGGGCTGAGGTCGATAGTCATATCTGGAGGTTTGCTTAGTCAACTCAGTCTGAGAATGAACGGAGCTCTATAATGAATGAAAAGAATACTTTGAGTTCTTATGTGAATTGCTTCACACTCGTCTTGTCATTACTTCAAATTAATGATTCTGCCTACTTACTAAGCCGTCCAGCGTGCTTGTTTCTAGGGAGAAAACAACGAGCGTTCACGTGAGTCCGTGTCCTCCATACTTTCATCGACTAGTCTCGTCAAGCTTCAGCTTATCGCCCCAAGAGCTTTAGCTTGTGCTCTAACCTCCTGATCGACGGTGTTCCACAACTTTGGTGCTCGCGCTGAAGCCGTCCGATTTGTGCGAATGGTCCAGAGGTCAAATGTGGCAGCAGAATCCAAGAACCAGGCATACGGCATCCAGAAGGTACCATCACCGCTCCAGTCTTTTCCCCATGAGTTCTGCACACGTACTTGCTCTCTACTGTCATCGTATCCGATCGCCAGAGAAGAGTGACCCTGTGTGCCGTCACTGAGCTGCAAGTCCTTGGACAGGTTCCAAGGGTTCGTATGGCGAGGGAACAAGCTGTTCGGCGTGTTCCATACATCATCCAAGACAAATGGTGTTTAAGTCTGGTTGAACATAATGTCGATGTCTTGGTAGAACCAGAAGCTGAAAATAACGGGGAAGCCTTCAGCCAAACAATTCCTCAAGTTTTCAAGGGTAGTTTTCCCGACTTGTTCCTTCATCACCTGGTCCAGCGGGCTGTCAAAATCTTCTGGCCGACCAGGATCCAGTCGATAGTAGTAGGCAAATTTATGCTGCGCTGCAACATCGAAAGCAAGAGCAGTTGGCTTCGCGTTGACAACGCGATCTCTTCGTTTCTTCGCTTCGTCTTCGAAAGCCTCGCCGTAAAGGTTGGGCCTTTCTACAATGACTCTCATTCGGATCGCTGTATCGTTGACAAAAGGCCAGAAGAATTCCAAGCACACACCGACTTCGGCAATGCCTCTCACGGTATTCCGCGTTTTCGCGCCATGATCAGTGGCATTGAAAACATTGTGATGTTTATTATTCTTGAAGGCTCCACGGGCAATCCAATAGACGAAGAGACGTGAAGGACCTCCAGTACCCCAGAAACTTTGACGAAACCCAGCGTTCTCCTCATACCACAATGCTGCAGTAACAGCATTTGCGGTACAAGAGCCTGTCCGGCCTTGGTCATAGATGGGGAAACTATAATTTGCATGGGCCCGACGAAGATTTGTAGAAGGGGGCGGCTTTGTATAGGCGTTCGCTACAAAGTAGTGGTCTTTCGGATTGAACCGATCTCTTATGACACTGTGCGTGTTGACACCTATAGAGGGAGCCGATACATTAGAGATGGTTGTAAGCTTTCAACGGTCAAATAAACACGCACCGAAGGGTATTCGTGGATGGGTCGGCTTTCTTGACAATGAAGGTGGGTCGGATTGGGGGTCATCAAGGAGTATCGACGTTCTAATCATCTCACAAGGAAGGGGCAATATCAGAGAGGTCATTGCAGCAGTCAACAGCCTCTTTGATAGCCTCATTTTGAAGAGCTAAATGACAAGCTGTGCTGTGAGTATGGGCCAGCAGATGAAGAGGATAGTCGCAGGCGAATCAAGTCACACAGACAGGAGGCCTTCAGTAACGATATGCTTATTTATGCTTCGTTATCAATATGACGATGCGTGAATATCCCGATTCAGCAAGGAGGTCTTGATCGTGGGACAGAGGGATTTCGTAGAAGCAATGAGAGAGTACTCCCGTTGGCAGGCCGACGTGATAGAAGCAGTACAGCTTGGGCTGTTGGACCCTCAAACGGTGTTGACATCCTATCCTTTGTTTAAGATGAGGCATAGGATGAGGCATGTAGTAGGTGGCTTCATGGGGGTTGTGGGATGCCACAATAACTCCATACTGTTCATGCTCGAATCTCAATCATTAGCTTGACACTGTGTGAACAATGCAAATATCACGTATCTATGATTAAATAGGCCTTGCTGCTAAAGTCTGTGCCGAAACAATTTTTTTTGCTGGTTGAAGGTACCTTCACCTGCTCTCACTTCGTGGAAAGCAAAATGATTCAGATTCCCAACCCTACCTTACCTGATCCCCGCTCTCTCATTAATCAATTTGCATTTATCAAATCGTGCACACGCGTGATGGATTGTCAATATCATCTAATCCATGAAGCCTTTACTTCACACAAAGCACCGACTCCTACCACGTCGTCCCATTCGGTTGATTCGGTTGCAATACCGTTATAGGCGAACAGTTCTCCCCCGCCTTGATCGTATAGGTCCACGCGGTTGGCTCACTACTAGTACCGGGCTCGTTCCACATGACGAGAGGTGTCGCGCCCTCGTGGTAAGAAGCGTCAGGAATGACGCAGAGACACTTGCCTGTGTAATCTTCGGGACAGTGTTCTTTGGGATGAAGGATTTGAGCGGGAGAGCCACCCGGTAAGTCCTGTGGCAGGGGGTTTGCGAAGATTTGAGTGCCGAGGAGGAGTGTAATAGCGGTGGTAAAGGCGAAGGCCACCGTGAAGAGCATTGTGTATTGTAGAGACGCTTGATTCTGAGGAGGATGAATATGGTGTTTTGACTTTTATGGAAGGATCGGATAGTTGTGAGATGGCGGTGTTGTAAAAGGGACAAAATTTTGATTCTTTCTGTTCAAGATGGTAGAGAGGTTGTACTCATTTATGGATAAGGAGGCTACGTCGAAGATGTACGCTTGCCTATTCGTGAGTACTGCAACGATACTTATAAACGGCGCCCCCTCATTCGTTAAGCTGATAGCTCGAGACTAGGCAGTAATCATATGATGTATCAAAAAGTCTTGTTGTTACCTCTGTCAAGAGTTTCATCAACCGTAGGGGCGGCCAGCATGTTGGTCCCCTTTACCGTATATTCTTCAAATGTATCGTTTCGAGGCTATCTTCTGTAAGCCGGTCCGTGGACCTGATCCTTTCCATTTACATAAGACTTGCTTCACTCTGAAACGCTTCTCAATCGACCTTGGGAATGCGGCGACGGAACGCTTCCAGGAATCCACAATGTCTTGCGGCTATCCAGTCCTAGCTTCAACTTTGTGGCCCCATTTCAAGATGTCATTCATTGATTTACTTTGCATTGTCCCTATTGTGAGCTCCTATGATATGTCAGCGGACCTTGTAAGGAACGCATCAGTAGTGATACGCAAGTGTCTACATAAATCTTCGGAAGGACGTTCCATCGACCGTTTTGCGGACGGATTCTCAAGTCTTTGCACTCGCGTGGCTCTCCAAAGGCACACTCTCAGGGTCACCTGCAATAGTTATATGTCCAAATCTAGGAAAATCGAGGTCGTAGCTCTCACACAAACTTCGATTGCCATTGTCGTTGCATGTCGAATCTGGGGTGTCGAGCTCTAGATGGGGAGAGAAGTCTATGCAAGCATGAACGGGCCGCAAAGATGTTCACGACGACCCGTCGCTACGTCAGAGGTATTTTTCTAAAGATGTCTTAAGATAGAACATCTCCTGAAATCTCCGCCGCAAAGCTTGAATTCGAAACACTCAGTCCTGGGAAAACACTTCCCGAAGGAATGGCGAAACATTGTCCCGGAAAGAGACCAATGGTACACTCTGTTCTTCCCATCTGGAAAATGGGGTGAAGATATTGTAGATCTTCAGATGCACCAAGATCCATTGGAAGTGGAGCGCCAAAAATAGATCCGAAACGCGGCCTGCTAGCAGGAACGACAGAATCTGTGCGTTTCAGCATTCGCCCCCACTCTGGGACTACGGCCTTCAGGTTGGTATGAAGGCACCGGCCATGATCGTAGGACCTTGTTCGCCGACCGTGTAATTGTTGCTTTCCCCATAGTCGATAGTCTTGCTTAGGGGATCTTGGAACCTTGGCGGTCATCAGAGATACCTGCTACCAGAATGCGGCAGCAAACCCTCCAAGAACCAATTCATCATGATTTCGACCAAATGTAAACAAGAAAGTCTTTTCATACGGGGCCGTCATGCCGTTATTGATGAGAACCAAAAGCGAAAAGCTTGACATTCGATCTTCAAAGCTTGGTGGATTGCTCTGATGGATAAATTGCAGTCAACCTGTTTGGAAGCTTTGCCAAAAGCCAGTTCCTTCGGTCCGATCATCGCAATTCGTCCCGATAATCCATAGAGAATGTCGAGAAACATTGGTTGATGACATTGTCGTCAAAGAAGGTCACGCCCCGCTAGATCAAAAAGGGCTAGTGTCTTGGCATGGTCGCGTAGGGCTTAGCGAATCTAGCACATTGAACATCCCATCAGTGACAAGCACCAGCAGCGACAACCACCCAACTTCTACGCGAACACCTGTTGCGCTGGCTTACGACTCGTGAATAACAGGTGAGGTACTCCATTGCGTCTACTTCACATTGTGCTCTTTGCTCGTGGCCCGTCCAAATGATCATTCAGGTGCCTCCGCTAACTTTCCCCCTCTAGTCGTCCTCTCCCACCGCAATCATGGGTATCTCAAGAGATTCGCGTCACAAGCGGTCAGCATCTGGAGGTACGTGTTCCCGAGAACCCTACATCTCTCAACGAACAACCCCCACCACCGTCCTACCAATCCCATAATCCCTCGGCCATGTCCGAAAAGCTATGGAACATTGAAGAACACTGACCAAGACCCCGTCTCCAGCAAAACGAAGTTTCTTCCGCAAAAAGAGGTTCGCAGACCCGAGACTTCCTCCGCCACCATCCCTCCTCACCACTAACACAACCCAGAGCATTCGAAAAAGGCCGCCAACCAGCCAACACCCGCATCGGGCCCAAACGCATCCACCCCGTGCGCGTGCGGGGCGGCAACCAAAAATTCCGCGCCCTACGCCTCGACTCGGGCAACTTCAGCTGGGGCAGCGAAGGCATAACCCGCAAAGTACGCGTAATCTCCGTATCCTACCACCCGTCCAACAACGAGCTCGTGCGCACAAACACGTTGACGAAATCCGCCGTTGTGCAAGTTGACGCCGCGCCTTTCCGGCAGTGGTTTGAAGCGCACTATGGGCAAGCGATTGGGCGGCGGAGGCAGAAGAAGGAGCAGGAGGAGGTGGAGGCTAAGAAGAGTAATAGTGTGACGAAGAAGCAGGCGGCGAGGGTGGCGGGGACGGCGAAGGTGGATCCGGCGATTGAGAGGCAATTTGAGGCAGGGAGGTTGTATGCGGTTGTGGCGAGTCGGCCGGGGCAGAGTGGGCGGTGTGATGGGTATGTGCTTGAGGGGGATGAATTGGCTTTTTATTCGAGGGCTATTAGGAAGTAAGAGCGTGAGAAGGGGGGATGGCTACATGGTAGTGGATGTGTGCTATCAGATGTACTCAAGCAAGAAATGAAGAGAGCCTACATGCAAGCTATTGGTTTTATACTCTGAGTCAACCTGAATGCCATCCATTGAGGACTCTCCATGGGTGAGAGGAGCCCAAAGTCAAGTGTTCGCTGATCAAACATTCAATACTCGTCTGCTTTAAATGCATCGATGCTGATTATAAGTACACAACGTATCTTACTCTACCTCTTACAAAGAGGCAGAAATCCCACACGCCTCTAAATCAAGCGCTATTAGGTATCAAGCCCGCGATACCAGTCGCAAAAATGCTCGACATCAAATGATGCAACACCACATCACCGCTTGTAACAAAGAAAAAGCGTCTCCCAAATGCGATATACCAATCCACCTGTTGATTGCCGCACCTCTCGGGATGCCCACCTCAAGTCTTCACACCATGACGCCAGCTCACACTCTGCAGATCTGCCACACTGACGCCCCCACCCCGGCCCACCCCACCCCCTGATACCGAACAATTATACCCCATCCCAATCCCTCACTCCTCTCCCAAAGCGCTCATCCCGTTAACCTTTCCCCCACCCCTACCAAACTGACTTCCCATCCTCGTAATCCCCAACATACTCAGCCTTTTCTTCATCTTACTAGGCGTGCCACTGCTTCTTGAAGACTGACTCGTCGGCGGCCTCGGTACCTCTTTCCGCGCAGGCGACAGCGCCCCGCCCGCAACCCCCACACTCCCTCCACTACCATTCGTCAGAAACGGCGTCGAGCTCGTCGTTGAACCTAAGGGCGTGACTTGCGCTGTGCTATGGCTGTGGCTGCGTGACGAAGAATCGCCTTCTGAGGGTGCAGAGACAGAGCCGTTGGGTTGCTTGTTTTGAGTGGAGCTTTGCAGACTGTTTTTGAGTGCGTTGAAGCTGATGCGGGATTTGGGAACAGTGGGCCGGGTGGTGGGGGATAGACTGTCTGGGGGTGGCGCGGAAGATCCGTTCGTGAGTGGTCTGGAGGTTTCGAAGGAGGAGAGGCCTGGACTGAGGTTGGTGGATGGTGGTGGCGTAGAGAGGAGGTCCTGGAGCTCGGGCTCTGCCTGTGGCTGGATTGGAGGTTGGAGAAGGGCGATTTCGGGGGCGAAGGTATGGTGGAGATTTGAGGAGAGGGAGGAGTGTGTACCAGTGTGGAGCGGGCCGGTGTAGAGGCTTAGGCAATGTTTGAGCATGGAGACGTGATCCAGGAGGGCAATTTGTAAGGCGTTCTGCATGGGTGATTGTGGTTGCGGTTCTGAGATCTCCTCCTCTTCGACGGGCTCTACAGGATCCAGTAGCTGGCGGTACTGAGCTACTGTGGCGACTGAGTTGGGATCGACCGATGAAATGATCGCTTCGGTCATATTGGAGAATCCTGCTTCATCACCCGAGATGACTCGCTTTTCAAAGGTGGCGAGTTCGGCAGTCTTCCGCGAGGTTCTCTCAACGGCGGTTTGCAGTGGCGTTAGCTGGACGGTATTAATGGCGACGATCTCAGACCGGCGCAGAATTGTTGGAAACGTCTCTTTTGTGGTGTAAATGGTCTTCTCTATCCACTGGTCCTGCACGCCTGAAATCGGCGAATGGCGCTTTGAGGTTACAGCAAAGCGGTAAGGACTCGACGAAGTCACGTATTCTCTTGTAGATTGAGCAACCTTTGACTGCTGGTAAATCGAAAGCTCGAGGTCGCGATGTATACTGACTGGCTGGACTTGCAGATATTGACCTTCCATGTCTTCAGGCTCGCTTTTCAGAAGTATCTGTGCTGAAGGATGCGATTGGCGCATCCGGTCAGTGAACATTGATTGCTTTTCCTGTGCTTCAGCCTGGTAGATGTACTGTCGATCACGGAGATTGGGTTGGAAGCCGAGTCCCAGAAAGATCACCCTGAAGTAGCGCGGTGGAGACCAATCCCCTTTGCCTACGGTCTCATATATCGTGGCCATGGCTCGCTGGGTTCTAGCCAATTTTGCGAATTCGAAGTACACATGCTCATACTGAGTCGCCAATTCACGGTAGCTAGCTAGTGCGCAATCCCATGCTGAACCCTCTTCAAAACATCTAATCATCTCAAAATTTAGTTGCTCTTTGCGCTCGAAAGATGATTGTTCGGGATAAGATGGACCTTCCAATGACCTCACCTTGGTTGACTCCCATGTATATAGATCAGCATGGAGTTGAAGAGCCAGACCCGCTTCAGTTTTATTGCCTAGCTCCTTCTGCATATCGGCTAGTTGATGGACGTAGCGGATGAAAATGTCTTCCTTTTGCATGTCCTTGTAAAAATTCATCAGCAGCAATGTATCCATTGTTTTCATCGAGTCGTCCGTGCCGCCGCTGTGCACAGCCGCAAGAAGTTCAAGAAGCTCGTCGATAATTGACACCATGTCCCGGATCGCTTGCCACAAAGGGTCAAGAGGCATGCGCGTCAACTCTTGGAACGCGTCCAAAAACTCATTGACAAACATCTTTGCAACGAGGGTATTGCTGACGTCTCTTGACTTATATAGATTGTCGAGGGACTCTATGATCTCGGCTTGAACCACACCCAGGTCCTCATTCAAGGTCCACTCGCTGATGACCATAGACTGTATGATCCTCACTGCGACACCTCTGAGACCTTGATGCACGCTAAGGCATAGCTCAACAATTGGAGACACTAGGCCAGGCACGTATTGCACTTGAAACCCACCCAAATGTGAGAGCCCATAACGCTTGTGGTCTTCTGGTCCTGTGTCCCATCCAATGGCCTCCCAGCTGCGTTTGAGTAATGCTGAACCTTGCTCACGTACATCACCCGCAATCTTCCATACAGCTCGTCGCTTTTGTTCTGGGAACGTCTCAAGCGCGAGCGTGTCACTTCGAACAAGAAGTAAGAGAGTTTTTAGGTAGCTGTTCCAGAGATCCGTATTGAAAGTATCAGCTTCCTCTGGAGACGGCACTAATTTAGTCTCCATCACGTTGAATGTTGTCTCAAGGACTTGGAGCATAGACTTATGGTGGTACACGTGAAGACTGAGCCACGATTTTGGGAAAGCCTTGTTCGAGAGGATGGAAGTTACGACATTCAGAATGTGGCTTGTTAGGCCGGCCATCTCCGTTGCAGATGCATCAGCCGAGTCGGTGAACATTTGATTAGTGAGGCTAGCAATCAGAGCGGCGAGCTCTATCATCGCTTCGTCGAACTGGCTGCCACTTATGACGGTCTTGGCTGGAAATGGGTAGGTGAGTGGAAATAAAGGGGAGAAAGTACCATGATTGTTTGACTCAAGGGCTGCTAAGGTCGAGTATGTCTGCAATATCTTTTCAAGGTACCGCTGTCCATCAAATCCAGATTCGACAGCTTGTCTACTGACAATCGAGCAACAAAGCCGGACCTGTTCGCGATATTGTTGTGATGCCTCTTCGCAAAACCCCCAGTAAGGATCAAGCCATTTGAATGTGTTTGACACAATACGGCTACGCACGTGTTCCTGGGAGAATAGTGTGATGTCGAGAAGCTTCAAGACAAGAACAAGCTTATACATTATCAATTGGCCCTGAACCTCTCTGCATGCCTCAACAAAGTTGCACGCCAATTGAAGGATCTCCTCTTCCGAGAAGACAGACTTGAGCTCAGGTAACCATGTAGGGATATGTTGAACGATGAGGGCTTTGTTGCCGATGAGCGCGGGAGACGGATCTTTGACCACACCTTCAAAAGAGATAAAAATGCCTTTGAGGTCTCGCTTGAACGCTGAAAGCGTGGTCGCTCCAATTCCAGCTTCTTTCGCCTGTTGCTGAGTCCGTGCGCATAGTATGAATTTGATGAGGTGTCGTCCAACCTTGAAAGCAGCGCGAACTCTTCTCGATCTTTGTGAGTCCAAATGATCAGTAAGCAGACGGTTGTAAGCCCTGATAAGACATGGTGCAGCGTAGGGGTGATCGAATCTGGTCTCAGCATACTCGTCCACGTACGGTTCTAGGTTGAACCTGCGGTCGTACACGATGCCTAATGTTATCACAAGTGCCGCAAAGGCAGCGTCTTCATGCTCTTCATCTCCAGCACTGTTGACAAGAATGCTAAATAAGGCATCAAGCACGTCACCTATCAGTTTGACAATTTCGATCTCAGGTACAAAAGAAATGCGTTTGACCAAGCCCAACGTCTGAACCTTTGACTGAAGGCGCCAGTTCAGAATGCCAAGCAACGTCTTGTCCTGGGAAAAGAAAGTACTACACAATTTCGTCTCCACCTTGAGACTTGCGACGGGTCCGGTCACATTTTCATCCTTTTCGTCACCATAAGGGCCCCTCGAGCTCCAAGGAAAATTCAGATATGCCCCACGCCCATGCTCATTGCTTGACGTAGCTTTATCGTAGAGATAAAGTAACGGCGCGTGTGTACCATCTTTCATAAAGGCACTCTCGGTCCAGAGCGGCATCCAGGCAAGAGCAAAAGGAAAGCCTGGAGCATCCGCTACGCTCATGATGAGATGAGCTTCTGGGACATCTTCTACTGGGATACTGAGCCTAATCATCTGGTTCCAAGGCTCGTCACGCTCCACAGCAGTGCTTCGCCAGGCTTTTAGCGGTGAGCTATCAGAACCTGGGACGATGCAATCTTCGATCCGCGCGCCTGACCGCTTCCTGACTTCAAGTGTCAATTGAATATTTTTGAGGTCCAAATTCGACGGCAACTGTACAGTGCCCCTTTCCGGATGCGACAAGAGGGCTGAATGCGGGAGGCACGCTTCTTTTATTGTCACATAAATATCGGAGCGAGGTTGTTTCGGCGCTCCTGCGAAGTCTATCTTCTGTGTCTGAGGGATATTCTGTAGTAGAGTTGGGGCTTTGTTGGCAAGATCCTCAAGGTTTGGTTCGTGGAGCGATTCAAGGCTCAGGCTTATTTGCTCGATGCCTTTAACTCTGGCGTACATTCCGCTTTTGGAGGGAATCAAGTCACGGACGACCTCCTCCCATTGCCCTTTCGCAGCGCCTGGATCTTCTGAAAATGACCGGGCAGGCGTCCATATGGGTATGATATGCTCAGAAGAGGAGGACTGTTGAAATATATTCTTGAGATTCACCACACCCACGCCAAGATTACGTCGCACATACTGGTTGCTCGGTTGCGTTATGGGCTGCAAATTCTCCTGCGACAAAGGATTGGCATTTTCGACTGCCGGGCTAGACAGTGAGTCACTGGTACCTGACACAAGGCTAGGTCTTGATTCATGGCTTTTGCTGCGAACGCTACCAAATGACTTTTGCGCCCAGGCTATACTACTTTGTCGACCAGTCTTCAATGCAGTCAAACCTGCATTTCCTGTATTAGGTCGTAATCTAGTGTCATCGTCATTCTGTCTACTCTGGCGGGAGCTAGGAACAACGCTTTGAATTGGCTCACTTGCCCGGACCCTCACCACGAGGTAAATTTCTACCTCAGGCTGTGATGCGTCACCAATGTCGCCCGACGTCAAGTTGGGAAAGAGAGTGCGTATCCTGCTGGTCAGATCCTCCGACTCAGAAGCCTCGAAAGGCCGTTCAATGGCGAAAACTTCAGTCAACGAGCTGAGCTTTCCGCCTATTTGCCGATTGCAAAGGTAAAGCGTCAGAGTAGGGGTGTGTAACCCTTTGGCCACAAAGCTCTTCAATTCTACCAGCAGATGGTGTAGGCTCAAAGACTCTGCTTGCTGGGGAGGAGGACGCTCTAGTAAGCTCATGCTGGATTGTAATTTTGACATCCCAAAGGGGGAATCATCGGTCGTCAGTAAACGACCATTTTCTTTTGGGTCCCGAACGATCACCTCGTCACTAAGTAGCTTGTTACCGTTGACGAGATGCCAGACCGTATCTTCTCGAAGTTTGACAAGCTCTCGAGCTGTCAGGACACCATATAGTAGCTGCCTCCTTGCGATATCAAATTTTTTAACCAGGGAAGAGATTTTGTCCAGAGCAGGATATTGCCTTGCCAGTAGTAGCTCGTGCAGATTTGTAGAATGCCATTCACGAAGACATGAGGCTATTTCGTCTACAAGTGGCTCAGTGGTCGATGTAGGGGTTTCATCTCCGATCTTGAGCATTGGTACAGGTGCCTGTGGTCTCTTTCCGGAGGGATCGCGCTGAGCATCAACAGTTGGTAGGAAGGGATCCGGAGAGTTTCTAAAATTTGCGCTGCGAATGGAATGTAGCGACAACGTTCGTGAGAGGTTGTGTGCTGCGGTACTTTCTTTCCCATTTGGAAGATGGACGCCTCCAATGCCACTGAGATCGCTATGTGTATCCTCATCTCCTCTTTCGATTTTCTTGCCGCTCGCCTTTGGGTGCATCAAGTTGCGTTGCACTGATGGGCTTCGGGAGCCGGGGGTGTCGCCATTGGTTTGGTTGACTCTCGGAGATTCCCCACCAATTGACAGATCGAGCGTCAAGCCTTCTGTACTCGCATCGCCAAGGTGTTCCCGTATTTCGACACATCGTCTCGGAAATATGCCAGAAAATACTCGAGCCTCCAAAGTCTTCCCCTTTCCACTGGTCAAGCCTGCGAGCAGCGAGGGCGGCGCAACAAGATAACCTCTGTACCACGACTCATCTTTTCCGCCTTGCTCAATGATGTAAAGGTCATCTCCTATTTCCAATGGTAGGTCTGATGGAAAGGATGCGGCGAAAGGATAGATTGCGACGGCAACGGCGATTCGAGGCAGAGGGCGCCATGGCATCCTGCAGGCAGGAGGCACAGAGCATGTGAGTGGGGAGGACTGGAGCGCATGCGCGCCTCTTCACACTGAGGGTTCCTCGTCGTTGAGGCCACTCAGGAGAATCATTGACTGCGGGGTGCAAATGCCAATGCGACGCTGAGTTCTGCTCAAGGGTACTTTTTCAAATGTAAAAGGTTCCGAGGTATTCAGCGGTGAGCGTCTATTGCAGCTGGTAGCATTGGAAAGGAGGAATGAGCGATGAGTATAGTCACAATGCCACGCCAGCAACTCCAGCAAAAGATCAATTATTGATGCGTTGGCAAGCCGGTCAAGCAAGGCGATGGTGTAACGAGCCCGTGACAATTATCTGAACGAACGAACGGGAGCTCAGACGCGCCTCACGGGAACAGCCGGCGCTAATGAATGCAACCCTGAAGAATCCCCCGCCCGAGGTCGGCAAAAGAATGACCTCCTGAAATGACATGATATCTGGTAGGAGAGTCCTTCTATCAAATTTGTTTAACAGTCTCAATACGATATATGTTATTGAGGTTCTTGATTCATTGATGGCTCTGGCCTTGGCGTGGCCACCTTCCGATGAACCAACCCTCGGCCCCTTGGGTAACAAGTCAGACACTGCCATTTCAAGTCTGCTATCTAGAGGGTATCACAATGGACATGTAGCGGCGAAATAGTCTATTCCTGAACCTAAAGGGTCCGAGGAGGTTTATCGACTCGACGACTTAAATGGGCTGGAAAGTCTGAATAGTCTAGGCAATCTCATTCTATATTGCAGTATGTGACATCTCTTTATGTTGTATGTTCCGTTGCAAATCTTTCCTAGCAGTTTGTTAAGAAATCAATGCTACTACTATGTTGAAGATACTTTTCATATGCCCCATATACGATGTAATAGAGAGATCTTAACAAGGCTCAAGGCCGTTATTTTCCAGTCTGCAGCTCGAGCTTTCTCCTTCAAAAGCGAGGCTCACTGGGAAAGTCAGAAGTAGGAGGCAACTTACGTATGGTATGCAAATCCACAAAAAATGGCAGCTCTCAGAAGTAGAGTGAATCCAACATTTGTCATTTGCATTGATTCAATTCTTGTTTCTTTGCTTTGAGCACTCCCGCGAGCATCTAGCAGTTGCCCGTGGCAGACAAAATCTTGAATTTTTCGAGTTACACAGTACCAAACCTTGGCCAAGAACGCCAGCAGTAAGCCCGTTCTAACTGTCAGTCTAGTCATAAAAGATGTATGTACATGACAAAGTATTTTAAAATTTCGAGGACAGAGTCTAAGAAGGAATTTGCTAAGCTGTGGAGCTTGTACTGCGTGATGCCTGTGGCCCTCCTCGAGTTTTCTGACGTATGCTTCCTCTTGTTGTCTTGGAACTGGCCAAATGACCTGAACGCTGAAGTCCTGGAGGCTCCTGGAAAGCAATTCAGACCAGGATCAAGAAACAACACACATGACTCCACCCAGCACTGCAACTGTTAAGTTTGTGTACTAATAAGGAATGACGCACAGGATATCCTACCTGCTGCTCCCAATGCGGTCGTGAGCGCTGTTGTAACGCCGTTCGCCACACCACTCGACATACCATTCGCGACATTGTGCCGCATGGCGCCCCTTGCTTTACGTATCGATCGTATTTGGGTCTCTTGTTGAGCTGCTTCATGTCTACTTTTCGCAACAGATTGTTTGCATTCTCGATCTAGTTCATCGTGCGCGCGCCGCTTCTTCTGCAGAGTCGCCGCATCTAGACATTGTTTCTCCCATCGCGCTGCGTCGATCGCGAATTGCTCACGCATAAGCACCTGTGAATCCTCCATATCTTGAAGCTCCCGTCGTTTTCTCGCAAGTAGAGCTTGATGTTCGTGTTCTAAATCATCTAGTTTCATCTGTACTCTCTCCATTTCCTCCTCGTGCATTTCCATTAGGGATAAATTCAACTTCTCCTGCTCTCTCTTTGAGTCTTGGATTTGTCGCTCGCAGTCCTCTTCCAGAGCTCGAAGTTGCTGCGCATGTTCCGTATCGTGATGGGTTATTGCCTCTTGCATTTCTCGTTGGGCATCTTCGAGCTGGCGAGCAAGCTGTTGCTGTAGATGATAGAGGTCCCCCAGGGCCTCTCTACCAGCCGCGGTGGCATCAAGAGTTTTCCCTTCAAGAACTAACTCACGCTGAATCTCAAGCTCAACCGCAGGTAGATCACTCATTCGTTGGACTAGGTACGACACAATACGCAGTACTGAGTGTCTTTGCTCATCCACACCTGTTCCATGCTCTGCAATTCTAAAAAGCTTTGCACCTCGAGACAGCATGTCGCCAAAGTAATTGACATTGCCCATGAGTTCTCTCTCGCGCCGTTCACCATCCTCGTACTCGTTAGTCTGCCACATAGTAGTTCCAATGACTGTGTTTGGCCACGTACTCGTGCCAGAGAGCTTCTTGAACATGCGCAAGTTCCGGAAACCAGTGTTACCCAATCGATTATCTGATATACGGTGCAAGAAGATAATGCCACTGATGCGTATACCGTTTGCGATGGATGCGCTCAGGTAGCTTGATAAGGTTTTCAGCGTGTCGATGTCTGAGCGGTTCGTATCATCGAATCCGGGCGTATCGATCATGTGTACGTGATAGTTGTCATGAAAAAAGAATGTACCGAGAGGTCATTGGTGCCTACAGAACTCTTTAGTGCACTCGTCTCCGATAGTCTCGGAAAGATGCGTTACAAGAGCGAAGATCGTGGCCGACTTCTGCATTCTCTCCCGTGCAATGCTGTACCAGTGTGCTTTTACCGGAGCCTGTCACTCCTAGAACAAGAAAGAAGACAGGTATTTTAACCCCCTGACATCATGAGCTAAGTGTCGATTAATTAGGATTGTCAGCCTCGTACATCACCATTCTTGATTCCTGTAAATCGTAGGAAATCGTCCAGACTTTGGTCAAGTGAGGGGCCACCTGAAGGAATTGCAGTAGTTTCCATATTTGTGTGATGAATTGGGATGGAGCCTTCTCAACAGGAAAGCTGCAAAGTCTAGGTTGCGATTGAACACCATTTACTAGTACAACGCGGCGTCAAGGTGTGCTGTAATCGTGCGTTAGCATGCTTGCTTATTTGCGGGCAGTAGCCAGTCGTAGTAAGGTGACAAGATAGGGGCCTTTTGGCTGCCCCCGACTCGCGTCACGCATCCAGCAGTGCACAGGACTCAGTTCATCCTTTCAGAGCGTCATGAGGAGTCACGTTCAAGATTCGGACTACTCAGAGTGAGTTCCGACTTCAGGTTCGTTTGAATCAGAGCGTAAGAAAGAATATGAAGGCTGTATGAACCCCACCGTAAAAAAAAGCTGAAGTGGGAACGTCTCTCTCGACGTGGTAACGATGTTAAGTCGTTGAAAACGGAAGTGGAGTAACGTTTATCGAAGACTTGCTTTCAGCGTAGTAATGTTATCTATGAACAAGAGCTTGGATGATTAAGCCACCGAGCAGCCGTGCGCCCCTAACCATGCTTTCCACTCCTTCCATTCGGAATCATTATATCTGGCCTTCCAACGACGATTTTCCAAAACCACGAGATATCTATCATCTGTCGCACTTAAAGCCGCGGCCTATATCAGAGGAGCAATCAGCCCAACGCTACGACTTGATCATGCAGGATTCAGCTTATCTTACCCAGATGTTTGTCCCCGGCCCCTCGACCGCAATTTTCTTCAGCCAGTCACGCAAGCCGGGATAACATTCTTTCAGATTCCATTTTATCCTACCGCTGTCGAACTGTACAATGTAACTGCCATCTTGACCAAGCGCGCAGACGTCAACAGTCAAATAATTCTCGTTCAGTCCGACGTGTTCTATCATCTTTGCGCTCAAATTCCAATAAGCGCAGTCTTCGCCCTTGATGAAGTAGTCTCCATTGGACCCCAGAACGATATGCGATAATCTTCCGTATTCATCTCCATCTATAACAGTCTCAAGCTTTCGCTTCAGACCTGGGTAGTGAGATTCCTCTAACAGCCACTTATACCAAACATCTTCGTCATCAATAGACACATAACTTCCATCCTCCCCTAAAGCCATGATCCTATAGTTCGAGATGCTCTTGTATGTGCGGGTGTTGCACCAGTCACGGTAACTTAAGATGTGATTAGCATCGTCCTGATGAGAAAGCGACGGCTATTGCTCACCCCACGGTGAGTTGTGGACCTATGAAATAATAGTTTGAGCCCGCTAGTGCAACGCACAGGTCGAGTCTAGGAGGACTATTAGCATCGAAACCACCTTTGTGAATTGTGAGAACTTGCCTCAATGAAGAAGATTTCGTGGACTTCCTCTTGGCTTGTGATGCGGTGCCTACGGTGGAGTCCTCCTTGAGTTGAAGCATTTTCAGTGCGGCAGAAACTTCCAGCTCTCGCTGCTCGGCTGCGCGTTTCTCGCGTAACAATTCAGCCTCCTTTCGTGAACGTTCTCGTTCCATCTGCTGAAGCTGTTCCAAATGTTCATTCCTCGCTTCTTGCAATTTGGCCTCGATCTTCTGAAACTTTCTCTCATGTAACTCCTCCAAATCAGTCTTAAGGTTTTTTCTTGCCCGCTCAAGCCGCTTAATGCGGTCTTTGTAATCATCTTGTACCTCTTTGAGCGCTTCGGTCGATGCCTTATCTCGAGCTTCGAGAGCCTCGGCCGTTTGCTTCTGTACCTCAGCCAAGCTCTTTTCGAACCTCTCGCGCTCCTTGATAATTTCAGCATGAAGCTCTTTGCCTGCGTCAGTCTCGTCCAGACTCTTGTTTTCGTCCGCCATCTGCTTTTGAAGGGCGAGGATGACCTGAGTATTGTCTTGGACGAGGGTCTGAATCAGTCTATATGCTGATTCCTTGTCGCCTAACCACCAGACGTTATCAGGCATATGGTACAAAGTCAGGATCTGCTATTTCACAAACCTGTATGCCGATAGACTCTGCTCCCTTGAGTCACCATCCATCCCCAGAAGTCGGGCGTCGAGGTCAACTCCATTTCACGAGCCTTGCCTTCAGCTTCGGTTACTCGATCCCACATTGTGGTCGCAAGAATCACATTACTCAGCGCATTCTGCCCGCAGAGCTTCTTAAACATAAAAAGGTTTTTCTTCGCTGATCCTTGCATTCTAACGTCGCTGATTCGATGCAGGTATATGATACCGCTTAGCCTGATTTTTTGAGTATATGAAGCAGTGAGCCACGATGCAATCTCGGAGAGTACTTCATTATCACTTCGATTCGTGTCGTCAAAGCCAGGTGTGTCTATAAGGTAGACTGTGGAAGTCTCGCTTATTTGGCAGGGGTAAACGTCAACAGCGGTCGTACCTAGTAAGGAGTCAGTGACTGATATCATGAAGTGGAACGCTGTTCATCAAAGTTATGAGGCACAGATGGCCTCAATCGGTGCAGGAAGCCGCGATGCACTCACAAGCTTGCAAATTATGCCCGATCGCTAGTGTTTTATTACAGCACCTCGAGATGAACGTGCTCTTGCCGGCTCCTGTCACACCCATGACCGCGATAAATATATCATTGGAGCTATGTGTCGATTTAGGGGCGTATCTTCGTTACGCTGTGGGGGCGCTTACCTTGGTTCCAAGCCGTCGCGAAACGATGCTGGAGGCGAATGTTGAGACATCTTTTGTCAGCCTCTTTCCACTTTCACAGCGCTGAGGATAGCGGGTCAATGGACGTAAGCATTGCAAGTAGCGATAGAACAAATTGGGTTCCTCAAGGCCTGCAGATTTGAAGCTGGATCTGGTGGGGTGAAAGCTCAGCCTTGTGGCCGTGGCCAACATCGACGCCTAGACCACTCATGGCCTTCAAGCTCATCGAGAAGACTCAATAAATCGCGGTTCATGTGCCCTAACTGCATAGGCATCTTGAAGAATGCAAGACCAACTATCGGCCCATCCATTTCAATGTTGGCTGGAGCCTTGTGCTTGTGCTTTGAATACTCAGCGACAGTGTTGCCAACGATTATCATTGGAATCTGAGCATGGCACATGAGATCTGCAGCGGCCCAGGCGGGAGCCAAGGCGCCAACCCTGTAGGTGAACCTTTAGCCCTCGGGTCCGGGCAGATTACGGTAGTCTGTAAAGAACTAAGGGTCATTTAGCAAAATATAGTGGTTGAAGTTACGTGCATCATCATTGTTTTATTGTGGCCATCACGTTAGCTACTACTGATGTCGAAAGGTTCTCAGATTATTTATGAGCCAAATCTTCTTGCTACCAATTACTTAGACTCTGGGCAGTGTCACCGCAGACAATTAGCCAAAGGCAAAACCAAGTCCCACTTCGACCCACATCACGATGGGCGTCCTGCTCACCATTAGACCTTTTTTGATCTCCGTTCCCCTCGCACAAAGCCATTGCAAATGGCAAAAGGTAGAAGCGCTTTGCGTTTATTCATAAACCACTGCTCTACTCTACAGACTCATAATATCCCTCACCCCCTCAACAATCTCCTCAATAAGCTCCTCAACCTTCGCCTCAACATCGACCTTCAACACAATCTCCTCATCCAGCGTCTTCGCCCTATCCATTTTTGCCGCCCCAAAATCCCCTAAAGAAGTAAAATTCGCAATCCCCGACGGATCAAAAGGCTTTAACACAGGCAATTCCTCCTCTTCCTCCTCCTCTTCCAAAACCCCGTCCCCATCCCGTAGCCCCTCCTCCACAAACAACGGCACAAAGATAACCCCAATCTTATACTCCCCCACACTCTTCCGAATACACTCCCGATGCCACTCCTCCAGTTCGGGATGCGTCACAACCATCAACGCCGGATTCGCCTTCCTGAGTCTCTCATCATCCGATAGCACGGCCACAGGCGGCCGGTTCACAAACTTCTGTGTCTGCACCCCTGAGCCCACACCCACCGCACTGCTTCCCCCACTGACCCCAGAGCCCCCCGCATCTCCATCTGACGACGCCATCGACGCAACAGAGCTACTCGACCCCCGCCGACTCGTCCCCGTCGACGACGTGCCTCCAAAACCCGAAAATTCCGCCGCAGCAGCCCTCGACTCCTCGGGGAACAACAATCCAGTCCTCGTCATCTTGGAAAGCCACATGCGCTGATATCGTCCCTCATTCGCGCCACTTGTACCACCCGACCCTCCATCTTCCTCAACATCGTGTCCGACAGGGTTGGGGTTTGGTTTGGAGGCGTGGGTGGGGCGCTTCGGCACGCCGACGATGGAAGCGCGAGCAGCGGTCTCGTGCAAACTGTCGCCTTGGAAGAGGGGACAGGAGAGCGATTCGGCGACTGAGCGGGCGATTTGCACTTTGCCTGCTACGGCTGTGGAGGCGATGATGAGGATGATGTATTTTTCTGGTTTGGAATTTTCGGAAGGGAGGTCTTCTTTGTCCGGGAGGCGGTGGACCATTGCCTGCGGGGTTGGTGGGCGGACGAAGAAATCGGCCATTACGCGTGATGTTGAGATATTTGATAGTGATAGTGATAGTGATAGTGATTAGGTATGGTATTGTAGGTGTAGAAACATTAGGTGCGATGTCGTTGGGCTTAAGATGGCAGGGATGTTTCGTTGTTTTCTGACCACGAAATGCACCTGCTCCAACTGCGGTCAGCTTTGCCGCAGCGGTTCGCAGTGTCCAATCGAGTAATCTGAAACATAAGCATGTGACGCAAGATGCATGACCTGTGAACTGCGCAGTTTGAGATTATGCGATGTGACCCTTTCACTTCTCGCAAAGATAAATTCGTGGCAAAGGGCCATGAAGTTTAGAGCCACTAGGACATCATTCCGTCGCTGATATGAGACAACTCATTCACATTTGGATGAAATGAAGAGTGAGTCCACGTATGCCAGTGAGCAGCAGTGCGACGCTCTTTGAAATGGAGTCATATGCAATTAGCATGCGAGAAGCCGTCTAAAGAAAAGGAATATCTGAATACGACGCAGAGCGAGGACTCAAGCCTTAGTATAGAAAATGAGAGTAGTGGGAGCATTAATCAAGAGTAGAGAGAGTGCCATTTGGGAGAAGAGATCAACCAATGGAAGTGCATGCTTCCTCGTTAGGAGATTGTCTCCCTGTCTTCACTGTCACTCCTCACCAGTCCGTAACCACGTCATTCATGATTCAGGATGGCCAATGGTTCTGTAAAAACCGCGCACCTTCTCGGACCCAATCTGTGTTTTTGCTTGCATCCACGTCGAACAGATGCTCGCCGGGCTGGAGGCTTAGATGTACTGGTAATTCAAGTTGAACCTCTTGGAGGCGTTGGGCAAAACCAGTGGAACAAACAGATGGACACTGGGGCAGTTGTAGTATTAGCATACCCGATCTCACTTTTTCAGGATGGTACGACAGGGCTATACATACCATGGTGTCATTCGTCCCGTGAACAATCCACGAGGGGACCATCTTATCATCCCCTCGACCCAATGTTTCCATAAGGCCCTCAAGAGTTGCGCCGCCCTCTTTCCCAGGGCCCATGCCGAACAGGCGAGGTAAATAGGCTTGCTGGGCTATGCACAACAACAGTTCCCACATGCTGGAGGTTGGCTCACACCCCGTCCGGATGCTTCCTGGAGGTATACCCTTGATGTACGCACGAATCTTTGCCAAAGCCTGCCGTGGTGGCGGAGGGCTTCTACCCATGAAAACTCGCGGCCGAGGCACTTTGTACTCGGGAGCCGTGGCATCCAAAGGAGCAGAGATTGAGATGACGGCCCTGATGTTCACTTTCTCTTCCACTTTCTCATCATTCCTCGAATCATCGCGTTGCAGCATGGACTCCAAATGTAATGCACAATAGACGGAGATGAAGCCACCGGAGCTCTCACCACAGCATAGAACATTGCTGACGTCCGGCTGTGGCAGCTTCTTTTGCCGCATGTATAGAGGTAGATCTTTCTCCAGCCATTTCCAGAAGCATGCCACATCACTTAGTATGTCGCTTCCGTTGGATTCAGGTAGCAATCTGTAGTCTGGCGTAATTATGATCGCCTCCTGATCAAGGGCCAAATTTAGCAGCCACTTTGCAAACCAGGGTTCGTACATCCTGTGCCCAACAACAAAGCCACCACCATGCCAGCGGACCATCAGGGGGTATTTCTTGCCATTGGCCTTAGGCGAAGTAAATGTACTCTTGGGGATCAGGACCGTAGCCTCGAGGGGTACTCCATTAATGAAACGATATGCTAAGTCAACACGCGTGAAGGGTGCAAAGCGAGACATAGCTGCTTGGGTAGAGCAAAGAGAGTTGCAAAGGAAAGAGTAGGAGACAACGTAGGATCCATTCTGGATGTCATCAAGGGCACGTATCGCTCCATTAAATATCACTGTCCTACCCGACTGAGGCACGATAGGTGGGCTTCACATGGTAACGAGAGATTGTGACCTGGCCTAGGCCGTCATGTAAGAGTAAGGTAGTGAATGATGGCGGCGCCAAGATTAGGAAGTTATCTTATGCAGTTGCGGCCCCAAATAGCTTAGTGTTAGGGCCTATGATTGATGTCGCCCAGAATAGCTCCAAGCATTCTTTGGAAGGTCCACAGCATCGCAGTAAACCTAAGTGAGTCTTAATGAAGAGCTCAACCACAATGAGGAGCGTTATTTTCAAAGGGGAATTGACATGGGCAAGCAAGCTTCAGTTATCTATTATACAGTCAATCCTCTAGCCCATCAATCATCTTGTGCACGCCAGAAATATGACAGTTTAGGGAATAGGAAAGGCCACCACGTCTCCAACAACGACGCAAACCGGCCACATTCTGTTAGCTCTTCGAGCACACTCCCTACCAATGGACTCTTCTCCCGCGAAGGAGGCCATCCCATTGCATGCAGGTTCTGTACCCCTACTCACACTCATTTATCCAACCTCTCCTTAAGCCTCTTAGCACCCAACTCCCCCAACCGCTGAATGCTCCCCCCATCCATCAACTCCAACACTGACACATCAGCCCCCAAATTCTGCTTCCACCAATTCCTCAACTCAATCGCAACCAATGAGTCTACTCCCGCAGCTGACAGCGTCAGCCCTGTATCCAACGGCTCCTCGTCCTCTCTACGCATCAAGTACGTCGCCACGCGATCTCGAATCTGACCGGCCAGAAAGTCGGCCGCATCAGGCTGGTCCAGCTGGTTTGGATTCTCCGCCATTGCGGCCAAGAACGGTTTCATGTCGCCCGTCGACGACGCGCCGTCGGTCGCTACTGTCTCGATATTACGGTATATTGCCATTCTAGGGTCGCGTTTCCAGATGATGTTGTTCTGGGAATCCATGATGGGTAGCCGACACTCCAGCGCTTGGGTGATCTGGCTGGGATTTTGGAAATGGATGCCTCTCGTCCCTGTGAGTTTCTTCTCCGCGATTGGTGGTGCAGTCGATCGCACAATCGTGAGCTGTAGTGCTTCAAGAAAGTCATTTTCTGAGATCAGGCGGCCCGACATAGCCAGCATCGTCTCCTTGGCTGCTGGAGTACGGCTAATGTAGCCTACATCATCCACGGCTCCTATGTCAATGACGGAGGCTGCGAGGCCGTGACTGTGACGGTATTGCACGAAGGCGTCGAGGAATGTGTTTGATGCGGCGTAGTTGGCTTGTCCATAATAGCCGACCATACCGCAGACCGAAGAGAAAAGCACGAAGAAGTCCACTGGTTGGTCGGCCATGGCGTTATGCAGATTCCATGTGCCTTGTACTCTCGGCCTAGTGACGGCCTGATAGGTTTCGAGGTCCATGTCGAGCACACCGATATCGCGGAGAATCATGGCCATCTGCATGACGCCAGCGATCGGCATAGGTGCTGTTGCTACTATTCGTTTGACCAGAGTTTCATCGCTCACGTCCCCGGAAAATGCTTGCACCTTGCACCCCATCAATTCCAATTCTTGCATGAAAGCAGCGTCATCCTCTCCCTTGCCAGCAGAGCGTGACAAAAAGATGATGTTTCTGGCCCCGTAAGTTGGTCATCCACATGGCAATGGCTCGCCCAAGGCCTCCCATGCCGCCGACAAGCAAATAAGATCTATCGCCACGGAAGCTTGGCTTGGGAATGGCCGGAGTCCAAGGGAGGGTTTCCTCATGCTCCGAAAATTTTACGACAATCTTTCCAACGTGCGTGCCTTGTTGCATGTATCTGAAAGCACCTTCAACCTCAGTAGCATCGAAGACGGTTGTCGGGTGGATAGGCTTGAGGTGCCCCTGAACGTATAGATCGAGCATCAGTTCCATGAGTCGGCCACCTGTGGCTCTCTTTAGCGCAACGTGTCGCGAGACATCGATTCCGAAGAAAGTTCTGTTATCCTCGAACTTGTCAAGGGCAAGCTGGGCGCGGCCGATCATATCACGTTTACCGATTTCCACCATACATCCGTTTGAAGCGACGCACTCCCAGGTGGCGTGCAGCAATTCTCCCGAGACCGAATTTAGCACGCAGTCGACGCCAACGCCATTGGTGGCAGCCATGAGATCGTCATAAAAGCTGGTGTCTCGCGAGTGGAAAATGCGGTCGCGCGGAATGCCGAATTCGTCGACGAGGAATTTGGCCTTCTCTTCAGATCCCACGGTGCAGTAGATGTCGGCCCCAATCCATCGCGCAACCTGGATGGCTGCGATCCCAATACCGCCCGCCGCTGCGTGAACCAGAAGTGACTGGCCTTTCTCCAACTGCGCTTTGTCTACAAGGCCTAGTAGCACCGTGACATAAACCGAGGGCATCGTGGCAGCGTCCTCGAAACTTAGGTCATCTGGGATACGCAGCGTGAATCGACCAGGACGCTGCACCTGAGTGGCAAGACCCGTAGAGCTGGTCCCGAGGATCATAACACGATCGCCAACCTTGACGTGGTTGATGTCAGCTCCAATTTTGCTGACGTATCCGGCACCTTCCAGTCCGAAGGTATCAAAGCCATTTCCGAGTGCGTCGACACCGTGTACTATACCCATGGCGATAAGCACGTCAGTAAAATTAAGCCCGACAGCCTTTACGTTAATTTGCACGTCGTCAGGTGCGAGAGCTGGAAGCGGCCGACCTGACCAATGTAGAGTTTGCAGGAGCCCACGTTTCTGGATCATGAGCGCCTTGGTATCTGGTGACGAAGGCGCGCTATCCTTCAAGGCCTTAGGCACCGTATACCAGTGGAAACGCCCGACATGTACCGTATCATTTACCCATGCATATTCAAGGTCCGGATCTAGGGTGCTGGTCATGTCTTCTTTGCCCTGCTCGACCTTTCTGATCACATCCACAACGGCCTCAGCCGCGCCTGGCAGATTCCAGTCCTCCAATTCCATGGTAGCCAGGGGCATGGCAAGTTCTGATCGGATGGTTCGCGCCATCCCTAAGCAGAGTGCTGCGTGAGGGTCTTTGGAATTGACTTGCGCCGGGTTGGTGAGCCATAACACTGCTGCTTGCTGGAGTGCCTCGATTGTTTTGATAAATCCATTCCAATCCGCTTCTTTTGGGTTGCTCAAAAGTGGCTGATCGAGATCGACAAACGAGATAAGGTCGTGCTCAGGATTGGGAGTTTCTCCGTTAGCCCATTGACAATGCTGAACGCTATATCCTTTTTCCTGCATGTCTCTCTCTACCTGTATGGCTAGTGGGTGGATTTGGGAAGGTCCCGAGAGCAGGGTGATGTGTTTTGGGTACTCGAGGTCGACTGCAGGTCTCGAAACAATGTTTGCGTTGACATTGTATGGTCTCTCGTTGTCAAAAGTCACCGAGTCGCACCCATTGAAGCCTGCTGCGCGCAGCTTCTTGTCCCATTCCTCCGGAGACAGATAAGGGGCTTCCGCGCGGCCGTCTGCCTCTCCTAACCACCAGCCAACGAAGAGGCCCATGATATACACCATGCTGCTTGTTACTTTACACAGATATCAGTATAAAATCTAAACGAGATCAAAATGAGATAGGCTTACTCGGAGAGAGCTCTTGTAGAAACAGTCGACCTTGATCGTGCAGGAGCGTTCGGACATTGGATAACGTTTCGTGCAAGATAGGTGTTGCGTGCAGTACCTAGCATTGAATGCTCGTCAGTTATCCGCTTCCAGTCACGTATCTAGGACCACTTACGTTTGAGGCAATAATAAGATCATATTCGCCGGGATTGAATCCTTGAGCGACAGGATCCTTCGAGACGTCAAGCACCTTGTATTCGATCCCATCATACTCTTTAAAGCGCTCTTGAGCAGCCACAAAGAAGCCCGAAGAAATATCGGTGAAAGTGTACTGGAAGTAAAGTCGCTCGCCGAACTCAGATTGAAGCTGTTTGAGGATCTTGGCTGTGAGACCTCCTGTACCGGCGCCGATCTCGAGGATCCGCATCTGAGGTTGCGTGTGCCCCAGCGACTGGAAGAATTCGCTGAAGTCCCAGATGCTGTTCATCCAATCATAGATGCCTGCTAGCGTACCGTCATGAATCAGAAGGTCCAGAAAATCGGTCTTGCCCTCGAATACGTTGACCACCTGATCATATGTTCGCCAAACAGATTCTGCCATGGTACCGACACCAGCTGCCTTGCACTGCTCGAGAAATTGAGGAATGAGTTTTCGGCGGTTCTCGGAAGTCATGTGTACGAGCTCTACGGTATCGACAAGCGGATATCCGGGCTGCTCGAAGCGGGGTATCTGGGAACTCATCCATTCTCGGTACTTTTCGAAATGATTCTGGGTAGATTTGACGCCCTGGAGGCTTTGATGCGACTCAAGAGTGCAAAGCACATACAGCTTCTCAGCCAAGGCTATTTGATCCCGAAAGTCATATGTGGGCCGAGTAAGCTTTGCTGCATCGAGGAAGGAAAAATCTGGCTTCCACTGCATTTGCAGAGCAGTGAGCTCCGGAGCATCATCTTCAGACGGGAGTGGAGTTCCTTGAAAACCCTTCAGCATAAAAACATTCTCTCCGTCTTCAACAACCCCGTATGACTGGCCTTCCGCGTGATCCCGGCCCGCAGCGGCATTATGTGAGACAGTCATTGTCTTGACGTGGATGTTCTGTCCCGATCCAACTCCGACGTAAAGTTCTTTGATGAAAGTTGGTAGGAACGATTTGTTAAAGGCACCATAAACTCCTCGGAATGCAGCTACTGTCCACGATTGCAGCATGATATCCAGTGTGGTTGGGTGAAGAGGATATGCAGACTCCGGCTCGTCACCTGGGTCATCTGTGATATCCAGTACAGCACTACTCTCTGTCACCCCAGCAGTGATATTCTTCAGCCCTGTGAAACGGCGACCATAGTTCAATCCGACGCGACTCAAGGTCGTGTACCAACGACTGGACGACACTTTCCTTGGCAGAGGCTGCGGTGTTCGCTTCCACTGTGGTGGCGAATTTGATGCCCGTCCGCGGCGTACGAGACCAGAACAGTGCTTGTTCCATGATGATCCATCATAGGATACTATATCGAATTCATACCACTCACTGTCGAGGGTCACTGTCAGCTTCTGCGGCCGGAGCGATGTGACCACTTCCTTAGAACCGTCCGCCTGAAGCACCAAGGCTTGACGGAGCTCAACTTCTTTGACTGTGTAGTCAGAGGATGTGGTTAGATCCCCAAGTTGGCGAGCTGCCTCGCCAGCCATAGAGATGTAGCCTGCAGCAGGAAAAATTATATCATTGCCCACACAATGGTCTTTCAGCCAAGGAACATTCGCAACGCGGATGTCGTTGCGCCATGTTGGATTAAGTTCGGTCGATTCGAGGGCGCGAGAGCCTAGAAGATCGTGCGGTGCATGCTTTCGGAACCTCCAATTCTGCATCACACGCGTCTCTGCCCAGTATGATCGCTCGTAGTGCCATGGATATTGAGGAAGATCCGTTAATACTCGAGACTCTTGACTCGGCTCTGAAGGAAGCGTCACAGATATTCCTGCTGTATAAAGCTGACCCAGCGTTGACAACAGCGCTCGGGTGTCGTTGTGGCCTCGGGAAAGAGTTGGTATATGTTGTATGGAGACGGCGGTTTCCTTATAAATTTGGCGCAAAGGTCCGAGGAGCGCATGGTGCGGCCCAATTTCTACATGGACCATACGCGGTGAGTCTCGTAACAAGCTTTTGACAGCGCCATGGAATAGGACAGGGTTCTCGAGATTGTTCTGCCAGTAATCGGGTGCAAAATCGTATGACTCTGTCAGAACTTTGCCGCCGTAGACGCTGGAGTAAAATGGAATCGTAGGTGTGTGCGGAGTGACATGCTTGGATATGAGCTCGCGATAGCCATTGCCCACCATCCTCATGTGATCTTGAATTCGTTAGCGTGATCGTCTGATAGCAAACAAGAAGTTGGGTCCTCATGCCACCGGGACAACTTACCTGAATGATAGGCCATTTCAACTTGCAGTCGTCGCACGAATGCTTGTTCATGTTGCTTTTTGACGGCAAGCATGACCTGCTCCAGGGCTTTTGAATCACCAGATAAGGTGATGCCAGAATTGCTGTTTTCACAGGCAATTCCGACATCAGGCAATAAGAAAGGCAGCACATCAGCCTTTCCAAGCCCAAGAGCTGCCATGCCTCCTGCCTTCGTGAATGTCTTGCAGACGAATCCACGGTAGTAAGCAGCGATCAAGGCACCTGCCTTCGATAAAGCACCAGCAGCATAGGCTGCGGCAATCTCACCGCTCGAATGTCCAACCACAGCAGCGGGTCGTATACCCCATGAAGCTAGCAAATCCACGACGGCAATTTGAAGTGCTGTACATAATGGCTGCGACAATTCAGCGCGAGACATTTTCAGCTCCTTGTCCGTTGAAAAAAGTGTTTCTAAGCTCGTACTATCAGCACTATCGCATTGTGTAAGTAAAGTGTCTACCACCAACCTTCGATTGACCATGATGGAGCATCCTCATTCAAGCCCTGGAGGATATTATCCATCAATTGGATGTTTGTTAAGAACGATGGATAGTCGACCATCAATTGTCGCCCCATTGATACCCTTGGTCTCATTAGTGTGATACACTGTTGGTGAGGTGGAACGTTACCATTGGGCACCCTGTCCTGTAAAGACAAAAGCAACCTGCTCGACGTCTTGGCGTGTCACAGCAACTGGCTTGGCTAGCGGTTCTTTGCCCTCCGTGACAAAGAATGCTCTGTATTTCAAGTGCTCTCGCCTTTCTGCCAAAGTGTATGCTACGTTGCTAAGGCTCTCTGGGTGTTCTAAAAGATACTTTGAATGTCTGTGAACAATAGCGTCGAGCGCCTCTGGTCGTGCTGCGGAGAACAGCAGAAGTCTCGGCTTCTGCCTTGGTTCCTGTATGGTTGGCGGGATAGTCTTAGGTGTCCCTAGATTGAATGAGGCAGCAGAGTCGATGACGAACTGTTTGACGTGGTCAATTTTTGGAGTGTTTGAAGAAGCATTCAATACTAACATGGGCATTGGACCCTCCAATTCCATATGAATTGACACTCATACGCTCAGCTCGTCCTGCGGGCCAAGAGCTTGCTTCCACAGGAACGACCAACTTATTGGTCTCCCATTGAACTGTAATTGTTAGCTAGAAGACGGACACACCAACGATGCTACCCACTTGCTGGATTTGGGTTGTTGAATTTGATATTAGGGAGGATGGTTCGGTGCTCAAGAGACAGCACTGCTTTCATGACACTCGTTAGAGCTGCCGCTCCTTCACTGTGGCCCAAGTTTGGTTTGACCTGGATAGATTTAATGAACTTATTTCACCGTGATGACCGCGATAGCTTACTGCTCCCAAATACGCCCCGTCTTTTCTGAAGCAGCGTGAAATTGCCTCCACCTCAATCGGGTCTCCAACCGGTGTGCCAGTACCATGGGCTTCCACCATGGCAGTTTGCGAAATATCAAGCCCAGCAGAAGCATAAGCCTTTCTTATAGCAGCTTCGTGAGCATCTGGATTAGGATTGGCCATGCCACCTTGAGACCTTCCGTCTGCATTAGCAGCTGAGGAACGGATGACTGCTCTGATTGGGTTGCCATCACGGATGGCATCGTCCAATCGTTTGATGTAAAGCGCGGTAACGGCTTCACCGCGGGCGTATCCATCTGCGGAGGCATCGAAGGATTTTGAAGACCCTTCAGGCGAGAGAGCCATGAGTAGACTCATTGAGACAGTCAATCCAGGGGCCAGAATCAGATTAGTGCCGGCCACAACAGCTGAGGAGATACTTCCTTGGCGGATAGCCTCTAAAGCCTCGTGAAGACCAACTCCAGCTGACGAACAAGCTGTCTTATACATTACGCTGTTAAAGACTATCAGCACACTGAGCAATTGCTCACAACAGGGCAATAATTCTCACCTGGGCCCTCGCAGATCATATTCATAGGATATCCGATTTGCCAAGGCAAAATCCAGTGTGCCCATCATGAGGTACGGGTGATAGAAATTACTGTCTTTGTGATGCAACTCCTGCCAGTCCTCTGTGAACATACCGACATAAGTTCCAATGGACTTGCCACGCCACTTCTCGCCCGCTCCTTCCATAGCCTCACGGACGACCTCGAGGATCAGTCTCTGATTTGGATCCATGAGCTCCGCTTCTGCCGCCGCGACCGTGAACATAGAGTGATCGAACTGAGTAAAATCGATGTCGTTGAGAAAATAGCCTTTTTTCGTTATCACGGTGCCGGGTTTGCCATTGGGGTTGTAGTATGCGTCTACATTGTAGCGATCGGCAGGTGTGACAGAGCGAGCATCTCCTTTGTTCACTAAAAACTCGTAGAGGGCTTTGTCGTCGCGGATTCCGCCAGGTAGTCGCATGGCCATGCCGCAGATTGCCACTGGCACAGAATCCGTGACAGTGCCGTCAGAGTAGTTGTTTGTGTGTCCATTGATGTGACTCGTGGTAGTCTTTGGACTGTCCTCGTGGGTATAAAGAGAGCTTACACCGTTGGTGATGCCATTCGTTATGTGATTCATAGTTGGTTCGTGAATGTCTTCATGAGTGTAGTGATGACTCAAGCCATAGGTGGTGCCGTTCATCGTGGGAGATGTGACAGGCTCATGGCTGTCATTATCGCCGTTGATACGCAAATGACTTGTACCGTTGGTGAGCTCGGCCTCCATTTGATCGCCAGCAAGCTCTGGATCGTGCCCGTTGCCGTTAATATGGAGATGGCTTGCGCCATTGCTGAAGCCGTTCATCATGAACAAAGCTTCTGGAAAAGTTGCTGAGTCTCACGTTGGACCGTAGATCATGTTATATAGCTGCACAAGGGGCTTAGCTGGGTTCAGCTCTCTCGCCACTGCGACCTGTCTGTACCACGCCAAGATCTGAAACGATTGACAGAAGCACTTCCTTCGAATGTGAAATTCTCCGAGTAACTATGGTCCAGATAAGACAGCATTTATATAGAAGCAGAGCATACTGATCGATTTGGTCTCGCATTCGACTTTCGGACGGAATCACCAAAAAAGAATAGGTGCAGGAAGAAGAGTCCGATAAGCCTTCAACACCGCCCAATAGACGACCTGAGGAGTCTTCCGCTCATGCTGTCCTATCTTAAGCACATGGAAGCAAATCCCATTCGCCTACTGAATCACCTGACAAACCGTGGGGCTGCAGTCAGACGGCGGTGAGGAGTGAAGATGTCTTGGCAGATGCATTTCGTGGATTGACACCAATGAAACCCCTGCAAGACATTGTGGCACGTTATGTTCAATTTCAGTGCAATTGTATTCCTACGTGATGTAACTCTTATGACGAAGTCGTCCACTTCAAACTTGAGGAGAGTGACCAGAGAAGAGTAGAAGTGGGCGCCAGATATAAGAAGTGGTTATCGTCCCCAATCTCCGTCTAATTCACGTTCTTTTGGGAGAAGCTCGCTTGTATTGTTCGCATCAAGACGCGATAATGATACCAGAGCTGTCTACCTGGACCGTGGAAACCATCTTCGATGGCTTCTCATCGATCCCCAAAAACTCCACTCCAATTGTTGCAGGCCTGATCGCGCTGCCAATATGCATCATTGGTCTCTCGACGCGGCTGTATAGACGTAAATCGGCCCAATCCAACATACAGAAGTATAGATGGGACACACGTGTGGCTGGTGGTGCGAAAAAGCGATGGATGTGGGATTCGTTGAAGCTATTACGAGAGGGATACTCCAAGGTTGATCTCCTCAATGTCACTTTGATGTCTATGCCAATTCTGACGACTTGATCGCTCCCAGTTCTATGATCGACCATGGCAGGTCTGGACCTCAGAGGGCTATCAAGTCGTGCTTCCTCCCACGTACGTTGATGAGCTGAAAATGCTTCCGGATCATACATTTCCTTCATCTTTACGAGACGTGAGTGGTTCAATGTCGAGACCTTCTTGGTTGGTGGTTCTCTTGTTTGCGCTAATGCTAACGTTCTAGAAAAGTTCATGTTGCCTTGGTATACGTTCAAGCCGTTTGATCCTTCGAAGGTGGATTATGTCAACCAGGTTATTCTCCGTGACTTGAACAAGAATATGAGTATGTTTCCGTCCAAGGATGCATAAATGCATCTGAGGCTGAATTTCTGCTTTAGCGAAAATTTTCCCAGCCATGAGAGACGAGATTGATATTGCGCTCTCGATGGACCTCCCTACTTCTACAGGTCAGTGAACCTCTTTTCCAGCTGCCATGAGCCATACTGAAAATGAAAAAGACTGGTCTGAAGTCGACCTGTCCGCACAATTGCTTCGACTCATCTGTCGCGTCAGCGGAAGAGCTTTCGTTGGATCCGAACTGTATGGTAACGAGCAATGGATTGACATTTGTTGCAAGGTAGATCCTGGGCATGAGAGCCATTTTGCATATTGGCTTACCAGCTGCACCAGTATACCAAAGACGTCTTCTTATCCGCTCTCAAATTACGCGCAGTGCCATCCTTCCTCCGTCCACTTGCCGCCATGCTGATACCTGATCTCTATCGAGTCTACAAACATCACGATCGTGCTCGAAATCTGATTCAGCCAATCCTGCAACAGCGGGAGCAGGATGCCGAGAATGTGGCCAGATACGCCAAACCTAACGATACAATACAATGGATGCATGATCTGCTTCCTGAGGAGGACAAGAAGGATTGTGCTCTCCAAGGCGCTCTCCAGCTAGCTATCACAGCGGTTTCGGTACAGTCTACGAGTAAGCTGATTGTCAACATCATGCTAAACCTGATGAAACATATCGAGTATGTGCCGATTCTCATTGAAGAAATCCAGCCGGTACTGGCGGGATGCAATGGCGAATGGACCTTAGAGAGTATGACTCACTTAGAAAAGCTTGATAGCTTCATGAGAGAGTCACTGAGATACGAGCCTCCATTGACTGGTAAGTCTGCCCTGTAGTCTGATTCTTGATCGGCTTTGTGCCTTGTTTTCATTGCTGCTGAGAGGAGAACGACTAAACCATATTCTGTGGGAAACAGCAACATTTCAACGTCGAGTCAAGAAGCCAATCAACTTGTCCGACGGTACTACTTTACCACAGAATACGTTGGTGCTAGCACCTGCCGATGCCATCGCCTTCGACGCAAATTTATACCCAAATCCAGGTCAATTCGATGGGTTGCGGTTCTACAAATTGCGGCAGCAGGCGGATGGGGGTGGGAAGGCGGCAGACAAAGTCCGGCACCAATTCGTCGCAACTAATAAGACTCAAGTGCAATTCGGGCTGGGAAGGCACGCCTGTCCGGGAAGGTGGTTTGCTGGTCATGTCATAAAGATGGTCGTGGCGTCGGTGCTATTGAAATATGACCTAAAGTTTAAGGACGGCGAAGAAAGGCCAGAGACCTTTCTCTTTCAGACGACTAACATGCCGCACCCAAAGACGAGGATTCTCGTGAGGAGAAGGACAGACTAGGCCTCGTACGGACAGATGTCGGTGAATAGCTTGTTGACGGAACACAGTTGACGGAACACTAGTGATAGCTTCCGACACCCCTGCCTTACTTGGGAGCTTCATGGCGCGCCGGACTCGTTATACTAGCTCATGATCTACGGCCCTACGGACTGACAGCACCTCGTGGGGGTAAATCGACACGAAGAGACCTTCTGGCAAAGCAGGGGTCAGGACAAGCCTATTCGGCCGTTGGACTAGGAAGTTCACGCTCTTAAAAATCCATGAGGGCGTACTTTCAGCGCGTGGGGGTGCTTGGTCGCGCTGCAATTGAGTATTTTAGCCTGTACTGACATCAATTGATTAGATTGAACGTATCAGGATAGTGCGAGAAGTGGTTCTTTGGAGTCCAGATTGAGATGGATTTAGGTAGAGTCTGTCATGGTATCGTCTCCAACTAGCAAGTCTCATTGATATGTGCGCGTTGAAAAGCTCGATGTTTCAATAGCCTCGTGCTCTCGTATCAAGTTTCGGGAGCAACAGTGAAGCTGACCCAGAATCTTGGCGACATCAAATTGATTGAAACCCTTGTTGTTCAACAGGCATCCGGCCAGCGGATTGACTACGCCTAGTACTTTCATAGCGTCCGGATCTATGTCTTTGATGCGTCCTATCACAGCGTCTAACGTCTTGGCTGTAGCTGTAGCGCTTTTACTATAATTACCCCAAATCGTATCAGCAAAAAAGCCTCTAGCAAGTATTGTAAATCAGGAGTACTTACACGGCACTGGCCAGCTTCGCAGAGCAAATTAACAGGATCGCTGGACCAAAGGCGTCTGCAAGCTGAGACCAACGTTTTCCATACTTCTTCCTATCATGGAATTTGGCTCGCAGCTCCGCCCGCCGGCGTTGACTCAGTGTACTCCATCCCTCGTGGATATTCTCTAGGATGCGATCGATGGCATGCGATGCATGGCCCCGTCCAACGGTTGATTCAACGCGGTTTCTGACTGATGTGTGCCGCCGCCCCTGTTGTATTTCTGTGTATTCAAGATGTAGTTGTATGAGTGCCATGCGGTTGCGGATCACGTCGTCGCCCATGCGGGAGTTCAGCTGACACACGGCAAGGTATGCCCGCTCTAGCTTTGAGTAAGTTAATGGGGTTGCTAAGGTGGCATCTGTTGTCGGTGTTGATAAAGGATCAGCGAGGTCCTGCGATGCCTCATACCAGAGTCCCTCACGCGTCCAGCGGGGAAGCTCAGACTCAAGCAGATTGTAGAGATCTTCGCAAAGTGCATTTTGCGATAGGTTTTTGACCATCAACTCGGATGCATCAAGTGACGAGTCTGAGTCTCTTTTCCGTTTGTGAGCTCGGCTATTCGGAGATGGGTCCCTCTGTATAAGATTCTCAAGTTGCCATGCAGCTGCAGAAGGTGACGATGTGTTGATCTCGCTGCCAAAGTCAAACGCAGGCGACGCACATGCATTGTCACTGGCCCAAAGCGACACATCTGCATGATCAAACGTGAAAGCATCTGTTGGTAGAGTCTGTGCGTCCACCACGATCGGGTCAACGCTTTCGTATGAAGGCGTTACTAAGTTGTGGGTTCCTTCCGTTCCGGTGGAGGACGACCCAGACGAAATGTGTGGGGTCGACGCAGAAAGAAAGTCGGAAGTAGACGGGCAAATCGGATCGAAGGTAGCAAGCGACTCGTTCAAGTTCTCTGGAGCGGATTCTCAGCCATGCTATAGGGTAGAAGGAGCTGCAGAAGGTTCAAAACGTACCATCGAGTCGCGCATGCTGCATTTGCGTCGATCCGCCTTCAGAATAGGTACTATGAAAAAGCATATCCGCCTCCGGGAAGGCATTCTAAATCATATTAGTGCTCAAATATCCATTCCATGAGTATATAGCATTATTTACGCTCGAGCAGCTGGAAGCTGTACGTGCCCTCTCTCCTGCAGTCCCATGTATTGAGAGATTACCTGGTGAGCTTGCTTGACATGGCCATGATAGGCCCAACCCGATTTTGCTAGGCGTATTTGAGTCGGATCTACAAGTTTCCCCCTCAATGAGTAGCCTCCAACTGTCGTTACTCGTGCCCTCGAGTCGCATTTGAAAGGGGCCAACGCAATCGATTTGATTGCGACCGAGAAAGTCCTCTAGGGCTCGAAAAAAGTCGAATGAGGTTGTCCTCGCAGGAGAGCAATCGTCACGGGAAATTGATTGGAGGTCACTCATCTCTATATCCACACAAATGAAAAACAATGAGCGGAAAGAGAAGGAAAGAGCAGGCTTCACATGTGGTTAAAACACAAATTATGCTTCATGTCTAAAACAGTAATCATGGCGAAGTACGATCCAGAGATTCGCCCATAGATAGAAGGCTGACAGTCTGTAAGAGGTTTCAGTGGCAAGAACGATATCGAAGCTTACTATGTCGCCAATTGGGCGTCACATGGCATTAGCTCATAGCTAAAAGTGGGCCCCCCTGATGATCCAAGGATGTCGAAGCCTCTCCTAGTCCCGAGCGATTTTCAGGATGGATGCCTTACCAACACATGGCGTGGGTAGGTCGGTTTGGTAGGGACTTGCGAACTTTTGCGCAGGTAAGCGGACGGTGGGAAATCCTGCACGCTGTTGGATCGATAAGGAGACCCTGCAAAACGGTGTGAATGGCCATGTCTGTGGAGTAGCTGATGGAGAGGCCGAGCGATGCCAACTGCTGGTGTATATTTCCTCAATCCTTAGTGCTGCTTAGCGCTCCGCAAGACGCGTTCCCCCTGCTCGGCGGGCCTAAGGGTGGCAGAAGGTGGCAGAACAAGCCTTTGACAAGCCTTGGAGCTCAATGCTTAGCATGTGTCGAGAGATCACTAGCTGGTGCTAGCAGCGGATGACATGTTTATGCGCACGAAGGGTATCGAGACTTCGGCGCCTAGCGAGGCCAATGTGGTAATGGTTCCGAGAGGGCATCCATAAATAATCCCATACGCCAGATATCATCCAACACGAGTCCGCGATAGATGTGACCAGCCTGAGTATTGGTGTATCAGTCACAACCCAGGCTTGCTCTTGTTGAGCATAGGGCATTAGTGCTATGCTTTGTCAAATGTCGTGCTCTGCATGGGGCAACTTATCAGTCTCGTCGATTGCGCACGGGTGAGAAGGATCGCTCCGACCTTCCACGCACACATGGGTGCCATCCTGTTTGCTCGCTAACTTCGCCCGATCTTGCGACGCATATGCAGTAAGCGTCACATTGGCACAGCTCACCATAGAGAATAGCTGACGTACTCTATAGCAGAATCCTTTCGGCTGTCAGGAAGTCAAAGGCCTCGTGAAACCTGCCTAATGCTAAAAGGGGGCTGGTGGGCGGGCTAATTCACGGCCCGAAATAGACTTGGCGTTCAGCTCCAACGGGGCTGACAATCCTACCTTAAGGTCATTTGCTTAGATACATCTCATTACCGGTATTCTGTCTGCAGCTGATTGTCATCATGGTCATGGACGCGTGTTGGCCTGTAACATTACCATCAGTTGGTTACGCTCTTGCCTGCATAAAAGGTTCTTGCTGTCATCGCAAACCAATATGAGAAAATCAAAACCTGCCGACCAGACGAGAATACTGGGCCTAATCACACCATACCAAGTGCAGCTTAGCAATCTGACTTGCAACAACACATTTCCACCTAGGCTTTCTTCAGGCGCTTTCAGAAGATGAACAGACTTTCCCCAGAGTATCTACAGGACTTCTTGCAATATGTGCGAGCCCACTCTGCTTACTATCGTGCTCTGTGGAATGACGTTCCCCAAGGACTCTCTTCGCTCGAGGGATTACCTTTGACAAATCTTGACGATTATTGGAACGCAGCGAAGGAGAACAGGTTGTTGACCAAAACTCCCTGGGATGGAATGATAGTCAGGACTGGAGGCACAACATCAGAGCCCAGGGTGGTGTATCTCGCTCGTGATGAAATTGCTGAAACCCTCCCTCATACTGGCGCTGTCTGGTCAACCTCATCCGGCATTCGCCCTGGCGATCGGATAGCCAACCTCTTCCATATCGGTGGCATGTACGCTGGTTTTGCCAAAATGACTCTGGCACTTTCACATGTTCATACACCACACATCCATCTTCCCATCTCAGGCAACGAGACCCCCCCGGAGATGGCGAATTTCATGAAAATGTTTAATGCTACAGTCGTCTTCAGCAATGTGTTCACAGTCTGTCGCATTGTCGACTATCTGATAGAAAAAGGGGAGACTATTGACAGCGTGCGCTTGATCCTATTTGCAGGCGAAACTTTCTACAAGGATCTAAGAGTTTCCTGGACGAAAGCGTTCCCCAATGTGCAGGTGAGGCCATTGATGTATGGTGCGGCAGACGGTGGCCTCATAGGCATACCGGTGAATGAGCCTGGGGTCCCAGACCTAGACATCAAGCCCACATACCAAGTCAGCCAGGATACGGTCCAACTTGAGATTCTCACAGAGGACGGTCGTGTCATCACAGAACCTAGTCAGAAGGGACGAGTGGTGCTGACTGATTTGAAGCGAAGGCTACATCCTGTAGTAAGATACCCGATGGGCGACTTAGCGCAATGGATCGATTACACAAAAGGGACCTTTGAATTGTTAGGGCGTGAATCTGTGGCACTCAAAATAGGATCTCTGTTCCTGCCCATACCTAAACTTCGGTCCTTGGTCATAAGTGCGCTCGGTGAAGGATTCCAAGACAGCTTCCAACTACTTGTGCGTCGGGCAGAAGGCAAGAATGAGGTGACATTCAGACTTGCCGCACCGCAGCAGAACCCAGAGGCAGCCACCAGGGCTTTGGAGCAAAGTCTGATTACCGAGTTTCCAAAATGGGGAGAATATCTCAAGATCGGCTACATCCAACCTTTGAAGACAGAATGGGTTAGTATGAAGGATCTTGTGGTCGTGGAAAGGAGCGGTAAATTGAAGGAGATAATTGAGGAGCGTTTCGTCAAGGAGCAAGCTGCGGTCAATGGTGACGCTGGTAAGCTCGAACCTTACACGAATGGCCATTAGTCAGCCAGCAAAGACATGAGAGGTAGAGCATAGGTGAATGTACGGAGATGCAACAATCAACCATTTGTCGTACGGCGAAAGGAGAATAGTAAGCCAACATGCGACTCGTGCATCGAGAATACATCTGCCTACACGTCAATAATTAATCTCAAATACAAGCTTCGTAAGTTTACATTTTTCTGAAACTGACCATGTAAGATTCATTGGTAACCGTATGAAATATGCAGGGGATTTTGCTGGGTTTTCTCCACGAAATCCCCGCTCGCTTGTCAGACTCACTGCAATGGGGCGTGGTAGCTCCTACAAATTCTCAACCAATGGACTGGTCCGCCTTAATATCAAAATTAGCAGGGTCTCAAACGCAGACATGATATTTCCGTAAGCCCTCGTCTTGCTAGATTGCAACCGACACAGCCATACGTCTCAAGTCACTGATCTGCATGGATATACGTTTCGATGGTTTGATGTTATGGGCTTCCAGCTAGATGCTGTGGTGTAGTATGGCATAAAAGAATTGAATTGCCCATTGCCAGCCATCCAGGTGAACGAGAACTAAAGATTAGCCAAGTAAACCATTTCTCTCTCTTCAAAGTATCAACAAGACACTTCTCCCTGACTGAATAATGGCTCCGGTAGCAACGCTCGACACCTTCCCTCAGAACTTGGAGTCTGTGGCACCCCAGAAAATCATTGAAGAAGCTCAGCCTCAACCTCAATCTCAACACCGTGAGCCTCTGAAGCTGTCTGGTGCACTTGATGGAGTCGATTATTTCGAGGTAACGCCATGTCTTGGCAGAGAGTATAGGGGTGTTGACCTCGCCGAATGGATTAAAGCGCCGAACTCTGACGAACTTTTGAGAGACCTTGCCATCACAAGTATGTTGACTTCCTGAAAACTAGAGACCACATACTTGCTCTTGTCAACCGCAAAGATGCCAGGCTGACTCCGTGTATAGTTTCTCAACGTGGAGTTGTATTCTTTCCCCAACAAGATGGCATCAATGATGAGAATCAGAAAGAACTCATGCAGAGACTTGGAGAGCTGTCTGGGAAACCTATCACTTCACGCCTGCATATCCACCCTATTTATGCCGAGAGTCAAGAAGCGCGAGCCTTAAAGGGGAATGACGATGAGATTAGTGTCGTTAGCTCGGCTTTCAAAGAGAAATCGCAGAAGGTGTATAGTGACTCAAAACAATCTCAGGCCGCAAACGGTGACAAGAGAGCCACCAAGGTCTATACTGATACCAAGAATGCGCATCTCTCTGTTTGCAACAAGAAACAAAGCATGAAAACAGAATGGCATTCGGACAACGCCTTTGAAAACTTGCCCGCTGACTACACCATGCTTCGTCTCACCGAACTTCCGCGGACTGGTGGAGGTATGTCGCTGCATGATTTGAAGTTTTTCGCGTGTAATGTGGCGGCTGACATGGTACACCGCCAGATACCTTATGGGCGTCCGGATATGAAATCTACGATCGCATTTCGCCACCATACCAGAAGTTCCTGGAAACACTGACGGCGACATATCACTATGCAGGTCTCGACGTATTCAAGGCTGTAGCTGCAAAACATGGAATGAAGGTCTACACCGATCCGCGAGGGGCTCCTGAAAATGTAAGACTCTACTCTGCTTATGCACCAACGCTTCATCGCGAGCATGGCTTTGAGATGTCAGAACTGATCGAGGAACGGGCAGGTCGGTGACGATATTACAGCCACTCACCCTATCGTGAGGACCAATCCTGTCACAGGCTGGAGATCCCTTTACGGGATTGGCCATCATCTGAAGCAGATCAATGGGCTCACCAAAGACGAGAGCAAGATGTTGGAAGATTGGTTCGCCAAATTACTGTCGGAAAACCATGACTTGCAGCTGAGGCACCGGTGGGAGCATGTGAATGATATGGCGATCTGGGACAACAGGAGCATGTATCATGCAGCGACACCAGATCATCAGGGTTGGGGACATAGGACTGGTCACCGGGCTGTCAGTACCGGCGAGCGACCGTATTTCGACCCGGAGAGCAAGTCCAGGAGGGAAGCAATGGGGTTAGCGTTGTGAAATCAGAGCATTTTGTGCCATTATTTCGCTATTCCTTAGGAGTCTTAGGTAGAGCCCACCTCAACTACCAGCCCATACCCTAGTTCTATATTGGCTTAGCGGCTTGGCATAAGCTGAGCGACCATTCTTTTGACGCCCTCTTTCTCATGCTGTACAACCAACATGAGGAGTGCTTTTTCATGATACGGTGATACTCATTGCGACGCAGGGTGTGACAGAAGGCTCGGTCAGTAGGCAAGCCACGGGTATAATTGCCGCTAAGCATCGTCCCAAGAACGTATTTCACCGTTTAGCGCAATCAACGATCGTAGAATAGCATTAGCTGTGGTCAAATATGCAGTCGCAAGCACCATGACGACCCCACTCGAACTATTGTCAACTTGACTTTTCACCTATTATATTCCTCTCAACTCTTTTGCACACAATACTCCCTCGCCACAAAACCCTCCTTTCAATTACCTCACCACAACGATAGACTCTCCCAACAGCATAGCTCACCTTCCGACCTTTCCGGCCTCACTTCCAACATCCTCGCCAGATTAGCTCCTGATCAAAGATGCCACGCTCACTTTGAATGCGCGTAGTGTCTGACAGTCTGTGCTGTTCCGCTTTCCGTATCAAAAGTCCACCAATTTGACATGTCAATCAGTTACACCAGCGTGAACGACCGGTAGAGATTAATTGACCATCATGATCAGCGTCGACTCACAACTCAGACAAGACAGTTACCATGAGGCCCGGCCTTCTCGAATCTCCCGCAAATTGAAAGATGGCGACAGTGACGGTTCAGAAGAATCAGCAAAGAACGAGCCTGCATTTACTGGCGAGTTCTTTGACTGCAGATTTTCATGGCCACTCCCACCCCTGGACTTGCAAATTCCTGGCCTCCCAAGTACCCCAGCGACAGAGATTGCTAGGCCTGATGAGCCTCCCCTCTACTCCGTCTTTACCGGCGGACAAAAGCGATTGACCGTCTTTGTCGTGTCCTTCGTCGCTATGATCTCACCGCTCTCGGGGACAATCTACTTCCCTGCCCTGGAGATACTAGCAAAGCACTTCCATGTGAGCTCATCAGTGATACAGTTGACAATTACCACTTACCAGGTAAGGCCCCTACACGATTTACCTAATATGGATCCCTAACATTCCATTGTGTAGATCTTCCAAGGGATCGCTCCGTCGTTCATTGGCAACTACTCGGACAGCTACGGTCGTAGACCCGCTTACGCCATCTGCATCGTCGTCTACGTCGCCGCCAACATCGGGCTTGCTCTGCAAAACAGCTACGCAGCCCTCATAACCCTCCGATGTCTACAATCCGCTGGATCATCTGCGACCATCGCCCTCGCCGCCGGCTCCGTTGCCGACATGATAACGCGAGCTGAGCGAGGTAAATTCATCGCCTACGCATCCTTAGGCGTAACGCTCGGTCCGGCTCTCGGCCCCATAGTCGGCGGCCTACTGACTGAGTTCCTGGGCTGGCGATCCATCTTTTGGTTCCTTATCATCTTCTCCGCCGCCTTGTTCACCATCTACTTCATCTTCGTGCCCGAGTCAGCCCGGCAGGTCGTCGGCAATGGCAGCATTCCCCCCTCTCGCCTCTTCATGACCCCCTTCCAGCGCATCGAGCACAAGCGCCATCCCGTCTCTGTGTCGGACGTCGACCGCGCAACGTTAAAGGGAGAGCGAAAACCCCTCAACCCATTCGCCGCGCTCAAGATCCTCGGTGAGAAGGAAGGTGGTGTGACGCTCGGCTTCGGCTCGCTCATGTATGGCGGGTACTTCATGGTGCTAACGACGCTGCCGAGCCAACTCACGCAACGGTTTCAGTACAATGCCGTGCAGATAGGGCTCTGCTACCTGCCCATCTTCGTGGGCTCGATCTTCAGCCGCTCCATGGCGGGATACTTGCTAGACCGGAATTTCCGCCGGCATGCGAAGCGGGTCGGCATCGAGGTCTCGAAGGAACGACAGGAGGATATGGATAAGATGCCCATCGAGGCCGCGCGGCTGCAAGTCAGTATTCCCATGATTTATATTACTTCTGTGTGCGTCCTCGCGTATGGCTGGACGATGGAGACGAAGTCCTCGCTGGCGGGGATTGAGGTGACGTTGTTCTTCCTGGGCTTGTTCAATTCTGGCGGCCTGGCGGGACTGAATACACTGGTCGTGGATACGCATCAGGAGAGTCCCGCCACTGCCATGGCTGCAAATAATCTGTTTCGATGTCTAGTGAGTGCTGGTGCTACCTCAGTCGCGGTACCGATGATCGATAGGATAGGCATAGGCTGGACGTCTGTCTTTATTGCTGGAGTGTGGCTGTGCTTCAGTGCTGCACTGTGGTGTGTCCTGCTTTTTGGGGCAGAGTGGAGATTGGAAAAGAATGAGAAGATTAATAGAGCGAAAGAGAAAGAGGAAGTTCAGACGAGGGATACGAGTATAGAGTCATGACTAATGTATGGTAGCATAATATGTACGGTAGCATATTGAATAGACGCTGGTTAGATTAGTATTGACTAAATAATCTTGGAAGATCCGCCTCGAGCTCCCGAGTCCATCCAAATCTGGGACCTATGCCGAAGGCACATAGCTTTGCTTCGGCCAAGCAGGGTGTCGCTACCCAATATTTCACAAGAAGCGAATCGTTACAGCAACCTCTTCCGACCGTCCATCAAATTCAGAATGTGATATCGTCCCATACCTTAACTTCACCTAACCTGCTCTTAGAGTATCTAGCTCCTACATGAGATGTTCCAATTATGGCCAGCCCAAACGAAACTCTCAGTGCTAGGTACTTCACAAACTAGGTTGAAGGGGCGAGGCCTTCCTGCTCTTGTGACCATCGCTCTGCGTCGCTCGCCCGCGTTTCAATCATTACGTTTCTTGAAAAAGGACCGTCTCTTGGCTATCGGCGCTCTCGCCCGTGCGTCACATCGGTGTAGAACAACTGGCCAATGCTGATTGTGCGTGGAAGGCCTTCGGAAGCCAAGGATGAGCTAGAATACATGCAGATGTCGAAGGAGAAGAGGGAGATGGCGGTGTCTGCGCAGGAGCATCAAGTACGGGTGGTGGCTAAGATAGGAAGACTAGTCGCCCGTTCAGACCATGCTTTCGGTCAGTGGAAATTGTAGATCAGGTTTCCATGACTAGTTGTACATGTAATGGACGTTGTGAACGGGCTGAGAAAAGAGCTTTGTCTGTTGAGTATGAAAGCTACTGAATCTGAATTCTTTACTTCACATAGCCCAAAGGCAGCAGTCGATATAACGTTCGGAGGTCATGTCATCGATTAATGAGGACTGAGCGCGGGTCGGATGTATCCGCCCGGAAGGGAATGCTGACGTTGGATGAGAGAATGGCGGTCGTTGTGACGCTGGTTCGAGCTGTCACGCAACCATTATAGCATCTAGTGCCCGCCTGTGGCATTTCAAAAAACTGAAGTACGTCTCTGGCTCCTCCCTTAGTGACGCACTTCTAGACCGTGAGAACCGCTCATCGCATTTTCACGTAATCAAGGTGTATAGAGGCGGTAGACTACGAACCTTGATATCGACCTTGACGATAGACGAGCGTCGCTGCCTTTGTAGGTTGCTAATCCATCTCTGAGAAGGGTCCTTCGTCTCCTCATCTCGGGTCTACGACAATGAGGCCTTGCCAAGGCATTCATTTACAGGTCACGGATCTCGCCGGGAGCAACCAAGTGAAGCCCCATGGGCACAGTCAAGTGCTTACGTGAGGACTCGTTTGATGCCTCATCGCAGCCGTCAAGATTATATGACCTCCATCAACGTGATCATCGACGTTTCAGCCTCTCACTGGGGCATTGAAGTGTTTCAACGCATATCAAAGCATCTGGTGGAACTATAACCGAGCACCCCCAGAATGGGCCTCGTTGGTCAGCATTCACTCGATTCGTACGAAAGAATGAAGGACTCGATGGTGTGTCGCGTCTTGGAAGACTGTTGACCTTCAACTAGAACGCGTCTGATCTCCAAGCCTCATCTCGCTATTCCGGACGGAAAGTTCCTTGCGCTCAGCAACACGCCCTTGACACTCTTGATCTCAGCTTTGAGCCTTACAACACCATCCTCCTCTGCCTTCCCATGGAACTTCCCCAACGGAACCACGTTGGTCGTATGGCGTATCCCATCCAAATACGTTTTCAATTCCTCGAGCTTGCTTTGCACTGCTAGCTCTGACTTTTCTCCTGGCGTTATCCCCTCCAACGAGACCTTCAGATCTGATAATTGGCTTGCTTGCTTCTCATTGGACGACGGGTGCTCTTCCATCTCGGGACTCGCGACCAAAGAGTTGGACCGTGATAGTCTGGGGGAGGTCTGTGTAGCTATTGTCCTTGAAAAGAATCTTGTAGCATCTTCAACGTCATCATCCGTCTCCATATCTCTGTCGATGGCATTTGGTGGGGAGAGGGCAGGAACCTTCGAGACACTGGTTTCTAGCTTCTTGTTCAGGTTCTCTAGGTGTGAGGAGGTGGTTGAGAAGAGATCATGGCGAGCGGAGCCTAGTGACTCGAGCATTGGCTCAATGATGTATTTGCTTGTTCCATAGGTCAGAGCTGCAACGCCAGAGACTATATAGCTTGCTGCGAGTAGACGATCGGCTGTGATGAGAGGTGGCGGCTTTTGCGAGTGAAGCAAGAATTCGGGATAAGTGATGATGGGTACAGGCCCGGGGGCTGTGTCGTTCTCCTCTCGAGATTCAGTGGCCATCTCTCCATCGGACATAGTGGTCGACTTTGTGGAAGATTCCATTCCTTCTGAAGCGGAGTTGGGATGTATGGCGAGCAGCTTGTCAATGTCCGGCTCTGGCACGCCCTTTGACTGTAAAAAGCTTCTCTTTCTGTCTATTGGTGCATCACGCACGGTGTCGTCATCTAGAAATTTAGCTGCACTTTCTCGCAGTGCGTTCCGTTCGTAGAGGTCAATGGGTGTGCTCTCTCCATGTTGATGGGCTGTCTGTCTCGGATCGTTCGACGACTGTGAATCCGCATAGGTCTCTCCTTTCTCGTCCTCGGCTTGGTCTTTCCCTGCCATTGCTGCTACAGGATCTCTTCATCCGTCTTGTATGGTGGAGATGGAGACTAGAGGCTGATAAGCATAGAGTATAAGGTCGAAGTGACACCTCGGCCCAGAAAGACGCCTTGCCAGTTTAGGCTAAGCGCGTCACTGTCAGGCAGATCTGTGGATCTTTCCCCAGGCTTTGTAGAGATGAACGCCACTCTCGGACATTCTGCAGTATCATCCTGTTCTAGCACTAGTCTGATGACGCCCTAAGATAGATAATAGATGAAGATAGAGGATCGATTAAAGTGACAGATCTAGGAGGGACATTCCGGGCTAAAAAGATCTTACGTGCGGTAAGCTGCATCCCGTTCTGCATTCCGTACTCCGGAGAGGGTCTGCTAACACTTTGTAGTGATGGCACCATCGACCAATAGGCGACACAGAAATTCCACAACACTCCAATAGAGAGACATCCCATAACACTGAAGCCTCTGCACCGGTAAGTCCGCGGGCGTTTTTTACTCCACCATCTTTTCCAAGTACTACACCCTTCTACCCTTTTTGAGTCAGCCGTCGCGATTTTATTTTCATATTCCAGAAACATGGGCAAAAGCCTCACTCAGAGAACTGTGGGGTCTTGAAACCTGAGTGAGGGAGACAAGTGGAATTTCTAAAACCCCACATCACCGCGCTTGTCTGCTGCATCATCTGGGCAAAGAAGCGCTCCTGTCTTTTCCAGTATCTCAAGTCAATTTCCTTATCGCCATTTCATTTCTTTGAGAAGAGAACATTTCAACAATTGTCAAGATGCCACGACAATCATCACGCTTACAAAGGACCCCAACAGGCGGCCAAAGTCCCTCACCGGAAACACGACCAAGACGTGTTGCCTCCAATACGCACGCTGTTGTCTCGCGCGAAAACCTAGGGTTTGCTGGACGACCCAGAGGAGCTTTGAGATTGATCGTCAAAATGCCGAGCAGTAGATTACGGCAGGCCACTTCGGCCCGTGACAGCCCAGAAAAGGATACATCTGTCCCCACATCAAGAGCTACCCGTAACAAGCCAAGGAAAAGCTATGTGATGGAGAGCGAAACTGATGACGTCGATGCTGAGGGTGAAGAGGATGAAGATGCGGTCATGTCAGATGTGAGCGAAGAAGCCCCACCTTCTGGAGCCAGGACGCGGGGATCAAGGGCCACTCAATCTCGCGACATTTCAGCGATCGACGAAGAAGATGAGGATGAGGATGAGGAGGAAGAAGAGGAGGAGGAAGAGGACGCTGAGGGCGACATCGACATGGATGACGATGATGCAGACGACGGGGTTCCGCTTGGCGCAGCAGCTCCGGCTCTCACCACAACAACATCATTGAAAATCAAGGGTCCAGCTGCACCACAGCAACAGCCAAAAGTGACCGTCACCCCAGCGCAGGACACCAAATTCAAATCAGTCGAAGACAAGGAAATGGAAGTCGACGACGACGACGACGATGAAGAACTTTCAGAGCTAGGATCTGATGAGGACGAAGACGAAGAAAATGACGATGAAGATGCCGAGGGCGAAGAGGACGTCGAGGACATGGAAGAAGGAGATGAAAGCCGCAGCCCAGCAGGCGATTCCAGCCGAGCCAGCACGCCCGACATCAGTAAAATGACGAAACGGCAACGAAGTAGATATGATCAGGTGATGGGCAGTGACTTTCTGCAGCTTCCTATGGGTAAGTCACTACTTTCCTATCATCCCAACAATTTATGTCTCTGCACCTCCACCTTGATTATCTACCAACTGGTTTCCACCTCCCCCGCCTTCTACCGCCTCACCCCCTATTCCCCATCACCTTTAATTCCCCTCTCTACTTCCACACTAACATCCCCCCTCCCCTAGAACCCCAAATCAAAAAACACCTCACAGCAGAAGAACACGCGATGCGCCGCTCGGAAATGGCGCGCCGCCGCAAAAACCTCTCCGAAAAGCGCAACGAGGAGGAAAAAGCCGACACCATAAACCGGCTTCTCAAAAAACAAGCGCCTAAGCGTAGGGGCAAGATTAGTAAGGAGGAGATGCTGGCGCAGGATCGGGAGGATGATGAGGAGGAGGTGGGGGAGGGGGAGCGAGTGATGGGGGGAGTGGGGAAGGGGTTCGCGAGGGTGGTGGAGGAAAATGTGGCCCCTGCTAATCCTGTTTATGTTAGGTGGGTCAGTGGGAAGGGAGGTAGTAGGGTGGGCGTGCCGAGGGAGTGGTTGGAGGGGCCGGCGGGGAGGGTGTTTGTTGGTGCGGGTGCGGGGGCTGGAGAGGGAGGAGGGTTGGGTGGTGGGAGGATGGTGGAGGAGGTGGAGGGGTGAATGCTCAGTGTGCAGGGCAGGTTCTGACAGGAAGGACGCTTATGTGAGATTGTTTGAGTATTAAGTAGCTCGTTCGAAGATTGAAGGCTCAATTTTTGATCAATCACGGAGCCTGCCATGACTGAGACGTCTACCTATCTATTATACAATGCTGAGCGAAGTATCCCGATGCTCACTTCCTCTTTTTGAGTACCGGGCCTCCTTGCTCCCCAAATATGGTTAGCCAAAATTGCAGAGCCGTGTAGATATGGGATGACCTGTATCCAAGCCTGCATCCAATTCCCACTTCCTAGCCATGCAGCCACTGTTTCTCTGAGGTCCACACAACATGTCAAATCGACCCGCCGATCTTTTCACCCACCGAACCGAAGACAAGACAACAAGAATAAGCAAAGCCGCGATGATGCACAAGAGAGCCAGGTGTCCAGCACCCTCTCCTTCATGGTCCCTCTTCCTCCTCAAACCCCATCACTGCTTGACCCAGATCTACATAAGCTCACAGCTGCCCCGTCCCCCAACACTACCAACCAAGCCCTGCCTTCCCCTCCCGGACCCAACGACAGCGATGTTCCGGTAATTAAAATCAAACTTCGCGCAGCCCGCACGCTTGGATTTCTTCGCGTCGTCTTTCTGCTGCTCTGCCGTACCAGTACCAGTAGAGTTAGTAGAGTTCGACAATTTCGACGATTTGGAGGAGAGAAGGGAAGAGGTTGATGATGCCAGGGAGGAGTTGTCACTGTTGATGCTGTGGGTTGAGGCGGAGGTAGAGATGGGTGGGAGAGGCCAGGATTTTGCTTGTCGATTACTTCGGGCGCTGGTGTTGGTTGATCCGGAGGTGGAGCTGTGTGTTGAGGTCTGCGGCGTGACAGTGGCTGGGGAGATGGTCGTGCTGGTGGAGCATTTGTAGGTCTCGAAGGAGCGTGTGGAGGAGGTGATGGGTGAGGGTGAGCTTAGGAGCGGGGCGCGCTCTTCGTTTGATGCTCCGGGCATCTTAGTTGGGTATATTGGATTTGCTTTGCTGCTAGGCTGAGGAGGGTTTTTGGGATTTAGATCTTTGGTGAGGGCGCCAGCGCCGTTGAACGGGTGAAATGAGTATCTATGTGATGCTGTGGAAGGTGACAGGACGTTTGACGGTGTGTAGTCGATATTGCTAGAGGATGCGGGCGATGAGAATGCTGTGAGCTCCGGCCTGCGAAGATGGTAGTCGGGGTCGAGTGATCTTTGAATGCTAAAAGATTGATGATGTTGATGAAGATAAAGCTAGATAGAGTATGTTCATGATCATTTGATGTCTTTAGTAATAAAAGGAATAACAACGACTAGATAGCAAAGATGACTATGATAGGTACGAAGAGACTGTAGCAATGCTGGTACATGTTAAAAAAAGACAAGAAGTAAGTGCATGTGATGTTGATTCAAGAAAGTAAAGTGAGCAGTTCAAAAAAGGCCAGGTAAAACTCAAAATGAACATCAGGAAATGATTGAGCAGGCAGGCTGAACGCAGTTGGCAGCTTCAGTGTCCAATCTTATTGCTGTGTTTGAATACCGAAAATAGTCACAGCTGCTCCTGACCAATGCAGCGACCATTCGCTGATCACGATCAGGCCTCCTCGATGTTAATGACCGTAAACTTCATCTCGTACATATCTTCTCTGGGGCACCACTAGCCAGTTTCATTCTCATCAACTAATTCTGCCCCACAGGCTTCCTATACCCAGTCGGGGTTTGTCGATATGGCTCATACTGCGGTGCTTCTCTTTGCGAGCGAGCATTGAGGGGTGGCTGCTTGGTAGTAGATTGAGGCGTTGATGGAGCGAGAGGGCTGGAATACGAAGGCTGATATCGATTGTTCTCATTTCCATTGAAGGTTTCTGGTAAAGGCTGCCGTCGATGTGGTGAGTGTCTGTCGCTGTCCCTGCCTGCAGGTGAACTATTTCTCGATTGTCTTTCTTTCAGTCGGTTTTCCGTCTCTTTTAGCCTGGCCTCCAATGCCTCGAGCTCTTTAGTTTGGGAGTCAACGGCTTTCTTCCTGTGTTGTATTAGTCACCAGGGTCGAGGAGGGTTCAGACGAGAGTTAAACGAGTAGCGAGATATTTCTACTCACTTCTCCTCAACAGAAGCCGTCAAGCCCCCAAGATTGTTGTCTATGTCGAAAACATCATGTAACGAAGCGGAGAAATTACGGGCTATGGTGCTGGGCAAAAGTTAGCTACCAGTTACGGGAAAGGTTAGAGTCATCCTACGACTGAGGTCTTCCGCTCGGCTTCCAATCTCCATCAGCCATTGTGACTACTGGCAGCGATTAAGCTGAAGCCAGAGTCGAGAATGTGCTTGCAAAAGTTTCGGCTTCGATCATGCGTACGATGGCAACCGAATCATTGCCGAGGACGAAACAAATTCACACATTCGTAGCAGCACGCAGAAAACAAATCAATGCAATCGTCGCCTAGAAACAAAGAGAAATTACCCTTGGGTTGTTTACTGCGTCAGGTATGAAGGAAGCGGTCAGCTCCAAGATGGAATGCCAAGCTCAGTAGGGCCAGATTTTTCGCAAAGAGAACCAGGCTTGGCACCGCATTCGCTGAAACTGCGCAATTCACCAGTATCCAATAACTCATGTTGCACAGTCAAAGGCTATAGGGTCTTGTGCAATATCGCTTCGAGCTCCGACGATCGATCTTGTGAGAAACCAGGCTCTTTCCGTAATCTCTGCGACCGACCTCCCCTGTGCGCTTGGTTTGGTCACAACTTCCCGCGTCCGCATCAAACTTCCACCTAGAATTACCTTTCGATGCGACTTGACGTAACACAGTATGCGATATAAGGCGCAATAACGCCCACCGCGCAATGGTGCCTGATATTCACTCTCCATTGGAGAACCTACTACTTCTGCTGGCTCTTTACCCCTATGATGGAGAGTCCTATACGCCGTCTTTCGATCACGCTTCAAATTCGCTCAGAGGCAATAAGATCCTGGAGGAGAGTGATTTCTTCAAACCAGAGCGGTTGGGACCGGAGACCTTGAGGGGCTTATATTTGGGGTTGGTCAAAGAGCAGGCGAAGATCGAGGCAGCGAGTCACAATGGATCACCTTCAACAGACCCAAATCCTCGGAAAAGGAAGCTGTCAAGCCCGCCCATGGAGACGATTGAGGAGGCCTCCAAATATACACATCTACTCCCTCGCTTGTTAGAGAGGTTGTATATACAATTCAAAGATGATACAACCAAGACTATAGAGGCAGAAGAGCGTGAATACCGCAAGATGCAATCTTTGCAGCACCACACCAGCGAAGCTCGTGCAGCAAGGCCAGGATCCCAAGGTGTACCTCCAATATCTGCTCTTCTACGTGAGACAGAAGGTAGTGCTCAGCCACGGCCTCCTGCTCCGGTCGAGCCAATAGTCAATGGCATAGGACAGCATGAGACTCATCCACCACCTCATGAGCCAAGGAATCTACATGCAGACATTTACAACCCTCGTTCCCAACCCAGTTCAGCAGAAAACGGACCTCCATATCTACCTCCTCCAGCCCCACCTACTCAACCATACACACTACCGTCCTCGGGCATTGACAGAAGAACCTCGACACAAAACCAAGGCCCTTCGGCAAGTCCTCGACTGAGCCATGCTCCACTCCCTCACGCAGATCGCTCATCGGCATCACCTATTATACTTCCTCCGCCAAAAGGCATGGTCCGTTCTTCCGGATCACCACCAATGCCTTCACCCCAGCAGGCTCATTATCCATCGACCCGACAGCCGTCAAATCAGAGCACACCCCATATTCATAGCCAGCGGCCATACTCCGGCTATTACGATACCCAAGGCTACCCGATACCATATTCGCCGTATGCCCATAGTCCTGCCTCACAAATGTATCATTCATACCATCCACATACTGCCCATTCAACACCATATGGCGCACAGTCATATCAATCTCCAGTTGCAGCTCAACAATCTCCGTATTATACCCAGTATTCCCAGCCTCTTCAGACGCCATACGCGCAGACGCCTCCTCAGTATACAGATTCTAGGACCCCTGTAACCAATCCACTAGCAAGTCAAAAGACACCAAAACCGTCTCCGATCAGCATAACAGGCTCTGTGACCAAATGGAAGAAGATTGAAAAATACAATTTTGGCATAATTCCAGTGTCTCCTACTCGGCCTCAAGCTGGAGATATCAGTCCCATCAGCGACGTTGACCCCTTCGCTGATCATGATAGATCAGTCACATCTAAAAGAGGCGGTAGGAGCACAAGATCAAGTCGGGAGCAACTTCAGGGTAATGAGTCTCTCGTCAATGATCGTAGAACAGAGAGACCGCGTGGCGGCCGAGGCCGAGGACCTGGGAGAGGGCGCTCTCGACGAGCGGGTAGCGTCGGATCCTCCACTTTTGCAGGGTCTTCGCGTAGAAGTCATTCACCTACTGACGAGCAGACCGGTGTCAAGCCTGAACCTTCCACGGCTGCTGACGAAAATGTATCCGTGGCGTCGTTCAATACAGCTGACGAGTCATCACGAAAACCAGCCCGACCGCGTCGAGGCACTCTTCGCGGAATGGATGTAGATAGCCAGCGACCAACCTCCAAACGGAAACGAGATGAACTTTCTGCGACTTCCACGCCAAAAGGTAAACAGGCTACTGTAGGAACCCCCGGTCTCACACCAGTCACTCCAAAGCGGCCGACGAAAAGGCCAGGCTACATTCTCGCGACGCGCAATTTCCCGAAACTCACTCTACCTTTGATGACTGAAATCACCACACATCGACTAGCTTCACTTTTCGCCAAACCGCTGACTGAGAGAGAAGCTCCTGGCTACAAGGACCGAGTATACAGGCCGCAAGATCTCAAGTCTGTTAAGGCAGCCGTAAGTGCCGGCAGCAAGGCGTTGACGGCTGTGCTTGAAGGGCTTGGTGATGAAGCACCTACAACAGGTGCTCACATCTGGGTGCCGGAAAACGAGGATCTGATGCCGCCTAAGGGTATTGTCAATGCTGGTCAGCTTGAAAAGGAACTTATGCGCATTTTTGCAAACGCTGTCATGTTCAATCCAGACATCAGCGAGAATCGGGGGTTAGGGCCAGCGTTCCGCACACGGCGCAAGGCGAAGGAAAGTAGTACTGTTGCAGATCCTGAAAGCGATGAGAATCAGCATGCGGGAACTGCGACTGGCAAATTCGAGATTGGGGTTGCTGCTCCTATCGAAGGAGCCGTGGTTCAAGACACTAGAACCGTCGCGAGAGATGCACAGGAGAGTTTTGCCGCTTGGAGAGCAGTCGAAAGTGAGCGAGACGATGATGTTGTGGATCTTGGGGGGCCAGCCGCTCAGCCTACAGAGGATGGTGGGGAAGTCGGAGATGCCGAAGAGGAGGTCAAGGAAAGTGTTGAAGAGGAAGGCGAAGGTGAAAGGAGGAGTAAGCGGAGGAGAAGGTGACCGGCTACCTAGCACACTGTATCAAGTTTATACCGTTTGCTAAGCATGCGGCTTCGTTGAGTAGCATCTTCCCCCACTCTTGCCGTCCATTTTCTGTTTCTGCAATTTCTCGAGGCTTTTTCTTCTTCGGGCCGCACACATCAGAACCAGTCTGATCTGAACTACACTGCAACTATGACTCAATTAACAAGACTTGCTTCGTTGGAGCCCCTTTCTAAACGAAAGACAACTGGCTTAGGGGCGAAGAAACACTATTTTCTGTCGGGTATTGCCAGTTCTGTGTTCCACGTTCACGAGAAAAAATCTTTAAAGGACCAATAGATTTTTTGGAGAGGCAATAATAGGTCTTGGCCTTTTCTACTAACGACTGGAGGAGATATACAGGGCCAACGGAGAGGCTGGCATCCGTCCTCTTCCTGTTTATTTTACCATAACAATAGGCTAGAATAGATCTTCAAAAGATAACAAGACGTTATTCGTCGGGAAAACAAGACAAGTCTTTGTGAATTATAATATATTGAAGTCAATTTTGTAAACCTTTGTTACTCTTGAATCATGTTATATCACCGAAGTCCTCCTCATCCCGATCAAGCAGAGGGAAACATGATATGATCAGCAAGATAGCACGCTATATAAAATTATTCTCTGCTGAGCATGTGGCTCTGGCGGGCATTTATTTTCAATCATGTGGCTTCGCTACCTCTACCACATATTTCCGTTCTCGCTAGGGTTTTCCTATCACAAGGGGTGAACGCTGCACAACTAGTTTTATATGGATTGATTTGTAATTGTGACCGATTGATAAGAGCATCTTAAGAGAAGGCGTCTCAACGAAATGATAATGTTAGTAACAAAGGCAGAAGAAGACCTTTTCTCTCTGAATATGCCTTATTTTATTTTTATTTTCTTTGAATTGTGTCTTTAAAAGAATAGATCGCTAGATTAAGACGTTGCAACAGCTAGTGAAAATATTTCAAGATAACAGTATAGTGCTGTTATTTCGGGGAACGGGACATTTATTCCTTATTCATAATATATAAGCGTCGCTTTTCCAAGGGCGTAAGGTAAGTACATCTTGAGTCACGATATAACACCGTACTCATCCTCATCCGTCTTTTCTTCGTCTCTGACCGGCAGATCCACGTCTAATAACCAAGGCTTCTGCACAGGTCTATACCTAACATCCATAATCGCCGCATTCACAAACATCGTCTGCTCTCCCCACTTCACTTCCTTCTCCGCCCCCTTCGTCAAATCCACGTACACATATCCCTTTTCTTCTCGATCTTTGTTCCACCAGGAAGTATCTTTCCTCGCCACCTCCCTCGCAAAACTCCCATTACTATGCCGCATCCTGCCAATACCCCATCCCTCATGAATATGTCCAAAACAATGCACCAGCGGCTTCGCCCTCTCTACGGCCCGTCTCAAATTTTTACAACCTACCGGCACCTTGTCAAACGTCGCATCCAAAATCCCTCGCGGCGGACCATGCGTGATCATAATATCTACCCCCGTTCCTCTTCCCCCTCCCCCACCCTTATGACTGTCACCAAAATCCGGCACGGGATTCTCAGCCGCCCCACTCACCCCACTCCCCGTCGTGCTATCGGCATTATACCGATCCTCCCCCTCTGATACGGGAACGCCCAGCCACAAAACTCGGGCTGATACGGCGACGCATACACCCTCAACCCCGCCCCATTGCCCACATCCCACTCCGTCACGCCCTCCTCTAGGTACCTGATCCCCTTCGCCCTAGCCTCCTCGCCCTTCCACATCTCCTCCACTGTATTAACGTCCTCGATGACATCCCCATGCATGTACCCTCGTCTTTTGGCGTAGTACGCTTTGTCGAGCGTGATGTCGTGGTTCCCTGCTATCACGAGCTTTAGAGGTGCTGGGTGGGAGGCAAGGTGAGCGATCGTGGGCGCGAATTCTGAGACACGGCCGGTGTAGGAGATGTCGCCGCAGTGGATTAGGATGTCGGAGGGGGGAAGCGGGGGGAGGGCGTTGTGGGTGTCGGAGATGATGCAGATGCGCGTGCGGACGGTGCGGCGAGGTGTGGGCGTGAGAGGAAGGTTGAGAGAGGCACCAGGGTTGGTTGAGCTCGTAGCGGAGGGGCCAGTGGACATGACGAGCTGGATTTAGTCGAGGCTGCGAGCGGAAAAGGCTGGGGTGGTGTGAGGATGAGGACTGGAGCGTCGCTCATTGAGGTTGAAGATTGTCATGAGGGTGACCCAAAGCTGCGTGAGCGGACAGCTTTATGTAAGAATGAGCTGATGGACCGCTCGGAAAGGCAGCAAGGCTGATTATCGAAGTCATCGTTGTGTCTGCCTTGGAGGTAGAGTCCTGTTGTCTGTTGGTCAATGTCATAGGCGCAATTCTTAGCGCAACGCCGCGCATCGGCACCCGGGAGAGCTAGCTCTAGGGGCCGCTTTAGGGGCTACCATAGGGAGCGACGACTTTCGTCTAATAAGCTGCTTAAGCACATCTTCATTGCTCTTCTCTAATGTATTGCTATTGCAATTGCAGCAATGCTCTTCCAGCTTGTTTGTCTGATATCGCTTTCTCGTCCCTCTATTCCTTTGAAAAGATCACATATTGCTGTCTCAATCTCTTATACGTCCTTTCCTGCGTTATGAATCTGGCTCTTCGAGTCTGAGCTGTCTGGTTCGCCTTGGGGACGTCTTCAATGTCCGGTCCTTGTGACCATCGAGGTCACTAGTGATGCCACATTTATTCTTGGTGTGGTCTCATATTTGGTCTTCTTTTCCTCTTCTCAAGCTAAGAATTGAGGCGGCTAGGCAGTGTTCTCGCTTTTGTTGGGATCTGACAGCTGATTATACCACATTTGTTCACGGTACGGTCTCATACATAGGCCTGTCTTCTCAAGGCAAGGACTGAGGTGGCTAGACTTCGTAGCTAGGGTTCTCGCTTATGTTGGAACCTGGCGAACGGCTCGTGTCTAGATATCGTTGATCCTTGACCTCTCGTAGCTTCACTCGTGGCAGTCTCTGACTGATGGAGGTCTTGTTCAGGGTAGCATAGTGCTGCTTGGGACGGCCTGTCTGCCAGTCACTGATTGACCTAATCGAGCTGTAACGCCGTCGAGATGGGGAAGATGGAAAATTGTGGATAGATGTGGTTCTCAAAATGGCTCGAGAGCTACATAGTGCCTATCAATTTAAATCTTGCTGCCGTCTCTTGTAATAGCTGTCATATGCTTGTCCTAGTCTCTCTAATTCCTGCGTGTATATTTTCAGATTCATGTGGAAGGTGCGGTCCTCGTTGGCGACCGTTGTCAGGGAGGCAGAGCATAGACGAGCGCCAAACTCTGAGTGGTATCGACTTCTAGTCTATTGTAAGTCAGAAGGTATCCTAAAGATGCTCTTGGGAACCACTGCTTTATATGTCTTGTCTCAGTATTGGAGCCATGGTCAAAAGGATGTCGATTGCAGATTCCTGAGCTCCGATGCCCGCCCAGCTTATCTCTGAATAGTGAGAGAGTCAAGTTGATTAAAGTGAGGATTATACTCATTCGGACCGAAGGATCTGCCCTGCTTGTGAAGCAATAGCGCTGCTCTCAGGATGTAGCAAGCATGCCGGCCCCTCTCTCGCAGCAAGACACCTCCACGGACCCTCAAGTCCGTGCGTGGAGTTCGAAATTCGACTTGAAAGACTGGATTCCTCTACGGAATAGGACATATCTCTATCTATCTTCCCTCCCATGAGCCTTTGTCTTCGCCTATATCACACGCCTACTGCCAGATGACCCGCTGTCTCTCCGACAGTCTACACAGGATCAAGACTAGCTACAGTCTTCTCTGCGAGTTCCCGACTTGGATTCAAGGCGGTCGACTGTCCCTCGGATCTCTATACCTCTCTGCCTACTGTCCTGACGCCGCACCTGGTCAAGAGTAAGCAATGGGTTGGAATCAGCAACAGGCTTCTCTACAACACAACACGATGTATCTAGACTAGATACAATGAAGAACATAGCTCTACATCACTCCTACATACTACTATCGCCCTACATGCTCGTCCTCGCTCTCCCTCACTGCCCTCCCATCCAGCCCTCCCCTCCCTCGCTCTGCTCTCAGCCCTACGACTCCCTCGAATACACTTCAAGCCTCTCGTCGATCTTCCCTCTCTCGTCCAGATTCCAGCCCTGCGCGCGCTCTCTCATACAAAATTCCCGGCACCTCTTCGGATCAATCTTTGTGCTGCCTGGCCGACGAAGGCCCCACAGCTGGCTAAACCGCGGAGCCACTGTAGTATATCGGTTTGTTTTTCCCTTCTTCCCTCTTTCTTTCTTCATAGTAAGCACTCTCTGTATTTTGGTGAACGCTGACATTACACAGACTGCAGACTATCAAAGCAACATTACAGCAAAGCAAAGCAAAAGCAGACAAGATGATTGACAGAATCAATCTGGCAAGGACAGCACTCTCAGGAGTCCTGCTGTCACGGTCAAGACTGCCTGTGAAGGGTTCGTCGTCCCCACCAAAATGTTTGTTTACCTTACTAACTTCGAGCAGCAGATTCAACTGTTCGACCTGTCCGCAGCCAAACACCCGGGCAGCCAGTCGAACGCAAGGTGAGTCCTCCATTCAGCTCTATTGATAACTTTCTTGTCGCCTTTAGCAAGCTGCGTATAGCAGACAGAGCTCGACATGCTGCCCCTACTCAACAATCAGCATCGGCGGAGAGCAAACGACAATTGATAGTTCAGCAGCGCATTGCAGAGCGTCGACAAAGAGTGATCAGCAATCTCCGGCCGCAAGAGAAGGAGAAGCCTGTCAGGCCTCAATACATAAATCCGAAAGCTGGAGCTGGATGGAAAAAGCCATGGGCGAGGGTGTTCAAAGGTAGGCACTCCTTGGAGGCTACTCAGTGCATCGCCCCTTTGTTATTTCTTCACACTACACACCTCCCTGCCATCCCCTGCGCTGCGGCTTGCGTGCGTGCGCTGTCGACTTCATTTCTTGTCATTTCTTCTTACTTCTGCCATCTCCTTCTGCGTCTGCTTTCTCTTTCTGCGTCTGCTTTCTCTCTGCATCTGCTTTTTCTCCCTGCGTCTGCTTTCTGCATCTGCTTTCTGCGTTTGCTTTCTGCGTTTGCTTTCTGCGTCTTCTTTCTCTCTGCGTCTGCTTTCTCTTTCTGCGTCTGCTTTCTCTCTGCGTCTGCTTTTCTCTCCCTGCGTCTCTTCTTGCTTCTGCCTTTTTTTTGCATCTATCATTTTTCTTGCCCTTTCTTTTGCCATTTCTTCTCATTCTTGCCATCTCCTTTTGCGTTGCTTTACCTCACTCCCCTCTCCTGCCTCCCATTCCCCTCCCTTTCCACTCCCATCCATCCCATGCGTGCTTTGCGGTCTTGCGTGCGTGCGTTGCTGATCATTTTCTTTGCCATTTCATCTTGTCTTTGCCATTTTTTCTTGTCTTTACTACTTTCTTCTTATCTATATCATCTTCAATCTGCCCATCCCAGCCCATGTGCCCCATGTGCCTCATGTGCCTCATGTGTCTCAAGTGTACCATGTGTACCATGTGTCCCATGTGTCCCATGCGTGCTGTGCGGCAGTGCGTGCGTTATTGATCATTTTCTTTGTCATTTTTTCTTTTCTTTACTACTTTCTTCTTATCTTTGTCATCTTCTTTCTGCCTTGCTTCATCTGTCCCATCTGTTCCATCTGTTCCATCTGTCCCATCTGTCCCATCTGTTCCATCTGTCCCATCTGTTCCATCTGTCCCATCTGTCCCATCTGTCCCATTTCTGTGCTCTGCATGAACATGCCTGTGTGCTTCATTTGCTTTTTTTCATTTCTTTTGATTTCTTCTTGACTTCTTTTTTGATTTCCATCATTTTTTCTACACGTTACTCATTTCTTGACTATTTCTTTGAACGATCGCTGACACTTGTCTACTGTAGGTCGACAAAAGTCAAAGAGAGTCACCTTTGCACCTAAGCTCGTCACTGCGACATTCTACTATCCACACGTGCCACCAGTTGGGGGTTGGGCAGATGCAGTTGATGAGGATGATGTCAGTGATGATGAGGAAGAGACGGATACACCAGGTCAAGATGGTCAAGAGTAGGATTACAAGCAGACCCCGGTGCACGTGTGAGACTGGCTGGACGACAACACTGGACTGGAGCTCTTGGAGTCTATCACTGCACACCTGGATTGGACGACATCACTGGAGCCTGGAGCCTGGAGCCTGGAGCCTGGAGCCTGGAGCCTGGAGCCTGGAGCCTGGATCTGGATCTGGATCATGAGAGCTTGGCATGATTATGCCCAGTGAACAGCTGTAAGCTTGAACATTGTATTACGTTCTGCTGACCTTTGCTAGAGTTCATTGATTTGGTGTTTTGTGCGGATAGTTGAGAGGAATTATACTGTAAGTAGTACTGTTCAACACTGCTGACCTTTGTATAGTTCATGGTGGTGGTTGTTGTGAGTGGTGTGGTGTGGTTTGATTGCGAGGTGCATTGTCTGGCGGATAGTAGTGCTTCGCGGCACATTGGCGTCAATGTACTTAGCTTTGCAGACCGAGTTGTTGTATATATTTGCTTTCAAGACTACTGTCTTGTTTTTACAAAATGGCATTTGCCACAAAAAAAAGTTGAAAAAGAGAAAACAAAAATGTGAAAATAAAAAACAATCACAAAAAAAATTGAAAAGAGAAAACAATCTCAAAAACAGGGTGAGCAAGCGGAGTTAGTGGTCTGATTTGGTGCTTTTTTTGATTTTTGGGACTTGGGATGGCGCTTTGGTTAGGCGTTTGGTGTTTTTGTTGGTTTTTTTGATTTGCATTTTCTTGGAGTTTGGGTTTTTGCATTTTCATGGAGTTGGTGGTCACATTTAGGTTGCAACTTAAGGCCGGGGTCAGCATTGGCCCCAACACAGATCATTCACATCGGCTAAGTCTCCCTCTTCCCCTTCTTGATATTGACATGCTGACTGGTGTTTAAACAGATGGTGCTTCTCCTTGCAGTGATAGACTCCTTCTGGATTGGACAACACATACTGGACTGGAACTGGCCATCACTGGATTGGACGACAAACTGAGGTCTGACAGGCAAAAGGTAGGTATAACCCAGTTTTGTTTTGCTAACATCTTTCTGTGTAGGGTTTCATGCTAACTGATCTGTGTAGAGTGTGTGCTGTGTGCTAATAATTTTGTGTAGCTGTTTGAGTTGGAGTCAGGAGTGGAAAAGAAAGTCAGGAGTTTGAACTGAAGAGCTGACCTCAAGGTGTTTTGATACCTTGAGAATTCAGGGCTTCTTTGAGTGAACAGCTCATTGATAGAAGAGGGATGTGTAGCTGTCTTAGGACAGTGGTAATTCTCCGCTCTTTGTGTGAGAATGACTGATTAGTACTGACTACAACTGACAAAGACTCAAACAGTGGTTTGAGACTACTAACAACTAACGGTGATAGGGAGGATGGCTACGAGACACACCTGTACGTGGTGCCATCTACGTACCCATCTGCTTTGCAGTGGAGCCGAGATGTCTCAAACCTGATCATTGCGGTCCTGAGAGCTGGTGAGCTTACTCTTGCATCCATATCTGTGATCTTACTAATATGTATGGGCCTTCTAGCAGGTCGATAGATTGACGGAGACGGAGCGCGGACTTGAGTAGAGACTGCAAAGGTTCATCTTAAAGGCCGGTCGATCGGTGAAGAGGGAATTTGATCTACAGAAGGGTTTGGGGAGCGCCTTCTCATACGTCGATTGATCGATGGAGAGGGCATTCGGTCTCGAAAGGAGTTGGGAAATATGACAAAAGTATATCGGTGGGCAGATAGGAGGACATAGCAATCGAATCTGAAACACAGATATCCAACCCACAATCTTGTCTTCTGTTCCTTCTTTTGCCATTGAATCTGTTATTCGCTCTGCATGATCCAGACTTGCTAGTGTAAATGTCGAGGCATAATCAGGATGGAGAGAGGAGCAGTGAGACTAGCCATGACATGGGGGAAGGGGAAAGACTTCTCGAGACTCTTTAGGAGATTGAGGTAGGGTCGGAAGAGTTCTGCAGCAATAGAGGATGTATTTGAACCCTATAGTACAGCCAAATGGTCATTTGAGAGATTGATAAACGAGCGGCGTCATCGTATCTTTGCCCATCATTTCCATCGTCTTCTTCAAGAGTCTCCGACATTGCATCCTCGACACGAGTTCTCTGGCATTCCTTGCTTCATATCCTTTGACGCACGACTTCTTGCAAGTCGTTTTCAATTGCATCTCAGGCACCTGCACGAGCGATCGGTAGCACAGATACCACTGCATCATTCACCATAGTCATTGAAGTAATCAGCTAAAAGAAGGACAATATCAGCGTTGCTCAAGACCGGGTCAGCCAAGAGCGATTGAGGAGCGGAGGCATTTACCTCCAAAGCCAAGACACCTTTGCTTAAGCTCGGCAGGCACAACAATCGCCATACTTGTGGCTGATAAGGCAGCAACGAGGAGGATGTGGAGAGAAGGCATGTTGGGTTGAGCAATGGGTCTGAAGACTCCTTCTGCAAAGTATGGCCGAGGCAGACTGAGGTGAGTGGGAAGAATTGAGTTGGACATCGGATGGCTGAGAAGTGCTGATAACGGAAGGTGCATAACTTCTAGAGGTCGGGACATTTTGGCCTGGAAAGGCTTCGGACAGACGTTGTACGTAGGCCAAGATGGATGTGGTAGAAGTCGCCGTAAGTGAGGTATGTTGTATCCCTTGTAGGTCAACTCTCGTCAGGCATACGGCGGGGATTTAACGTTGAAGAGGGGTGGCTTGCCATATAGGGTTTTATGCAAATACTCAGTCGTAATCCAAGCAGAGTCCAAAGATTTGGTGTAAGGAGTATACGATTTGTGTGCTGGCTGACTATTGGAAGGGAAGCTGTTTTGAAAATTGGTGGCCATATCAGTAAGTCTCTTGTTAATGATGGATGTAATTTTCAAGCAGCATCGGAGAAAAACACTCTCCACATAACCCTATTATAGTGTTCACCGCTCCTCAACAAAGGTCTCAGGGAGGGGCGTCGACATGAGGGTGATTTCATGTTTCGAAAACTCTCCGTGCCTTCGTGATGCAAGTCATGTCTCTGGGCGAAATTTTGCAAGGCTTCAGATGGTTGGTCAAATAAAATCATTCTCTCCTTGATTGATACCCTCTCCTCCCTGAATGTAGATATTCCAAGTCAGATATTATCGTCCCTTCGAACATTCATTGGTATATCGCCCAACAAGTCCAAATTCCGAAGATGTCCCTCTGCTATCAAGCCCAGCAGGATCCTGATGGCTGCGAGGCGCGGGACCATAGCCAGGAAAAGTGTGTGATGTTGGTGCCATGAGAACATTGCTTTCCGTGGCGTGTCGTAAAAGAGTCATGAGGACCCTCGCTAGAGTGAAGGGTTCCGTGCAAATACCTTAGGGGCAGATCTCGCTCTTTTGCCCTGCCATGACTGCATGTGAAGTCTAGGCTTGACGACCTTGCCGCGCGGTAAAGCCCGAATGAGATCAAGAATAGAAGCTGCGAGATTCCTTACGAGACTTGCGAAACAAGGCACAGTTGCAGGCTACAGGTATATTGAAGAGATCGTTCGGATCCAGGATCATTACTTTCCTACTAATCATGATACACGCGCTATGCAGGTTGGCTATATGGATAGAATAGAAAATAGGGCTCGAAAAGGGGCTCGAAAAGGGGCTGAAAAGGGGGCCTTTTACCCCTGCCAAGACCAACATTTGCCATGACATCATCGCTTTTGCAGCATTCCGTTCCAAGCAGGCGTGATATCATGCAGCGTATACACATTCATGAGGCCTCAGAGACCGGCTGATTCACTTTGTACCATCGGGCGTAGGTACCTAAATCAATGAGTCATGACTTCACTCCCAACGCAGCCATCATCACCTCCTCCAGCGTACTCACCACCTGCAAATGGACCATCCAATCCAGCGCAACACGAAAAACACCCGCTCTCTCCGTACTCACTCCAAATATCAGCCCTCGATACCGGCCTGAACCTCGAGATCACCTCCACCGATAGCTCGCAAGGAACGTACACAACAGAAAACAGTATCCGCTCCTTCCCGTCCCTAACATTCTATTTCCAAGATGCAAACAGCGAAGCCCGAAAGCAACTCGCCACTGTCCAACTCCGGCCTTTAAGCTCCAACATACACTGCAAAGTTGGGCAGCAAGAGCTGATGCTATCATCTCGAGGCTTCTTCAAGTCAGGCTACCGCTTTACAAGCCCTGCACTTAATCGTGTCCTGATCTGGAAACCAGAAAAGAAAGCCTCTTCCTCTTGTAACTGGCTTTTGACTGATGAAAATGGGATACCCATAGCTCGATATATGACTGGGCAAATCTCCTCGCTGGAAAGTGGGAAGCCCAGGAGTATGGACACGACCGGCCTACTCGAGTTCCTAGGCGAATTCGGCAATCCAGTTCGACGTCTGGTGGATGAAGTAGTAGTCATGGGCTGTGCTGCCGTCGAGCAGAGGCGTCGAAAGAATGCGAGAGCAGCTGCTGGTGGAGGCGTGGGCATTTCGGCGGCGGGTGCTGCTGGCAGTGGAGGTGCAGGATGATGGTTGCTGTTTTGGGCAGCCTCCGTACTCCCCTCCAACGAACATTTGACCTTTGAAACGCAAATTTTGGGCAACACGTCTGGAATGATAACCTGCATCCTGTGACCAGATTGAATTATCCGACCTCGCCATCAGCCGTGACCGGATTTTCTTGACGTTATAATGATCGAAATACTAGACAATCGTACCACAAGCCAGACTCTGATGTTCCAATCACCGCTTGAGTATGGGAGAGAAGTATCTGCTCTTAGAGATTTGGAATTGTCAAAAAGCCTGAACCAAGCCATTTGCTGGTTGCGAGAGTCAAATTAGGAGCAGTAATCCTAGAAAATTGGGACGATTTGGGACTGTTTATGGAACTTTGCGACTGGAAACCTTCTTAGTAGCAGACTAGGAGTACTGCTTTAAAAGCGTGTGCCCATAGAAGTTGTTGTTCTAAGGCTTTACTGTCTAGAACCTGGCTCCAGCAGAAGCGGAATTAGTTAGGTAGAGTCGTTTCTATCCATGGACCATTTCCGTTAGCTCCTACTACCCTCTACTCCACCCTCGCCACGGGACACGCCTTCACGTGCGTGACATCAAACGTCCCCCCTTCAGCGGAGTAATACATCCCTCCCCAAACTTCAGTCCATTCCCTTCAAACACATCAATCCTACACTGCAACGGCCCACCGTTCCCACCCGTGTCCCCGCCCTGATCAGCGCCTGGCAGCTGCGCGAGCGTATCCAGCAAGTCCGACCAGGTCTCTAGGGTGAAATGTTTCGCTCCCTGCGGTAGCAACACATGATACGGACTTCCCGGTTTCTCGAAAACGCTCTGCTCATCGTCCGCGAGCTGACGTATGCTGATCTCCGTGCAAGGTTCAGTCGGGGATGTTTCAAGGACTGGATTATCCGCCATCCTGGATCTACGCCTGCGTGTATTGTCTGGCACGGGTGGGATGTCCGTTGGAGTCAAGATTCTCGTAACGGACGAGACGGGCGCATCCCCACTGCCGCCGATTTGTGGTGGGACGCAAGCGGTCGTGTCGTATTTGTGTTCGAAGTCGTATTTCGGGACTGAGTGGCTGGCGACGGCTTGGTAGGCGTTCGATTGCAGTTCTGCGAGGGACGATTTGTACGAGGCGGCTGTGACGGGGACGGAGGTACAGGTGAGGTTGAATTTAATTTCCTTGTGTCCGCCAAGGCAGATGAAGGGCTTGATGGAGTTGGGGACGAAGAATGAATCGGTACCCCGGTCGCCGGAGCAGGGTGGGGCTGGTAGTACGTTGTAGGTTGCTGAAGTTGGGAGGAGGGGAACGGTGAGAAAGATGAGGACGGGAAGCAGGCGTGCGTTCAGTGGAGACGGCATGAAAGGTGAGGGTTGCGGAATATTGAATGGATGATGTAGGAGAATCTGTATGCGAGAGACGGTAATATCTTGGACCTGAGGTGAAAGTGCCGCCACGGTACCGAAAGTGGCTTCGAAGACCCTCTTGAGCGTTCTTATATGGCAGTAACCAGGCGGTGCAGACACGTATTATGGGCCTAATTCGGTCATGCGAAGAAGCTTCCTCTCGAAATGGAGAGCAAATTAGACATTTTTTGGTGGCGACGAGACACGGCTTCGTACTGCAAAGCCTATATGAGCCTCATCAAGCTTTCTGAATGCCATACTTTCGTGAAGTTCCCAAGGAAAAGGCTTCCTAGACGTGAGGATAACCTGGCGTAATGCTTCGCCGTCACTGTTGAAATATCAAGATTTTGTACTTGCTGCTTTGTGAATTCTGCATCTCGCAGAAAACACACTCCTGAGGTAAGTGAGCCAAAGCGCTTCTTAGACATTGAGACAGCGCTCGGCTGTTCCTTTCGCAAAGTATTCCGTGTCTGAGCACCTGCGTCACAAGTCTATCTTTGGTTCGAGACATCGGTAGTGATAGCCGACGACTCGGCGGTAAAGACTCAGCTTTGGCTGCTGCTTAGGTCTTTTGGTATCAGGTGATGAGAATCTGTTAGGTGAGAGGTGACCAGTATTGTAAGATATGAGGGTTACGTGCGCCGGAGGGAAGACAATTCAACATCGTAGGGGCTACCCAAGTGTGGATAGCATTTTTTCCGTTGAGACCAATCCGTGACGTGGGTTCCAGAAAGGATCGGTGTGCATCTTTTGAGCCATTCGCTGGAGTTTCTCGAACATCCAAGCTTTCTGAACTGGTACTCCAAGTGTTCAATGTCGTGACCACGACGATGATACTTCCATAGCGCTTCAAATCCTGCAAAAATGTTGTTGGTATTTTAGTTACGGACAACTCGCAACCTTGTAGTTACTACAGCCACGAGGTTAACAGCCCCGTCGACGTTCTAACCCTTCCTGCGCCGACACCAGTCATATTCGTACCTCCACTTCCCCAGGCACCAGACTCTCTTGTGTGTATCCAAGAAGGTACAATGGCACTGTAGCCCTCACGAAGAGACATGGAATTGGCACGATGGCCGTAGTTTGGTCGATATGAACCCATATCGAGAGATTGAGGAAGAAAAAGAGAGAATTGTAGGATTTGTTCTTGCAAAGTTGGTTTCAATAGAGAATTTGGACTTTGCTTGAAGTTGGGAAAAAGAAATTGAAAATTTTCTCTGCCCCAAGAATGCAGCGTGCATCGTCGTTCTTACCCGAGCTCACCCCGGCGCTCTGGGAACCCATTGCGACAGCAACTTACACATCATTATATCGGCCATTGCTGTCCTAGTTGCGGAAAAACTAAGTCTGGAATGAATTCGTGTGAAGAGCTAAAAGGACGGGAACGACATGACGATACGGAAGATTTCGGCTCCTCAATCCGTGCAGCAGGCCCGTCTTTGGATGAATAGCACAGTCTCCATAATCAAAACGGCGTTCCAAACCTGATCTCCTATAATTGACCTGACATCGAACGGTTTGAGCCTCTTCAAAACTGGCATCTTAAGCATTACAATTCTTAAATAATACCGCTCACAACAAAACCTCCGTGCATTTTCTGACTCACTTTATAGTCTTCTCCAGCCAACTTAGCACCAGACCTGCTATTTCAAGATTGTTCCTCTCCATAAAAAGAAAATGCCCATTCCCTCTTAACCTCTCGCTCGGCAGATCTATCCACGTAATAGGCACGCCCGTCTGCTCAAAGAATTTGATCGTGCAATAATCATACGGCGCATGATAGCTCGCCTCGCCTGTAATTAGCACGACGGGGACGTTCGACAGATTCACAAGTTTCCTCGCTGGCTCAGCCTGAATCGTGCAGGATGTATAATGCTTCCCCTCTGGCGGCGGGATGGTTACGGTCTTGAGATCTGTAACTATATCAGTCACAGGGGGGTCATAATGTAGAGGAAGTCGTGTGACGCCATCGAGGCGTGGTGGGCCGGTAGGACCAGTCTCGTTCACAAAAGGCGGACCCTCTGGCTCGACTGCAATTATGCCCTTCACGAGTTCAGGACGTGCGTCGCCTGCTACCCAGCCATACGGTCCCGACTGGGAGTGAGTGACTAGTATGGCGTTGCCGATCTTGTCGAGCAAGGCGTTGTAGGCAGGCTTGGTGTTGTCATCGGAGATGAATGCACTGGTTTGTAATTGCACCTGGGAGGCGTAGAAGGCGTCGAAGATGGGGTCGCCGACTAGACCGGTGCCAGGCCATTGGGTGTGGAGAGAGGCTTGTGGCCATTCAGTTGGTGCGAATACTTCGGATGTGGTGAAGTACTTTTGGACGTAGGAGACGGGGACGGCTTCGACGGTGCCTTCGCCGGGAATCCAAGGGGAGCGACCGCGTTGTGGGGGGTCGGTCAAGTAGATTGTGTAGCCATGCTTCAAAAAATAGGATGCCCAGCCTTCGCGTCCATCTGGTGTGTTGAGGTAGTTCTTGACGAAGTTAGCCCGAATACCGGTCGTGACTCGAATTGCGTACTGTGCTTGTTTGACCAGCGCCTGGAATGAAGACGAGTGGATATGGCTGTGTGTTCTCCCTAGGCACAAGTTTCTCGACATAGATCTGACCTGTGAGGACTTCTCCTGGACCAAAAATCGGCTGACATGGAATTAGCTGAGGTGTATCACCTGATACGCTGGCGCAGGTACTTGTGTGACATTCTCGTACCGGCCTGCTATCTGATCAGCCGCTATACGAAAAAAACTCATTCAACGTACCTCCAACGTAGAAATAGGTTCTGCTCTCAAAAGTTTCATAATCATCCCATGCACATGACAGGCCGGCCACCGCGCAAAGGGCCAGAAACCAGAAGCTCCCTTCCATATCCAGACTTCAGCCCTCCTCAAAATCTTTCTGGGGTGGCAGCTGACGGATGAAGACTTCATGGTGCGTGGGTCTCTTACAGCTTATACTGAAAGCCAAGACCATCGTCAAATACTTCATGTGTGAGTAATGGTCCGAAGGGCGGGGTACACTACCTCTCTTGACCACTAAGATGTTTCCGCATAGGACAAGCGAGGCCGATCTCGCATGATGCATCTTGGCGAGAAGTCTATCTTCAGACGGTTGTAGCCGGTGCAGGAACCGACTTCCCAAGCTAGGCTAGTTCAGGTACCGCTTCTATTTGAATTAAAACCTTCAAGTGGCTAGATATTTCACTGACAGCCACTGACAGCACACGGGATTGTCTGTCAGAATGCTAGATCAACCTTAGTTCTCAAACACCACGCCAACGAGTCGTGACGCTACTCGATCGAGCGAAGTCTTTTCTGGCGCCTATCCTTGGTAGCTGGCTTGTGTAGGACAAGCAACCCTCTCGTCTTCCATTAGACACTATCAAAAACATATCATGCTCGCAAAGGCTTCAGGCAACGGACTTATCAGCCCGAGTGGCCAGGACTACGCCAACCTGACCACGCGTCGAGTCCCGTTGTCCTCTCCAAGAGCCGTAAAATCAGTCGGCGCCTGTGCCATTGTCCCTCCCAGATCTCTCAACTCGTAACTCCCACCACTCCCATCACTATGATCCTGAGTCCCACTATGTCCAACGCTTTGCGGTAGCATCGCTCCGTCAGCCACGCCCTGAGCTGCACGCGCATGCTCCAAATCTTCCACCGTTAGCCCTCTATCTTGACCATAAGTGTCAGCCCCTAAGCCCCTCCAAAATGCTCGCTCTAAGCTTCTCGCTGCCCAAGCCCAGCCTCCTCTTCGAATTGGCATCTGGTACCATCGGAAGCCTAGCCAGGCCGTCAAGCTGCCAAGTATTGCGCTCATGAGGACATCGAAGCCGTGGTGTTGGAAGTCAGAGTAGCGAGTGCTGGAGATGTAGATGGCCCCGGCGATTGGAATGAGAGGAAATATGATGAGGTATGCTGGAGGAGCCGCAGCTTGTCTGCGGAGGGTGTCTGTTTTTCGCTCCCCCTTCGCCGTAGTTGGTGCTTGATTCGGAAAATTAAGACCCATGGTATAACTTTGATGCGTCAGGCTTGGTATGGCGACGCCGAATTTTGCGCACAGCCAAAGTGCTAGATATCCCAGCCCCGCCCATGCAACTACATCGCACAATCGTGGTGAGTAATTACAGTCTTCAAAGCCGTATTGCGGAGAAGGAGAGCTTACGTGAAGAATGACCGCTGGGGAAGCTCCTGAATCCCTCACTCAGCACACTTCCCGTACTCTTACAGATCTTTGTATTAAACATCGTAATCCCTTCCTCTATCTGATCGCCAATGCCCCCGCCGCTGCCACCAACCTCTTTGAAATGTCAGGATGGCAACGTGCCAGCAGATTGGGCCGGGGCTTGCCAAGGACTTCCTTCGCCCCATTGGTGATTGTGAAGGCGAGAGCGTAGGCGAGAGCAAGACCGAGCCAGCCTGTATGCCATTCCCAGACCTTACGGCGGAAAGAACTTGATTTTCCATTTGGGTTGTCGGTGGTGAGAAAGCGAGAGGGGAATGGGTTGAAGAGACTACCGAGGAAGATGATGGCAGCTGGAGCGAGGAGAGTGCTCAGTACTAGGACGGTATTTGTGACGGTATCAGGATTCAAGGGATAGGAGATCGAGCGGTCCGTTATGTCGAAGGGGCGTTTTCGAGGGCCGATGTAGGAGAAGCCAGCACCAACTGCTGCTACGGCTCTACAAGTCATTCATTAGCCATCATTGTGTTACTTTGTGGTTAGAAGAGTTATGGAAAGTACATTAAAACGACCCAATCGATGACATAGGAAGTGATGAGAAGGGGATATCCAGCTCCCATCGTGACGGACCAGGCAAGAGTATCACGTCGAAAGGAGAGCTGGCAGATGCGAACTCGACTGGCGCTTCTGACACACGGCAAATGCAAGAGAATGTCGGTGAATCCTTAGAGGATTCTGATCCAGCAATGTCTATAAGCTGAATCTTTCAGGAGATGGTATGAGGTGACTGAAAGCGGTAAAATGTAGCCTGGAACACGAGACTGTCTTCTCAGTCCGCGTCATCAATCATGAGAGACTTTATGATTGGTTGAAAGACCTCACTAGACCTAGATTAGCAGCAGTAGTTCCTTTCTTGTGTTGAAGAATCTTGTTACGCGTCTAGTTCAAGGCATCTATCATACGTTCAAGTCTTCGAAAACGCTGTAGACTCTAACATGAGTCTTTTGCTTGGGAATTTCCAACGAAAGCACGTCAGGCAATGTTGGTGTCCTCCTACTATCCTGTCTTGGTCTTGTAATGCAAGTCAGATAATTCAGATTGAGGGTTCAAACGCCGAACAACCTACTGAGAGGTTGATACTGCTGCCAAGTAGGGTGCATTGACTCTATTGTGATAGTCCGTACTTCACCACTTGTCGCCCAGATCTTGCTCATGGCCAGATACCCCAGCTTTCAAATTCTCGGCTCGGCCGACGGAGATCGAGCGGCCGAAGCGGACTTCCGAGCTTCGGCCGAGTCTCCGAGAATTTATAAAAATCGACGACTTGCCTTGACCAATTCTCAACCATTGCGCAAATAGCTTGATGGTACTCAATTTTGAGACTCTTGTGGAGTCTAGCTGTCATGGTGAAGATATAAGGCAAACGTCGCCTAGTGTTATCAGTGAGAAGGCCAGTTGTTCAAAAGCGAGAAGGAGGTGCCCTCAATGGCCAGTAATCTCCATATGCTCAAAGCCGCCTTGAGGTCAGAGCATGTGATCATGAAAATCAGCAATACATTAAGCTCGTCCATTACCAGCCGTGCTGTTCATGCATATGATATACATGCAGATCGGACGGAATGGCATTGAAATGATTGACGGCCATTGGAGTGCGAAGAATTATCATCAAACGGACTCTAGCTTTCCAGAAATTTCGTGCACACTAGGGTCATTGTGGATGGCGATATCACTGGGTTTACTGAAGCGCTCAGTAGCATTGTGGCTTGACGACGATGATGACGTGAACTTGAATCGTCTGCGATAGCTTGAGAGAATTTTTGCATTGGTACCGCCTAGCTGCTGGAGGACTTTCGCAGTAGCTGGCATGCAGCAGACCAAGATACCGGCTGTGAACTCAACGTTTCTAGCTTCAAGTCAATGATACGTAGCGGATTCAGCAAAGAGGTACAGTATTTACGTGACAACAGCCAGAGGGACAAAAACCCATGTAACGTCTTGGTTAATTGCCATGTCGACTCTGTAAATCAAGGCAAATGCACTTGCAACACACGCTCTGTAGTAGACTTAGTTACAAGCAAGTACCAATAGCGTGGCAGAACGAACATTGAGCCTGTGAAAAACATGGCCGAAACAGCCACTTTTTCGACGCAAGGGAAGCTGCAGCTTCCACACTGCCGGCAATGGAAGGACCAGCAAGTATAAGTCACTGATTAAACTTACGACACCCAACATGATGACCAGAGAGTGCGTGCGAATGCACGTTGGTGAATTGAGTCCAAGAAGCCATGCAACCTGGTCATTTCCGCCGACAGGGTGGCACATGATGGTATAGCTGATCATGATGGACATATAGAGAAGGCCGGTGATAACGATGCCGGCATAAGCTAGATACCTGAGCCAGTTGAGCGGTCGAAAGACTTCAATGTAGAGAATGAACAGTGTGAGTTTCACAAGCCAGATGCAAGGTCCGTATATTATTCCACTGAGGTACGCCAGCTTCAGTGCCGTTAGTTTATGTAATGGAGCCTAAGGGTGAGAAGATTGATAAAGGTGGAAGAAATTTGTGAACAGCTTACAGTCAATTGATGAACATCATATTCCCGGAATGTGACCTCCCACAGATGTTTTCCGATTGCAGGTCCACTTGCCGCTACCATTTGCTTCAGCTCCGACAATAAATTTCTAGCGATGAAGATATTCACCATTGAGGGCCAAAGCCAAATAGCCAACGCCAGTAGCCTGTCTAAATTTGAGCACGTAAAAGCCTAGGCTGGGGCGACTTGTGATACAAGACCAAGCGCACAAGTCACTTTACATGGTTAGCATTTTTTTCCCTTGGGCACCAGATCTTACCGTCATCCCACTCCCAACTCTTTATGATCGCAAACTTGACATAGAGTCGCATCGCACCAAAGAACAGCATGAGTGGTAAACAGACACAAGCAGACGCATATACCTGGTAGGCTTTACGTTCAGGATTGCTGAAATCAGGCATCTGACCTGGCGGCGGCGGCATGACTGGCTGGTTCTGCATACTGGCCCAGACAGAGGGGTTGCTGAGCATGCTGTAATTGTCCATTTTCAAGATCTTGCAGTTGACCACAGATTTCAGAACGTCTGTAGAGAAACTCGTTGAAGCTGGGAGGAGAAGAACATGGTAGATAGATATGTGTCAGATGAATTGTCATTATTATGCTCAATGTCGTTGCGAAAACCTGCGGAGGACTGCCGGTAATACTGTCAAAACATCTACCGACATAACGTATGCGGCACCAAGTCAATCGTGGAGTAGTGTTTGCGCTTTGGGGTAAAGCCACCTGCCCTGTGCCGGGCCCCCCAAAAGAGCATGCTCTGAGGCACAGCATGATCGTCAATAACAAATTGCTATCTGATGTGACTCGGGGGACGGAAAGTGGTGAGATTCAAAGGTTCAATTGGACATCGATAGATCGGCAGCCACCTCAGCAAGCGATGCAAATCTTGCGAAGAACTCAAACACCCCTGTTTCTAAGACGCTAAGCTTCCTCAGCTTCAACGCCAAAAGGTTTCAGCTCTGTCGACAACGTCTTGTAGGTGACAGACTATCGGTAAGTCCTGATATGTTCGGACACAAGCTTGACTAGGACTACTCCGTCAGTGGAGTCCGTTCTGGTCGATTTGAAAATAGTAAACGCCACGTTGAATCGTCGTGACAGACAGGGTGTCAGCCGTAAGGGACTCGAATACATTTGCAGTCAAAAGTGTTTGCATCCGTGCTTCGATACTTACTTTGCGCGGTAAGACACGCCGCTTGCCCTCTCGAACGTGCCTCATCTCGCTGCCTGCGCCGGTCAGATAGATGCTGTTTTTGCAGGAGGATCTGGCTGAAGATTCATGGAGCTGTCCTGGCTGTTCACCTTTTAAAAGCATCTCATACTCCTACTGATATTCGTGTCACCGAACTTGTGATGGAGCAGAGCGCCGCCCTCGTAACGAAACGTGGTGTCTGGTCTTTCTGGTTTCAAAGTATGAAACTAGATGGAGTAGAGAATCGAACGAGCGCGAGGTGCTCTAATAATGGGTAGATTCAGCGATGAGCAGTCTCGTGGTATTCCTCACCAAAAAAAAAAAGTGTTCAAATGTAAGCATCAGAGGTCTAAGGAAGTACTTTGGCCTCCCCTTCCTGCCCCCTGGCTCTCTTGATACACATCCCTGGCCCTGACCTTGACTTTGAGGTAGGCCGTATAGTCTGCATTGTGGTTGATTGGCATATTAGCTGCTCTATTAGGGTAGTCGACGACTACTTTCTCGAAATTTGGATTGGTCGGTCTGTTCTTCTCCGTCGAGGGTGAGCGCATCAAGATCTCAGGTTCCTTTTGTCAACCATCAATTCTTCACCTTTTTTGACTGAGTCGTCTATTCATCCACAAAACGAGCCACAGATTTAGCTTTCTGGCGTAGTCAATGTCGACACGTATAAGTGCAGGCGCACCGCAAGTCTTGAATGACTTTGCATCGCCTCATCTTGCTCTTCGGACAAGCTTCTGCGGTCGAAGATGTCCACCTATTTGGATTTATTTGGATTTTCTTGGATATTTCAAGCTTTCCCTCTCCACTATGCTCGCCGCATTTGGAATTCTCAACATTGCGCAGGGTCAAGGTATATCCATGGGGCAAGGTTCTTGTGGTGGTATTCGGTGATTAGCAGAGGGCGATAGGCACTCTTCCATCAAAAATAATGTTCTCTTGTCCATATTTCAGGTCGTCAGATCTAGACGCATTTCGAGACAGCCCACACCTAAAATACATCAGAGTGCAAAGCAAACAGTCTTCTACCATATTGCGAACGCCAGTATTTGATTTGAGGACTCAAATCACACACACTTTGCTTGCCCTCCGGCTTCCGCGGTTTTTACCTCTCCGGCCACTTCCTCCCTGCCATCACCGCTTCCACCACTACTGCCCATCCCCAGTACTTTCTTCACTCTCCCCACGGATCGCCTGGCCAGCTTCTTTCCTGTCCTTGCCCCAATTTGAATAGAGTCATCCAACACATCCCTCGATAAGCGCGAGGAATGACCGCCGCGTGAAGTGAACCGGCCATTCCTTGCATCACATTCATTCTCCGCGGCCTCACTCTTGGGAGGCCACTCCCCATCTTTTTGCCAACCTGCTACCAATGCTTGCGTCATATCTTTCAAATTGATGGGAATTGTAGGCGCAAGTCCTTGGATAGCAATTTTGCTGTAAAGACTTGGGTAAGTGGCTGATGTTACTGATGCACGGATTGGGTGCGTTGAGGGAAGTGTTGGTGGTCCGATAGGAATTAGGACGTCAGCTTCTGGCGGATTCAGAGTTTCGGTGGATGATGGCGAGGTTGGAGGACATAGCGTGCTCGATGACGAAGGTGAGCCAGAGGAAGTTGTAGATGTGGGGGAGCCCATGGCAACATTGTTCATGTGAGGGTGTCGTGGAGAGGTGGAATCAGTAAGAGGGGATGGTGGCCGACGGTGACGAGCTCCAGTCCATGCGTCTCGTCGCAGGAGGAAATGCTGAAGGCCAGGATTCGACTGAGCTTCAGTACCCATTGTACTTCCTTTACAGTCCTTGCCAGCTAGTCCCAAGTCGAACGGATTAGGATTCCGGAATTCGAGGGGATCGATATTTTCGCTTGGGGAGGCCAAATGAGAGCTCGCGTCGTCTGCCTCTCGCTCAACCCATTCGACCTCTTCGACTTTGAAGCATAATGTCGGACATTCTACAGGCAGCGGGAATTCCCAGTCTTCTCGTAGCTTGTTCCTGATCTCTGCCTTTGCCGCTCGGACTATCGCCTCATTGGCTTTCTTCTCGGAGTATGTGGATTTGAAATGCTTTGCTTTAGGCTCTGGACCCGCAGTCTCTTCGGGCGGCTGTGAGTTCGTGCCATTGATTGGATGCGTAGTAGAGAGTGAAGGAAGATCACGTGCAGATGAGAGTTGAAGGGTAGAAGGAGGGGAAGCGGATCCCATCGGCCGGGAGATTGCACTGCTTTTCAAGGGCAACACGCTTCGCCCGATGCTGGAACGATGAGAATAAGAACAGAGCAGATGTAAAGGAGGTCGTGAATGGGTCTGGTTGTTGTAGATACATGATGGGCTCAAGTTGGCAGGTGTATCACAGTACCAACACTGAGCTCGACTTGTTAGATGACGGCATCATCCCTAAGTTGGGCCTCGGCGAGGTGTGCCAAGCCCTCCAGAGCCCCAGCGGGAGAGATCGATCGGGTATTAGGGGCTGGAATTGAGTTCTTAGGCCGGAGTTAGCGTTCCCCCACCTTCCCTTTGAGGTTTGCGCGTCGTCTCCTCCGGATTGGCATTGTTAATTGTTAATTGCGACGGCGTGGTTGGTTGGCTGACAACATCTCATTCTCGTGTCTCAAGGGTAAGGAACACGATGGATGGATGTATGTACAGTACATCGCTACTCACACCATCATCTATTCATGGTATGCTTCTATGAATTATTGTAACGTATGTAAGCAAAGTCTCATGTGCGATTCCTAACCCTGGCATTGTCTGACCCAAGCTTCTCGGAATCATCAACTGTCTTGAAGCCGTAGCCTCCAAGCTTCTTCCGCCGACCTCTGCGATCTCCATATTTCTCATCAAATTTTCTAATGGCAGAGAGAGATCCCATGTCTTCGCTGATACTCGCGCTGATTTCCTCCGTGGCTTTGGTAAAGTGTCGCTGACATAATGTCCGCTTCTCTGCATACTGGTATATTTCGTCAGGAGATTGTTTGTTGAATTCAGCGGCAGACTCGGACTCTTCCCGAACACAGGCCAAAGCCGCCGCCACGCAGAGATTCTTGAGGTCTGAGCCTGAGTAGAATGGGGTTTGTGTGGCAAGTTGCGGTATCGAGACTTGAGGCTCAAGCAGCTCATCTTTCAAGTGGATGTTCAGAATGACTTCCCTGTCTTTTTCCACGGGAAGATCGACCAAGAGTCGGCGTGGCAGCCTTCTTAACGAAGCTTCATCTAGATCAAAAGGCCGATTCGTCGCGACCATGATGAACGCGTTCATGTCAGTCACACCATCCCATTCACGCAGAAATTGGTTGATCAATTCTCGGTGACTTGTTCGGCCTTGCCCACTGCTCCGGGAGCCGAGGATAGCGTCTGCCTCGTCGATGAAGACAACGCAAGGTGAGAGTTTCTTCGCCAGTGTGAAGATGGCCTTGACGTTCTTTTCGCCTTCGCCAACGTACATGTCATACACATCAGAGCCACTAATCTCAAGCATTGTCGCGCCACTCTCCTTTGCCACAGCTTTTGCAAGCAGTGTTTTCCCCGTTCCTGGAGGTCCATACAGCAACAGACCCGGTATTCGATCCGTTGCCAGGACCCCATACGTAAAAGCGTCTGGTCTGATCAAAGAAAGCGACGTCAATGTCTTGAGGGCCTCAATGGTTTCTTGGGGTGCCTGCACATCAGCAAAGGTCGTTCGGATACTTTGGGCGTCAATTACACCACTGAGAAGCTTCTTTTCATAAGCATTGGATTTCTTCCTCAGCTTTCGAATCCTGTTTTCAGAATCTGCTTGAGTACTGACAGCAGAAGCAACAGCGCCTTCAGACCCTTTTTGCTTCTCGTTCATATGCTTCTTCCACCATTCGTACTTTGAATTGTCGCTTGCATCGATAGTCTCAAAGGCAGCCTCGATGGTTTTTGATGACATATTACCAGACTTGTTTAGAAGACCCAAAGCAACGACTGCGATCCGGTTCACCTTGTCTAAGCTCCAGATCGATTGATCCAGTCCTGTCACAAAAGCCCACTGCGATTCTAATGGCAGCCGCCAATCATCCACAACTGCACTTACTTGGGTCGGGTTTGGGCTAGTCCTTCGCAACATGTGTCGCAAATGCCGTAGATTGATCTCTCGGGTTCTGCGTTTGTGCTCGCTCCACAATCGACCATGTACACTGCTGTCCTCAATTGGAACGACGATCGTTCGTACTTCACCTTCCCATGATTGAGTTTGGGCATTGTCAATAGCGGCCTTGTGATCACCGAGTGTGGGTCCTCGGTCAGATGATGCAGTACCAACGATGAGAACAGATTGACCATCAGAGCGTCGACCATCAACAACGCTGTGCAACTTGCTCAGGACTTTGCTGCCCTGTAGGGTCATGTTGATCTGTGGGTAATCTTCAACAATGACAATCAATTTACTTGATTCCCCTTGGGATTGGTGATTTTGTGTGTCAAAATTTGCGTTCGGGGGTGGTCTTTCAGGTGGCGTTTCACCCGATGACTCTGGCTCCGATGAATAGGTTTGTGTCAACCGCTTCAAGTCAGGTGCGTTCAGTAAAGTGTCAATAAGCATAGACATTTTCATATCCGGAGTATTGTCTTCTATCTGTATCGTAGATTTGCTGCCCGATACCTTGGGTACTTGACTTGAGCTGTCACCGTCTGTCTGGAGGGGAAACTTGAGGAATTTGCTCAAATCACCTAAGCTGAAAGCTCCGCGCGGCAGGATTGAGACGCTCATGGCACCTAGTTGTGTTGGAGGAAAGGCTTTAGATGATTGCTCGAACTCCTGCCCTTCGTCCTCTCCGTCTTCGTCGTACTCCTCGGCTTCGTCCTGAGTGCTTTCTGCAGCAGGCGAAGGACGTGTTTCACTCACACCAGCGACATCGTAGCCTATTGTACTCAGAGAACTAGAATTGAAAGACGTTGCGCCTTCCATATAGTCGCCCCCAATTTCAGCAATATCCTGTGCGCTTAATCGCAGAATGTCGGAATTCGACTGCCTAGCAATATCTCTAACAATTTGATCTAAGTATCTTGAGCCACCAGCTCTTGGACAAGAGAGGACCAGGTGCGGTCTTATGGATGCGGTCAATTCTGCGTGCTCTCGACTGGGAACCCATAAGCCGGCCTGAATCACACTTGTAACTTCCTCAACTACGTTAGGACTGATCTTGAGATCACCTGTGACAGTTCCATCCCCATCTCCTCTTTTTGCATTCTCTGTTTGATTCTCCGCTGGTTGGACCGCCTGAGACTCAAGAAGTGAGGTTTCGCCAATCTCGCCGTTTGGTAAAGCGGAAGAGTCTTGCGCTTGCTCCACGTCATTTTTCAATACTACATTTCGATCCAGGAACCAGTGTGGTATATATGGCTGAGGTAGTTCTTTCGGACGCCTAATATTTCTCCCTGCTCTGCGTGAGGCCGACCCATAGTTGCTTGCATCTTTCGGTCTGGAAGGCTTCTCCGGCACATCACCAGAGCCACCAATCACCTGTGGCTGTCCTCCGTCTGTGTGCTCTATATTTGACGATGCCCCGACCGCATCACTCGGGACCTGCGAAGGTGCATCCTCTGCGTCGCTTCTTCGGCGTCGGAGAGAGGTATGAAAGGCTGACCGGAGACGGGGGAGGCGCCGACCAGCGATGAACCGGCAAGAGTTTGGCCGAACGTGTCTAGAAGCTGCTCTTCCAACGTACCATGCTGAAGCGTTCATTCAGTCCCTCTCGATTGAACAGAACAATGAACTCTATGCTAAAGTCGTCGCGAACCAACCTCACCCATAGGGCTGACGAAAGGTTGAGTCTTGGCATTTCTTATCGATACGACGCGTGCGATTATTCAATGACTTCAAGCAATCTCAGCGACGCGTACGACAAAATCAATCGGTGTGCTAGCAGCTAGCCAGAGATCGCAATCGATCAGACGATATGCACGACACGTCAGATGGCAGAATGGAAGACCCGAGGATATGTACCCGACTCAGACGAGGAGGAAGATTCACAAGAGTCTGGTCAAGTTACGGTTTGCGGTGACCACTTCTCTCTAGATGAACTCGTCACCAGTGATGCCAGAGAGGGCTCTCCGAGCCGAAACAATGGACATAAGTCCAGCAGATTAAAGGATCAGCTGTTGAAAGCAAGGCAATCTCCGACTTCTCATATCAAAGCCGTTGAAGTTCGAGTACCAGTACAAGAAGTGAACCAGAATAGCATCCAAGAGTATGCAGAGGCTTCATGGCAGGGGAAGCCATCATCGAAAATTGGAGCCTCTACGAACAATGTTTCGGAACAAGTATTGCAAGAAGGAATTTATAAAGATGCCCACAAAGCCAGGACAATGTCTAAAACATCTCCCCTGGGCCGAAGGGACGGAGACGTTGAACATGCTCTTCTGTCGTCTCCAGCCTCTTCATTAAATGTTTCAAATGGGATAGAGATGCAAGATGCAGTACAACGACAATACTTAGATGCCAAGACGACAGGAGATGGTGGCAATGTCGAGCATCATATTGGCACTACAGCAAGTGCATATCCTTTTGATGAACATCAGAGCCTATCTTCAACCCTCAGTTCTCCATTATCATCGCATCCTTCATCTTTACCTGGTGTCAAAGACACGATTAGCCATACCCGTCCATCTAGTCCTTCGTCGGAAAACGTCCACGCAGAATCAAGCGTCCAGGCGGATAGCAGTGATGTCGATATGAACACAGTCGTACATGATGTGCAGAGAACGCAAAGATTCCGGCAAAGGAATCCCATCCAACTCCATCCATATCTCATTGAAAGTGAGAAGTATCGTCAAAGTCTTCACGCTCGTGGCTTAAAGCCAGTTCACATACCGCGAGCTCCAACGCCTTCCTTGGAGGATGACACGCAAAGTCAAGACTTCGCTAACAGCCCAGTACTTGGGTTTTCGTCGCCAAGTTCGCAAAAATCTCAACCTTCTTCGCCAATGGCACTAGATGAGAATCAATCGGCTCTGCTAGATGAAGTTCCCGACATGGATGCCCTTTTACGTTCACAAAACCAACAACTCGAAGTGCAGTCATACAAGCGTCGAGACATGGAGAGGGACAAACCTAGATTCAAAAGACCTCCGGGTTTATCTAAGCCTAAGCCATTGAAAACAAAGCCTATTCATCAGCATAGCAACGAGGATTATGACATGTACACCGTACCCTTATCGCCCCCATCTTCTGGTTTCCATACACCGACTACCTTAGGCGAACGAGCAAAGCGACAATCCCCACCAAACAAATCATTACCGACACCCGCTACATCGTCCGAGCCCAGAGCGCCGCCATTGATTGACATTATCAATCAAGAATCTGCTGAGGATAATGCTGATGAAATTATTGCTATCTCCGATGGTACTGGTGCATCGAGTCCAATCTCTAATGACGGATCAGTCAAGCAACTGTCTCGGGTGCAGCGAAGAATACGCGGGGTGTTACCTGCATCTTGGCTCAAATTAGATCTAAAGGCTCAGTCCAAAAAATCAGCTCTTCCTCGTCGCTTGCCATCGAGCTCGTCTCCGGAAAAACGTGATAAACAAAAAGGCGTGGCTCGCCCAGTATCAAGAACAGTTGCAGAGACGTTCAATCGCTCTTTAGATCAATATGAAGCATTTCTTTCATCCGACAATCAGCAGTCTTCAGACAACGGGGATCAGCCAAATTTTTTGGCCTCCAGATTATCACCAATCATGCAAGTTGACGATGAAGCTGATGATTTTCTTGGCAGACTTGGAGAAGCAGATGAAATAGACGAAATAGACGCAATGCTATCGATCCATCGTAGAAAAGCGAGCCATCAGACAAAAGGTCGGAAACGTCAAACCCGAATGTCAGACTTTGGTGTGGAATGTTCTTTAAATGTAGCTCGCGTGTCCAAACGACCACGTCTAACAGCACCCTCAACAAAACAACCCTCTTTGATGGCTCATAGGGACCGTGTGTCGAAACCCAAATTTCGAGTCCCAAGATTGAGTATTCTTGATGCACCGCCAAATGCCACCGCCATAAATCCTCCGCCTCCGCCCGCGTTCCTTAAGATCGCCTCCCGAACAGTCCGTTCAAGGCATGATAGGGGCAGGCATAGCCCAGGCAGAAAGTTCCTAAGGCTCGCGACAACGGATGACAACCATGACGTCAACGAGAGTCTGCAAGCATGGAGAGATGGCGCCATCAGACCTTCGGTGTCCCAGAAGGATGACAGACGCTCAATACTTCACTTTCGACAGCCACTTCAGCCTCGATCCGGCAATTCTATACTTCCTAGCTCGTTGAAACTGCCGCTTGGCTCTGCAAGCAAGACTGCGAGAAGTGCTTCACCCCAAGATTATGCTCCGAAAAGGCCGACGGCTCGCAAGGTGCAGACAGTCCTGAAGTCGAACGTTCGTACACCAGTGACGGACGATCCTGAAAATAGCCAGCAGCCTACTAAGAACATTTCAGGGGGACCCAACGTTCCAAATTTAAAGAAGAAAAACTTGAAAAGTACCTTGAAGACAACGCATGGTTCACGACCTGCAATGCTTGAATCGCTTGAGGATGGAGAGAACCAGATAAGGCCGGGGTTCTCACTTAGTCACCATCTTCTTCGATTGAATCAAAGTGACCCTTTGCATTTGATCTCAAGGCCGCAACGAGACGCCATCGTCGAAGACGTGAACCTTCCACCTGCCAGTATAGAATCACGTGAGGGGAAGTCTCTGCCACTGAAACATTCGCCTCAAGTCGAGAAACGCCAGCCTAATCCTGTCAAGCGGAACGGTCGTCGGAAACGGAGACCTCAAAGGTTAGAGATATCCGCGACGTCTCAAGCTCAATTAAGTCCTCAATTACCTGTTGATGATCTTCCAATGATTGCAAAGGAGCAGGATTTCTCCAGGGATAAGGCGACTAAGCACGAAGGTCTAACACCACTTCAATTTGGTCCCTTTAGCACTCGTTTTACATCTACTTTCGACATCGTGCCGTTCCCTCCTGGCACCAGCTTCCATCAGAGCACATTCTTGGGCAGTGGAGACTTCCAAACTAGTATGCAATTATCCAAGATTGACCTCGACAGTCACCGAAGCTTTGCCAATTTCATGTTCAACCACGTAAACTTCAAGTGGGGGCCTTGGAATGAGCAACTGTCTGTGCAGCTGACCCAGATTTGTGATTTGCTCCATCAAGCAAGCCAGGCCCAGCCTATCGAAGAGTACTTATCTCAACTGGCAGAATTCCTTGTTTATCTGATAGGGTATTTCTCGAATCACGTCAGCTTCCTTGACCCTATCGACCGTGCTTCATGTCTTCAAAGATGCAACGCAGTTATCAAACTCATATCGCCAGCTACCTCACCTGTGCTTGTGGGCTCTTTCAGAATGCAAGAAAACAGAATCACAGACAATGACCCCCAACTTCTTAGAGTTCAAATGCTGTCGTTCATTTTCGCGAATCAGCTACGTCAATTGTCGCAACACTCTGATGTTTCAAGTTCAATATGGCAGGAAACGACATTCCTGTTCTCGACTGTCGGCAAGCAATTAGGAGAGCTCATCCATACAAATCTTGAATCATTGGAGAAGCTAGTCAACAAGTTCAAACGATATTCTGATAGTGATCTCACAATATGCAACAATAGTACAGCTGAGGCCCTGATTGTGGCCAGACATATCCTGCAGCACGATGGACGTTTACACGATGACTTCTGGGATACTTTAATTCGCTCAGGTCCTAATGCATCAAGTGACGCTACTGTTCGCGCCGAAATTTTGGAACAAACTTGGAAGGCGCTATATACTTTGCTTCCGTTTTCGGAGTTTGATACCCAGGGAGTGCTGACCTCAGGGTCGCGATTCAGTTCAAATGTAGGCAATTGGAATGCTGTGAAGAGACTCATCAGTCCTGTGCTCGACAATTATATGACTGTCAAGGAAGGTCAATCCCCAAATTTCAACTTTTATTGTCGAGCGCTGTTCAGCCGCTGCCTTCATCTCATCAATGTCTGGGGTTGGCGCAAATGCGATTCGATCATTGGCACCTTGTTCGACTTCTTTGCCCGTAATCAGCTCAATCATCTGAATCATGAGCAAAGCCATGGGTCTCCCCATTTTCTTGAGGTCCTTGGCACTACTGTCTCTCTTGAAAGCGGGCCCGAGGATCGATGCTTCCATTTGCTACTGAAGATAATTGGCAACGGGATCAAATTCATGCGGAAAACGTTCCCCGAGAAAAAGATTAAAGACCTTGTTTGGCGACTTATGCCGAACCATGGCCGCTCTCATCTGAAAGAAGAGGCGCTCCGTCTGAACGATCTTGACGCGCTGCGCAATCATCACGATCTACTCTGCACGCTTTACTGGGTATCACCACCAAGTGTTCGCCCACGGCTTACAGCCATACGGAATCTTGTCCATATCGAAAGCTCCCACAAAGAAGTCGTTCAACTCAATCTCCGAGCGTGGGCATATCTTGTGAATTTCCAATTAAAGACCGATGAGCCGATGAGCAACCTTGAACCTTTTGTTGAGTGGCACAACGACCTTTTACAGCAAATCTTGCGCCAACATTCGCTAGCTCGCACAGAAGCGGAAGAACACGCTCGGGCTGTCCAGCATGTACAAAATACTGTGGTATCACCCCACCTTCTAGAGTCAACGATTGCCACCAATCAGCGACAAGTTGAGGCTTCATTGGGTGATGCTCTGACCAGCCTTCGCAGAGCCATACAATCAGCCAAAACGAACGATGCCGCAGATCTGCTCCTATCGCCTTATGTTACGGCAGTGTTCAAAATCTTCAATGCCGCGCAGTCCCACACTAACAGCCCGATCCTTGATGCATTGGACATTCTGATAACGTATATAAGACGAATTTTAGATCCGAATCGACCTGAGACAGTCGCTCCTGAAAATGAAGATAGTCAGCAGTACGGGGACTGGGCGGTGTTTAGTGATGATTTTGACGAAATTGACGACGAGACTATCAATGTGCCTATGCCGGAGTTCCATGATCAACTTCGACAACTACTATCTAATTGCTTTGGTGCAGATCTTCTACCGACAGAAAATGTTCTTGCAAGAGTTTTGGAAGCTTGGGCAGCTTTGAACCAAATGCTTGTCCGTTCATCTCATAGATCATGGGCTGACTACGTTGGGAGTTATGGCAACGATGCTTGGAGCACCCTGAGAGACACACAACAAACGAGAAAGTACACTTCGTACTACCTAGCATTACTGATTGAAGAAGACTCCTCCATATTTGAAGATCAAAAGGCAGCTCTCCTCCAATTCTTTATGCAGGCTCTTGTTGAGCGTGAGTCTCTGCTCAAGTTTCAGCACAGATTCACCTGTGCTCTTCTGAATGCCAACTCGAATGATGTTCTACTCAGCAATCCACCATTCTGGAGGAACAGAGACTCCAACAGATTTGAAATATCCTTGCCAGAGTTCAGCGAGCGCAGGCTCTCTTTAATCTCTAGTATACTCTCAAACATGCGCACCTCGACCGACAATGCTCAGCTTAAACAAAGCACAAACACGCCCCAGCTCAAGTCAGAATATAGAGAGCTGCTAAGATATCTTATGGCTACAATGAAACAGAATTATCAAGATCTTGGACAGTCCGCGAACGTCAAGGGAGCGTACGTCGGTTTCGTTCAGAACGTTGTTGAGCTTTTGCAGCAGCACTCCTCCAGCATCTGTTCGGTTGACAGTTTCTTCACGAACAACGCCTCCTTTCCTCTACCAGCAAGTGACCCAACGTACATTGTCGGTCAGTTAAGAAACTATGGCCTCCGATTGGCTGATTCTCGCACGCCAAAGGAGCTTGTCGCCTTCGTGCAATCAATCTCGGAGCGGGCGGCTATGGATGGCCAGCAGGCGTATCTGATCAATCAGCTCCACAATGCAACATCTGGAACATTTGGAGACATCCTGCAGAGAAGCAGTTTGCGTGACTTCGTCATTCAGACCATTTTTCCAGCCTACGCGCGCATGGCTTCTGAGTCTATGTGTGGTTGGATTCTAGTTCTACCGGTCTTGCATACATTGGTCAAGACCTTCGACGACCTGGAAAAGGACCTGGATGGGTATAATGTCAATAGTGTGGCGGCCGTAGCGAATTTGGTCACATCTTATTTGTATACCATGCGGATCGCTGCATTTCAGACTGTGAAGCAACAGAGATTGCTTGGACAACCTGGTGTTCTCAAAACTATACGCACATCTTTTCACGCGATGAATGCATTGCTACCAACACTAGATTACCTCTACCGCTTGAGAGGTCCTGTCAAACAGGCTATGAGCGAAATAGAGATGCTCAGAACGCTTGGCGTGCACTTGGCCGACAAGTCTATGGGTCATGAGGTCATGATATCTGCATTGCCTCAATGTATTGAGGCGGAGGAACGCATTTTTGTGTCCTCTGATATCTGCGAGTTCGCTACGGGTGAGCTGCGGCAGACGCTAGAAAAGAATTGGATTTGTGTTGATGGTAATTACTTCCTAATCAGAGGCAAGTTCAGGAAGGAGGTGCTTGTCGACGTGGGTCTACTTGAAGAGGAACAATCCGAGCTCAGGAGGACGATCGAGAATGTCGAAGCCACTATAGATGGCTTTCCATCCTGGGCTGACCCAAACCTTGAAACGCGATGTGAAATAAGGATGGTTGATGGGCTGACGGACTTAATGATCTGACTTTCTTGTGTTTGATCATGCATAGCGGCGTTTTGTGGCCACTAACCAAGGCTCTGGATACCCTTTGACGAAATGATTCATAGCATAGCCGGTTCATATAAAACACGACGTTTTGACAGGTCACAAGCGCTCAATCTTCAGTCTCCTGAAGATTCATGAATTATGGGGCAACACTCCCCACAGACTTTGCTCCTGGCCCGCTGGGAGCACCAGCTCTTCCATACTTAACCCTTATTCTTTCTTCCTCATCGCCTTCTCTTCCTCTTCCCGAACCATCCTCCGAAACCTGACTTGCGCAACCCAACCCTCCAGCACCACGCTCCCAACCCACTTCCACCACGTCCCGCTCCATGTCTCCACGCCCTCCCATCTCAACCTCCCCCCAAACCCAATCCACAGCCCCTCTGCCACATGCACCACTAGAATGAACGGGTCCAAGAATGGCTGTAGGATGCTGCAGAACGCAGCAAACCGTCCCCCGTTGTCCTGCCCCAGCGCTCCAACAATAGTCGCATAGATGCTCGATGACGGTTCAAAGTTCGAAGGCGTGAGAAAGGAGACAAAGGCGAGAAGGACGAAGAAATGCCATGCCCACATCCACCACCGATCTGGCCGTCTCCAGCTCTTAATTGTGATATTGGGATGTCTTTCCAGAGCTTTTTGCAGGGGGTCATCCATGGTAGAAAATCTGCCTTGAATCATGCTTTCAAGGGCGGGCATGAGGACATATTCTGTGTTGAACGGGGAAATGGTGTTGTTAGGCGTGTGAGGGTGATGGAGAGGCGGCGGGCTTGGCGCTCGCGGAAGGAGGGGAGGGTTGGTGGGATCCGAGGTGGAGGGACGGACAGAGGGTGCGTGAGGCATTCAGGTGGTATAGCGCGCCGCGAGGGAGGTTGGGAGAGGCATTGGCCAGCTTAGAGAAGGAGGCAGGGAGGAAGTGAGGTCCGTGATCGTAGATGAGAGGGCGGAAGATTGGGGAGATGTGAGGAGACGCAAATGGGCGAGCTGTCTTGAGGGGCAGGAATTTGTAAATGAATGACGTCAGAGTCACACACACACATGAAAGAATCTGTGGATTACGTTCACTGACTCAGAGATGTTCTGAAGGTTTGACTATTTGCAGCTTTGCGATTTCGAACGATTGATTTCTCTAACCGCTGGCTTAGCCGGTAGAACTGTAGAGGTTCAATGCCGTTCTTATTGTTAACCCTCCCACCTTAAACATATGAGCCTGCAAGAAATATCCGGACCCGTAAGGACTTCCACATTGTTCAGCAGTCATTCTCCTCGCATTTTCCAGAGTGCATCATTCGCACCTTCAAGCTTGCTGCGTTTGTAATGCTCTGCCACCTTTGCCAAACTTTGACGATTGACGCTCCCAGTTGCCTTACAATAAATGTGCCAACTTGCCGCGCAAGGTTGAATGGATGACATTGGCTCGATGTAGAATTGAGTCGCAAGATTGTTGCCCAAGTCTCGATCCCCAAAGATTGACGTCCATAACAAAGCTGTCGATGTACACTTTGCGTCTTCATTTGCCTCTTCTCCTCTATTCATCCTTGATGTTATCTCTTCGGTCGCGCTATTTCAGCGACCTATAGCCCTTCGACTAATCAATAATGCCTTTACACGTTTCTCGGAGTCTTCACTTCTCCGCAGCCGGCGCGCGAAGGAAGGTCTCATTCTTCTGACTCTCTGATCAATGCCCCTCGGCTTGAGATTTTGTAGCCACGAGGAGGCTCCGGCAAATCTTCAGGTGCGGACAAGTCGGTGTCAGAGTGGTATGGCATCTTCGCTTCCTCGAGGGCTCGGCGAGCTTTGTCCTTCCTGATATACATGTCTTTAGTAATCACGCAATGGACCATACGGTTGCACTCGGTTGTGTCGGGGGTCGTTTCACATGGCGGGCCAGGAAAAGAAAACGTACTCTTTCTTCGCTTGAGCCTCTCTCTTGAGGCCCGGTGCAAGCGTGTAATAGCTTGTCCCTATAGCAAGCGCCGTCAAAATACCTAGTGGCACTAACGTCCTACCTCCAGACATGTCGGAACAGCAGCAATTGGTGTCCAACAGTGACTGATGTTGGATTGAAAAGGATTTGACATTGAGAATTGCTGTATTCGGCCTAGGGTAGCCTCCCGCGGCAGCCGCTAGCGCGTCCACGTCCCTCCTCCTCCTCCGCGATATTTATCCCAATACCCCACATCTTCTTGCCTTTGAAGGTTCCTTGACCCAGCAAAAATAGGATACGGCTCGGATGTGGCGGTGGTTCAGACGCATCGCCTTGCCGAATCTGTCCCGGACTGTTGTGTTTTCGTCGCCTCGAGTGAAACATGCTCTCTTACGTTTACGCGCAGATGTCTTTGATCGAACCATCTGTCCTTTTGCATCAATGGAAAGATATCTCTATACATGAGAAGCCGGAAAGAGCTTCTAGTTCAGCGTTGAGCTCAAAGATGCCTCAAATTGACATTGGATCGTGATAGTCCCGTGTCAAACTGGTTTCATGCTAATGCTATCTCTTCGGACAAAATAAAACCTTTCACACAGCTTACTTTCATAGCCGATGAAAACTGCTGACGCGTACATACTATTTCTGTCTTTTTGGGTTGCGGAAAGGACAAAGCTGTTGACATCATGAAAAGCTTGACCAACCTGTTTCACACAGCTCGGCGCTGTTGTTTGTCTGCAACATTTACAGCCGCCAGATCAGGCCTATGGCCTCTGTGGATGGCGCTAGTTTTCAAGACACCGCGCAAATAGTGCCTCACCGTGCTTCTAGGGCAGGCAGTACACGGGACCAGTTTTTTGATAAAGAGAAGGGATTGCACGGGCTCTTGGCTCCGGAATATTCTTTCATCAGTTCCATCCTCCATCCAGCTTTGCCCTCCTTTAAATTACCTCAGGTCTTGCGTTTCTACGTCTATCATAATCACTCAACATGCAGTATACCACCTTCGTCCTCCTGGCGCTCGGGGGCCTGGCCCTCGCCAAACCGACAGCAGGGGCCTCAGTTGACACAACTACGGCCGGCGGTACCGGCAACCTGACTAGCTCAGGCGGAGCAAGTGACGACAGTACCTCAGGACAGGCTAACGATGCCGCCGCCGGAACTGGGGACGCTAGTAGTGACAGTTCAATCCAACAATGTGTCCAAACAATACTCTCCGGTAAGTCGACTTAGCCTATATGTCGTGTGATCTCAACTGACGAGTCTCATAGCTGCGGGGCTTGGATCGTCTTCCGGGAGTGGAGTTGTGCCTTTAACGAGCACAGGCACCGACACAACCGGATCAAGTAATGGCACTGGCACAGGAACCGCGACTGGCGCAGGAGCTTCGGGAAGTGGTGACGCCGGTAGTAGCTTACGCATTCGCGACACTAGTACTCTTACTAGTAGCTCAGGCACGAATGTTACTGACCCTGTTGATTCCAAGCTAATGGGATCTGCTGGTACAGGTACTAAGACAGCTTCTAAGCCCAAGAACCGCAAGACTCTTGTTATCGAACTTGACGAGAACGACCAAGCCGTATCCGTTAGTCTTGTTCAAGATCACCGCATAGGTGGAAAGGACACCGCCGCCCTCGCTGCGTCTATGAGTAGTACAATGAGCGGCAGCTCTGGAAATGGAACGGAGATTGGATCGAGCACATCGGACGATCTGACCGGTACTGGCACCGCCAGTTCCAGCTCATCTAGTACTTCAGGTGGTGCCGCATCTGGAGAATCGGACGCAGGAGGAACTGTCTCGAGGAGAATGGTGAAGAAAGTGAGAGGCCGCAATATATGAGCTTGAAGACTTCATGAGAAGCGCGTGGTGAAGAAATTGTATGAGTCTGAGCAGCCAAAGAGTATAGCATTTGCATATTAGACGGTGGCGTCGGCATGACGTTGATAGCAACGTCGTGATTAGCATAAATCTTTATGCGTAAAAACACGCGATAGATTTTAGCGACAAATCTCAAACTTTACGCTTTATTGCCCAACGACCGTACTAGCTCTTGCCTTCATCTTCGTTTCCTAGAATGAATCCATTCCGTACTTTTCAATCTCTCCGGCCCTCCGTGCGCCGCTCGAAAGCCCTTCTCGCACCCGCGACCCATCTCCGAGCCCTCTCAACCCTCAACACACCCGAAGAGATCGCAGAATACCTCTCCAAACCCTCCTGGTCCGTCAAAGAAACGCTCTTCCCCTCCTCTCCACAAACGACTTCCACATCCTCCACTACCACTCCATCACCAGAGGAAGAAATTACCCCCGCCAAGCTCCACCACCTCCTGAACCTCTCCGCGCTTCCCCTTCCCAAGACGCCCGAAGAAGAAGCCCGCCTCCTCGACGATCTGGGCAGACAGCTATCCTTCGTGCGGCATGTGCAGACTGTGGACACGACTGGCGTGGAACCAATGGTTGCGGTGAGAGATGAGACCGAGGAGGGAAGGAGGGAGAGGACGGTGGGTTTGGAGGATCCTGAGATTCAGAGGGCGTTTAAGATGGAGAAGAAGGTGGGGAGGCGCGGACGAGTGAAGACAGTGAAAGAGGATGTGAATGATGAACCAAAGAGGGATTGGGATCCGTTGGAGAGGGCAAATAGGGTTGTAGGAAAGTACATCGCTGTTGATACTGCGAGGGATTGAGGGGCAGAATCCAACTCAGGAATACGGCATTGCTTGTTGCGTTTACGACAAAGACGTGGGTGGATACAGCTACAAGCATCTACGACCCTTTCTCCTTCTTCAACTTCGACAATACCGCCTTCCCCGCCCTACTCTCATGCGCCCGTCCCAGCTCCCCACAAATCCACGCCCCAATACGGCTCATCTCCTCGATATCAACGCCCGTCTGCATACCCAGACTATGCAACATATACACCAAATCCTCCGTACTCACATTGCCCGTCGCCTGTCCCGCAAATGGACATCCGCCCAATCCACCAACCGCCGAGTCAAAGATCCTGATCCCGTGCTCCAATCCCACTACCGTATTCACCAACGCCTGCCCATACGTGTCGTGGAAATGGAGCGCTATATCCGCTGGCGCAATGCCCGCTGCAGACAGCGTTTTCAGCAACATGGTCGTTTTCGGGGCTGTACCAGTGCCGATGGTGTCGGCGATGGAGACGGAGTCGACGCCGTATTCTAGGAGGGAGGTGGCGATGCCGGCGACAGCGGCAGGGGAAACGTCGAGGCCTTCATAGGGGCAGCCGAGGCAGCAGGATATGTATCCTCGGACGCGAATGTTGAGAGGTTTTGCGCGGGATATGATGGATTGTACGGCTTGGAGGGAGGAGGCGATGGTGTTGTTTGTGTTGGCGCGCGAGAAAGATTCGGTTGCTGAGACGAAGATGGAGATGTCTGTTGTATGGTTTGGAATTGGATGAGAAGAGGGTGATGTGGGAGAAGAGGGCATGGCATTGGGGTCGGAGGTCGAGGTTATGGGTGCTGGCTCTTGTATTTGCGGGTCTGCTTTCGGCGAGGGAGGAGGTGTGAGAGGGTCTTGACTCGTGAAGGGCATATCCCCAGTTGCTTTGAGGTAGTTGTCTAGTCCCTTCATGTTTGGAACTAAGAAGTTGTATGCAATCGGTGCTGACGAAGATGGAGGATGAGCGAGAATGTGACCCATCGCCTCCGCTGAATTGGCCATCTAACATCCACAATTGTATCGTTAGCTAATGTTCCTGCCACTAAAAATGTTGTAGCATTGGATTTGTCTCATACCTGAGGAACCCATTTGGGCGAGACAAATGACCCAGCCTCAATATCTCGGACTCCAGTCTTCGATAGTCGATTGATGAGGTCCAATTTGGTATGCAATTCTAAATTTCCCTTTTCATTTTGCAATCCATCCCTTGGTCCGACTTCTACGATGTGGACTTCGTTCACTAGTGTAGGTCTTGCTGTAGCGAAGCGGCGATGAATGCAACGAGCATTGCATCTAGCAACCCGCCTAGGGAGGCTATTCATATTGTATCTTGCTTTTTAAAGTCCAGCGTGACGCCAGCTTTCTCCAGGTCTGCTTGTTCAAGCTCGGATGCGGGGAAGAGAAGGTTGGAGACCCCAGTCCATGGCATGACATAAATGCTTTCACCATGGCTTGTATGTTCCCTATTATAAACCAAACATAATCATGAAAGTTTACACCATGCCTTCATCTCAGAAGCAATATTTGGCGCATGTTCATGCTCCAATGAGCGAGGTTGACGGACAAGTGCCTGTTCGTCCGGTCCTTCCGTAAAGACATTCTGGCCGCGACAATCATGAGCAATAGACTCACCTCTAATCTCCATTTAACTCTTACAACAATGCCTGCTAAATAAAGATGTGGTTTGGAGACTGGAAACAATTTGTTACGATGTATTCCTATGGTGTCAAGGCTTTTTCCTCTTTGCCTTGCACAATTCCTCGCACCTGCGAGGCCTGCAGCTCCACAGCCCCAGTCACTAACGCTTTCCGTAAAGCTGCGAATACAATTCTAGCAAGACAGTGCGCCAGGAAGTATTAGTACAATTCTCACATTTGTGGCCCAATTCGTGATCTTCCACTTGAACTGCGCCAAAGTTTCCTTCTTCACTTGCGACCTCTGTCTCTGCTATTGATATATAGATTGGCGAAGCTCCACTTGTTTTCTTCAAATAGCAAGCATCTCGACAGCGGAGGACATGGAGTCAATATCTTGTAAGGACCTTGTATCACCCCATCAATTGTGTGATTATTGCACAAGTTTTGTGAGCAGGGCGACTTGCTTGAATCACAGCCTGGAGGAACTCCTCCCAGCCAGCTTCGATCACAAGTCTGATGAGGACCTCATTCAACATGTTCTTCAACACTACCCAAATGACTTGACTCTTACTCGAAATGCCAACAGAGGATGTCACCTGTGTTCCATCTTACTCTCTGCGGTTTTGAGGGGAAAATCACGGGAAGAAATAAGGAAATTGTTTCGGCCTCGAAGAACAAGTGACTATGCCATATACGCCGTGGTCTCCTTGCGTCCATACGACAACAGTGCAGATGTGGCCTTTGGCTTGATATTGCGTAGGGATCACCCCGGTCACAGAGGTAGTCATCGCAAGGGCTCCAGCGACTACGGACCCGGTCGAATGAATCGGAATGAGGTAGTATTGAAACGCTCAACAAATGATCGGTTCATTAGTTGTTTAAATTGCGAATATTGTCTGCTTCAACGAACTGGCAGAAAGCCGCAATGGGATCTCAATAAGGAATTGACCCACTACAGGTGGGTTGGATACACAGGTTCAGATACGAGCATGCAAATGCTGAAAGGTTGGCTCAATGAATGTGTGATAGAACACCATGCATGCAATGCAAGTACGGAACCTGAAAAGCCGACCAGACTCCTCGACCTGGGTGGGGTTGGCGTAACCGGCAGTATACGATTAGTCCCTGGTGTCGAAGCGAGTAGTCAGTGTTATGCTACTCTGAGTTATTGCTGGGGGAGTGAGAAAGCACTGCTACTTACCAAAAGCAATATTCATGCCTTCGAACACAACATCGAGTTTGACCTGCTGCCCAAGACGTTCCAAGACGCCGTGTTTATATGCCGGAAACTTGACATTACATATCTCTGGATCGATGCTCTATGCATCATTCAGGGTGCTGATGGTGACTGGAATGATGAAGCTTCTCGCATGGGATCCGTTTACGCCGGATCTATCATCACTCTGGCAGCTGAACAAGCGGAGAGCAGTCGGGATGGACTTCTGCATCATCGATCGCCCCTTCGCCAACAAGACTGCCGGATCTTACACAGTGCCACACACACCATAATTGCATCGGCGAATAGTTTTTGCTATGAACCAGGTTGCGGCCCAGGGAAATGCAGACTAGACACAAGGGGATGGGTCTTACAAGAGCGCCTCTTATCTCCACGCACTGCATATTTTGGGCCCAATGGTATACATTGGGAATGTCGCTGGGGGGCTCTTTGCGAGAATCAACCCTTCTTTTTGGAAAAGCCCGGTATATTCGATGATCGCCATCAAGAATCTCAGATCAAGGGCGCACATGAAGCATTCTACACCTTACAGGATCTTCGCTCCCGGCCAGATGATCTGCTTAGATTTCAGACGAGCTGGACTTATCTTCTTGAGGTGTATTCGCTCACGGACTTGACTTTCGCTAGTGACAGGCTAGTTGCTATTGCAGGTATCACCTCAGTCTTCCAGAGTCGACTCACGCTCCAAGCATCTTTTGGTTTGTGGCTTCCCTTCTTTACTACTGAACTTCTCTGGACAACAGACCAGGCCACCTGGAAAGATAGCAGGCATTCTCGTCGCAAAATCGACTATGCGCCAACTTGGTCCTGGGTCTCCGTTTCGGGGGTGAAAATCCGCAATGGCTGGGCCCGACTGGCTGATAAGGAGGACCGATTTAAGCAAGATTTGGTAAAAGTCGAAAAATTACCAGCTCCCACAGCCTTCGGTCACGCTGATTCCTTACCGCCCGTTGGCTCCCCTGAATTGACCATCAGACTCAGAGGTCAACTTCGCCGCTGCTTTGGTACTGCTGAATCCTATAAGGATGGCATCATGCGCTTTGCATACCCAGTCCGAGAAAATGACGGAGGCCATGAATTCCATACAGGCGAGCTTGCCCTCGACACTACTTTGGTTTCTGAGACTCCACTTTTCTGCCTCCTCATCGCACGACGCACAGATTATCATATCGAATACACAGATCACATGGATGTAGGCCTTGCCTTAACCCCGATTGACTTGTCTGCGAACCTTTACAGGAGAATTGGATACTTCAGCCAATCTGTTCGGTCAAAGGACCCTTTAAATGAGCAAGGAGGGTTTTTCACTAATTCTATGCCCGAGTCGGTAGTCAAGATCATCTAATGACAAGGGCATTCTGATATTCTACTCACCACTGGCGTCCACCTCAGCCGTCTAAGATTACTTTGATGCTGTGCAGCGGAATTTCAAGGACTATAAAGAGCAAATCCCTCATGGCTTGATCTCCTAATGTTCAGACTGTTCAGGTGATATGTGATATAGATAATTTGATATGAACGATGCGGCTTTGGAACCAGAACAGCCAAATCAAGTCTCCGACAGACACATCTTCCATCTATTCAAAGTAACCGATTCGTTGATATTTGGTGACATAAAGTGTTGGGTCTTGGGTGCGACATAGGGTTCAACGACCACCGTTCTTTGACATCGGGTACTAAAATGACAAGTGCTGTGACATTACCTTATCACCATGTGAAAAGCAGGGTTGCTAGATACCTCAATCATCTAGTATTAGTCCGTTTCCCTCGCCTCATTAGTACCTGAAGCTAAAACAAACTACAGTGCGATCTTCACCCGTCATTGGAAGGTACAATGCTAGCATACGCACTAATACGCGCTGGTGGAGGGATTTGGCCCCTTGATCTATTTCAGCCTAAACAAGGCTGAAAACCCTCGTGAAATAAGATCCCAACGTCCCAGAAGAATCCCAGACCATTTAAGTAGCACTCACTCTAACCAAGGGGGGACATCGTTGTGGGCAGTCTGTAGTAGACACCAGGATCGCGTCCACCAACCGCAATGACTCAACCCGAGCAATTCGTCGGCTTCGGGGGCGTTGGGAACCCAGGCCCCTACCTCCGCAAGACCCGCGACGAATGCATCGCCCTGGTCCAACCAAAAACGCAATTCGCCCTCAAACAAAACGTGACAGCCTGCATACTGCAGAAATTCACCGAGACCGACAAAGCAATCTACGCATCCCGCCAATACGTGCTCACACTCTGGCCAGCCTTCATCGGCGCCATCGTCGCCCTGGCGCCCGATCCGGCGTACATGGTGTACGATAATCTGTGGTGGTCGGTCTTGTTCTGTGTAACGAGTGGAGGGTTGCCGGGGCTGGAGCAGGGGTCGTCGCCGCCGCATCACGTAGAGGCGCATTCTGAGGGGGAGGGGAGGGAGATGTGTGAGGGGTGGGTCTATGATGGGGCGCAGCCGAAGGTGATGTCGAAGGCTTATGCGATGGGGGAGGCGAGGAGAGGGAAAGGGCACGTTCGTATGGAGTGGGTTTCGCTTTTCGTGGGCGTTGGTCTGTGGGCGGGATTTATTGCATATTTTGCGATTACGCTGAAACCTTCGGTTGGGTTCAGCTATAATGGTGAGTTGCCTTGCTTGTCTTTGTTTCCTCGGTAGACACCGAGACAATGGTTTGTTTCTACCTGTGGTGGAAGAGTCTTGATTTGTGGCAGCCCCAAGTCTCGGGCGTCTTCGTCAAGGAGATGCTGATTGGACCGTTGACGTAGGCGATCCAACAAAACATGCCATATGGTATTACATCTCCGCCGCCCCCGCAATCCTTGCCTGCATCTTCGAGGCCTTACAAAACCGTGTCGACCTCTACGAACCAGTCAACGTTGTTGAAAATGTCGGCGACAGTCTAATCAAAGGTGAAGCCTCAGCTAGGACTAGATCTGTATCCGTTACCCAGTCTTTGCCCCAGCAGTATTACAAACGTGTCGAAGTACGCTCGGTGTTTCAACTCTGGCTCCGAGTCTTGGTCCATCAATGGCGTCGATCGAGGTACCGTATTCTGGTGCGGGACCCAACCGCACATCACATCTGGTGGTTCTTCGCGATTGGTAGAGCTATGGTGGGCATCGGTCGTATGACGGTCTTTGCTCTGGGTTCAATCACAATGGGGAATATCATTTTGATGCCGGTGCCTGATGACATATGGGTTTTTGTGCTGCTTATGTTCACCACGGCAGTACCGAGACAATTGTGGCCGGTATTTTGGACGAATGGGCATCGTGGAGCTGATCTTGTGGTTTTTGCGAGGAATTTAAAGGTAGATGGTGCGCTGCATGTGCGATGAATTTACAAATAAATGACAAACTAGACTCGCAACTAGCTACGAGCTGTATTATGGTGGGGTGACACTATCCTTTCAGCGAAGTTCTGACTGAAAAGCAAGGAGGCTTTCCCTCGAATGACATCTACCTTCGCCTGTCTTCGCAAGAAATTCCTTGTTGGCATATCCGCGCAGGTCATTGTCTGTCAGCGCACATGGTTCTTCGACCGTCTCCTTGTCACAATTTTCGCAGCCTCGGTCTTTTCATAGCGTCCTCTAACCTTTCGGCGTGCTCCAGTGGCTTTGTCTGGAGATGTGGCCCTTTGTGGGAATATTTTGAGCATTTGCAAGGGTACATTTCCATGATGGTCTGATATAGATCTACATCACTGCTTGTGTTCAAACGTAGATTTGGTAAACCAGGGTAGGCCCATGAAGTGACGTCTGGCTGGAGAAATGAGCGAGAGCGACGATAACAGAACGCTCGATGCGTGATCGCGATGACATGAACGTTCTGCATGCCACGGACTTCCCGTAATGCATAGTAGCCTGGGGCATTGCTGCCAGGACACGGCATAGTGAAATCCAAGGAATTGAGATTCGGACAGGTTTGCAGCAACCGAAAAGCCTCTTTAGAATTCGACTCGGTCCATTGAAAGGCGAGGTTTGTGATTTGCTGTAAACGATTTGGGCCCAAGTTTTCCAAAAATCTTTGCAAAGCGGCTGTGGACACGAATCCTAAAGTGATATTGTGGTAGGAAAGGCGGGATGTTTCAGTGTACACTTGTTTTGAAGTCCTCAAAATATTGAAACTAGGCTCCCGCGCGATCTGCCAGTGCTTTGGCATTGAACATGCAGCTAGCCTTTGATATTCGTCGTGAAATTGGTACAAATTGTCATACGGCGATAACAAGGGCATCAGCATGCCTGTATCTGGCATTGGAGTTGGGAACCCTATGACCAAACGATATATCTCGTCTCTAACCTCCAAGGGTAGTCGCAAGAAAGGGTGGAAGATACCGCAAGGGCCAGGTAAAGAAGCCGAGCTAATTCCTGCGAAGTCGTTTGCGAGGCTGCTTTGAGAAGCAACTGGGTCGGTTCCTGTGTCTTGGCTAGAATGGAAAGTCCGTCTACGCGCGCCTGTAGGCCTTGATTTCACGAATCCAGAGATGGCTTGCAAAAAGTTTTCAAAATTTTCGGGAAGAAGCATACCATCCTCTTCTTCGGAGACCTCGACCTCTGTAACGATTCAGTTGAGCCTCCTGGTGTGTGCTTGAGTCTTACGAGGCATGGACATGGCACCGTTGATTTGGCCCGACATGAGACTCAGATATCCCAGACGGTCGTGCTGACGATGAAAAGACAACACATAAGTATCTTGACTCGTCGATAGAAGATGTACGATGCTCACATGCAAAAGCAGTCAGCTAAGAAACAACGACGGGAGGTCCCCTCAGTCCTTTTTGGGTGCTGAGAGCGCCAAGGCGCTAGACCCCTATAGTCACAGGGGGCTGTCTCCTCCTTGAGAAAAAGCAGTCATAGGGCACTCTTCAGCGTCAACCTCCTTTGGTGGACAGAATTAGACAATTGATTAGATATGCCCCTATTCTCCTACTTGTCAATATACCCCTGAATACGTTTGATTGAAGTCCAGTCCTTCTTGTTGTTGGAAACCTCGTCCTGTGAGCCTCGCTTTGTATTTAACAATCTCTCCGTCAGTTCCGAAGGCCACAATAGACGCTCAAGCACTCTCGATAGCCCGGATCTTCTTCACCTCCATAACCGCATATTGAATTCTCCTCCCTCCCCTTCCCGTGCCCTGAGTCTTGAACATCAACCCCCTAGCTTCCAAGTAAATTCCCCTATTCATCATCTCAATTGCCATACACCACAGCGCCTTCACCACTTCCCCGTGAGTTGTAATCAATCCCGGATCAGTGCTCACTCTCACATCAATGACCACTCCCGTTTCCTGATCTGCGTACTCGTCGCTGCGGAAATTACTGTCTGCGTCTGTCTCTGCTAGGCGGGAGACGTAGCGTATAATAGCGATGAAAGTGTCCACTGATCTGAGACGCTGGGCGAGTGGGAGGTAAGCAAAAGTTAATTTCATCCCGGAATCTGTGAGGGGGGAAAGGGTGTAGATTGAGGTTGCGTTCGTATTGTTCATCAATACCGGAGACTGTGAAAATGTAATTTTGTTATCGTTGTCTCGAGTTGGAAGATCCTGGTTTGCATCGTTGGAGGCTAGGCGCGTTGTGTTTGTTGGTTTTTCAGAGCCTGCTTGGGGTGTGTGATTCAGTGTACCGCTATTCGTCAGATTACTTGACCCGTCATTGATCTCAAGGTTCTCTCCACCTTCAGTGACTAGAATGGGTTCTCGGAACAGTATGCCTCCAAGCAGCCTTCTCGCACCATCTATTGTGACTCGGATATATCCCGCTAGCTCATGATACCTTCGATTCCGGTAAAGCGTATCTGCTACTGTCTGGACTGCCCATATGACATGATTGTGCTGCAGGTGTGGATATTCCGCTGCGTTTGGAATTACCGTTAATTCAAACTTTTCCGAATAGTAGCCCTGCGACCGTCCGAAAAAGGAAAAGGCAGCCTCTTGTACAGCCGCATGAATGCAATTTGCGTAAAAGCGAACGATGTCGATCGGGGGCTCCTTGTAAGTGATAATGACTTCGAAATCCGGGGGGATACTGAGATTCTGATTAGCTATGTCAAGTGAGTTCGAGGCGATAACGTCTGAAGAAGGCAATAGCGTATTTGTTGATCTCGTAGAATCTGCATTCGTGTACGCAATAAGCGATGGGAGACCAGAAGCGGCGAGAAATTGTGTGAACAGATTGCGAAGAATCATGGTCTTCGAGTGTAAAGTTCTCTAGCATGACGCGAAGGCAGTGTTGAGTCTGTAGTATCTTTACAGCCGCCATCTTCGGGAAATTCGCGCGGATGCAAATCAGATGGGCAAAAAAAGCTAGCTTTGAGACACGCAGTAGCCGTCCGTTCTTTGGCGCATGATCTCGTGACCGAGTGAGGGACTCGATTCTGGCAAAGTTAAGGAAGAAAGTCGAGAAATGCGACGAAATACATGTATACGAGGGACCATGGCTCTTCAAGTCTCAAAATTCGCTCGTCTTACTATTCTCTCAAGGCCAGAATTCTGTGAGGAAGTCTTCAATGTCCTTGAGTAGAACCTCAGGCCGCTCAACAGCCGCAAAGTGTCCTCCCTAATGCTGTCAGATATCGCACAGCAGGCTATATGGCATGAATGTGGAGTAATTTACCGAGTGATGCTGCCGATGAAAGACGAGATTGCCCGTCGTAGCTACCCAGCTACGAGGAGTCGGAGAGATTTCCAACGGGAAGTACGAATAACCAAGCGGTTTAGGCTTCTCAATGTACCACACTGGGTTCTCATGCGCACCAACAACACCGGGCGTGAAGAGCTACCTTAACGGTCACCAAGATTCATATTTTGGTTCCAGTATCATACGTACCTGGCGATAAGGGTAAATGGATGTTGGGAACGTCTCCGTGAGCCAGTATAGCGACACTGCCTCTAGTATGACATCCAGTGGCAGATCTTGGTCGCTCCAGTCAAGGAACTTCTCGCCCATCCTTCGTAATTCATTAGCACAAACCGTCTTGCCAATTTTTCTGGTGTGCCTTACCACGCTAGCAGTGAGAGTGGATTTGCAGCGAGCACGTAGCCAATAGTCGCTGGTTTTGTCGCATGGATGAGAGCATAGGCTGATTCGAGCTTTTGAAATTGCCGGGCTCGTTCAAGACCCTTCTCCTCTATGTCATCGGTTGTGCCAATAGAATTTTTTGGCTCTTGCATGATAGCAAAATTGACTGTATTACTGGTCAAAACCCCAGGATTGGTGTCATTCAGTAGAAGACTCACTATGGACGGCTAGACAAGAATGCAGATGATCAGTAGTGCACCGCGGAAATTTTCAGAATTCCGTGAGACTTACCTTTGCAGGCGTCGTAAGTTGCTGCAATAACTCGAGCTACCTTAGAGCCAACATCACTAATTTGACCAGTAAGTACAGTCCAAGCACGAGTTCGGCATCTTCAGGTCTTACCCGCCTTGCACCGCATATCCACCTTCAAATCCAAGTACAGTCATAAGCTTATTCAGAATGCGGGAGACATCCTGCAATTGGAAATCGCAGTCCAGTGGTGGAGCTGAGGAGAAAGCATATCCTGGTAGAGAAGGAACAATTATGTGGTACGGCAATGACTCTGGGGTAAATTGGTCTCTCAGGATCGACATGATGGGAATGAACTCGAGAAAACTGCCTGTCTTATCTTAAGTTTGACTGTTGAACATGACCGCATCACATACCTGGCCAACCATGCAGACATAGCAGGGGGATTGCATCCACTTTATGAGAGAAAAGCGCTGTGAAGTGGACAGTGTATCGCTTTCCATCTTCATCCTTCACCTCAGCAGTAAATTGAGGGAAAGAGTTCAGGTGTGCTTCATGCTTTCTCCTGCATCCTTAATCAGAGAGATTACCTTTAAAAGAGGAGAAATGTGTACCAGTCGAAATCGTTTAGCCAAGCCGACCTAGCTTTCACAAGCCATTCATGTGGCGCGCCGTACCTACGTCCTTGAAACCCTTCATAAGTCACAGGTGCTAGTTTGGAAAGCGAGAGGAGGGTGTGTAATTCTTCCAGAGCATCGTCTTTGATGGCAATTTGAAATGGAGAGACATTTTCAATAGTACCAGAAGGTAATCGGTCGAACATATTCATCGAAATTGGCTCTTGACTATGATGTGTCTTAGGGACTCTGGAAAATACGTTGGAGAAGAACAGAATATCTCTCAAGATTTGCAGAGGAAAAAGAACAAAATATATGTCTGCCAGCCCTCCTCGGACCTTCGGCCTCATACATTCTTTTCACATTTGCTTGATAATCATGCAGCTTCACGCTTTAGAAAAGACGTTACATCATCAATCATCCATTCACTTTAGGTTAAGACGGTTTCATAGTTTGACGCTGAGCATACGACTCATTAGGCCATCGGAAGCTGGACCTTTGTATCCCTCGACCACACAGCTGACGGTGTTTGCTCAAGCTGCGTGATAGATGTGCCGTTCCAAGCCTGTTTCGAAGTTCTCACATGAAGACCGTTGCTTGCGGTTCAAAAGCAGTTGGTGGTGCGTGACGAAAGCAGAAATTGGAGACGATAACATTGGGAAATCACATATTTCTAGAATAAGACTAGAGCATCCCCAATGCGGTTACGCCGCTTTAATAGCAAATTTACAGCCAGAGCCTTCCCACTGTAAAATCTGCTTATACAATCAACTCGCTAAAGCGGCATTGGATATCTGTTGAGAAACGTGAGCTCCTTGAACAGATGCTTAAGGCCGTGCAAACGTCAATGAATTGGACTGCAATAGGGATTCGAGGCTGAACGGCGATTTTTTTTTTTTTTTTTAAATCCTACGCCGTTTCAGCCTTATGGGCTATGCCGGGTGCTATCTACGTAGACGAGCTACTTTATATTAATAGAATAGACACTTACTAACTTTTTAGACGATTAAAATTAAAATTAAAAGAGTAAGTATTGAAAATTAAAAATTTAATTAAAAATGCTATAGACCTAGACTATTAAAACTATTAATAGCCTTAATAACTATTACCCCTTAATAAACTAATATAAAGTAAGCCCTTATACTCTTTCCTCTTTTATAATATATAGTATTATTATAGACTATAGGTATTTATTTTTCGCTGCCAACTATATTTATACTAGTTTAGAAAGTTATTTAGCTTTAAAACTTTTTATTTATAAAGGTTAGCTTTTATTTATAGCTCTGCTTTTCCTAAATACTTAAAAGTTCTAGTTTAAAATAAGTATTATATAATTATAATAACTTTCTAAATATCTTTTAAATAATTATTTATATTTATAGCTAAAATGTTCTAGCTTTAATACTCTTTTTTAAGTTAGTATATAGTAAATAATTAAGTACTAAGTACTTAATTATTTTATAGCTTTATTTATAGTTATATATAGCTAAATTAGCTAGTTTCTTTAAATATAAATAGCTATAAAGGCTAATTACCTTTATTTTAGCTTAAATTATAATTAATATAATAACTTATAACTTATTTATATATTTAAAAACGTTTTTTTTAAAAAAAAAATTTACTAGCTTATAGAGATTATAGCCTATTAGTAAAAGCTTTTAGTTATTTTTTTATATTTTTAAAACTATATTTTTTATTTTATAATTTATAGCTAACTTAAGCTTATAAATTAATAGATAATAAGGAGCTATTAATCTAAGTAACTTATTGTTATTTATTTAGCCTATAGCTCTTTTAGCTAAGTTATTAACTAGCTTATTTCTATAGATTTCTTTATAGTTTAATATTTAATAAAGCTTAATTATAGCTTCTATATTCTAAAGCTAATTAAGGAATCTTATTATATTTTATATATAATACTAGCTAGATTTATTCTTAAAATCTTAAAGTATTTAAAGTATTCCTTAATTATTAATAAATAATACTATTTATTGTTTTAAAATATTTAATAGTATAAGTACTAATAATTAAATAATTTTAATTATTTTAGCTATAAGAACTATATTAATTAAGTTAAAGCTTAAATAAGTACTATAGGTAATAGGCTTTTAGTTATATTTTAAATTAATTAAAGCCGCTACTACTTTAATTTATTTAATAATATTATTTCTATTAGAGTAGTAGATAGCTTATTTTTTAAGTTTTTTTTTTCATTTTTTCTAAGATTTTATTATAGGCTATAATCTCTAATTTATTGTTTTTAGCTATATTTATTGCTAGTAGAATCTATTAAAGGTAGGCTATAAAAGAAACGTTTTTTTCAATTAATATATTATTATTATAAATTTAATTATCTAAAATATTTTTAATCTTATATAAAAAACTATTCTAACTTCTTTAACTTTTAATACTAGCTTTTTTATATATCTAGAAGATCTTTTAATATACTAGCAAGCACTAGATTCTATTTATAATATAGTAAATTATTTTTATTAATTATAAATCTATAGGTTTAATACTTATTTCTATATTTAATATAATGCTAGTAATATACTAAAAAGCTTTTATAGCTACTGCAATAGCTTCTTTTTAAAAGGCTTTAAGTCTCTAAATAATTCTTTAATAATAGCTTTTATATCTTTATCTTTATTAAAGTAGAACTTATATTAAATAACTATAGAGTAGCTTTAGAAAAATAATAGCTTAAAATAGCTTTATTATTCTTAGTAAAATAACTTCCTATACTATTTAAGCTAGACTCTTTAAAGCGTCCTTATAAGCTTTAGCTTTTTTTAAAATAATTTCTAGATATAATTATCTATTTAATATTAAGTTAAGCTAAACTTTTAAGTAATAAATACTTTTAGAAAAGTAAACTTCCTAAATATATATTCTTTTTTAAAGTTTAAGCTTTATTAGTTTTTTTTTATTTTTCCTTTTTTATTTGTTTTAGCTACTAGAAAAAGTAGATTAGATTATATTTTTAAAAAGTAAAAATAGCTTTATATTTGTCTACCTATATTTCAAGTTTAATATAAATATTAGCTAACTTTTAATAAGTTTTTTTAGTATTTTTTCTAATAATTAGTATATATATATTATCTATATATCCTATTAGTAAGCTTTTGCCCTTAGCTACTTTAAGAATTTTATAATTATAGAATAGCTAAAGGATTAATAATAATAGTAATTTTTAAAGAATTCTAGTTTTTATATTAAAAAAGAATATAAACCCCTCTATAATCTTAATTTAATAAGATTAGCTTATTAAAAAGCTCTAGAGCTAGCCTATTAAGTTAAAATTAAATTTAAACTTATAGATATTTTAAAAAAGTTATTTATAGTTAATATTATTAAATGCCCTAGATATATTTAAAAGTATTAGGCTTATTATTAACTTATTTTTACTTTTTTAAACTATATATACTTATTTTATAAGTAAGTAGATAGTATATTTATAGGAGGTAGCTTTTTTACTTTTATAATAAATAACTAAGAGTAGGTAATTAATTTCTATTATAGCTAAAATTCTCTTTATTAAAATATATTCTATTATTTTGCTTAATATCTTTAATAAAAAGATTAGCCTATAGGATTTTAGATTTAAATAGTCTTTCTTTATAGGTTTTTAAATTACTATTACTATAGCTTCCTTTAATATTGCTAGCTAGTATTAAAGCTTAAAACTTATATTAAATATATTAATAAAAAAGCTACTAATCGCTAGAAAAGCTATTTTTAAAACTTAATTAGTATTTATATCTAGCTTAAGGGCGTTATTAGCTTTAAACTTTTTAATAGCTTTAATAACTTTTTATTCTATAATATCTAGAAAGGGGAGCAGCTATAAGAAGCGTTCTAAGCTATAGTATATATTAAAAAGATTTATTAGCAATAGTTTTAAATAAAAAAAAGGCTTAGAAAGTTTTAGTTTTCTTTATATTATTTATTTATAAAGTTCTATCTTAACTTCTAATTTATAGAAAAAAAGCAAAGCAAAAGGCTTTTTATATTTTTAGCTATTTATTTAAAATAAATAGTTAATTTATATTAATAGCTTTAAAAACTTTTTATTTATAATTATTAGCTTAAGCTTTTTAAATAACTTTCTTCCTCTAGCTATTAACTATTTCTTTTACTACTTAGTCTTTAAGATTATATATAATTATATATTTATACTTAGCTTTTTTCTAGTTATTAATAGCTTTTATATAATTTTTATTTTAGTTTAATTTTATTTTTATAAACTATTTAATCTTTAGAGTAAAAGCTTCTAAAGCTTAGGTAATAGATTTAATTAAGTATTTAATAATATTATCTAAGTTAGCTTATTATCCTAAAAGTTCTTTAGTTCTAAATAGTATTAGTTAAATAGTTTAAAAAAATTTTTATATTTATTTTCTTAAAGTTCTAGTAGTTAAGTACTACTATTATTAAAGTTTTATATTTAAGTATTATTCTAATTAGGTTATAATTAGATCTAAAGGCAAGTTATTTTAAAGACTTATAATAGAGGATATATTATATTATATTTTAAATAGTTTAAGCTAGGTTAATTATAGATTTTTTTAAATTAAAATTATTTAAAAATTTTATTATTATTTTAAGTAGAATAACTAGCTAAAGGCTATATATTATTATTATCTTTTAAAAGCGTTAAGCTTATCTTTTAATTATAGTTAATCTTTTAAACTAGTCTAAATACTAGGTATTAAAATCTTTTATAA